AGACACGGCGGTAAGGGCAGCAAAGGCGGCCACGGTGGATACGGTGGACTCATTCTCGAGAAAGAAGTTCCAATTAACAAGTACTCTATCGGCCAGATCTTCTCTATCAGATGCTCTGACTGGTCTTAGAGTGGTGCATCCTGATCTTCTACAAAATTGCATGCACGGACATACAGTTTCAGTGTTATGCATCTGTGAATATTTCTCATCTTCAAAAAGACTTAAAGATAACATATCTCAACCATAATACAAAACGCATCAAACATCGAAAAAAGTTTCAGATTAAGATACACGCATTTACCATTATAAACGCCTTCTTATGTAAGATATTTTATAAAATCTTATTCAAATAGCAAGACAATTTGAATATTGACGTGCTTTACCGCGACTCGTGAAACTCAACTAGGACTGATCTCCCCTGATCGAGTTGATATGAGATATCATGAAGATTTTCTTCACTCACTAAGTCACCATGTATGTGATTAAATCAAAACTAAGAGTATCATAACTGCAGCTGAGCATGGATTAATTGTTATTATATTATCATGTAGATCGTGTAGTACATTAGTCATTCTTAATCAACGTTTTTCGTTACAAGTATTAAACTGGAACACGCTTGAATCCACTACGCTTGGTGTATCCTGCTTGACGTTTATAATGATCATTTTCGTCACGCTTTGAAGCACCTCCTGCGAGATCACTGACGATTGGAATCTGACGCTTCATTGAGCCACCGCCGAGGAGCCTGTCTTCGTCAGCCTTCTGATTGGGTTTTGCGTCACGCTTTGAAGCACCTCCTGCGAGATCACTGACGATTGGAATCTGACGCTTCATTAAGCTACCGCCGAGGAGCTTGTCTTCGTCAGCCTTCCCATCTGGTGTATTTGAAGTTGGCTTCGGTGCTTCTGCAGCTTCAGCTGGTTTAGCGGAAGATGGGGAGGCCTTCTTGTCATCCATGTCAACTTCAGCTGACTTGGCAGGAGATGGAGAGTCACTAGAAGTCTTCTCGTCATCCTTGGCAGCTTCTTCCTCCATGGCTTGCTTGATTTGCTTCTTAGCCTCATCTGGAATGCCAGTCTCGACTGGGCGTGCACCCGTTGAGGAAGTTTCAGCTGGAGTCTCAGCCTTGGAAGTAGCCCATGCTGGTGGTTCGCTGAGAGTTTGATTTTTTAATGATCCTTCTGGTACCTCTAGCGTCTTGTCGAGACCTTGGAGTAAATCTCCGCCTTCTCCGCTTGGCATTTGCGCTAAGACTGCAGATATGAGTGCGAGTGCGGCGTATAACTTGAGATGCATCTTGAGTATGGTGTTTAAGGATGAGATACTTTATTTCAAGGAGTAATTTAATTGCTTATATTTAATCGAAAAATTTAGTTTCACCTTTTCGAGGTATGAATGTGATCGAACGCGCACTAAATCGACAAAGGAATGCTGCTCAAATGCGAGTCAATTGTAAGCAATAAGTTGCAGCCTTAGAACAGTATAAAAGGCTAGTACGTTGTCATTAACTTGACTAACATGTTCATTTGTGAAGATGTGAGAATTTGTTGTTTTATTGATTTTTCGCATACTATTAGCAAAGCTTGTATGCACTCATAAACAGAAATCAGATAATAGTAATCGCGTTTGTAAATTCATAAACGTCATTTACATGCAGTGTTAAATATTTTAGACCTTTCTGTATCCTGGTGGACTTCTCTTAACAGATGGGTTGCGTCTTTGGGCTTGCTGACTATCCTCTTGAGAGTCCATTTCTTGTTGTTGCTCCATCATTGGAGCTTCGGTTTGCTCTTGTTGATCTTCCTCTTGTGGTTGCTCCATCATTTGCTGTTCCTCAGCCTGTTCTTGAGATTGATCCATTTGTTGTTGTTCCTCAGCTGGCATCATTGATCCTTGCTCTTCTTGTGACTGTTCCTCACCTTCTTCTTGTTCTTGCTCTTGTGGCTGTTCCATCATTGGTTGCTCATCTTGTGATTGTTCCATCATTTGTGGTTGCTCATCTTGTGCCATCTCTTGTTCTTCAGGTTGCATTTCCTCTTGTTGCATCTCCTGTTCTTCAGGCTGCATCACTTCTTCTTGCTCTTCCTGCTGCTGCATATCTTGCTCTGGATTCATTTCAGCAGTCGTAACATCGCTGCCTTCTTCATCCTTGGTGACATCAGGCTCAGCCTTTTTAGCTTCTTGAGCAGCAGCTTGAGCAGATGGCGATGCCATAGCAGAGCTGCTCGAAGATGCGGACGAGGATGTGGAAGTAGCGGTGGATGAAGGTGAAGTCATTGAGCTGGTTGATGTTGGTGTTGGTGTAACTGCAGGTGCAGCTGGGGATGCTGAGTCCATACCTGGGACCAATCCACCAAGTGCATCAGTAAGAGCGCCTAATGGACCCAATTGGGCGCTGGCTTGTGCTGCTAAAGCTGCAATGACACCGAGAGCTACGCTGAGACGCATCTGTGTCAACACAATATCAGTCGCGCTCTTTTATATCTTCTTTTTCACTCACTGTTGATTAAGAGAGTTGGGTTGAAGAGATGAAGAGATAATCCCTCACTAAGCTTAATATTTGTATCTTTTTCATCTTTGGAATGTGTTAGTTTGTCTATGAAGATAAAGCACGCAGTGGGGCATGCACTAAATTGATCGCAACCAGTCTTCTAGAAGCGTATTACTAATTATAGATTCCTTGAGAGTTATTTAGATTCGAGCCCGCTGATCACATCTCTAGACCGGGTCGTTTCAAATTTTTGCAGATCAAAGATGTAAATAAGACAAATGCAGTGCGATTCTAATGAATGAGATTCTATGCTTTTTATAAGTGTTTGTAACTCCTTCCTGAAGTATTCGTGTGCCTTAAAAGTGTGATGATGGCTGATGGTGTAATGCCCTCGATACGCTTAGCAGCACCCTTGAGCAAAGGTTAGAGATGAATATGAGCGATATCTCCACCTACTATCGACAATGGCTGCACCTTCTTCAATCTTTCGCGCACCTCGTTGGACAGTGTTGGCACGGCGTCATAATCTAACGCTGGCGATAGTGGCAATGTTTCTTCCGACATAAAAGCTCTAAGATCTGCATTTTGACGTTTGAGGTGTGGCTTGTACATAGCTGTTGTATGGGATGTTAGTTTATTGTCGAGGGTGAGAATGAGGGAAAGTGAGACACCTACCCTCAATATTGACACGCTCGCGTAGACGTGGATCAATCTTTGCTAATGCAGGCAAATGTTGAATCATGTCGTCAACAGTAGCTCTAACATCTGTGCCTATTTTCTTGAAAGTGAGTATATCATACGCGCTCCTCGACTTTCCATCTAGATTAACCAGAATGCCTCTGTCTCTCCATTTTTCGGGCGACATTCTGAGACTTTCGAGGGTCTCTGTGACGTGGTCCATCTCCTTTTTAGCAGAGTTGAACACACTCCAACGGGACTCAGACACGGCGCCGATATTGTAACCTTTCTGCGTCAGTCTCGTGTCAGCGTTATCGGCACGTAGCGTCATTCTGTACTCGGATCTCGCAGTGAACATTCTGTAAGGCTCTTGGGCACCGCGGGTGATAAGATCATCGACCATGACGCCAATGTATCCATCAGCGCGTGTGAGGATGAGTGGAGATTTATGATGAGCTGCCAAAGCGGCATTTATACCTGCGAGAATACCTTGCGCACCAGCTTCTTCATACCCCGTTGTGCCGTTTATCTGACCAGCTAAGAAAAGACCTTGCACACGCTTCGTTTCTAGTGTGGCACTCAATTCACGCGCATCGATGTGGTCATACTCTACACCATAACCTGGCATTATCATTTCTGCTTTCTCTAGTCCGGGAATCGACCTTATCATTAGATTTTGCTCCTCTTCGGGAAGTGTTGTAGATATCCCGTTTGGATAGATGACATCGCTGTCGAAACCTTCAGGCTCGAGCCAAATGTTGTGTGAGTCTTTAGTGTGGAAACGAATGATTTTAGCTTCTATCGATGGACAGTAGCGGGGACCATTAATAGTCTCTCTGATGTGAAATGTTTTGTGGAGATTGTTTCTGATAATGTTGTGCGTTGTGGGGATGGTATGTGTTTGGTAGCATTGGATTTGGTTATTCTTCGTCATGTGAGATGTGTGATAGAGTGTCTTGACCAACCTACCTCCAAATGGACATTCTTGTTAAGGAAGCTGAATGGTTGGGGTGAATCGTCACCCTCCTGAACAATCATACTTGTAAAGTCTATTGTGTGTTTTTTTAGACGCGCAGGAGTACCCGTTTTGAGTCTGCCTAAAGCAAAACCAGCTAGGCGGAGTGATTTAGATAGACCAGAGGGGGGACTTGCGGGATCACCTTTGCGGCCAGCTTTGAAGGATTTCATACCGATATGAATTTCACCATCTAAAAAGGTGCCTGTACATAGAACAACTTGAGAACATGGAATGACGTGACCGTTATCGAGACGAACGCCACGGACAGTACCCCAAATTTGAGAGTTTTGAGTGTTGTGAGCGTTGCGATGATCAAAGACCAAATCATGGACAGAAGCAGCGTGTATATCTAAGTTTTCGATGGAATTGAGAGTGTTCTGCATGTTTGATTTGTAAAGGGAGCGATCAATTTGAGCACGAGGACCCTGTAAAGTGGGGGAATAAGGTTAGATAGCCGAAGATGCCGAGAATACGCCTAACTAACATAAACAGCAGGACCTTTTGACTTGTTGAGCATTTTGTACATACAACCTGAAACATCTAGGAAATTGAAGAGTTTTAGGGGTGTTGAAATGTAAAAGTGAATCACTCACCACCAATCCTACCCATTAAACCATCTAAAGCGTCAATTTCACGTACTAAAGTGCCCTTTCCAATACCACCTAAGCTTGGATTACATGACATTACACCGATAGTATCGGGATTTTGAGTGAGTAGAGCAGTTCTAGCACCTGCCCTTGCACTTGCTGCAGCGGCTTCAGAACCGGCATGGCCACCGCCAATAACGCAGACGTCGTAAGCGGGGGGAGTGGGGAGTGTGGATAGACGTCTATATCCCACTTTCAAAAATGATTTCATAAGGAGAATAATTGAAATTTAAATTTTGATGTTTGTAGATCGTCGTCGATTAACAGGCGATTTCTTTGTTGAGCTGCAACGACCAAGAGAGATGAAAGTGGGTGAATGATACAAGCGATGGAAATAAAACTTACAAAATAATTCAGATCGAGTTACAAAGCTGGGTAGAGGCGTTGGAGAAGTACGATGCAGGCGACTATATCCACGCACTGCGCCAATTTTCAACGATGCAGAGCCGTGGACAGTCATCTAAGATAGAGTTCAATAGGGCAGTTATACACGCTAGCCTTGGTGATCAAAAGGGTGCAACTGAGTTGTACAATTCATCACTACGCATTGACCCATACTTTGCAATCGCCCACTTCCAATCAGGCGTTTGTAACTTTATGCGGGGCAGATATGAGCACGCGAGAAACGACTATGAAGCTAGCCAGGCGCAGCTTAGAGGGAATCCCCACATCGACTACAGTCAACTCGGCTTGGCTTACAAGTTAGAATCCGCAAATATAAACTTCAATATTGCTTTGACCTTTTACTACTCAGGCAGGCCTGATGATGGTATAAGTCATATTCAATTAGCTAGAAATGGCGCGTCCCTCGACCAAAACAGCGTCATCGATGACTGCTTGCGTGATGAAGCTAAGGTACGCTCAATCTCAGGCACGCGGTCTAGAACAACTAACAAATATTCATCCAGGGTTATATGCCTTACTCTGTTCAACCAGGCGTGGTTTTTAGACCTTCAGACTCTCAAATAAAGAATCTTGAAAAGAAAGACTTCATTGGTCAGGCAAAAGTGGTTTACACTGACGATGACGGTACCAGTCCTGATATACCCCTCACTCAATCCAACAATGACAACAAAGATGATGTTCCTCTCACTCGTAGATTACCCGGTGGTGGTGGTACTCTAAAGCGCAATCCAACTCATTGGCAGCCAAAACTACTCCGTCGTCCCACCCTTGGCTCTCGTAAACAAAGCAGCGCCGAAACAACTCCTGTGTCTTCTGGCGCTACAACTCCTGTCAATGAAAAGGGTGGCTTCTTCGGTCTCGTTAGACAGAAAACTGAACGCAGAAAGGCTCCAACTGAAGAAATGCGCACAAAGGCTGGTTTGACCCCTGATGAAGCTGCCACTGGTCCCAAGCAAGCTGCTATGCTTTCACGAGCACGCACCCTCGGTTCGGCTACTCTTGCAGAGAAGCGCTCCAAATCTGAACAAGATGTACCTTCTCAGGCCAATCAACAATCCCTTACTGCCGCTGCTACTGCTACCACTGCTGATACTCACCCAAACAAGGGCTACACTCTGACAGATAATGGTAATAGTGATACTCCCTTTGCATCAGATACAGACGAATCGCGTACTCCTTCACGTGCTCCTTCCCCTCCTCCTTACAATCATACACCTCAACCACATCAACCATCGAATTTGCATCACTCCCCTTCACAACCCCAGCTTGCACCTAGTAGAGCACGATTCCCAACTCGTAAAACATCACTGAGATATGTCAGTAGTAAATTCACTAAGAACGGTTCTTCAAATATACCTCGACAGGAGATACGTAGATCGCGCTCGTTTAATGAGGGTGACGATTTTTCATTAGCTTATAATGTCTCAGATGGCAGTGAGATGCAGGCGACGAAGGCTACTCAATCGAATCAAGCTCCAACCAGGAGCAATACTCTTCTAAGCAAACTATCTGGCCGTTCAGGAGTCAATGACAGCAACATGAACATGAATCATGAACACCGTAAGGGCAAGCCACCTGCTATCAATACACTGTCCAATGTGCCAGCTGGTTGGCCACGCTCAGCTGACACAAGTCCACTCTCATTATTCCAGCAAACTCAATCGCATAGAGCTCCCCAAATCCCTGCTCTCAGTATTGGCGATGCACTGATGCAAGCAGCAGAGCAAAAAGAAGAGCAGACAGCGGATGATGTGGTAGAGAAACCTGACCAAACAATGGAAAAAACTAGTCAGATAGAAGAATCAGAGGAATTGGAGCAAACACCAAAGCCTACTGAAAACATTGAATTGACTGTCACGCCATCAACCCCATCACAAATGCCAGATAAGGACTTTTCAATTAAGTTTGATGAAAGGACTGACACTATGTACGATACGCAGAATGACACGTCGGTTCCATCTTCAGTGTCTGACAATTCCATGACCAATCCATCCAACGACTCTGGTGACAACAATGAGAGAGGATCACCGGTAGACGCGTTGACTACGTTGAGTGGTGGCAGTCCAAGTGCCCAAGGTGCCACAGGTGTCCATAGTGCTGCCAACGCTGGACCCTTCAAACAACCAGCACCACTTCAGGTCCAAGAAAAGCCAGCGCTGAGTCGCCAGGCTTCTGCATTGCGTAGACGCGGCACGTATGGCAAAGTACAAGAGCAGCATCAACAACAACATCAAACCCAACCAAAGCAAGGGATAGCTATCGACGTTTCTGACAAGATGCGCAAGATGGGCATAGAAGAGGGCAATGAGGAGAATGACGGGGGATTTGACTCGGCAATGATCAAGGGGATGTCGCCCGTAGAGCAGAGTTCACTGAATGCTGAGAGATTGCTTGAAAAGGGAGTGCGAGTGACGCCAGGTTCTTTGCATGCACAGACAGTGCTCGAGAGTTTGCAAGGTGTGAACGGTGCACCAATACTAACATCAATGCAACCAGCACAAGAAGTACACGGAATACCATCACCTACACCCCTACCTGCATCCACACCACCGAATGCCGCTTCTGCACCTCCACCACGGTCGCCGGAAAGCAAGTCGAGTAGATCAAATGGTTCTAGTCCACAATTGAAAGTGCGTTTTAAGATACATTACGGAGATGATGTGAGAGGGATGCTGGTTAGCAATGAGACTTCGTATGATGCCTTCTTGAATCACGTAAGTGGAGGTTAATTGATAGATAGCTGAATCTAACACTACCAAGATACTCCGTAAGTTTGACAAAAGCGCTGGTAGCTTTAGAGTTCGATTCAAGGACGAAGATGGCGTTAAAATCACCGTTCAGGATCACTCTGATTTGGAACTTGCTATTGATACTGCGAGATTGCACGGTAATGGACGCAGTGACGGAAAATTAGATATTTGGTGCGAGGATTTGTAGGGCTTACACTGGACACTGGCTGTACAGGTACTGGACTTATAAATTTTCATTCTTTTATAACATGACAATATTTTTAAAACAAGTCGATCGGATGTCGCCACATTCGAGGGTCGCTATCGCGTGAGGAAGGGGTGTTCCTGGGATAGGCCTAGACAGGTTTAAATTAAACGACGATGAGCTTGAAGGTGTGAAAGACGTGTTTGTAGACTAGTAATCTAATGAGTTCAGCAGGATGAGCTTACAATTTGGTCGCGGGCTCTGGAAGCATACGACCGAGAAGATGTAGCTCAAGCGGTGAAGAGCTTTAAGACAATCGCACATACCTCAAAGATACAGTTTGTGGGTAGATAAAAGAATACAGAAACCTTTTTCCTAATCTAATCTAACCAAATCAGAATCTGGGCATGATTTATGATGCACTTGTTATGAGCACAGAGGCGTTGAAATGCTTCAACCGCGCCAGTGAGCTCGATCAGTATTTGGCTGTATCCCACTTCCAAGCTGGTGTTTCGTACTTTGTAGATACGATGACTTGATATATTGAAACACGCGGACTAACATAAAAAAAACAGAAGCAAAACGAATTCAATGCAGCTATTCACAGCTTTTCTCTCTGCTTAGAGTGCTTGCACGATAATATAACCATGTACGCACTGTCCGCACTGTCCGCCACTTGTCGGCACTCACTGACGCCGGATGTTTTCAGCACTTACACCCAGCTTGGTCTCAAGTACAGTCTTCATTACGCTGAGGTTCAATTCAACCTTGGTCTCTGCCTCATTGCCGCCGGTCGCAGAGATCACGGTCTTAATAAACTTCGCTTGGCACTGATCAAATCTGAGAAACCAGAGCACGCGGTCATTAGTAAGGTGTTAAACAATGGCGGGATTGTGTGTGTGTCGTGTTTTGTCGTTTAGTGTTAACTTTATTACGCTCAGGCCACTTCTCTCTTCGCAGTTCCTATTGGTACGCTGTTCCAACCACCAGAGGATAAGATAAAGAATATGGATGTCAAAGTGGGTGATGATAACGTATAAACTTACTCAACTGATCAAAACCTAGGATTATCTCGGCCGAAGTCAACTTATCAGCACCTCCCACTCGTACGACCTCTCCGTAAGCTTTCAAACATTTCTCGCTAACAAATTAACCTGACGTTATCCCTCCGCATTCTTTACATCTTGATATGCTTTAGACTGACTTTGCCGGTGTCAAACTCGTCGATCACAAGGAAAGTATCAGCAATCGCATCGGGAATTTGGAAAGATCAAAAACAGCTCCATCTGCGAAAACTGAATCAACATCTATACCAATTTTACGCTCTAAAACATCATTCAGAGCCAACCTCGAAAGCAGCATATATCCCAAGTCAGCCGTTTTCACAGAAGATATTTTAACCGACGAGACTACTGATAGAACTTCAATTTCTGAATCTATTTCAAATCCTACTCAAAGTCATATTCTTGGTCGAGCATGTAAGTGATGCAATGTGGCGCCTTCATTTTAGTCCATCTTCAGGCGCGTTTGGTAATTAATGAAACTGATGAAAATCTAGACTCTGAAGATAACAACCATTTCCAAAACCATAATAGTGAAATGTACTTTACGCGTAGGCAATTCGAGCAACCAGCCGCTGAGCTTGAGACAAACATGTTAAACGTGAGTGTTTTGATAAGTGGGTTTGGAGATGGAGGTAGCTGATTACTCTAATACAGGGCCAAGTTAGTGATTTACACATTGCGCTCGACATGAAGCGTTCTTCACCAATTCTCACTCTCCCACTACACAAATCCAGATCACCGCCACTACCAACACCATCAACGTCGGCATCTTCGGAGGATAGCGAAAGGAGCTTTAAGAACGCGATGGATGAGAAGCTTAATCTTAAGCCAAAGTCTACGCGCCCAACGTTCATCAATCGTTCATTCGGCACACTCAGAACAAAGTCATCGAATCTTATAAACACTAAACGCAGCTCAACATCAATACCAAAGGGTTGGCCATCTACATCTGAGAACGGTACTGGGACTCCAATGGCCGTGTCACCAATTGGACCCATCTCATCGCCCTTGCCAGGCTCATTCGTTAGCACGGGACCAGGTACTGCCCGCGGCACACCTTCTGAATCCGATACACCAACGTCGACTTTCCTCGAGTACAAACGTAGTGTACCTTCATTCAACATAAGGATTAAGGTGGGTGTGGGCTTTTGTTCCAACTCGCACACATACTGACTTGGATTGTAGATTTTCTTGAATGAGGATGTTAGAGGTATGATTCTTTCCGCCTATGAAACGTCGTATGAGAAGGTAAGTAAGTTTACATGGAATTTTTACTTCATCTCAACTCGCACACCAGTTCAGAAGCAATGTACATGCCAAGTTTCCCCACATCGAAGCAGACAGACTGGCAATCAGGTTTAAGGATGAGAATGATCTGGTGTGAGTGGTTATGTGGGTGTTGATACTCTACTAACGCTCCCCTCAGTACTATCCTCGACGAATCCGATTGGGAAATGGCTATTGAGTGTGCACGCGTAGAGGCAGAGATGAGAGAACGATCTTATGGATCGTTGGAAGTTCACTGCGCGCAGAGAGTACGTGCACGTGGATGAATAAACTACTAGCAGCAGCACAACAGCACAGGATACCGATATGCAAGGCACAGTTTTACGCTTATTTATTACACATTTTACAGAAATACACTTACAAAGAATATTGTTGTACCATTGCATTTAACACATGTTATCGATTCTTATCTTAAGCTTGATCTTGGTTCGTTACTGTGATCATCGACATCATGACAAAAGAATTGAATCCAAAGACAAAGGAGTACAGCTTCTTTGGTCCGATTGGTACTGGCGCGATAACGATTCTCACGCCAGTTATCACCTACTTGCTCTACTACGCCTGTCCAAACTCGTATGATGATGGTACGTGCAAGCTACTCCAGAAACCAGCGCTTGGTAGACTGGCTGGAAGCGATTTCTGGTATTCTCTCTTCACGCTTGAGGCTTTTGCTGTATATCTCGCTTGGTACGCTTTCACTGTCTTCGCATGGGCTATTATACCTGCACAATGGGTACGCGGTACACAGCTGCGTGATGGATCGTACAAGTACTACAAGATGAATGCGCTAGCCACTCTTCTCATGGCTACTGGTTTGGCTGCTGGACAGATTCTGCGCGCAGGTCCAGAAGGATTCACGTATTTTGCCGATAATTGGATACCTCTGCTCACTGCATCCCTCGTCATGTCTATCGCTCAGTCTGTGTTCTGCTACGTGTCCTCCTTTACGCAAGGAAAACTACTTGCTTTGGGCGGCAACACGGGCAACTGTGTGCATGATGTGAGTGGGGATATTTGATTCTGAGGTAACCTGTGCTCACTAGCTATAGTTCTTCATCGGTCGCGAATTAAACCCTTCGATTGGATCATTCGATATCAAGACTTTCAACGAACTCAGACCAGGTCTTATCCTCTGGTGGATACTCGATATCTCTCTGGCATGCAGACAGTTGGCCACCTTTGGCCAGCTGACCGACTCGATGATTCTTGTCGTCGCGTTCCACGGCTGGTATGTGTTTGATGCACTGTACAATGAGGTGTGTGCGATGTTTGTTACTCAGTGCATCCACTCACAGCAACTCACACTCCGGACAGTCAATCATTCTCACCCAAATGGATATTGTTCATGACGGGTTTGGTTACATGTTGGGTGGGTAAAGTGCTTTGGTTGTATTTGACTCACTGACCACTTTTGTCTCAACAGCCTTCGGCGATCTCACCTGGGTGCCTTTCACATACTCCCTGCAAGCCCGCTTTCTTGCATACCATCCAAATATTTTAGGTCCATCTGGAAGTGCTGCAATTGCCGCTTTGCAGCTGTTAGGTTATTACATCTTCCGCACATCCAACGCCGAGAAGAACGAGTTCAGGAATGGCAAGAATCCAAAGAGTGAGTAGGGTGATTTGTTGGCTGTGTTTCTAATCACATAAAACGCACGATAGACCTCCAGTACATGCAAACCAAGAGGGGTACTAAGCTACTCACGTCTGGATGGTGGGGTACACTGAGACACCCCAACTACCTCGGTGAGTAGGGTGCGTAAATGACACTCCCAGTCCACTTACATCCTTCAAGGCGATCTCATAATGGCGTTGGCGTGGAGTCTCCCAACTGGTTCACTCACACCATTGACCTATTTCTACCCAGCTTACTTCACCGTCTTGCTCATCCATAGAGCTCTTCGTGATGATGCACACTGTCGAGAGAAGTAGGTGGCGCACAGTGATTATAAGTGAGCCAGCTAATTTGGTTGTTCTAGGTATGGCGATGATTGGAATGCGTACGTTGAGAAAGTGCCGTACTGCATATTCCCGTATGTGTTCTGAGATGACTTGAGAGTATTTGCAAGGGTTTTTTATATAAATATTATTATTTACATTTTTCAATCACCTATCACATATTGCGCGCCTGTCTTGTGTGCGATGACAAAACGCGACATTGAAGCAACTCAACCGGACGGAACGACAGAAAAAGAAAGCAAAATGACCAAAGCCACTCAAGTAACATCACTTCTCGTTAAAAAGCTCTGTCCACAAGCGCAGCTCCCAGCGCGAGGAAGTGCATATGCAGCTGGATATGATTTGTTCTCAGTCGAGAAGAAGGTAATTGGTGCTGGTGACAAAGCTCTGATTGATTTGGGTATTTCTATCTCAGTGCCTGCTGGTACATACGGTCGTGTTGCACCTCGTAGTGGATTAGCAGCTAAACATCACATTCATACTGGCGCTGGTGTCATCGATGCTGATTACCGCGGACGAGTGTTTGTTTTGTTGTTCAACTTGTCACAGAAAGACTTTGAAAGTGGGTTGGTGTTGGCTTATGGCTGATGGCTGCTAGAAGCTAGCGTGACGCGTAAACGCACCCTCTAACATACTCTCAACAGTCAATCAAGGCGATAGAGTTGCTCAGCTTATTCTCGAAAAGATCGAGACTTTCCCCGTAGAAGAGGTGGAGGAATTGAGCGAGACTGTGCGCGGTGCAGGTGGATTTGGAAGTACGGGTGGATATGGTGAGGACAATGCACAAGAAAAAGCGCAAGGGTAGGCTGTGTTGTGTGTTGTAGCATCATTATACCATGCATAAGCATTGTGTAAAAATTACAGATAAATTACTTGTCTACTTGCATATCGCCGTCTTCTTCATCCTGGTCATCACTCACCCACTCCTCACCTTCATCCTCCTCCTCATCTTCATCCGCATCCCCGAATGGCTTTGTTGGAATATTGGAGGATTTCAGCGTGGATAGCAGTTCAGTGACATGCTCTAGCAGCGGCTGGTCGTCGTATTCTACCTCTAGATATATCTGCGTTATTTGTTTTTGTCAATGTGGGTGTGATTGTGCTATTCTTTACCCACCTTGGCACAACTCTCTAAAGCGAATTTAGACTCGGGCCAAGCAACTTCTTTTGGTCTTGGTGGGGTGTTATTGCTGCCGATGCCATCTAATGGAGTGACATTTCCATCGCCTTCGAGGAATAGTATCCAGCCAGCGATATACCACGTCTCAGGGTCATGGTCATCTACGGCGAGTGCGGTTTTTGCGATGTCGAGGGCATTTGTGAGATCGCCAAGCTCAACAAACACCTTGGCTAACGACCGCATGGATTCGGTTGTAGGAAACATGCTATCTGAAATGGGAAGCTCTTTCCAGCAGTTGTAGGCATTGAGGGCGTGTTGAAGGGATTGTTGGGCTGGCTGCTGTGAGGATATGGAGTGTGAAGCGAGGTTTGTATGTATATCGCAGTCTGTGCTGTCTATAGAGAGTGCCTGGTTGAGGTAATCGAAGCTGGCTTGTTGAGCGTCTGGAGAGAAGCATAAATCAGTCATGTACAGCTCTGCTAAACTGACGAGAGTTGCTGTCGCCTTTCTCTTGAGATCAGTGGTCTGTTCGCCGGCGTCACTCTGCTGTCGCTCAAGCAGTCCAAGTATACTCTCAAACGCACTACGGAAACACTCCAACGAATTCTCACCGCCGTCTGCCATTTGCCCAAGATATAATTTAGCATCGACTTCTCTCTCCAAATCACCACAATTGGCCAGCCTAAAGAAATCTTCGTAGGCTGCTTCTGGGTTGCCTAGTTCTAGATTACACAGTGAACGAAATTGTAAGCCATCTGCGTTATCTGCGTCTTTTTCGAGAATTTGTTCCGAGTGCTGAAGTGCCTGCTCATACTCCTGCTGCGAGATGTGTATTAATGTTTTCTGTAGTAATTCTGCGAGTATTTCTGATGGCTGCGACGTTGGCGCTGTGTCGGCCATTTTTGCTGCTGTTGGTGGAAGACGAGAGTGAGTAGAAATTGAAGGAAAATCATGTGATAATTGAAGTGGTCAGAGTGTGGCCGTGGAGCTGTCTGTTTAGACTTATTCAATGCTGAGATCGGCACACGCCTCCAAATACAATCAACAACATTCAGACGTCATCGCCACCGGACTGATAGCAACAGAGTTTATAATGTAATATAAGAATCCCATCACTGTAGCATATGGCGCTTTTAAAAGCCTTTTATCGGCCTAAAGCCGTTCGGTTAGCATCCGGCACATGATATCGGGGAATGTGTCTAGAGTATTGCGTGCTGCGTCTTTCCAAACAACAGCCAGCATCTATAAACTAGTTGAACACTATGGAACACTGCTGCAAATACATCGCAAGCTTCTCCTCCCAAGCACCAAAAGGGATCGAATCTACCATCGCCGAGCATAAGGTGTACATAACATCCCCAGATCACTCACAGAACGATATCGTAGTTGTAATCATCCCTGATATTTTTGTAGGTGGTTGCTAGCTGCAGGGAATCCCTTTGACACTCCCACTCCGACTGCCAGGGATGGTCACTCACAAACACCCGCGTTCTCGCTGACGCTTACGCTGCACAAGCAGGCGTGCGTGTATACGTCCCAGACTTCTACGCCGGCGACCATGCACCATTCGACAAGACCGCACTGAAGAATTTGTGGGTGAGACACATTCTCATGCGCAAAAAATACTCAGACAAACTCCCCTTACAGCGACCTCAATCAGTTCATCAGCAAGCACCCCCCACGCGAGAAGCGCGACGAGGTGGAGCACGTAGCTAAAGCCATCAAAGAGTCCTCGAAAGCACACCGCTTGGCAGCTATCGGGTTCTGCTGGGGTGCCCCCTCTGCCCTCTACATGGGTCGTCAAGGAGGAGTGGCTGATGGCGTGTCTTTCGCCCACCCTTCGCTCGTTCAAGATGATGATTTTAGCGCTCTCGCCAAGCCTGCCATGTTCATCTGCGCGGAGCATGACCCCATTTTCACAAAGGAGATGGAAAACAAGGCGAGAAGTATCATGGCAGACAAGGCAAATACACAGGGTGATAACAGAGTTTACTCCACTTGGCACACCTTCCTCGGTACTCAGCACCACTTTGCCACTCGTGGCGATGAAGACGATCCTTACACCGCTCGCGCTATGAAAGACGCCCAATGCCTCGCTAGCAACTTCTTCAAGAGCTTTCGCGGGGATTAGCGGGGTGTTTTGATGAGACTACATCAATGAAACAATATGAATGAAGAATTAACAAGAAATAAATAAATCAACGACCACATAGTCATTCAAATGTATCAATCTAAGATAACTAAAATTTTCTTTGTCTCGGGTGTTAGAAAGTCACATTCATCAGCTTAAATATCCACGCATACATTCGCAGCCGAGACAGCCGACACACGGGACAATTGAGACTAACTCAAAATGACGTAGTGATTACCTAATCGCGGTTACCTTACAACGACCAACATCAAAATCAATCAAAATGGGAGACTGCTGCAAATACATCGGATCATTTTCCAAAGGCACGCCTAAGGGTATCGAGTCCACGATCGGCGGCTTGAAGACTTATATCGCTTCACCAAGCCACGAGCAAGGCGATGTAGCTGTGCTGATGATTAGTGACATCTACGGCTGGGAGTTTGTGAACTCGCGTGTACTCGCCGACACATATGCCCAAGAATCGGGTGCGCGTGTTTATCTCCCCGATTTCCTGGACGGTGAATATGCACCAACGAGCGAAGACGGCAAGAAGAATTTGTGGGTGTAGCGTGCTTCACTCTAAGCAGATGATCTAACCAGCCTCACAATTACACAGCGATCTCGGTGCATTCATCGGCCGCCACCACCCACGTCAGCAGAAGGAGAAGGCGGAGCGTGTTGCACGCGATATTAAGGCGACGAGCAAGGCGAGAGTGTTGGTTGCAGGTGGTTATTGCTGGGGCGCACCAGCTGCCCTCTCTCTCTGCCAGAAGGATGGCGTGGCAGACGCTCTCCTCCTCGCTCACCCTACTCTCACTGAAGATGAGGACTTCGAAAACCTCACCAAGCCTGCTATGTTCATTTGCGCTGAACACGATCCTATATTTACCCCAGAGAAGGAGGACGCTGCGAGAAAGATCACCGCGAAGAAGGCTAATGCTAACGGCGACGACAGAGTTTACTCCACTTGGCTCTCTTTCTTAGGAACCGGTCACGGCTTTAGCGTTAGAGGCGATGAGAACGACCCCTTCACTGCGAGAGCGATGCGTGATGCTCAGAAATTAGCTTGTAGTTTTTTCAAGACGATCTGAATGTGAATATAAATGAATAGATTGCTTTTTACGTAGTAGAGCAGACATAGTAAAAGCATGTAATCATTGATAAGTATTATGTCAAAGATGAAACATCAGACCGATTTAGTCAACACCAGCCTGCGTGTCCTTCCAAGCCATTCAATCTACAATGTGTTAGCTAATTCACCCACTAAACACCCTCACTCACATCCGAAACACGGTTCATAGTCGCCTCCAAATCCTTATCAAAGTTTGGTAAGCTGACAAATTCCCTTGCAGCCGTAAGTAATACGTGTGAATCCATCCTGACGTTGTGGTTCACCTAGTAGTAGTGTGTCAGAGAGGTTAAGTAAAACATCCAGACATACATCCATGCTGAGTATATTCAATCTATCAAGTGGTTCGAGGAAATCAGTGCGCGTCATGAGTTGGCGTGCTTTATAGAAGCTGACGTGAGGGCTTGCCGCGGGATCCATGTTGTCTGGTACAGTGCTCTCGTCATCCTCATCTTCACTCCCCACCGTTTTCTGCCTCGCCAAATAAGCCAACAGAGCCCAGCTGCAGCTCGACCACTTCTGCTCATCCATCACGTCATCATCCATATCTGGAATCAAGCCAATCTGCGATAACAGCCACGCTTTCTCAGTCTGGATGAGCTGGCGAGCAGCGCCGAGAATATCCACCTCGCGGGAAATATGGGAGATATGAGACATGCGTCCTCCTATAAGACTGTACACCTGCTCATACACGTCATCGGTGAGATCTGGCAGGCTGCGAACGAGTTTAGTGTCAATGTTGTAGTTGTATGCTGTCTTGCGCATGCGACGCATAGCGCGAATGGCATCGTCGCGCTGCAAATCGTGCACAGAGAGTATTTTCATCCGGTTAGCGTTCTTCTTGAGCTTGTCGAGCACCCAGTAGTCATCACTCGTGAAAACAAAGGTAGCTATGCCGCTCTCGGCCCACGATTCAGCGCGTTGTTGAAGCTGGTGTATCACTCCCACGCCCGTCTCGTCATTCTGAAGGAGATGGAGGTTGTTAAAGATGAAAACTATCGGTTTGCCGTGTTTTGAGCGGATTCGCATCGCTACCTTTTCGAGTTTGGACAGAGCACGCTCTATGTCGAGTAGAGGACCAGCGTCACGAGGCTCGCGGCGCTGGAAAAGCGCGCCGTAGAAGTCCTCAAGGAATTCGTAATTCAGCGCTTTGCCTACGCGTAGACGAAACACTTCTAAATCAGGGTGTGTTTCGCAATACGCGATACGATCGCTATTTGTCTCGAACATTGAATCTAAAATCATTGTAGCCTTGCCTGTACCCTTAGGACCGAGGAGGAGATAATACTTGCCCGGTGCACTACCCTCGATGATAGTCTTGATTATGGGTTTCTCGGGTCTATTAATGTGTATTGCATCGTCTGATAACCCACTCTCATCTGACATCTTGGCTAGCTCCGTCGCTGGATCGTAGCCAGGCGCGAATGCATCTTCCATTTTGTTGAGTACACTCCACTTGTACCACATTAAGTATACACCACCTGAGGCAAATATTACTGATAGCCCTAAAATCGTTGAGAGTACAGCTGCGAATGCTGGATTGCTGCTGAGTACATCTGCTAAAGACTTTTCCGAAGTTTCGCCCGATTTCTTTGAAGAATTATCCCCTTTAACCTCTACCTCACTCACGCCTGTCACCTCCGGACCTGGTGAGGGCTGTTGGTTGAATGGGTTTTCGCGGCGTAGGGGAGTATGTGAGAATGTGCGTGTAGACATGCGTGTAGAAGTGCGTGATTGTCGAGAAATAGAGATTGATTTACATCCGCGGATGAATTGGCTTGAAAAATTGAATCTTGTCAACATGATGAACGTGCAGATCAGATAAAGAAAGAAAGACAAAGTAAAACGTGGAAAACAAAGATGAAAATAATATTAAAGAGTGCAAAATAAAATATAAATATATTAATTGGCTGTTTTACGCGTTATCCTGCACATCTGCCAGCCTTTGTTTGATGATCTCTCTGAGTTTGACACCTTCCGACTTTTTCAAACCGTGGCCAGCTTTAATACCCTTTGCAGCTTTAAATAGACCCTTGGGATGGCTGTTGTTGTTGTTGCCGCTATCGCCACCCTTATCTTCCTTATAAATGGCGTCACCAAGCGTGTCTAGTTGCTGGGCTAGCTCGCGAGATTCTTCGGGGAGGTGGATATAAAACTCAGCTCGTTTAATTAGATACTCCTCGAACATATTTGCATTTCGACTGTTCGCCTTCCAAGCAGCAAGAACAACGTCACCTGCGAGTGGAACCAAACCAAAAGCCACAGATACGATATTGTTAAACCAAGCATGATTTATAATACCAGCAGGTAGATCAAGGTTTTTTTCAGCTACTCGGAGCACTAAAAAGTAGTTAAGGAGAGCGTCCTGTAGGTTGAGGTGTGAGTAATGACGTCATATAAGGATAAGTGGTGTGTTCGCTGTGCTGGATGTGCTGTAAAGCAGAAAACACGCTCAACACACTCGAAAATTTCAGAACCCACCAGAACATCACCAAATCCAGGAATGAGACCGAAAATAAAAGTGTATCCGAATTGTAAACCACACAAATTGAATCCCTTATCGAGGCGATAAGCTCTCTTTCTAATTTTGGCAAGAGTGGCTTGGTCTTTCTTCGATAAGCCGAGAGGGATTTCCCGCTTCTTGGTCTGTGCGTTGCCGCTGTCATCCGTGTACTCCTCGTATAGCGGATTCCTAGGCCCCAAAGCCGCAACCTTATCGAAAACGTACTTTCCAGTGACCTCGGCAACAACCTTTTTAACAATTGCAGACATTTGAATAAATTTGAGCTTATTTGGCCGTGATAGGAGTGGACCAACGAATAAAGACATCTTCTCTCCGCTGACATCATGAGCGAGTCGATAAATATAAATATTCCAGAGCGTGGCAGGCAGCGTAGCAGCAGCGAGAGTGAGGCGGGTAGCAGCAACAGCTACAGCGCCAGCAACAGCAACAGCCACAGCACCAGCGTCAAGGCAGCATTACCCACAAGATCACCATTCAGTGCGCAGCCATTCAGGGAGTCAGCCACACATCAAACATCCCCAACATCCCCAAAATCTACACCACCGCAGGCTCTGGCTATCCCACCGCCCAGGAGATTGTCTGGTAGCTTCGAGTTTAGTGGACAGCCATCGCCAGCAGCGAGCACAGGAAACACCAATGCAGCTGGAATATCGAACATGTTTAGACGCTTCTCATTTAAGGTGTGTCCTAGGATTATTACTGGTTTTTTTAACGCGTTTATAGGGTACAAATCAGCCAGTAGCGAATAATACACTGAACACCATCCCCGCAAAACAGCCACTGCAGACGGAGATAACACCCACTCGCCCGCAATCTCATAACAGAAGAAAGTCGGAGCAGAAGAGACCCGTATCTCCAATGGGTGAGCGTATCCTCCGCGGCAGCTTCGACGGCTCTGGATTTTGACGAGATGACAACGGAAACGACATCAAAGATAACGACGACATTAACGATAACAATAACGTACTCCATTTCTCCAAATACCCCTTGTATCTCTTGAGATGTCTTTACATCTCCCATTTCTTCTTGCATCCTAACCACCATCATCTTGTGTTGATCGTTTGCCCAATATGTCCCACAGGCGTGGCCATCTCTCACGCAAGATCCCAAACGTGAAACTCAAGCCACGGCCCGCTGTGAGCCTCAAGGATAGCCAGGCAGTTGTAGATGATGATCTACGCGATGAGGACGACGCGCAGCACACCTATCCAACTCCTGCCTCAGAAAAGCCGCTCACCAACTTTGTATTCTGCTCCACTGGAATTCTCAATCGCAGCGAACTCCAAAAGAAAGTAATCGAAATGGGCGCGTCGTTTGAGTCCTCGTTTACAGACAACGTCACTCATCTGATAGCAATCGATTTCGGCAGTCCCAAGTACAACTGCGCAGTGAGGCTCGGTGCTGTCGTGATAACACCGGCATTCATCGACCAATGCTATCTGGAATGGCTAGACGGTGAGAATGTCGACACACGTTCTCTTGCCCAGAAACACGCTCTCAAACCATTCGCCAACCTCACCGTATCTATGAGTGGTATCGGTGCTGGTCCCACTCGCCAACAGTTCGAGCGGTCGCTCATCAGCAACGGCGCAAATGTCTCGCGTGACCTCCACAAACAATGCACACACCTTGTCACTGAAAATACTACCTCTGCTAAAGTGAAATGGGCCAAGAATTACAACGCGGCTAATGCAAATACGCATAATATTCATATCGTTTGGACTGAGTGGATTTCTGCTTGTCAAAATATCAACGGGAGGCTGCCAGAAAGTGATTTTTCGGTTGATGGACAGAGACCGAATGCAGACGCATTCAGACTATCGCAAATACCTCAGCCACTCCTTCCTCACGACACACACGTCGCTAAGAAACGCAGCTTCGTCGAACAGCCCGGCAACGAGGATCTCGAGAGGGCCGTTGTAAAGAAGAGTCGCGTAGCGAAAGAGTCGCTTGTCGAGGGTATTCTATCCCAAGCGACGCGCGAGAATGAGGTCGATAAAAGCGTCAATGACGCTCCTCCTCCTGTCAAAGGTGCTCATGAGATACAGAGAGTACCGACAGCACAATCTGCTTCATTCCTCACCAACTCGCGTTCATTCAATGCCCCACAAAGCTCTTCCACTCACACACACTCCCACCAACCAGCCTCATCAGCTGAGCAGAAGAAAGTTTTTACCAACTACACATTCTCCCATCGCGGATTCGAAAAAAGCAAGTCACACAGACTGGACCTGGAGCTAGAGAAGTATGGGGCGAGTGTAACGAACAGTGTCAATCTCGCCGACCTCACCATAGTACCATTCAACAGCGGCACGACGTTTACGGCGCAGATGTCTTCACTCGCCGTAACGGAGTGTTGGGTGGAGCGATGCATGTATGAGGGTGTAATAGTACCCTACAACCGCAACCCTCTCTACCGACCCATAGATATGCCAGTAATAGCGCGTAAGTGGGGCTAACAAATCTAAGGAGCTTCCTACTAATAGCACTCAAAGCCGATTTAGCTTCCTCCATCTGCCTCACATTTAGTGGACTAGATGAATGCGAGCGCACGCACGTCGTTCGTCTCTTCAAGTCGTTGGGTGGGTGTGGGTTTTTTTGCGATATACACACTACTGACTCGCTACGTCTATCTAGGCATCCATACTAGGACTAGCTACCCGCGCGAAGTCACCCACCTTGTCTCCGTCATTCCGCCGCGCGGTAAGAGGTACGATCGCGCCGTCGAGTGGCGCAACCCTGTCATCGACGTGCGCTGGGTGTGGGAAATGGCTTCGAGTGGACACATGCCACCCCTCGCAGACTTTACGTGGGGGAAAGGCGAAAGGAGTGTTGCGGGTGAGAATAAGAAGGCAGAGGAGACTAACTTCCTTGCATCTGATGATGAGGATAGTGATGCCAAGATGAATGTTGGTGGGAATATTGGTTCTAATGACAGTGCAAATGTTAGTAATTTCAGTGGTCCACCGCCGAAGCAGATGGAGATGGAGATGGAGATGGAGGATAAGCAGCAACAGCAACAGTCGCAGCCAAAACCACACCACTCACAACACTCACCCTCCTCACATACCAACATCCCACTGCGCAAAACTCACTCGACAAATCCGTTCAAAATACGTGACAGCGGCGCTGGTCTCCACGACAGCATCCTCCAGCTGCTCAAACAGGAAGGCGAGAAGATCTACCCAGCTCTTGGCAAGACGAAGAAGCGGCCACGACTAAAACGTACCTCGACGGGTGACTCACGCGGGGGAAGTGAGACGCCAGCGCCTGTGGAGCAGCAGACGGATGAAGCGGGTAGTAGTAATAGTAGCAGGAGGGGTGGGGATATGGGCGATCATCAGAATTCAACTGTAGTCGCTAAACCAAAGCCAAAATCAACAACGTTGACATCCTCCCCTCTTTCCAGCCCCTCACCCCCACCATCCCTGTCGCAGCCACCGACACAGTCTCAGTCTCAGTCGAACGGAGTCGTCAACGAGTCGCTGCGCATTATGTACGATGATCCCAAGGCACGCAATGAGCGCAAACGCATTCTTCAGGCTCTCACCAATACAAACAGCAGCGATCCCCATAGTAGCAACAGTAATGGAAAGAGTAATAGCAATGGCATTAGCAGCGGTGGTAATGGAAACGGTGTTGAGGGCATCAACAGCCAAAGTAACAGCCAAAGCCACCCTAATGTCATCACAGGCGTGAGCAGGAGTGACGAGAACGAGGGCGACGTCATGTACAGATTTGCTAGAGAAGACTTCGAGAAACCAATTGCGGAAACTAGACCAAGAAGGGGCGCTGCGAAAGAGGGTATCGATAAAATTAATCAGCAATATGACCCCACGCAGCTGGATGAGTTTTGAGGAGCGTTTTAAAAGACGTTTGAGAGAGTTAAATGGCATTCTTTTGCATCTACCACAATATTAAGCTAAGATCCAAATAATCCGAGCACTATTTATCATTTGTTGTAATTCATATATGCATCCCTCTATCATCTCACCGATTATTACGCCAAGTTACATTTTCCTTATGCGCTCGCAGATCTGAAAATTTTATTGTTTCGGCTGCGTAACGGATGCGTATGCAATGTGTGGATAAGTCACAGCTCGCTTATCTACTCCACTTTTGCATAACCTCGCACCCTCGCACCCATGATTATCAATCCAAGACAGCATCTCCACCTGCATCGCATGGACGAGCAGAATGAGCACTTTGCCGTCCACACCCACCTCACGACGCTGATGCAGTGCTGGGAATGGCAAGCAGACTCCAAAGTGAAAGAAGAGGTTCAGAACATGAGGCTCAGGTTGGCGATAGTAAACCATAGGGCACAGCGTCACATTGCGAGCCACTCCTTGTTCTTCTCAAAGTGGAAACGTCTCGGTATTTGCTGCAACCTGCGCAAGAAATTGGTTGAACTCTTCCAGATGACTTCGTGGATTAACAGGACGAAATTCGAAAATCTCATCCGTCTCCTCGCTGAACGTCTCGTCACCGATTATTGCAGACGCCATTTTAGATATATGCCACACGCTCACCACTGCAATCTTATGCAAAAAGCTACCATGAAATCCCTCCTTCTGCGAGCTAAGCAGATAGCAAAAAGAAAATCGCGCGCTAGAGACCCGAGGTTGGAACTTAAAAAAGGAACCAAGATCAAGGGCGCTCTGATGAGGTCTATTATGTTTAAAAATGTTCCTCAGTACTTTGCCGCCGTTGGTAGCGCAGCTCCCATCATCCGCATTACAGGCCAGATCCCTTTTTAGACGTTCTAATGAGCATTATATTGTGTGTTTTTGCATATGTATTGTACACCTCTTTCTAATGTATTGTTATCCTCTTTGGCTCGGATTCTGGTGGGTGTCTTGAATATCTGAGCGTAAGCAGCCCATTCTCGTACGCAGCGTGGATATTATCTTCTGTAATGTGCTCGGGTAGCTTCCACGTCCTGCTCAGTGGTGTAGAAGGGCTGCGTTCGTTGATGACGCAATGTGACTTCTCGGACTTGTTTTCCTCGGACTTCTGCTCTACTGGTTTGGTAGCTTTTACTGTAATGCCGTGGTCGTGGATCGATATGTCAACCTCCTCCTTCTTGCACCCAGCTAGATCGACTCTCGCTTCGTATGAGTTGCCGTATTGGATCAAATCGAGTCTTCGTATAGCATGTCAGCAGAGATACAACCCGTACAGACTACCACTTACCTCGCTCTAGATGTAGAAGGAGTGCTGTTACGCTTCACTGGCGCATTCTCAGTAAAAAAGAAGTCAAGTGGGAAATTGCGTTCGCTTGGTTGATTGTAAAATATGGTCATTACGGTTTAATTTGATTTGTTGCTGATTACAAGCAGTCAACAGTGCGCTCCACCTTTTATATACGACCACAACATCTAGGACTTTCTAGCAGCTTCAGCGAGATAAGCAGGTGACTAAGCTCTGATGAGTAATTTAAAGCCAGCGTGAGCCATTCAGCAGTATCCTTTCAACTACTCAAACGCATGGCGGTCGTATACGAAGAGAGAAGTCAGGGATATTTTCACAAACGCATCACAAACGCAAAAGATAGAGAGAGCGATGCAATGTATTTTATAGTGACGTAGTGTCACTTATTGAATGCAGTAGCGGTATATATTGTAGTTTGATGTATTAGATTGATGTTGATGATGGACGTGTCTTTGCTTTTGCTTGCATCGGATAGCTGTTGGACGGCCCTTGTCTGTTATTTCATTCTCGATTCCGAGGCGGTTGCGGGTAGCTGCAATACGGGCACTGCTTGAAGAACGTTTCATTCCATTGGAGACAGCCGGTATTGCTGCAGCGCCATTGCGAGCAGTTTGAATTCCACTTGCTGATAGGGATAGGCTGGATTGTTAGCTATTGTTCTCTGTAATCGTTGCCAATAACACCCACTTGAGTCATCTTTTTCAGTTTCACTTGCTCGAGCACTTGTTCGATTTGTTTCTGGTGCGCTTGCGCTTGAAATGTACAAATTGTCTTTATGGTGGTCACGACCAAGAACTACCACTCAGTATCGCCCTGATTTTATAACCGCCCTGATTGATATTTTGATGGCCGAAGTACGTCCACGTCACAAAGCGTGACCGGTGTGATTATGTGGGGGTGTAAGCTGCTGAGCAGTGTTGTGCAGATGTCCTTTTCGAGCAATGTGCAAACTAGCTTTCATGCTTCTCTTGGCGCCTTTCTCTTATCAGATGACTCAATGCGATGACACAGGTCGTTGTCAATGCTGTGATTCTGACGCCATCAACTTTACTGAAAGAGCCCTTTTTGATGACTTTTACTCTGTTCCATTGCTTGATTACGCTCATCCTCAATTAACTTCAGGCACCCTCCCAAATAATCGGGCGGCATCATCAAAGATGCTCGGAGTTGAACTTGGTATACCGGGACCGAAATTAACTAAAAAGCTACACTAAATCTATAGCGCACTCCTCAATTTACTCCGGACCGAATCCGCAAACAAAGATGGTGCCATCAGATAGCTGATATCTGATCTTTAATAAATTGAAAGTAATTCAGTGACATTGGATGGACTTTGGAGATCAAGGGATCTATGAACTGGTAGAAGACCTTTGATAATGACGATCTTTGCCTCACTAGATGTAGCTATTGACTCAACACCCAAGTCTTGCTCACTCATGTGGATTGATGTATTATTTTACTGTTTAGTCTTAATTGCGACTAAAGCGAGTCAATCCTCTCACCAGAAAGACGCACAAGTCAGCACAAGCGATTAGAGTCAACTTTATATTAACATCTATACAAAGAATGGTATGATACATTCAATTACTCTAAACTCTAAGCTGTGAAAAAGCAAATAGAGATAAGACAAAGTGTTTTGCCTTGGGTTTTAGCTAATAGAACGGGACTCACAAACGTCGATAATGATGTATTTAATCTTGGTATTTCCGAGGCTGTTGACAGGGTGGCAAGATTGCCAAACCTTGAAGAGATCTCTCAGTATCAAGAAGTTACTTCCGAAACGCATGCAAGACATGCTCGAGCTTCTTTGGATATAGTTTTAGATGTTCTCAAGAAAATGTAAAACTCCTAGTGACTTGCTCATTTGATTTTGTAATGCTGCATTTTGGTTTTACGTGTTTGGTTTTTAATTTTTTGTTAAAGTATATTGAATTGATTTCTGTACATATAGTGAAAAATATTATAATTATACATAACTATACATGGCTATAAATGGCTACAAACAGCTATACAAATACCTTTTTATCGATAAGCTTCTGAGAGCGCGTGACGGGATGTCACTTCGGGAATGGTTAGCTTAGGTTAGTCATGCACAATGCCGCGCATGTGCACTCCCTTTCAATTGGGATGATAGAAGATTCGCTATTTACACCTAATTGGCTTAGCTGCGTTTCATTACTATGTATTTGAAATGACTATAATCTTCACTACTACTACATCAAGCGCCTAAAGCAACTAATAACCCTTTTCATTAACGATCAACCTCACCAAAGACTAAATCGCTCGTCCCTATGATCGCGCTGAAAATTTTCAATAAGCTATATGTGGCTATGGAAGACAGTTACTTACACCATGTCAGGGAGGAAATGGTGGCGCGACATAAAGTCAGCACCAGCCAAATGTGCAAAGCCAGGCGCGCGGATCTTGCACTTGTAAGGTCTGTTGGTGCCGTCGCTGATGAGATGCACCGCCATTTCGCCCTTTGGCGCCTCGATAGCAGAGTAAGTCTCACCCGCAGGCACTGCATAACCCTCCGAGAAAAGCTTGAAGTGGTGTATCAAGCTCTCCATCGACTCCTTCATCGACGCGCGTGGTGGAGGGACAATCTTGTGGTCGTCGATCTTGTACGGTCCAGGCGGCATCTTGTTGCAACACTGCCCGATGATTCTGATGGCCTCTCTCATCTCCTGGATACGGCAGATGTAGCGGTCGTAGCAGTCGCCGTTCTCCCCGACCGGTATGTCAAAGTCGACCTCGTCGTACTTCTCGTATGGCTGCGTCTTGCGCAGATCCCATGGGATACCGGAGCCACGCAGCATCGGGCCTGAGAAACAGTAGTCGAGGGCCTCGTCCGCTGTCACTCTACCGACACCGATGGTACGCTCTTTCCAGATACGGTTGCCGGTGACAATCTCTTCAATCTCGTCAATGCGCGAGCTGAACTGGGTCGCCCACTTGTGAATGTCCTCGAGGAGGCCGTGGGGAAGGTCGAACGCTACACCACCCGGGCGGATGTATGCGGCATGGAGACGCGCGCCGGAGACTCTCTCGTAGAACTCCATCAGCTTCTCTCTCTCTTCGAAACCGTAAAGGAAGGGAGTGAGTGCACCGACATCCATGGCGTGTGAGAGGACAGCCATGATGTGGTTAAGAATGCGGGTGATTTCGGAGAAGAGAGTGCGAATCCACTTTGCGCGCTCTGGGACATCAATGTTGAGCAGCTTCTCGACGGCTTTGGTGTACGAGAGTTCGTTGGTCATGGCGGAGGAGTAGTCGAGACGGTCCATGTAGGGGAGCGCCTGGACGTAGTTCTTGTACTCCATCAGCTTCTCAGTACCGCGGTGGAGAAGACCAATGTGTGGATCGGCTCTGAGGATTTCTTCACCGTTAAGCTCGAGGATGAGACGGAGGACACCGTGGGCAGCTGGGTGCTGGGGACTGTGTGGTGGATGTGTTAGCGTGTGTGTGTGCGTGTGTGCGTGTGTAGCCACCGCAACTCCAAACGCACCCAAAGTTAACTGCACAACTAGTGAGCTATTTGAACACAAAATGAACATTATACGCACCCGTAAAATGACGTAAATCTGCGTCTTTTCTGTCGCCGCTCTCTTTGAGAATATCCTCTGCACTTAAATCGTGCATATCCTCAACAGTGGCAGAGCTCGAGGCTCTGCTCGATGTACTGAATCTACTGAGATTGCTGGTAGCAGCCACTGGCTTTGGAAATTTCAAGCAATTCCTTATTGAGTTGAAACGAAGCATTTGGTGGTGTTGACGGTGCACAAGTGTGCTAGCCGCGGATAGCACAAGATCATAAATTTTTTTGAAATATTAAATACATTTATTACAATAGCTATAATTAAATCAATTGCCTTGCTTAGCTTGACTCAATTGGCTCTTTTTTTCTGCGAATAACTTCGATTCTGCGACGATGATAGCTGCGAGTGGCGTGTTAGCTGCGAGTATTTCTCTTAAAACATCAATCTCACCCTCTTGCACCCAGTCGCGCCTATAAAAATCTGCTCTGCGCATCTCTTCCACCGGCACATTGGCATGCTCTGACCCCAGTATCAAATCGAGATCTCTTGATTGGCTATTGATCCAATTCTTGACAAATGCTGCTGAATCGTTACTAAACTCATCCAAAAAGTCCCTCTTAACGATAGCATTCCTCACTGCTATCGCTGTCTGAGAAATCTCCTCATCCAGCTGTGCAATCCTTTGAGACAAATCGTGGTTTGGCATGTAAGCTGTGATTGTATTTGCCATCTTCTGCTTGATTGCATCTTCAACGTCGATATTGATATCGAATGCATGCTCTGACTGTGTTAGCTCTTTATCCACCCTACCATCGCTGACGTCAGTCAACCCTACCACACAAATAGTCCACTCACATGACCGTATACTCCAGTACAACTGGCTCAACTGGAATCAAATACTTTTGTACGACATCAGGCAGTTCATGGTAGTAGATGGAATCAGCATGGAATATCTGCCACTGTGTGTCAGCGTTCTTCACTCACATCCACCTCACCCACCTCCTTCAAATTGGAATCGGCTTTGATAACCCTTCTATCCTCTTTATCGAGTAAGTTATTTTGCTTCACGTATGCCCACATGTGAGTGATAATACCAGCCCTGGAATCCTCTTTGATCCCGAGCAATTGTGAAAGTGGTTCACTTATACCATACTTTTCAGGCATATGATCGAGGTGGAGGATTATTTTGGCCTTTGTTGCCTGATCGCCCCTCCTTTTGATCTCAAAACCATCCTTGTCACTCTCACCGGGCTGCTTATGCCATTCAACAATCGATGACTCTGGGTAAATTGAAGAGTCACGATCAAATTCCACAATCATTGATTTCAAGAGGGATGAAAATTTCTTCGGGGCGCCTCTGTTTGCTTTAGTTGTAGTCCCATCGAGCAATCTTCCCTCAATTTTAAACGTCCAAGCTGGAATACCAGCGCCTGTTTCGAAATTGACCATCTCTCCAAACTGCTGCTGTTCCCGCTGCTGCCATGGTTGACCGGAGGCTGTATTTGAAAGGAAAACGCGTAGCTGCCTGGTAGTTTTCGCAGGTCTTTGCAGACTATCATGAATCTGTGCACGCTTATGAGCAGCAATCATATCCAGTCTCTTTTCAAAACGAGTGAGATCGTCGTACATCTTTGATTGCTCTCTGACTGATTCGATGGCTTGGACGGAAGGAGGAAGTGATCTGTCTGTTGGTTTCTTCTTCTTGTACTGCTTCAGAGCTTCCTCCAAATCTGATTGACGCTTCTTCGATTGGCTGTGATTCGTTGGAGTTGTGGTAGCCGTGTACATATTCGCATGTTGCGGCTGTGGCTGTGGCTGCTGCTGGGGCGAGCCAGTAAAAGCCATTTGCTGATAAGGATTCATTTTTGAATTACGTCGATGCGTCGTTGATGGTGGTACAAGTGGAAGCTGCGTTGACCCGAACAGCCAACGCGGTGGAGACAAAGAAATGTCCACATTGACGCTCAGTTCAGATTTGATGGTTAGAGCGCCTTTAGTGTACACCAACCACCGACTCACATCCCCCAGAAATCATTCAAGCCTTGCAAGGCTTTCACCGGGTATTGCCAGGAAGACAAGGACATTACTGCTCTGTCTTTCGATGACACTGGCAGCACCTGCGTTACGGCTTCCTCAGACGATACCATACATCTCTTTGACACAAAGCTGGGAAAACACCAGAAGTACTTCAGAAGCGGTAAATATGGCGTGGATTTGCCTTGCTTCACCCATTCAAGCTCAACGATTATATATGCATCCACCAAGCAAGACAACTCTATAAAATACCACAGCTTGCATGATAATAGCTACCTACAATACTACAGAGGCCACCAAGGTAAAGTTAACTCCCTCGAAATGAGTCCGACAGACGATATGTTCTTATCGGCATCGAGTGATGATACTGTGAGGCTTTGGGACTTACGCACCCCTCAATGTCAAGGGTTGCTTCACATTAAGGGCAACTCTATAGCCGCGTGGGATCCTAGTGGTCTTTGTTTTGCTGTCTCCCTTTACTCAGAATCCATGATCCTCCTCTACGATAAGGGTAGGTATGACCAGGCTCCTTTCGCCACTTTTGCTCTCAGGGACAGAGACCACAGAGGCAGGGATATCCGTCCTCACCCTACTTGCATCAAATTTTCATCAAACGGCAATTACATCCTCGTCGGTACAAACTCCCCCTATCATTACATTTTGGATTCTTTTTCTGGCCAGATTTATTACAGACTAACCGGACACGAAACCTTTACGAGCGTAAATATCCAGCGAGACATGCTGAGTTGGTCGCCTGATGGAAAATTCGTCGTCGGCGGTTCTAAAAATGGTAAGATTCACGTTTGGGAGGTACCACCGACTGAACCGAGAGATGCTGCCATCAAGACACTCTCCCCAATACACACCACTGATAATCATAAAAACACTCCAAGTAAAATTGTCGCTTTCAATCCTCGCGTTGTTATGCTCGCGACTGCTGCTTCATCTGAGTTAGCCTTTTGGCTGCCAATGCAGGACAGTCGCCGTAGCAGCCATAATTAGCGTCTGTCAATCGCATTCTTTATTTATGTACAGTTAATTCAATCATTCATAATAAACGTAATAGTCATAACCTAAACTCTACCGCTTTGGATAAGATCTTGGACGAGTTTGGGGAGATCAGCGTAGAAGTCTTTTGTTCCTCTCTGAGGCTTCCAGCCGAGCGAACGAGCTCTAGTTGCACGACCTCTGCAATTACTACCAAAGTACCACAAAGCATCAAAACGATCAAAGTCTGCGCTACTGAAAGACTCTACATTCGCAGAAGAGATGCGACCGTGCTTCGAGAGTGCGTTTGCCATCACGCCAACAGCCTCCGAATAGTAGTAGTGATCAGTAACACCGAAAAAGTACGATCCGCTCTTATCCGATGAGATCTTCCCCTCAATTGCATTTCTCAGTATGAGCTGGAACAGATCGACAACTAAACCTGTCAGCGAGGTCACATCATACCTAGTTCCAACTTACGCTCGTATATATGTACATTGGGCCAGATATTCTTTCCATCTCCAACAACTTTTGCTTGCTTCAACTCAACAAAAATCGCAGCGAGAGATGGCATCTGCACAGAGAAGCAATTGCTTATCCCAGCTTTATAGAGGGCATGGTCGACTGCTTGGCCCCACACAGTCGAAGGATAGACTATATGTAGCTGCATTTTATCGCTGTGCTCGAGGAGAAACTCATCCACATCGCGATGGACTTGAGAGGTGGGGAGAGTGTTGATATGTTGAGAGTCGCTGTCGTCGTACGTGGTATGCTGGTCGTGGAGTCCGCGTGCATCGTCGACGAGTGCACCCGTACCAGATACGTGTATATAGATAGCGCTTTTCCCCTTGCCTTTCTCAATGCCACTGACGATGGCCTTCGTTGAGGGCATATCGTCGGCAGAGTTGGCAGTGTGGATGACGACATCCGCTTTCTTTGCCTCATCTTCTATCAAATCAAACGAATTGTTGTCGCCGACAACTGCTTCGATGTTTTTGAATTGATTCAACTTGCTCGCCTTGTCAGTGGAGCGTGTGAGTGCTCTGTAATTAAAGCTAGGCCATTGATCTGTGAATCTTGCTAGTATACTGCCGCCAATGTATCCAGTTGCGCCTGTGAGAAAAACTTGAACCATATTGTGAATAGACTGAGTGGTGAGTGGTGGTAAGTGGTGGAGTGTGAGGAGTATCAAATGGATTCCTATGACACCATTACATAAGCATCAGCATGATCGTAAGCGACATCGTTCTTGCTCAGAACGGATATTGAAAATAGCCTTTCCAAATCAGCGTCTCGGAACTGCTTTTTTCTGGCGATCCTTTTCCTTTACCAACAACCGCAACACGATGATGAAATACAAAGACGCCCAATCGCTCGAGTACAAAGCTCAAGTCCCTTCGTTTATACGCAAAATGAAGGGTGAGCGAGTGGAAGAAGATGAGAACGCAGATGGCGACGTAGGTGATATTGAAGAAGTCGATGAATTTGGCAGATCCCGTCAGAAGCGCACAGAGCACATTGAGCACGAGGAGGAGCAGGACGAGAGTGATCCTATCAAAGCGCTTATAAAGGATGGAGCACAGATAGACAATTTGGATGTGTTACAAACGGCGGAATCACCAACGCAGCAGGAATCACCCAAGAAAACATCTTCGGTAGGCCAGGAAGGCGTTAACTTTGGCAGCCAGGCAAAGAAACGCAAGACAATTCTCGTTGATAACACTTCCTCTCCTCAACTTTCAACTTCAAAACAGTCAAAGAAGAAATCGAAACAAAATAAAGGATTGCTTTCGTTTGAATGAAGTTGCTTATAAAGGATGATAGGCACGGCCACTCCTCAAATGAGAGGATTCTGTTGGATTTACAAGGTTCAATTGAGGTTGAAGACGGCGTCGATAAGGTGGACGTGGGTAACATTGATATGAGTAATCCTGTGAGTGGAAAAGATGCTTCGAATTCACGCGTTTAACTTGTTTCTCATAGAACTCACCCGTTCTTCTCATCGGTCATCATCGAATACAAGGCAAAGTACACAAATTGGAAAAACCACTAGCAATCCTACAAAAGGGTGATAAAAATTATTACGTTAAGAATTTAATTTACAAAACACTTTTATTCACTTCAAGACCTTCTTATTAGTGTACTATTCACCGATGTAAATGCTTCTCCTTTAAGAAGAATGTTGGCACAACGGATAAGGTAATGAGTGCACCGGAAACACCAAATACCAATCCAGGATGTTTGGACACGCTAGCTGCAAATATGCCACCTAGCGCGATAGGTGAGAGTACCTGTCCGAGCGCGTCAATGACATACAGTGCACCCAACGTAGCAGCTCTATCGCGCTTGTGAGGTGCGAATGCAATCATCAGTGCTTTCAGAGCAGGCAACGCACCACTTCCTACTGACAGACAGCATATCATAACTGCCACAACTGACGCATTGCTAGCCAAGCCAATTCCAAAGGTGAGTATGGCATCGAGTGCAAACGATATTTTCACCACCAGCACTTCAAAATAGCTAGCCGGTTCCTTGACATGGTCAATCACTTCTTGTTCTTGAACACGGTCTTCTGTGCCATTTTCGACATGCTGACGATGTACCGACCACTCTTCATAGCTCCTCTTGAGGAAAGGCAGCGCGAGCGGGAAAACAATCAGCAAAAATATTGCCTTGAATCCTGTAAGCAAGGATAAATAAAACCCTGTCTAATGCGCCAATGTTAATTTGCTCATTGCTTGCAGCGAAACATCGCACTCACCCTGCTGGTGTCAAACTTGAATCTCTCTCCGAGATATTGAATCAGAGTTTTATCAGTGAACGCCGATCCTGACTGCAGAATAAAGACACTCAGGCAAAGCAAAAGTGGACCAGCATTCGTCTGCCCTCTGCTCCTTCCGAATATAATAGACAGTGGTCTGAAAAAGTCTTCAAGAGCCATCTTGAAAGTCTTTGTAACTTGCTCGACATCCTGCAGCTCCAAATGTCCGTTGTGAGGGGTGTCTTTGATGTAGAAACGCAGGTATAACGCGCACAGTACATAGATGACGAAAGAAAAGTAGTACGGCGATAAGAAATTACCAGTCACAGCTGGCAAGTATCCTCCGAAAGCAGAAGCAATAGTCAAACCTAAGAAAGCTGTACCTTCGAGATAAGACAGTTTCGTGGTACGATCGCAAACGCTAGTGATGTTGCTAACGAGGGTGGCCATTGCAAATCCAAAGGCAGCTTGACCGCCGAATGCAGAAGAAATTGCGAAAGAAATCATCAAAAGAATGCTGATAGTTGGAGTGGCGTGTATGGCCAACGGGAGAGTGATGGATGCCACTAAGGCCTGTGCTATGATGGTATAGAGGACCTTCTTCACGCCAATCTTGTCGAGCATCGACGTAGTGACAATTATCGAGAGCACGACTGGCTGGATTAGTTTGGACGGTGGTGGTGGCGGCTGCACGCACCCATGATACTATTTATGGATCCATACGCGGCAACGATAGACGCGGATAATTTCTGTACATCCTCCGCGCCACAATCGTCAGCACCCTTCACGCTACACGTTATACGCTTTATGCTGTCTATCGTTGACGGCAGAATCTCCTGCTGCGAGAAAGAAAATGCAAAAATCAGCGGCAATAGCCTTTTAAATGAAATTGAGGGATTTTCGTTTTTAGACAACAGCGGCACCGATTCGGATGACATTCTTAACGCAAGACGTTGAGCCGGCAACAAGGGCATGTCAATCGCAATTCGAGCAGATGAGCCAATCGCCGTCGAAGAAGAAGTGAACAATATAAATCGCGACGATCCGATTGTTGTTGATAACATGCCACACATACAAACCAAATCGAAGCCTTCACAGGTGTATTAGTAAGTGTTTATGTAAATATCCTCACTATCACCCTAAATCCTTAGTCTCTGGCCTTGCTACGGCCTCTACGCCATGGCAGTCGGCATGACATTTGCGCCGAATCTGGAAGTGCGGTCCAAGATAATCTGCGAAGGCTACAACACTCCCAACTGCCAAGAAGTCCCCTCATTCAAAAACGATGTCGCAGATCTCACGATAAAACTTTCACTAATCACCGGCATTTTGGCCTGTTTAACGACACCTTACTGGTCAAGTCTCAGCGACAAAATCGGCAGACTACCTGTAATCACGCTCACTAGCGCCGGATACTTCATATGTAACGCCATTAACGCGTATGTCTCAACAAGGCTCAACCCGAGTGAGATGTATTTGCTCTACGTGAGTGCAGCATTTGATGGCATCTCTGGTAGTCAAAGCACAGTAATGGCTATCAGCCATGCTTATGCTAGTGATTGCACGGACAATGGCAGTAGAGCTCACGTTTTCTCTCAACTGATGGGTGTGTTATTTCTAGGCGTCGCTGCTGGTCCTGCTCTTGCCACTTTCGTTACTAGGTACACGCGCAGTTTCGAACATGCATTCATTGCTGCAGCTGTTGCATCGATTTTGATGCTGGTCATTTCACTCATTATTCCTGAATCTTTGCCTAAACAGAAAAAAGAGCATATTCATTCACAGCAATCTACACACTCCATGCACTCGTTGTTTAGAACACCCTCCGTCCTCGACAACTTCAAGAAACCATTCTCGATCCTCGCTCCACGTACAGATCCAGACGATAAATCAATCAATGTCAACCTCCTAGCACTCAGTGTTGCATACTTCCCCATAGTACTTGCTATAGGTGCTGTGCAGATCAAGTTTCTCTACACCAAATTCAGATTCGACTGGGACGTTAGCCAGTTGGGTACTTTTATAGCGTACATTGGCACAGTTAGGGCTTTAGCACTACTAGTAGTAATTCCAACAACCATCAAAACCTTAAGACGCTACCTCAAACCAGCAGTTGAGTTGCCGACTACAACGATTTACGAAGACGAAGATGAAGATACCATTAACGAGGACTTGCTAGCCAAGTACACAGATCAAGGTGAAATCAAATTCGATTTGGTCTTGTTGAGAGTATGTTTGATCGCAGATTCATTGGCGTATGTCGGTTTGGCGTTGAGTGGAAACATTTTCACTTTCGCTGCATTTTCAGCAGTCTCAGCTCTCGGCGGTGGTGCTAATCCAGCTGCCATCTCTAGCTTAGCGCTATTACTGTCACCGAACAAATCAGAATCCAGTGGCGCTGTCCTCGGTGCCTTTTCCAGCGTTCAATCTGCAGGTGCTCAAATTATAGGACCTGCTCTATACGGACTGATTTACTCACATTCCCCCAATTCACTATTTCTAGTAGTTATTGGATCAACATTTTTCATCTCTTTGGCAGCAACTTTCTTTGTCAAGTATTGTTAGTAGTATTTATGTGACATCTTAATGAATGTATTATAACGACAGTTGAGTTCTTACAGATATGAATAAAAATATATAGACGAAAAAATTTCTGCTTGGGTGTAATTTCAAAGAAGTATGCTACTTAGACCTTTGACTTTTATCTAACATGATTATAAAGAGACTATAAAAACATCATAAACCTTAGCTAGCTGCTTTTCAAAGCCCAATCACGAGCAAAGATTGAGGCTTTAAGGAACTTTTTGTTGCTATACTTCTTGTAACAGAATTGACTATCGAAGCGTGGTTGGCATAGTGTTTCGAGAATGTATTCAGTTGGCTTTTCTAGCTGCTTCTCTGAGAATCCAGAGTAGTAGACGAAATCTTCATTCCAATCACCACCCAACATCAATCTAGAGACGTACATTCCGACGGCTGCAGTGAGTGATGGACGAGCTCTAAGGAAACGGTGGTCAAGCAAAGCGACCTCCATGATGAATTTTGATAATGTGCGCGTTTGTATATCATAATCATCAGCTTTGCTTATCCGGCGCACCCATGTGTACGGTGATGAGTATGAACTGACAGAGAAATTGAGAGTTTGAAGAATAATTCTTTCGCCCTTTAATATTTCTTCTCTTGTGTAACCATTTTCAGTCATGTAAACGAATTCATCAACTGAAGGTGCAAGGATTTCCTCATATTTTGCAGCTATGAACATTGCAGTAACACCAACCAACTGCAACTTGACGAGACTAACCACCCTAACGGAAAGAAATCTATCGATAATGTTTATAGCAATCCATAATGTTTCAGGTAACATATGATACCTCAAATGCACCTGCAAAAGCCAATCTATCAGCGTAGAGCGCATTGACCACTCAATTTCAGATTGGAAATCCATATAGTGAGGATTTGCCATAGTTTCTATCTCTTGTTCGCACATATAGCTGAATATTTCGGGAGCGTATTCAGCCACCATTGTAGTATCCCAGAAATCAAGATCCTCCTTATAATTAGACTGAACATGGTTTACGTGCTCGATAAGAGACGGCACTTCAACATGTCTCATAACCCAATCATCCTCATCAATATCGTCCTGTTCCATTACATCGGATTCATTATCACCGAGGTCCTCCTCGTCAGCTTCCTCGATATCAAATTTGTGGTCGTGCACTTGCACTTCGTCCTCTTCATCGGTGAGATCAATATCGGGTGGACCGTCGTCAACGCCGTCGTCGTCAGTCATCTGATCATCTTCGTTGTAGACGTGCAATTTCGAGGATGGTTGTACGATACGCAGTTTAGTCTGAGGGATGTTGCTAGCTTCGCTGAAGCTGCTTGCTCGTTTATTTGAGACAGGTTTAGATTCTGTGTTGGTGTTTGTGGGTCTCTGAAATAAGTGAAACTTAGATAAAAGAGAGAAACTTTCAAAATAAACACACCTTGCCTTGATTAGACACATCACCAAACGCTGATCTCTTGCTATTTACGGATATCGAATTTGAGGATTTGGCGGAGCGTAAGGGCATTCCACCAGCATTATGCTTCGATTTGAGCTGCTGGCTTAGATTATTCTCATCAGCAGTTTTGGTTCTTGATGCATTCAATCTGCGTGAGTTATTTACTTGAAGCTGTCGTTCGTGAGCCTAGCGACGACGCGGATTGCAGTGTACTCACGCGGGAAGCCATGGTTTTTTACAAGAATATGAAAGCGTTGTACTATCTGAAATAGATTTAACGCGTTTATTCTTATCTTTGAATGGATTTTTCTTGGTGGTAGGTTGGCAAGATAGTCCTGGCCGGTTCAGTTGATCTGGCACCCAAAATGGAAAACGATCAGCTCCGCAGGTGTCCTAGGGGGCTGTTATAGATGGGCAGCAGTGTTCACCTTTTTTTCACTCCTCCCAATACACATTCATCCTAATCCGTACATTACGCATACATACGCGCTTATGCGCTTATTAGGTAATATCAAATTAAATCAATATTATACGTCCGTCTTTACAAACATACTTAAAACTTTTACACAATTTTCAATCTGCCCGACGCTCAACTCATCCAAGAAGTCGTTACATACGAGGTTGACGACTTCAAACGCCTTTTTTATCTCAGTTGGCTGTTTGCTTTGTGTACTTGTTGCTAAAATATTTAAAACACTATCCCATTCAATTACCAAACCGTCTCCGGCGCTCTCCAGGCATTTGTGTAAAGTGTCTAACCCTGATTCGCGTATTGTCTTGAGAATATTGTTAACCGAATATCCTCCACCTTCCAGATTAAGACTAGAGAGATCTTTCAGAGCGTTTAATACACTCTTCTGTATAGCCGCCTTGTCAATCTTTTCATTCTCTTTGAAATCACCTTGCGCAGCACTCAGTCCGCCGATGAGCAATCTATTCAATACTTCCGAAGCTTCCACACGCAGTATGCTATCGAATTCCAATATATCTCCACCAACCACCATCAATAAAGTCTCAATAACCATTAACCATCCTCTCTGTGTCCCATTTTTTTGTTATCACTGATGACATCATTTAGGGGAAATCACTTACAGCATCTCCAATCATCAATCTGCGCAAATTTAGCTGTCCAACTACGTCGATTTTTGATATTGCGAATACAGAAGACCTCACTTCTTTGCCCCCCGAAGCTCTATTACCTTCAATTGATGTGCGTGTACTCGATCTGGGCGATTTCGCTGCCGCGTTTACTCCATCTCCCACGCTCAATCGACAAAGCGCATGTACGAAAATCTCTAACGACCTTTCGTTGAAATCAACGCTGTGCTTGAATATCTCTTCTATATTATCATATAACAGTCTAGCGTCTGATGAATTTTGGGCAATATTTACCGCAACATTATCAGCAATAGCCGTAGTAGTACCTTGTTCAGCTGAAGGTATGTACTGCTTCTGCTTTCTCTCATAATCCAGATGAGAGTCAAGAACATAGTGTGCATTCTGCAACGTTTCCAACACATCAAACCAAGAATCACCTAACAGATTCGACAGTACAGCTGTGAGATTGATCAGAACGCCAAGACATATGTGGTTCCTGTTCGATAGTCTTGGCGGTGGGTATGAGAACGTAGACGATGTCGGTACAGTCGCTGTAGTTGGAGTCATGCCTATACTCATGTTCTTGCTCATACTCTCCAATGAGGGGCTGCCTATATCGCTCCTTCTTTCGTTCCACCTCACTATCGCATTAATGGCCATATTCGGGCATGACAAGCCGTACAGCAATCCCAGAAATGCATTGCGTGAAACTTCCAGTCCCAGCGTACCACTAACAACGGCCATATTCTCTACGCTTTTTATACACTTGACGAATATGTCGTCATCTATTTCACCATTGAGGTATTGACTTAGAGTTGCGATAATAGGTGGCCACGAATCGACAATCATTTCTTTGGCCAAATTTTCACTATTCACGATTGTTTTGAAGACATTGCATACGTCCAGTATAATAAGCAGTGCAACATAGAGAGAGCTTACATCACTGATGGCCGGCGCGTCGTGTTTATCCCTCTGATCCATCATACGCAATTTTATTTTGCGATCAGCACTCAGCTTGAACTGTCGCTGAGAGAAATGTGTGGGTTGATTTGCAGTGTTGGTACCGACCATCGCTGCTACTTCTCCAACATAACTATACGAAGATGCGTCAACTGTAGCAGGTTCCTTGGGTATGTAGCGTGTGCCCAGCCCTGACATGTCACTATTATGTCCCATAACGTGTGCCTTCTCACCAACAAATCTCGCTATTGCCGTGAGAAGGCTGTTAAATATATCTTTCCCCAACTGCTGGTATTGATTGATAACGATTGCTCTATTGGAAAATAAAGACTGTGTGACCTCGAGACTGATACATTTCATCCAAGATTGACCATCATTTGATTCCAGTATCTGGATGAGATTAGTCCAGATCTCTCTACATTCTTGAACCATATCATCTAGAAAACCATCGACGAGTATCTGTGTGATTTGCATAAGTCTAATTCCGACGGCGAACCTCATGTGCTTGTCGTTAAGCATTGACTGTATGATGGGATATAATTGCTTCTTGACAAGGTAAAGTAAAGAGGGATGAGTTTTGAAGAGGTGAATATGGTTTTTGAGACAACTCTCTACCAAGTCTAATGCTGAATCTGTCGGTAAGCGACCTATATTGATGTAGCTTGGTAATTTCGTCCCGTTCAAAAGTGAGATAGCGTCTGCAAAGAGTAAATGAGCTGCAAAGGCATTAGGTGCAACAGGTACACTCGTTCCATCTTCTAAATCAACAAAGAGAGATGGCCGACTGTCGAGGATGCTCTTGTCGAGCTTGTCTTCCTCCCTTACTCTCTCGAAGACGTTCGAGACGAGTTGCATGAGAGTTGCAGAGGCTGTACTGGAGACAACAGACATCTTTGAGTCTTGCAGTCTGAACGAAATGACAAGACATTCAGAAATCTCGTCAGCGTGTAGATCAGACGTAGTGTTGAAAAGAGAGAGTAGAATCTGGAGTATTTTAAGTTGAATCTCGAAGCCTTTTGAGATTAGTTGGCGTATGATAGCGATAACGGTGCTAACGACGGGCTTTATGGGGTGTGTTTAGATAAATGACTATGTAGACCTCTTTCGAACGCACCTGTAAAACTAGTTTGAGATTAATGAGCCTTGATAACGCGGATAAGGAGAGGGTGATGATGGAAGACGAGCTAGTCTGACAAGCCAAAACGATAGGTTTAATTAGGAGATGTGAATGCTCTTCGTCGATTTGATCACGCTGGAGTATCTCCAAAGCCTTTTCAACAGCCTGGAAAGTGTTAGAGATGAGTTGAGATACGCCAGCCTCAGCGCCCAACTAACCTGCTTCACGTTTGGAAATTTACGTTTCGTGTCATTTCCGAGATTTTGTAATTCATTTCTTAGTAAACCAAGCGAAGTGGTGGACATGGACGTTAGAACGAACAATCATGTCAGCGGGGTTGAGTGCCTCAGAAACGGCGGAGATCGACAAGGAAGTATCTAGAGAAGCGCAGCGTATAAATCAAGAATTGGAAATAGAGCGTATACTTAAATCATTCAAGCTTAATCCATTTGAAGTACTTGATATCGATTATGGCGTCGATGATAAGACTATTAAGGCAATTTACAGAAAGAAGTCCTTGCTCATACACCCTGATAAAGTAAAGCATGAGCGTGCGGTCGAAGCTTTCGATTTGCTGAAGAAAGCCGAGGCTGTGCTTAGTACTCCGGAAAAGAGGTACAAAATAGACTGCGTCGTCTCCGATGCAAGAATGTTCCTCATAAAGGATCTCAAGTTACCACTGGGTGTACATGATGATCATCCATCGATTAAGGAATTGCATCCGCCGTTTAAACTCCAAGTCAAGGAGAAAATGAAACATTTGATGGTTGAGGATGAGTTGCGGAGGCGAAGGTTGGTTGATGCTGCCTATATACAACACTTTCTAACATTTCCCAAGGGCTATCAAGACACAGCTAGCCAATGAAGGTGCAGAAGCTCGCAAGAAGGATGAAGAGATTGATAGTAAAAAGCGCAAAGCCGAGGAGAAAAAGGATTGGGAGTGTCAGTTATTCCCCCATGCCATTAACTATAATCTAACCAACTACCCCAGCCAACCGCGATAACAGAATATCAGATTGGAGATCATTCCAAAAGGGCGACAAGGATAAAAAGAAGCGTAAAAAGGAGAAGATGAATGTATTAGGATGAGTGTTGATAGTTTTGATTCACTGTTGATAGAGTGTTTATGTAAACAATGTAAGGCCCAGAGAATTTGTAATTTTAGATATCTAACTTGCTATTTTATATACTTGTCCTGATTGATCACTGACTGGTGCCGTTGAAAGAGTGTCTGACCAGAATTTGAGTATACCTGACCACTCTTGAGGATCCTTAGGCATTTCATCACCAGCTTTATCACCCTCAAAGATCGTAACTTTGGAGAAAGCTTTATTGAAATTTGAGCTGTCGAGTACATTCCTCGACGGTCGAGTGAAAATGCAAATAGGAGTTGCAGTTTTAGAAGAACCCGTAGCGTAAGAGAGGAGTGGACCGAGTACATTTACCACTGAGCCCAAACTGATATTGGAAGATCTAGCAAACTCGACAGCAACAGAGCCACCTTGAGCGAAACCAAAGAGATGGATATTCCGTGTATCCCAGCCGAATTGGCTAGTGAGTGTGTAAATCAGGTCGTTGAGTAAGTTGAGAGCAATCCGTGGATCAGGTGACTGGATAAGATTACCGAGCATATCGAAAGACTGATACCACATCCTAGCTTCATCGAAGAAAGGTACGGGGACAGGACCTTGCAAGACGAGAGACGCGGTCTGAGGAAGACGCAGCTTCTTAGATAGATTAACGAAATGAGAAATGTTGTCGCCCAATCCATGCAGGTAGATGATTAAGTTGCTATCTACGCCGTCTGCTGAAGGGACGTACTCAAACTTGGCGTGTCTAAAGTCCCGCTGGCTTATGGCCTTCTTCGCGCCTAATTCTTCGACATTCATCGTTTATTAAAGATGAGAGTGTTGATAAGCGGGGCGTCTTAGCTTTGGATCCAACTGTCAAGTGGAAATATCTGCGAAAAAATGGTTTCTTTTGAGCCGCTTTTTGCGTCTGGGGTGAGTGCAGGGGAATATTGCATTCTATAATCACCTCCTCATCCACTCACAGCACCATGAAATCAAAATGCCGTCAAGTCGAAACAAGAATACGACTTTGACCGCGGATGACAAACCTTTGGGTGTGTATTGATGCTTCGGTTTATTTCAGCCACATAGGCTCATTAGCTGTTAGTTTGGGTCGATTTGGAGATGTCCGGGCTGGACATCAATCAAGACTGTATAATAGAGGCAGCCGTTATAATTACTGATGGTAATCTTAACGCGGTTGATAACGGTATATCAATCCCCGTTCAAAGATCTAAAGCTGTGATGGACAAGTAAGCGTAAAGCAGCAATACTACACACGCATTCTTACGCGTTTTTTTTCATAGTATGAACGAATGGTGTATCAGTACACACGGATTGTCTGGTCTCACCAAGCAGGTGCTCTCCAGTCCATACTCTCCTCAAGAAGTCAGCGGCGTCTGCTACGAGTATATCAAACGCTGGATACCGGATCCTCGGGTGGCTGTTATAGCAGGCAACACTGTGCATATGGATTTACGTTTCTTAGGTTCGTTGGGTTTGTTGGTGACTCTAAATGTTTAATCTCCATTTACACCGCAGAAATGGACGCACACAAAGAAGGATGGTCACAGATTGCTTCACATCTTGGTTACAGAGTGGTCGATGTCTCTTCATTTAAGGAAATTGCCAGACGGTGGTATCCTAATCTACCACTCAAATCGAAGCAGGCGTCTACACACCGGTGAGTGGGAACATGCAAAGGCGATCAGGGCCATTGCTGATTATGGTATAATATACAGCGCTCTCGATGACATCAGGGCTAGTATTGATGAATTGAAGTACTACAAGCAGTCAATGTTCAAGCCAACAAAATAAACTAACAAGATAAATGTAATATTATTATATCCGTATCCTTAGCCCCACTCACCTCCTTTAACACCAACATCCACCAATGGCTGATCAGCAGACGCATAAGATTTACTACTTGGGAGCATTTGACAGCTCGAATAAGCCTGCAATAAATATACAGCAATGTGAGGATCTCGGCAGCTTCAGCTTCTATCAGCGCAGCTCCGTTAGGGAGTTCTTGGTCTTCATGGCTAAGACTGTGGCAGAGAGAACCGAAAATGGACAGAGGCAATCAGTGCAGGAGAACAACTACACAGCGCACGTATTCAGACAGGGGGATTATTCAGGTGGGTTGAGTGGACTGTGTTACGTGGTTAGCTCACTTTTTTATAGCTGTGGCTATTGTAACGGAGCAGTATCCAGTCAGGCCAGCGTGTGTACCCTAATTACGCGTCACAACCACTCTAAAACACACACAGCTTCTCCCTTCTGCAAAAAATACTTGACGCAGTCCCTGGCGCGGTCAGAACTGCACCAACATACCCTGAGTGGGTCGAAGGAGCGAGAAAGGGGAATAACCCCACACAATGTCCAGTAGTATTGCCTGAGCTCAATACCCTCATCATAAAGTACCAAGATCCCAAGCAAGCAGACACCATCATGAGAGTACAGCAAGAGTTGGATGAGACAAAGGTCGTAATGCACAAGACAATCGAAAGCGTCTTGGAGAGAGGTGAGAAGCTGGACAATCTCGTCGAGCGTTCAAATGCTCTATCTGCACAATCTAAGATGTTTTACAAGACTGCAAAAAAGCAAAATAGCTGTGGGTGTGGATTGTTTTGCTATGATCCATCTAAACGCTTGACAAACACTATACAGGCTGCGTTATTTCTTAATCCATCTTGCTCGGATACCTCGTCTTTGTTCGTAATAATACACATTATCATACATATGTACACCCATTTCACCTTGATGTGCCCCGTATACTGGCTGGATTGGGTGAATGAGTCGTTGAATGAGCAGGAACAGTCAGCGCTCGATCGTCAATACGCGTCTTCTTCTCTCCATTCGCGACACCGTTGATACCATCGTCCTCATCTTCGCGTCTCCTCTTCTTTTTCTTCTTCTTGCGTCTTTCATCGTCGTCGTCGCGTCCGGTGAAGACGGAGGCGTCAAACTGAGTTGAGTTAGTCGTGCTCATTCCACGAAGTACATTGATCGCCCAACTTACATTGGGTATACTTCCAGGCGGGAGTCTTCCAAACGCCTCGACCAACGTGGCATTATCAATACTATCAGCAGTGATAGTTGGTGGCTGGAACTCTGGATCGAACAGCAGATCGCGAATTTTAGGCAGCGAGCTATCCTTCTTGCTGATTGTGTTACGTCCAGGAAGATCATTTACAAATAGCTTGAACGTTGACTCCATTTTGTTTCTCCTAGCCTCACCGTTATCCTGAGGAATTTGAGTGCTACTGCCAGTTGCGTTGGCTGCAGTTGGCTTTATGTATGGCTTTACGTATGTGTCGTAAGTCTCATCGAGCCCGAACAACGTTAGCAGATCCTGATTGCCGTTGATTGTACCATTCGGAACCTCACTGGGATCTTCAATTGGATAATAATTCGGTATTTCCATTTGCGATGGTTGTTATGGTTGCGATGTTGGTTGACTACTTCAACGATGAACTGTGAGCGCTATGAGGTGACTGTAGGGAAATCAGCTAAAATCTTATAAATAGTCATTCCCAATGGGCCTGGATTGCTGCCAAAGTGGATGCTATTCGTTTCTGTGCTCGCCATATTCAACAGCATACAGAATTGCTTAACTACTTCACTCACAGCTCGCGTATACAATCACAAGCCACAATTAGGTGTGTTTCTATTGGCAATTTGCCCTCTCTCACAGCCACTCCTCAGTAAATCCCCTTCAAGCACGAACGTTTGGCGTGTGGACCTTCACTTCAGCTGTCGTTAGATTCTACGCTGCGCACAACATTAATAATAAAGTGTGAGCGGGAATGTTTGTAGGTGAATTCCATCATTCTCACATCTCATCCCTTTAGCGTCTACGAAATCGCTATCTGGACATACGCTATCGTCATTGCGCACTATATATCCGAACTTCTCTACTACAGAACATCGAAGCTAAGCGCAGGAATCATTAGTCCACTTGTTATCGGTAGTAAGTTCGGATTCCTTGCCCTGTTCCCCACCATCCTAACAGCCATATTAGCTGCTTCTTTCGTGTGGATGATATCACAATACGATTTCTACGTCAAGATTTGAAATCTAATCTGTTTTATTATATACTCTTAATAATCTTTATCTATTGAAATCAATGTACATTCTTTTCACTTGAACGCAAAGAAATCGGATGCTGCTACGGGTGAACTATGCTTCGGAAGCTGTACTGCGCGTTGTCGACCACTGCTTCCATCGTTTTTATGGCGTGGGTGACGAATATGCCCTTCTGAGTCTCTCGAACCGGGTGAGAATTCATCAATTGGTTGCTCATCCCTTGTTGCTGTCTTGCTTGGCGTACCCGAAGGCGTCGATTTAGCTACAGCCTTTTCATCTCTCCGCTTCCGTATAGCTTCAGCACTCGGTATGTCAACCAGCGAAAGTGGTTCGTCTCGCGCAAATTGATACCTTTCACTTCCATCTTTTATCACACTCGCTTTAGATGGTTTGCGTGTTTTCAGGGCTGCAGCTAGCTTTGATCTGCGTGCATCTTGTGAGAGTGTTCTTTCAACAACATCTTTGTCTGGTGGTGGAATGCTCTTTGCACTAACGCTTTTCTCAAATGATAATGCACTTGGCTTGCTACCGTTACCGCCCATACCGCCGTTGTTGATTGAAAGCTTTTCAGCACGCTTAATCAAATCATCCAAATTAATCCTCTTCTCAGCTATAGCTATCGCCATTGTACGTGTTGTCCGGTTTATACTGTCAATTGAAGGAACTTTGAATGTCTTTCCACCTGTCTTCGATTGCATCATCTTGGCCTTGAGTGAGCTGAGTTGATCCTCTACACTCATTATACCATCATTCAGCGCTTGCATAGATTTCCGAAGCTTTTGCTGATTCTCACTGTGCTCTGGTCCTAACTGCCTCACTTTCACTATACGAGCAAATTCTGGATCATTCCTTGCCCTTATGAATCGTGAAATCTCTTCTTTCTTAGTTTCAGCTGTGTGATAATGCGTTAGATAGTTATCAAGTTTAGCATATCCCTAACTCACCCTTTAACAAAAGACTCTGTAACTCAACAACTTTGCGCTTCTGTGACAATGACGAATCCTTCAATTCTATCGTATCAGCCTCCAAATCCACACTGAGCTTCTTAATCAACTCAATGTCACCCAATGACCATTGAGATTTGTCATAGAGAGCCATTACATCATATTCATCAACTGATTGACGCTTCTTTGTGATTTTATCGTGGAAATCTAGACAGCTCTTGATATTAACATTCATCTGTTAAACGTAAGCTAGGCGACCTCCACCAAACAGACAACTTACACTCTCGATCTCCTTCTCAACCATTAGGTACATCTTCAAGAACTCCATAGCCATGCCAGAGGTACCCTCTAATTGACTTGCAGACAACTCCTCATCCATTAGCTTCAACTTAGGAGGTTGATGTGGTGTTTGTATTGAGTATGATTCATTGTCATTATGCACCTTCTTGAAAGGCGCCGAGACTGGCACAGGAGAAGCAATTGGCGCCTGTTTAGAGAATGCATCCGAGAAGGCCCCATTATTGAAGCTGAAACTACCACTTGATGATTGAGCTGGAGTTTCCGTACTTGGATTGAAACCAGCGAAAGTAGGACTTTGAGGTGCGCTAAATAAATTTGGTTTAACAACTTCTGTTGCTGGCGCTTGCTGACCGAAACCAAACTTAGTCTTCTAGGTTTTGTCAAAAGAGCAAAGTTGGTACAAAATTACTTACGTCTTTTTGCGGAGAGGTTATTGATGCCTTACCGTAGACTGGTGGAGACGAAGCCAGCGGTGAGCTCTCACGCGGTTTAAATGGTAAACCGAAAGGTGACTGTTGACCAGCCTTGCCGAATGCACCGCTCTTAAAGCTGAGTGCAGATGCTGCCGACGTTTTTTCAGGTGAGCCTGGAGGTGTGGTAGATTCGTCGTCTTCCACTTCCCTCTGCTCTTCAACACCTTCTTTCTGCTCTTCATGACCCTCTTTCTGCTCTTCGACTTCAACACCCTCTTCCTCTTCCGCCTCATCAACACCCTCTTCTTCGTCAACAGTGTTGCTGACATGCTCATACCCTTCACTATCACCGCTTTCTTCTTCTTCTTCCTCCTCCTCATCGCCATCATCTTCTCCTTCCTCATCTTCAGCGTTATCCTGATCAAATTGAACTACCGGCGGATGTTCTTGTGACACTCTCCTACTTGGAGACTCAGATGCAAAGCCAAAGAAACTCTTCGTTCTGTCATCTTCTTCTTTAGCATCGCTTATTTGTTTCTGATAAAATTGTGAGATTAGAGATGAATAACAACTCTCAAACCAACCTTATCCTGGGATTTTGCAATGTTTCCACCAATTGAGAAGCTACTCGACGAACTAAAGGCGGATGGTTTACTGCTTTCAGGGGTTTTTGAAGCATCTCCACCAAACCCAAATGCACCTGTAGGGTTTGGTGATTCATTATTAGTTCCTGCGAATGAGAAAGCACTCGCTGGTTTGCTATCTTCAGATGGCTTGGCAAATGCTGAGAAAGCATTTTTTGGTGCTTCATTCTTTTTATCATCTTTAACGGGAGATCCGAATGCATTGGCATGAGCACTAGTACTGGCACCACCAAAGCTGAAAGCAGATGGTGCTTTCCCCAAATTATCCTTCTTCTCGTTTTTAGCAGGCGAAGTAAAGGCATTAGCACCTCCAAAGCTAAACTGGGACGGTGCCTTCAGTGGATCATCTTTCTTCTCGTCAGTTGCAGTTGATTCTTCTGGCTTGACACCTCCAAAGCTAAAACCACCAGTCGTTGGAGCTGCTTTAGGGGGCTGAGAAGCGGTCCCAAAAGCACTTGCACCACCGAAGCTAAATGCTGATGGTGCTTTGACCGTATCATCCCTCTTCTCATCCGTTTTTGGCGCATGTGAAGAAGAGCCTGACGAACCAAATGAGCCTCCTCCGAATGAGAACCCGGCACCCCCTGGGGCTGCAGGTGGAGCTGCTGGCATTGATGACGCTTTGCTATTTTCGCCCGATTCCTTTAAAGTGTTGTCGCATACACCACACTTGGTCGCATCAGCTGGTTGATCGAGCATACATACGCCACACTGTTGCTTGCTTTCTTGAGACTTTGCGAACATTTGAGCAAGGGGGCTTGGCTCGCTAGTCTTCTCTTGCGTTGGCGCGCTTGACAGCGCAGGTTTTGGTGCCTCAGAATCAGGGTTCTTGAATGCAGTTGCGCATACCGTGCACTTATCAGCATCTTTGGACGACTTTAATGAGCAACTTGAACATATTTGCTGATCGTTGGACTGTGTACGTGCTGTAGCGAAGATGCTTGGCATTTCTTGCTTGTCTTCTTTTTCGTTCTTGCTACTCTCATCTTGCTGATTTTGCTTTGCTTTAGCTTCATCCTCAGCGTCTGCCTTACGCTTGTCTTCTTCCTCAGCCTTTTTACTGGTTTCCTCTCCCTCTTTCTTTTGAGCAGCGGCGGCCGCGGCGGTAGCAGTCTCCTCTTCTTTCTTTCTCTCGTTTTCCGCTTCAACAGCCTTCTTGCAATTTTCTTCTTCCTCTCCTTTTTTAACTTTCTCCTCTTTCTCCTTCTCTTCCTTTTTTTCCCTTTCTTGTTGTTGCTTTTGAGCTTTTTCTTTTTCAGCATTAGCAGCAGCTTCCTGCTCAGCTTTGGCAATCTGTAGCTTTTCGCGCTCTTCCTCGCCTCTGTCTTTCTCCTTGACATAAGCGAACGTGTCATCAACGTTATCACCCTCTTCCGATTCAGCTTCTTCGTGTGTCTTGGCATTACCCTCCTTCAAGCAGCCAACATCGAGTTGGGTACCGCTACCAAAATCAGCGAGAAGATCATCAACCTGACCATCTTTCTTCTTATCTTTCTGAGACATCTCAGCAGACGTATTGCGCAAACCGAACGTATTAGAAGCACCTCCGAAACCGAACCCTGCACCTGCACCTGCACCTGTATCGTTAGATGGCTTGGTTGGTGAGCTTCCACTGATTGCTTTGAGGCGAGTTAGATTACATCTCTAAAGTCTATGTACCACTCACAGAATGCATTGCTCGTCGGCTGCAATGGAGTTTTACTTTCACTTCCGCTTTCTCCTCTCTCTCTCTTCACGTCAGCCTTAGGTGTAGTGCTGCCGAAAGCACTCTGACCAAATGCACTTGGCTTTCCGAATGCACTCGATTCAGTCTTACTCTTGACATTGTCTGAGAACGCACCAAATGCACTGCCTCCCTCTTTCTTCTCACCGAACAAACTCGGTTTAGCTGCAAATGCACCAAAGCCTCCCCCGCCACTGGGCGTTGTAGCCGGTGAGCTCTCACTGCCACCTTGGTCCTCTTTTTTAGGCGTACCGAATGCCGATGACTGTCCAAACGCAGATGAAGATGGCGGCTTGGATGCGAAAGCGCCAAAGCCGCCACCACTAGATGGTGCAGTTGCAGATGCTAAAGCAGAAGTAGATGAGCCCTCCTTCTCCTTCCTGGGTGTACCGAATGCTGATGTCTGACCGAATGCCGAGGGTTGTCCAAAAGCAGTAGATGTTGACGGCTGAGATGCGAACGCACCAAATGCTCCACCGCTAGTTGGTGTGCTGGTTTGGGGGCTTTCTTTATCTGGCTTTGGTGCACCGAATGCTGAGGTCTGGCCAAATGCCGAAGTCTGACCGAATGCACTGGGCTGGCCAAACGTACTAGCAGATCCACCGAATGCACCAGGTTTGGCAGAGAAAGCCCCAAATCCGCCACTAGCAACACTTGATTCGGCTGGTTTGTCATCCTTATTTGCAGATCCAAAGGCAGTAGGTTTGTTTGAAAATGCACCAAATCCACCTCCGCTTTGACTGAAGCCACTTGGCTGACCGAAAGCACTAGGTGTGCTTTGTCCAAACGTGCTGTTTTGTCCAAATGCACTGCCTGTTGTTGGTGCAGTCGAAGGACTCGACGAGAAGGCATTCGCAGGAGCCGGAGCCGGAGCCGGAGCTGGATTTGAAAAGGCAGATGGTTTTTGCTGCGGCTCACTCTGCATAGGTGCAGCTTCAATCGATTCTTCTTGCGGATCATTGGGCCATCCTTTCAGATACTGATATGGTCCATACGAGTTTATTAACCACCACGCAAACAGTTTACCTTCAGAGTTGAGCGTCCATAGAGCAGGAGCAGGAGGGCCATCAGGTGTGTCTGCAGCAGAGCCAGGCTCTGGTTTTAATGGATCTTTCGCACCCAAGTCAAGCTCCAGCCCGACTGGATATGTCTCTTCTTGCTCCTCCGACATTGGCAGTGCTGGTCTAGCAGTTTCTGGAAGAGCGGCAGCGGCAGCAGCTATCTCATCGTCTCCAAACACTTCTTTGGCGTGTGGGGAGGACGTGTCTGGTGTGACTATACAGCCTATATCCGAAGAAGGACCTGATGCAGCAAATAGTATGTTCCTGAATGGCGACCAATCCCTCAACCAGCTGAAATAGCGGTATGGGAGACGCGACATAACGCCGAAAGGCGGTGCTGGATCAATAGCTTCGATGTAGTTGCCATTGTGGATGAAACATGTCTTGTCTTCGAGCGTGTAAGCATCCTGATCGCTATCTCGGCCCTCACTGGAAGCCTCTTTACTGAGTGAAAATGTGATAAGGAAGAGATTGTTCTCGAGCCATTTGAGTGAGTTTGGTACGTGATTGGGGGTGAGCTCGAATGAAGAAGGGGGAGGAGGTATCGACATTTTGACTTGATTGGAGGTAGTTACTGTGATGATTTCGTTTGTATTTAACGCTAAAGCTAGTTGCTTCCCTTTGGCTGACCAGCTTGCAGCAAAAGTGGTTTTGTTGAGGCATTGCGTGTTTTTTGACATTTCATCGTGCAAGTAAATGCAGCCGTCAGCTGTGAGAATGGTAATATATTGTCCTACTGGATTTGGGAGTATTGAGGTTGGATGAGAAGGCAAGTCGATGGAGTTGGTGAGTGTGGCATCGACGTACAAGTGCAACGACTTATCGCTGGCGACTATGAGTTGATTGGAGTGGTACTTGATGTGCTGAGATTGCGTGTTGATCGTGTGTATCGGTGCTTGTGGTGAGAGAAGCTGATGAGACTGAGATTGCGACAGTTGAGAGCGCAGGCCGGATAAGGAATAAACGTGGACGCCGCTGTTTGTGGCCACAGCCAGCCTATCCAGCTCGTTGCTCAACGTGAAGAGATTCGCTGCGTCGTTGATCTTCTCTCCAAGGGTGTAAGAGATGTAAGATGAATTTGAGAATGGACGCGTAGTCAAGCACTGCGTGGGTAATTAGATAACGTATCTCTGGGGTAATTACAGTATTCTCACTTCAATCTCTATTTCGTCCATCGTTGTCAGTGATCAACAAGCCATTTGTGATTTAGCGCTGAGCAGATAAACGAATTCTACAGCGCGTGGTGATTGATCTGGTTGGTATTCAAAAATTAATCAAACCCCAATTTGCTTTGATTTGTTTGCTTGATTTCTCACTATCTCATGTTCAAACACATTGATTCAGCGTGTACAGCTGTAAGTTTATCAGAGTTTGAGCATCTCGCTAGCAGAACTCCTGGTAGCTTTTCTGATCTTCCAACGGTGCTCAGGCTCCGCGTAGATGAATGCTCTTTAAGTGGTGATTCAGAGCTAGATAACAACCTCAAATACACCGTTTTTATCACTGATAAAGAGCTCGTTGTCTTCTCGCAGTCAGTCTCTACGGGCATCAGCTTGGATTACCCTTCTATCATGCTTCACGCCGTCAGCGCATCAACTAACTCTATCTTCCTGCAAATTGACGAACGTACAGAAAACATAGACGACTTTGAGAGTAAGGATATTCACATACATCCTCAGAACCCTTCAATTCTTCATGAAATATACGAAAAACTCAGTTTCTGCGCTAGTTTGCACCAGAACAAGTTTCCATCTGAGGAGGACGATGACGGCGATGCTATGATAGACGATGGCGTTGGGCTCTCAGACCAGGGCGCTGCCAATTTGGCCAGATTCGACGATATGCTAGACAACCAAGACAAACACACTGACAAAAAGCAGAAGCAATAAGTTAATTGTCCATGACTGTAACTCTAATACAATCTAAATATCCATTGTTATCGGGTGTTACGCGTTTTGCCAGCCAATGTTCAAGCCATCGACCAAATGCCTCTCCTCTGCTATCTGCACCCCACATCTGCTGTGTGTGGATGGAAACGCCGCCAAAGGAGTTACCCATGTACACGTCAGTGAGTAATCTATCTCCTACAAATGCAACATTCTTCAAATCACCAAACTTATTCTCCAACGGGGCTCTGAGCTTTGAAGATGGCTTAGGATGATTGTGCTCGACGACATGGACTCCTGTATTCCGCGACAAAACCTTTGCCTATAATTTTTTAGCGCTGAGAGGAACTAACAAGCCAATCGCACCTGAATAAGTCCGGGATCTTTGCCTGTGCCGGCTGAGTTAGACAAAATGACGCAGCCATCACTCCCAAAGGCTTCCTTGCACTCAATCCAGCTATTTTGCAGCTCAGAAACGACGTAATCCTGCCTCGGAAGCGTCAAGCAGTTGTCCCTGTCAATTACGATGCCAGTGATACCTTTACGTTTCAGTGCACTGAAGTCGATCGAGCGGATGTCTGGGGGTGATGAGCGGGGGGATCAATGAGCAAAATACCTACCCTTCACGCTCATTGAAGGTTTTAGCAGCTTGGGATTGAACGCTGAACGCAATGTAGCTGCTATCGCTGCAACACTCATCATGGAACAACTTCAACAGTCGCTGGAAACTACAGGCTCTATATCGCTCCCACAGAAAGTCGCTCTGCTATCCCACCTCAAGGCTTTAAACAGAGACAGCTCTTCTGTTATACGCCAATCTAAGCAGGCTGCTGCACATCAGGCTCAATTATCAGACGGTGTACACGCTCAAGTGCAGAATCTATTATACGAAAGGAGGCATTTAGAGCAGGAAATTGAAAGGTGCAGGAATTTCGAGACTAGCTTCGATAAAGTACCTTTGGTTTCACTTGACGAGTATCGCAAGTTGAATGGGGGCAAGGAGGAAGACGAGCACGTTTTAATGCTCAATAGACTGAAATTCGAGCTGAGAACTCGCCAGGAACTCAACGATCACCGCAATCAGCTGCAAGAAGTGCGATCGTCAATCAACAGCGAGAACAATCAGACGAAAAACAGTTTGGAGGATCTTGACAGCGATTTGGATAAGTTTGTCGATGTGGGTGGGAGTATTCATGCGTTTACAATTGCTGAGATGCTCTATAGTTTGCAAAGGGTATCCAATCCAAGCTTAACAAGCTCGATAAGGTTTGGGACAAGGAGAGTGAGGAGGAAAGTGAGGAGAGGAAAGAGTCCAAGAATGAACTCAAGGACGATAATGACATTGAGATTGATCAAGCTAACGAGGCTGATAATCACAGACCTCAAGATACCAACTCCGGTGAAGATCAACGTATGGATACTAATTGACCTTGATAACTTATTTACTATCACTACTATGCATATACTGTTCAACTGCACCTTCCAGTTCACTCACTGCCTCGCTTCTCTCTTGGCTCAATTCATCAGCTCTTCTTGAGGAGACGTTGAGGCGATGGTGATCATCACCGAGCAAATTGATCATTTTAAGCGCGTGCGTTATATCCAGTAAGCTATTGGCAGAGCGAATCATAGATTCTGATCTGCAGCTGATCTGGAATGCCTCCTTGCTGATCTTGTAGTTGTCCTTCTGGTTAATTTCCGCGAGGCCTATAATCTCCGACAGTCCATCGCTCAGCTGCCCAACTTCACCATCGACCTTGTTGTTCAAGCTCTCCTCGAACGCCTCCAAGTATTCCTCCGGAGAACGATCGTCGATTTCTGCTGATTTTGTCGATGAGTTGTTGTTGATAAGCGAGGAGCTCAACGATTGATATTTCTTAGCGTCTGATTTAACTTCCATTGGGAGATGGGTGATGGGAGTTGACCAGGCGAGCTATCCAACGTCGATGATCCAACGCGGGTGGATTTGCAGAGAAGGTATTCTCAGGCAGCTCAATGCAAGCAGCATCAGAAGCATATCCAGGCGCAGTATTTCTACATCCCCAGCACCAAAGGAGGAGCCAACGGCATCCCCAGCCACCTCCTCAGCTACATCTCTAAAAAGAATCATTGCAGACTCCATCAAAGCAACAGGCCCTATTCCAGTAGCCAGGTATATGTCAGCCTGCACTTATCATCCTACTGAGGGTTATTACAGCCGTAAAGACAAAGATCCAATCAGCAAGCACGGCGACTTTATTACTTCCCCTGAAATATCTCAAATATTCGGAGAGTTAATTGCCGTTTGGTTTCTCCATCAGTGGCATGCTCTGAGACATGACTTATCACACACGTCGAATAACCCTCCAAAGAAAGTCAGATTCGTTGAGCTCGGACCCGGAAATGGTACTCTGATGGCTGATGTTCTGCGTACCTGGCAATCCTTCCCCACCGCTTGGGAGAACTTGGAAAGTGTGCAGCTAGTCGAGACATCGCCAGCCTTAAGAGATACTCAGAAAGCTGCTTTGGAGGGATTTGGGAAGGGTTTAAAATTTCATGATAGAGTCCAGCACATTGACAAAGGTTAGCTTTCATTAAATCAGCCAAGGCGACATCTTTCCGATCTGACACTAAAGCTAAGATGAGAGCACGTTCACTTTTGTGCTCGCGCATGAATTCTTCGATGCCCTCCCGGTACATCTTTTCCAAGTGAGTCTTAATTTGACTTCTTGCGTAAAGCTCAAACTGTGTCCAGAAAACAGATGCAGGATTCAGAGAAGTTCTGGTAGATCTCATTAATCCACGCATACGCTCAGAAGAGAGCGAGCAGGAAGTTACAAACGAGAATAATAAATGGCTAGACGGAGATGCTGGCTTCAAGTATATAGTCAGCAAGCAACAGTCAGCCATGAGCTCATTGATACCGATGGTTGCACCCCACATATTTTCAGGCGAGGGCAAGGAGGAAGAAGGGCAGCGAGTCGAGCTCGGCATAGAAAGCTACCATATTGGCAACTCTATAGGCCAACTTTTGCGTAAAACATCCGAAAATGCGGCAGGCGGCTGTGCTCTTTTTGTCGACTACGGTAAGGATGGATGGACGGGTGACACATTGCGAGGATTCAAGAATCATCAGCAAGTAGATGTATTGAGTGCGCCCGGAGAATGCGATATTACATCTGATGTTGACTTTGGAGTTTTGAGGGAAGCGCTCGCTCACAATGATACTGACACGATTGGTTCTGAGGTTATCACTCAGCGGGACTTCCTCGTCAAGATGGGTGTGGCGGCAAGGTTGGATACCTTACTTAATAGCGCACAGTCTAATGAGACTAAATTATCCATCGCTAGTTCTGCGAAACGGTTGCTCGATGTGCGCGGTATGGGCAGCCAGTACAAGTTCATGGCTGCATTCAACACGAGTCACCACAATCGCTATCCTTTTATCTAGCTTATCTTGGTGCATCAGAGTAAATTATAAATAGATAATTATTTCTTCTTGGAAATTTACCAGGTGCTGTTCAGCGCCTATAAGTGCATCTGTGACTTTGTGAGAAGATTCTTTCTTGTATATTGCGCATACTCGCTGCATGTCTTGTCGGGGAACGGCGTCCAGGCTGCACAGAGTGGGCACTGCCACTCGTAGTGCTGTGTTAGCGCAAGTTAGTGACATGTTCACACTACTACAGATCACACTAACGTATACCTCACCCTCGTCGTCGCTGCTACTGCGAAATACCAAACAGTGATAGCAAATCATATTCTGGGCTTCTCAAGCTGTTGAAAAATTGACAAAACCACTCAAAACGTAGAGCAGAATGAGGAGATTAATTAATGTTTAAGATGCGGGATAACGTGGAATTTGCTTCACGTAACTGGGGTCATAGCTGGCTTTCTGTTCCTGCATTCAAATTCGGCTCGGTGGAGAATGCGGATGAGATGTGAGATTTGGGCTGCGCGGGATGCTCTGGGGCCTTTATGTCGGGCTTATACAATATCTCATCTCACCGAGCTCTGTGAACGCATAGCGCCAAGTATCCACAGCTCTCGCATAAGTTAAGTTCCGCATTAATACGATTGCCCGAATACTGGTAGGCTCAGACTGCACGTGGCACTTTCTCAGCTTCTGATCATCCTTTCACCCACGCGATCACTATATCTCGGTGTGGTGATAAAAATCGGACCAATTGCGTCAGGCTTTACGAGCAGCTATGCGAGCTACCACAGGATGTATTAATCAGAATCGTCGATTTTGTCCCATCTCTCGCAGCAGTCAATAGATATTTCTACGCTCTCGGCTCGCCGGCGTTACTCAGGTGCATTGCAGACCCCAACGGCATAACTAAGGAGAAGATAGGACTGTTCAATCCATTATGTTACAAGAGGCGTAAAGATCATTGCGCTTATCTTTCAGAAATAGCGAATGACGACAGGCGCATGCAAGTGAAGTGGGCAGTGCGATTGGTATCAATACAACCCAACTGACCGCTAGATTAGATCACTTGCAATCAGCATCGCCAACGATATCGTCACATCAGATCTAACGGCTGCGATGAGGAGATTGAGCAACGTAAAGTGTCCGACTATAACAGGCTTCGTGAACGCCCCACTTGAGAAGCTACTGAGTGAGGTGTCCATGAGTAACGTAACTGATCTAACGCTCAACTTGTGGACATTCGACGAGTTGGATGAGTGCATAGCGAAAAATGTGCTACAAGTTAATATGCCGTCGTTGCAGCACTTGCAACTGCATGCTCAGTGTATATTCACCAAGACAGCATCTAATTCCCTGATATACCCACAACTTAACGCCGTCGTCTCAAACCTAAGAGACTATTTGATCACGGCAATTTTACCCTGCTTCGACACGCTCATCGTGCGAGGTCTCATATTTACGCCACATCTCAAAGCCTGCTTCCCTCAGCTGAGAGGATCGGAATTTTACAGAGCGCGTGTCTTCAAAGGCCGGGAAAATGATCTGGTGGAGGTGGAGGTGTATGAAAAACTTACTGCGTTAGGCTCTGCGTATGGCGTTACATCAACACAGAAAAGCATCAGTGACATGCTGGTTGTCTGTTGACATTGACAGTACACTAATATCCAACTAAATTTAGCTGCTGTCAATTATCACTTGATACATGCGATTCAAATGAAAGCCCATTTGTCTTGCTCGTTTAAGCTCGGCCTTCGGCATCTATTGCAAGACCCTGCCCGGTTTTTTGCATCTTAAGGTACAACTGGGTAACTCACACATATGGCATGCTGTGAATAGAGTTGGTCATGGGTTTCTAGATGTATGTTCTAAAAGCAAGGTCTAGTGCTTGAGCTCGCTTGAGCACCCGGCTAGAGAAATTAGTGACGTAAGTGAGGCCCGTGTGCATGCAAGATGGAGTTGGCAATACAGGAAGAATATGGAGGAGTGAAAGTGTATATAGTGCTGATATAGTGTCGTCGGAAGCAATATTGCTGTGCTGTGTGTGAAGAGAGTGAGACAGGACGCGTGTACACCCATCGAAGCGGCAGCTGTGGTATTAGTAGCAAGCCCCAAGACAAAATCCTGGAATCCTACAAACAATGTCAATCTATTTTATTTTCGCGTACCTGTCGTCGGTCTTTTATGTGCTCGATCGATTGACCAATTCTATTGAGAAGCGCGACGGCATCGAGGATACCATCACCTATGGTGAGGGGATTATGATATTTCGCGCACACACTTACAGTATATAGACATACGAATGCGAGATCTGCCAGGGCAAGTTTAGCAGGCCTGAGAACTTGTTGCGGCACAAGAGAAACTCACACAGGTCGGGCGACTTGCATCCATACCTGTGTTCGTGTGGGAGGAGCTATACACGCTCAGATATCCTCCTCAGACATCAGCGCGGTTGCGAAGTACACAACAACCAACCAGTGGGGTACAAGAAGCGTGGCAGGAAGCGTAAGGCTATTCAACAGCCAGTTTCATCAAGTGATCCCTCCTATTTAGCCGGGGTAGCGGCGTCAGCCTCGCAACAACAACAACAACAACAACAACAACAACAGCAGCTACAGCAACAGCATCAACAACAACAACAACAGCTTCTTGCATCTGCTTATAACCAGCCACACCTTTTCAACACCGAAAATTGGCCTCCCGCCACTTCTATAGATAACGAGCCCGAATTACAATCGCACAGATACTGGCCCTATACACTGTACCCAAATACAAGTACACCGCCGCCTGATTTCGAAGCATCGAATTTGCCACTCATTGGCAATACATACAACAATACACACATACCACAGCATGCGCCACAGCAAACACTACCACCACTAGCATCATGGAATACCTCAGTAAATCAAAGTCATATGGCCAGTTTGCACAATCAACAGCTTCAACAGACTACTCAGCAAGACAATTATTCTGGCTGGATGTGAGTAGCTGCTTGTATAGCTGCCAGGTCTGACCTGACAAAGTAAAACCCTCACAGAGACACATTAACATGCTCACACTTACAACAGCAGCAACATATCTACTAATACTTGCATTTTATGATTCGAAACAAATCACAGACATTCTCAAACACTTGCTTGTCTCATACTTTGACATATTCACTCTTCTTATCAAGCTGGACTTTCGATTAGCCTTTAGTATATTATCATTTTATTATCACATTCCCAAGAAGGACAATTTCACTAACTTTTTCCCCGGTTATCTCTATATCACTGAAATGAATGCATTTAATTTAGCTTTTCATGCGGCTTTGGATACTTTTATAAACTCTGTAAATGCTCTCTTGAACACCTTGGGCTCGTCTGTTGAGATGTGGTTTGTAAGTTCGACTGCAATGTGGTCAGGACACCCAATTGAAGGTAAATAAATGCTTCTGAGATAGTTCAAAAGTTCATCACCACGACTCAAGTACGCCTGTCTAAGTAGGAGTGCAATTTCACCGAGGACCTGATAGTGATTGGTTGGGTTAGATTGGTGCACCGATAAAAGCTCACTCAACTCACAACATTAGATTGACCATCTTTCAAGTTGAATGTTGGCTTGGCAGGTACTTCAAATGCCAATTTGATGAATTGTTGGTAGATAAACTCTTCGAAACCACTCAAAGGCATTGGAGCCGGGCTGATTTGTACGACGTTTTGGGCGGGTAAAACTTTCAGATCATTTTGCACTTGCTCAATAGTGCCGTAGCAGAAGATAATCTTTGCGACGTTGTTGAAAGCGATTCTTTGTGTAGGTGGAGCACAATCTCGAGCAAATTGACATACAGATTCAAGAATTTGAACAAATCTCCCTCTGTTCTCATCAGAAATGAACACACCTTGAAGTCCAGCTGAAAGTATGGTACCGATAAAATTAAGGTAGCTCTTTTCCATCTCTGTTCTGTTAAGTTCATCATCAGTACCAGATATCTGCATTGATAAGAATGAAAAGACCCTATCAATAATAGGTTGTAGAATAGAGTTAAGAATTGAAAAGACTTGTGATTTTAGCTTGTGCACTAACATATTCAAGAAAGTCAAGAAGTCACTCAACTCGTTCATTTCAAGTCTACCAAGTAAACCATTTACGAACGCAGGTACGTGATTCAAGATGGCAAAGCCAGTAGAGCTGACAATCTGGGCAAAAGTGAATCGGGAAGCATCTCTGATAACTTTATATTGAGACATCTGATCCAAGACAACAAAGATTGCTTGTGTGGATTGGACAAATGGTTCAGAGTATGGGGGTGGTGGTTGGTCTAGCGAAGATGATTGTTGTATTAATGATGGTTCAGGTAAACCTTTAGCTAGATGTCCAATAGCCAAAATGGTATGGTGTACGTTGAGAATGTTCTCAACTTGATCTGGTGAGGATTGTAGAGATTGTTGAAGAGATGCTAATAATGGCTGTATTATTTGATTCAAATAGTTTACTTGATTTGTTGGTATGTCACTGAGTTTAGCTAGAATACATCCAATGGCTTCATAAAGGTTGAGTTGATAGTGGAATAAGCCTATAGTGTTTACCGATTTGCTTAAAACATCTTGATAGCTATCACCTTGTTCAAGTGGCAAAACGTCGACTGATAGTACTAGTAAATCCGTGATAGATTCAAGCAACTTTGGCACAAAGTTGGCTGGAATAAATCTTCTAGCTAGCATTGTGAATCGTTGGAAGAGATAAAAGTTTCTCGCTTTCACATTGAGTGACTGGTTGTGTATACCTCTGTCACCGACAAATGCAGATAAGATTGGATCTATCAATTCTTTTCGTGCAAACAGTATATCAACGTATCTCACTATCATCTCAAAGTACTGGAGATTGACTGCGGGGTGTGGATGATTGCTGATACCTGAGTCAACAACAGTTTGTACTAGTTGACCAAGTGGTGTGTAAGGCTTTTCGTCGTACTTGATTTTGTAGTTGTTCGCATCCTTTTTTGCTGACTGTCTCTCATCTTCTGATACGTGCACAAACGCCTGCACCGTATTACCTGATTGAATAGCTTCAGCGAACAGAAAAACTATATAAAGCACCAATTCCGCTTGATACCAAGGAACAGAATCCGGTCCAGAGCTGGTGCATTGAGTGAGTGTTTGGTTGATGAGAGATACGACTGTCGAAGTCCACAGCTCTTGGTCCAGTTGACAGACAGAATCGAATGTTGATCTTAACACTCTGCGAATTTCGTACAGCTCATGACGGTCGTCGTCGACATCCTCACCAAGACCACCGAAACCCCATTCAACATCCTCATTCCACTGCATTTTTTGCATAACAGTTGGCAACAATTGACTAAAGAATTCTCTGGTTGGCATAGCATCGAATGATGTAGCATCCGCCTTTTTCTTTTTCTTGTAGAATGAGATGAGTTGTGTTAGGAAGCCATGCACGGCTAGCGAAGGACTTGATGATTGATCAGCAAAGTATCTCAAGAAGATTGGTTGAAGTTGAGCTAAAAATACCAATGCTTGTGCTCTAGTTTCATTTGTTCCAAAGTTGACATCGGAACGGCTTTGCATGATTGTTGCTTGAGTTGGCTGGATGAATTGATTAATGATGCGCATACCTAGGCTAGAAAAGTATAACCCACCTCATCACATAATTTGAGAATCTCTGTACCAGCAGCATTTACCATCTTTGCACATGACTCTCTAAACAAAATATTGTCATCAGAAGTGTCATCTTTCGTCGCTTGTTCAAGTTGTCCGACAATGTTTGAAACATTGATAATACCAATAATTTCCAACTTGGCTGCATAATCTCGAGTACCCTTTTGCATTATCTTAATAAAATAGCCAGTCGCAGCAATTTTAACTTGATTAGAAGGATGTTGTAAGAACTGGTAGAAGATTTCTAGAGTTTGAGGAGTGAATGACAGACTAATATCAATCCAATGAGACCAGCCAGCAAAAACGTTAATAGCGAGGGCAAGAGATTCTTCCAAAGATTTAGACGACCACGCTTCACCGCCATTAACAGAGATATGACCTAACTCTTGCATGATATTAATAAGAGTTTCTATAACAGAGGGTGCATCCTTTGACCTAATGGCATCTCTTAAATTACCATCGCGTATGTGCCTCTCTGATGACCAATCTCTTGCTGCTCTAATGATTGAATCTGATAACTCTAAGTTGATTTCATCAAGGATGCGCAAAACGAGTGGAGTAGTGCGTGGATTGAGTGATGAGCCTTGTCTGAGGAGTGACAAAAAGTCAATTATTATGTTAGGATGGGTTGTGTCGTATGTTTGTATGGTGAATAAGGTGAGCGTATGAGCCAGTCTGTTCCTCAAAAACCCAATATCGCCTTCCTGTCCACCTTCGACGTATTCTCTGCGTACATACTCAAACAAGGCTTCTTGTATTGCGAGTATATCGTCGTTTTGTAGATTTTGAAATGATTTGCTGATGAGTTCATCGACGACACTCAGAACCCAGACCCTGGCTTCAGTGCCGACAGAATTTGTTAAGAATAAGCCTAAGCAATACTTCCATGTATCTGACGCGTTATTCTTTACTTGTTCGAGGAAGTTCAACGCTTCTTCGCGCAATTCTGGACTTGTGTTTGGTGATGGGGATGCGCATTTAATAGCCTCAATTAACTGCGGTGGTACAGTTGTTGCTGCTATCGTAGCCATCGTGGTGGTGATCCTTGAAGGGTGAGAGAAGATGTGAGATAATATTTGAAGGTAGCTGGATTAACGTGTGGGGATATTTGTGAGCCTGAGATGAGCGTGAGCGTATTCCAAGTGTACCTTTTATTATGTACGAAATGTCAGTCACAGTGTGCACATGAATCGTCATGGTACAGATGTGAATAACATAGGAACTTGAGCATTGATTGGCATGTATCCATTCTGCGTGTTTAAAAACCCTTATTATTTTCCCTGCTAAATTTTATTCAGGCTATAAAACTCGCCCGAGTAAATCTTCTCTCTTCAACTCAAACCGCGATGTGAGTCATGAGCAAAGCGCGTCGAGGGAGCAGAATGGAATGATGTTACAAATCTAAACTTATCTACATTGTCTGAATATCATTGATGGACAAATAGAGGCTATTTCTGACTTTTCTTGCTTTCTCGGACGCAATACAAACCACACACACCTTACTAACAAAGCACAGCAGTGGTGTTATTAAAATTACAATGCAATGGTTTGTACAGATGATATATGATTACTACGCGGTCTGGATGTTGTCTCTAGAGCATAATGTAGTTCTTCCTTGGTTATCGAAAGAAGCGTGATTTCTTTTGAGTCTAGCGCGATGCTGGATGTGCTGCCACTTGAGTTTTTAATGAGCGCGGTGAATGTTATGAAAAATTGCATATCAATCAGAGTTGTAAGCAAACTTTCGCCAATGCTCCACGATAGCGATGACTTAGATTTGGGTATGACGCCTTTAAAGTTGAATGATTGAGGCTGCTGAAGCTGTAACTGTGGCGTGACAACCTCCTCTACGATCCTTGTTAGTTGCACATTAGATCTGAAGAGTGAGGATTTCTGGGCTTTGAATTGCACGCGTCGATCTAAGGACATGGCAAGTTTCTTCACGCTTATTTTGTTACTGAGGAGTGTGAGGTTAATGCTGGCGAAGAGGTTGTCACTTGACTTATACGTTGATTGGCGTCCTGAGAAGTAGGTCCGATAGTCCAACTGATCGACGCGTTGCGAGTAGGTGGTGAGTTGCTTGTAGAGTGGTGAATATCGGTTTAGCTGTAATATCACACTGCTTGTCTTTGTATTGCCAACGAATGTCAAATTTTCATGGATCAAGTTGGCTTCCAGCTTCCAAACGATGCGGTAGTTCTGTAAGTTGATGGACGACGGGAGGGTATTATTAAGTGGAACTTTTAACTTGAAATCTTTCTGAATTTCTGCGAGATGCGTGTATTTGCTGGGCGAGTTCGAGCTCCATAGTACCTGAGTAGATTCGTAGAGTATATTATTTCTTCCGAATGCAAACTCGATACACTTGAGCTTCACATTCAACTCTTTAGCCTTTAAGGGCTTGCCATCCGAAAGCTTTGTATACGCAACCCCGACGACTTCACAACGAGTGAGGCCGAGATAGCCGTGGACAGGAAATTGTCTATGGATATTACCAGTGTGTGGCTTCAGTTTCACGTCTAACATTTCATTGTCTTATTTTGTGCACTGTGAGTGGAATGCTGGGTGGATTTCGACGATATAGAGAGGTATTTGATGTTATTGAGTGTTTTAAACTCACAGTTTCCCTCTGTGGATGTCAACTTGCAAGAGCATTCGGAGCACTCGGAGCATATGACTTAAATTAAGCGCACGCACGCACAGACGTCCTCCATTTCACCTAATACCCTATTTTTCCACTCTCGGCAAGTGGATGCAGACCCCATTTTAATTAAAAAATAAAAGAGGTATATTACAGTTTTACAGTCTACGCGACGCTGCGAGCTCTCTGCAGCGTCTCTCCATCATCTTCACTGTGAATCTAAGATTGCGCCCTTTTGAGTGACAGTTGGTTTCGAGCCAGTCCTCCAAACTCGACTGCAGGCTGTCCATTTTAGAGATAGCAGGCAGTGTGTCCTTGTACATGGCTGGGTTGAGGAGGAAATCGAATATGCTCGACCAGATCTCGTGCTGCCAGTAGCGCTTGAGGTTGTTGCGAAGCTTGATCCGCCCACCTGCTTCTATCGTCTCTATGTACTTGCCGAAGAGCATGCAGTGGATGATAGCAGCCAGACCGAAATAGTCTGGCTCGAAATTCCATGGAACCTTCTGCTTGATCTGCCAGCAGTCCTTCTCATCACCGGGCCAGTCGTTGAGGAATTTTCTACCGACAGGTTGCTTGAAGGCATCTACATCGATAGATCTACCAAAATCTATGAGCTTGAGTCCCTTCATTGACCACCCACCCTCACCCGAGCGCTGGTAAACATTTGTCCAGAAATCACCTGCATCCTCAAGTCTTATCAAGCAATTATCTATTTTTAGATCACCGTGGATGATGCCACCCTTGTGAATACTGTTGAGCGTTCTGATCAGCTCAATGGCAAAGAAGACGACCAAAACCTCATCCAAGCCTGTAGAGGAAGAAGAGAACCATTCAGGGGCGTGATTGACGACATCTAGAAGTGTGCCCTGATCAGCATATTCCATACAAAGCACACTCTCATCCCTGTAAGCGTACAGTCCGTGTGGCATTACTATGGACCTTCTATCACGCTCTTCAAGACGTTGATGGAGGGCGTTGAGGATGTAGAACTCCCACACACGCGCAGGTTTCTCAATCTTGAGAGCCACAGCGAGATCTTCTTCAGAAGTAGCGAATTGGGAATTGAAGCTACCGTCCAAGTTTTCCATGTCAAATTCATAGCTCTTTCCACCACTTTTGTTACGTTCAGAAGCGACAAAGACAGCGCCGAAGCCGCCCTGACCGATTTTTGCTTTAATGTCATACACATCATCGTCGCCACCATATTTGGGTAGTTTGAGTGGATACGTCTCCTCGTCCATTGTCTTATTCCTGCTACTTGAGGGCCGTTTTTTCACACCCTTCTCCACCTTGTTGAGTACTTCTAGGTTGTTTCGTGCTGTGTGGAATGTGCCCAAGTTGTACACGTTCAAATGTGACCGTTTGAGAATTGAGTCTACGATGGTGCGTGTGTTTGCTACGCACGGATTAGGTGCATCTATCTTGCCACTCCCGGGCGAGACGGGGATAGCTGGTGAGGGTGGAGCGGGCGACTGTGCTTGAAGATGAGCAATCTGAGGAGCTTTCAGCGGCTGTGCAGGCTGAGCTGGGATACTACTGCCGAGGTTGAATTTCATTGTATCAACAACATCAACATCCTCCATCTGAGCCAATCCACCAGGATGGATTGTAAATCCTTCCGGTAGCTCGAATTTGCCTGTGTGGGCTGTTATGTCTTGTTGTGTGAACTCCTCACCCAGTTCAAACGTAGGCAGTGGTGGCGGATCCACAGCTGGAGGTGGTGCTATAGGCGGTGCTCCCTGGGGTGTATGACCCATCATGCTATCCTGGAGCGTGAGTGTGGTGCGTGCATCACCTGTTGTGCTATTCGGGTGTGTGTTTATGTTCGAGTTGCTCACCATGCTATCTTCATTCTCCTCCGCAATCGTGCCTTGGAATGGAGCCGTAGGGAAAGTAGCCCTACTTCTGTCGAGTGTATCTGCAGGATCTACACGCTGTGTAAATTCACATGTACGTTCCGTAATAGGTGTCATGAGATTGATGGGAGGGAAGCGGGACTGTTTGTTGAGATCATCGTAGTACTCTTCCTCGACCTGCGTCTGCACCTGCGACTGTGAGCCATCTTGCTCACCCACCTCCTCCTCTTCAACGGAAGGCTTCATTCCGAATGGCATCCGCACTGGACCAGATGTTGATTTTACAGCAGGTGTGCTTGCCACATTCTCATCCTTGTACATGGGGCCGGGCGGCGAGCTGTCTTCCTCAGCAACGGTCGGAGGCACGCGCGCAGTGTGCTCATCTGTAAACATCATCATTGGTGCCTTGTTCGGTGTGGGCATGACTAGCGGTTGAGGCGCATCGACGGAACTGTCGTCGCTGTCGCTTGAAGGGCTGTTTGGTCTGTCACACGCAAGTGGCTGGTTGAATAACTCCATCACATCGTCAAGTGCTGCTTTGGTGTTGACAGTCGGCGATGGTGCGCGTTTACGTGCTGAAGTGGGGCGATCAGATTGGACACTGCCAAAAAAAATATCACATACGCTTCTCATCAATGCTTGGTTCATCTTTCGGCATCCAGTCCCATTCATTGACCGTTGGCTCTGGGTACTTCTTCCCAAATAAACCCAATTGTTTTGCTTTTAATTCCATGAAACTGTACTCCGTGTTATCGCAGTACACGCGTTGCAAATCAACAGCAACCCTTGGTTCTCCTTTTGAGCTAGTCGTTTTTCCCTTCTCCTTCTCTTTCTCCTTCTTTTTTCCGCTACTACTGCTACTGCCACTTGACTTTTTCTTCTCGCCAGATACATCGACGTCGAGCTTGGGTGGTTGTTCGAAGTTTTTAAAGGGGTTTAGCCGTAGCTGCTCAGCCTCGGATGGTTCTGATGACCCCAGATCAGCCTCTTTGGGACCAGCACCAGCTTCTTCATCGTTAAAGTCGGAGAAGATTGCAACTTTTTCCGCTTTGGGTGTGATAGCTTTGCCTTGCTGGATAGTTTCACCCTTCATTGAGGTCTTTTCGACAACATTCTCCTTGCGTCTGTCGTCGCGACTGCCGTAGTGATCCCATGGCCCACTTGAGCCAGATTCAGCGTCGTCCTCGTTGAAGATGGCCATGCGGGGCGTTGCGGAGGTGGAGGTAGATGGTGTGGCAGTAGCAGGAGCAATAGCGCTGCTACCGAGAAGACCCTTTCTAGGCAAAGACGAGGTGGTTGAAGGTGGTGCGTTTGCCATTCTCACTTTAAAATCATCGTAACGCTTCCTAAGTCTTTCAGTGGGCTGAGCCTTTCTACTGATACCCAATTCGTATATCTCCTTAGCCTTCTGGTGGAAACCTCTGCTTTCCTCAGCAGTAGCAGCCTCCTCATAGAGCAGACCCCATATAGTACCAATATCATTGGCTAGGAGAAATCTAAAGATATCCCTGCTCTCATGGACGTACTTGGAGTAGAGTATCCAACAACGCAGATAGCGGACATCGCGTCTATACCTCTCGTCATCTTTGAAAGTACGCGTTGTGCGTTCGAGCAGGGGAACTATATTAGATTCATGGGATTCACCAGAGGGATAAACCTCTATAGCCCACTTGATGTACTCGGAGTAAACTCGAAATGGATCGTCGTCTTCTTCCGTCGCGGTAGTGATCTGAGCTTCGAAAGCATGGTGCTGCTCGTCGAGCTCTCTCCTACGCGACTGTCTATCTGATCTGAAAATGGAGGATAGCGTTGATGCTGATCTTCCTTTCGCGAGTGGTTGAATGTTCTCTTTAGATTCGTAGATATCTTGAATATCTACGGTTTGCGGAGGGTTCTCTGGGGAGTTTTCTGTGTGCTGTGGGTGGTTTGTGTGTTGTTCTCCCTGTTCTCCCTGTTCTGGCTGCTCTCGCTGCTGATCCTAAAGATGGCGACAAGTGGTAAGAGATGGTAGCTCGGGCTAGGACATACACGCACACCTGACGACATTTTCCAGCTGGTTTAACAAATTAAATATATTCTCAATTTCACTTGTTGATAGCAGCGCTTGAACGAGTACGACGACGCGCCGGACGCAGAAAAAGAAATGTCGAGAAGAAATCAATTGCTGTCTTCAATGGATGTAGATGACGACGATGAGATGCCGTCGATGCCTTCGATGCGTCCATCAAGCTATGCACAGCGCACAGAAGACACTGGCAGCTCAAAGCCCATGATCGACATCGACGAGCTAATGGCGCAAGATGCAGATACCCCGGAATGTGCACTGGCGCAGCTTACGAGAGCGTGGGTGGCTGAGCGCGGTGCTCCCGTGCTGCTGGAATGGCAGGGCGACGTCGTCGATGAGGTTATGAGTCAAGTAGAGGAGCAGACTAAGATTGTTGAAAGCCTCAAGTCAGATGATAGGAGTACAGATGAGGAGCATTTCCAGCTTATTCTCGTGCAGACTGAAGTTGAGCGCGCGAAATATGTCATCACATCCTATGTTCGTGCGAGATTGAGCAAAGTGGGAGACATATTCTTTAGAAAAGGGATACACACAGCTAAAGAGGATATTACAGATTGAGGAATTCGCTCAGTACATAGTCGCTAACCCATCGAGCCACACGAATCTTTCGGGCATCGAGCTCTCACATGCGCGCAAGTGAGTAGGATTGTAGACACAGAACACACAACTGACATGAGGAGATTCTGGCGTCTGGTTGAGAATCATTATCAGATGTCGGTGTTGCAGGGTCTGCCTACAGCGATGCGTGGGTTGGAAGACAATCAGAATGGGAAGAGCATGATGGCCGAGCCAGATGTGGACACGGCGGTGTTCATCAGGGCGAGGAGGAACGTGGGAGAGGTGCAGCTACCACAGCAGGCGATACAGCTAATGAAGAATGACTGCTACCTGGTACGATACAGGGATGTGAGCTACTTGATAGCGAGTGGGGGAGTGGAGATAGTGTGATGGTTGGGTGTATGAGATGTCTACATGAAATTAATCGATTTTAGTGGTGTTCTTGGGCTTTTGGACCGTAGCCAACGAGCCTGCGCTTACCAAGGATCTCACCAATCTTGAAAATACCCTGGAGAGTGTTAGAATGTGCGTGTGTGCATGTGTGCGCGTGTGCCACCCACATAAGCCTCCAAACCAATTACACCGACCTTGGCCCATTGACCGGATTCGAGGAGTTGAGCGTAGGTTTGGCGTTGAGTGGCCTTAGAGAGAATGCTAGACCAGGTGCTTGCAACTTGGGAGAAAGAAGAAGGCGGTGAGAGCTTCTCTGCTTGATAAACCTGCTTGAGGAGTTCCTTGGAAACTTGGGCGTTGTAGAATAAAGGTTCCCTGTAGCTGCCCAAAGCCCTTTCGACGCCACCGCCGACTCTCTTGAGAATGGTGAGACCAGAGTCGATTATCTTTTGAGCCATTTGGTGGTTTAGATTCAAGGAAGCGTAAGCTTAATTCAGCGACACCATAGGATGGGTTCCGGGCAAGTGGTTTTTAAAATGCACCAGGGAAAGCCTTATTAACGAGCGCATCCTTTATAGTGGGTGAAGTGAAATTTTTCTCGAAGGACCATATCCTAGGAATGCTGGACGAAACGAGAAAATTTTAGTCAACAAGAGAAACAAGTATGAATTCAGAATGTAGATTGTAAATAATAAACAGCTTTACACTGGTTTACGCCCGTATTTGACTCCAAGGAAGAAATGGGGCTACCGGGGAGGAAAGTGTCAGATGACGACCAGGCGCAGCCACAAGTACTTTGTTAATATATCTCATGGGTAAGAGCCGTTTTGTCTTTCAATTCACTATTGCAGCTTACAATTAGCTTCAAACGCTCAATTCGACGAAATGCTAGATATGGCGAACAAGGAGCGTGAGAAGGAGAACAAGAAGCTGCTGTACGCCGAAAATATTGCAGAGATTAGGAAAAGAACCAACAACCCATTAATAACATAAAGGAGAAGAAAGATACTGCCATCAAGGACGAGTGGGGATTGACAAAGATCTAAAGATGAGTAATTTCGGGGCAAAGGTATGATAATTAACCCAATGACGCTTGAAAGGTTGATTTTGTTGAGTATACTCAGTACAATTGCTCAGACGCAAACAAGTCTGATTAAAAAGCAGCCAGTCTTCTCTTGAACACACCGGTGTTATTGACATAGCCGCTGCCAGTCATGATAATAGGTATGTCAGCGATTGATTCCTGCCAGATAAAGCTATCGATCTTGCAGGCGAAGCTGCTTCCACGCTCAAAGTAGCACGCGAGAGTAAACCAGAGTAATTGGCTAAGCTAGACCCAGGCATTCTCGAGATACATGTGCGCAGACTTATATATCATCTTGGTAAATACACTAACTCTTGCGGTAGATTGAGCTGGAATTCCTACAAAACGAAGACAATACACTGTCTAATGAACGTTAAAGTACACAATAAAAGCTTTTTAACGAATATTAAGACGATTCAGAGGGACTGACCAAGATTCAGAATAGAGAGCCCAGATGTCTAACGCTAAGGTCGCCAAAGAGGAGCTCGAGAGAGCGTAAATGCAAAGACACGGTAATCTCGAGCGGACATAGAGATTGCGCCAGGAAAGCATACCTATCACTTCAACGTGATAATGAGATAGCGGAGAAGCAAGCTGAAGAAGGGACGAAGATGCTCCTTGTGAAGGACAGAGTGGCCAGCGAAAACATTGCCAGAGCCATTTCCCGGATGACTGGCATACCAATCAGCAACCTCATACAAGGTGAGATTGAGAAATTGCCTTATGTTGTGTCTTGCTTTTTGCCGTTTTGTTTACACTAACAACCATACGCAGCTCGAAAAAATATTGAATGAGAAGATTGCTGGACAAAACCACATTATCAAACCATTTACAGATGTCGTGCGGCTATCAAGAGCTGGCTTGCGATCAGACGACAGATCCATTGCGTCAGAGATGAAAACACGAAAACAAATAATAAATTACAAGTACAAATTAGATTTTTTGTTATTCAGCAAACCAATTGCACATGGCTCGAAATTTGCAGCAGGAGACCAATTTGAGTGGTTTGAAGGGGAGCTGTTGAGGATGGCGTGTATATCATTCAATCTCGATTCCATGGACGTGAGTGATGTTAAGGGAGTGCTACTGTCTTCTAGAGTGGATAATACGACATCCCAGTACTTAAATTTCAACCAATCAATTGCTTCATTTGTGGAGTGTACGAGCACCTTTAGAGAAGGGAGATTCTCATGAGTAGAAGAATGCCTCAATTGCACGAATTTCAAAGGCAAATCAATCTGCTTAGCGAGGTGGTATATAGACCTGGCGAAAGAGAATTGCTGTAATGGGTCAACGAGACCATTAACAAATCTAATAAGGGACATGCTACATATAAGCTGTTTCTGATTTACGCTGATATCCCCTCTCGCCGAAATATCCAAGCATTCTAATAAAGAAAGCGTGGATTCAATTGAGTGTGGGCAATTACCCCTATTAATCCAAAGCCTGAGAGTGTTTAAGCTGTTTCTATAATCACCACCAAACAACCCATGATAAGTTTCTAGAAATTCATTTTTATTACACCACGGTGTCGTCCTCATTAGATCTCACGGGGATTATTATTAAGCCTCTTTCCACCACAACCATCATGGCAGAATCCACCAAATCAAATAAATCTAAAATGCTTGCACAGAAGCAATCATCCCCTTCTGAGCTCGTCCCTTCAGATATTCTCCTCGACAGATTCAACGCTTGGAAGACTATCACCAAGAATCTCATCGCTTACTTTGAAGGTGTCGCCGACATTGAATCTAACACGGCGAGAGAGTTGACTAAGCTCGGTGGCGTTATCCAAGTCCCTTTCAAAGAGGGTTCTCAATTTATGGGCCACGGCGGTCTCCAGGATGTCTTCTTCGAGGTCCGCGATAGATCAAGATCCATCGCTGACCACCACGCAAACCTCGCTAAGACTATCGATGGCTCTATCGTACAGCACCTACACAAGCTCCATGCCGAAGTCAAGGCTCACATTCGCAACATTGCCAATGACACCTCCAAGTGGGTTAATTGCTCCCGTGATTATTACATCACTGACAAATTTTCAGATTAGCCACTTCCGTTGCTAGAGAGAGAGAGTACTCTATGCGCACCGTCTCTGACCTCCAAAAGGCAATCACCACCACTAAGAACACCCCAACCTCGATTGCCGCAAGAGATGATCCTTACTTGATGAACTCTTTGGTCGCTAAGCAGCTCCAGAAGCAGGTTCAAGAGGAGAATGCTTTGCAAAAGTCCATCGTCATTATGCAGCAAAATTCAGCTCAATTCGAAGAGGGTATAACCTCTTCTCTCCAGTCTGCCTGGTCCACCTTTGACGAGTGGCAGTCTAGGATGTCATACGAAGTCCAAGACACCTGGAAGGGTATGGGTCAAATGTTCGCTTCCTTGGAACCAGACGCTGAGTGGTTGGCTTTCGCTGACAGGACCGACCACCTTATGGACCCAGAGACTCCTCTCCGTCAACAAGAGCTCATCGACTATCCAGGCAGAGACGATCCATCCGTCTTGCCAGTACACGTTGGCTGGCTCGAGCGCAAGAAGAGATTCACAAAGTCTTACAGAGAGGGCTTCTATGTCCTCACACCTGCTGGCTACTTACACGAGTTCACCTCTCCTGATCCAAAGAGCCAGAGCGTCCCATCACTCTCACTTTTCCTGCCAAACTGCACCTTAGGTCCACCATCACACTCTTCCACCTCCAAATCGCACAAGTTCCACTTGGAGGCCAACAAGTCTGGCAAATTCTCGAGAGACCATTCGTACACATTCAGAGCGAGATCGCACGAATCTATGTCCGAATGGTGGAACGATCTCAGAATGCTCGTATCGAGATACCTGGTCGCGTCTGAGACTATGGATAGATCAGGTCCAATTGCTGCCGCCGTCCGCAGCGCCGGCTACATCTCCGAGTCAGAAGAAGAGGGCGGCTCAAGTCTCGAGGAAGAAGAGGAGACGTTCAGCGAGACGTACGAAAACCAGCCAACAGAGGCTGAGCAAAGCCATCTCCAGCACGCCAAAGAGGACGAGGAGGTAGCCAGAGCGCACGTCGACGAGGCCGAGACAGACTCGGAATCTGAGCTCGAAGAGGAGGATGAGGAGGAGGCCGCGCCGGCTTATACCTCCCCTAGAGCCTCGTCCGGCATCCAGGTCGGCAAGGATGGCATCGTCGAGAAGCCCACTGTGAAGGTCGGCAGGAAGTCCTCCAAACGCTCTTCCAAGACGCAGCAACCGGAAAAGCTCCTCACGGGCGAGAGCCTCGACAAGGAGGAGCACGACGACAGTCAGAGCCCTGGTCTCCTCGGTAAATTCAAGGAGGTATTTATCAAGTCGACCGAAAATCCCGCCGAAAATGCACCAGCTGATGAGAAGACAGCCGCAAACACCGCTCAGGCCCAAAGCACCGCTGCTGCTGCGTAGAATGGGAGGATCAAAGCGCTAAAGTGGGATACTTTGCTTCGTGTGGCGTTTTCTTTAGCGTGCTATCATGCCACTGCTAATTCTATCTACTATCTACTCTTAATTCTAATACATTCATGACTAACGCTCTCTTGGATCTCTTTATCTTAACTTATAATTATACTGTTATGATTTTTTTTTGAGGAATGTGTGTGGTATGCAGTGTGTGCAACGCGGTGTATACACTCATGTGTATGTAATTTATGGCTAATAAGGTCACAAAACACCCGGAAATCATACAAAACACAAGTCACGCTGACAAACATTACAGAGCTGATAATGCTTTCTTCAATATTCGTGTTGATTTCGGCTAATTAGTTAATATCGAGGTGGCATTTGTTATCTCCATGGACTGTCCTAATCCACGCCTGGTCAAGTGATAGGGCTGTCAAGATTTTCCATCCAGGCAGCAGTCTTGCATGGAGGTACCACTGTGAGCTTTCACTGTACGTGATGCACCACAGGCCATTGCTGCTCATGCTAACAAGTCAATGGATAGTATCGAAAAGGGTGGTTGGACTATCAGGGCCGGTGAAAGGGCAAACGAGTATAATCGAAATATCGTTTTCACTTCATATGCATTTAGACATAGATTGCTTTGGTGTGTGTGTGACTACATGCAACACTCGATATTCAATGAGCTAAAAGCGGTCATCTCGTACACTTTGTGCGTAAAAGTCTGCCCTTTGACACATTAATGCGTCTCAAAAAGATTAGACAAATCGAATCTACGCCATAGCCCTAGGTCTCGAAACAAAGAGGGGCAAAAATGTTCGTCAGGAGCAGGACTCGAACCTACGCACCAGATGGTACTTGATAACGTCTGAGACATTCAAGTCAAGCGCCTTAACCACTCGGCCATCCTGACTATAGGTGCCTACCCTACCTGCGTAACTAATACATCGAGCAAAATGCAGGAACGGGTAACATGACATCATGGTCGCTATGAGAACAATGAGAATAAAGAATAATGAAGATTATGCATGATTATGCACGAGGACAATGAAGATAACGAAACAATGGGAATAAACCCTAAAATTCTAAACTGTTTAAACGACTACTTTTTCTTTTGATACATCTCAGACTTAATTCTTTTATTAATCTCAGCGCCTTGCCCTTTTTGTAGAGTTTCACCTCACAAAGATCAAGACGTTTACACTGACATCTGCAAGTTGAAACTTCTGCCTTACTTTAATCCGCAGCGCAGAAGATCTGATCTGGCAAAGCGGGTGCGCGGCTGCGCAGTGGGAATTGCGTGTGCACGAGTGTAAAAGGCCTAGTACTCCCCCCACGGTTGAGCGTTTGCTCCGGGAGCGGCTTTGATTAAGCTTCCCCGTGGTACGCAAAGTGTGGCCACACAGATCCGCTCAGGCCATTTCCCTACTGCCAAGTCTTAACGATTCCAATTAAAACTGTCCGACTCACCACTTTGCAGCAAGTGCAATGAAGTAGACAGTATACCACGCAGGATTTTCAGATGTAGGAAGTTCGATCAAGCAAGATTATCGTTGAGGAGGAGGATATATGGATTGGGTTTAAGGTTCGAGATGAAATATATGCTTTCAAACGAAGAAGCTCTCAAAGCTCTCTACGAGTTCTTCAAAAACCAGCTCAGCACCCAACCGCGCACCTCCGTTAGCTCCACGTAGTTACCTCCCAATTGCGGCACACGTGCCAAGAATTGCATTCCTCTGAGTCACTACAATCATCAGCTTTCGATACACAAGAAGTATAGATAGGCGAAGATTATTAATCGTTGTAACGCTTTTGACTATATATTATTATTTCTACCTATCATCTCCAGATCGAGAATGTCATGTTTAATGACTAGTGCGTCGTAGGACCTTGATAAATGCAAAGTCGGAGATTCTTGAATGTCATTCTGCAGCGATTGTTTTTGCGATGAATTTATTGCGAATAGCGTAGTGATGTGCACTGTACTAGTCCAATTGTGACATGCTGCAAAGAGTGTGATTTGGTTGTTAGTTTTCTACATATCTAATGTCCGACTTTTCCAATTTAAATGCAGTCTTAAACGCCTTTTCTTGCTTTTTTCCTGGAGCTGACATTGAGTCGTGTGGACCACACGCGTCTGAAAGCGCAAAACGCGTCTGATAAGCTGAGTACTTGAGTTATTTGGGTGTTTGTGATGTAAATCAGCCTGCAGAAATAAGGTGCATCGAATGGGTAAAGATTCAAGGTGAAGCTGCCATTTCTGTGATGCAAAGCCAATACACAGAAAGGGTGATAGTGAGGCAGTATGCTTTTTACTGATTTACCAATTTACTTCTGATAAATCCAGCTGAGGTGAATTTCAAGGTGTTCTCTTGCACGCGGTGGTCAGATGTCAAGGCATCTCTTGCCCTCTCACCACCATCAAGATATCAAAATGAGCACACTCAAACCAGCTGCCCCGCTATCCACAAGGAATAGCTCACCGGTGAAGAAGGGCGACGATGGTGATATCAGCAGCCCGCACGAGTTGACCGCGTTTGTGAGTTGAATGCAGCAACGCTTTCGAATCTCACGGGAATCAAGGTAGAGGATGTGCTCAACAAGCTCGATACGAAGTTCGACACTATGTCCGGAGTTGTGTTAGAGAAGATGGATGAAATGGCGGATCGCGTTGATAGCCTCGAGAATAGTATTCAGGGCCTGGTCAATTCAGCTGGAACGCTATCGCCCAGGCCTTCTTCTCCTCGGTCTCCAAGGATTTGATAGGATAAGTCTGAAGCAATGACGAGGATGCAGAATATACCTTACACCTCTTGACTTGGAAATACCAGCTTAAATGTAAACAAATGATCCGACTTTTTGATATACATGATTCCAATTCAGAAATGCATTGATTGGGAATATACACACTAGGTTTAGAGCTTCTCTTGACGAACCAAGCGCTATCAACCACTCTGTAAAACTTGTAGCGCTCATCTTGAGTCGAGTTTGAAGGAATAGGCGCAATTGCTAGATATGGCTCGACTTGTAGCATTCCAGATTTGAGACAAGGCAAATTATTCTTCAGATGACTTTCGATTGCACCGATAAAGCGATAAGTACAAAGTCCTATAGAGGTGACAATCTCAAAGTGTGTAATATTCTAAGCATGATTGCAACTCCATATGTAAGGAAAGGGAGCGCGCAATCGTAGCTTTCTATTATGTTATCACTCAACATTTTGAGCTCTTTGATTCGACTGGCTCGCTGAACAAGTGCCAAGATCTGGGTATGTGGCTCTTTGTAATCAGAGATTGGACCAAATCCAACTTGAAAGGTTTGGATGGGTGGTATGGCCTTGACTATATCAAAATAGCTGAAAGGAGCGTTGAGCGTAGCAGCTGGCCCATTAATCTTGAGCTCTCTTAATTGGCCTAGAAAGAGTTTGAATCTAATTGTGCCCAATTTACGTTAAAAAATTGGCTTTTTGCTTTGTCTTTGATAAGATGGTCGAGATCCCGAATAAGCTGGTCTGAACGCGTGCCGTGGTGTGCTTTATCAATATCTCAAAAGATTTGGAATTTGCGCATGCCATGGCGTATTTCTGTCCTTCTTTTGATTTGTGGATGATAAGACTGATGAATAGTAAGAGACCAGAATAGATATGGGTATGCGAGGTTATGCAGATGTTTGCATAGCTTTGAAAAGCCAACATTCACTTTGAGTAACTGGATTAGGATATCATCCGGTAAATCGAAGAGATTCACTGTGTTGGTTCAGATATGAGGCGAAGTGGGGTAAGAATAGACTATATCATACTTTATATAATACTTTGCGGCTAACTACAATAAAAATAGGGTATATTCTCGACCAAATCGTTAAAACGAAACAACAACACCGACAATCGCAGCGATGAGACACCCTATACAGAGGGGCACGCTGACGAGTGCAGCGATACGGCATCGAAGAACCCACCTGTCCGGATAATCACGTGTGAGAGGTGGGAGTAAGCTGAGGTCCGGATCGCTTGAAACGAATTTACGCGGTTTGACACCTTGTTTGAAGAGATGGTTGGCCGAAGTTGGATTGTTAGAAGAATCCTGGTTGCCCCAGCTGGTAGCTATAGAGGATTGCGATGGGTGTGCATCCATAGCAGCGCCGCTGTCACTTCTTGCGAAACTAGCACTGCCGCTCGAGCTATTTCTCTTGTGTGTTGGTTTTTCTGACAGCGCAGTTTTCTCCTTATCGTTGTTCTGTTTCTCGGTCTCACGGATTTTGAATGCCAAGTTGATTTCATTCCATTCACTCGCCCAGTCCCTCCGCCTATCATCTGCTTTGACTCTCTGCACAGCTGCGCCGTCACGCGAATCCAGCGTCCACCCACCAATCAGCCACACCGCGGGCCCGAAGAGGAAGCCCAAGAAAAAGCAGTTAGACGCCGCACTCGAGTTCTCAGCATCGAATATGCGTGCCAAAAAAGACTTGCTCTCCAGTCCTATATCCGGAACATCCTTTACGCTCTTAATTGCGTCTGACGGCAGTGAAGCTAGTGCTCTGGCCACCGACTGCGATGATGATGCTTGTGTGTTTTCTATGTCGTGCAAATCCGAGTCGTAGACATGGATAGAAATGTGACTATCAGAGTCCGAGCTGTTTTCTGTGGTATCTGGGATGTTTGCTGATGCAGATGGCGATAAAATGTCTAAAATAATTGTCAGGTACGCAAGGTATCGGACAAACTTCACCCACTGCTTTTTCGCATCTTTTCCCAGAATGAGGGCAGTCTTTGGCGCGAATTGGTGGTATCTTGACGGTCTTCGAAACTGCTGTCGTCGAATGCCGACTTGGGTTCGCCTTCTTCTTTGAATTTGACATTGTTCGCGAGCCTAGATGCATCGTTACTGTTGTTACGAGAGCTTGCTGGTGTTGGCGACCTAGGGCCATCAATTCCAGCCTCTTCTTCCTCCTCCTCCTCCTCATCATCACCTTGCTCTTCTTCAGGAACCTCTTCAATCCGTGAGTCGTTGTTCATAAGCTCTGTTGTGCGAGCATTCTTGAGAGTTTTAGGAGTGCGATGAGTGTTTCCAGGACTCATTGGGTGCAAGACCGGGGTTGAGGTTGTTCTAAACTTGGGAGGTGTCGGTGGGGGTATGTAGTACAAACGCTCGACCGAAGGAGACGTTTGGGTGAGCTTTGGCGGTACTGCGAGGGGCGGGGATGCGTATACTGGCTCTGGAGTTGGTGGTGGAGCGTTGTTCTTGCTATTCTCCTTGTCATTTTCAGCGCGTCGCTCCTCCTCATCGCCAATTACGATAAGGTCCGCGAGCTTGGTCTCATTATGAGTCTTTACATCACCCTTATCCTTCTCCAATCTTAAAGACGCGCTTATCGAGGGTGGTGTGTTAGTTAGCGAGGGCGGTGTGGATGGATGTACGCCGCTGCTGACATCAAAAAGAGAACTCGCGCTATCAGAGTCAAATAGAGATTCTCTTGGTGATTTGAGATCTTCTGAGTATAGCTGAGGATAGCGAGTGGTGTGAGCGGTGTGAGCAGTGTGTGTGGATGAGTTATTCAGCTGTAAAGGCGGTGGACGTTTTCTCTCTGAATCAAGTGACATGCTCAAACCAACGCTAAGCGTTCAACTCTACGCCCGCTATCGCATAATCCCCTTCAAAGCAGCAGATTCATACCAACCGGGATGAATCTGCGTACGCTTGCATTCCAAACTAAATCACACAGCAGCCATGATGTACTCGTGGCTGTCTCCAAAAATTAAATTTGTACCAAACCGGTTACTCTCCAAGCCTTCTTCTCTCAGTGCGTCCAACAAGTCCCTCCAGAAATGTCGTCAAGCAATTCAGACAAAGAGGCGCACAGATCGAGCACCCATCCACGGATAGTCTGTGGCGCTGTGCCAATCGACTACGACTCCAAACAGATACTGCTCATTTCCTCAAGGAAACACCAGGGCAATTGGGTACTCCCAAAGGGCGGATATGAGCTATCTGATGTGCGCCTGGAAACGGCAGCGTCGAGAGAGGCTTATGAGGAGGGTTTGTCAAATGCACGTAGCCGTGACTATCTTTGATGTAGATTACAGCCGGCGTGATTGGTCAAGTGAGGAATTTGATTCTATCAATCGACGACAAGCGGCCGATAAAAACGCTGTCTGATAGTGATCCTTTTATACCCAGAGCGCGTTACCACTTCTTCGAGTAGGTGGCTGCGTTGAAGTGGCGCTATTCGCATGCTCACCCAAATTAGAATATCAGTTGAAGATCTAAACAACACGTGGCCGGAATCTGGGGCCTCGTTCCCGTTGCGCCACGAAGGAGCGGAGAGGGTCTTCTGATCTCTATTGGCTTCACTCTCAAGCCGGCTCTCTTGAGAGTAGATGCACGTAGTTTACCAGGACCAAAGTCGAAAGATGCAGAGAGAGAGCAATAGGTAGGATGACTTCCACACAGGCGGCCAGGATGCTGATTAAGCTTCCCCGTGGTACGCAAAGTGTGGCCACACAGATCCGCTCAGGCCATTTCCCTACTGCCAAGTCTTAACGATTCCAATTAAAACTGTCCGACTCACCACTTTGCAGCAAGTGCAATGAAGTAGACAGTATACCACGCAGGATTTTCAGATGTAGGAAGTTCGATCAAGCAAGATTATCGTTGAGGAGGAGGATATATGGATTGGGTTTAAGGTTCGAGATGAAATATATGCTTTCAAATGAAGAAGCTCTCAAAGCCCCTCTACGACTTCTTCAAAAACCAGCTCAGCACCCACCCGCGCGCCTCCGGTAGCTCCACGTATTTACGCGGCACACGTGCCAAGAATTGCATTCCTCTGAGTCACTACAATCATCAGCTTTCGATACACAAGAAGTATAGATAGGCGAAGATTATTAATCGTTGTAACGCTTTTGACTATATATTATTATTTCTACCTATCATCTCCAGATCGAGAATGTCATGTTTAATGACTAGTGCGTCGTAGGACCTTGATAAATGCAAAGTCGGAGATTCTTGAATGTCATTCTGCAGCGATTGTTTTTGCGATGAATTTATTGCGAATAGCGTAGTGATGTGCACTGTACTAGTCCAATTGTGACATGCTGCAAAGAGTGTGATTTGGTTGTTAGTTTTCTACATATCTAATGTCCGACTTTTCCAATTTAAATGCAGTCTTAAACGCCTTTTCTTGCTTTTTTCCTGGAGCTGACATTGAGTCGTGTGGACCACACGCGTCTGAAAGCGCAAAACGCGTCTGATAAGCTGAGTACTTGAGTTATTTGGGTGTTTGTGATGTAAATCAGCCTGCAGAAATAAGGTGCATCGAATGGGTAAAGATTCAAGGTGAAGCTGCCATTTCTGTGATGCAAAGCCAATACACAGAAAGGGTGATAGTGAGGCAGTATGCTTTTTACTGATTTACCAATTTACTTCTGATAAATCCAGCTGAGGTGAATTTCAAGGTGTTCTCTTGCACGCGGTGGTCAGATGTCAAGGCATCTCTTGCCCTCTCACCACCATCAAGATATCAAAATGAGCACACTCAAACCAGCTGCCCCGCTATCCACAAGGAATAGCTCACCGGTGAAGAAGGGCGACGATGGTGATATCAGCAGCCCGCACGAGTTGACCGCGTTTGTGAGTTGAATGCAGCAACGCTTTCGAATCTCACGGGAATCAAGGTAGAGGATGTGCTCAACAAGCTCGATACGAAGTTCGACACTATGTCCGGAGTTGTGTTAGAGAAGATGGATGAAATGGCGGATCGCGTTGATAGCCTCGAGAATAGTATTCAGGGCCTGGTCAATTCAGCTGGAACGCTATCGCCCAGGCCTTCTTCTCCTCGGTCTCCAAGGATTTGATAGGATAAGTCTGAAGCAATGACGAGGATGCAGAATATACCTTACACCTCTTGACTTGGAAATACCAGCTTAAATGTAAACAAATGATCCGACTTTTTGATATACATGATTCCAATTCAGAAATGCATTGATTGGGAATATACACACTAGGTTTAGAGCTTCTCTTGACGAACCAAGCGCTATCAACCACTCTGTAAAACTTGTAGCGCTCATCTTGAGTCGAGTTTGAAGGAATAGGCGCAATTGCTAGATATGGCTCGACTTGTAGCATTCCAGATTTGAGACAAGGCAAATTATTCTTCAGATGACTTTCGATTGCACCGATAAAGCGATAAGTACAAAGTCCTATAGAGGTGACAATCTCAAAGTGTGTAATATTCTAAGCATGATTGCAACTCCATATGTAAGGAAAGGGAGCGCGCAATCGTAGCTTTCTATTATGTTATCACTCAACATTTTGAGCTCTTTGATTCGACTGGCTCGCTGAACAAGTGCCAAGATCTGGGTATGTGGCTCTTTGTAATCAGAGATTGGACCAAATCCAACTTGAAAGGTTTGGATGGGTGGTATGGCCTTGACTATATCAAAATAGCTGAAAGGAGCGTTGAGCGTAGCAGCTGGCCCATTAATCTTGAGCTCTCTTAATTGGCCTAGAAAGAGTTTGAATCTAATTGTGCCCAATTTACGTTAAAAAATTGGCTTTTTGCTTTGTCTTTGATAAGATGGTCGAGATCCCGAATAAGCTGGTCTGAACGCGTGCCGTGGTGTGCTTTATCAATATCTCAAAAGATTTGGAATTTGCGCATGCCATGGCGTATTTCTGTCCTTCTTTTGATTTGTGGATGATAAGACTGATGAATAGTAAGAGACCAGAATAGATATGGGTATGCGAGGTTATGCAGATGTTTGCATAGCTTTGAAAAGCCAACATTCACTTTGAGTAACTGGATTAGGATATCATCCGGTAAATCGAAGAGATTCACTGTGTTGGTTCAGATATGAGGCGAAGTGGGGTAAGAATAGACTATATCATACTTTATATAATACTTTGCGGCTAACTACAATAAAAATAGGGTATATTCTCGACCAAATCGTTAAAACGAAACAACAACACCGACAATCGCAGCGATGAGACACCCTATACAGAGGGGCACGCTGACGAGTGCAGCGATACGGCATCGAAGAACCCACCTGTCCGGATAATCACGTGTGAGAGGTGGGAGTAAGCTGAGGTCCGGATCGCTTGAAACGAATTTACGCGGTTTGACACCTTGTTTGAAGAGATGGTTGGCCGAAGTTGGATTGTTAGAAGAATCCTGGTTGCCCCAGCTGGTAGCTATAGAGGATTGCGATGGGTGTGCATCCATAGCAGCGCCGCTGTCACTTCTTGCGAAACTAGCACTGCCGCTCGAGCTATTTCTCTTGTGTGTTGGTTTTTCTGACAGCGCAGTTTTCTCCTTATCGTTGTTCTGTTTCTCGGTCTCACGGATTTTGAATGCCAAGTTGATTTCATTCCATTCACTCGCCCAGTCCCTCCGCCTATCATCTGCTTTGACTCTCTGCACAGCTGCGCCGTCACGCGAATCCAGCGTCCACCCACCAATCAGCCACACCGCGGGCCCGAAGAGGAAGCCCAAGAAAAAGCAGTTAGACGCCGCACTCGAGTTCTCAGCATCGAATATGCGTGCCAAAAAAGACTTGCTCTCCAGTCCTATATCCGGAACATCCTTTACGCTCTTAATTGCGTCTGACGGCAGTGAAGCTAGTGCTCTGGCCACCGACTGCGATGATGATGCTTGTGTGTTTTCTATGTCGTGCAAATCCGAGTCGTAGACATGGATAGAAATGTGACTATCAGAGTCCGAGCTGTTTTCTGTGGTATCTGGGATGTTTGCTGATGCAGATGGCGATAAAATGTCTAAAATAATTGTCAGGTACGCAAGGTATCGGACAAACTTCACCCACTGCTTTTTCGCATCTTTTCCCAGAATGAGGGCAGTCTTTGGCGCGAATTGGTGGTATCTTGACGGTCTTCGAAACTGCTGTCGTCGAATGCCGACTTGGGTTCGCCTTCTTCTTTGAATTTGACATTGTTCGCGAGCCTAGATGCATCGTTACTGTTGTTACGAGAGCTTGCTGGTGTTGGCGACCTAGGGCCATCAATTCCAGCCTCTTCTTCCTCCTCCTCCTCCTCATCATCACCTTGCTCTTCTTCAGGAACCTCTTCAATCCGTGAGTCGTTGTTCATAAGCTCTGTTGTGCGAGCATTCTTGAGAGTTTTAGGAGTGCGATGAGTGTTTCCAGGACTCATTGGGTGCAAGACCGGGGTTGAGGTTGTTCTAAACTTGGGAGGTGTCGGTGGGGGTATGTAGTACAAACGCTCGACCGAAGGAGACGTTTGGGTGAGCTTTGGCGGTACTGCGAGGGGCGGGGATGCGTATACTGGCTCTGGAGTTGGTGGTGGAGCGTTGTTCTTGCTATTCTCCTTGTCATTTTCAGCGCGTCGCTCCTCCTCATCGCCAATTACGATAAGGTCCGCGAGCTTGGTCTCATTATGAGTCTTTACATCACCCTTATCCTTCTCCAATCTTAAAGACGCGCTTATCGAGGGTGGTGTGTTAGTTAGCGAGGGCGGTGTGGATGGATGTACGCCGCTGCTGACATCAAAAAGAGAACTCGCGCTATCAGAGTCAAATAGAGATTCTCTTGGTGATTTGAGATCTTCTGAGTATAGCTGAGGATAGCGAGTGGTGTGAGCGGTGTGAGCAGTGTGTGTGGATGAGTTATTCAGCTGTAAAGGCGGTGGACGTTTTCTCTCTGAATCAAGTGACATGCTCAAACCAACGCTAAGCGTTCAACTCTACGCCCGCTATCGCATAATCCCCTTCAAAGCAGCAGATTCATACCAACCGGGATGAATCTGCGTACGCTTGCATTCCAAACTAAATCACACAGCAGCCATGATGTACTCGTGGCTGTCTCCAAAAATTAAATTTGTACCAAACCGGTTACTCTCCAAGCCTTCTTCTCTCAGTGCGTCCAACAAGTCCCTCCAGAAATGTCGTCAAGCAATTCAGACAAAGAGGCGCACAGATCGAGCACCCATCCACGGATAGTCTGTGGCGCTGTGCCAATCGACTACGACTCCAAACAGATACTGCTCATTTCCTCAAGGAAACACCAGGGCAATTGGGTACTCCCAAAGGGCGGATATGAGCTATCTGATGTGCGCCTGGAAACGGCAGCGTCGAGAGAGGCTTATGAGGAGGGTTTGTCAAATGCACGTAGCCGTGACTATCTTTGATGTAGATTACAGCCGGCGTGATTGGTCAAGTGAGGAATTTGATTCTATCAATCGACGACAAGCGGCCGATAAAAACGCTGTCTGATAGTGATCCTTTTATACCCAGAGCGCGTTACCACTTCTTCGAGTAGGTGGCTGCGTTGAAGTGGCGCTATTCGCATGCTCACCCAAATTAGAATATCAGTTGAAGATCTAAACAACACGTGGCCGGAATCTGTGAGTTGTGGTGGGATACATTGGTAACTCATCTAAACAGCATCAGAAGGAGCGTGAAAGGTGTTGGTTTTCATTGAGCGATGCGCTGCATAGAGTCAGCTGGAGGGACGAGCAGAGGGCTGCACTTCTCGCGTGTAGCTTGAACCCGCCATCAAGTTAGTACAAGTTATACAGCCTCAGCAGCTAGTTTGGATTAAGTCTTTGTATCATTATCTATATCTCACCACATGTCTTGCAAGTCGTTCGATACATGCTTCTCGTGATTTTGCTAACGAGAAGGCCAAGGCCAAGGCACAAAGGAGTTCACCTATAAGAACAAATCACTACAATGAAACGATACTTTAGGCTAACAAATATTAGTTATCGGCTTAAAATTTAGATCAGGGCGAAATACCGCAATCACTTTGACAAACGTGCGAAGATGTAGTTACGTAGACCCTCGTCGTGTGATGATAGACCAAGTGGCGCGATTATTGCTTGAAGTGTATAAGCACAGTAGTAATACCAAGTTCTTAACGCATTCGGTACTTTTTTTTTTTGGCTCTTCGGGAGGCGACTTATGGGAGTACGGCCGGCATCATGATGTTTAGATTACTTAGCAAGATAAATTTAGACGCGGTGAACGCTAAAGCTGTAATATCTCATTCAAGTGTTTGGAAACGCTACATCAGACATCACGCACAATCATCCTCATCATTGCCAAGATCAGTTATGTCATACGCAGATTAATTCTATGATTGAAATTCGAGCGATTATAATATTATTCTGGTATGTACGAAAGGTCAATTTTAAGTTAAATCAAAGTCTTTTGGTAAAAAGGATGCGATGCAAAATGTATGACCGATGAGAGATTCGAACTCCCGACCTCCAGATAGCACCTTCTATTGGAATCTGTTGCGCTACCACTGCGCCAATCAGCCTCTAAATTGGAGCTTCGAAACGTTAAATAAGTACCCATAATTAATAGATCTAACTATTTGCGCTGCAATTCGGCGAAATGCTACGCCTCACGAAATATTCAAACCATAATTGACTACGTATCAAAAATACCTCGGTGGTTCTGTGTAATTGAAAACCATCAACAATTTACAAATTACGATGCTAGTCAAGAAACACTTCCAGTAAATTCAGCACCCCTTTGACTCCTCATGCTTTATGAAGTATTGATGGATGCAGTTTATAGTATATATCTCTTAAGAATATACTCAGATTTCATCATCATAATCATCGGCGAAATCACGCAGGAAAGGGAGCTATAGGCATCTGACTTTCATGATGTAATACTCGAACAAAATCAATGTAATAATTCAGTCGGACATTCCCTAATCTCGCAAGTTGACACTCAAATATCAATAAAAGGATGTGAATGAGATAAATATGCGGTCTAGAAATACGAGATGATCATAGACAAATCACTTGACCCTTCAAGCCTTCTTATAGATGTCGAAGGGATCTCGTTTGATTTTCTTGTATGAATTCTTGGTTGGAGATGTGTGGTTACTACCAATTAATGCGATCTCTTGCTGCGTCAGACAGTCATCAAGGCTTAAGGCAGTGAGCTTGAAATAATGCTCAGTCTAGGAAATACTTACTGCTTGTTAATAGTATCGTTCGACATATTCGGATCGCCAGTGATGTTAAATTTCTTGGCGCAAACGGGACATTTGAGAATATCGGGTGCATCTGGAGCATTCGATGTACCTGCACACTCTTTCTCCGTTTCTTTGCGCTTTGGCTTTGGTATAAATACATCTACATCGCTATCACTCTCGTCGAGATCATCGAAGAAAGGTTTCTGTTGTGTCTTGAGGGTATCAGATGTATGCTTGTCTTTAGATGCATCACTTGCTGTTGTATTTCCACTCTCATCGAGATCGTTGAAGAAAGGTTTTTGTTGTGTCTTGAGGGTATCAGATGTATGCTTGTCTTTAGATGCACCGCTTGCTGCTTCAATCTCCTTTTCTTTTCCGAGAACTGGCTTTTCGATGATTTCAACATCACTATCAGTGTCATTGGGGGTATGGTTTTTACTACTTTCCTGCTGCTGTTTGGTCAAGAACTGAGTGATTTCACCCCTAGCGCTGCCGACAAACTGTAGGTTAGTAAGACGCACTCCCAGTAGCCGCAGTGTCAATGGTAGCTCTCTCTCTAAGAGCCCTCTCGCGACTGGCCATATATCCTCAGAGGTGCACACGAAGCGCTCCACCGACATGGCCCGTGTGAAGTTCTCAAACGTGTGTTTCTTATACTTGAGCGTAACAGTACGTCCTTTGAACTGGGTTCTTCTAAGATCGGCTTCGAGTTCATGGCAGAGCATGTGCAATTTCTCCAGAAGAGCAATGCTGTCTGAGAGAGGCTGGAATGTTTTCTCTGTGCCGACACTCTTCCTGTCTTCCCTGCAAGGTTTGTTAGCAGGCGGTTAAAGTGTGCTGCGCTGTACGCACTGCTTCGCTGGAGCGACAACGTTGCTGAATATACCGAGATAGGCGCGTAGGAGACCCTCCGACTGCAGCTCTTTGCGCAGGAGGTGTATCTCCACCAGATGTTCTGCTATATCGCCGCATGCATTAATACCGAGGGATTGTAGCAGACGCTCGTTGATGCGACCGATGCCAGGCACCTGCTCAAGTTGCAGTGCATCTGCGTAGCTAAAATCAACAACCCACCTTGCGTATCGGGAGATCTTTCATGAAAGCGCGTACGGCATCCAGGGAGAACTGCATAGTATATTCACCATTTGGTTTGTTCTGTGGTGTGTGTTGGTGGCGTGCTTAGGTAAGTTATCACGCCTCACTTTATCTGAACAGATCTGGATTAAAGTTGTATTACGTCAGACGTATTTCTATGTGTATGTGCGCACCTTGGCTAATGTTTTGTTAGGTGCGACGCCCGTCGACACAGTGAGACCTGTCTCTGCATGCACCGCGCTGCGTAGACGCTGCGAGACCTCTTGTGGCGTGAGGGCATGTTCATTCATGTACGCAGTCACGCTTGAGGATTGTGAGTATGACACTACTCAGCACTCTTTACCCACTTGAGATACGCTTCATCAAGCGATGCTGCTGCCATATTCTCGTCGAATCGCGCGAAGATATCCATCACCTGCCTGGACTGCATAGTAATGTGAATGAGTGCCATAGAACACTCCACCAACCCACCTTATCGACATATCTTTCCATCCGCATGGGGACTTCAATGAAATGATCGCACAACTTCCGCGCTATGAAGCACGGCATGGCTGAGCGAATGCCATACTTTCGCGCTTCGTAAGACGCAGTCGTGAGGATGCCTTTACCGACGCCAAATGGCTTTCCATGGAGATCTGGGTTGTCGAGCACTTCCACGGCAGCGTAAAACATATCCATGTCACAATGCATTATAAATTGGCTCAAGTCGCGCTCAGCGTCCATATTCTTTAGTGTGCTATGTACGGAGTGCAATATTGACGACTGATTTGCATTCTCCAAGCGCTGTTTGAGAATATTTTGGATAGCGGCTACTTTCGCCGTTGTGTGCTCGTCACGCTTTACCTCATTGTTGAAGAAGCGTCCGCCTTTGCTGGCATCGTGGATAATGTGGTTGATGCGCTCTTGGTTGGAATCTAGACCAGCCTTGCCAGCGGAAGGACCGGCTAGCCTGCGTAGCAGACTGTTGCTATCTGATGATGATGACGACATGTAAACAAGAATGCAAAAAATACAATAAGCTGAGAAAAATCAGCTAGTCAATTTCAATTGGCGTCTTATCAGTGACTTTCTGCCGTTTGTTGGCGTGATTTTGGGTGTCTTGGTCTTCATCGCTGTCCAAGCTAATCGTATTGCTCGATTTAGGTGTTACTTTAGGAAGGGCGTTCTCAGAAGTCATTTTACGAGCGACCTAAAGAGAATGTAAGCAGAGTCAGAGAGGGTATAACGCATGCAGCGCGCTCACTTGATCGTGATCATTTTTATCTTGCTTGTAGTGCTTTGCGATTTGAGAGTCAAGGGGATCATCTGGCTGTCTAAGTCATGTTGATCGACAAAGCTTATCAACTCACCAGTATTACAGTCAGTGAGCAAAGAAGATATGGACAAAACGACTTTCTGTAAGGATAATGCAGGAGACCATTTAGATTTGAGGATATCCAAACAAATGTTGCCAAGTCTATTTATGTTACAGTGATAGATTTTAGTTAAAAATTTCACTTGTGGTGGGGAGAAAGGGTAGTCGGGTGGTATAGTGATGCTAATTTCAAATCTGCCAGCATCATATGGGCTACCCTCTGGGCCATCAATGATAGCCTTCCACTCAAAAGGGAAATCAGGATTTACTGGGGATAGCGAAATACCAACAAGTGGCTCATTTTTAATATCTTTCATCTAATCCACTAGTCAAATTGATAATATTATTTCAACCAAAACACACCTCCTTATGAAGACGCTTGATCGTTACTGTTTTAGAAGACATTTGAAAGTGATATTGAGATGATGGATGTAAAGAAGGAAAGACGAATTAATACTAATAATTAAATATTTTCCAATTTTAAGTAATTTATATCTTATCCACCAACCATCACAACCTTCACTGCCTAATCAATGGACGCAGACGATGACGAGATTTTAATTGATAGTAGCGCTGAATTAGAATTTGGGGAGCGTATAAGTCCCAGCCATCGGAATCCGAGCACTCCTACACCACCTCACAAGAAACTGAACATAACGGCGGAATTGGAATCCACAATGATCCTACGTGATTTAGAACAATTAGAAGCTGAGGATGAAGATTTAGATAAGACTAATAGTTTCGATTTTTATGCAGAATTGGGCGAATTTGATAAACATTTGAGTAAATTGAGACAATCAAAGAATTACTTGAAGAGGAGAGAATTACAGCGGGAGGCTGACAGATTTCAATCTGCTGAATATGAATCAAAACAGCCTTCAAATAGATTCACAAAGTCGCGCAAACGTAAAGTTAGTAACGATCAAGGCGATAGAAGGTATTCTTATATGAGAGGTCCTCCCACTCCACGCAGATTAGCTGATAAAAGCTGGATTGATGGTCTTAGTGGTCATGATGATCAGAGTGCTCATGATGATAAGGATGAAAACAAGAAAAGCGATGGAAAGGATTTACATGGTGAAAATGATGAACTAGACGACTTATTGCAAGATTATACTTTTGACAATCATTTGAGACATCTTCCAGAACAACCAACAAACAACCAACATCACTCACCTCCCAGTCCAACTGAAAATGACTCAATCATTAATACAAATGCTGACATGTCATCAAAATCAGCAAATGAACCATTCCCTCAAATTAAGCAAGAATCGTCACTGCCTGACGTGATTGATAAGGATTATCATCAGGCGCCTTCTTCACAGCAACCTCAACAAAACTCATCGACGTTTCAATTTTCACCAAATTCAAATCAGCTTCACTCAACGAGCGGAAAGAGCCACAATTTTAACCTTGATGTTGACCGTGGTAATAATCATGATAAGAGTCATGATACTAGTGACAACATCAGCCACGATATCAGCCACATTAACAACCAAGATACCCGAGCAAATCACTCTAATCTCAATGCAACCATACTCCCTCACGTCGACAATGTTCTAAGTCCCAACAACGAAGCCATAGTGGAGATATACAGCGAAGATCCAGCAGTAGCAGCCCATGCGACTAAAGTTCTCCAGCTGGTGAGTTGCACCTAGAGGTATTACATCATACTTACCACTTGTAGCCCAACAGGAACATAGAAACAGGCGAACATCCTCAGCTCTTCTACGCGAAAAAGATGCAAAAAGCGGAGAATGAGATAGAAATGAGTATGCCGCATGTGTTTGGAGGAGGTGACAAGCAAAGTATGCATGATCAGACACTTGAACATGAGCAAAGTCATGCGCACTCGCAGGCACAATTACAATTGCACACGGATAATCATAGCCATTCTCTATCGCGGCAGTCGACGGAAATATTTTCACCCCAGCTATCCACTCTTCCGCCCGCACCCGATTTCACCAAACGTTTAAGCAGTGTATGGGGACGCGAAAACTGGAAAGCGCTGGAGCGAACGTTCAACAGATGCAAAAAGGATGCAGTAAATGATGTGGAGACTGTAGTGAGTGAATTTCTCGATGAATGGGGAGTGTCACGCAAGAGAGCAATCGGAGATTTGAATCCGTGAGTTAAAATTTTGTTTGTTTTGAGAAACAATAGAGTCTAATTACATACGCATGCAGTGATAAGATATTCAACAGAGTGCGCGCACTCGAAATAAAACAAGTCGACAGACAGCGGAGAAGAATGACGCGACGTTCACAGTCACAGTCGCGGGGTACATCCAGAGCTACATTTTCGCCAAGCGAATCTCTGATGAATGCAAACTATAGTATGCCACCTAATTATACACCTATATACCCAAAAAATATACTGCGATCTCACTCAACACTCGCAACTCACTCAGCCCTCTCAAATACACCAATGACAACACTCACCGAGCAGCGCACACCGTCATCTCTTCAGAAAATCATGCACTTCGGACTTAACCCACTCAAAGGGTTGTTTAGGGAGAATAGATTGGAAGCTGTTGAGGAAAATGACCGTACCTTGAGTAGGAGTGCGAGTGGGAGTTTCAGTGACCATTCGGCAAATTCTAGCATATCGACTAACACTGGCGCATCCATCTGGCGCGAAGATAAACATAAGTCGAGGGGTATACCACCAAGGCGATTACATGATAATGAGGCAATGACGGGTGTCGTAAGGTCTAGATCCACCTCTCTTTCAAGCTTCCAGCATAACGTTCGATCAATGCAGGGTGGTGAAAATAGACAGTTTGACAACACCACACACGAGAACAAACGCCGCCGTCAGTCACCTCGAAGACTTTCAAACACAAGTCAGCGATCGTCGAGTTTGAGAAATGATGTGACAGATACTTTGTTAAGCTAGCAATAGCAATAATAATATTAGCTTGTGTATCAATATAACAACATGAAATGTTTATAATTAGTCTATTTATTCATCCATATCATCATCACCTTCACCCTGTAACCACGTATCAAAGTACTGACACTTGCTTGCGTTGACTGGTCCATCTTGCGCGCAGAAATCAAACACAGGACAGCGTCCACAAGGTGCCTCTGTCCAACCCACTACAGGACCGACGTCGTCACTGTCTGTGTTTTTGACAGCGCGGTATACACTGTTAGAAAATGGATCTGCCTGTTTCATCTCCAGTTTCTGCTCTTCTTCGCTGTCTCCTCCCACAGACACCAAATCTTCATCGTCTGACTCCTCTTTCTTGGATTTCTTTGACTTTTTCGATTTCTTGGATTTTTTATCTTTCTTCTTAGACTTACTAGACTTTTTCCTCTTCTTGGTATCTTCCTCGCTTTCACTTTCATTTTCACTCTCACTGCTCTCTTCTTCGCTGGAAGAGTTTTTGTTCTTCTTGGACTTTTTACGTGGCTTTTCTTCTTCGCTATTGTCACTCTGCTCGCTTTCGTCACTCTCGTCTTTCTTCTTGCTCCTACTCCTACTCCTACTCTCGCTCTTGCTTTTTTTCTTTGCACGTCTTTCATCCTCACTATCACTATCGCTCTCACTGGCATCATCCTCATCACTACTATCGCGACGTTTCGACCTTTTCTTCTTTTTTTCCTTGGACTTGCTGTTCTTCCTTTTCCTCTTCTTTGACTTGCTATCACTGTCACTGGAGTCACTGGAGTCACTCTCACTGTAGTCCTCATCTTCGCTACTACTCCTGGCGAGAGACAAAGCTGGTAAGCGTTCGAGTTCGCCATCGAACATTAAAACATCGAGCAAGGATTGAATATGTCCTAGGTCCAATTCTATGGGAGTAACGCCAGCACCCATTACCCACTTGTGCACTTTTGCAACACTCGGATATTGAGATTTGGATATCGAGTAAATTGGTTTGTTACTTGCTTTTATCTTTGGATAGCTGCGATCACGAATAAAGGACAAGACGGCACCTTTGAGTTGGTTGACAAACTCCGTGTCTAGCTCATTGTCGGTATACCAAGGACCGCCAGTAAGTTCGACGGAAGGGTTGAGTGATGATATCATGTAAATTTTTCTCGTTGGATGTTTGACCGATTTGACTACTTTGATAGATCCCCTGCCTTCAAGCGATTTAAGAACCCTATTAACGACTGTTTGATGCAGATTCGTTTTCATTTTAAGGGTCTTGGTCCAAATCCCTGTATCATGATTCGTTAGTTGCACATCTCAAAACAGGAACAGCAAAGAACGCACCTTCGTTACCAGATGCATCTATATATTGATAAGCCAGCTGCTCATCATTGTCCATTTCTTTGTACTTCTTGGCTGATTCTTTACTGACTGCTTTGTAGCCGCTGCTACCGGTGCTCAGCGTAACCAGTTGTATCAAGTTCTTATTGAGCAGCTTGTTTATCGCATCCAGCTTATCCTTCATGTCTTTGTCGGTGAAGAGTTTATCGCTCAATTCGTCATTAGAGAATGTCTGCGAGGAGTGAGGCATTAGAGAGGGATCGCATACACTCATTAAACAAACTCACTTGATCCTTGGCCCTGAGGGCGTGCGTATATATTTGAGATTCTAGTTTTGTTGTTTTTGGCATTGTGGTGGGGGTGAGCACGCAAGAGGCGCGATGCAGCGTAAACATGATGCAAATTCAATTTCAAGTTCTTAATACAAATATGTCTAGTCTCTGTATCTATCCATAAACTCCTGGTGGAATTTCTCAATCGTGTTTATGTAATCTTCAGTACCTGGAACAAGACACGTTGTTCTAAAGTGTAAGGTACCTGGGCTAGCCCTATTGTTAGCATCATCTACGCATACACTCACACTGCTCACCTCTGTCCGAATCCTCCTCCTGGTACTACGCAAATCCCAGTATTGTTTAACAATTCCATGCAGTAGAATGCATCTGGAGATTTACCCTCCTTTTTAGCAGCATCCTGCGCTTTCTGTGGTAGTCTTATTTGAGGGAATGCATACATAGCCCCCTCTGCATTGTTGCACGTTACCCCATCCATCTTATTGAATCTGTCTGCCATTATCTTGGATCTACTTGCATAGTTTGTCAATATTTCATCCTTCTCTTTACTAAATTGATCATAGCTCTCATCGCCCTCTTTAGGTGGTCTGATGAGCAGATCGACTGCAACCTGTCCTTGCAGAGGTGGGCAAAGAGATATGGAAGCCAATTTGGTAGCCTGGGAGAGTAAATCTTCCGAAAAGTTTACAAACTCCACGAAACCACCTCTCTTACCGCACTCCCCGCTGAATCCCTTACTGACACTGTGAAAAGATGCGAGTTGTAATGTGTCCAATTTGAGATCCCTTGCAACCTTTTTGAACGAGATGAACGGTTTACTTTCGTCGTAGATGTTGGACTGGTAAACTTCATCTGCAATCAACACCAATTCATGCTTATGTGCAAACTTGGCAATTTCAATAATATTTTCCTCACTTAGTATGGCACCGGTTGGATTGCCTGGATTGATAATAACCAAGGCTTTAGTTTCAGTACCATTTGATTTGGCATCTGAAAGAGACTTTTCAAGCAAGTCAATGTTTAATTCCCACCCCTTATTTTCATCGAGGTGGTATTGAACTGTTCGCGAGCCTGCCAAAGCCAAACTAGCAGAGTAGAGGGGGTATTGAGGGATAGGAATCATAACACCATCAGGTTCTCCACAGAGGAGAAGGTGGAACAGCAAGTTCACACCGCCTGAAGCGCCTGCTGTTAAGAAGATGTTCTCTGGATCTGCACTGTAGCCGTCGCGTGATTCTAAGAAATCTGCGACTTGTTTTCTGATGAATGGGACACCTTTGCTGTGCGAGTAAGCGCCAACAGACCCTATTTCATGGAGAAGTTGGCTTGCGCGATCTCTAGCATCTTTTGGGAAAAGCTGAGCATTGTTGATCAGTTCTGGGCATTCAGTGAGGGCAGCGACCTGAGCGACTGATTAGACATATCCAATGTAATTATATAGCAATCTACCTGTCTCCAGAAAGTTAGGGGTTTCTGATTCAAGCCCTGTTGTTGTGGGTTACCGATCTATGTGGAGTGAGTGGGTGAGTATAAGGCAACGACGACACACATTGCAAGGAAGGATAGCGTTAAATGGAAGTTCATCGCCGTGACCATCTCGAATCTGCTGACCGTATTTGTCAGCCTTAACGGGGATTTCACCGCGGACTGCGTATTGAGCGTGCAAGACCTTTGGGTTGATAGAGGAGTTGTCTAATCGGATAGAGCGGATGCGTGAAGACATGAAGTTTCTCTTTAATGATGGCAGTTGCCTTATCAAGTTCTTAGTGCTGCTGTTGCTTATCATTTCAATTTAAGGTTGCTCCAATAACGTGACTGATATGAGTGAATACGTGTGGATAAGAACGTAGTGTGCAAATTACTAAATTAAAGTTAATCTGCGTAATTCCCGAAATTTGGCTAATGACTCGATGGGTGGTGCTGAACAACGCGTGCATTTGAGTGGATAACCGATTCACATGATTTTATAGGCGATGTCTGCGGGTATCCGAGATGTTCCTGTCAAGAAGGGCTAGCGTCTCTAGCATTCCTAGCCTATCAAATATATCACGGCCGAGTGAGTTGCAGATAACGATAAGGGGTGGCTGTGGTGTTAAGGAGGCATGAAGAAAACGTGGAAGAGAGGCGTGGAAGGAGTACTGTGTATACGCCACAGAGACTTTCGTGGTCATTCTCCTGCTTTTTCTCGCTGTCACTGCATTTCATTCGCAAGAATGCAAATTGGTTCGAAAATATCAAGCAGCAAACGGTATATACCTCAGCTGCACGTACAAGCGCCTGGCTTACCAATCCCAACCATTTCCTTGCTATCCCTTTCTCTCTAATTTCCCTCACGTCTGTGCTGCGCTTCTCGCCTCCTTGAAACAGCACCACCAACACCCAAAAATCAGAAAGGCGTACACACTCGCTCAAAAGCCTCCACAATCCCATGAAATTTGCAACTACATCTTTATTCTCCGCCGCCTTACTCAATATCGCAGCGGCCGGTGTTTGGATTACAGCGCCCATCGGATCTACAAAGGCAAGTGGCGGTGAGCCGTTCACTGTTGCATGGACGGATAACGGTGAATCACCCAGCCTCGCGGAACTTGGAAATGCAGATATTGGACTGATGATAGGCTCAGACACAGATCAGACACTTCTACAAACGCTTGCAGAGGATGTCCCACTGTCGTCTACAGCTTCAACTTTAAGCGTCATAGACAAGGATGCTGGCCCAGATGGGAATGTATACTTTGTCAGAATAATCAGCAAATCACACAAGGACAATAATGGGAATCCTAATGCTTATTACTCGGCTAGATTCCTGCTTGAGGATATGGAGGGAACTTTTAGTGATGATGTTGTTGATCAGTTGGAGCAAATGATGCAGAATTCTAATGAGCAGGATTCGCTCGTGCACCATCCCAGTAGCTCAGGAAGCTCAGCAGGCAGTGGGACACAAACCACACAAAGCACGAAGACGCAAAGTACGCAAGGTACTCAAAGTACGCAATCAGACAATTGTCAAAATTCAGATGGCTCTGATTCTAAAGATTGTCAAAACCCAAATTCACAAAACTCTAATAACCAAGAAGCGCAAGACAATGAAGACGACCAAGACTCATCTGCTTCCTCAGCATGCTACCAAACGATGCTCGTTGCTACTCTTGCTATTATTTTCGGAGCTTCAGTCTCGACAATTTAATAATGACTATATGGACGGAAAGTTGGATTATCATTACATTTCTACTCTTCTATACTCTTGAAAACACTTCATATTCCCTTTTCCACTCTTTGACTTTAATTTCTTTGTTATCATATATCAATTCTATACCCTTAGCTTCACCTGATGGTCGATACAAGTACGCTTCTAATAGCCCGCTAAAACACCTTTGGTTGAAGGTATCTCGCCTGATCCTGTGTAGCTGATAGCATCTCTGATGGCCAGAGCGAGAGCTTTGAAAGCCGATTCAGAGCGATGATGATCGTTGAAACCTCTAACACAATCGATGTGAAGGGTAAGATTAGCAGCATCAGCGAAAGATTGAAAGACATGAGGAATCATCTCGCAGCTAAGATCGCCTATTTTCTCTCTCCTGAGGTGCAATTCCGCCACGCAGAAGCTTCTTCCTGAGATATCGAGTACAGCTCTCGACAGAGCTTCGTCGAGGGGAGCGTAAGCATAACCATAACGTTTGATGCCCTTTATATCGCCCAATGCCTGCTTGAATGCATCGCCTAGCGCTAACGCTGAATCTTCCGCAGTGTGGTGATCGTCTATCCATAGATCACCCTTGCAATGCATTTCGAGTGACATGCCACCATGTTTCGCTAGGGCACTGTACATCTGCGCGGTATGTCAGTGTGCTGCGTCTACCAACTGACTTTTATCACTTCAACTGACATGGTCAAGGAATCCAATCCCAGTGTGCACATCTATCACCTGCTTCTGCTTATTCATGACCGTGTCTATCGCCAACTTGACGCTGATCTGCGTTTCGCCTGTGTTGCGCTCGACTGAAGCTTGCCTCATGACGTTATACGTTATAGAGCAACCAGACAAGGAAAACAATGAAATAATGTATAGAGTACACTTGTGTTTGAGTATATGAGTATATGAGTATAACAATGAAATGAGCTGTATCCATTTATGGCAAAGATGGAGAAAAAGCAGGGTGAAATATTTCACCCATTTCCATATCCACTCAACGACTGACGGCGCCGAGACCAACAACACCCCCAACATGCCCGTGTTTATGTCTGCTATTATAGCTTTGCAAATAGTGTTCGTCATCCGCCGCAGCGAACCTCCTAGCCATCCTGGTGAAAGGAGAACCGAGAGTCTTGAGAGAAGATGGGGTTATTGGGGAGAGCTGTGAGTGGGCGATTTCCTCCCAAGCGTGGTAAGCGAATTGAGCCTCCATTTCAAAGCTGTAAGCCTCTCGATTCTTGTTGTGCACCATATCGATAGCGTCGTCAGTGTAGAGTGGCCAAAACACGCCTAGTCTATTCAACACAGTGACATAGTTGGGATTGAGACGTGCAAATTTCCATGGCATTTCTAAATTATGCGCGGATGGCTGCGACTGGTTGAAAGTAGCGTAAGCATTATACCAATCTCTAATAAATCTCGAGTCAGGTTCAGAGAGAATGAAAGCATTGTTGAGACCCTTAGGGTCTAGCTCATGCTTAGTTATGTCTTGTTGACTCTCCATACCCATCACGACGGGCTCATTGAGCAAACCAGCCGAGAGGAAGTCTCTAATGACGTACACATCTGGTTCCAGAAACATTCCTCCCCAGCGCAGCAGCGCTTCTAGTCTGATGATATCGGACCTCGCTTCATTCGTCTCGACTGGTTGGTGGAAGATGTGCGACAAGTTCCTGGAGTGTACGTGCACGACTTGTTGCAGCTGGCTGAGACGCGCCCACCACGGTCCGGTAGGCTCAGTGTGGTAGTGGAACAGCACCAATTTCGGTTTGAGCACTATCAGAGCAGACCTGATAGCGAGGTAGTGGTAGTACTCGAGCTGCTCAATCTCGTCGCCCATTCCAAACGTGTAGTGCACGATGCTCGGTATCTTTTGGTGTCGCGTCATGCCCTCCTTGGCTTCCTCCACTGCTCTGTCTGCGCCCGCGATGGATGATTCGGATGCACCCTGCGCAGGGAAGGCCACAGAGGGGATGGTGGGAGGGACATGCTCGGGCCACACTACGAATGGGATGTGGGGGTTGTGGATGTGGTAGTCAGCTGGCAGGAACTGCGCTGGATCTGGCTTGACCATCGGTGGAATGTGGCAGCTGGCCTGTGCGTGTGCTTCTGCTATTATATCCGCAGTCTGCCAGTGCACTTTCTCGTGCTTGCTGACATTTGACTCTCCCAGTAGATAGCCACCTGCGAGCAACGCTAGCGCTGCGAGGAATAGCGGTATGCGCAGCCGAGGAGCTACACCAGCCAGTGGTGTGGAATGTGTGTTGATTGGACTGCTCATTCTCGGTGTTGGTTGTTTGCTTTAGAGAATCCCTCTCTCCTTGTCTAGACTTATTCCAAGGTCAAGGCGTAGAACACAGTCTCAGGGCGTTGATACGCAGCAGTGTGTTATCGCTCAAATTTGTAAAATTTTGTTACATAATTATTAATATGATTCGTACAAGAACTTTACTCGATCTTTGTCAGCTCCACTCTTCTCTTCTTTTTTACCGGGAGTTGATTTACCGTTGTGGGGGGAGCAGTGGTGGAGGGAGCGGTGATGGAGGAAGCGGAGGCTGAGGCATTTGAATTAGCTGAATTGTTTGTAGGCTGCATACCCTGTACACCCTGTAAACCCTGAACACCCTCCGCAATGGCGCTCATCTGTAACTGGTGCTGCTGCTCGCGGTACGGCGTGCCCAGCTCGTAAGGATCAAACACCACGATAGAGCAGTATCCATCTAGACTAGCCAACATGAGACATTGGCCATCAGGTGACCATGACACATCTGTAAACGCCGCCCAATGTAAATTAGACAAAATAGAAATTGGTGATAGTTGCTGAGTATCGTATAAGATAACACTCTCCTTACTTACTACGGCATATACCATTCTGTATGGCAACTCGAAAGCCGGTTTCTCAGTCCTGTCACGTAGATTGAATAGAATGGGATTGAAACGCACACCGACAGTGGGTGATTTATAGCCTGGGAGTACGGCGAGTGGAGTGCTGAGGTTATTGCGTCCGTATATTAACACCGAAGATTTGGATACAGTCTTCTTTCGTCCGTCGTTGGTATCGCTAGGTATGTCGTCGCACTGTGCGGAGGGAGTGACGAGAATACTTCCGTCAGGAGAAAAAGAGAGCCTCCTAAAGAACTGCGTGAAGCTCTCATCGCCATAGCTGATGCGTTCGTTGAGTTTGTGTTTTGTAGGCGGTTTGATAGCTGGAAGGGGGGATGGCGTGCGCCTGATGGGTGTAAGTGGTGAAGAGGTGTTTGATGGTATATTAGACTGTGACTGTGATTGTGATTGTGATTGTGACTGCGACAAACTCGATCGACGCGATGGTGGCTGCATAGGAGTGTGCGTGGGGGTGAGCAACCCACTCTCCTTTTCCTTCTCCCTCTCCTTATCCTGGCTGGTATCACTGACGAAACTACCTGCACTAGCTTTCCTTCTAACGGGTTGAGTGTTTTTCTTCGTCGGAGTGTGTGCGTGCATGTCCGATTTAGAGAACTTGGATAGGGAAGTGAGTGAAAGACCATTAGGAGCATTCTTCACAGCATGAACGTTGAGTGTACGGTCAGAGGATTGTGTGGCGAGGAGAGCGCCAAAAGGATCCCAACTAACGCCCTGCACGTAATGAGAATGTTCGGTAATCTGATACAGACAGACGCCATCGATGGCTGAGAAGATGCGTGCAGTGTTATCAGTGCTACCAGCAACGAAATGTTCACCAGTGGGACTCCAAGCGATATCGTAAACTTCAGCGTCTCTAGCGCACCTGGCCATAATCCTCACGCGCCAAAACTCTTTTTCGAATTGAAGGTCTTCAGTGGAGGATTCACCATAAGAAGCCGTGTTTTGATCGCTGGGTATCCAAAGAAGAACGTTTCCATCATCGCCTGCAGAAGCCAGTGTCTCGCCTGTGAGTTGAGTGAGTCGACAACCTACCGCGCCTGAATTGACGCTAACCTTTGGGACAGAATCTGACAACGTTAACGGGGTTAGTGTGTCTACTCAGAGTACACAAATACTCGGCGCGTGGCTGGTGTGGGTTTTGTATGATAGAATCGCCGCTGTCACGAATATTTTGGTGTGGATGGATAAGCCAGAGCTGATAACATTTATATTAGACAATATCCATTTATCCAGCTATTACACCCAAACCCACTCTAACTTGATGGTCTGCACCTGCAGTTGCCAACTTATAAACACCCAATGGGGAATTTGGCTGTAAATCCATACTATATATTGGTAGCTGATTGTGCCAGCGAATTTCCAGTGTTTTCGTACGCATCTTCGGTGTAAAAGTACAAGACGTTTGTTGAGATTTAACCATCATGTCGACGGCACAATCAACTCAAATTAATCGCCATCATCTCCTAGCTCTCTTTAGAGCTTTACAAAGATCAGCCACTCGCTTCTCCAGCTACAACTTCCGCCACTACTTCCTTCGTAGAAATCGTGTGGCTTTTAGGGAGTTCTTGGGTATTCATCCCGTTGGTACTCCTACACACGGCCAGGCTGCTGATCAAGCCTCTGTAAATTCATTCTACTCCCACCAGCGTGATCAGCTTGGTGTCATTAGTAGAGCTGCAACCGTAAATCGCATGTTTGAGGGCGAGAGACTGGTCGTTGAGAGACCACGGATCATTACTGGTGGCGGTGGCGCTGGTATGGAAGCTAGTGCTGTGCGTTGCTTTATTACCCAAATGACGTCGTTGACTGACTTTCTACCCAGGGCGGCGCTGGTCAGCCAGTCAATCCAAAAGACTCAGACAACTAGTTGTTTGCTTAACTTATGTATTTCTTTCTCAATTACATGACATCCTCGTACTCCTCATTTACTTGGAAGCTCTCACGTAGTGTACTCTCACTCATGTTGAATGTCTGCGCCATTTTAGATAGTGCTGCGATAGTTCCATCTGTGTAGCTCTCCACTTGAGCCTTGGCTAAGGCATTGTACTTGCGCTTCTCATCGAGTGCTGCACTTCCACTCTTCCTAGCCCTGTACAGCTCCTCCTCTCTGTCCTTCGCCACGCTTGTCAGCCTGAGATACTCACTAACAAGCTCTTGCCGCTCGAGTGTGTCCTCATAGCCATCCTCCTGCAGTTGATCGAATGTAGCAATCGCAGCGTTGAGGATGGCAGTACCCTCAGCCACCTGCTTTGTCAGTGTGGTCTGGTCGTCCTCAGCCTTCTTCGCCGCATCACTCGGGAAAGACCAGTAGTCTGACTGAGAGGTGAGTTGCGAGTTTGCAAGTAGGTAAACCACTCTGCATCTCACAATTGCTCGTCCCAATCTTCTCCTGCGATACAGCACTATCGTTGCACAGCTCAGTAAGGATATCTTTGATGCTCTGTGCGACTTGAGGGTGTGTTAGATGGACACTGTGACGACAGCCTCATCTAACCGATTCCTTTGGCCTTCGGGACACTCTTCTCGAGCTCCTTCAGCTGTGTCGAGGTTGGATCGATGAGCACATGCAGTAAAATCCAGCCAACCTGGTAGAAATCTCTCTGTACCGTTCTCCTCAGAAAAGTTAAATTCCAGAGATGGTTCACTGACGGTCTCGTGCAAGTAGTCAAGGAACCTAAATACCCGGTTAGACCGGTGCATCTCTCAAGTATTGTGTACACTGCCAACCTCTTTTTCTTCTCGTCATGGGATAGGCGTTGTTTGGACTGGGTAGTTGACTATTTAGCTTGATGTATCTTATCAATCTGTACAGCACATAGGTACCATGCGTGTTATTTCAGTGTCTGTGATGATGGTTGAGGTTAAAGAGTTTTGCCTGCGTACAGGCGAATAATAAAATTCCAATAGAAATAGGAAAAGAAGTATTGGAGCTGTAATCTATCGGTAGCTTTCTCAGTTCCACAATTTTTAGGTACAATGACGATTTTAAGCGATCGATGCGCATGTGAACTCGGTGAAGAGCAATAGAGAGATCCCTGTGGTGCACTGCGCAGAAAGCACAGTAATCACAATATTCAAACTACTCACAGCGTTGTTACTGTGTTTTCTACGTAACTCTACAGCCATCGGGAGCAGTGCCATATTGAAAAGTCTCAGACGGCGCGTGTAGTGATGATAACGATTTGGGGCTTAGACAGAGTGCATTTTAATATTCGTGATACTTCTTGTAGAGCTCCACAGCTGCGTGATTTACCCCCTTGATCGGCCATCTGTACCAGAGAGCTCAGTCCACCCCTCCACCTGAGCAAGAATTGGAGCAATACAGAGCGAGTTGCGTATAAAACCATCTAAAATTACAAACGACGCGTAAATACGTGTATTCATTTGCATATTCATCTCTGTACCGCTGCTAACGGCCATGCCATGCCAGCGTGATCAAGGAGAATGTGACTTTAAGCTGCAGGATGAAAGTAAGAGAATTGAATATACAAATAAAGTAAATAAGAATATATATACAAAAACATTATAAGCTTTTACATCGTAGTGATCTGCAAAATCGACCAATCAGCTCCACCGAAAACCGGCGCAGCTATTAGCGGAAGTTTTCATGAACCGAGAAGAATTAATAACGGTGTAAAAAAGAGGGGAATGGATATAAAGGATACATTGATGGATACATTCGGGTGCTACTCACAACCCCGTTCACATAAACCTCTTTAAAATCAAACTCAGTCACCTTGAGGGCAGGTACGTTGTGATGAGGGAGATGAAAGTTGATTTGGCGGATTGTAGTAGCATTAGAATACAAATATGTTTATGTAATTTACAAATTCAAACAATGAAAATTGGATGCTTTGTTGTATAGATATCATCAGGTACACCCAGTGACAGCTACTCCAACCAAACCCTCGAGGAGAATAAAATTGGAATACTCTTGAACCAACACACTCACTTCAAATAAAACTATTTGCATACGCTTGCATATCTCATCCTAGAGTGTAAGTCAGGCATGAATATGGTTGCCTTATATGGACTAGTAATATTCTAACGACGGAATTAGAATCGCTGTTGGACACGCTCTCTCAAACACTCCACGATGCCAGCCAGTAACAACTCACTCAGATACAAGCTATCCTCCAAGTCTCTCAAGCACAAGAGCAGCAATGGTCGCATCTCAAAGCCTAAACAGACGCAACAGCGCAAGAAGCTCACCATCTCCCTCACCAATTCCCCCGCCTTGCCAAACCCGCTCAAAGAATCTGAGTACTTTGAGGATATCTGCTATTACATGCATCTCATGGAGCTTGAAACCCTCGGTGACCTCTCCCTTATCGATTCACAGCCAGAACTCGACTGGAGAATGAGGAGCTATCTTATCGACTTTCTCATCGAAGTCCACGCCCACGCACGTCTACGTCCCGAAACTCTCTACCTCGCCGTAAACATCATCGACAGGTACGTCTCCAGGAGAGTCGTCTTGAAGAAGCACTACCAGCTCGTTGGCTGCGTCGCTCTCTGGATCGCTGCAAAGTTCGAGGACGCCAAACACGCTATACCCTGTCTATCCGATTTGGTTGTTAGCTGCTGTGGCATTTACGACGAGTCTGCCTTTGTTCAGATGGAATCCCATGTATTGAGTACTCTTGGTTGGGTTTTAGGTCATCCTACAGCAGAGGTGGGTTGTTTCTTACTCTTATCTCTCTCTCTCACTCGAGCTACAGTCATGGCTGCGCATTTTCACTCTCGCTATCGGCACTGACGACATGCAGACGCAGCATGTAGCGCGTTGCGTGATGGAGATATCGCTCTACAGGCGGGAGTTTATTGATATTCCATCGTCGTCGATTGCCGCGGGGTCGCTTCTGCTAGCGCGGACGATAGTTGGTAGGACGCGTAGATGTGTTGAGGAGGACGAGCAATCGCTGCACGTAGCTGAGCTTCTCGACGGTTTCCTTGGTCAGCATCTTGACCAATTGAGCGATATCATCTCGGCCAAGTATGCGCCGCATTACTACAGCAGAGCATCGCTTGTCGTGAAAGAGTGGTATTTGGCCGGCAGGAGATTCTACTTCTACGCACCAGCTCTATCGCCCAGCTACGCTCACTCTACGCCCCCTCCTACCCCGCCATTCGGCGTCGCGGGCGATCTGCCCTACTCACCTGGCAGCATGACTTCGGATGATGAAGCTCCCCTCACTCCTTACTCTCAGCCCGCTTCTATTCCCTTCGTCGCTAAGGAGAATAGAATGGAAATTAAACAGCCTCCCGAGCAATTCACATCACACAATCACCATAACCATCCTCACGAGCAGTATAAATCACATTCGTTTCCTAGCCTCGGTTTGAGCAATAAGGCGGTGTGATTTTGGGATTTGATCTGATAAGAAAAATAGCAGATTGCATGATAGTATTATCACTGGCGAGATGAATCATAATAATAACGGTGATGACTCAACCCAAGTACATAAACTCACGAAGACGTTAAATATCCACGACAATAGCACCAGATTATACTCAGATACTCAAGTCTACAACACATTACCTAATTTATTAGTTACTCTACTCAGTAAGAAAGGAACCCAGAAGAGTATTATAACGCTCTCGCATTTCAACTCGACTCAACTCAATTTGTCCACTTTGTCTCAAAATTTCATATCAAGATACCCATGCAAACAAAAGAATTACAATCACAATCACAATCACATACACGCATTGATAACATATAGTGGCGCTTACCTTGATTTGATATCAGTATTAGAATCAGTATCAATATTTGGTAGATAGATAGTGCCCATTCCCCGCCCAATTCAATTTCACGCTCATTTAAGTTATACAAATTTTGCACATGAACTTTCGCTTTAAACTGTTTCCATACATCGGCATTTCGTTTTATTCGTGTTTGCTCCGTCTTCTCATGTTCCTGATTTCCCCTGACTACCCCTGGGTTGACTGGTGTCTTCTCAGGTGTTCCTGGGTGCTATCTTCTCTGTTGAATTCTTGTGTCTTGTGTTATGTCTTCTCTCCCGCCTTCCCTCTTACAGCCTCACCATCATCACAAATGGGCAAATCTCGTGGGTATCGAGTAGCAAATCAATAAACAGCTAATTATTCACCAGAAAAGCAGCCAAAGCGTGAGTTTATTGTGATATCGGCGTAGTACTCCACTCATAAGGCTCAGAGAATGCAAAGAACGCGAAAGGAGGAGTGCGTATGAATATCTCCAAATCCAAGCATGTCAATAGGCAGCAGAAGGCTCCAAAATCAGGTCAAGGCCCAGCGGAATCACTGGATACAGCCATGGAAGCAGCACCCTTGACTTCAACATCAACATCATTTGCCGAGCTAGCAGCAGCAGCAGCGACTCAATCGAATACCTTTGACGAGAACAGCGTACATTACAATGACGAGCACAGCACGCACACACAAAAGGACTACTCTCACAGAGCGTATATGCGAGAACTAAAGCGAGTGCTCGATCTTTCCGACGTAATTCTCATGGTCCTCGACGCACGTGACCCTCACAACTGTCGCTCTGCCACTATAGAGCGTGAGATACGTCGTCGCGAAGGCGAGGGCAAGAGACTTGTCTTTGTGCTCAACAAGATAGATCTAGTGCCCAAGGAGAACGTTGAGCAGTGGCTCTCATTCCTACGTTACCAATATCCCACTGTAGCTTTCAAGGCCAGCACCCAGCAGCAGCGTGCCCATCTCTCGCAGAAGAAAGGCAGCGCATCGGGCGGCTCGGCAGCTTCTACAGCCGACTGTTACGGTGCTGACGGACTAGTGAATCTGTTGAAGAACTACACCCGGAATGCTAACCTCAAGACGTCAATTGTGTGCGGTATTATCGGATTTCCAAATGTGGGTAAGTCGTCCGTCGTCAACTCACTCAAGAGGAGTAAAGCTTGCGGCGTAGGTGCTGTGCCTGGTTTTACTCGTGTCGCGCAGGAGGTGGTTCTCGATAAGAACATCAAAATCCTCGACTCCCCCGGTGTGGTTTTCGCGGATGGCGAGGACGGCGACGGCGAGCAGGAGCAGCACGAAGATGCAGCCAAAGTCCGCCGCCGACAGGCTGAGATTGCGCTGCGGAATGTAGTCAAAGTGGAGAATGTAGATGATGTCCAACCTGCTGTGGAACTCATCCTCGAGCGTTGCACTCCTACCCACCTCACACAGCTCTACGATATACCCGCTTACGCGGGCGTCACTGACTTCCTGGTCAAGATGGCCCTCACCAGGGGGAGATTAGGGAAGGGGGGTGTACCCGACTTGGTAGGTGCGGGGCGACAGGTGTTGCGTGATTACACCTCTGGCAAGATACCCTATTATACGCTGCCACCTAGATCGAGCTTGGGCGGGGGCGCTGGTGCAGCGACAATTAGATCCAAGCAGTCCAGTCTCTCCTCGGGCTTCTATCCGAAAGAGCAGCAGAATCAGACGCAGAGCGCACAGGAAAACAACAATAACAACACGGATGCAGCTATCGTCAGCCAATTCGGCCAAGCTTTCGACCTCGCTGGGCTCATGGGGGAGAGTGACGCACAGGCTTTGGGTGGAGCTGGAACAGCGGACTGGAGCATTGGCGTTAAGAGAGGACGGGAGGAGGAGGGTAGAGATGTAGATGTGCAGGAGGTTGATCAAGTTGAAGCACAGCAGCCTGTGCACGCAGACCTGCGCATGGAAGACACTACAACCCATACCTCCCCTGCACACCACAGTATAGTATCCCTCCCACCGAAAAAGAAGAGACAGGTTGCAACACCTTTCTCTAATCAAAATCAGAATCAGAATCAGCACAGCAGGCTTTTCGCGCCGGGCGAGAGCGAGCAGTTCGCAGGCGCACACGCTTTGTCAAGACAGACACAGAAGAAGATACGCAAAATGGAGGCTAAAGCAAGGGCTAAGAGTGGTGCTTTGCCTATGTCTGGCCCGGGTGGGGAGGGCGAGCTTATGAAGGCGTTGAATGGATTGGGTGTGGAGGGGATGATGGAGGGAGTGGATGAGGGAGAGGATGTCGATATCAGCAACCACAGTGATCAAGAAAACCATAGCGACAAGTCGGAACACGACGAAGGATTAGATGGCGGTAGAAGCGGTTATGGGATGTCTATGTTCAGCGTTGCTCAGCCTGCGCCAGTTAGTGCAGGCACAGCACCATCTGCACCACATGCACCACCTCAAATGATAGACGAAGACGAGGAGCTGTAAACGACGACTTGTTTGTAGCACACCACCATCACAGACACAGCAATAGACATAGAATTGATATAATCCATTAAACATAAGATATGAGCCTGGTTGATATTTTTGAAGCAACTGCCATTATTCTAAACGTATATTTCACGCCTGTGTTGTTATCGGGGGAAAGAGCGTATACAGAGCAAACTGCCGAGTCACAGCCAACGTATGATTTCGTAGTGCCGTGGGCGCGCAGCCCAACACACACGAGCGTGTGTATCGCAGCTGGGGCAGTAGTGGTGGTGCTGAGTGGGGGAGTGGTACGAAAGGGTGGAATGAGGATGGTGAGTGGTGGAGTAAGCAAGCGCATACCGCGTTAACAGGAAGCACACAGCTAAATCAGCGCAAAGTGCTGTTATTCCTCGCGTCAATTGGGGTATTCTTCGCAGTGATTCAACTGCTAGGCGCACCTCTATTGCATTCATATACACGCACAGGTAGCCTGGCAGTGCTGCTGTCGACTTACACAGCCCTTCCGGCGCTGATGGACGCGGCGGACTCACCAACGGTTCAAGATATTCTGCGGCAGAAGACACTCATCACGGCAACTTTGTGTATGGCGTGGCTGTCTATCATACCTATTGGCTTGGATTGGGATAGGCCCTGGCAAGTCTACCCGCTCAGTGTGTGCGTTGGCAGTTCTACTGGTTACGTCATTAGTCGATTGAGTGGTGTGTGGATGAGCGGATGATTGGATGACTGGTGCGGTGGTTGTAGACGTTGCTCAGATTGTAAATGCATCTATTTCTTCTTGTTTTCCTTCTCGTTATCGCTATCGCTATCATACATGCCTCTCCTCTCATAACTCCATCAGCCATGGCATCCACAGCACCCACAAAACACCTCGCTAGCTGCATTTTCTGCAAGATCATTGCAGGCGAAATTCCTTCATTCACCCTCTTGTCGAATGACAAAGTGCACGCTTTCATGGACATTGGGCCAATTGCTAAGAACCACGCACTCGTGATTCCAAAATATCACGCTCCACGCTTCACAGACGTGCCTGACGATTACGCCGCAGAGCTTCTGCCTGCCGCTAAGAAAGTTGCTAAGGCTATTGGCTGCGACGAGTACAATATCCTCCAGAACAACGGCAGGAATGCGCATCAAGTGGTTGATCACGTGCACTTCCACATCATCCCCAAAGACGAAGATACTGATGACTCTGGTTTGGTTGTCGGCTGGCCTACGCAGGGACTCAGTATGGATCAGATCAAGGAGGAATATGAGAAGGTTAAGGCACGTATGTAACTGGTTCATTGAGACAGAAACGAGAAAGAATACATTTACTATGAAATCACTCCAATCACCTCCAATCAATCCCATCCCATTCCTATTTTAGCTATTTTAATCGGGTCCGCCGCGAGTCCGATGACGCATGCCGCGAGATAGACCACTGCGAGTGAAAGAAGGGCGGTGATTGGGTGGAAGTTGTCGAGCAACTTGAGCACGTCGCCTGATGTCTTCAACGAGGCAATAGTATCATCTTTCTCGCGCAGCTGCTGTGTGGCAGTGCTGAGAGCCATGTGAATCTGCTCACATTCTCGTATAGTCTCGTCACACTCGCCTTTCACCACTCCCACCTCGCTTTCTAGCTCCTCCGCACGTGTCTCCGCATTAATCCGCGACTGGTCGAGGTGGTAAATGGTGTCGAGGTACTCGCTGTGTTTGTCGCGCAACTCACACACCTCCTTGTCCAGGGTATGGTGGTTTAGTGCGAGCTGCTCGAGCTCCTCTCTATGTGTCTCGTTGAGGTGGCTCAGTGTCTCCGCGTGCGCTGTGTGCGACTCGTGCAGCGCGTTCTCAGCTTCTTCGAGATGGATGCGTAGTGCGTTCAAATCCTCTTCTGTTGTCTTGTGTAGCGTGTCATACTCGCTTATCAAGTTTTGGTATTTGTGCTTGATATCTGCACATTCCTCTTCTGATTTCTAATTCCATTTAGTTAAACTTCCCGTGTTTGCACATATGTCTCACCTTTCTCAGCCTCCGCTGTGCCTTTGCGACCTGGATTGGAAAGTGAGTCAGGGCAACACCCCACCTACAGTGAGACAGATGAACACACCTGCTTAAACATGAGTGCTTTTGCATCCCATTTTTTATCCATGTCATTTAGAATGACATGTAGCAGCCTCTTAGCGTCTTTATTGGATTTGTAGTCCATATAGCTCGACATACCGCCGATGTTATTTGGTAGAGTAGTCGATGAGAGTATGCTGCTAGCGTTGGTATTGGTCGGATGTGCGACTGCCTGTGGCGTTTGCCTATCCCCTTCTGCGTCTGCTTCAACACCTTCACCTACAATGGGTTGGATAGGAGACTCTTCGTAACTCTCGCGCGTAATCTCCACCATACCATCGATACCTTCCATACCCTCAATACCTTCAAATCCTTCAAAACTCTCACTTTCTCGCGCTTTTTCTTTTTCTTTCAATTTCGTTGTGGTCATCGTTCGGTGGTAAACAGTCATCACGCATATCACAGCAATCACGGGAATCAATCATGGCACCACCGACAAAGAAGAGATCAAATAGCTTCATAGAGAACAGTGACGAGGAAGTGGGCGATAAGCCTTCGAGCAAATCTGTCAGAAAGGAACACACGGCTGAGACGGAGGAGGGCGCAAAAACAGACACACCCAACACACCCAAACAAACCGCAAATGGCGTGGAAATTGATCAAAACAAGGAAGGGGATAAGTTCTTTGAAGTCGGTAACAAAAGATCACGTAGAGTGACTGTCTCCTCGTTCAAAAACACACCGCTTATCGATATCAGAGAATTCTATACGAATAAAGAGGGAGAGTCAGCTCCAGGTAAAAAAGGCGTATCACTTAAACCGGATGAGCTGCAACTCATCGTCGACAACCACGCTTCTATCCAGGAGATGCTCGATGGTCTTAATATTAAACGCAAATAAGCGTGCTATGTAATTATCTTGTAAATAAGTTATGCATCGTCTAGTGTAGTCTATTGTCATTCTAATCAGTAATTTAATTAGTATTCTAATCAGTAATTTAATTAGAATTCTAATCAAAACCTCATCTTCTTATTCGGCCAGTTGCTCCAATTACTCTCATTACTTTCATCCATCTCACTTAACTCATTACTCTCCCCTCTCTCACTCCCTTGATCCTGCGGTTGGAGCATCGCAAGCAAATCCATTGTCTCTGCACCACTCGCACTATCATTTGCATCCATTATCTGACCTTGGTTCTGATTAGCCAGCATAGCCAGCAGACTATTCATGCTATTTTGTTGTGTCTGTTGGGCAGCTTCTTCTTCCTCTTTCTTCTTCCGCTCCTTCTGCTCCATCTGCTCCCTTTGCTCCCTCTCAGCTTCTGCCTTCTTCTGAGCCTGTATACGAGCAGCCGAGGTAGTTGATTTAGATTGCTGTTGCTGTATAGCTGCAAACCCAGTTCCGAGTCCTTTACCATTACTCAACCTCTCGAAAGCCTTTGAAGAGATGGTGTTATGTAGAAAAGTGAGAACGTTAGTAAACGGCACAACTCGCAACCCTTGCAGCTGCTCCTTGCTGACCCCACCGAATATATCCGGGTGAAGTAACAATGTCCCTGCGTTATTCATTGTTATTGGCATTTGCGGCTGTTTGAGATTCTGCACTTTCATATTAACGTGCATATCCGGTGCAAGTGAGCTGATAGCGGCTGTGCTCTGCGTCGCCATAGCTTTAGCTGCTTTGGCTACATCGTTCTTAGCATGCGATGGCTGTGTCTTGTTCGCCGCAATCGACAGCTGGATGGAACGGGGTGAGAGGGCCTTATTCGCTAGCCATGTCTCGAATATGTGCGTAGTTGTCCATTTCGTCGTGTATTGATTCGCACTAGCCTCCATTTTGTGGTATTGCTTCCCACTCGCGAGGTGCAACAAAATTGCTGTCTGTGGATATAGTCAGTAGACACTCCCTTCAATTTGTTCGCCCAACATACCTGCCAACCACTGTCTCTGTTCTGGGAAAACCACTCATACTTGTGCATCAACCGCTCGCATATTTCCCCTGCGGATAGCTTAACACCTGCGTCGTGCAGTTCAGCATTGATGAGTGTGGTGTAGGCGACATTCGGTCTGAGGTTGTTGTTGAGAGTGAGGTGAGTAGCTTGGGGGTGGGTTGGTATGTTGGAGGGGGTGTGGGTGTTAGATTTGGAGGTTGTTGGTGCTGGTGCTACTCCAGCTCCTGATGCTGCACCTCCTACACCCATTCCACCCGCCTTTGCCGCCTTTTTGCTTGGCTGCTTCGTCGACGTCGCTATCATGTCGTGCTCAGCAGGCATGATGAACCAGAACACCTTGGTGGCTATCTGTATCTTGACCCTCCGCGCTAGCTCGATCCGCGCACCTCTGCCATACCACAATCCATCGACCCAGAGGCCATTGTTTGAGTGCACGTTGAGATTGAACAGCTGCGTCTCGAAATCGTAGCTGATGCTGGCGTGCAGCCGGCTGATGGATTTCGAGGCGCCGAGGTCGACGTCTACCGCTGGAGGAGGAGAATTGGGTGACGTTGTCGCCGTCGTAGCCGCTGTCTTGGTCGCTGCTATCGCGCACCGCCTGCCTATATTAATAGAGAGGCATTGAAGATAGTAAGCGTAATCCTCTTGCTTGAATTGCAGCTTGGCGTATGCGGGGATCGTCTCGTAGCCAGCCCTCTTTACGGCCATGTAATATAGAGCAAGCTGGAGATGACTGTGGATGCACAAGGAACAAAGCGAGTGAAGGGAGTGTGTGGATGGTGTTTTTGTGTATGTGTATATGTACAAGCTCTATACCAATTCAATCAGTGCTCGTAACATATTATGTCGTGTTCCTGCCCATGTTTTACAAGCTGAGATAAATGCTCCGAGATGCATAAATCCATTAAATGCATTCAGTACACACCTTCTGCTTTCCTTTTCGAGCCTCCGCGGAACGTAAATCACGTGCCTTGCACCTTACGCACCTTACGCACATCACGTAACTGAGATCTGGCCAAAGAATTACGGAAATTGCGTGCGCATTAAAAATCGAGAACATGAATAATAAAAGATCGTGATACAACTTACTGCGCTTGAATACTTAGTGTTCCACTTTAAATTCGTGGGGCTGTACAAATGTACAAATATAGACACAGTTAAACATGTCAAGGAATAGCGTACAATCGATAACAGCCGAGCGGAATGGAATTTTGTGTCAGATAGGTGTCAATCAGCCGAATATTCGATCGATACGGACTGATAACGGATGAACTGAATATTTCAACGAAAAATTGAATATAACTACGAAGAAAGGTGCTATGAGGGTGTAATTTACATTAAAATAATCGGCCAGATGATCCGTATTGGGTAGGTATTTTTATTGCGCAGATTCCATACCAATTACGTAGTTGCGGACGTCTGGAATGTCTGGAATTTGCGCAGCACGAAATCTCGACCAAAAAGGTAGTCAACGAATTAATACCTCTTGCAACTAAACAATCAAACGACTTAATTCAAACTCAGCCCAAAAGTTAGTATTAGTCTACACGATTACCCCTCACTCACAACGCTGCAGTGCTTCTTCGCGTCGATCCAGCAAACAACCTCCCACCAGTCATTTATCAACTGGCATTCACTCACTCTGTCGCCTATCCTAGCAGCTGGCTTGCTAGGTCTTTGGAGGCACAACCACTCGCACTCGAGCGCAACAAGCCGATGGTCGCCGACAAATCATCGTGGATTATCCACCTTGTCAACCAAGTCACCTTCGACCTCTCCCATAAGACTGTCAGAGTTGAGCTCACTGAGGAGTCTTACCATGAGCCAATCAACGTGACACTCAGCGGCGATAGCCTGGATAACGTCGCTTCCATCGTCACTGACGTGCAGGATGCATGTGCTCTCGCCCGTGAAGAGCAGGAGCAGGCCAAGGAAATCAAAAACAGATCCCTCGAACTGTCAAGATCAAGAAGCTCTTCTACAAGCTCAAACGAATCTAACCAGTCGAACAACTTTATCGCCTCAGTTTTCTCAATCTTCGGCGGTACTGGTGGGGGTGCTCGTAGTGATGCTAGCAACGCTAGCCACTCCCGGTCATCTTCCCCAACGCCTTCTTCAACATCAAGCGAGAGCGGTAAAATTAGCGGCACTCAATCTCCATCTCGTTTGCTGCGCACACAAGCCCGCGCCAAGCTTGCAGATGCATTTAGAAGATACGTCTTACCAGCACTCAAGACGCAGCTTGTTGGGGTTGCAGAAGAGCATCCCGAGCACAAATCCAACATCGATTACTACGAATTTCTTGCGTACTCTAAGATAAAAGCGCATGAGCGCGAGGTAGACAGATGTTACGCAGAAGGCAAAGCCCTCCAACGCCAAATGGATGTCTTGCATGATCCATCGCACCGCTCTCGCAAAGGTGCACTTGCTGTGTTACAAGAGAGCCTCATTTCGAACAACACGGCTCCCTCGTTACGCACGCTTAAGACACAAGCTGATTCACTCAACAAGCGTCGCCAGAAACTCGAAAACAAGACGGTTACATTGAGGAACACGCTTGATTCACTCAAGCAGTACACAGCTAAACGCGAAGCTATCGCTAAGGAGCACGCGGCTGAACTGGAGTCGGCATCTCTGCGTAGAAATGGACTGCTTATGGCGTCGCAAGTCTCACCTAAACCGGCTTCTTTTGCCCCACGTCGCTCTTCCCCACTCAAGCAGGCGAGTGCATGAGGACCGCGTGAGCGCCTTTATTAAACACTAGCAAAATTCTCTTTGCTGCTTCCTTCAAGAGGCTTCCACAAGCAAGACAATTGTTATTTGTCGTTTGTTTCACAGGTAGAAGCATTTTCCAGGCTGTTTTTGGTTGGAAATATCAGGCTTCCACACCTCTATCTCAATAATTTGCGTTGATAGTGTCTATTATCTTTAATAACCGTTCCGCATTTATTGATAGAACGTCGTGCCGCTGTCAAGATACTTTCTTTTCGCTTCATTTTCGAGTTTTCAAGTTACTCTGGCTACTCAAGCTGGTTGTGCTACTATTGGCAGGCGTTTCACTCATTCAAGTGCACATTCTATGGTTGACAAGCTCCCATTGGATGGCTGAGACTTGATTTAAACTTTTCACACTTTCACAACACATTCTCTGTCTCATATTTTCGAAACATTTTTCGCTCTTATCATTGTTTTCTCTTGTCAACTTGGTCATTCTTTGAATAAATGCTTCTCATTCTCTTGGTCTTATATTAACGTTTACCTTTACTACAATCATGACATCTGTGTTACGCAACATACCTCAAACAATATTCACCCAGGCGAACATCTTACCAGTCAGTCAAGCATCGTACAAGTTGCTACATTTAGCGACGCTGTTGCGTTTCTACGGATGGATAGCGCCAATGACGATATTGAAGATGGTGATACAGTTTCAAGCGAGGCAGAAGCCAGAACCAGCAGCGAAATGGGGGGTGATGAGGGTGATACGGGTGGCATTAGCGAGAGCGTACTCGACGACGACGTATAAGTGGAGTCTGCAGCCGCCCGCGACCATCTCGCAAAGGCGCTGTGCTCCTGCGACGCACCTAGGTGGTGATCTCAAAGCACACCACATCTCCGTCAAAAAGGCTTCGGACGAGTACTACACGGGCGAGTGTGCAAGTGCACGTAGATACATTCATCCCGCAATGTCGGTGCCCTGTTTCTGGATCTATCCTCAACACACGCCGTTTGACTTGAGCAATATCCATGAAGAGAAAGTGGTGAGTGTGGATAGTGGAGAGCGGGAGGCTTTATGTGGATTATACAATCTAACACGCTACACTCCACCAGATACTCTTCTTGCATGGCGGCGGGTACATTAGTGAACACCCACTTAGCCTACCTGCAGGCGCGTATGGGGTGCGTGAGACTGGTCACAAATGCCTGGCCGTCAACTACCGTCTCTCCGACGGAATAAACGGCCATCCGGCGCCATTGCAGGATTGCGTCACGGCTTATGTTTATCTCACACAGACACTCGGTGTGAGGGGAGAGAATGTGGCAGTCGTCGGTGACAGTGCGGGTGGGAACGCTGCAAATGCTCTCATTTTCCATCTCCTCCAACTCAAGCAGGAAGGGACCGCTATCACTCTTCCCCGCTTCGTTAGTCTGATCAGCCCATGGAGCGATATGACAGCGACGTTTCCGAGCATCGCGGGGAATAGGGAATGCGACGTACTTCCCCCCTTCTCTTCCCAGTCTGAACTCGTCCGCTCACATCTCAAGTGGACACCGGAGAGCATCGCGAATAAGTACAACTCACCAGCCTTGCAAGAACATGTCGCTTTTAGGGGATGGCAGGAACACACTCTCAAAGTACACATTCAGGTGGGCCAGGCTGAGATATTGCGCGATGAGGGCGTCGCTCTGGCTCAGCTACTGAGGGATGCTGGTGTCGGAACGCTGTTTACCATGATAGAGGGAGAGGTGCATGATGCTGTAAACATCAATCCACACGCTGAGTTGGCTAAGAGGGATTTCCTTATGGGATTACAGTGGGGAGGATTCTAGTAGATGATTTAAAAGAGTTTTTAAGTGTAAATTAATGAATACATTTTCGGTTCATGTCTACTCGGCGGTGCCATTCTGCAAAGCCTCAATGTGACCTGCTTTTGAGTTGAGGAATTCGTGCTTGCTGCTGGCCCAGTAGTAGATACCATAACCAATCGCAAATGGGATACCAGAGTAAGGGAGTTGCTTTGCTAGTCTCTTGTATCCGTTGAAGATGTAACCATTGAGTGCACCTGCGAATGGACGCTGTTGGAATGCAGAAATTCCATATTGCACAATACCGCGTTGCTTTGGTGAGCCTGCGTGATGTGAGTTGCGTATCGAGATATTTGAGCTCAACACCCACCAATGGCACCCCACCAGCCCATATAAGACTTGCCTGTTGGCATACTAGGGGCTGTTAAAATAGCTTCAAGGATGCAAGTATAGCACTCACCCGCCATTCTGAATTCCAGTTGCTCTCATTGGCGCTGTTCGATGTAGAGAAGAAAGAGAGTGGCAAGAGGAGGTGCAGCGAGATTCATAGAATCGAATGAAGGGATAGCAGCGGTTGATGTACAACGTTTATATACCACTGAGTTGCCCACAGAATTCATTCCAATGATCAAACAATCCAAATGGCAAATGGATCTACGCGTATACAATAAAAGTGCAGTAAATATCTCCTAAACAACTCATTTCTCCACTCCCCCTATTCTTAAATCCTTTTATAGCCGAGAATTTATAATTTTAAAAATCGTGCATGACCAGAGCATTTGCGCCAACCACCCCTTGTCTTCGTATTTCAAAAAGCGTGAGTGGGCGGTACGTGCGTAAAATAAGCTAAAACCCACAGAATAATGTCCACTGAAGCCAAGCCACTCCCTCAAGGTGCTGATTTGTTCGGAAGAGTGAGTTGAATGATTTGGTCTTCTTCTTTACTGACCATGTCCTTTAGTTCGCTTTAGCTGGGTGAGTTGGCTGCGTTGTCTGCTAAAACCAATCTCACGCCATTTTAAGTGCTCTCTGTGTGAGTTTTTGAGGCTTAGGCACGCGGCAACATTCACGCTAACACGCTCCAGTGCGCTATCACCCACGGTGGTGCTACCCCAATCGATGTCGTCAAGACTAGAATCCAACTTGAGCCAGAGACCTACAGAGGTGGTATGCTCAAGTCTTTCCGTCAAATCGCCTCAACTGAAGTGAGTTGAGTCGTTTTACTGCCTTGTCCCCCCTAACTCGTCTTGAAAGGGCCCAGGCGCTCTCCTTACTGGTGTCGGTCCAACCTTCGCTGGTTACTTCCTCCAAGGTGCCTTCAAGTTCGGTGGTTACGAATTTTTCAAAAAGCAATCCATCGATTACGTCGGTGTCGAAAACGCAAAGGCCAACAGAACCGCCATTTACCTCGGTTCTGCAGGTACCGCTGAGTTCTTCGCCAGTATCGCCCTCTGTCCACTTGAAGCAACAAGAATCCGTCTTGTCTCTCAACCAACTTTTGCTTCCGGTTTGATGACTGGCTTGCCAAAGATCATGTCCCAAGAGGGTGTTAGCGCACTCTATGCTGGTTTCGGACCAATCCTCTTCAAGCAAATCCCATACACCATGGCCAAGTTTGCTGTTTTCGAGAGAGTCTCTGAGATGGCTATCCAGGCTTACGGTAAGCCAAAGGCCTCTTTGAGTGGTACCGAATCAAACTCCATCAACCTCGGTTGTGGTTTGGTTGCCGGTATGGCCTCTGCTGTTATTTCTCAACCAGCGGACACTCTCCTTTCCAAGATCAACAAGACTCAAGCTAAGGTTGGTGAGAGCACCACATCTAGATTGGTTGGCTTGGCTGGTCAACTCGGTATGGGTGGTATGTTCTCTGGTATTGGTACCCGTCTTGTTATGGTTGGTAGTATCACTGCTGTAAGTGGACTACTTTGCTGCTGTCGTTATGCCCATCTAACCCAACTCACAGGGTCAATTTGCCCTCAACGGATCCTTCAAGGACCTCATGAACGCAAAGGGTGGTGTCGAAATCTCCAAGTAGATTTGATTCTAGATATTATTTCATTTTCAACATACATCTTCTTCAAACACGCGTGTTAAGCGTGTGCCTTAGGAATTAATCTTTGCTCATATTCCACTTCGATTGCGCATTGGCGGTGTGTCTGAGCCCTGGCGAGTCTTGGTTCCATGTCAGCAATTTTAGCCTTTTTAAAATGCTAGCTTACATAACTCTCACGCCGTGGAGATGGTGATCGATATCTGCGAGGTGGTGATCTTGATAGCCGTGTTTGATACTATGAGAGATATGAGTTGGGCTTGCATTTCACAATCAACATTCTAAACTCACTCCCTCATTGTGCGTGTGTCTGTCTCTGTATTCTGGCGTTGGTAATCTATCGCGCTGTGAGGGTGGTATTAGTATGAAAGTGAGCGCAAATATGCATATTATGCATATTGTCTGCGTAACACCCACGCCATATGGCTCTCTGTATTCTGGCGTGCGAGAGTCAGCTCTGTCGCGTCTAGGAGTGGGTGGGGGTGATCTGCGAGAGTGAGCAGGGTAAGCAGGGCGAGACGGTGATCTGGATCTGCTGCGTCTTGTGTATTTAATGTTATCTGATTGGTTGTAGCTGTCTCTGTGGCTAGCACCAGGACCACCTCTAACACCTTTACCGCCTCTGCCTCCCCTTCCACCCCTTGCGCCGCGCCCTCTATCACCCCTCCTATAATCAGCATCTGCGTAGCTTCTCCTAATCTCGTCTCTTTCCCTAGCTCGGCTCTCGTCGTGCTCCCTCTTAGCCACGATCTCCCGCTTCTTCTGCTCGAGCCATTGGGGCGGAATGCCCATTTGGGAGTGCTGCGCCGTGACGAGCAATCCCCACAGCTCTTCCATGAATTGCGCCGTGTGGCTCTCGAGAAAGCCCGTGAGCGATATCTGCACATGACGCGGATCAGGGAATTGGGCAGCTTCGAGCATATCGAGGATATATTCGATAACGATGTCGTCCTCGAAGCCGAGCGCATCCACCACACGCTCCGTCACCCATCCGCGGAAGACAGTGAGGTTCACGCGGCGCATGTCCACCCGTGTGCTGAACGAGGGCGGGAACTGCGTTGTGCGCAGTGTGTGCAGGTCTTTATCGCGATACTTGCGGTCCTTTTCCGCTGATACTCCTGTCAGGCCTGCGTCCGGCATTTCGTCGTTGGCGGTTAACGGTCGACCGTCAACAGCCAGCACCTACCACCTACAGCTATCAGATATGCCACACAAGAGAGCTAAGAGGAGCGTGCGCGAGAAGAATACTAAGGATACGTGGGTGCGAGCTGTGCGTGGTGTGCTTTGCGCTAACCCACTCGCTCACCAACAGCGGGTTCAATAACGCCCCAAGTGGCTATCGTATCGACAGAGAAGAACTGCCAAAAGGCGCCATGCGGATTCTTATGGGTGGTCAGATCCAGGCTGACTATCGCGATAAGAAGAATAAACGGAAGCGTGATGCAGACGATGCGAACGAAAAGGAGAAAGCTGATGTGGGTGGTAATAGAAAAAAGACTGAGAATTCTCAGCTTACAGCTCACAAACAGCTCAAAATACGCCCCGAAGAACGCCTGAAAGACTACAATCGCCGTATCGATAACAAAATGCGCAAAGATATCAACAGCACTATCAAGAGCCACTCGTCGGAGAAAACGGCCAAGCAGATGAACAAGAAGATGCAAGACGAGGATGCCAAGAGGAAAGAGAAGGCGGAGAAGAAGGCAAAGACGAAATCAGACAAGCTTGAGAAGAAGAGAGAGGAAGAGACGGTCACAGCAGCAGGCTCACAATCTGATTCAGACGGTGAGACTATCCAGCCCCCTAGAGATTTCGCTGGTGCTGAACGGGTGCGTCTCAATGACGTCGCACAAGCACCGCCTTCTCTCCCGCGGATGAATCGCCAGGCCAAACGATTCGGTGTGGAGGATTCGAATGCAGGCAGCAGAGTGGGCACACCCCTTATGCGTCAGCTTGAACTGGAGAAAGAACGTGCGCGCGTCATCAGTCTTTATCGCGCTCAGAAAGGCAAGCGTCTGGAGAATTGGGTGAGCAGCAAGGAAGAAGCAGAAGCACAAGTCGAGTGATGGCTTGGATTATATAATAACTTATTCATTTCATTTCTCTTCTCATAATATACTCGATGGTTGCACACTCAAGCATCATCCACTTCGCGCGTAGACTTGTTGAGGAAATTCCAGAAGTACCGCGCTTGAAACACGCCTGCACTGTCAAAGAGATCGGGGTAGGGTATACTGCTGAGAGATTTCTTCGCATTGATCAGGCTCTTGCCCCCATTAGCTGTGCGTCTATAAGACAATTTGATTTCGTACTTGGGACAAGTATTTGCGCTGTGACTTGCTGGAATGGTAGTAGAGCGTATCTGTACGCTCGACGTCTCTATGCGTCCCTGTAGTGTCTTGCGTCTGCCCGTAAACACCTTATTGGAAATGACCAATTTAGCGTGCAACCAGAGGAGTGCACTGAGAATAGTGTATATTGACACCGCTACTCCAACCGCCTCCTTGGATTCCTCGAATGGGACCGTGTATGACCACGCGCAGACGCCGCCGCCAATTATACACGCTATCCAGCCCACTACGAGCTGTACATCAGTGTGTCTGTATGACTGCTTGTAGCCATGGGACGTTGTCAGTATCTGTAGGAGCTCTTTAGAATCACTGTCGCTGAGACTCCCCGGCTCACCCTCTTGACGGCATCGTCGCACGTCAGCTTAGCTGCTGTCAAATCAAGCGGGTTTATCACTATCTTCTCATCCTCATCCTCTTTTGGTGGTGGCGTCGGTGCTTTTTCGTTTACAGACATGTGCTGGCTGGTGGTGTGAGATAGAGGAACGTTCGGACAAATCAAAACAAAATAAATCATAGCGTTATTAGAAACATTAGCAACATTAGCAACATTTGCAGCATACGCAGCATATACATCATACACAGCATACATAGCATGTACAAATACACAACAAACTAATTCACCCCATTCACAGCCGCATTCACACCTCCTTTGAGATTATCCACCACACCCGCCGCAGCGGTCTTGATGGCGTCTGCAGTAGTCAGAGGCTGTACTTGAGGAAAGACGTTATCTTGACAAGCCTGCGACGCGGCGCTGAGGACAGCCTTGAGACCTGACGCGGCGGCATCAGGATCGATACCGACACCCCAGTAATCTTTAGTTCCATCTGAGAGATTGACATACGAGGCAGCCTGCACATATGAGCCTCTCCCGATAGCGTGTTCCTCGTAAGACTTGACGCTCAGCTGCGCGCCCAGCTGTTTCTTCAGACCATCGAGCATAGCAGTGATGGCACCGTTGCCGACACCGTCCACAGTGCGCGACTCCCCATCCACCGCGATTCTGCCCTTGAACGTACGTGTGTATTCCGCGTCGCTAGGCGTCGACTCGCCTCCACCTCTACTGTCTTCGAGGGAGAAGTTGCGCAGGGCGAGTCGCCCCTTAGTGGAGAATTCCTCGAGATAGTACTGTCTCTTAAAAGTGTCGATGATGTCGTCGACGCCGATCTCCGTACCTGTCTTGTCGGATGCCTGTTGGATGACCTGGTAGAAAGATACCTGCATGCGACGAGGGAGATCCATGCCGAGTATCTGTTTAACAAGATACGCAATACCGCCCTTGCCTGACTGTGAGTTGACCCTGATCACAGCCTCGTAGCTGCAGCCAATATCAGCCGGGTCGATGGGCAGATAGGGCATGGACCAGATGTTGTCGCCGCCATCAGCGCGTCTCTGCTGTGCCTCGAAGCCCTTCTTGATTGCGTCCTGGTGAGAGCCTGAGAACGCGGTGAAGACAAGCTCACCCGCGTATGGGTGGCGCGGGTGGACTGGTAATCCTGTACACTGAGAGACAGTGTCGATCACAGACAGCATGTCGTCGAATTTCAACCCAGGGTTGATACCCTGGCTGTAGAGATTCATGGCGAGAGTCACGAGATCTACATTACCAGTGCGCTCGCCATTGCCGAATACACACCCTTCCACGCGGTCTGCACCAGCGAGCTGGCCGAGCTCAGCTGCTGCCACACCGCTGCCTCTATCGTTGTGTGGGTGGAGCGATACATGTACCTTCTCTCTCTCACCGATGTGTCTGCAGAAGTACTCGATCTGATCGGCGTATGTGTTTGGTGTGCCGACCTCGACGGTGGCAGGGAGGTTGAAAATGATCGGCACCTCCGCACTAGGCTTCCAAATGCTCTTGACGACTTTGCAGATCTCGACAGCGAACTGTGTCTCAGTCTGGGTGAAAGTCTCTGGCGAGTACTCGTATGCAAAGATAGTACCGTATTTATCGGAGTACTCGTCGGCAAGCGTTCTCACCAGCTCCGTGTGCTCTTTAGCCAGTTTGATTGTTTCTTCCTTGGAGTTGCGGAAGACGACATCGCGAAAGAGGGGAGAGGTGGCGTTGTACATGTGGATGACTGCCCTCTTTGCGCCTGCAATCGACTCGAAGGAGCGCTTGATAAGATCGGAGCGTGCCGGAGTGAGAACTTGGACCCAGACGTCGTCTGGAGTGAGGCCTGGCGTCTCAATTACAGATCGGACAAAGTTGAAATCAGTATCGCTGGCGGCGGGGAAAGCAGCCTCAATCTGCTTTACACCGATTTTAACTAGCATTTTCCAGAATCTAGTTTTCCTGTCGGAGAGATAAGCCGATTAGCTGGAGAAGCGGAAAAAGGGAATACGCACGCTTCTATAGACATAGGATTGGCGAGGGATTGATTTCCGTCTCTCAAATCTGTCGATAGCCAGATCGGGGACTTCTCCAGGGAATTGGAAGGCCAAGTCCTGTCGTCGAGCTTGATCGATGGCTGGAACTTTTTGTATTTGAGGGAAGGATCTTGTCTGCTCTGGGTGTGAGTGGTGGATTGATTGATCAACTGAGTAATGCTCACAGCATGGGCATATCGGGCGATGATGATAGTTTCGGACAAGGAGAAATTCGAGAGATATCGAGTCACAGCGGAATGGAGATGGGTGAGTCATGGCGATGGCGGTGGGAGCGTAGGCAGTGTAGGCCGTGTATGCCGTGTAGGAAGTGTAGGTGGTGGAGCTACAGGGCTGGAAATGACTTGATCAATCAGGTCGAGAGAAGGGTGGATGCGTGGATGCGACTTGGATACATGATTGATTAACATTATAAGATTCTACGTGCTATTCTCAGCTGCAGCGTCTTTAAAGGTAATTTCGAGCTTTTTGGCTGCGAGTATCTGTGTATGCATCATGAGCTGTGAGCTGTGTAGTAAACACACCAACTCACCCTACTAAAGCACCCATCACAGAAGACAGACTGCTCAGCTGGAGCTGTATCACAATCCCACCAAACGCATTCACTTGGATTCCGGTGCTTACTCGCAATACAATCAATGCAGTGGTCGCAATTGTAGAGCTGGTGCTGGGTGCATTGGGCTGTTGCACACTTCTAGCCGCTGCGTTAGTTGCATGAACCTGTGATTACACCAAGCATACCATGGAATCTGAATTATTGGGTATAATGCTTGATTTATTGAGGGATATAATGAGATTATCTCTTGTGGGGTCGAAGCCCCTGCGTCCGCCTCCGCCGAGTCTAAGTGTTGGCCGTGTGTGTGCCTGTAACGTGAGCGTGGAGGTGTAATTGGGACAGACAGGAACGCACAGGCTGTTAGCGTTGAGACTATATAGCAGCCACAACTACATAATACATAATACAATTACAATTACAAATGTCAGGACGCTAAATACAAAGACATTCGAGTGGAGCTATCTAATAGGATAATCTATAGCGGAAAAAGAGATATCCAGGGATTCCTAGGGATAGCCAATGTCAGCCAGTGATATTGTGACATCCGAATTCACTTACACAGTTACATCTGGTACGTCAGAGTACACCAGCGTGGATAAATCCGTAGAAGCTACACGCACACACACACTACACACATCACAACACCTACACCCCGCCCACTCCCGCCGATTCCGCCTAATAAAATTTTGGATTTCTTCTCTTCAATTGCAAAAATCTGGCGATTCGCTTCTCAGCAGCTTACGGTGTACAAAAATGTGAGTAAATGGATAGGGAGAGAGCATGTAAAGGGTTTTCAGTGTTTTTGTGGGCCAGGAATATTCCCATCGCAGTCCCGCTTTGATATAGAGTATATCGAGCTATTTTCAAGTTTTTGAGAAGAGGTTCATGTGGGCAAGTAAGAAGAATATTCCATTACTTTAAGTAATCTGGGTAATCCACACACTCCCCACTCTCCCCACCCCTCACAACTCCCACTCACTCCCATTCCCAGGGGTGCCTACAAATACGTCCAAAGCATCAACCAGCACAAGCAAAGTGACTTGGTCAAGTTTAGACTTCGTGTTATGGCATGGTACTTGAGACAACTCACCGTCATCTCACGTGCACCTGGTCCATCCAACCTTGTCCGCGCCAGACAGCTCGGTTACAAGAGAAAGCAAGGCTACGTAATCTACAGAGTGAGAGTGCGTAGAGGTAACCGTAAGCGCCCATGTCCAAAGGGTGTTACGAACGGTGGGTTGTTTTGTTTTTTCAACAAGATTTTCACTCACTCCATCCAGGTAAGCCAGTAAGACAGGGTATTAACCACCTCAAGCCATCGAGAGGCCACAGAGCTCTCGCTGAGGAACGTGTCGGTCGTCGCTGCTCCAACCTTCGCGTACTCAACTCTTACTGGATCAACCAAGACGGTGTGTACAAGTTCTACGAAGTCATTCTCGTCGATCCTTCACACAAGGCTATCAGAAGAGATGCTCGTATCAACTGGATTTGCGACGCTGTTCACAAGCACCGTGAATCTAGAGGTCTCACCGCTGAAGGCAAGAAGAACCGTGGTCTTGGTAAGGGTCACAGATTCAACAAGACCCCTCGTCGTGCTACCTGGCGCAGAAACAACACCCTCTCTCTCACCCGTTACCGTTAAACGAGGTGATGAGGGTGTGTGTGTTGGGTGTGGTGTGTTGTTATTACCAAGCAATGCAGGACACTCTATGTACACACTTTACACAATGCACATTCATGTCGCTGTTTTTTTAATTGCTTTTGATATGTTTTGCTAGTTTGCTATTTCTTACTGAAATTTTCATCTTCCCAAAACCCCCATCATGGCATCGACAGTGAGGAATTTCTCTCTCAACTTGCCATGGTCTTTGCCATTATCGATCTCGGCCTGGTTAATACGCAGCCAATCGGACCATTTGACAGCCTGATGCTCGACAACAGGTGGTACGCCTGGGAGGGGGGATGTAGAAGGAGCCCAATCGAGATGAGAAGCGTTTGTGAAGGAAACACCAGCTGCCTCGTCCTCACCGCTCTCACCTTCAACCTGATCGCTGTGCAGATCCGAGACAATAGTATCAGCGACGCTATACGAGTCGTACATAGTAGACGCGATGACGCCGACAGGCCCTCGACTCGCCCAGCCTGTGGAGTAAACGTTGGGTATCTGCAGTGAGTGAGGTGAGTGAGATGAGACACATTTCAATCACCACGGAACCCACATTAACTCCATCTTCACCTATAACTCTCCCGCCGGAGTTACGTATGACGCCGCGTGAAGTGTCGAAGGGGATGTTGCCTAGTGGGTGCGCCCTGTATCCTATACTCTCTATCGCGAGGTCGTACTCTTCTTCATGTGTTTGGGCTGTGGGCGTAGCGAGTACCCGTGCTGGCGTCTGCGTTGCTGGCTCACCACCCACTACACTCGTTGAGGGTGGTGTTTCGGTGAGTTTGTTCACTGCAAACGATATGTGTGTGAGGTGGTCCTTATCTTGCTTGCTGTGGAAATGTGTCGGGGAGAGAAGGAAGCGCAAGCCCCAAGTTTTAGCAGCGTCGTGCATCCCACACTTGCTGCCATCAGCCAGGAGATTGAGAATGCGTTTTTTAGCGCGCCATTCGCGGTCATTGGAGGCATGCTGATCGCCGTGCATGATGGCATGGTGAATCGCGTCACTCGCCTCGCTGACGCCCCCGCCCACACCCACGCTCTTCATAGCGACGTCTGGGAGATGCATCATTTCACGCGTCTCCTTGGCCGTGAAAGCCACCTGGGCAGGACCGCGGCGGCCGACGAGATCGACGTGATCGATGGAGGCGTGTTGGAGGGAGTGGAGGACACTCGATGGGATGTCAGTGTGTGAGAGAGCGTGTGCGCTGCGGTTGGTGGTCAGCAGAACACGCGCTATATCCAACCCCACATTGCCCTGGCCGATGATGGCGACTTTGCGCGCGCGCGAGAGGTCCGCGGAGAGAGAATCGTGGAGGTGTGTGTAGTCGGGGTGGCCATTGTACCAGCCAACTAGATCGGCAGCAGAGTACACACCGCGTAGTCGCCGTGATGAACCGACTGAGCCGGGGATGCGGAGGTGGGTGGGTTGAGAAGCACCGTAGCTGAATGCCAAGTGGGTGTAGTGCTTGGCGAGGAGGGAAAGGGATATATCATTGTTCTTGGTACTGTCACCAACTGAGACACCGCCGTAAAACTTAAATCTATTATCACTGGCAGCTCTGCTGAAGGAATTGACGCAATTCTTTACATCAGGGTGATCAGGCGCTACGCCATACCTCACTAATCCAAACGGCACGGGTAATCGCTCGTACATGTGGATAGCGTGGTTGGGGTTGTAAGGGAGCTGGTTGAGTAGTCGCTGGGTTAGGTAGAATGCAGAAGGACCAGAGCCAAGTACCGCGAGTTTGAACGGCTTTATTGGCTGATTAAAACCCATGACAGGTACTCTCAACAAGCAACATCCATCATGCCAACGATATCGGTCGATAAAAGGGAATTATTTGATAGACTGGGAAGGGAATATTGTGGGTTGATTATTTGTATTTGTATGTCCCGTTAACCCACTCCCAGCCACTCAAGAATTTGATCAACTTTGCTTTGAATTTGGAATCGAATTGGACGAGGATACCACAGAGGAGGTGGCTGAGTTGACTAGGAATAACCAGCCTTCTGAGCCTCCTCAACTCAAAATTGAAATCCCTGCCAATCGCTATGATCTTCTCTGCATTGAAGGTATCGCCAGGGCTTTGAATGTCTTCTTGGGGAGGCAATCACCCCCAGTCTACACAGCTGCACCTGCAAATCACACTAGAAAACTTAGAATCGACAGCTCCACCAAAGACGTCAGGCCATTCGCTGCTGCTGCTATCCTCAGAGGCGTGCACTTCTCCCCTTCCTCGTATGCCTCTTTCATCGACCTCCAGGACAAACTACACTCAAACCTCTGCCGCAAACGTCAATTCGTTGCTATTGGTACTCATGACTACGATACTCTCGCACACACAGGCACCTTCACCTACCAAGGCACAAAACCTGAAAATATTCACTTTACTCCCCTTAACAAGGATAAAGAGGTGGATGGATATCAACTTATGGACCTCTACTCACAAGACAAACATATCAGCAAGTTCCTCCACCTCATCGACAAGTCCCCTGTCTACCCAACTATCTACGACTCAAACAACACCCTCCTCTCTCTCCCCCCACTCATCAACGGTGATCACTCCAAGATCAAGATGTCTACTACAAACATCTTTATCGAGTGCACTGCCACTGATGCCACCAAGTTGGAAATGGTCCTCGACATTATCTGCGCCATGTTCAGTGAGTATACCGAGAAGCCGTATGAAATTGAGCAGGTGGAAGTGGTGAATCCAGATAATACCACTCACCTCACCCCACCCCTTCAACCACGCCAAATCAAAGCGCGTTCATCCTACATCAACTCTTGCACCGGTCTCACAACCACAGCCGCCGAGATAGTTGGTTTGCTCAGCAAGATGGGTTTACCATCCACCGCGACTGGCGAAGCTGAGTACGACATCAGCGTCACAATCCCCATCACACGCCCAGACATACTTCACGAATGTGACATAATGGAAGACGCTGCGATTGCATACGGCTTCAATAACCTCCCGCGCACTTTCCCCAAGGCGTACACGGTCGCTGCCCCACTCCCCATCAACAAGCTGAGTGATATTATGCGCCGCGAGGCTGCTATGGCGGGGGGGACAGAGGTCCTTCCACTCATCCTCTGCTCGCGGGATGAGAACTGCGCATACCTCAACAGGCACCCTGACGAACTCAAACATGCTGTCCACCTCGCTAATCCGAAAACACTCGAGTATCAGGTCGTTAGAACGTCCCTCCTCCCCGGTTTACTCAAAACAATACGCGAGAATAAACATCACGCCCTGCCTATCAAGGTGTTCGAGACCTCTGATGTAGCTTTTGTTGATCAAGGGCTGGAAAGAAAGTCGAAGAATGAGAGGAGAGTAGGTGGTGTGTATAACGATAAGAAGGGTTCTTTTGAAGTGGCACACGGATTACTTGATAGACTGCTCAATATGCTCGCTGTTCACTTCCTGCCATCTGATACTCGTAAAGAGGCTGAAAAAGGTTACTATATCGTCGAAAGCGATAACCCTACTTACTTCCCTGGTCGCGCTGCTTCCATTGTCTACAGACCTCCTCCGTCTGACGATCAAGATAATGATGGCGCTTTCGCCTCACTCAAATCAACCCTCGCTCATGCCCTCCCCGACTCACTCAAAGATCTCGTCAATTCCAGAGATAGAGTCATCGGCTCTCTCGGTATCGTTCATCCTGACGTGTTGAATCACTTTGAAATCAAAAATCCTTGTTCGGCGTTTGAGTTTAATTTGCAAGAGTTTTTGTAAGTGCGTGGGTGTTGATGGAATAGATTTCAATGGTTTCTTTAAATTCATTGTGATTTATATGCTTTGTTTGCTTTCCTTGACACATGATATATAAATGATATACAATAAGTGGTTGATATATAATAGATGAGAGATGTGTATACGAATTCTAAACCCACACCCACACTCACACTTACACTCACAGCCAACAATTAAAGCAATCCTTGCTTGTACTCGTTGACGTAAGCGTAGTCGCACTCACGCATTTCTACCTCAATTGGTGCTGATTTGGGTTTATGCGAGTATTTTGATTCTTTCTTGCGCGTTTGTGAGCGTGTTTGGTATCTCGATGTAGATGTAGATGCAACTGACTCGTCTTGCTCATCTGCCACCTCTTGCTGTTGCTCATTGAGGGTGTACTGGTAAATGAAATCAGCCGTGTGTGTACGTTTACGCTTTGTTTCGTGTGAGTGCGAGGGAGAGTCGACAAGGACATCACTTTCATCAGTGAGATACTGTTTCTTTTTGCCCCTGGCCTTGCCCTTGACTTGCCCTCTACCTCTAACCCGACCGCTACCTCTTCCTCTTCCCCACCTCTACTCACAACCTTCTTCGAGTGAGCGGGCTGCAAGTCAATCCCAACTGGTTCTTCTTGCTGGTCGCCAAAAGCGTGTTGGACGGCGTTTGGGTTGGCGGAAGAAGTCGTGAGTGTGCGTTTCCTCTTGGGTGTGGGTGCTTATGGGAGAATGTATATCTAAACGAAAGGAAGTGCGACTGTGATTGGAGTTAAGCATAGTCATTGTACTCCTAAAACACCTGATAATCTGGTATTTGGAAGGAGGTAAAGGTATCATAAACTGCCTCTTTGCGTTGGTGGCAGAGGGAGTTGAAGCCAGGGATGCTGTGAAGTGTGAGTTTGACTTTGAGTAAAGTCAAACAAACACCCACTCCAATAAGAGTGATAGACGCTGTTTATGTTATGCAGTTGATTTACTGTAACGCATTTCTAATGACGATACACGTAGCCATATTTCTCGGAGAATTTCACTCGCACTCCTAATCTTAACTCTCCATATCCAATCATTGTGCCTAAGTGGGGGTAGAGAGGGGTAAGACTATGAGATGGTGTGAGTGTATGTAATTATAAACTAACCTGTATATGGTTATGGTTCATTACAATGTGATCTACCACTTGGTACTGCTTCTACTTTGTATTCCAACAGTTTGTTTGGTGTGTTTGCTGTGATTGTTGTGAATGCTGTCGCTACTGCTATTACTACTGCTGCCGCTGCTATGATGACTTTAATTAATCTGATTTCTCTGTTTGCTCTGTTTGCTCTGTTTGCCGCGTCTGCTGCTCTTTATTAAATCTCTCAAGGAGATCTGTGTACTTGGAAGACTTAAAGATATGATCTTGTTGATAAGTTTGATTTATTGGTGGTATTATTGGTTTTGGTTGTGTGATGAGATTGTTATCATTGAATATCTCCGCCAAGCGCTCTTTGACCGTGTGGGTTACTGCACTTGGAAATATTTCTAAAACTTCAACAAGTCTAATTATGTCTTTGTATGATAATGCCTGCTTGGATTCATTCGCTGGTTTCAATACTCCCACTATATCTAGCAATCTATTCAGATCACGCGTTGCTCCTTCTGCATCTCCTATGGGTAGTGCACTTGGTATTGATTCTTTTGGCCATTGAAATGATAAATCATTTACATTGTTACTCTCACATAACTCGCGTAAAAGTAACTCGGATTTATTTCTTTGCTTTTGATTCATCGTTGTTATTGAATAAGAGAGTATTTAAATCAATTAAGTGAAAATTTAATTTATATAGTTGGATGACCGCAATTCCTCACACCAACACACTCACCATGGATACAGAATATCAACAGTTAACTCAAAATCTTGATAACTTGGTTGAAGTGAGGCAGAAGTTACAAGTACAATTCAATGAGAATAATCAAGTTAAGGATGTTAGTTGGGTGTGATTAGGTGTGATTGAAATCAAGCTAACACAACACACAAACCCCAGGAATTCAACAAACTCACTCCTAATAACACCATTTACAAATTAGTTGGCCCTGCTTTAGTCGAGCAAGATCAACATGAATCGAAACTTAACGTTGAAAAGCGCTTAGATTTCATAAAAAGTGAGATTGATAGAACTGAATCTGAGATTGAATCTGGGCAGAAAACAATCCAATCGATACAGCAATCTATCAGTCAACAGACTCAACAAGAGTCTACAGAATAGAACACATAATTCATATATTTATATCATTTCCTTTTCTACACTTAACTTATTTGTTTGTTGCAAAAATTGCACTCAAATTCTCCCAAACAAGTTTTGGTGATTGAGATGCATCGATTGGGCGATGCTTGTTTTGGTTTCTATAATAATCAACCACAGGTGAAGTTTGTTGGTGATAAGTGTTCAATCTCTTTCTAAGAGCTTCGACATTATCATCTGAGCGTTGAATGAGTGGTTCACCTGTTGCATCATCCGTCATTGACTTCTTTGGTGGATTGAATTCTTTGTGGTAAGATCTACCAGAAGCTGGATGAATCAATCTTCCAGTGATACGTGAAATAAGCAACTGATCAGCGATTCTTAACTCCACAGCATGATCAATTGTTTGCTTCTTACTCTCCAACATTCCATCCAGCTTCTCAGCTTGAGTGACTGTACGAGGGAATCCATCGAGGATGAATCTGTATTTGGTTATTAGTCACGTATATGTCTCAAGAAAATATTCACTAACCCAAGTTTACACTTTTCATTAGTCTCAAGTTGATTCTTAATCATACCAACGACAATTTCATCACTGACGAGTCCACCTGCGTCCATGATCTTTTTTGCCTCGACGCCTAAGTCCGACTTCTTGCCAACTTCAGAACGAAGCATATCACCAGTAGCCAAATGACAAACGTTGTACTTGTTGACGATGTTTGGTGCCTGAGTGCCTTTACCTGCACCAGGAGGACCAATAAGAATCATACGCAACTCTTGAGAAGGTGTTCTGCCTGAAGGGAGAGTGGACTTTGTTGATTTCTCAAGTTGCTCAATCTTGCTAGCTAAATCGCCAACCATTCCTTTCAAATTATCTAATTCACGTTGTGCTGCCTCCATTATTCTGTTTTAAGTGGTAGTAGATCAACACGCGCGAGACACGTTACATGTAAACGATGTCCACAAAATATTCAAATTTCAATTTACTAAAAGTGGAAGATATTGGTGATTCTGATTCAGATGATCAGGGTGATCAGAACCCAGCTACTCCACCTAAGAAGAGTACCAAGGTGCACAAGCACAGTGATAGACACTCCAACAGTCCTTCTAAACGTGCTTCTAAACAGCAGCCTCAGCAGCCTCAATTGGATTTTAAAGTTGATCCTGTTTATCATAAAGCACAGCCAGGGGTTGAGCAGAAGCCACAGCCAGTACACAAGTCAACTCCAGTACATAAGCAGAAGCCGGTGCTTGAGCAAAAGCCTGAACCAATCCAACAGCCTGCGCATAAGTCACAACAACCCCAGCAACCCCAGCAACCCTCACAAACCCAATCCATCCCCGCTAAACCTTCCAAAAAACAAGCCATTGTTACTCGCACTATTTGGACCTTCATCATGGTCTTCGGCTTCTTTGGTTGTCTAATGGCTGGGCACGCTTGGCTCATCATGCTCGTCATGCTCTGTCAATCTCTCTCGTACCGCGAAGTCACCGCTCTCTTTGGGTTTAAGACGGAGTACGGCGTTAGAGCTAAGAATAGCGAGAAAGACAGATGGTCAACTATTCTTAACTGGTGGGTGTTTCATTTCCACATATCACTTATCATACTCACACTCACTCACAGGTACTTCTTTGTCGTCACAAACTACTTCTTATACGGCGAATCCATCATTTACTACCTCAAACATATCATCTTCGCAGACGTCTACTTCATCCAACTAGCCAAACATCACCGCTTCATCTCTTTCATGCTCTACATTATCGGCTTCATGGGCTTCGTCGCCAACCTCAAACGTTCCTTCCTCAAGCGCCAATTCGTTCTCTTTTGTTGGGTACACATGTCTCTCCTTCTCATCGTACTCTCTTCCCACTTTATCGTCAACAACATCCTCGAAGGAATCATTTGGTTTTGGGTACCTGCTTCTCTCGTTATTTGCAATGATATCTTTGCGTACGTCTTTGGTATGCTATTCGGCAAAACTCCTCTTATTGCACTCTCACCAAAGAAGACTGTCGAAGGTTTCATTGGTGGAGGTATCGCAACCGTTTTGTTTGCATGGGGATGGGGTACTATCTTCCAGCAATGGAAGTACATGATATGTCCTGTCCACGACCTTGGCACTTCAATCTTTTCTCAAGTGGAGTGTGTACCTAACCCGGTCTTTATTTGGCGTGAGTTTGAGATTCCAAGTATGATTTCAGCTCTGCTGAGTACCATGGTGAGGGGGTTTTAAGGTGTAAAACTGAATTTAATCTAACTCAAACGCAAACAGACACAACGCGACATTACTATTATTCCATACACTCCATTCCAAATTCACTGCCTCTTCATGGCAACTTTCGCTTCAGTTGTTGCTCCATTTGGTGGATTCTTCGCATCCGGTTTTAAGAGAGCATTCGATATCAAAGACTTTGGCGACTCAATACCAGGACACGGTGGTTTGACTGATAGAATGGATTGCCAATTCCTTATGGGATTGTTTGCTTACGTGTATTACAGCTCACTCATCCGCGAAGCTCACGTGTCGGCTGGACAAGTTCTCCAAACGATTGTGTCCTCGTTACGAGCAGATGAACAACTTGAGTTATTTAGCGACTTTAAAAAGTATTTAGAATCACAAAATTATCTGTCTTAATCAATTTATTCATTTTTGTGTGTGTCTTCCTTGTTCCAAAACACGCAACACACGATGGACAGTATCGCGGTTCTATTGTCGCAATCTTTACAACTTGGTCCACAGCGCAAGCAGGCTGAGCAGCAGCTACAGCAAGGTGAATCCCAGGCAGGATTTCTTCTCTTACTGCTCCAGCTCCTCGGTCAGGAGAATGCACCAAATGAGATACGCCTGGCTGCTGCAGTTTTGCTTAAGAATAATATAAGAAAGAATTGGGTGAGTGTTGTGCGTCTGTGGTCGTGTGGTTGCTCACACACCAACAGCCAGAAGACACAGCTATAAGCGTGCAAGATAGAAACACGGTCAAGGCTCAAATAGTACCTGCTATGATTGCGTTATCTTCTAGACCTCCTTTACAAGCTCAGCTTGGTGAAGCCGTTGCTATTATCGCGGAGCATGACTTCCCTGCAAATTGGGATGGTTTGATTGATGTGCGTAGTGTTCTGGCGATAAACACAACCTAACACAACACTCCACAGCAACTCGTTGCTGCACTCACAGAATCAGATTACTCGATTAACAACGGCGTCCTCACCACAGCTCACTCCATCTTCAAAAGATGGCGCTCACAATTTCGCACAGATGACCTCTTTAGAGAGATTATATACGTTTTAGAGCGTTTCTGTGAACCATTCTTAGGCATCTTTAGACGCACTGATCACCTCCTCAGCGATCCCTCATACCACTCTCTTCCAGAAGCTCAACGCGTACAGTTAGCACAAGCAATGATCCTACTCACTCAAATTTACCACGACCTCAACTCACAAGACCTGCCTCCTTTCTTCGAGGACAATAACAATGAATTTATGGGCTACTTTGCAAAATACTTGGTCGAATGGAACGCCCAGTTCGATGATGGCGGCGGCGAGGACCCAACACCTCTAGAAAAGATTAGAGCGAGTATTTGTGAGATCGTTGAGCTCTACTCGCAGAGATACCTCGATGCATTCCCTCAAATGGGTGCGTTCGTTGAGCGTGTGTGGACGTTGGTTATTGGTTTGGGTCAATCAACAAAGTACGACGTTTTGATCAGCAAGGCGCTGAAATTCTTAAGCACAGTCGTTAGAAATCCAGATCAACGTGGTGCAATTGACAACGAGGCAACACTCAATCAATTTTGCGAAAAGATTATTCTCCCAAATATGCAAATGCGTGAACATGAGGAGGAGATGTTCGAGGATGATCCATTGGAATACGTGAGGAGAGATTTAGAACCTACTTCGGATTCAGACACGCGTAGATCTGCTGCTACTGAATTTACACGTGCTTTGATGGAACAATTTGAGAGCACTATTACGACTATCATTAAGGGCTATATTGCTAATTGTTTACAAGTATTTAGTCAACAAAACTGGAAAGCTAAAGATACCGCTATATACCTTCTCACATCTATCGCAAGTAAGGGATCCACATCTTCACATGGTGTGTCATCAACTAATCAACTCATTGATGTTATTTCCTTCTTCTCTGAACATGTTTTCCAACACCTTCAAAACCCTTCACACCCAATACTTGAAGTTGACGCCATCAAGTTTTTGTACACATTCCGTAACCAGCTCAGCAAAGAGCAGATACTGTCAGTCTTACCGTTGCTCGTTCGTCACTTGGGAAGTGAGAATTACGTTGTTTACTCATACGCTGCTATTACTTTAGAGAGAACGTTGGCGTTGAGAAGAGACGGGAAGCAGGTTATCGAAAAGGACGACGTGAGAATATTTGCTCAGGATATCTTAGTTGCCATATTTAACAAGATTGGTGAGGCTCCAACGCCAGAAAAGAAGGCCGAGAATGAGTACCTCGCCCGTGCTGCTATGCGTATTATCTTGGTCGCTCAAGATAGCTTGTCTGATGTACATGAGGCAATCCTCGACTACTTAGTTGGTATTACGACGGAGATTTCCAAGAATCCATCCAACCCACGTTTCTCGCAGTACATTTTCGAGGCAATTGCTGCTTTGGTTAGGTTTGTTGGGGGTACACATAAGCAACTCCTCCCCAACATGACCAACAAGCTACTCTACGGACCTTTCCAAATGATTCTGGGTCAGGACGTCCAGGAGTTCCAGCCATTCGTTTTCCAAATTGTCGCTCAGTTGTTGGAAATTCAGGGCGAGGGTACGCCAGATGCATTCAAGCCTCTACTCGCGCCGTTAATGCAGCCTACACTATGGGAGCAGCGTGGTAACGTTCCACCTCTGGTGAGACTTTTGAAGGCCTTCTTGCTCAGAGTGTCCGAGGACATAGTCGCAAACAACCAGATCAGCAACATTCTGGGTGTGTTTCAAAAACTCATTGGAAGTAAGGTGCAGGATGTGTACGGATTTGAGTTATTAGAGGGGCTCATCGAGAATGTACCTGCGCAAACCATGCAGGATTACATTGCACCCGTTTTGACTTTGCTTCTTACACGTCTGCAAGCGAGCAAGACTGACCAGTTTACACGTGCATTCATCCACTTCTTTATGCTCACTGCTGCGCTCGACGACAAGGGGTATGGAGTGCCGTTCTTGGTTAGCGGTTTCGATAAGGTTCAGCCGGGGTAAGGGTGGCGTTTGATAGATAAACGCACACACTAACATTTCTCACAGTCTGCTCCCTCAGGTGCTCCAATCTGTGCTTCTTCCCGAAGTTCAGAAAGTCACGCAGCGCGATCGCAAGGTCGTCTACATCGGTCTGGTGAAGCTATTGACAAACACGCAAACTATACAAATGGGCAAGGTGTGGTCCGTTGCAATGGAGTCTCTGCTTAAGCTCTTCATCAACCCACAGGATCTCAAGGCTGCGGGTACGAATGAAATTCTTGTGGACGACGAATCAGGCTATCAGACGACTTACGCTCGTTTGGCTTCGTCTGATTATCCTCCAGCTGACAGGTTTCCCAGTGTCACCGATGAGCGCTCTTTCATGAGCTCTAGCTTGGACGCTTTCAGTAGGAACGTCCCAGGTCAGATCCCTCCGCTTCTGCAAGGCATCCCTAACGAATTACTCTCCCCACTCGTGCAATTCATGCAGTCTAACGGTCAGACCATTGTGTGATTTTAATTTGTGGAGGTTTGTTGGTTTGTTTGTGGGTGTATAAAATGCATTTATATTATATTACACAAGACACGTGGTGGTGATGATTACTGGCTAAACTTGAATTGGTGCGGCTTGTGCAGCTCCTGTTCCACTTCCAGCTGCTTGAAATGGATTGTGCCTAATAACTACCTGCTCAACGACATGCTCCGAGTCTGCGAAACCGAGTATGTCTGAGATGAGTGAGCTGTAGATGCGTTGGCATGTTAGTCAGGAATACAACACCAAACACTCCCACCTTTTGGCCCCTTTGACTCTGTCTATATCGGTGGAGTTGTAATTCGCCAATCCTCGTCCAATCTCAATGTTGATGTTACCTTCGCTCAATCCTCCGGTAATGTTCGTCTCAAGTGAAGAAACACTACCGCTTACATTTTGAGGTGCGAGATTTGGAGTTGGTGGGTAACCCTCATCGTTCATCCTGATAGCTGCGAGCGAGAGTGGAGAGATGTTTGACGTGATTGTCGCATTAACCAAGGATATAGTGACTGCTTGACCAATGGCAAAGGTGCCGCGCACAGCGACCACCCCGGCTGGTAGAAGTCTCCCTCCGCCTCTCACCAACGCCTTGGCAGCACCAACATCGATGACAATCTCTCCCGCAGGATTGAGACCATTAAGGATCCACCACTTGCGATCTCCCAAAGGATTACTCTTGGACAGAAACGCCGTGTGTGGAGGTGCAGCGAGCGACCCCCCCTCGTCTCCACCCGGAGCAGTGATAATGTCGAATATGCGCTCAGGGTGGGCACCGTGGGAGACGACGGTGGTGACACCGGCAGCTGTAGCCAGCTCCGCTGCTATAATCTTGGTCTCCATTCCACCCGTACCTAGAGAAGTGCCCATTGTCGACGTCGAAACTGTCTGGCGGATATCAGCGATGTCTTTGACAATGCTCACCGGCTTCGCGTCGGGGTTCTTCCGCGGATTATCCGTATAAAGACAGTCAACGTCTGTCATCAGAAACAGGTAATCAGCGTGCACCATAGCGGCTGTGATTGCAGAGAGCGTGTCGTTGTCACCGAACTTGATCTCGGACACACTGATAGTGTCGTTCTCATTGACGATAGGCACAACGCCCATGTCGAGCAGCTCTGAGAAGGTGTTGACGGCATTGAGGTAGCGTGTGCGCTGGGCTGTTAGCAGGGCGCCACCACTCTACACTCCACTCACATCTGAAATGTCGCCCCTGGTTAGCAGGATCTGGGATATTGGCTGCGAGAGCTGGGAGAAGAGGTTGTCCCAGAGCGCTATTAGTCGTCCTTGTCCGATTGCAGCTAGGGCCTGTTTGGCGTGTGAGCTGTGTCATGGGAATCAACAACCGCACGCGCCTGCTTCTTCGCAAGGCCTTTCGGACGACGGGCCATGTCCATCCTCTTCAGCCCCACGCCGATAGCGCCGGATGACACGATGACAACTCGGTGCCCGGCGCGTATCAGGCTCACCGCCGTCTCGACGATACTAGATAAGAGAGCAATCTTGGGGAGATGGGTGTGGTCGTCGTTCACGATGGAGCTCGTACCCAGCTTAATCACAATCGTCAGGTGCTCCTTTGGGCCCGCGTGCCGTGGATTGGTCCTAAAGTCCGCGCTGGCATTCATGATGGTACCGAAGATGGAGACAGAGCGTGGATTGCAGGCATGGTTGGGAGCAGCCAAATGAGCATCTTCTGCATCTCGTGTAACTCGTGTAACTCATGTGCTTTGTAATTCACCTGCATCTCCTGTATCTTCAACACCTTTTACTCTCATGTTCAGGCGTCTTATTGGACTCAGCAGTGCAGGTAGCAGAACTGGCCATAGAGCACTCTATGCTGGCGCAATAACTAGCGCGGTGCGTGGGCGGTCTACATTGCACTAACCTCTGACACGTTGAATCAGGCCAGCTATCTGTATTTCAGCCATCTCAGCAGCAACAGCAGCAATATCCGCAACAATCTAAGCAGCGATTTCAACAAGAAATACATACACAATGACGCATTGTCGTCTCCCGCACAACAACCGTATAACACACCAACTCCAGCCATAGTCGACGAGCTCAAGTTAAAGATCGGAGATGAGCACGTTATTACAAGACAGGATGTTATCCAGAGCAGCGTAAACTCACAGTGGTCATATCTCGTCGATGCCCCGCCCTCCATTATCGTAAACCCTGCAACAACACAGGACGTCGTAGAGATTGTTAATATTGCGCGCAAACATCACATTCCACTTATTAGCAGAACCGCTGGTACCTCCTTAGAAGGCCATTGCAGTGCCGAGCATGGTGGAATTATGATCGATTGCGAGCAGCGTATGGCAGAAATACTTGAAATATACCCTGACGATATGCAAGTACGCGTACAGCCAGGTTTGAAGTGGGTAGACCTCAACGAGCATCTCGAAGAAGCCGGCCTAAGCTTGTTCTTCCCTCTCGATCCCTCCCCAGGCGCAGCTATCGGTGGCATGTTGTCAACAAATTGTTCGGGAACTAATGCATGCAAATACGGTTCAGCATCTTCCGGAAATTGGTTTTTGAACATCACAGTTGTGCTAGGTGAGTTTTTTTCCGTTTGTGTCTTAATATTAACAATTATAGCCAACGGTAAGGTAATGAAGACGCGCCAGCGCGCTAAGAAGAGCTCAGCTGGTATTGATTTGACAAAATTATTCACCGGCGCTGAGGGCACTCTCGGTGTGATAACGGAGCTAACTCTGAAGCTGGCTCCGAAGGAGCCCACCTCCGTCGCTATTGCACCCTTTGATACCATAGAGGATGCAGCCAAGGGCGTCTCCAAGGTCATCCAAAGTGGTATCAGTGTGAATTGTGCAGAGCTTCTGGACGATCTATCAATTATCGCTAACAATAGTAGTCGCACAACCAAACAGTATGCAGAGAAGCCCCACATCTTCTTCAAGTTCGTCGGCACACCAGCGCATATGGCTGAGGATGCAGATCGCACAGCGAGCATTGTGAGGGAGTTCGGCAGCCACCTCGAATATGCAGAGACAGACGAGGAAGCGAAGAATCTGTGGGAGGCGCGCAAGTGGGGTCTGGCCAACATCAACGCGATGGTTCCTGAATCTCGAATCTGGACGACGGATGTTTGTGTCCCTCAGTCCAAATTGCCAGCCCTCGTCAGACAGATTAAGGCGGACGCAACACAAGCTGGTATCTACGCCCCCCTTCTTTCCCACGCTGCAGACGGTAATTGTCACTTTCTCCTTGCTTTCAAAGATGATAAGGAGAGGGTTATAGTGGAGCAATTGGTAGAAAAGATGGTAGAGCGTGCACAGGCTTTAGATGGTACTTGCACGGGTGAACACGGCGTAGGCGTCGGCAAGAAACACCATCTGGTGCATGAGCTTGGCGATACCACTGTCGAGGCGCTCTGGTCACTCAAGAGAGCATTCGATCCCGATAACATCATGAAGTGGGTACGCGCACGATACTTGGATCTCATCTCACATCTCACAGCCCAGGAAAACTATACCCAGATATCGATTTTCACAAATAGGTGATTTAGCGTTTCTGTTTTGGTCACAAGTCACAAGTGCGCTTAAAACATTTCAAATGAACCAAATTTGTCAATACTTTGTCTAATCTACAATATGAACCCCTTACATGATGTCATGGACGATAAAGGCAACTCAAGGGCACTTGGAGATAGTTTGTTAGATTATTCATATACCCTACACAATCAACAGAATAGCCTGACATTCAATACAATTATATGCTCATAATCTGTTGAAAGTTTATGTTAATTTATGGTAAGCCGATATCAGTTTGAGAATTGCAGCTTACATCAAGAACAGCGCACACATATCACAACATTCTCAGTCTTGATGCGAATCAATCTGAACAGTCATGTATATGAGTAATGCATGGTATATACTACGATAAGGATAATCTTTTAGGTTTATTGAGTCGCGAAGGTGGTGGTGGTGGTGGAGCTTTTCTCCTTGTCACGCTCTGCGCGGCGAGGCTGCTCTGTGAAGATGCAGGCGAGGGAGCGAAATCAGCGACAGTACGATGAATTTCTGTTGTGGAAGCTGGCGCGGAAAGGGGACTATCTATATCTATAGAAGTGTTGCACTCCCTCAATACATCCATATCGCTCGATATCATAGGTAGATTACTGCTGCTGGTATTCGGCGACCAAGTGCGCAGCAAGTCAGAAGCTGACTGCGTTGCTCGAAGGTTAGGCAGTGGCTGGGTGAAGTCGTTAGCGAGCGCTACCATATTTGGTGTCGTGGGCTCGCTCGCTGATACGAATCCATTCACTCTGTCTACATCATCGAAGCAATCAGAAGACAGACATCTGCGCACAAGCCGGGAGGTTGTGGGGCTGATATCGCGCACCCGCGTTGATATAAGTGAAGTAAGTGTGCTGTGGATCTCTGCAGTCTTGTACTGGCAGTATTTCACAACTGTCTCGTTTAGCAGAGGATAAAGAACTCTGAGGTATGTGTGTCGCAGCTGTCGGAAGTGATAAGCGACAATTCACAGAGAGTATCGCACTCACCCCCTCCTGCTCATCTGGCAGATCAGACAGCTCGCGTATGAAAACATCGACGACCACCTTGAGGTCGTTCGTATAGAAGTAATCTTGTGTACCAACTGTTGTGAAGAGCAGGAAGAGAATCTTGAGAACGAGCAATTTGACGCATACGTCTTCCTTAGAATTCCTAGCTCTGTTTAAGATGAAAATGAGATTCTCTCCGAATGTTTTGCTGCTCCCTAAACGTCTAGTAAGAACATTTAATACCAAGTTTTTAGAAATTTGCAAAATTTGCGGGTTTGTAACTGATGTTTCGATATTACTTATCATATATTGTTCGTTGAGGGACGTCAGCAGCTTTACGAGGGTGTAATTGAATGTATCGTCATCCTCATCTCTTGTCCACTCCACCAAATCAAATAGATGGTCCAAAAAGCTCGAATCAAAAGTCTGGAGATCTTGATGGTGTAATTTATGAGCTCGGCTGATCTCAAACAGGAAGCAAACAACTGGGTAACGCAGTCGTACTTCGATAGGCACTAGCCCTGTACCGTCATCGTCTTGACCAAAATATCCGTCTTCTACGTGCCTGATTATGTCTTGCGATAAAGGTAACAGCTTGCGCCAATTTGCGGGACATTTAAAGTAGTCAATGCGTCTTTGACCGTATTTAAGGAGTAGGCTGTATGCTACGAATAGCTGATGCGGGTCTGTGGTCTGTAGCAAGTCAGTAAGTTCCGATAAGCCGCGGAGAAGGCAAACGGACCTGTATAATGAGGTCAATGAGCACCGTCTGCATTCTCATGTAATGAAATCTAAATAAATCCGATTCGATCATCATTGATAACGCGGCGTCTAACTGAGTCGCATCGATGAGATACGTGGCTGTTTGGAGTGCTTAGACTACGTAGCCAACAAAGAAGAAGCCACCCACTGTGATATCTTCCACACAGCTTTATAAACATTTTCAGCCTGCCGTCTAATTCTAACACTGTAGCGTCATCAGGCGCGTGGCCGTACTCATGCAGTTCTGGGGGTTGATCCGGTAAGCTGGCTACGTTAACGCACGTAACGCGACTCACCTGCCCAAAAATCATTAAAGTCATATATTTCCCAGACGATGAAATCCTCATCATCAACCGTCATGGGGGTGTAGCTAAGCGAGTGTTTTGAACGCATTCTGCAAGTTGATCTAGGGTACAAAATTAAGGGGTATTTGGGTTGTGTGTATGATAAAGCAATAAAAGCATTCAAATCAGCCCTAATGGATCGTTACTTGTGACTCTGGTCCTAGTACTTCTTTCTCAGCCTCCTGCTGCAGTGCAAACACTTGCTGCCTATACTCCTCCTTTTCTTCATCGGAAGTATCCACAGATATAGTCTTGAGCCTGTTGATCCATTGCACCGAGCGTACAGCCGCACGGACTATCATTCGTTAACAAGGCACACGCCTTAATATATCCACTTACAGCTCCTCTTAGCATCGAATGCTCGTCTGACATTCGGCAGCAAGTCTTCATCCTTATCACCCAATCCTTTGAGCCATGGATGATCTATTACTTGCTGTGCGGTGAATCTCTGATCTGGATCTGCATTCATGCACCCTCTAATGAAGTCTTTAGCGGTATCTGATACCGCATTCCAGCACTCTGCAGGCTCGAAATTATAATTACCATCGATAATAGCATTAATTTCATCCTTTTGTTTGCTGTTCCTATCGAAAGGAGTTGTCCCACTTAGCAAGAAGAAAGTAATGACACCTATAGCCCAAATATCCACAGGAAACCCATGTCCAGTTTTCTTGAATACTTCAGGTGCCATATAACCAACTGTACCGCATATATGATACAACTGGGTAAATTTTCCCGACTCTATTATCTTGGACAGCCCAAAGTCTGCAACACAAAGATCAGAAGCTGAGGAATTGTTATCCCGAAAGAGAAGATTCTCAGGCTTAAGATCGCGATGAACAATGCCTACACTGTGGAGATACCTGACTGAATCACTTATCACGCCGACGATGTCTTTGGCATCTTTTTCGAAGAAATGACCTCGCTGGCAAATCTTGTCGAATAATTCACCACCTGTACACAAATCCATGACTGTGGACTGCGTGAGTGACACCGCCTCAGCTAAGAACGCAAGACGAACCGAGGTAAAGATTGTTCATCGTTTCAAAGTAATCGATTAGCCTGACGATATTGCTGTGTCCAGTCGATGCCCTCTTGAGCACTTCTATCTCATTTCGTATGAGATCCTCACGGCCTAAATTCACTCAGAAAAGCCGGAGACCTTCACTACCAACTCACCTTCCATCATTTTCTTGTTTATCACCTTCACAGCGTATTTAACACCTGTTTCATTGTGTATCGCCAGCTTCACCGATGAATAGGTACCTGATCCCAGTACCTCGCCTTATCAAGCCCTGTTTAAGTATATACAACAACGTCATGAGCAAAATCATTTACCAGTTTTATATTGACATTGCTGGAGCGTCATGATTGTTCAAATCAGCACAAAGAGGGCCCCCACAAATTCAGCGAAATAAATAAAATTAAAAAATACAACATTCATCTTCATAAAAGTCTAAGCCTCTCCGGCTAGTCTCTGTTTTTTCTTCTTAGCTCTGTCCGCCGCGTCCTTGTCGCGCTTTTTAAACAAAGAGTGTCTCGAATCCTTAGTAATCTGTTTGTTTGCAGACTTATTCTTTTCGATATACGACATGGCTTGGCCACCAGCCAGAGCTGATGTTGATCCCGTCATACGCTTAGTCACTCCGTGTATTGTACCAGCCAGGTCATCTTCTGAAGCCTTAATGTCGGATCCTATGTCTGCTGCTGATTCATTGGCAAGTAGTACAGACTCGAGTAGCTCAATCTGCTCTTTCTCAGATCTGTATACCAGTTCTGGTAACCTTTCAATACCGAACAGGTGCGTTATCACCTTAAACGCATAACCCTGGTCTACCAAGAAACCCTGTCTCTTTGTTGAATAAAACATTTCTTGCGTATCTGTCGATACCAGCGAGTAGAAGAAAGCGTTGAACCCCTCATCGTTACGACGCTTGGCACGCAGAATACGACCTATTAGGAAAATTTAATTTGAGTACTTCCTATCATCGGTCAAACCCACCTAATCTCTGAGCTTCTTGTCTACGAGATCCAAAGTGACTACTGATTTGAATCAGGCATGTAGCCTCAGGTAAATCAATCGACGTATCGCCGACTTTCGACAAGAAGATAGTGTTGACGTTGCTATCGAATTGGAATCTCTGTAAAACTCTCATTCTCTCTACTTGAGAAGTACCTCCGTGAATATATGGTTTTTTCAGCTTACGAGCGTACTGTTCAAGACTATAGACGCAGTCACTAAACACGATAATTTTGTCGCCCCTGTCTTCATGGAAATCAATGAGGAATTGACAAGCCTGGAACTTGTGAGGATTCATCGAATAAAGCAACATCCGCTTTCTGCTCTTTTCTCTGAGATACTCTCGGTAGAAACATGGGACCATTGGACACCACACTTCAGCACATTGAACATTGGCGATGTGGCCTTTGGCGGCCAAGTCCATCCAATTTGCTTCGTAGAGCTTCGGTCCGATGAGGAAGTTAAGATCGTCAATCTTATCGTCCTCTCTGACAAGCGTAGCCGTCAGACCCAACTTGGAATGCGCCTTTATTGTTGTAACGACTCTTCTAAACATGGCAGCAGGCACAACATGCACTTCATCCAACAAAATAAATCCCCATTCGCGTGAAGTAAGGAAGTCCATCATTTTCTGCGACTCATGTGAACGATTGCGAGTATTAGCTACCATTGAGTAAGTTGAGACAACAATACCGCTATCGCCACCAAACTTCTCCTTCTGGTCAGCAGTGAATACTGATATCTGGCTGTCATTTACGTTGGACCACTGCATGAATTGCTGTTTCCACTGCATAACGGATACGGAGGACGTACAGAGAACTAATATAGACTTCTTGATTGTACACGCAGCTGTAATACCAACAAGCGTCTTACCAGCACCACAAGGCAAAACGATGATACCGGATCTAGCTCTGCCGTTACCAAACATCTTACTCAATGACTTTTCTTGATACGGTCTAATAACTGTCACAGGCTTCAAATCAATATCAAGATTAGGGTTGCGTGTGTCATTGTGAAAGTCATATTCTTCCAACATTGGATACTCCAACTCGTTACACCTTCTCTTGACGGTTTCGATTTCATCCGACTTGATCTCAAAGGAGTGGACTTCTTCGTCGTCTTCCATCTCATCCTGTTTCTCAATATCTATCAGAGCGGTAAAGTATTCGTCGCCAGTGTTCTTTTTCTTATCGTCTGGTTTGTTTTGCTGCTCGCCTTCGTTTGTGGTGTTTTCAGGAGGAGGATCAGGTTGATTAGGCTGATTAGGCTGACCACTCTGATTGTTTGTACCTTGAGCTTCTTTTGTACCAGGAATGACTAAATCGCCTTTAGTGGGTGCGGAGCTGGTTTCGATGTGCGAATTCGAGTCGACACGAGCATTCTTGATAATCTGATCACGGAGCAGCATCTGCAGCGTATCGGCGTGGGCAGATTCAACGAAATACCTGTTGTGCTTAAGTACCAGCTTAACTTTACCGTATGACATTGTACACTCCTTGATAAAGGAAACGATAGAGGCAGGTACAGGCACTTTCGAGAGTCTGTTAAGAACTTCAATGATATCGTCTGTTTCCAATCCAACAGATACGGCCGCTGTGCATGCGTGTGATTAGTCATACGCTGGTGCCACCAAGTACAACTCACCGTACAACGAGTAGGGCGTAATCTTGTACTCCTCCATAAGGCTTGTTCTACTGACTGGCTCTGAAATCGCTACCAAGAAGTCCTGTGCTTGTTCAGCGATAGGCGAGAATCCCTCTAATATGATATGACCATCCTCTGGCGACACCCAAAGTGGACGATTCGGGTGATCTGGCTTGAGTGGCAGATCACCGTAATCGTGGCTACCGAATAAATAATCCTGATTTATGCCATCTGCCATTCGGATAAGATGGTTGTTTAGGCGAAAGGAGATAAAGGAGGATATAAATGTTTACAATTACAAATTCATGGAAATTCTTGTCTTTTACTAATACAAGGCGCAATTCTTTAGTGTTCTGTCTTTTGTCTCATACCTCTCACCCAGAAGCTTTGAACTCGCCATTCACTCGTATGTCTTTGATATCAATGCTGTCGAAATCTTCGATAGCCTTCAGTCCTCCGTTGACAGTAGCATCACCATCCACACCTGCCATCGCCTTTCCAAACAGCATCTTGCCCATAAATGATCGGAACACTGAGTCCCTGCCTTCGATCAACTTGATAGGCGCATCACGCACTTCTGCGTACAGGCGAGTCACCTGTGGTGCATCAACATTGTCTGGATCATTGGCAAATTCTGTAAATGCATCAAATGCTTCATCTGGATGAAATATGGCGAATGCGTTGCGTGGGTATGATTCTGACTGCGTTGAATTGAGCGGTGGAGGTGCTCCATTGTATATTATCTAAAAGTTGTTAGTGTTGTGTTCCAAAGAAAGAGCTAACAAACCCACCAGATATGGTAAAATGCTGTTGACGTTTATAGGCAATGACCGCAACTGATCGGGCAATGCTATGTCAGCAATGAGTGTTCCGCTGACCAATACCTGTCCAGGACCTCCTGGCTGACCAGGGAAGGGATTCGGCCAAGGAAATCCACTTTTTCTGTGTACACTCAGGTTCTCCATGTGCACATTCCTTACGATATCAGGCATAGGCGGTACACCTGGTAAGTCAAAGTTGTACTCAAAATTCTTGAGAACTTGCTTAAGCCACGACGGAGTATTTTTTCTAGCTGCACCTCCTGTAATCTTGAATGGAGTGGGTGCGTTGTTGAGGAAATCACTCAAAAACCGACTCAAAGCAGTCTTTATGGTGGACAAATTATCTGAAGTGTTCTTGAAGGTCTTCCAATGCAGGTTCGTTGTAGCTTTTGCACCGAAACTCAGCTCATCATCTGACACCTCGATTGGTTTTGTTGTGACTGTAGCTAAGGACAAGCTGCCACCACCCTCTTCTTCCTTGAGAGGGAGCACTGCATCTACTGGTATTTCATATGGAAATACTACGCTCTTTAGTGCTTTCAATATGTCTAATTGAGGCAATGGAAGTGATGCACTAGCGTCTACATCGAGTTGTTCCTTATCATCGGAACTGTTGTGGGTAGCGACATCTAGCTGTGCAAGGTTAAAGAGATTGAGCATTTCGGAGTATGTTTCATCGATGGGTGTACCGGGCTTTGGCCATGGTGAAAGATTTGGTACTGTTTTGGGTGTTAGACAGAGTATGATTAGGAGACTTAACACCCACTAGACAAGGTCTCTTGAACAGTAATGTTATTCTTTTGGAAATGAGTATGCAATGCACTTTTATTCCAGATATGCACTTCAACTTGTGGGATAATAACAGAAACATCCATCACACCCTTCTCTGCAACCCAAACATGCTCAAAGAACGACTGTAACCCTTCCAAATCAAAGTCGGTGCCGCTGACTGGCGTGATCGACGCTCTCAAATCAACACCTTTCAACCAATCGTCTGGATGAGAGAGACGACTGTTAGAATGCTGCAAACCAGGCATAATAGGAACGCTCATAGAGTCTAATAGGGTAATGTTGAAGAGCTGTACTGTCTCATTAGACGATCTAGCTTCTACAGTGATTGGATGATTGACTACGACGTCGAGCGGGCTAACGGCTTTGGAAAGGAATCTACCTATAGAGAGTCTCCAGCGCTGCAGAGGCCCACCTTTAGGATCCACAATACCGCCTGGACCCAATCCGTCAACGCCCAACGCCTGATCGAAATCGAGTCCAAATGGGACAGAAGTCTTGAGTACGATGGGTGCATCCTGTTCAAATTCCACATCAGAAGGTATTTCAAAGGCAATTGAGTTGCGAATCGCGCTATCGCTCAATGGGATGGCGGACTGACGACCAGCCAAAGGATCAGAATCGCATTTGAAAAGGAGGACAAAGAGGAGGGTTAAAAAGCAAAGTACCAGGGACGCTGACCAAATAATTATCGCCCACGTTGATGGCCTGCGTGGCTTGGTCACCAATTTTGAGTCGTGGAGAAGTGGAGAGGATTCAGAGGGGAGATCGTCCTCGTCGTCTGTAGCAATATCTTCAGCTTCCTCTGCATCTGAAGATATCTGAGCTTCTACGTGCGAATATTTTCCATTTTCCGTCATCGGTGCTGTTGATCAAGATGAATGTTATGGTGCGTGCATGCCTTCTTCCATAAACGAGAGCTTGCGAATATACAGAGAAATATTTGACAAGTCAGATCTGTTTAGCAGCAACGATGACAGGCTTCTCGTTATTGACAACTGGCTCAATGTTCCTAACGACTGGACGTGTTCGGGAATAGAGGGATTTCATCGTTGGCGCATGTTGTTAAAATCTGATATTGAGGCTACGGAGGCAATGCTACAGTGCACAGATGGTGACGAGCCACTAATCTCGTCAAACCTCATCGCTCACTGGACTTGCTGGATGGCTCTGATCAATCCAGCGGTGTCGAAGCACCCAATCACTGCAGTCAACAAATACTTCATCCTTCCAAAGCGTGAAGGCCAGAAAGGCAAGCCAAAATCAGTCAAGGTCGATATTGTCGCGGATGCAGGAAGATCTTGGATACGTTTGTCCAAGTAGGTGGCTCTGTTCTATCCAATACCAACCTAACAATACCAACAAGCATAAAGCTTTCTTCAATCCTTGCAGAATTGGCTGAAATGGACTCTCTAATAACGTCATCAGACGACGACAGCGATAGTCATGTTGATCAGCCAATGCCAGTTCCATCGCTACTGAAAATAGGCCATGAGCTATCTGCGGCCTCTATCAAGTTTATAATTCATGATCAGCGACCAGACATACATCTCTATTTGACGCGTCTATCGCGAGAGGAAGTAGCCGAATCGGATTCGAGGATAAAGGGTCAGCTAGAAACTCTAAATCTCTATGGAATTCAGGTGCATTTCGGTATACCAACATACGACCTAAAAGTTTCACAAAAGCAGCCTAGAGTGGCGTTGAAACCAACTACCAATATCAATTTAGACGTATCGATACTCATAGCATTTACATCAATCACTACTCATATCTACAATCCCGCAGAGGCCTCTCTCAAGCCCAACAATGCCACTGAACACATCAGAGCCATCTCCAATCAGCTATACCAAGAGTCTGGCGTATGTGCATTGTTTGATTTGATTAAGGAGACGTGTGATACTGAAACATTACAATTCTGGACTACACAAGAGAACAAAGATCGCACATACAGCATACTTGACAAAATCGGAGGAGCTACCGAAAAGCTCAGACTAGAAAGCATCTTTGAAGGAGGCAACGATAGCTTTTGGGATGGTAGCAGATACTTTAGCAATCAGATGGGCGGACTACCCGTGAAGATTATCAACGACTCTGGTGATGATGTCCCTACAGCCAGCTTTGATGATTTTGTGCTAAGGAGAGCTCACAAGGCGCTCAACTCAGACGGCAACATGGGATCAGCGGGTAAGTTGACACCTCATACACTTCGCACTGTAATAGCAGGATTAGAGAGGGGCTGGACGACACTCACCTCGAATCGGCAATCAATTAAGGCTTTAGTGCAAGGATGGCATACGCATGTCAACAACAACAGCTCACTGGCGACATTCTGGTTGGTAGAGCCGCGATCGCTCTCGGAGCAACTGCTAGAAAAATCTGATAGAAAATCGAACAAATAGATAGAAACATGCATAGACTCATTAAGCTTTCACACTATTTTCTAATACTTCAACGCGTGCATTCAGTTTGAGATCGTTGAGTGTTTTGAACGAAGATGGATCGATAAGACAAATATACTCCCACTCATCGCTCCAATCCTCGACCTCAACTTTATTTATAAAGTCGCTAATCTTATCCTTAACGTTCTTGCCTTGTTTCGAGGCACAGGTTATGCGCACCCTCATCTGAGCTCTGGCGAGTGGGAGAACACCTTTATCCTGTATCTGCTTGATAACTTCACCACTCTGTGACTTTGCGTTTTTGTTGGCATTCACGCTGTAGTGGATATCGTGCATGGCCTTCTCTACCATTGACACTGTGACTGGTCTGCCGCTCGATGGATCGACACAGCGCTCTGCTACGATTGTTGCGATCTCTCTCCACTTATTGGACAAATCATGTCCGCGCTCCTTCTCACCGACTTGCAGCTCGCCTTTCTTGAGAATTTGTTTGATTATTTCATCGTTATCGGATGTACCAAAAGCTTTCTGAAGCTCGTCGTTATTGCATACTGCACCTTTGGACACGTTCGTGAATACAGAAGATATCTGCACGACATTATCGATATCGCTTTCGCTGTTGTGTTGTGAGATTATCAGTGTTTCGTGGGTACACATGTACCCACGAGCCATTTCTCCATTCACCAACTTTGTTCTTGTAGCAAGCTATCTAAAATGCCGTCATTTAGTCTTAAAGTCAGAAACTGTGTCCAAACTCACTTCAAATCTTTTACCGGCCTTCTTGAGACGCACGATAGAGACATTTGTGAGCTTGACTAGATATGTGTGAGCTGTAGCTCTATATACGTCACATCCACCTCACTCTGATTCGATGGCTGATTAATGGGCATCCGGGATGACGTTCAATTATAAGCTGAGCAAAAACACATATACATTCATCATAGCTTCCATCTATCGTGTAAAAACAAAAAGCGCAATTCATAGGTTAGAGCCAGTGTTTAATTTATTATCGTTGCATGAGGACTCTAGAAGTTTGCAAATTTTCCAGCATCCTTTCTAGCCTTGGTCATAGCGGCAATAATAGCACAACCGACACCAGAACCATCTTCAGCGTGTCTAGAGACAATCTTTTTACCATTTTCACCGAGAATGTCGACCAATGCATTGTGCATCTTTTCGGAATAGCCAGGGTACTTTTCGTAGAGAGATCCATCGACGGCGACATCACAACCGTCTTCTTCTATACCCTTGTGCTGAACAATGGCAGCAATACCACAAGCAGAGAGTCTTGCTGCACGCACACCGATCAACTCAGCCATCTTTTTGAAGAAGTGACGCTCCTCTTGGGTGGTGTTGAGGTCAAAGAAGTGAACAAACAATCCTGCACTAAGTAATTGCTCGTCAGTTGAATCAGTCTCCATCAATGACAAGAAGGCTGTTTGGAATACGAATGGCTTCTCAATCTTGTAAGTGTCTTGACCAAGGAAAATGACACCCTCATCGATCATTTCACAGAGAATCAATCTGAATACTTCACCAAGGTAGAGACCAGCAATCATCTTCTCGTAAGCTTGCTCGTGTGGCTTGTTGGAGGTAAGATCGATAACTTCGTCGTACTTGGTGCGTGGAAGGTGCTTGTGGTCGAATGAGTCAAAGGCACCGTATTCACAGTTGATAGCCATTCTTTCATCCGCTGGACAACCGTCGATTTTGAGCTTGGTGATATTGTGCATCTTGTCCATGTAAGCAGCGTTACAACCAGTACCCAAGATCAAACCAATGCGTGTGTTAGGGTGGGTGTACCTCGATGCAATCATAGTACCGGTAGTGTCGTTGATAATGGCAGTGACGGTAAGGGGGCACTTGACCTTTTGGAGTGACTGGTTGAAAAGCTCGCTAACATCCTTTCCTTCAACGCCTGGGTTTCCGAAGCCCTTTGTCCATCTAACGAGAACACCCTGGTCAATACGGTCTTGGAGGGTTGGGTAAGAGAAAGTGAAACCTAAAGCCATGCCCTCTGGAGTGCCATTAGGGAAGTGGTCATTTAAGAAAGTCATGAGACACTGAGCACAAAAGTCGAACAAAGAAGCACCATCTTCTTGCTTCTGTTCCTCGGTCAAACGGTACTTGGATTGAGTAACTTCGAATTTTCCAGCACCCTTCAATTGTACGTGACAAACACGAAGATTTGTGCCACCGAGATCCAAGGCGATAAAGTCACCCTTCTCTTCGCCAGTTGGATAACCAAACACGTATGTTGGAATCATAGGCACAGTCTGTTCAGGCTCTCCCAAGCCTTTTCTCAGTGTCTTTACAAAGGCGTTTGTGATCAAGCGAAGACGAGCAGGAGAAATGCTAAGCTGCTCGACCAAGCCTTGGTAGTGGTCTTCTAATTCTGCAGGGATGGCGTGTGGAATGTCGCCAGTTTCATTTGAGCGGGTGTGTGATGCTGTGGTTGTACCGAGGATCGCAGAAGCAACTTCCTTCCTTGGTACGCTAGTTGAAGAGCGTCTTTGGTTCTGTAGAGGTGTGTCAGTGGGGCGTGGAAATGACTGGATTGGAGTGTGCAACGATATCGATTTGGATATCGATCGACACAGGTAAAATCACAGTCTATTATTACTCATACTCACGTTTTGTGAGCTAACAGACATTCTGCAGTGTTGAAAGTTGTAAACCAAGCGCGGCTTTAAGGGTCATGACGATCAGCAAACTCCGCGGAATCGAGTTTTCGGTTGTTCAGAAAATGCAGAATATACTTTGAAAATAACAGCGTCTATATCTGCCAATATTTGCTACTCATGTAGGTACAAATTTTCTATTCCAAGGAACACACCAATTGGACAGAGTTAGAAGCCTTGAGAGGTCATAGGGAATAAAGAAAATCGCTAGCTTCAAAGGGAGCTCTGTCCGGGAACTTATACATCGATAAACGTGTTGGTTAATCTGCAAGACACTCATGTTGACGCCAGGCATTGGCGTATGCTTTTCTAGTTTTTGGAAGCGGCCAAAGCTGAGTTATCACTGCTTGCACTGCCTGTGGACGATTTCGCGCTTTATGCGCTCGCATTGGATCGGTCCTGGGCATGTGCCAGCTTAAGGGCATAATTCGCGTTCCTTTGAGCAAAAAAAAAAAAACAAAAGCAGCCGAAGTCTTACGGCCTTTGAGATGCTCGAAATGATAATGCCATATAAGAATCCCATCACTCCCCAGAAACTCCATCTTTCCACTCGGTTGAGCTAACCGCAACACAGCTGAACATCTGCGCAGAAAGAGGCTACTTGAAGATTTCAGATGCCATCATATACATCGCTTTACCATATATCCATCCACACCAAATATCCTTGTCTGGTTTTACATTTTTGTGATTCTGTGCTGGCGCTACTTCTTGGACAAGTACTAGCATCAGCGGCAATGTCGTCGTGTGAGTTGGCTTCAGAGTGTTATATATCACTGACACATCTACAGTCCGTTTCCTTCAACTCGTTAAACCGTTCCAGCAGGTGTGCTATCTTGGATGATTGGGGAACACGACTCACACAGCTCACAGATTCTCCCTGAAGTTTCTGCCCCAGAGCGCAAAGGTGGGATTGGCGTTACAGCACAGATTCCCCTAACAGTCCTCCCACACAGTCCCTTTCAACCAGAAAGTAGCCTGGACAGCAGTCACGCTTCTTATTTTCTTGGTTTGCTCACAGGTTCCGCTTTATGGTATCGTGTCCAGTGATAGCTCTGATCCTTTATATTGGATGAGAGTTATCCTGGCCTCAAATCGTGGTACTCTTATGGAACTCGGTATCTCTCCAATCGTTACCTCTGGAATGATTATGCAGTTATTGGCAGGCGCTAACTTGATTGATGTTGATTTCTCTCTTAAGGAAGACAGAGCCTTGTTTGGCGCCGCTCAAAAATGTTAGTCTGCTGTCTCCGCCCGACACGTCGCTTACCAGCCACCAAAAAGTATTCGCGTTGATCATATCTCTCGGTCAAGCAACCGTATACGTCTTGACTGGCTTGTACGGCCAGCCATCTGACCTCGGTGCCGGTGTCTGCTTGCTTTTGGTCGTACAACTTGTTGCTGCTGCTCTGATTGTCATTCTTCTCGATGAGTTGCTTCAAAAGGGTTACGGTCTTGGCTCTGGTATTTCTCTCTTTATTGCCACCAACATATGTGAATCTATCGTCTGGAAAGCTTTCTCACCAACGACAATCAACACGGGCCGTGGTCCAGAGTTTGAGGGTGCTTTGCTTGCTCTCGTCCACCTCCTCTTTACCTGGAATGACAAGACTAGAGCACTCAAAGAAGCCTTCTACAGAGACAGACTTCCAAATGTCTCAAACTTGTTGGCTACTCTCGCAATATTTGCTGCCGTCATCTACTTGCAAGGATTCAGAATTGAGATTCCGGTAAAATCCAACAGATTTAGAGGCCAACGTGGAACATACCCAGTCAAGTTATTCTACACATCTAACATGCCAATCATGTTAGAATCTGCACTTAGCTCAAACGTTTTTATCATTTCTCAAATGCTCTACAGCAGATTCCCTGATAACCTCCTTGTGAAGCTTATCGGTATTTGGGAACCATTGGAGGAGTCACCACAACTATTCGCTACTTCTGGTATCGCTTACTATATGTCACCACCACACACACTGCATGCGGCGTTAGTTGACCCATTCCACACAGCCATTTACGTTGCGTTCATGCTCTCTGTTTGTGCCATCTTCTCCAAGACATGGATCGAAGTTTCAGGTTCAGGTCCAAGAGAAGTTGCTAAGCAGTTGAAGGACCAACAAATGGTTATGGCTGGTCACAGAGAAGGATCGATGTACAAGGAGCTTAAGAGAGTTATTCCAACGGCTGCTGCTTTCGGTGGTGCTACTATCGGTGCTCTTTCCGTCGTTGCCGACTTGATCGGTGCTTTTGGTTCAGGCACTGGTATTCTTCTCGCCACTACCATCATCTACTCATACTTTGAAATCTCTTCGAGGGAGAATCTTAGTCCGGAGATGGCTTCGATGGGTGATATGATTGGGTAATTGACGTAGGAAAAGTAATTAATCAATTTCATTCTTAATACGTGAAAAAAGGGGATATACAAATAAAGTATTGGCGTATATAGCATACATTTCTGAATATTTAGCTCACTTAAACGAAAGATTGAATAAAAAGTCATGCTCTCCTTTCCCTTTACTTGTACGTCTTGAGTATCGTGTCTTATCTCTTAGTGTGCGTCTGAGGCCACTACGTGCTTTATGATGTTTGCTGTGAAATTCCCTTTGGTTCTCATCGAAGTTGATGTTGAGTTAGACAGTGTTGAGGAGCCAGACGAGATATTTCTGTGGTATTCTCCGTTGGCTTTGTTCGGCTTCTCTATTTGCGAGTGGCGTCGATAGCAGTGCCTGGCAGAGCAAGTACACCACCAATAGCAGTAGAGGCGAGTCTAAAGCAAGTTCTAGTTGTTGAGCTCGTGAGGTTTAAAAGGCGCTTGCTGGGGAGACTGAAGGTGATTAGGGAATTTGCGCTTAAATGCGCTGCCCAGTGAGTTTCTAAAGCTTTTGTAACTCTGGATTTGCTCGGCTTACTCAAGCTGTTCAAGCCGATATTCCGGTGGAGGCGTTTCGCTTCTCTCGGCAGCTGAATTATTTCCATATCTTTCAAACTCTTTTCCTCTATTATGCCCATTGCATTATTCACAAAGTTTCATTTGCAGACTTGCAGGGCTGTGCATACAGGAGACCAAGAACACCGAGAAGACCAAACAGAGAGTAGAGAATGAGGCTAACATGCTTGAGATATTTTGTTACCGTTGCCAATATACATGGCCATCTCTTCGGACTTATAACGGTGGCGGATGAGATCGACTAAGTCAAAGCATATAAGCGGGAGATGAATGCAATAAATCTCTACAGAGCCACACTGATAACCCACAAACATTTGAAAAAGATATTTAAGATACCGCTACTGAAAATAATATTCTCGCTAACGCTGTCGTGATTCCTCTTCATAACACGGTCATCTCGGACTTTTGAGTGAGTGGCGATGGAGATATATATTAACCCACTGAACATCGGCTCACTGCAGAATATGCCAGGATCTCTCAATCCGCCAATAAGCTCCGAAGGTCCTTCTACTTTAGCCCATTCGGTCAACGAAACAAGACAGAAATTTGAAAGCATGCCAATTATAGACTCAGGTATAGCAACTCCCAACGATTCCGATAGATCGAGGCCAACTTCCACTCCAATCGACAAGGAAGAGCCTTCAGCCTCACTGAGGTCTCCAATCGTCGCTGTACAGCGTGCTGTGTCTGAAAAGTCCAACACCATCTTTGTCTACGATTCTGCCAAGTTTGACGGCTTCGGTGAGGATCTCAATGACGATCGTGTAAAGTTTATGCAGGATAGACAAGGCTCAGGCGCTGCGATCGCTGGTTATTCAAGAGCCAGCCAAGTTGGAACCATTTCAGTTCTCATCAACAGCCAATCACTCACCAATTTCATCCCAGCTTTGAAATCTTACTCTGAGAAGTCAAAATTGGTGTTACAAGTCAACAGTTACGATAGAGACGCTGATCTTAACATAAGAAGCGGTATTTCAACCATTTTGGACGCTGCACACCAACTCGAAAACTACACTATCTTGTTATCAGCAAGCGCCGAGGAAGTTGTTCTTAACTCCCAACTCGCTTATGATTTGCCTGGAAACGTCATCCACGCATTTGATGGTATTTACGCTGCTAGAGAGAAGTCTAGTCTTCGCAACATCAAGCCGTCCTCAGGAGCTGCTGTCACATTCCACAGCTCAGAACCTGTCACAAAAGCTCTGGTCGTGCCTGGGTCTGATATCTCTAACGCCTTAATTGCTGGCTTAGACAAGTCGTATGGTTTGTTGGTCATTCACAAACTTCGTCCAACCAACTTGAAGGCTCTTAGCGAGAGCATTCCAGCCTCGATTGAAAATTTATTGGTCTACAACGATGAAAGGGCACAGGGAGTACTCTTGAATGACGTTGTATCTGCCGTTTTCACCGCTCAACGTAAAATCAAGGTTAATGCTTTCAGCGACCCTGCACCATTCACCGCTGCTGTTCCTCAAGATCAATCTAAGTCATGCGTGTTTGTTGAGCAACCAAACCAACTTACTGCTGATTTAGTTGGTTGTCTCTTTGCTCAAAACAAGAACCTTTCAACCAAAGTTCAAACTGCATACGATCACTTCATCGGTCAGACCGGATTGTCATTGTCTCATTTAAAGATTGGCAAACAAGACTCAGGCGCAGCACTTGCACTTCCTGTCGAATCTTCAGTTGACTTCCTCAGCGTGAATATTGCATCTTTGAAGCAAACGAATGTGTTCAAGTATGTGAAGGATGGTGGTATTGTTTTACTCGATGGCCCACTTCAGACACCCGAGGAGGTTCCAGCGAAGCTTTCATATGCCGACAAGCAGACTGTTATCGAGAAGAGATTGAGATTATGGGTTGTTGACTCTGTTGCAATCTCAGAAGATCACCAATCTGTCGCGCTTCTCGTTGCCTTCTTGCTCCTCTTCACATCTTCAGTCCCAAGGTTGCCAACAAGCGTCAAGGGCTTGCTCAAAAACTTCCTTCCAGCGTTGCAAAAGATAGACACCATTATCACACACACGGAGGAGTCATTGTATGAGTCCGTCGTCGATAAAGCGTCTTGGTTAGCTGTGCAACCCGGCAAGGAGATCAAACCTGACTCGAGAATAGTTGGTATCAGCTTTAATGGATTATCTCCAGTCGCAGTCGGCACTCAGGACGAGAATCTCAACAGCAAGGTTCATGCAATTAAAGGAAGTTGGGTAGAGCCAGCATGGCAATTGATGTTCAACGAATCTTTTACAACTGGTGCATCGGAGTACGAAAGACCACTCGCAACTCTCAAACCATCGATCCCAGAGGACACACATCTCATCACTGTCCAGGAAAACCGCAGACTCACTCCAGATGACTACGACAGAAATGTTTTCCATATTTCATTCGATACGAACGGAACAGACTTGAAGTACGAGATTGGTGAGGCTTTGGGTATCTATGGACACAACGATGAGAGTGAAGTGAAGGACTTCTTGCAGTGGTATGGTCTCCCAGCAGATGGAGTGATTTCTGTCGAACATGACAATGGCAGAGTAGAGTCTAGGACTGTTTTCCAAGTATTCCAACAAGATGTCGATATCTTTGGTAAGCCACCAAAGTCATTCTTCGGCGCTCTTGAGGAGTATGCTTCGAGTAGAGAAGAGCAGCGCACATTGCGTTTCATTAGCTCAGCTGAAGGATCATCGACCTTCAAGAAGATGTCTGAAATTGACACACTCACATACGCTGATGTGTTGAAGATGTTCCCATCGGCACGCCCACCAGCTTCCGAGTTATTGCACATGATCGGCGAGATCCACCCACGCCACTACTCCATAGCCTCCTCGAATGCGGCAGTCGGTAACCAGGTAGATCTGCTAATTGTGACAGTAGAGTGGAAGACACCATCTGGTGAGTGCAATTAGGTTTTTTTTTGTCGATTAACAAAAGACACAGGCTCACCACGCTACGGTCAATGTACGCGCTATTTGGCTGGTCTCGCAGTCGGTACCAAGGTAGCGGTATCTATCAAGCCATCAGTGATGAAGCTGCCAGAGCGCGACGATGCCCCTATCGTTATGGCTGGTCTGGGTACGGGAGCAGCGCCATTCAGGGCGTTCATTCAACACCGCGCATGGCAACGCGAGCAGGGCGTCAACGTAGGACCGCTCTTGTACTACTTCGGTAGCAGATACAGAGCCGCAGAGTACCTGTACGGCGAGGAACTAGAGGCTTACATGGCCGATGGCGTCATTACACATATGGGATTGGCTTTCTCGCGTGACGGCAAGGGTAAGGTGTACATCCAGCACAAGATGCTCGAAGATAAGAAGATGTTGCACAAGATGCTGGCTTCTAAGGAGGAAGGTGGAGACGAGGGTAGCTTCTTCCTCTGTGGTCCTACTTGGCCAGTTCCAGATGTTTATGAGGCCCTCTGCGGCAGCTACGTCGAAGCTGCTGGCAAATCACGCAAGGAGGCCGAAGACGCTATCGAGGATATGAAGGAGCATGAGAGATATGTTCTTGAGGTGTACTAGGAGGATTTACTTTTACTTTTAAGTAGAATGTCAAAATGAATTTTCTTTCTGGGGATTACATCCAGTGTGTGTTTGTTACAAATGTGGAAATGGGCTATGTCGGATCAGGAAGCACTGCGAGCGCGTCGGATAGACGTTTGAAAGTGACGACATACAGAATTACAGCGTGACATAATAATATCGTAATATCCTTAATAACGTAATATCTTAATATCTCCCAGTCTACCCGAGTTCAGCCTCGTGATCTCAAGAACACGAATGTCGTGAAAAAGAAATATCGAGCAATCGGAAAGGCCCGGGGAGAGTGGCTTAGTGGCTGTGAGAGTGTGTGGAAATATTCTGAGTAGATGCACAGTGTTTTCGCCCTGGTGAGGTACATATCGATGACATTGATCGATGGAATTGGAGTGGCTGGGAGTAGGAAATTGTGCAAATACACTGCAATGCATAGATGAAAACAGGGAATGCATTTATGAAAAGTTTTAAAATAAAGAGACAATTGGATATGCTGGCATAGAGAGAAGATGTCTAGCGTTGAAATTGACTTAACGGCTGTCCAAACGAGCGAATTGAGGGCGTTTTTGGAGAGTAACGACTGTCTGTGGAGATTTAGAAGAATATAATCGTAACACACACTACTTACACCGCTAGCAACCCATTCATAGAATCTGTGGCCATCCATTTCCAAAGAAGGAGAATACTCGAGCTTAACGCCAATAACAGCATTACCACCTCTAGTTCTAGCGACAACCTTGAGTTGATCGAGAGCTCTCTCCCTGTACTTCTGTGACTGCTTCTGAATGGTCTCTCTCTTAGTTTTAGCGTCGACGTCGTGAGGGATCTGCTTATCCATTTCTTCAACAACCGAAGTGAAAGCAGCGCCTAGAATCTCTCTAACATGCCAATGAGAGAAAACCTCTTCAATGGTGAGTAAATCAACGTCAGTTGGAGAAGGAGGACCAGAGGAAATGGCAGGAGTTGAAACATCAGAAACGGACATTGCTAATGAAGGTCTATTTTGCATTGATGGGCGCCTAAAGAGCGCGTTCTCGTGCCATGAAGGCTTTCTCTCCATTCTTGAGCCAGGCGTTGGAGGGGAAGGGGAAGGGATAGGACTGCCACCTTCAGTTCTATTAGATTGTGATTGCACTCGCTGTAATTTGTCTGTCATGGATGAAAAAAAGGGTGATGATCGCAACGGAGTAGGCGATGAATGGATGAAGGTGGCTAAAGGAAATGGCACGTCATTATCGATTGAATGCCCAAAAAAGGAATTTAATCAGATGATTTGGGTTAAATTAGTTTTTATGTCCCAGTCCAATTGAATAGGAATACTCCTTATGTCTTTGCTATTACTTCATCAGCCCCATCTGTCTATTGATTTATTAGAACGTCAGTCTACAAATCTAACAGGGATTTTCTAATAAATTACTAGTAAATATAATTAAGAATATATGGCACGTTGAAAATAAATATTACTCAGCCAATGTTCAAGCGTCGATTCATTCTACACTTGCGCTGAGTGAAGTTCACTGGGATGATATCGCTGCTGTCGTTATAATATTCGATACGTCATTACCCATTGATGACCTCGATGAATCTCTCGAGTGTATAAACAACTACAGCGACTCAATCCAAGTTAAACTAGCTGTAGGCTTTGGCGAGAGTAATGAAAGTAAAAACTCAGTTAGCAATCAAAGCCTTCTCAGCGATATTGACAGTGATTTGGATTCTCATTTTATCGCTCGTCAAGTTGAATTCATTGATCCAAATTCATCAGATCAAGGTGGTTTAAGTAGGGTACATGACTCACTCAGTACTGTTATGTGGGATGGCATGCAGATGACTGATAATAGTGGCGAAAATAGTGGCGATACTAGCGTAAAGGACACCTCGAAGAACACCATGAAACCTTCAAAGGTTATAGCTCAAAGTGATAATCCATTCGACGACGACTTTGATGACATTCTCAGTGATCCTTCTGACCCACTCAACACTTCCCAAGACGATCTATCACATCTTCTCTCAAAACTAAACACTATATCAGCTAAAGTTCGCTCAATCGACAACATCCACGAGCGTCACAGTCTAGCAGAATTCTTCGCGGATGACTTAGCTTCGTACCTCAAATCAGACCAAGAAGATGAAATAAATTAAAATTTTCACTAGCTAAGACTATTACGACATTTGCACATCTTTATCTAAAACTTGTATTTCGCCTTCACCAGCATTCCCTTCATTCCAGTACGCCTTGACTTGTAATTTGAATGTAGACATCATGATACCGAGGTGTTTGAGTATCTGAGCCTGTTCTGCGCTGAGGGTTTGTCCCTCTTTGCATATTGTGTGAGGAGAGAGCAGTGTGGGTACACCCTTTAACAATGATGTGCTCAGACCAAGTTTGCGCAGAGCTGGTTCGAGGGTGTGAGGGAGAGTGTCACCACTTGGTCTGTGAATGACTGGCCCTTCATCCAATTCCACCGTGGATGTTGCTACATTCCCAGTTCTTGCAAAATCTGGCTTAGAAAAGTCATCAAACCACTCCTTCACCTCCTTCTCATCCCAATTAGTAAAAAACAAACCAGCGCTGCCAGTCAGTAGCTCTGAAAGCCTGTAAAGTTCTGGTTTGTGAGACGTTTCCGGCGTTGTGCCTAGCGCTAATGCCATGACTTTCAACCTCCCGAAGAATAACCTTCCGGTGCCTTTCCAAGCCGCACGAACATCTTTCAAGCCGGAGTTACGCATATCACCAGCCTCAATAATCCAGCAATATTTGTTATCGTCTGCCGCTTGTCGTATCTGCGCGAGTTGAGTGTGTCAGTACGCCGTACAAGCCCGGGGAAACCACACCAACCAGATCAACCAGAGCCTCCTTGTGCTCTCTAGTCTTCTTCTCAGTCTCTGTGAGCGAAACGAGTTTATTCCTGCGTGATTTTGGCATTTTTTAAATTTTCTGTGGTTGCGAAGGGAGGAAGAGAAGGGCAGGCTATTTTGATTGTTATCAATCATCTTAAAAAATGACAATCGATAGCAGCAAATTGGATGTGATCAGATTGCGTTTACTCAACGACGACAACCTCGCTGATCAATACAGAGCGCTATTCACCTTGAAATCTATCGGTCAACAAGGCGATAACAGGGCGATTGACGTTATATACGAAGCATTACAGAAGTCCAATTCAGCGCTGCTTAAGCATGAGCTGGCTTATGTACTCGGACAGATAAACGACACCTACGCACTTCCTCTCCTTAACGACATTCTCCAAGACACCGAGCAGGACGTTATGGTTAGGCATGAAGCTGCTGAATCTTTGGGTGCTATATCTTCCCTCAGTTCTCTCGATATTCTTAGCAAATACGCAAATATGCCTGACATTGACATCAGCATCAGAGAGACTTGCGACATTTCCATCAAAAAAATTCAATTCGATCACCGCGACGGCAAAACTGCCGATGGCGACAACGAGCAGAATAAAATACCGGTTATAGATCCAGCTCCTGCCACTAAATCGACAGACGTTACCGCCAACAATGTCGAAATTTTGCGCGAGTCTTACCTCAACGATCAACTCCCCCTATTTGAAAGGTATCGAGCTATGTTCGGCTTGAGAAATATAGTACTCAATAGCAATTCTAATCAGTCTATTCATAACGCTGCTCTCAACAGCATAGCAGATGGTTTCGCCGATAAGTCGGTCCTTTTCAGACATGAAGTCGCCTATGTGTTCGGTCAGATCGACTCTCCAGCTGCGATACCCGCTCTGCTTAAAGTCCTCTACGATGACAAAGAGCATGAAATGGTAAGACATGAGGCTGCTGAAACTCTCGGCGGTCTCGGTGCCGATAGTGCTGATGCAAAGAATGCTTTGCTCGACTTTGCCAAGAGTATAGACGCCCCTAAGGTGATTAGAGATAGTTGCATCGTCGCACTCGACATGTTGGCGCATGAGCAGAGCGGTGCTTTCGAATACGCGGATGGAATTGAGAAGGCATAGATTTTTTCTCAATAAATAAGCACATGTATATTAATTTTCTTTTGGTCTCCCTACAGAATACTCTAAATGGTCAAACTCTCCAATCCGAATCCACTCCTCACTACATTCAAATCGGTTTCTATTTTTTGGAGCGTGTTTGTGAGATGACTGAGTCCTGTTTGTTGATTGCGCAATATATCTGACAGCTCCATCATACCGTCATCATCCACAACCTGCCAACCTGCGCTTTTAGATGCAGTACCTTCCTCTTTCCTGCTCTTAAGTGCGCCGACGAGTGCCCAGCTCTCATTGACTCTACCACCAATCCTCGCCTTCTGGATTGTGTTGTTGATATGCTCGTACTCCGTACCCAGCTTCTCCTCTTCTAGCTTTATGCCGCTAGCGCGGAGATTAGGGAGGAGGAGGTGCAACCGTTTGACAATCTTGAGTATACGTGCGCTGAGTTGAGCATGCATAACCGCCGCTCTCTGCAAACGAGGGCTGTGATCGAGCGAGGTGTTAAGGAGCATCTTGCGCAATTTCTCCTGTAGTTCACTAAGACGCACAAGGTGGGCCGTCGCTTGCTTGCCTTGAGCTATCGCGCGCTTCTGTACATCGTCCAAAGAAAATGCTGGTGCGGGTACTAAGCGTGTTGGGTCGGGGTTCTCGGATACTGCTCGCGCCCATGACTTGTCGTTCTTCACTATTGCTGGTCTTCCATATTGCGATACTTGCTCGGGCGGTACGAGGTTGTAGAAATAGAGCTGGAATGCACATGATGGGTGGTTCGGGTCCCATGCATTCTTGATTTCTTCTATCACCGCTGCTATATCCTTATTCGAGGATTGTGGTGGTCTGCCGACGCTTTGTGAAAGTGTGCTCTGTTGCAATTGTTGGGGTTGCTGGGGTTGCGTCTGAGCCTGTGATTGACCGAATAAACTGCTCTGTGGCTGTGCTTGTCCAAACAAACTACCTTGAGCTGGTGGTTGCGACTGTCCGAACAATCCTCCACCTGCTTGCTGAGGTTGTGATTGTCCAAACAATCCTCCAAGTCCACCTGAAGGTGCAGCAGGTTTCTGTCCAAACAAACCGCCCCCAGATGGCTGCTGTTGCTGAGTGCTCCCGAATAATCCACCTCCGCCAGCTTGTGGTTGCTGTTGTTGTTGTTGAGTCCCTCCAAATAGTCCACCACTACTTGGCTGTTGTTGTTGCTGCTGCGTGCTACCAAAGAGTCCACCACCAGTATTGCCATTGTTAGCGCTATTCGCGCCGCTCGCGCCAAACAGACCACCACCACTCTGCTGCTGCTGTTGTTGGCCAGGCTGAGCGGAATTTTGGGTATTCTGGGTATTACTAAACAGGCTTGATGGTTGTTGCGAAGGCTGTCCAAATAGTCCACCCGATGGCGCAGTTGGTGCAGACGACTGTTGTCCGAAAAGACCTCCACCTGCTTCTGGTTTAGGTGCGGTACTACCGAATAATCCACCACCTGTTGCTGGTTGTGGAGCCGCTGGCTGCGCTCCTGCTGGCTGTTGTGCTGATTGTCCAAATAGACCTCCGCCGGTCGGTTGGTTAGGTTGGCTCGAGCCTGCACCCGCTGCTGCTCCACCACCAAATGAGAAGCCTTGTACGCGTCAATCGCGCTTTCTGCGTCACTTCTTTTCACTCACCACCGAATGACATGTTGGACGTTTGTGTTGATGAGCCAAGTGAGCGGGTTCAGAAGCGTTAAGTGGATAGTTGAGCTATCAAATACTTGAAACCTACAGTTTAGTTTTACTTGTACCAAGTCGTCCTCGTTATCCCGCACGACGTGACATGAACTCAAAGAGTTTTGTATAGCTTTTATTAACCTAATTGCATCCCGAGAATTCACAGATGACTGATTCTGCATACTTAAAAGCAGCCGCGACAGAGCAAGCAACAGCTCGTGGCTGGTAATTAAAGAGGGATGAAGATTTGCGCGTTTTTTAAAACGATGAAAGAAAAACCGCTGATATATACCAAGCTTCATAACGTAAGTATCAACAATCGAATAGTACAGCGGGTGCAACTTGCTAGTTCATGATGAGGTCCCAGGTTCGATCCCTGGTATCTGCAGATCTAGCAGATATAGCTCAGTGGTAGTAGCGCATCACTAGTATTAAATTTTTGTCTCTAATTGGAAGATATCATAGGACTCATTTTTACCTCTGTCAATGAATGTTCATTCTTTACGCATTTCGGAATGTACGTGTGGGCATTGACTTAGAACGGTGGTCTATGAAGGATTTAGAACAAGTGACGCTTATAAAAGTATTAATGCTCAGGCTAGCTGTGAATGTGTGAGAATATATGCATTAATACAGCAGTATAAATAGTGTCTGTGTGTGTTGATACTGGTATATCTTTAGAGAGAGAAGAGAGTTCGAAAAAGAAGAAACAAGTGTTCAGTACTTGAGAGATCGCTGTGGTTGCCTACCATCTAGCGTCTACCACCAGCTCCGCCGCCTACGCCTCTCAAAACCGAGTAACCGGAGAAGAGAACGAGTGAGAGTGTGACGACCCAAGCGACGCTTGCGAGAGGTAAGCTTCTAACGGCGGAGGAGCAATTAGGGCAGACCCATTCTGTTGAAGAAGAGAGTGGTGAGCGAGAAGACAACAGCAGGACACTCAACTCACCATCTAAAGGTGTGTACGACTGTGGTTTGTATAGCGCGAATCTGATATTGGTGTTTGGCATGAAAGTGCCAGGTGCGGGTGCAGCACTAGGACCATTCTTGTCATAAACTCTAAGCTGGTATGTCTCGTAAACGAGTGGCGGTGAGTTATTCTCAGTGTGGTATTTATAAGGATCCCATTCGAACGTGGATTCTCCACCTCCTACAGAACCCATAGTATATGTATTATCTGAATCCGTGTGCACAGCATCAAATGTCAAGCTGTCTGGTGTGCTATAAAGAGAAGTCAAATTCCATCCAAACGTTATTGCGTTGTCTGGTGCTACTTTGTAATAACTCGTCTTCGTTTGCGGTGGCTCTGTGAACGTTAGCCCACCGACTGGGGCTGATGCTCTGCCACTTGTCAGCGTGTCATTGAGCTATTGGAATACCCATACCCACGGGATTGATGGTGAGGTGCTGCTACTCTTGTCGTCACCGCCGTTGCTTGACATTGTGGTCGTTATCAACTAGTGTAGCTAGACCTAGACAATTTGAAACGCACACGAAAATTAAATAAAACACGCAATAAATCATTTTCGTTCAGAATACATATTGTCATTATAATTGTAATTATCACAAGCAAGTAAAAACACCAACAGCACCGTCACCATCCTCTACTTCACTTGCCCCTTGGCAAACTTATCCTTTATATCATCCACAACAGCCGGATCACCCAATGTAGACAGATCACCAAGCTGGTCGCCCTCACCAGCGACAATCTTCCTGATAATCCTGCGCATAATTTTCCCACTACGCGTCTTAGGGAGATCACCGACAACGTAGAGACTCTTAGGAGCAGCAAATGGGCCTATCACTTTACGCACCTGCAGAGTGAGTTCCTTGACGAGATTCTCATCCACACTGCCCTTGAACTCCGGCTTCATAGTCACCCATGCGCTGATTGACTGGCCCGTAAGCTCATCCTGCACACCCACAACAGCCGCCTCTGCGACACCTGAGTGGAGAATAAGCGCCGATTCTATCTCAGCCGTTGACAATCTGTGTCCAGACACGTTGATAACGTCGTCCACACGACCCTTGATGAATATATACCCTTCATGATCTCTACCTGCTCCATCTCCTGTAAAGTAGTAGCCTGGGTATGGCTTAAGGTATGTGTCAAGGAAACGCGCATGATCACCAAACACCGTTCGCGCCATTGATGGCCATGGCTGCTTCACTGCGAGTACTCCCTCAACATCATTGCCTTCGAGCAGATGACCTGTAACTGGATCCAGAATAACCGGCTCAACACCCCAGAATGGGAACGTCGCACTACCTGGCTTGCATGGAATAGCTCCAGGCATTGGTGAGATAATGATTGATCCTGTCTCCGTTTGCCAGTATGTATCTACGACCGCACACTCCTTCTTGCCTACCTCCTCATTATACCAATCCCAAGCTTCGGGATTGATGGGTTCACCAACCGAGCCAATCACGCGCAGTGAGGACAAATCGTAGCCTTGCAGATGCTCCTTTCCAAGACGACGCAATAATCTGATAGCAGTTGGCGCAGTATAGAATTGTGTCAATTTGTGCTTTTGTACTACATCCCAATATCTCGATGGATTTGGGTAGACGGGGGTAGATTCGAAGACGGTTGTTGAGACACCATTGAGTAAAGGACCATAGACGATATAAGTGTGCCCAGTAATCCAACCGACATCCGCCATACACGCATATCTGTCATTTTCGTGGACGTCGAAAACATACTTGACAGTGAGTGCTGCACCAAGCAAGTAGCCACCCGTTGTGTGCACAACACCTTTAGGTTTACCTGTTGAGCCTGAAGTGTAGAGAATGAAGAGAGGGTCTTCGCTACTGACAATTTCTGGTGCACAGTAAGGAACGACCTTTGCAGTCTCCTCGTGCCACCAGTAGTCCCTACCTTGTTGCATGTTTACAGGATTACCGGTACGTTGTAGGACGAGGACATTGTTGACGTCTGGACACTCCTTGAGAGCAGCATCGACGATGTTCTTAGTGGCAATTGTCTTACCACCTCTCTTTCCTTCATCTGAAGTTATAATCACGGTGGATTTCCCGTCGATAACACGGTCTCGGAGGGATTCGGCAGAGAAACCTGCAAAAATGACAGAGTGAACAGCACCTAGACGAGCAACTGCGAGGAAAGCGACAACAGCGTGCCAAGTCATAGCTGCATTGTGTGTTGTGTAAGACATAAAAATATCAAAGACATAGCAACTCACGCAAGTAAATGGACACGACGTCGCCCTTCTTGACGCCCATGTTCTTGAGAACGTTTGCAACCTTGCAGACTTCTCTTAGAAGTTCGCCGTAGCTAATTTCCTGGTGGTGGCCCGGTTCATCAGCTTCATAGATGATTGCAGTCTTGTCTGGGTTCTGAATAGCCCATCTGTCTACGCAGTTATAACATGCATTGAGACCGCCTTCTTGGAACCATGCTGTGTCTCCGTGCTCGAAACCACCAGTGAGAACGGTAGAGAAAGGTCTGTGCCAGTAGAGCGTCTCCTTAGCTGCCTGTGGGTTGATTTAACGTACGTATCGCTGCACTATTCAAATTCCTACCTTCTCCCAGAAAGAGTCTCTATGCTCGCCAGTCGTCAGCGCGTGTGCCTTCTTGTACGCATCGATATCTGGACCAATATGAGGCGTGGGCAGGCCATTTCCTGCCTTGAGTTTCGTTGGAATTGGGTGTGTTACAGAGGACATGGTTGTGAGATTTGAAGAAGTCATTTCGAATACCGCGTTTTTTAATTTACACTACGTCATCTGACAACGGCATCCATGTGAGTTATTTCCTATATGTCCCGAGTCTGTCTATGTGGTTGATGGTGGCTGGGATTATTAGTTCCATAGATGCCGCAATCTTCCGTGGCTCACGACGTTAGTTCAGCAACACATCTTCTCTCTTCCCCGCATCAGGCTACCAGGCTCCAAAACAGGCAAGTGCATTAAAATCGCATATTGTACAGCGTATTAAGTATAATGTATTTCTCTATATATCCGAATCTGCTCCGATGCAATCCGGTGCCCCTCCACGTCTCTCATACTCTCCTCACTTTCACAGCGTCAAACCCCGCATTGTGAAATCACTGGCAGCCATCCCATCGAGTATATCGAGCTCCGTCTGCGTGAATCCGCATTTGGGCACGATATAAGTCCTGAAAGGTATGAGGAGTATGATGATAACGGGGAAGCCAATCGCCGATCGCTGAATGACACTGACAGCATAAGTAGCACCGAATCCAACCAGCTCGAACAGTACAAACAGCCATATCCTGCTCTTGCGCACGCGGTGATACTTATCATCGCGCGCCGTCTTGTGACGGTCTTTAAGGAGGTAGCTGATGTGCTCCGTGATCATGTTCCCGTAGAGTGCCTGCAGACCTAGTGACCAGAAAAGCCCGGCTAGCACACCCGTAGGTATCTTGTTCACAGCTTGTAGGAACGGACCCGTCGCAAAGGCTAATGCTAGCCCACCCTGTGCGAGATTCGTCACGCGCTGCTCTACTACTCCGGCAGGCTCTTCTATCTTGCGGCGGTGAGTAGGCTGAGAGACTTTTTCGTGTGCTGCGTCTGCTTCTGTGCGCGCCTCTGATGATCCTAGTGCATTTCCGTCGCCGGTTTCTCCATCAACTTCATCCGGCTCTTCTACCACCCTCGTCTCAGTATACACGAGCGACTGTGTATGTATAGGAGTCTGTGGAATGAGACCATTCGGGGCGATCAGTCCAAATACGCCTGCCAGCAAAGTCGTGACACCGAGAAGAGCGAAGTCCCAATGAAACCCAGGTGGTTTCTTCAGCTTAAATTCGCTCCCCTGACCGATAATAGCGCTGACCTGGTGATCAAATAGGAAGAGGAGGGTGAGGAGAGCAGCGAATGCGACTGCGATGCCTACCCAACGCGCGGGAGTGTTCCAAAAATGCACCACCCACGTCTGTCTATCTGTAGCAGTATAAGCGAATCCTCCTACAGTTGGTAGTTTCTGCGCATCGATTTCGACGAATCGCCCCCAATAACATAACCCACTCACCGCCACGACGCTGATAGGCAGGCCGTAGTCAGCGAGGAAGCGGCGTACGAGGTGTGTCCAGAAAGGTGATATACTCGCGAACATGAATATATGGTGCAGAGTGAAGAACGTTGCCGCAAGGAAACAGCTGAATGTAAGACTGGCTATAGGAGCATTCGACTCTGACTCGCGCGCTATGACCTGCACTCCCAGTAAAAGATAGATCCATCCGACGTAGAACCCGAACGTCTGGCAGGTGAACTTGGTCACTCCCCTCAGACAGTTGCTCAGGTTGAACACGGCGATGAGCAAGTGCATGATGGCGCTGATTACATACACCCAGCCTACAAACTCTAGGTAGTCGGGCTTTGGGTACGGCCCGTCTGCTTCTTGGATGATGGTGTACATGGAAGTGTTGAGCACTGTGATGGGTCCCGTAACGCCTACTATGGTCAGTGGCTGCGCGCCAATTATGGAAAAAGCTGCTGCAGCCATGAATGTCGATATTAATATCTCGTTTACCCCATACTTGCCCGTCTTCTGCTCAAGCTCATACGCGAAGGCGAGCGCTGGGAGTATGTTGGCGAAAAAAGTGAGCAGCGTAGATGGAATTACTCTGTAGTTGAGCGCGTCTGTCCAGTCCGAGATATAGTACGGCAGGCGATTGCGCACATCGCGGTACATGCCTAGAAACGGCGTATATGCGCGCCATGAGAGCATAGTGAAGGGTACTTGGGAGTGTTCTGGGCTGTGATTTGAATTGTATTTAATCCTACTCGTCCTGGCTTCCATGTCTTCCACGTCTTCTTCCATGATGTTGGCCGATAAGAGGAAAGAAACGATTAAAAAAACAAATGACATCATCAAAATAATTTAGATTGCTACACCGCGCCTTTAAACACCCATCCAATCGTTCAGAAGATCAACAAGTGGCTTTGATATTTTCACCGATTCCATGAGCGTGTCGAGGAAACCTTCACTTGTAACTTCATTATCGCTGAAGCGGCTTTCAACGATAAAAGAGCGCAACTTGAGGAGGTCAATGTGAGGGTGATCTTTAGCGCAACCCTTAGGTGCCACCTTGAGCTCGTCGTCCATCTGTAGAGCTGGTTAGCGTGGATTATTATCAAAGGTCCACCTTCAACCCACCCCAAAAAGACTCTCGCGCTTCCCTTTCTCGCGTGCGTTAGGGCTGCCGAAATTTTTTACAAACGCGTCTTCCCCGATCACATCAAGCAGTGGTTGTGGGTCGGTGAGGATGTGATGGCGTATGCTCGCGAGCTCGTCCTTCTCTGCCTGCCACTTACCGACTGCAAAGAGAGTCCTACCGTTTGGTTGGACCATTAAATGATAGCCTGCACATACACCCTTCCTGCCAGTTTTTGAGAAGGTCATCATGAATTGCTTCCGATAGGGAGTCTTGTCATGAGCAAAGCGCAGATCACGTGAAAGACGGTAGACGAGGTCTTTTGAAGGGTATGGGGGGAGGTTGTCGTCCAAATCGATTGCACGGGTGACGAATTGCTGGGTAAAGTCGTTGAATTCGCTAAATTGACATTTGTAGGTGGCGTTGTTGAATTCATCATTAAGCCAATCACGCTGGTTACAGTGCTCGTATCTCAAACAATTGAGGAAGTCGAGCGTGTTACGTGATATTTGGCCTGGAGGAGCTTTGTGAGGAGGAGGGCATTGTGGGTGAGATGCAGTGTGTGCAGTGTTTGCTTCATTTGGTTTCTTTCGCTTGGTTGTTTGTTTTAAGTCAGATTCCGAATCAGATTCTGACACAGGTTCCGACACAGGTTCCGACTCAGGCTCCGAATGCTCCGAGTGCTCCGAGTGATCCTCGAACTGGCTATCGTCTGAGCTGGACTCTTGCTGCTGTTTACGCTTCCCAGACGGCATAGGTGATGGTGGTTAGAAGTTAAGAGAATGAGTGCGTCATTACAAAACAGACTAATTTGGTTTCATGATGAGTGGGAGCTGATTGGTGGATTAGAAGGGTGTTTGATGGCTGATACATGCACTCACATAAGAAGCAGTCACTGCGCCAATTCCTCTGTAGTTTATATTAGCAAATTTCACCACCGACAACACCCAAAACTCACAAGATCAACGACGTTAAAGGTGACGTAGCCTCTGAGCATTTCAATGGGCTGTAGTTTATGAAGCAAATGGCAGCGGATATAATCGTTGGTATTGCGATACTCCAGTTCTTGCTGAATACTGTGAGTACACTGAGGAACATTACGCTGTTACCCGCTGAGTCTGCGATTCCAGAGGTGCCTGTAGGTTTACAGAAGTTTTTAGGCACAGTGAATTCTCTAACATTCTTCTCTTCAACTGGATTTGTACTGTCAATTAGCTTGAATGTCTGTGTAGTCATCGTCGTTCGAGGGCAACCATCATGTCATCTGCACCAGCCACCCACAACTACACAGACACTGCCCACAGACTTATCCACCAATCAAAGCGCTCTATTCTCACATCCTCGCTCTACAACTACGACGACGCGTCCATCCGCGAGATCACGCGCGAGTGTCGCTACTTGAATGGCCAGATAAACAGCGCGATTGATGCACTCAGCAATCTCACTGAACACTCTTTACTAGACACCGACAAGCCCTCACTCGCACAGCTCACCATCCTCACTCTTAGTGCTCAGCGTAACAAACGGTGTCTTCTCGCATACCACCACCACCGCCTGTCCAAGCTATCCACCCTCTACTGGCAGTCTGGCGCTGCACTCGCACACCTCCTCAACGAACACAACGGTAGCGGTATACGCCAGCTGATCAGCCCTCACGAACTCGACTACCTCCGTTCATATGCGTCCCTCATCACCCAGTTCAAATCGCCCTTTCTCGATGTCGTCGATATCTCCTCTACCAGTCTCGAACCGCCGAAGGACCTGCACATATCAGTGCGCGTCGTCCGCGATGCTGGTCTCATCGAGACACACGGCGGCCCTGTCCATTTCAAAATTGGTCAGCGTTTCATGGTCGCCCGCTCGGATGTAGAGAGGTTACTCGTGCAGGGTTATTTGGAAGAAGTCGAGTGAGAATATATCATATGCCATTGTTTATTTACCATTAACTTATTTAATACGTCACTTCGAGATCGAGCACGCCTGTGTTCATAGGCCTACTCGTCTCTTCGCCTCCCGCCAACGTCCTCCCATCCAGCTCCCAGCTGATGCTCGCGAGCGAGAAACCTTGTGTGCCTAGCTTACTCCCGCCGATATACTGCTTGTGTGTGTCCAGACCTTCCACCTCGGGTCCTACCGAAACCTTTTCCCACGTAGCCTCTGTTGATTGGTGTTCTAGTGTCCTGTGTGCCGTGTTGGTGTATATATCCAGCCTGCCGAGCTCATTGGTGCGCACATCCTCAAACCTGTGCTCAATCGGTGCCGCGTATTTATCCTTCTTCTTCTTACTGGGAGGCGGAGGGCGGGGAAGCTTGACTTTGTGAGGTTTTGGTTGAGGAGTAGGAGTGAGTTGGGTGTGCGAGGAGTGCGATGGTGCTTGTGAGTAAGACTGAGGCGAGCCTGATTGTAGCGCAGAGGCAACACCTTCACTTCCACTCGTGTCCATTCTCGCATCCTCATTCTCAGGTGTGTTGGGAGTGGCAGTACCATCTGTGCCGCTCACCCCAACCGTCGACTCCACCTTACTTTTGTTCTTCTTCATCCCAGCCATTTCCGCCTTCACAAGCACACTGTGTGCCTCCTCCAGTCGCAACCGCTTGAGATAAGCTATCTCGTCATTCGTCGCGCGCACCTCGCGTGCATACACACTCGTCCAATTTTCGTGTGTGATATTCTGACCGAGGAGTGCGCGTTTAGTGGCGTACGTTGTGGCTGGCGAGAAGAGGGCCGCACCGATATCGTATGCCCAGCCTCCGACAGCGCGCGACAGGAACTTTGTACCAAAATTGGGACCTGCGTTTGACAGTCCAGCTAGTTCCAAATCGTCATACTGCCCTTCATCCTCTACCGTGCATATCGTTCCTGGCTCTATCTTCCTGTCCGCGCAGTACCGCCTCGCCCTGTCTTCGTAGTAGTCATCTTCGACGTGCTTCCCATTGACGAGGACCTTGGCGCCGAACAGCTTGTATACGTTGCGCGCAGCGACTATCGTTACCGAGCGCGAACGCGAGTTGGCCGCTAATTTGCCTTCTCCTATCAACCTCTCCTTCTCATCTTGCTCCAAAGTCAGCTTGACGAGGTGCAGATTGCGTCTGAACATGTACAGACTGTCCTTAAACCCAGCACCGCGAGCAGCATCTATGGACAGCATATAAACTTTCTCCCGATCGTGGCGTAGGGATGATGTGAACGTGGGCATCTTGTAGCACCGTCCACCTAGCAAATTACCGTGCATGTCTACTTTTTGGTCACCGCGTACGTCATCGTCGATCTCCAGCTCGTCTTCCGTATACCAGTAATCGTTGCCGCCTATCGAGCGCAGGATGCGTGGAGCTGGCTTTTCGGGAGCGATGTAGCCGACTAAGTGGGAGTGTGAGCGATACTAATAAACATTCGCTAGCACTCACAGTTTATCTCCTCCGTGCCATCCTCGTCACGGCGTCTGTTACCGAATCGACCGACACCCTTGGCGCGGTCTTTGTTGCGCGCGGCTGCTCGCCCTCTGCCACGTCCACGCCCGCGTGGCCGTCCAGATGGGGTGCCGCGCGGGGTTGATAGCCCCCTGCCGCTGCCTTTAGGTCTGCCACGGGGTCTACCTCTGCCTCGCTTCACTGGTGTTTCTGCTGTGTCTGGGGCGTCCGCTGTGTTTGCTGTGTCTGCAGGCGGGTTGTTGTCTGCAAGCAAATTCGTAAAGAGTACTACAGTGCGCTATTTGACCAACTCACTCGCTGTCTCTGCTTCTACTTGGCCATCTTGGGCGTTATCGTCGCCGTCTTCTACGTCGTTTTCGGCATCGTTTTCGGCGTCGTTGTCGGCGTCACCGTCGTTGTCGCCATCTCCATCGCCATCTCTCCATCTCCCGTCATCTCCATCTCCATCTCCGTCTCCGCCGTCCTCCTCAGGATACTCGTCGCCGTCATCGTCGTAGTACTCATCGCCTTCGACATCCTGGTCGTGGTCGAAACCCGCGTATTTCTGGCGCGGTGTGCTGATTCTGCTGGACATTTAGTGATTGTGGTCGAGGTGCAAGGGGGAATGGCCGGGATAAACAATAAATAAGCCGCTTACAATCAGCTACATTTATTCATTTAATATAAATTACACTCGCTGGAATCTGTGACGTATGCGTGGCTCACAGTGAGTGTTGCCCGTCTTCTCTTTCCACCGCGACCACGACCAACAAACACAAAAATGTTCTCAAGAATAGCACTCAGATCAACTCAAGCAGCCCAGCAAATCCCACGCCAATCCATCTCCACACCAAGAACGATGCTCACTGCCGCAAAGAGTTTATACACAGCCAAAGCCTCAGCTACGGGCGGAGGACGCGCTAACGGCACCGCAAAATCGGAGACTACATCCTTCACAGTGTCCATTCAGCCACCAGGCAGTGAATCGAACACTAACCCAGAAGAACTCGTCGCCTTGGGCTACTCGACGTGTTTCCTTGGCGCTATGAAGGTGGCTGCTCAACAAATCGGCAAGAGCGGTCCATCCGATGCTGCCAAGTCATTTGCTGACGTTACGCTCAACAGCACTGACAGCAAGACGTCTCCTTTCACTATCTCCACTCACCTCACTATCGAGGACACCAAACACGACATTGACACTCTCGTCGCCGTCGCGAAACAAACCCACACCGTTTGCCCTTACGAGATCGCCTTCAAGGGCAACATTAAGCAATCTTTCACTGCGATTGCCAAGGACGGCAAGAGTGAGTCATGGTAGAGACAAGCTGTTTGTATGAATGAGTAATGCATCTTATTTGCCATATATGTCTCATCTGCTATATCTCACAACCTCAGCCTCTCTGAAAGTGTCTTGGCTGCATGACTGAAAACTTTCCTCGCTTCTGCCGCTCCATTTGAAATACTTGTTGAGCGTTCACTCTGACTCATAAGCGGACGCCCGTCATCACCGCCGCTGCTGACCTCCTTAGTCAGGGGTAGTCTACCGAGATCGTCCAAATGCAATTCGCGCAGTGCTCTATCATAGTTGCTGACGTCGCCGAATATCTCGTGTGGGTGTGAGCAGTGATCGCAGAGAAAGTGGGACATGTTGAGCATCATGCCTAGTATCTGTGGAAGGTGTGAGCAAGCCACATGGCACGAAACCCAATCCCACCTCGATATTCAGCTTGGAAAAGGTCGCTATGCCCTTGCGCGTGTCCAACAGAGCTACATCTTGAGGAGATGTGACTATGAGAGCGCCTGTGGTGGATGAGAAAGGAAAAAGGAAAAAGGAAAATTTTAGTGGTCAGCGGTTGTAATCCATTTCAAGGAAACATCACCCACCACTGCTCTGCACTAGCTGTCCAACTGTGAGAGGCACATCACCTGTGCCGGGAGGCATGTCGACGACTAGATAATCCAGCGGTCGGTCGTGAATGCCCCTCCAGTCAGTATCGAATAGGAGCTGCTGGGTTGCTTTTTGCACAAGCAAACCGCGCCATACAACAGGCGTATCTTGTGCCTTGGGCCCGTTTTGAAGTAAGTAACCGATCGACATTGACGCAATGCCGTGGTTGGAGAGGGGCTTGAGTGCACCTTCACGCGTCAACTCAGCTTCCATACCCTCCTTATCCAAACCAAGGAGTTTTGGTGTCGATGGACCAAATATGTCGAGATCGAGAAGACCAACCCGAGGGGAATTGTGCAGTTTGGATAACGAGAGTGCCAGATTGGCTGGTGGGGTGATTAGTGCGTGTATACAGCACTCCACACACACAGCACTCACTCGCTACTGATGACTTTCCAACGCCTCCTTTGGCGCTGGCTACGAGTATGGTGTGCTTGACGTGGGGAATTGGACGTTTCTTCAATGGCTCTGGTTTCTTCTTGGGCAAACCAAATGGATTTTCATGGGAAAGGCGTGATAGTGTTCTTAACATTCACCACGTTGTATTTGAAAGAGAGAAATGCGGGGATGGCTGGTGGCTGTGTATTTGGTGATTGTTGGGGTATATTTGAGTGGTAGACGGCCACCATACAGCTACTCAAATAGGCAGAACACATTACTCGTTATCGCCCACCCAGATGACGAAGTTATGTTCTTTGGGCCAGCGTTGAACTATTTCCGAGGAGAGAGCAATTTACACGTTCTGTGCTTATCAACTGGAAACTCTAATGGATTGGGCATTGAACGTGAACAAGAGCTTTATCGCAGTCTGCGTGTATTTGGAGTGGAAAACAACAGGATTAGAGTGGTGGATGACGCGTTACTGGAGGATGGAATGGATTGGAGTACTCAGTACATTTCAAGTTCAGTCACAGAGTACACAAACGCTCATAACATCCACACTGTCCTCACATTTGACCAATCAGGCGTGTCTTCTCATCCAAATCACATAGCCCTGAATAAAGGAGTTACGGCTATTGAGACGGTTGATATACGTAAATGCTTCCTCAGAACACACAGCATACCGATAAAGTACTCTTCGTTCACTTACCCGTTGCAAACTTCAGAGCTGAGCATATCGTCCACTTTCACAGAGTACGCTAGGTCTGTGGGTGGAATGCGTAATCACCAAACACAGCTTGAATGGTATAGACTGGGATACATACTCACAAGCCGTTATATGTGGATGAATGAATTTGATTGTATTTGAATACGTTTAGTGATGCTGGGCTGGCGTGTATTCCTCCTTCCTTTGCCCCAGTTTACCCTCTCTAAACTCCCTAGCCCAGAGCATCGATGGTATCCACCTTGATGGCTCACGTGTCCTGTTCTCCTTGGCCGCTGAGTAGCTCCAAACGCCGTACGTCAGAAATCCAATGCCGGTGAAAACGACGGCTGTGTTAGCCTTCCAATTGCGTGGATTAGTCCACCAGCCACCTGTTGGTGTCCAAACATCTTTTGGTACTGGGAATTGTGCTCCACCGCCCTACAAATGCGTGTTATAGACGCTTCATCTATAATCTCTCCGTTCTCACCATTTTATATTTCCAGCGTGATTGTATTGGTGCAAGCGTATGAGCCCCTCCTTGATCCTGTACTATCACATGGAAAAACTTAGAAAAGCAGTTTACGATAGAAGACGAGGAATTGGCATCCTCGCTGCCGTAGCCACTGGCAGCTACTTTATTTGCTCCTATCTTAGCTCGAAATTGTCTGAGATCCAGGATCAGGCAGATAGAGATAGAGTCGCAAAGCAGAGGTGCGTTCAGAGTATTCCAATGGCCCTACATAACCCCAGCTATCCAGCCTACGTCGCAAATTTTACCAAATTCTCCAGGATTCCACTTTCACAGTTATGGCTCTTCTACCTCCCCTTGAATCTCAACTCGATGGCATCTTTAACGTACATGCCATCACCGAAGAATTGAAAGAACGCGCTAAATCCCCATCAATGTCTCACTCTGCTGTTTTCTCAGAATCCTCACTCGCCCCGTCATCAGATGATAATGGCATGCATTCATCCGCAATCAGCAATGATTCCTCTGCTATTTCTCTTGGTGGTCACTCTGAGCAGTCTGCTCAATCTGAACACTCTAATTCCCTTCCCTCTTCAGATGCCTCCCCTTCAAGTCCACTTGCGAGCAAAATTTCGCAGCTAAAACTTAAGTCGAAAAAAGATCTCTGGGAGGAGCTCAAGGTTAGGACTGTCGCACAAACTATCACCATTCACTACGCCGTTACGTTGCTCACTCTTCTTACTCACATTCAATTATCCCATCTTGGCAGAGAAGCATACATTGCTCAGCTGCGCGCACTAGCCAGATCCAGGGCACCAGTGCCATTTGAAACCGCAGATTATAGCAACAGCGACAGTGACACTTCGGACAAGACCTACCTCAGCCTCTCATGGTGGTTCATTTACTCAGGTCTTCCGAGACTATCTGAGCGTATCAAAGGGGTTGTAGATGATGTGATTGGTGGCGCATCGCTCAGGGACACCATAGATGGATCTCGTCTGATTCAGTGGATTAAACAGATCAGAGCCAAACTCGACTGCGGTCCTGTCGAGGAATTCCTCGACGAACTTTTCCCAATGACAGACAAAACGCTGATGGAGACCCTGGATGGTAACCAACATTCCAACAACGTGCATACGGGTGAGATGTTTGTCGATTTAGTCGAGCAAACCCGCACCTCGCTCCTAACGTCCGACTTGAAGAGCATCATGACTGACTGTCTCAATAAGAGCTTCGATCAATTGGCAGCCTCACTTTCTCACCTCCCATCTAACAAACTTGCTTCGCAATTACCGAAAGTTAAAAAAAGCGGTCAGACATCCCTCCATTCTGTACCAAACGAGATGGTCGAAATGCTCGCAAATCACGACGATCTGCTCGCTTTTGACGCCCTTATCCAAACCAACTACGAATCTGCCATTGATAAGGTCAAGTGAAAGTGAGTCATGTAATGGAGTGGACACGCCTATCCTATCTACTATTCTAGCATTCTAGTATCACAAATTGTATATCAAATCATACTTGTACTTGTATACGTTTAAATGAACGTGTATGTAATTGCATTCGGGGCCGTTCAAGTGGCCGTGAAAATATTCAGCTCCGGAATGCATAACCTGAAATGGGACGGAGATGTCATTGTCGACATAAACCATCGAGACAGCACACCAATGAATGAGAAGAGCAACGAATTTTACTCTCTCAATGATGAAGAGTCGCTTCAGCCGCGGTCTAAAAGTAAGGGCAAAGATAGAGGAAATGGCAACGGCAAAGGCAAGCAACGCATGTCCAATTTCTATCTCGGAGACAAGTACGACGAGACGCTAGAAGATCTAGAAGACAGTTTCTTCAATGCGTCGACGTCCGCCAACAACAGGCACCACAGCACCACCACCAATTCACCATTACGACCAATCGGCAGCGAAGATTCCATCCAGCAGCTCAAAACTCATGCGGAGAATTTCGTCAGCCATCACTCCCAACGTCTCTCGGAGACAGCGACAACAACGACGCCGAACAATAGCAGTCCCAGTGCTAGCACGACGACAAGCAGTGACAACATATCCAATTTCTCCAATGCATGGGCGAATGCCAAGGCGCATATGAATTTGGGTGGCAGAAACAGCTTTGTTTCAGTTGATTCAGAGGATGGGGAAGGTAGGTTGCCACGGCCAGTCACCGCCCTAGGTGAAACGTCTATTCTGGGCAATTTGCTTGATCTTTACGCTCATAAAATCGTTGGGCAGCGTGTGTTGGCAGATGGTGCACCAGCAGAAGCAGAAGCAGAAGCAGCAGTAGCGCCACTTCCATCACCACCACAGGGAAATATCTCAGGTAACGTGCCCAGGAATGACAGCCCAGCCGCACCCGAACAGGTCAAGATACCAATGACATCCCTTAATCGCCAGAGCAACCAGGAAACAGTGAGGAGCACGCCTAGTCACTCATCTATTCCCGCCGTGCGTAGCAGGTCGAACAGCCTGCCGGACGAGACTGGCGTTGCTGCTTCCTATCCACCCAGACCATCCCCAGGCAGGGATGCTAGACGCACATCGCAGCCTCCCAGGCCGAGCTTTAACATAAATTTTCCTCTCACGCCTGTCGATGAAAATGTTCCTGCGAGGAATAAACCTAACTTGAACATAGAAGTGAACAGGAATAGGAGCATGGACTTGAGTAGAAATAGGAGCATGGATATTGAAAGAAACAGAAGCAGAAGCAACTCGGCTGAAAGCACCAAATCTTACACCTCAGTCAATCATCTCCTCAAGTCTTTTCCAAATCACTCAAATTTTCACGGGGGCGCTGAATACGACGATGATGACGAAGCCAGTCCTGATGATCTCGCCGAGAATCATCCTATTAAGAAACTTATATCACCCAGAATGAGTACCGAAAGCGGCCCAAGAGACACATATCCACTTCTCGGAGGAGAGAAAGAAGCTAACGACCCAAAACGTCCTTCTGATCCGGTGAGCTTAGCTGGATAGAGTCTGTAGCGTCACTCACTTAACTCAACGCAGTTCGAAGATGAATTGGTTAAGAAGATCTCAGATTCATTACAAAGACACGATTTTCTGCTCAGATTGGGCAAGGCGTTGATGGATTATGGCGCACCTACACACCGCATTGAGAGCCAACTCTACACTGCGGCTGATTTTTTAAACGTGCGTGTCTTGCATTCTGCAAGCAAAATGCCAATCTCACACGCTCCCCTTCAGGTATCAGCATCATTCTTATATCTCCCCAATATCCTCATGATTACACTGTCAGATTACGACACACATACTTGTGGGTGGTTGCAATCGCGCTAATTCTAATTACCTTACCTTACCTTCAGGCGAGCAATTTTTTCTCAGATCCACAGGAGGACTGGACCTATCCAGGCTGAGCAAAGCACACAAAGTGTATGTAGAAGTCATAAATAAAAAAATCAATACCGAGCAGGCATTATGGCGGTTGCACGATATAGCGGAGTGCGTGAGTTGGGTGAGCTTGAAAAGATGGTGGACATACTGATACACTAAGCTCAGGAAGACCAGTACACTGCACGGCAAACGGTTCTTATTGGCGCTTTAGCCAGTGCTGCAGTAGCCCCAATGGCATTCAGCGCAAGGTATGTATGTGTTACGAGCGTCGCATTCACGCCACTCAAACCCACCACAGTCTGGCAGACATCCCAGTCGTCTTCTTTCTCGGAGGATTTCTCACATTTGTGAAAGTGAGCGGCGTGCTAAAGAGCGAGTCGTTTGGATTCATATTGGAAATATCGTGTGCGTGTCTCATATCTGTGAGTGGGATTCACGACAACAGCTCAAACACACAAGCTGACCAGTTTTATCACCACTACCACACTAACAGATGGCTGCACGCGGTCTATTTACAACCGGCGTATTCTGCTTCCAGTCCATCGCAGCTAGCGCGATTGTGTTGATATTACCCGGATGGATCATAGCGTGCGGGGCGCTAGAGCTCGCCTCGCGCAATATAGTCTCAGGCTCTATTCGCGTCGTTTACGCTCTATGCTACTCTATGTTCCTCGGATTCGCGATCAGCATCGGCAGCGATTTTATCAGTGTTCTCGCAGTCCACGACAACAGCGACCAGCATGATCAGTTTGACACGGTCACTCTCAGCGGCACGTTCCTTCCTAACTCGTCTTTCTCAGATATCAACAACCCAATCGAAGAGGGCAGCTTCACTTTCACTAATACTTCAGCACCGACATACCACGGAGATGTTGTATGTGTGCGTCACCCTGATGCACCGTTCTATCTCAAGACTATGCCTAAGATTTATCTCCTCGTTTGCGCTCCTGTCTTCGCGGCGTTTTTGTCCATGTACAACAAGGCTGACTGGCGCAAGTCTGAGATGTGGATTGGCGTAATCATTAGTTGCTCGGGCTATGCTTCCAACGTCGCTACTACTATGTTCGCCCCAAATCGCTCAGATATTATCAGCTCAGTGTCATCTTTCACCGTCGGATTTCTAGGTAATTGTTATTCCAGATTGTTTAAGCGCTCGGCTTTTCCTGTCACTGTTACGGGCATCCTCCTCTGTGTTCCCAACGGTATAAGTGCTGCGGGCGGCATTGCCATGTCTAACCCTAGTCCTGACAATGAATCGTCCTTCAGTCGTGGTTTGGTTATTGGATTAAGAATGTTCCAGGTCGCTGTCGGTATCGTCGTTGGGTTGTTTTTGTCAACCATTTTCGTTTACAACATCGGTGCTAAAAGAGGCTTCCTCTTTAGCTTCTAGATAGTTAATTTTACGTATATCTTGGATATATTGTTCAGTATTTTATGAATTATTTTCTTAACGATGCTACGAAATTCGGTACGAATCATGCATGCCGGCTTCGGTGCAAATTCTCACTGTTTTGTTCCGCTGCCCGATAAGGAAATATGGTAGTTTATACAATTGGATGTGAGTTAAGTATCCTATTATTCGCAGATTTAATCTTATAAAGCTGTCGCTGTTTTCATATTTTTCCCAGAGATGAATTATTTCACCAAACAAGTCGACGCGAATAAGGAGGCGGATTGAAGTGACTAGGCTTCTTTAAGAGCAAATAAATAGCAAATATACTAATGCTAACATTAAAATTCCTCTACAAGCGTCGTAAGTGGGCTACCTACAATGATTGTTACATGACACCCATAGTTCTCGCACACACCAAACGCAGACGCCGTAGATCAGCTCCAGAGCTGCCACAGTCGGAAAGTTTCAAATGCATAGGAATTCTTGACGAGGAGTCAATGTTTGACATGTTCGACCAGATGTACAACACGCCTATACTGACACATAGACCGAATTTGACATACTACGAGATGTGGTATAGGAACCTGAAGCACTACGATCACATTGCGGCTAGTGTGAATCTCTCTAGCACCTCCAGCTCAACTAGCAACGTTTTCAAATTCACTCCTCACAACAGCCCAGTCATCAAACATCATAAAAATATCGATAGAGGTAGTGATGGAAGCTTTAGTAGCAGTATTTTTGATAATCTTTCTATGCTTGATTCACCTTCTTCTGCTCCAACTAGACCGTCGATGCGCGAAGTTGTTGTCGATGGCGAAATTGTCACTATCGAATTCTCGCTCAGGATTTAATGTGATGCAGCGGATATTTAAAAGATATTGAGACACTCGACTTTCGCAAACTCGCACACGTGCACAAATCGCTCTTAATTTATATTCCAAAGCATTATTCCTACTTCTGCGTTATTCAATTGTTATTTGAAGATACTTCTATTGAGCTGTACTTTGAAATTAGAAATTGAGTGAATTGAGTGAGAGTACAAGACACTTGCAAAACTGCTGAAGTTCTTGAAAGAAGCAAACGATATATAAAATTACAACAAGGCTTTTTTATTTTAAACTCACAAAAAGTGGTAATCAATGCTTTCAATGCTAATACGATGTTGTTTATAGTCAAATTTCTGCCAGGTAATTCTATTCTGAAAAAGTAGCGCGGCGGAAGAATTTTGACTCTCCAAGAAAACATAATGGATCGATGAATTCTGCTTTGCTTGGTACTTAGATGATTTAATTCTAGGAAAGCGGTACTTGTCGAAATTTTTGTGGAACACTCCTAGTTTCAATTTCTTCAAATTTGGCATCTCTGATAGGAAGCAGCAAGTAGGGAAGTTCGGGTACAGATTAAAACGACTAAAAGTATCAATGCTGCAGCCCCAAATTAGGGATTCATCCACTACATAGTCTGTTGTAATAGAAAGATCTTTAACGATCATCATTGCTTCCAATGAATACCGAAAGCAATTGAGTTTTCCTGAAGTAGAGTAAATACCCCAAATAAGAGTGTCATTATACCGGTGAAAAATTCGACTGTTCAAACTGAAACTCCAATCATTTATATTTTAAAAGCGATCAAAATTGACATGGCGCAAATGCAACATCTTCACTTCAGCACAAAGAGATTTGGTGATATGCTCAGGAGTGATTGATAACAGCCTGAAACTGCTGCAAGCAGAGATGGAAAGATCGATAGCTCTAAGAAATCTTGAAAGCGTGATTATTCTCTATTTAATCATAATTGCTAGTTTCAATCTTGTATTAAATTCTGTTGAAATGGGCTAGACCATCATCATCACATAAGTCTTGGTAAACTTCTGGTGGTGAACCTTAACAAACACGCTACCCAATTTACTACCAGAACACTCCCTCAAATTGATCCAGTCTTTGAGCTCTTGAGCGTCAGTTTGATTTTTAGGTGAAAACGTTGCTCTCGAGAAAACTATTAAGCAGAAATTCAGTTAAGGTCTAATGTGAGAATGTTGACTACTATTCATGCACCTAATGACTTCCATTCTACCATTTCCGATTACTGGCAGCCACTCTCTTCTACCTGTGGCTTTGTTGAAACCTTTCAACAAAACTTTTCGTGAAAAGTTTCACACATTAAAGTGTCTACTATTCTCACTATAAATCTAACGTTAAATTACATAGTCCTCTCGTTTTGGAGATTTTGGAAGCGGTGCAAGAGGAGGTAGATTGAATGAGATTGAGTGGATGGAATTGGCGAAATAGCAGCCTTGATGGCTCGAACCAAAAAAATTGAATGTTTGGGGTTGCATGTTCTAAGCGATGTTAATTATTGTTAATTTGTGTAAAAATGTACATTCAGATGAAAATCAGCTACATAACAAAGAAAGAGAAGGAACTAAGCGATACGAAAACACGTAAGATATACAGCCTATTTGCCAACCTCGCAGATAAGATCACCGGCGGAGATGCTATCACTTTCAGTGACGACGACTCTGTTAATCTTGCCTGAGGCAGGAGAAGAGATAGAGTTCTCCATCTTCATAGCGCTAATAACAGCGAGAGGGTCACCCTCCTTGACTTCCTGACCCTGGCTCACGCGCAACTCGATAATGACACCACCCATTGGTGCACCGACGCTACCTGGTTCTCTCGATGCTTTTTCTCTCTGGACGTGCTCGACAGCGGCCGACTTATCGTCGATACTGACAGCACGCACCTCACCATTAAGTTCGAAAAAGACGTCGCGCTGTCCTTTCTGTTGATCGAGCGCACCAACAGCAAGTAGCTTGATGAGAAGCGTCTTGCCCTGGTCGATAGTGACGTTCACCTCCTCGCCGATCTGTGGAGGAGCAAGGAAAATGCGCGTAGGTACTGCCGAAAGGTCACCGTGTTTTTCGATAAAGTTTTGGTACTGTATGTTTGTCAGGTATATCAGTCACTGCATTCAATACCACATTCCACTCACCTCTTCGAACACCTTCGGATAGAGACAGTAAGAAGACACGTCAGCGTCAGTGATATGCTTGCCGTATTTAGCTACAAGCTCCTTCTTTACAGCAGGCAAATTGACCGGCATCATTCCCACACCCGGTCTACCGTCAATACGTGGTTTGTCACGGATAATCTTTGTTCTGAGCGGCTCTGGGAATCCACCGACAGGCTGACCGAGGTAACCTTGGAAGAACTCTATGACAGAGTTAGGGAAGTCGAGCTTATCAGCGCGCTCTTCGATGTCTTGCTTCGACAATTGACTCGAGACCATGAATTGTGCAAGGTCTCCAACGACCTTGGACGATGGAGTAACTTTGACGATGTTTCCACATAGCTCGTTTGCCTCGATGTACTTCTGCTTGATCTCAGTCCACTGTGTTCCCAAGCCGAGCTGCTGCGCCTGGAACATGAGGTTGGTGTACTGTCCACCCGGCATCTCGTGGTCGAACACTCCCGAGTCAGAAGAGCGCACGTTAGCTTCGAAGCATTGGTACAGAATGCGACACTGCGTCCAGTACAGGTTGAGAGCTTGAATGTCATCGTGGCGGATACCAGCACCGAGACCAGTCTGCTCGAGCGCAGACACAACTGCTCCCATTGATGGCTGTGAAGTAAGCCCGGACATGCTGTCGATGGCGACATCAACAACATCTGCACCTGCCTGTGCACACGCGAGCATAGAAGCTGCTGAAATACCGGCAGTGTCGTGCGAGTGGACGTGGATTGGCAGCTCTGGGAAGCGTTGACGGAGTGCGCCGATCAACTTTGTAGCAGCGTGCGGTTTGAGCAAGCCTGCCATATCCTTGATACCGAGGACGTGGATTCCGCAGTCTACCAACTCTTGGACAAAGTTAATGTAGTATTCGAGCGTGTACTTTTTCTCCTTTTCAGAAGCCACATCACCCGTGTAACACACAGTAGCTTCAACCACACCGCCCGCTTTCTTCGCAGCGTCAATACCCAGTTTCATGTTTTCAATATAGTTGAGCGAGTCGAATACGCGGAAAATATCGAGTCCGTTTTCTACAGCCTTCTTGCTAAAGTCGTAGATAACGTTGTCGGGGTATGACGTGTAGCCGACACCGTTAGCACCGCGCACCAGTGCCTGGAAGGGAACGTTAGGGACGAGTTTACGCAATGTGCGCAGTCTAGCCCAAGGATCTTCGTAGAGGAAACGCATAGCAACATCAAAAGTAGCACCACCCCAGCATTCCAAGGAATATGCGTTGCTTAATGCATGTGAGGTCTCCTTTGCAATGTTCGCCATATCGACAGTACGCAGACGCGTAGCGAGGAGCGATTGGTGGGCGTCTCTCCACGTGGTGTCCATAATAAGACATCCTTTGTAGTCTCTTATGGCCTTGGCGAAGCCCTCTGGACCCTTGTCAAGGATTACGTTACGCCATCCCTTCTCGCACGGCTCAGAAGTATCAAGAGGCTTGTTGCTGCCGTCGCGCGATGGGAGCTGAGGCACGACAATTTCCGATTTGAGACCCGGTTCGCCTACTTGTCCCTTTATTGAGGATCCATTGACAACAACATCTCCGAGGTATGTCAGCAGCTTTTGCGCTCTGTTCTGCGATGTTACCAGCTTGAAGAGCTCAGGGCTGTCGTCGATAAAGGTGGTCCAGGTGTTACCAGCAACAAAGATTTCATGGGTGAGCAAACGGAACAGGAAGGGAATGTTTGTCTTGACACCGCGGATGCGGAACTCTACGAGAGCGCGGAGCATCTTGCGGCGGGCGAGATCGTACGATTGGCCTCTTACTGAAACCTTGACTAGGAGAGAGTCGTAGTGTGGAGTGATGACTGCACCTGCATAGCCATTTGAGGCATCCAATCTAATACCGTTACCACCGGCGGATCTGTATACCTCAATTCTGCCGGTATCTGGAGCAAAGCCTACTGAGGGGTCTTCGGTGGTGATTCTGCATTGAATTGCCGAGCCGCGCTTGGTGATGTTTTCTTGCAGAAGACCTAACTGAGTGAGTGAAGCACCAGTAGCGATTTGGATCTGCGCAGCGACAATGTCGATACCGGTGATTTCCTCTGTGATAGTATGTTCGACTTGAATACGTGGGTTTATTTCAATAAAGTAGTGTCTGCCCATCCGATCGACCAAGACTGTTTCTGTGTTAGATTGTGCGTCTCAGAGGGATATAAAAAACACCCACACTCTGCGGTACCAGCGTTGCGATAACCGATAGCCCTAGCGAGAGTCTTTGCATCGTTGAGGATGGAGTCGCGGACTTCATCTGAAAGGTTTGGAGCAGGAGCGATCTCTACGACCTTTTGGTGACGACGCTGAACAGAGCAGTCACGTTCGAACAAGTGAATAACATTACCATGGCTGTCTGCAAGTAGCTGAACCTCGATGTGACGTGGGTGATCTAGGAATCTCTCGACAAAGACAGTACCATCGCCGAACGCCGATGTAGCTTCAGAGACAGCTCTGCCGAAAGCCTCCTTGAATTCACCTTGAGATCTGACAACACGCATACCACGGCCACCACCGCCCATAGCAGCCTTAATGATGACTGGAAATCCATATTCTTGGATGAAGTCGTTTGCTTGGTCGTAAGAGTCGATTGGGCCTTTAGTTCCAGGAACGACAGGGACGTTGTTGTTCATAGCGAGAGTGCGTGCCTTGGTCTGTGGAGGAGTGTATTAGTGGGGTGTTTGAGCGTAAAATGAGGAAAACAGGTAAACCAACCTTATCTCCGAGACCATCGATGGCTTCCGGAGTAGGACCAACAAAAGTGATGCCATTTTCAAAGCACTTTCTTGCGAAATCTGCATTTTCAGACAAGAAACCGTATCCAGGGTGTATCAAGTCGACGCAGTGGTCTTTGGCGATTCTGATGATGTCATCTTGGTCGAGGTACGCGGATACGGGTGGTTTGCCAGCACCAACTTGATAGGCCTCGTCTGACTTGTAGCGGTGGGAGGATAATCTGTCTTCGTGGGAGTAGATGGACACTGTTTGCATCGATAGTTCGTGTACAGATCTTATGATTCTCACAGCAATTTCGCCTCTGTTTGCTATCAAGAGACGCTTGCCCTGGAGTGGCTGTCCAGATTTGGTGCGGATGTCGTGGATGGACGTCGGACCCGGTGTGGAAGGCACCGAGGATGATTCTCTGAACTCAGCAGCGAATTGAGAATGTGCGTTTGGGTTCATTGGTGTTTTGGTTTGATGATGATGGTTAGAGATCAAGATGTGCGAGAATGGAATGTTGAGTATTTAATGCCGAGAGATGTGCTGTGACAATCCGTTGCAGTGGATTTAATTGGGGAGAGCGACACGTGCACAAATACAAGCGAGCAAATACTCAGCAAATACGCTGCTCTATAAAGCCATCTTACAATCCATCTTGTCTTATCTATTTGATTCTATATTTCGCTGAAATATTTCCAGTTTTAAGACGATTTGTGCGGTGTTCGCGGGGTATTTGTACATGACTCTTATGTAATTTCCACAAATCTCCGCCCTCTCTATGGCCTACATTATCGCACTTTTATTCCGGCGGTTCAATTCCGCATATCCACAAACGACCACAAAACGCGGAGTCAGCTTACATAAACCCAATTGAAGCTTTTCATTTATGCTACTAGCACATTCATTTTCTTAACCGTCTTTGGCAGGTGTTAATCTCGCCGGAGAAGACCGAAGAATTATCATTATCTCGGTTGAATATTAAATTGCGAGGATGCGGCGGACGATAAGAATGAGGAGCCCGAAGACTGAAAACGCTGAAACAAGTAAGGAGCGGTCACATTCCCGTGTTGTGATGATAAAAAGCGGCGAATGCCCCTTATCAGTGATGACGTAGATACCTTTAATTCCACTTGTCCAAAGTACCAAAGTACTGCATCTTGCCCTATGGCCTGTTTCGAACTTATTTCACCTCTTTGTACCTTTCACTGCACTATCATGCATGTAAGCCCAACCAGCTTCAAATCTTCAATATTTCTCCGAGTCGATGCAGCTATCTCATTTTGATGGATGATTGATAGAAATTTTTAAAAAATATCTGAATGTAATAACTTGTTGCCTTTTAATAACAGTATTATAGTAATACGCAAGTTCACATCCCGTCTTAGATCTCATTTGGAAAGTGAAAAGTGAAAATTAGCACATATCCAAGATACTCGCTCATGTGCTATTAAGACAGCTGCTCCTATTAGAGGCACCTATACGTATTTTTGGTCTTTCGAAGATCCTCTTTGTCTTTCAAAAGCTGCTTGATGGGTTCCTTTGCCGGAAAGTGAGGGGTAGCATAGCGAATTTTGAAGGTCTTTGGGGTCTTAGCAGGGGTTCTGATATCTTTCAACACCTGAACGTTAGTTTGAGCGTCGTTATCATCGTAATCTTCGTTGTCGTCGTCATCGCATTCGGCATCCATTTCACCCACACTATCTACATTCGTTACCGCCTCAATAAGCGATAAGCGTCTCGCTTCATTGTCAAATCTCTCCAAAAACACCAATAGCACCCCTCACTCTCTGCGGCTATCTCACTCATTTCATCTGTATATGAGATTGTTGGCAATATCATACATATGAAGTTGACTAAAGAGGTTTTCGTATCCCGAAAGACGCTCTTCAAGCTCTTGCACACGTTGGCGAAGGCATGTGTACATGTGAGGATGAGGCCGAGACGAGTTTGCGAGTGTATGGGAGGAGGTTTGCAGGGCCTCCTCTGGCGTCGACTCACGCTCCCCTTTGGATGGAGCTTGTTGAGTTTCTTGTAGTTTTGGTGATAGTTTGACTATCTCGAATGTCTCATGTGCGTTGCTGTGTTGATTATTGCGGGTGTCTTGCATTTTTTCATCGACTTCTTCTTCGACGTGATCAATGTTGTTGATGGCCAACTCAAAGTTTTCAGAATCCTCAGCATGCTCAGGCCTCTCAGCATTCTCATCCTCGGAATAACTAACATCGATAGCGAGAAAGAGTGGGAGCCCTACCTGCGATTATAGCGCCACCATCATCAGTCTTATGGGCTATTGGACAAGTGGTGGCAGTCGAATTCTTCAGATTGCGCACGAACGATGTTCGATTGGTAATACTGCGCTTTTGAGGCACGTTTGTGGCTGGTCTTCCCCTTTCTTTGTCTGTTTGTGGTGTGCGATGGGTGGTTGTGGCGGGAGCACTGACGCAGCTATCTGCACCCCGGGTGCTCTCTCGTAAGTAAATTATGAACAAAACTCTACTAACTTTGCGGGGTTCCATTGGTGTTTGGTTTGCGCTCGTGTGTTGATGTGATGATATCGATTGCTAGTCGAAACGATAGGAAGGGAATGAACAAATGTAATTGGTAAACATAATTCAGCTCAAAATACAACATATTTAAAGATATAATGAATTACGCAGCTTCAAAAAACATATTTGGCAAATTGCTTCGTGGAGTCTTCGGCGTCTTTAACGGATCTTGTTTGTGACTTGGTATTGGTGCAGTGCTTATCGTTTCAAGCTCTTCTTCGGGGTCTGATGGGATATTGCAGACGGCATTGGCAGTTGACGGTCCAGCTTCACAATTTGTAATGCAATTGGTGTGCTGATTGGCGTGCTCAGCATCTTGGTTACTGGTGTGCTTATTATCGCTATCCCCCTCTGCTTCTCTTTCTGCCGATGCGAAGCTTCGCCAGTCTCCTCAACATTTAAGCTAGGGACGGACTAAACTACTGACGATAACGACTACCCTTTTTGCCCTCTTGAAAATACCCTTACGATGTTTGTTTTCTTTGACATACGACTTGTCACTATCCTTCTCGTTCGCACCACTCTCACATTCCCTTAACATTTCTAAAATATCCTCGATACACTTCGTCGCAATCATCTCACCCTCTACAAATGTCTGAAGATGAGCTATGCGAGCGCTGAAATTGATATCGAGCATTTTCACGCTTTTGCTCAGTGGCAAGAGATTATCAGCAACGAAGCCTCTAGAAGCCTTGTTGTTTACCATTGATGCTGTACATTGCTTCAGATGCTCCCGCTAGTCCTCAAGTTTAGCAATAGCCGGGGAAGCTGTGTCTCTTAAACTAGTCAAAGCGCCCTGCTCGCCAGTGTCAAGACTCTCAGCTTTCTCAGCACTTCCGCCACTTAATAGCTCACCTTACCACTTCCTTTGCTCCCTCTCTGTCTTCTCAATCTATAGCGCTTCCACGCGTATTTTGAGATGGTTGAGCATTTGGTGCAGAGCTGCTGTGTCTAAGCCTTGGGTATGTAGATAATCAGGCGAGGATGTTTGCGCTCTTTTGCGCCCTGCCAACTTGTGGTCATGCCCTTCAAAGCCGTCCAGCGAGATTATGGTTTGCGCAATTGTATCTGGAGGAGTGGCAGAATGCGTCGAGGGCGTCAAGTGTAAAGGATTCTGAGCCAGGAATTCTAGATGAACATTTTCGTCTATAGTATCTCCCGTAGGCATCAGCAAGCGATCGAATATGCCGAGTGGAGGTGTAGAGGAGAATATAAAGTGTGATGTGCAGGGCTGCGTCATTGGGAAGATATTGAGCGATGGTGAATCCTTTGCGTCGTCACTGCTGTGTGCTGACATGCGTATATCGGATGCAATGGTGGCAGTTGAGGCTAAGGACATCGTAGAGATGTCGCGCTAGATTGCGCTACAGCCACCTGCTGGCGTTAGATTTGAGAGATTAAAGAAATTGACTTGTTGATTATCGAAGGATGTTGCTATTTAGCCCAAGTCTTACACGCCGACAAATTCAATATTCTTTGACGTGCAGCGCTAGTGCCATTCTCCTGACAACCAGCTGTGCTGGTCAATGAGCTCATTTAGATTGTACCGACGAATAGCGCAACCTGCGACCACCACTGACAACCTGTGACAAGTGACGTCTGGTACGGAGCTCAGTCTAATCACGCTGCGCAGCTGTATAATCTCGATAGACAGCTCGTCATTGACGCAGGTACTCAGATTAAATCTCTTAGCGATGCACAGCGTGAGTAGACTGCACGGCTAGGCGTGGGCTGGAGGAGAGTGATTCAGGATAGCTGGTACAGCTGGGCTAGATGGGTGATGCAGTGCACTCAGCGCTGTCAAAAGTTTTAAATGGCGCATTTAGCAATTCTATCGCAATCACATCACCCGGAAGACTTGAAAGCCTTGAAAGCCTTGAGAGTAATAGGATTTGTCCAAGTAAGCCTCTTTCGTTGGCATCTGTGAATCGGTGCACGACTCTAGCCATAAGCTCATGACGTCAAATTTTCCGAGCCCCAAAAACGGAAGGAGAGGCATTGAAGTAAGAGCAGGCTATTCAAATACACAAGCACTTTCATCCCTCAGGACATTACGTAATCACGAAAACTGTTAACGATTGTGTGCTGACAAAGTAGATGACGTGCTGAGTCTTAGGTGAAATGAATTCGGGAGTTTGACTTGATCCGTGTCCGCTAACATCAAAAATAAAGTCAAACTATCAAATCATTCGGGATGAATGCTAAAATCGACAAATTCCTTCAGAAGCTCGGCATTGAGCGGCCTGAGGGTGAGCACGATCGTGTGACTCGCGGGGAGTCCATAGCCAGCAATGTGCGTGCTGCTGACTTTCTGTATTTCTCCAGCTCACTCCCCCTCCCAGTTCGCTGACCCCTTCGTCGAGCCCGATCCAACCGTCGGCGAGTGGTTCCAGGAAAAATTACCAAATCGCCACGAATTCGGCCAGTACTGCTTGGATCTCCTACCTTTCCTCCGCTGGGTGCACAGATACAACCTCCAGTGGCTTATCGGCGATCTTATTGCTGGTATCACCGTCGGCGCTGTCGTCGTTCCACAGGGTATGGCCTACGCTGAACTCGCAGGCCTTGAACCCCAATTCGGTCTTTATTCGTCTTTCGTTGGTGTCATCGTCTACTGGTTCTTTGCCACATCTAAAGATATCACTATCGGTCCAGTCGCTGTCATGTCTACCCTTGTTGGAGAGATCCTCCAAGAACTCAGCCCCAAGTTCCCTGATATTCCTGACTACAAGATCGCCGGGAGCTTAGCAGTCATCACCGGAGCTATAGTCTTTTTCATGGGTCTAATTAGAGTCGGATGGATAGTCGACTTTATTCCCCTCCCTGCGATCGCTGCATTCATGACTGGATCGTCCATTACCATCATTGCTGGCCAGGTTCCTTCTCTGCTCGGTAACAAGGATGCAGGCTTTGACACGAATGGGGCGACGTACATGACGATAATCAAGACACTCAAGCATCTCCCAGAAAGTAATATCAACGCTGCTATGGGTGTCACCTCACTCTTTCTCCTTTACCTTCTCAGAGAGACATGCACTTACTGCGCTAAGAGATGGCCTAACAAGAAGAAAATATGGTTTTTCGCCAACACACTGCGCACCGTCTTTGTCATCCTCCTCTACACACTCATCAGCTGGCTTGTGAACAGACACCGCCGCGGTGTCGATGGACAGTCTGAACCACTCTTCGACCTCATTGGAACCGTACCCAGGGGTTTCAAAAACATGAATGTCCCCACTATGAACGCAGATGTGATCAGGAATTATGTTGGCCACCTTCCTGGAGCTGTTATTGTCCTGCTTATCGAGCACATTGCCATATCAAAGTCATTTGGTAGGGTTAACAACTACACCATCAACCCATCGCAAGAGCTAATTGCGATTGGTGTGACAAACTTGATCGGGCCGTTTTTTGGTGCATATCCAGCAACAGGATCCTTTTCGCGCACAGCTATCAAGTCTAAGGCGGGTGTGAGAACACCATTCGCTGGTGTCATCACTGGTGTTCTCATCCTGCTCGCAATCTACGCATTGACTGCAGTCTTCTTCTACATCAGTAAAGCGGTTTTGGCAGCGGTCATTATCCATGCCGTCGGTGATCTTATCTTGCCTATTGGCCAGCTTTATGCTTTCTGGAAAGTGTCACCACTTGACGCACTGATCTTTGTCGGTGGTGTGATAATCATTATCTTTACATCCATCGAAATAGGTATCTAGTAGGTGCCAAATCGGTTACCTTTTCACCCCGCTAACCTCGGACAGTGTAACTGTCTGTGTGAGTGCAGCAGTGCTCCTCTTTAGGATTGCAAAAGCCCATGGAGAATTTTTGGGCCGCATCAAAGTGCAGACGATAAATGGTAAGGACCAGCGCAATATCTGGCTACCAGAAAACCATCAGGACGGGTCTAACCCGCTACTGAGCGTGCAATCACCATATCCCGGAGTATTTGTTTACCGATTTACCGAATCTTTCATTTACGCAAACGCCAATCACTACACGGATGAGGTAGTTGACTACATCAAGCGTGCGACGCGCAAGACACATGTGGATGTATTTGCCAAAGCGGGTGACCGACCATGGAATGACCCAGGACCACGCAAGTTCAACCCTGACACAATTGCAGAAGATACACGACCCACGCTCAAGGCAATAATATTCGATATGTCGTCTGTGACACACGTGGATGTGACGTCGACACAGGTGCTTGTCGATGTAAAAAACCAACTAGATAGATGGGCAAGTCCTGACACCGTTCAATGGCATTTTGCAGGTATTAGAGATAGATGGATAAAGCGAGCACTCGCTGCAATCAAGATGCACGAGACGACGAGTGTAAAAGCTAAGCCTTTGTTCAGCGTTGCGGAAGTTGGACAGTTTTCGTCGGAAAATGATGCCACGGTAAATAATGAAGGTCAGGGTCCGATTCCGACTCAAAAGGAGGATATAGAGACGGGAATTAATGTGGAGAGGCAGCAGCAACAAGATGAGCAGGAACAGCAGGAGGCAGAGAACGCTGGACGGAATAGCTATAGCTATCATAGATACCTGCCCGTGTTGGGTGTCGATAGAGCTTTCCACCCAGATGTAGACTCGGCCGTGAGAGCTGTGATTGATACGCTCGAGCAGGATCGCATCGAGCAGGAGGAACATAAGAGCAGCTCTGACTTGGCATCGTGAGAGAAGAAGCATCTTGGATTATGAAGCCTTTTGCATCTCGCAGCTGTATAATTACGTCGAATTTTTCAAGTATCATTGTTTGTATTATTATACCATATATTTGGCATTTCACATGTATAAGGGTGTATTAGGGTGTCTACCAAGTTATACGCGATCGCCTGCTTTACGAAGGGGCAAGTATGATATCATATTCCTATTCACAATACCGACGGACAAATTAAGATTAAGGTTTGGACGTTGATGTTAGATTTAACGTTCGACGTGGTATTAGAGGTGATGAGCTATACTCGGTGATGCTGATTATGTCATTAGATCTGCATCTGGTAATGAATTACAGCGGATTTACTAGAATTGCAGCGCACAGCGGTGGCAGGTACAGGTGACACTATAGAGATGAGCATAGATGAGCATAGATGAGCATAGATGAGCACAGTGGAGCAAAGTTGAGCAGTGTTAAGCAAGGGATGCCTTCTAAAGTCATGTCAAGTGCTGCAGTTCATGCGTGTCGACTCCATCAAATTCATACAGCGAGCACATATTGCTTCGCATTTCTAGCGTCGCGGTTGTTATTCGGAGTAAAGACGTTTAATCTGAAAGACGGACTATGCGATCGATCGATGGGATGAACAACACATCTCATATGTGTGAGCGCGGTCTTTGCGTTGTGAGATGCATAAATGCACGTAATCAACGCAAGCCTTCCACCGAGGCGGTGAGGCTGTCCTAAGCACTTAGACATAGAGCAGTGTCTTCATTATCGACTCGGCACTTAAATCATTATACCAACAATCTCACATGCATCGTGAGTTGGTCGTGAGTCGAGACTTGTAATGGCGGGAGTTGTGAGAGACAAGTCGTACCTTAGTCCCGGGCGTCTAAATGTTTAAACGATGAGGACTGCTCACAAGACACCACTGAAAGCTATGACCTGTGGGCTGCATAAGGAATGGATCAATACTAAGCCAAAGTACCTGTTACTCTACTCTTTTCGAATGGAGCGAATTTATTTGCTTTGAAATTTTTTTCAGGTTACCCGATGACAGTTTCACGAGGACCGCATATTTGTGTCGCAAAAGAGGACTTCTAGGCTCGGCCGACGAGTTGTGAATCACCTCTACTTGTGCACAAACTGAATTTATCCATCAACACATTCGGCTCGTCTGATTCAAGGCTTTAGCGGTGTCTTGGGAACTGTTTTAAACGGCCACTTTAAACTATGTTTCATATACCGATGGCTACTTTAAATTCACATCACACTGTACTCACAATACGCCGCGGTCGTCCGCATCCTGGCACCAGGATTAATTATATGTGACTTAAAAAAAAGGTGACTTTTCCTGTAACTGAGCCCGAGCAGTGCATAAACATTACGTGACGGTAAATTAAGTGAGTAATTGAGTATTACATGAGTATTACGTAAGGAGTATATGGGAGAATTTCGTTAAAACAAATGCATAAAACGAGGTTAAGACTGTCTATACTTGAATACACGAATAAGTACAAAGTTCCTTCGGCAATCTTGTTTCTAGTTTCTAGTTTCTATTGCGTCATAAGTCACAGAGAGCGTTGATAGATGTGCGTATGCGCTGAGGATGAGCGGGTCTAGTAGGTGCATTAGAAAGAGTACTCGATTGAGAATGAGAGCGAGACAGGTAGAGGTCAGACTGAGAAGTATTAGAAGTGGACAAGACGGAGCTTTTGCTATTGCTGATACCACTTCCACTACCAGTAATATTGCTACCACTCCCACTCCCCTCTTTCCCCATCATAGGCGGCAGTGGAGACGGCAAAGTTGGTACAGCGTTCACCTGATGAGACACATACAGCTCTGCCAACACACTCCTACCCTTTTCCAGCCACCTAATTGAGAGAGTACTAGCGAAATACTGGCCATGTATATCAACCACGTTGATTTTCTCCACAGGCAGCGCGTCATCGAGTGCAAGCTTGGCCTGCAGGTTCGCCAGCCGCGGAGTGTGGAAGACGGAGGTAATGTCCTGCAAGCTGGGCAATCGTGTGGATGGGCAGGCGAAGAAAGCGTTGTAAGCGTTTTGTGTTATGTCCATTGTCGTGGAGAGGTCTGGTGTGACGACCATGCGAATGGTGTTGTGTTGGTTGTGCGGAGGCTGTACTGATTGTACTAGAAGTGGAGACTCTGTAACGTTGTTAATATTATGCGGTGCTGCCGGTGGTCCTGGTGGTCCTGATGATGATGATGCTTTTGCTCTTGCTCTTGATCTTGATCTTGCTTCTGCTTCTGCTTCCGCTTCGGCATTTGCTTTTGCCTCCGCACCTGCAGTTGCACCCATTTCAACACCCGCTTCCCCTTCTGGGAATGGCCTGTGGGAGAAAAGCGGAGTGGATTGCATCTTGTCATGCTTGCCTGGCCGGCCTCTTCTTCTATGCTGTAAGGGTGTGAGATAGCTTATACTCAGAACGCATCGACTCACTTCAACGGTTATGCAGCTCTCTTCTATATCTTTCCGGGAGCAGTTGTGGCATGGCCGGTAATTATCGCAGCTGCTGTGGGAGATCTGACAAGGTCTACAGGCGTAAATTGCCATTAATCGATTTTAAAATGTAGGGCGGTATTTTTGATTGTCTTGGGGAAACCCAGAAAAGTGCGATGTCAATAACACCGTGCCGAAGAAACTAGGGCGCAGATTTCGGCAACGATTGGGGTTAGGGCAAGTAAGCGTAGGACTGCAAGTGCAGGCGGATTTATTGGGCTGTAACTTATATTGTACTGGTTATAACACCCAATATTTCCACTTGTACCTTGTCAGCTTTGATCGCTTCGACGTGCTTACCTCAAATACCACTAGAGCTGTGAATATGGCTGGTGGAAATAATTCCCGACATACACTCATAAAAATCCCCTCACCTACTCCTCACACCATCCAGTTTAATTAAAACGAGCCCCTCGTTTCACTCGCATAAGTTCCACCAAAACGGCGACCAAGCATGTCTTTCACCGAGAAAGTAAAGGATTTTGAGCAGTTCCATAAGAGCAAGACGGTAAGAGTGGTGCAGGGGAGTGTCGGTGGTAGGCGTGAGTATATGAGTCATGTGCGAGTCGTTTGGTGTAACTAACGGCGTTATCTGCTCATCTTCTCAGCCACAAGAATGCTTCTCGATAAGGACTATAGCGGTGTATATATGAGCAGGGAACATGCATTGAAGCAGAGTTATATCAGCAAATCGACAAGTGGGTAATGAGTTGGGTGAATTCGTCGCTAACAAATTTTTAATAATTAGTACCCGGATCTTACGGATATCTGGGGGTGCGTATGTGTATATGTATCAGATTAGCCACTAAAACCGACTTAACAGCTCATAAACATTGGTGAGATCACAATCGAGGTGGCTGGGAAGAAGGTGTTATTACCAGTGTTTTTAAGTGAGTTGACAAAGACGCAAGAGACATTAGATGGTAGTAAGTGGGATGTTATACTAGGCAGATCATTCTTCGAGAAGCGCAAAGCCAAGTTGGATAGCTTCGACAAGAGGATTGTTACTTTCGGAGACGACAACGATAAAATGATTGAATGTGGATTGGTACAATTGAAAGAAAGTCCAATTTGATTCTACTCTGGCTGCTTTAATTACTCTGTTGCAGTTCAACCTTACCAAATCTTCTACTTGTACCGAGTGCTTCTACATCTCTTGGAAGCTGTTCAGTCTCATTTAAAACGACGCCAATCATCTTTCTAACTTTGTACTGATTACGGTGGTCAAATTGTCCATTTCCCGGTGGTGTGTGTCCGTCCAACACCTTTCGAGGCTGCTTGTAGTACCTTACCCAGCCAGGTTCAAGGGCGAAGAGTGTGTGATCGCGGCCGATGCCTACATGCTGTCCAGGATGCCAAACAGTACCTCTCTGTCTGATGAGAATGTTTCCAGGGATGACGAATTCGCCTGTGTATTGGGTAAGTGGGTGTTTAGAACGCGTTAATAGGCCGCCTTACCACCGTATTTCTTCGGGCCAAGGCGTTTACCTGCGGTCTTCTTGTTATTTTTGGAAGAACCACCACCACGCTTTGTAGACGTTCTAATTTGAATTAAGCCTGTTATGGAGTTGAATACACTTGGTATGCTATCAGATTTAAGGGGAGATTTAAGTAAATTGAGCATGATAGGAGGTGTGGTGGGAGAGAACTAAGAGGCTAGAGAAAGAGGCTAGAAAGGGGCTTGAAAGGGGCTTGAAAGGAGCTTGAAATGGGATCGTGATATAGCTTTGTAATACCATGTATAAATGATTTACGTATTATACTTTATATCCCAAGCTTACAAGTCGTTTATGTCAAAATGCGTATCTTTAATAGCCGTGGGAGCGTGCATATCACGCGTATAAATGTGGTGTGTATGATAACTTAATTGTAGTTGGTTAGAAGATATTTACTCAGTACTTGCATACAGTCGACTGATTGTCCCCAGCGTCTCTTGAACCAGAACTGCTAACAACATGGCACAACCACCAACGAAAGTAATTCTGCTCACTTCAGACAACGAGGAATTCCAAGTCGACAAGGACATCGCTGAGAGGTCTGTACTGATCAAGAATATGCTTGAGGGTGAGTATCGCTTTGTTTGTGTGGATATATCATAACACTGGGTAGACATTGGTGAAAGCGAACACCCAATCCCGCTCCCAAACGTAACCTCAAACGTCTTCAAGAAGGTCCTTGAGTACTGTGACCACCACAGAAACGATCCACTCCCTTCCACAGACGACAACTCGGACGAACAGCGCAAACGTACAACCGATATTAACGAATGGGATCAGAAATTCATCCAGGTCGATCAGGAGATGCTCTTTGAAATCATCCTCGCTGCCAACTACTTAGACATTAAGCCATTGCTCGACGTTGGCTGCAAAACAGTCGCTAACATGATCAAGGGCAAAACCCCTGAAGAGATCCGCAAGTTATTCAACATACAAAATGACTTTACTCCAGAAGAAGAGGCGCAGATTCGCAAGGAAAATGAATGGGCTGAAGATCGTTGAACGCTATAAGTTTATTTCAAACTGCTGTACATTTACAATTTCTTTATGTCTTGAGCGCAGTCTGTTGTGTGTTGTGTTGTGTACACGCATTATAATGCTTCAACTTATGACACAATCTACACCAAAAATTCTGTCAATTGCAGGTTCTGATAGTGGTGTGTGCGGTGTTCTAGTGGTGTCCATATTACTCACTCCCCAATCAATTTACAGGCGGTGGTGCTGGTATCCAAGTGGGTGTGATTGGCTTTACAGGCCCTTAGATCTTACAGTGCCATTCGCAGGCAGACATAAAGACATTCACTGCACTCCACTGCTATGGAATGTCAGCTCTCACCGCGCTCACGTCGCAGAACACGCTTGGTGTGCATCAAGTGCATGCCGTTCCCGTAGACTTCATAACGAGCCAGGTGGGTGATAGCGGGGATTTGTGATGAGTATTGCTCACCTCAAACTACTCAGATACGCCATGTCATCACCGACCTCGGCGTGGATGCGTTGAAAACGGGTATGTTGTACAGCAAGGAGGTGATAGAGGGGGTAGTAGACACGCTGCAGGAGCTGAGCGTGCGTGCGCCTCTCGTCGTCGATCCAGTCATGGTCAGCACCTCAGGGCACAGGCTTCTCAATCAAGACGCGTTGACGGCACTCCAAGGCAAACTCCTTCCTAAAACCACCCTCTGCACACCCAACATACCGGAAGCTGAGCTGCTCACCGGCAGAAGCATTGCGAGTGTGCGCGATATGCTCTCCGCTGCTACTCGCCTTAACTCGGTTAACACACTCGTCAAAGGTGGCCACCTTACTTTCTCCGTGGATGAGGTGCAGAGGGCCATTGCAGAGGTCAGAAGGGGTGATTTTGGTGATGTTGGTGATGTCACTAATCCCACTAATGTCACTGTACATGGTGAGACATTTGCTGCTGCTGCGACCAACAACGATAGTACAAATACTGCCACTGCATACGTTCTCGACACATATGCGCAGCTGCGAGGCAACCCAAGCACCCAAGGCACGCACAAGAGTGGGGAAGAGCGCCTCGTTGTCGATATACTCTACCAGCGTCCGCAGGGCCACTTGGACATATTCATCCACCCGTTCGTTTCATCTACCAGTACGCACGGCACTGGCTGCACTCTCTCTGCCGCCCTAGCTGCGTATCTCGGCGGGAGTAGGAGTGGTAGCAGCCGCGACACAAGCGCTTGCACTCGCATGACCATGGCCGAAGCAGTACAGGCCGCGCTAACATACACGCGTCTCGGCATAGAGCACAGTGAGGGGCTAGGCGCGGGGAATGGGCCGTTGAACCACATGCATTCAATGCACAGAGGTACACACATAACAACCCCACTCACACCACGCACAACGCGCCAACCAACCCCTCTCACGACGCATCTGATCACCACAGCCGGTGTGTGGTGGGACACGTACATAGCGCACCCTTTCGTGCACCAGCTCGCAACGGGAACGCTCCCATCGTCATCTTTCCGCCACTACATAGCCCAGGATTACATCTACCTCCTGCATTACGCCCGCATACACAGTCTGGCAGGGTACAAGAGTCGCTCGATGGGTGATCTCGAAGCGTTTGCTCGCATCACCAGCCAAATCGTACAGGAGAGCGCTATGCATAGAGACTACTGCAGGGAGTGGGGTGTAGACGAGAAGACGCTGATGAGCACACCGGAATCGGCGCAGAATATCGCTTATACACGCTATCTAGCGGATGTCGGCCATTCAGGTTCCCTGCTTGACCTCGTCGTCGCCGTAGCTAGCTGTCTCCTCGGCTATGGCGAGATAGGCAGACGGTTGAAGACGTCAGCCAACACTGGCTGCCCTATCTCCCCTGGTGTCGTTTGCATTAAGGATAACAACCCTTATTGGAAGTGGGTGGGCTTTTTCGTTGGTTTTACTCACGTACTCACCTTTTCGCCATATCTCTCACAGATGGATCGAAGATTACGCCTCAGACGACTTCCAAGCAGCCGTCTTTGACGGAATTGATATGCTCGAGAGGATGGCAGAAGAGGATCACCTCGGCGCGGACCATCTCGCTCACCTCTCCAATATTTTCACGACTTGTTGCAAACTCGAGTGTGGTTTCTGGGATATGGGTTTGCACAGGTTGTGAGTATGAGTGCATGTCAAGTGAGATGGTTTGTCAAATCAGCTTTTGAATGCTTTTGGTATGATGCATTTTGTATACAAGTTTTTATCAGATTGGCCTGTGAGTTGGGAGAAATGCTTGAGTATGGTGTGTGGTTAGTGTTTGTGTGTGTGTTTTGTGTGTTGAAACAGTTGTTTAACGCTGTGTATTGTGAATAGTCAGTGTTGAAGAGTAAGAACAATGCAGATGAGTGGGGGACTGGGGTGCTAGTGAAATTGAGAGTGAAATTGAAAATTGAGGAGATTGAAATTGATGAGTTTGTGTTATGTTTTTGTGATTTCCAAGAAAAAAAAACCCCGTTTACTCACTCACCCATTCCTATCACCTGCTTCTTTTCAAGTTTGGGTGTTGCCTCCAGATCGAAATAGTCATGCTCCAGGCTATCACGATGACGATCGCTGCGATGATGCTGGGTAGATATAGCTAATTTGTTGGTGTGATGCTGGTCCCACGACCAATCAGCCCACTCCTCGCAACCCGGCCCAATAGTGTCATCGCTCTGCTCCTGTTTGAGAGGAGGAAGAGTCCTGATGCAAGACTGCGATGATCGCGATGAGTGGGAGGATTTTGACTTTGATTTTGACTTTGACTTTGACCTCGCTGATCTGGTTGGATTGGGGCTGAGGCGAGATAATCTCCTCGAATCGCTGTGGTCATCGCGCGAGCTACTCCGTGTAGCTGATCTGCCTCGGCGATCGGTAAGATCAGTGTCCGTCGCTTGCTCACTCTGCCCATCGTCCCTATGCCATCTATTACCCCTCACATTGCCCACACGACCACTGCTATACATAGCCTGCGAATTACCATGAGATTTGCTTCTTGTGCGATTGTGTGTTTGGTGGTTAGTGGAAGACTGCGTCGGACTGCCATCACCGAAACAGCCATTCAAGAAGCTAGAAATGGGAGTCTGACTGGTACTCAAGCTCAAGCTCATACTCATGCTAACGGGGGAGGTGGAGGGATTGGTGTGCCTGTGGTTTTGCTTTTTGAGATTATCGATGGCGGATGAGTGAGAGTGTGGCGGGTGGATTGTGCCTGCAACGTCGCCACGTTCGGCCGGATGGTCCGTGGGTTTATAAGTGCCCGAGGAGCTGGAAACAAAGCCCCCACAACCACCACCACTAAACTGCGACTGCCTTATTACAGGATAGCTCCTTCTCCTCGATTGGTAGGACTGGTAAGGAGTCGCAGTGGAGAAGGTGGTGGGCATCGGCGCATTTTGAACGGAAGGCTTGCGGGTGAATCTAATCTCGTCGTTTAGCGCCTTGCTGCTGCCGGTGGAGCTGGTTGGGGGGAGTGAGATTGAGGGAATCGCTGGGCTGGTGAGATTGCTGGGCAGAACGCTGGGGGAAGGGCAAAGAGATGAGCTGGGTGAAGAAGTACCGTAGAACAGAGATGGTACAGCGCTGACTGCAGACATGGATGGACTCGGTGCTGGTGAGTAGCCAGTACCGTCGTCGACGTCGAATGCGGACTACGTGGGGTTTAGTGGGATTTAATTCTCAACGTTTACACCGCACTCACCTCATCAAACATGACAAATACACCGCCAGATTTATTTAATTTTTATTTCTTCGTCGTTGTGGATCAAGGATTCAGCACGCAAGGCGATCACTGAGTACCGTGGTGGTAGCCGCGCTTTTTGAGGAAATGAGGCGAAGAAAATTAAAATCGAGCAAATCACACAAATTCTAGGCCAGTTGACATCATACATGTCCAGAACTCTTTGTTTCATCTCACCGTTACAATACTTTCAATTACTCTGTACCATGTCTAATATCATAACCATATGGTTCGCTAGGCGCCCTAAACTCATTTTCATTCTTTGGCTTCCAATCCCCGTAGTCTGATGCGTGTTAGAAGTCACACGCTCGACAACTCCAACCTACGCAGTTCACTGATATCAATTGTGCCCTTGTGTGTCCATCCTGTCTCCTTGACTATGTAGAGATTGATCGTGTTGCCCGAGTATGCGTCTCTCTGAGCCTGCGTTAGTTTTAATCCTCTTGTGTTAGTCGCACACCCACGTGTCCAGCCGCGTCTGTATGCCTCAAGTCAGCCACTCCCTCCGAGCACTCCACTCCACCTACATATACTTCTCCTGCCCAGTTCCAGCGCCTCATCGTCACTTAATTCGTAGCTGTAGCCCTGGTCGAGCACACCATACGCGAATGTCGAGCCAGAGCCGACCGAAAACACATTGCCTGAGGTCCTGCTGCCGTCGCTGTCGACGTACCAGATAGCTGGGCCACCTTTGTCCCAGCCGCAGATCATAGTGCCCTGCCGAGGGTGTTAGCGCGGGTGATATTCTCGCCTTCTCCTCACCATCGACAGTCCCTTCCCTTTATATGAGTATGTGATGTTGCTGAGATACTTGCTAGCTGCTGCAACACTGATTCTCTCCTGTAGGGATTGGTGAGGTGGTGCTCGCACTGCAGCGAATGCACCCACCCTATTACGCAGCTCGTGCAAACGACACTGGATACCGAGATACGTCTCCCAGTACTGGCAATCAGCAGCGCCACCTGCCATAGTACCCAGCAAGTATGGGTTGATTTCGATAACTGGGTGTGGGTGAGTGTGTGCCCTATTGCACCCCTAAAAACACCGCCTGCTCACCCTTCTTGACGGTACCACTAGCCACATAGCTGCCTGCCGTCGCCCGAGAATCCACTGCAACGATAACACCGCCCTTGTACTTGAACGCGAGTGTCGTCGTCCCGTGGTTGATTTTGATGCGGCAGCTGGGGTCATTCTGTTCATCTGTGTACTCTCGCAGGAATCCAGTTGGCTGTGCGTGCTTGGTGTCAGCTGGAGTGAACGCGCAAGTGCTGCCGCTGCCAGCTAGCACCCACATCAGCCGTATTTGGGAGTTGAAGCGTGGGCATCCCCCCGCTGCCGCCCTCAAAGTCGTCGTGGAGGGCTGCGTCAATGCCGCGCGCGCCGTTGAGCTCGTTCGCGAATGCGTTCATCATAGTGTTGGTGAGAGATGCGATGACGCGGCGGATGCGGTGAGTGGGAGACGCAACGGGAGCTGTGGCCGGCGGGCGCGCGCCTATCGAATCTTGCAGCGCACGCCTTCACCTCTCCCGAATCCCCGTCTCCCGCTCTCGCTTCTCGCTGCAGTCACATATCTTCCACCGCGCACACAGCTCACGGAGAAAGCAAAATAGCGCTGTAAATGCGCACAGCTCACACGCAATCACCCCGTCTCCCGCCTCCAGGACACCCGCAAAAATCAAATTTTCGATTTGTGCCCGCCAGATTTTGTTGCGATCCGCCTTCGCCTTTTCCAGGACCGTAAGGAAAGGTGTGTGCAGCGTAATTTTTGATAGCGCAGCCCTCTTACAATCCCGCGCAGGTAAGCTGGCGTCGTTGCTGCTGCTGCGTTTGATCACCGCTCACCGCTCTCCAGGTAAGCTAGGGAGGTAGCGAGAAGACTCTGCTCACACAGCCAAACAGGTGAGGAGAGCATCTTCGAGCATTCCGTTGCTAACCATGCGCAGGTCGGTGTGGTTTGCGTTTCTCTCCCTCTGCTCACCGCTCTCCAGACCAGCAAGATGACTAAGGGTACCACATCTATGGGTAAGAGGCAAAGCGTCAAGTCCCACGGGATTTGTCGCCGTTGCAACGGTCGCTCATGGCACTACCAAGTGAGTTACCACGGGATTCGACGGGTTTCTACCGCTTCCCGCGACACCTAAACGCCTAATGCTGACATCCCCACCGCGCCAATCCTGCGCTAGCTGTGGATTTCCTAATGCCAAGACACGCTCTTTCAACTGGGGTGCCAAAGCTAAGAGAAGGTGCGCCTTGGTTTTGACACTCCCCGGACTTGTCTTATCACTCATCTTCCCCTCAGATCCACCACTGGTACTGGCCGCATGAGATCCCTCAAGTATGTCCCAAGACGCTTCAAGAACGGCTTCCGCGAGGGCACCACCGCTACCAAGAAGGTTTCAGCTTCTGCTTAAAGTTTTCTGCTGTAACGTCTTTCTTATCAATTGAAGCTTGTCACTCAGCTTCTCTATGCTCTTGTGTGTTTTCTGTGTGCCTCCCGCTCTCAACGTAAAAAACCCAGCGTAAAAAATATGTATGGTATATACATTGTATAGATCAGTTGAGTATGTAGTATCCTCAGCTCGCTATAGGAATTTCGGCGTCTTTATGCCTAACCTAGTAACAATGATTCCTCGCGTAACATCTTCCACGTCCATTTTAGATCCAACACGTTTGATCCATCAAATGTCCTCATCCACTATATAACCTGCTAAACAAATTGTTCATGTATGTTGGATGTTTAAAACTTTAATGAGGGCATGGTGGTGATTTTGATCCTTTGGCGAAGCTGCAAAATAGCAGCAGTGAATTGTATTCCTGTTGAGCTGGCGCAGAGTTTGACTGTATCTATCTACAAAACACAATAATCAATTATATAGTGTGCACTCACCGCCGGAATGATTCACCTGGGTCGCCACAGACTCGCCACAGAAAAGAGAATTACGAAGAAAGTGGAAAGAATTGTGGATTGTGTGTATTTGGGCTGATCTAGAAATAAGCCCTATTCAGTTCGACGGACGAATCGCGCCGCCGAACATAATATCAAGAATTAATTCCAAAGACAAGGGTACATTCGATAAGAAAAATAATTAGAAAAGTTAATTTGAAGTGGCTGAGCCAATACTAGCACAGCCATATATTAATTTTTATCCGAAACCGCTTAAATCGTTTAGACTACTTACCTTTTCTTCAATTTTCGCGAAAACAGTCGCAAACGTCGAGACTTATAAGTCATAGCAGCTAAATTTACAACTATTCTCTTCCTTTATCATGTCAGAAAGTGTGTGTGTATTATACCACTCGCCCTAAGCTCACTAGTCGTACAAAGCCAATTTCAGATCCGCGGCATCTCATTCCAAATCTCTGGTACACGGCGATAGGAAGACGGAGGTGAACCCATTCGAGAAATCATTTGGACTGCAGTTTAATCCTGGTCTCAGTGGGAGTACTGTTGCCTCAGCCGCCGCCGCCAATGTCTCCAGCGCCGCCACAAACGCCAGCAACCCGCAAATGCCTTTGTTCAGTGAGTAATTAAGTGGCGGTGTAGATAAGTATGCTTATATCGTCAATAGCACCAGGCATCAACAGCCTGCTTAAATCATTCGATGGCAGCGAAAATATGTCTTTTACCCCATTTCTAAACGATAACTATCCATCCGAACAAACATCACAGCCACAATCACAGCCACAGCCGCCGCAGCTGCAGATCGATCAAATAGCTCCCCCTTTCCAACAGCACCAACAGTACGCACAAGCATACCCACCTCGAGACACAGACAAATCCCCAATTCAAAACACATTTCCAGAAGGCGGCAAAACGAGACCCAAGAGAAGTCAATCAGAAACTACATCTGACGACAGCGACGAGTATGTGTACGCAGAAAAGCACCCTAGACGGAAGAACAGTAGTGGGAGTCCAAACAGCGCGTCCAATCATAAACCTTGGCGTGATATAGATCTCGGCGACGAATCTCCACAGCTGATCAAGCCAGTTGGAAGAGCTGGGAATCCCTCGCTTTACATTAGCGAGGATGGTAAAGAGCTCAGCCATGAAGAACGCAAGCAACTCATGCTCAATAGGAACAGAGAAGCTGCGTCGAGATGTAGACAGAGAAAAAAACTATGGATCAATCAGGTGCAAGATCAGGCTGATAGCTTGCAAAACGAAAATAACAGCCTCAAGAAGGAAATTTTGCAGTACAGACAACAGACGCTCGAACTGAGAGAATATTGCGCTGAACTTAAACTGTCTATCGCCAACAATAACACATCTTCATAAATCTTTTTTTTCCACTTTTGTTGTATTAATAGTATGAACGTTTAACATTGGTTATAAGAAAATTCACAAAGGAGAACTAGCAAGAGCATTTTCACACAACTTTCTCCAACCAATGTTCCGGCTGCACTCTGTTCTAGCTGCGTCGCGTTCTGATTTGATTGCTTTGAATAATTCAAAAGACGTCATAAGCATCCGTTCTTTTTCCTCATTTATCCGTGCGTACATATCATCCTTGCGTGCATTCTCCTCGACCATGCTTGCCTTCTCCTCAAGCATCCGTGTACACATCTCATGCATCCGTGTATTCTCCTCAAGCATTTGTGCCATCTCCTCATTCATCCGTGCATTCTCCTCGAGTAATTGCGTGCAAAGCTGATCCAGTTCGCTCTTCAACATCTTGGATCGTTGAGAGTTGTTGATCTTGACGAGCGTGTGATTCTATTGGAAAAGTTAAACAATTAGACGCGTGCGGGGATCGAATTGCCCAACTCACAGCTTCCATTCTGAACGAGGCTTTTGTGTTGTTTGGGCGCTTCTTTGTAGTATTCTCTGACCTCTTTCTTTTGTGAAGGTGGGAGTTGGTGATGTTTGTCAAATCGTTCATGACTGCAGGAGCAACAGCGGAAGCAGGCGTGTGCGCTGGATCTGCGCCATCGGCAGCGCCCATTGCATAACCAAAATCTTTTGCACCATTTTGCAAACTCATAGTTGATGTTGCGAGTAGAGGAACGCGAAGCGTGAGGCGTGAGGCGTGAAGCAGATGCGGTGCACGCGCTTAAGCTACGCATGACGAATCAAGCAGTAAAAGCACGAGGATATCGTGCAAATACAGCGCAATTCGCCGTGTGAAGTGTTGCGCTTCCTTATTTCCCATCGCTGCTCCGACGCATTTGTGCATATCTTGGCCCATGACGATCACGACAATCTTGGCGATCTTGGTGATCACGAGGAAGTTGTGCTGATAACGTAAGTCACCTATCGTTTACATATGATGTGCACCACATGCCTATACAATCGCCAAAGTAATAGCCCTGTACATTTATATGAATACGATGAACAGCGTTCATTGCAAGTGCAAGTGTAAATGTAAATGCTAATAGCATAGCCGGTAAGACCTTTTATGGTGAGTGTGAGAAAATTAAGCAATAAATTGTTTGGGCTGCCGCAGGGCTGCTATTATTATCACTGATTCCAGAATTTGGGTTTGAGATAGGTGAGATAGGTCAGACTCGTACGAGAAGAAAAGTAAAAAACGTAAAGAGAAGTAGAGGGAAATAAAGGTTAATGAAAACAGGGTGTAATGTATGCCTAGTAACGCACTGTGACACACTGTGACATTCTGGCGAGAAGACCTTGACATCATCAAATCCACAACGCCAAACAGGACAGTGTCAAGTAGAGCTAATATAGCCACCCTATCTCCCTATTGAACACTATCTCCGGTGCAACTAATCTGCCAACCTGCCAGCTGGCAAGATTTGCACCGTATCCGTAACCTTTGATTTGAGGAGATGCGCGGAAATCTCCATAAGCTGACCATATCCTCACACTTCTGCACCCTCGATGAACTTAATTCACTCGGTGCCGTCTCTCAATTAAATGATGGTGTTAGCGTCCAAGCTCATGTGCGCGCTTTGCGGTGCATTTTCTCGAAAATAACACGTGGGGCGGACGTGTATGAATTAGGAATATGCGGAGAAGCCGTATGTATGGTTAATAAGCGGTCAATGAAGAAGGAAAAATTGCCGCCTCCCCTTCTTCGACACAATTCTCTCCACCTATATTCAAATTCAGTACGAGACGCGTTGGAGTGAGCAGGAGGATAGCAGAGAATAGTGTCGAGGGTTTTTTTTGGTCTGCTGTAGCATCACTGGGCACTTTGTAAAGATTTACTGGTCTCATCATAGAGTGTATCATGTGGTTAAAGAGTATGTGATGATAGAGGTGATTAGATAATACCGTGAACAGCATTTTCACAATGCATGCCAAGACATATGGAGCGATTGCTTTTGGTGGATACAGACTCATCTTATCCCCATCAGAGAAGATACTATCATCGTTTGCTTTGATGGAGGAAGAAGGAGGCTACAAGCGTAAACCCAAGAAGCAACCAATCCTCTTATGTCATTGTTAGCCTTTCAGCGATGTCAATTCAGCCAGTTACGGACTGATAAGTTGAGTGCCGAAAGCGATGAGATATACTACACCAATCTGTGTCATTAGAAGTCTACCGTTTCTGCTGAGAAATTGAGATAGCCAGAGTGGACAATTGGCACGACGAAGACCCTACCGATCCGGATAAATGCGTATGAGTTTCCAATAATAGTATGCTAATACACCAGCTGCAAATCCTGAGTTTTTAAGAGATCTACGGGCTGGACACGATCAGCATCCGGCTGACCGTGATGATCAGCAATTTAGCAATGAACCTCGGAACCACCAGGTCACACTGAGAATATACGCGCGACGCCATTCAAAGCAGATGCGCCAATGTAAAAGCTGCGAGTATATGTTTGTGTTCATTACCTGCCACTCATGAGATGGACGAGCACGCTAAGCCGGCAGCGAATGAGGAGAAACGCGCCAAGGCAAGCGTGCTAATTGCAAGAGTGCCCTTACTCATAAATGCACTCACGCAAATACCCATCATACATTATCTGCGTGCAAGGAGACAGTGGAAGGTGATGAAAATATTCAGCGTTTCAAACGAAGTAATTATATCTACGCTAGCAGTGAGGGAGAACAAAACAATCAATCAACATTTCACAGACACACACACAGGCTCTAGTCAAGCTCAATCATGCAACACGCCCTTCTATCACCTAAACCATCATTATGTCATTTCGACGATTTCCTCAATATCGACGATTCCGAGGCGGAGGAAGCTCGCGAGGCCAGCAGCACACACTAATAGCATCCGGACTCGGGGTGAGTGCTGCAGGCTACTACTTCTACCACCTCCATCCCAATGCCGCGGGACGGTATCGGTTCATAGACGTGAGCCAGCAGCAGGAGGTCCGCGCCGGTGACGAGGCATTTAGAGAGCTGCTGCGTCAATACAGCGCGTCTATTCTTCCCTCCCACCACCCTACCACTGTGTACGTGCGAGACATCGCCAAGCGCATCATACGGGCATCTGGTGCACTCCATCCACACACCAAAGAGTATAATTGGCAAGTTTACGTCGTACATTCGAGTACAAAAAACGCAATGGTGCTGCCTGGTGGCAAGATATTTGTGTTCGACGGACTCCTCCCAATCACAAAGACTGCAGATGGACTGGCTAATGTAATAGGACATGAGTGTGCCCACCAATACCTCCGTCACAGCGGAGAGAGGATGAGTTTCATGAAGGTGTTCATCGGTCTCGCCATCGCCCTCCAGGCTGTCGGAATTGACTTTGGTCTCTCAAACGCCCTAATGAAGGTCGTCCTAGAGCTGCCTAACTCGCGCAAAGCTGAGTATGAAGCTGACCAGGTGGGTATGGATGTCGCCGCGCGCGCTTGCTTCGATCCTGCAGAGGCTGTACGGTGGGTAGAGATTAACGCTGTGTATCCTTCTAACACGCTTACAGCGTCTGGCAGAGGATGTCGCAGGCTGAAAGCAGCGGCGGCAGTGGTGGTGCTATGGACTTCCTCTCCACACATCCTGGCCACGAAAACCGCATCGAAAGGCTGAGAGAGTTCCTTCCTAAGGTGGGCAATGGCGGTATGCACTGCCGATCGCTTACTGACACACTGAACAGGCAAAAAAGATTTTTGACGACAGCGAATGTCAGCAGATGAGTAGCTTTCGCAGGTCCACCTTTAGTGCATTTATGTAGTACGATAATAAAGTTATAGAAGTGTATATTTGTGTATATTAGACTGCATAGATTAGACTGCATGTAAACATATCTACGACGCATTTTGTTCCTTTATAGCCAGAATAATTGGTGTGAGCAAATTACTTGTGACGACAGCGGCGACCAAGAAAAGGAGAGAGGCGAGAAGAGGGCCGTAGAGGCTAAGCCAGCTTTCCTCCACTTTGATATCCGGGTTGTGCAGTGTAAGTGTAGCCTCTTCTTCCTCCTCAGTCGTCCAATAAACAGACTGTTTTTCCTTATTATAGGTGTAAGACCCGCCCGACACCTCCACTGCCAAGCTGGCAAAGTAGTGTGAAGGAACATATATCTCTGTTGTGCCTTTCCTCGCAGCCATCCTGAGAGTATATTTGCGCAAACTGACGAGGTACTCCGTGCATAACACCTCTCCGCTCACTTTACAGGCGTACGGCCGAATCCACACGTCAGGAATGCGCAGGCCGTCTGTAAGGGATTTTGATTGTGAGTTTGAGTGTGCACTGCGAGCGCTTTTTGAAAACAAGCTAAAATTCTCTCCGCTGTTACCAGTCAGTCATATGAGCAACGCACGTAACAACAAAGCGACTCACTTCCACACATCACCGTCTTCATCCGTATTATCGGGGTTGTAATTCCACAGGGTGTATCCGACGGCGTGAGTTTCCAGAGCGGAGATAAGCGCATCGAGGGCAGCTCTGTGGTGCTGAGGGGAGTATTAGCGGCGCTAGCTCCGTAAAAACACCACAATCCAGCATAACTCACCCTCCATTCTCCCTGATACTGTCCCTCACCGTTGTTGATGTCCATCGGGATGCCCGTCTCTCCAAAGAATATTGGCAGCGCGCCTAGAGTTCTTCTTGTCTCACGCACTATGCGTCCAATTTGCACGCTGTAGTTCTTCCTCAGACCCGCATCACCGATGTATAGAGCATTCCAGATCATCATCCCCTGCAGTGAGTGAGTGAGTGAGTGAGTGTGAGTGGGAGTGTAAGGAGGGAGCATGTGCATGACACGCCAAAGCACCAACCCACCCTTGCCAATCCCTGTACATTCACAGACCACCACGTTCCCACTTTCTTGAAGAGCATGTTAAGATCATACCAATGAGGGCTAGCGATGAGGTTATGTGGGCGAAGAAGTGCGGGGACGTGTGGGAAGAATTCATTCGGAATGGGTTCAACGACATTCCACAACTGGCCATTGTACGCAGCTTTACTGATGCCATCTGCAAAGGAGCGCGCAAAGGGCCAATAGAAGTCGCGATACCATTCCACCCGCTCACGAGAGACGGGGTTAAACTGAAAGTAGTTCTGGCGCAAGACGACAGGTTTTTCTTTGTCACTGCTCCACGCCCACACGCCCTCATTCAACCACGGGCAGCATCGCGTGTCCTGAAACGCCTTGCGACGCGGCGTGATGTGTCTCTCGCCCGTCTTGCGTGTGGGGAAGGGGAAGGAGCGTTCATAGTACGCGACGCTGACGGGGTATCCCATCCCCAGCGCCATGCCTTGCACGGGCGAAGGTACATGTGCTATGTGTAGATCGGTGTTGTAGTTCCATCTTTCAAAGGAGTCTAGTTCAATATACCCTCTGTGTGGCTCGTTGATGAGATCGAACGCGAGCACAGCGTGTGATGGAGAGAGATATCGCGCTAATTCTGCGTATGCCCTGATATACGCTTCTTGGAAGACGTGCTGTATGTTACGACCATCGATAGTAAGACCTGGAGCGAAAACACTTCCCGCCCAGAAGAGAGTGGCGAGTGTGGCTGCACAGCTCTTCTGGTAGCCACTTGGCCATACACCCTCCTCTAGCCCGTCACCAGGCTGGGCAGACCAGTTGGAACCTTTCTGATGGCGCAGCGGGTAGTGATATGCAGCGGCGGCGTCGTCAAGATGACGTAAATCATATCCAGCCATTGTGACTGTCCAGGCTGGTGCACCGCTGCCGCCAGTGACGCGCGACCAGATGTCTTGGTGCGCGTCAATGATGATGCGCATGCCGTGCTGCTCAATTACCCCGCACAGCTTTTTGAGATATTCCATGTACGCGTAGTCGTACTTTCCCAGCCCCGCATGCTCGAGAGCTTCCCAGGTGACGAGAAGACGGAGGATGGTGTGGCCGGCGTTGCGCAGTTTGGTGAGGTGGTACGCGGCGTCTGGGAGAGCGAAGGGGCGATTAATGAAAGAGGCGTTTGCGCTGTCGAAAAAGTCTTCTGCGTCGTCGTGCGTTTGATTTGAAGGGAGCTTAGAGCCGCCAGAGAGATTGACACCGCGGAGATAGCAATTGCGGTTGAATTGGTCGGAGATGTTTGCACCGTTTATACGCAGATCAATTCCAGTCCAGTCAGCAGCACCTAGATCACTCATCGACGTCGCTGATAAAGAGGGAAATGGATCGATGAGAAATAAATTACAAGTCAATTACGCGCACACCGTCTCTTGTTACTAGCCTCGCTTTCCAGCCACCTGGATTCACAATCAGGCGCTTCTCCACCTCGTCTGTGGCTCTCTTCATGAGCTGTATGCCGGCATCGAGGTCCATGTCTGGTTTGTGGTAGCGGTCAAAGGTGGAGGTTGCGAAGAAGGCTGTTGTATGTTAGTTGAATGCACGCAGCGAGATTCGAACGCCGAACCCACAAGCGTATCCATGGCATGCATACGGTACGTGTGCCAGAGTGCCCAAGTAATCCAACCAGAACAGAGCAGGTGTGTCCGAAGGCACGTCATAGCCCCCAAGCAGCAAATTTACAGCGTAAGGGTGTCTGCTACGCAATGAATCTGCCAATTGGCGTCTAATCCACGAGGCAGCTGCCTTAGGCTGAAGCTCTATATCATGGCGCAGCGTGTACAACCTCAAATTACGCTCAACAAATTCAGCGAACTGGAGGGTATCACCGCTTTCGCCGTTGAATGCCATAACCAAGTGCTCAGACAACTCACGCATCTTATCCTCGTCGTTCTTCATGCGTATAATCGACATGGCGGCGTTTGTATCGCTCACTATGAGCACGTAGTCCTTGCCTGTAAGTGCCAATTGCGATTCCATTTTATTCTTTTGGCTGTTGGTTGTGGTGGTAAGAGAATGACGCGGCGAGTAAGTCACCAGCCATGACGAGCATGTCGAGCACAGAGGAACAAAGTCATTTCATCAGCTTGGCTCTAGCTGAGGCTGCTAAATGCCCCGTAGTCAGCGGTGCTTTCAGCGTTGGCTGTGTATTGGTACACAACCACTCTGTTATTTCCACTGGCTTCTCGAGAGAGCTGCAAGGCAACACGCATGCTGAGGCAAACGCTATTGATAAGCTTGAAGACCACTCTATCCTTCCCCATGTCGACCTTTACACAACCCTAGAGCCATGCACCGTACGCACTTCCGGCCTACACCCCTGCACAGCCACAATTATACAGAAGGGCATAAAAAGAGTCTTTATAGGCGCAAGTGAGCCACCGGATTTCGTCGTCTGCGAGGGCGTCAATCAGCTCAGACAGGCCGCCATCGACGTCATTTTCGTCGATAGCACCTCGTACACTAAAAGTACTGGCAGAATCCTGGGAGAGGATTGTCTGGCAGCTGCTAGGAGAGGAGAGTAGTTATATGTACAATTGATTAAAATGTTACAATGCTATAAACTGTATTCTCTAGAGGTACACGAGGTACACGAGTTACAGTATCATTATCGCTGTGTTCTAATATCATCGCTATCTTGGTCATCGCTGTTTTCGTTATCTCTCGACACGTTTCTGCTCGATGAAGCAGCCGCATTGCCATGAGATCGCAGAGTATCTATGGAAGTGTAAGTATTTAGGGCGTGGTCGAAGTGTCTATCGAGGGTGTGGGGGTGTGAGTGCGAGTGTGAGTAGGATATTCTATCCACATCCACTTCTTCACTACCACTCAAATCCTCCAAATCGCCAAGACTGTCGAAGCTCCCGCGAGACTGAGACTGTGTCTGTCTCAATCCAGCGTGAGTCTCAAGAATATTATGTCTCTGGTCGAGATGAAAATCCCGAATGAATCGACTAGCCATGATCGGAATTACAGAGAGCAGAGCTGCAGGTAATACGAGTAGTTTCATGTTGCTGCTGAACGCCTCTGCCATTTTACTCCTCTCTACCGCCCCCAACAGTCTAGTTTGGGAGGGATCTCCAATATACCGCGCCACATCCTCAGCCGAGAAGTGGGGGAGGAGTGTTTTAATGAATCTTGGTAAATACTGCACATTTATTGCCGATGCAATAGACTGGCCTGTGACATTACCCATTTCTGCAAATAGTAACACACTCGCGGTGGCCATGGCAAGATCACTTCCCTGCACGGCTCCTTGCGCCCCCACTTGCGTAGCAACAGCCACAATCCCCCCGCCTGCACCCTGCAGGATCTGCGTCAATGCTAGCATAGCTGGTGTGGGGTGGTTGCGTGCATACAGCATGAGCGTGATACCGATGAGTCTGTGATTGTTGTAAGTACATAATTACCATCTGAAATACCACCCAGCACGCACCTCACAACCAACGCTACACTCACCGACGCCTTCCATCTGATCTGCCAGATGAAGGCTACCACCGACCACGTAATCGCGCTGAATGTCATCGTCAGCGCCTGTGTGTAGATGTAGTAGTTGATGTCTTGCGTACTCCAGTCTGTTACGACTTGCACAAAGTATAGCAGTTGGGAAAAGGCCATATAGAACGACGTGAAGTCGAAATAGTTGATTATGCAAACCACTGCTATAGTCCTATTCTTGAGGAAACGGAGAGGGAGGACGGGGTGTCTAGCGCAATAGGTCTCCCAGTAAAGGAAGGCAGGAATTATAATAGCCACACCGGCGACAAGCATCGAGGGTATAGTCACACCATCCCACTTGAGATTATCCACCTGGTTAGCCAGGATGATGGGCAGGAATATGTACACTAGCGCGCTGATGAGGAGATAGAGGCCAACAATATCCACATCCGACAAGAAGCGGACGAGGCGTTTGGTGGATGGTGGGGAGATTGAGAGCGAATGAGACAGCGTCTGAGAAGGCTTGGGAAGGAGATTGGCGGAGGAAGAGGTAGACTTGCTATTGCGCAGCCTAATACGCCGCTGTTGAAATGACAAAGTGACAACAAGCGGCAACAAGGCGGGTATATAAGCCAAGGCAAAAAAAACAAAGCCCCAACGCCAATTATGAGTAAAGTAGTTTGAAATCTGGCCATTAAAGTAGAAGAGAATGAAAAACCAGCCAGAGTTTGTGATAACAGAGAAGAAAGAGCGGTATCTGAGAGACGTAGCGTCTGCTATGACGACTTGGAGGGTGATATGGAAGCCAGAGACACCCATCTGCCATATACAGAGACCAAGGCCGAGAGAGGAAATAGAGTTGCTAAATGAGCAAATAGCATAGCCTGAAGATATGAGGAACATTGAGATAAAAAGGGATTTGGGTCTACCGATGACTTGGGACAACTTGCCGAAGAAAGGCTTGCCAGTGGCCAAGAGAATAGCGGTGATGGCAGTAACTGCATTTAAGCTGTGTGCCTTACCCAAGGAGGAAGCCGCGGATGTAGAAATGGTGATTGAAGTGCCATTATCCAAGTTAAAGAGGAAAGTAGCAATTAGAATAGACACGATAACAAATAAATTTATCATTTTAAATTTATCTGCGATTTTAATTCATCTAACTGCTTAATAGCGTTTGATAGTCGCTGTTCTGTATCAAGGACAAGCTTATTTGATTCTTGGATTAATTTTGTCTGTTTTGTAAGCATAGAAAGTTTTATAAACGCTAATACACACCTGATTAGTCCTCTTCCACTCAGCGTTCTCATCACCGTCGACAACTTTATCCCTGGCAGCCACTCCCTGCTCAACTTCCTCTTTGTACATTTCTAACTCCTTTGTCAACCTCCTCACAACTCCCTCTCTTATCTTTAACTGTCTCTCGTTATCCATCCTTACGTTATTTGATATGGTTTCTGTTTAAGCAGGATATGTCTCTCGTTTTGTATTTTCCTTTTTTTCACACTTTATATCTCAAATACACATCATCATCTATCGTTCTTGATTACTTTTACGGTCATCGCACTCCTCACAGTCTATCCCCTTTTTCTCAAAATTTTCATTTCTTCACTCTACACCTATCACAATACATTATCAGGTAAATGTCAAATGCATATCCAAAACACATTAAGATTAGATGTACTTTGAAACCTTTGATGGGTCTTGACCAGCTGCCTTAGCGCGCTTGGTAAGCTTCTCAATAGACTTGTTGCCTCTGACACCGTTGCCCCATGACTTCCTGTGTTGCTCGTACTTCTCAATGAAGTTGGCGTTGCATGCCTTAACAAGAGCAGCGAGCTCAGATTGGTCTTCAGCACGAACATCTTGGATGGCGGCAACAGCAGCAGTCTTCTTGTGCACAACAGTTCCGAGACGAGCCTTACCCTTAACGATAGCATAAGGGACACCCATCTTACGGCAGAGTGCTGGCAAGAAAACAACCAACTCAATTGGGTCAACGTCGTCAGCAATGAGGACGAGGTTTGCCTTCTTTGCTTCAACGAGTGCAACAACGTGGTTCAAACCGTACTTGACAAAGAGTGGCTTCTCTGAAGCAACCTCCTTACCCTCAGCCTTAGAAGCAGCAGCTTGAGTAAGACGAGCCTTCTTCTCGACCTTGCTCTCTGGGCGGTACTTGTTCATAAGCTTGAAGGCTTGAGTGGCGGTGTTCTTGTCCAAGGTGTTGCCGAATTGGGCAATGCTTGGTGGAACCTTCAGACGCTGGTGGAGGATAACCTTTTGACGTTGGAGGCGAACGTATTCTGGCCACTTGACGAATCTGGTCAAGTCAGACTTTGGACGGATGTCTTGACCTGTGACTGTGTAAGCAGTAGTCTAAAATTCTCCTGAACAACACCTACCAATGCCGAAAGACTTTGGCTGTGACTCGAAGAGTGGGTTGGTGACCTTCTTCGTGGTCTTGCCCTTAGAGTATGGAGCTGGAGCTGGCTTCTTTCCTGTTCCCGCCTTTGGCTGTTGTTGGTGTTAGCGTGGCTGTCATTGAGACGAGAGGCAACACAAAGGAAGAAGCCCTCGGAGCTCTAGCGGTGGTGTTCACCCAGCCAATTTAAATACTGTGTGCGCTGCCAATACAGGCTAATTCACTTTGTATTGCCTTCAACACTAACCATTTCGACTGATTTTGCTCTGGTTCAAGAGGCGAGCGAGCCTTCGCTGCGAGAAATTTGCAGTGAAAATTTATTTAAAATTTCTTCTTTACCGGTGCGTGATCCGTAGAAAATAAAGGTATTTAAAGGCGCTTTTTATCCACTTGCTTTCCTTCTCTGCCGTATTATGGATTTGAGTGTGCACGTAGTGCCATCCAGTTAAGCGTATATGCTTCAACATCTTTGTAATCAAAGTCCTTAAAACCCTTGCATAACTTTTTTTTAAAACTGTTGATCGCACCCATTTCCTGTAAATTCTCAGTTTACTTTGCTGCGTCACCATCCAGGCACAAGTCCGCAAGTAGATCATCACTAAATAGTTGCATAATGATTGAATTATCTGAGAGTACTTTCAACACAGCGAACTCACCGCTCCAATCCTGTATTATTAAAAGTGATGCGGTCGAGCTTTTCCTGATGTTTGTGCTTCAATATAAGCTAATACGACTTCTACAACAAAACCTCATAATTCTCACTACATCACCAGATCGCTGATCCTGACTGGAGTTGACAGCGCTTTGCAAAGGTCACAATGGTTTTGGCATGTCTCAGGGAGAGCAATTTGGAATTTAAAAGTACATATTTCTAATTACTCGACTTCCATGATTATAATGCACCCTTCCACCACCATTATTTAGATTTTCGAAATCCATTGGTCGGAGGTTTGGCGACCGATTTCAGAGTTTTGGTGACCCTCACTTTTTTTTTTGCATCAACTGCATTTAATAGGCGTGCAGCGATCCAGAATGTCATTTATTCCTCTCTAGATCCAGGATTAAGCCCTGTGGACACTAGTGTCGTAAAATGTAAATCGCGTTTATGGCGCCAAACACTTGAAATTTTTGGTTGCTTGAGGACTCAATCATCCAAAATAATTTCTGTCTATCGATGAAGCACGTGCGATCTTCCATTATTTCCTATAGCGTGCTCCAGATCGATGTCGGATCACAACTTCCGAACAGCCTACAGGGTGGCATTGAAGGCTCAAGGATATGATTTCAGGACATAGCAAAAGGGTATGAATATGGGCGGCTGACAAAATTATGATCAACAGCGACAGGAAAAGAAACAATTTCAGGATCATAGCTCAGGTTTTGTTCAAATTGCTAAAAGTATGGCCAAGGGTGAAATTGTTGAAGGAGTGGATAGAGATGGCCTTTATATTAGTTACGCACGTCAGGAATGCTTGTCAGCGCAGATGGGCAAATTAAGAAATTCAATGTTCTCAATTTCAGAAATCCCATTCGGACTGTTTGTGATTGAGCAGATTGAATAAGACTGTATGATGGCATATTAACAGTAAAATCACTAATGCTATAACCAAAACTCTCATAAGATATCCATGAAGCCCATTTATCCCACATGAAAAACACTAAGATAGCGTTCTTAGAAGCAGAGAAGCTACTCAACAAGAATTGTACACTCAAGCCGAATCCTCTACAGATGTCCTCGCGAATGTTTCCACATTAATTACCGCAGAACATACCTTTTAGAGTGAGCTGCCCGTGGTGTCGCCGCTCGCGAGCGCAGGAGGAGGGAAAAGGTGTAGAGAAGAGAGCCACACATTGTAGCACCTCAGAGGAAGTGGCAAGTGAATAAATTAAATTTTAAATTCTGTCTGCGCGGTGGGCTGGTTTTCTACCAGCGATCATCAGCAACGCAACGGCACACACGTACACACGCAACGAAAATGGACGACAATATAGACTGGCCGGTGATATACCAGCGAATTCGGACTTCGTTCCAGAATGCGCTGGCTGAGTCAATCGTGAACAAGCTGAGAAAAGACCAATTCAACAGATCTAGTTTGTATCAGCTGCTTAAAATAGCGGAACACAAGAACGATGACGCGACATCCCTTGAATATTTACATGGCTGGGCTAATTCTGAGAACTACGATATTATACCACCCCCAAAACGTGGCCCAGGTCGACCACCGAAGTCATCCCAGCCGGAGGATGACGAGACTGTCGATATCCCCTACAAGCACGTATGGAAGACTGGTGATCCTGTGCTGCTCCAGAATACACACAAACCTACGGAAAAAGTCGGTGGCGGTCAGGCACTCTATACGACCTTCCCGGCTAGGATAAAACAGGGCATCAGCACTCTTATGCAGCCAGTCAACGCTACCCTTAACCCTCAAGGTGTTATCGAGCCAAAGTATAGCAATCCACAGAAAGAAAGTCTGGCGATGCAGGCGATTGCTAATTCGAGAAGGAAGGGTCATGTGAATTATGCAGAGAAGGATCCAGATGATTTCGAGGATGAGGGCGAGAGTGATGATGAGTCCGGCAGTCGCAGACGGTCGTCGAGACGGCAGACCATGGACGGTGGATCGACTGGACCATCCACACCCCTACCAAGTGGTACCAAGCGTGGTGATCAATATAGCTATGTTGGTCCATACCTCAGCGATATCCCACCAGGCTCGTCGATAGTGTCCGAGTATTTAGATAAGGACAGAATGTTCAGATTGCAATACGCTTCAGAGAGAGATCTCGAGAGTAGCGCTGCGAGAACATTCTTGCCGGTTCCGATAAGGATAGAAATTGACCACGAAAATTGGAGACTGAGAGATACATTCGTCTGGAATGCCAACGAGACTGTGCTCAGACCCGCGACGTTCGCAGAGGGCTTGTGCAGTGATCTCAAGATCCCAACCAGACCATACGCTGATCAAATAGCTAGCTTGATGCAGCAGCAAATCGAAGAGCATCAAGCTGTTGTTGAAGTAGACGTCAGTCATAGAGAGCGTCTCAAGGAGTTGAGTAATGGTGGCTTAGTTACCGTCCAAACCACAAAACCGGGAGAAGATGAAGATGACTATGAGAGCAACTTGGTGTATCTCCGTGAAAGGCCTCAAGAGCGCAAATTTGCAGGCGCTAAACAGGTCGAAGAGGTGGATGGACCACCTGAAGAGCAAGATATAGCGATGAATCTGGAGACTGACTTGAGGGTCATTTTGAATGTGCGTATGTGTATTTTGGGGTTATTTAGCTGCTCACATTACTACAGCTCGATGTGCAATTCGCCAACTTCCACCTCGTCGATAAGGTTGAGTGGGATTTGTGCTCACCGATGCCACCAGAGCTTTTTGCCGAGACGCTGTGTCTGGATCTCGGTCTGTCGGGAGAAGCCAAGGCAGCAATAGCACACGTCATTCACGAAGAACTCATCAGACACAAGAAAGAGGCGATTGAATCAGGGCTCATGGGAGCATCGACAGGCCAGCTTTCAGACTTAGACCACCCACTGTTTAACGGGAAAGGTCCAAGGAAGCTGGAGTCGGTGTGGAGAGAGTGGCATGAAGCAGACGAGTATATTCCACGATTGAACTATTACGCAGCTGCAGACATTGAGAAGCGTGAGCTTGAGAGGGAAAAGTCAACCAGGTGGGTGTGCAGACTTGCTTTCTGCGCCGCTAACAGGAACACTGCAGGCGCATGCGCAGAGACATATCGAAACCGGGTACAGGGTTTGGGTCGAGACGCAGATATGGCCGCTAATACAATATATATTCAAACAAAAGTACTTTGTGTATGAGAGCGTGTGACTGACGTAAGATAGAGGAGAATGGGAAGACAAGCGGTAATTGTAGAAACATTGAATGATATTAGGCTAATTGATATCATGCCTTCTCTGTGGCTAGATTTCGTCACTCAAAATTTGGCTAATTTGGCTACTCCAATGATTTAAATGCGCTAACATTCCTCTCTCCCAAGCGTCCATTACTAAAATGTCTGCAATAAGTGCAAAATTCCCAGTCGACCTTAAATCTTTCAAGAAGCTCTCGCTCGATTACAAGTCCGTCGCGCTGTTTTCTCGCCGTTTTTCACGCTGATCATTGGACAGAAATCCACAACTGAGCCAGCAGCAGAGAGAAGATCTCTTGCACAACATCAACGTATTCAGAGACGCCATCGTTGCATTTACTGCTACTGGTATGTGTCGTTGCCGTGATTGTCCTGGATGACGTCACTTATCGTCCCCTCAGGTTCTGCAAGAGGTGTTTCCGGTCACACTGGTGGTCCATTTGATACAGCCCCAGAGGTGTGCATCCTTCTCGCTTTCATGAATGCAAACCCTGAAAGATTCGTCGATACCTTCTTCGATGAAGCTGGTCATCGTGTTGCTACGCAGTACCTCCTTTCTGCACTTGACGGTCATATTGAGCCAGACCACCTCCTTAACTACCGTGAAGCCTACTCTAAACTCCCTGGTCACCCTGAATTGGGCTTGTCTGACGGTGTCAAATTTTCTTCAGGCCGTCTCGGACACATGTGGGCTATGATCAACGGTGTCGCTCTCGCAAACAGATCTAAGAATGTTATCTTGCTTGGATCTGATGGCTCGCAACAAGAAGGTAACGACGCTGAAGCGGCTCGTCTTGCCGTCGCTCAAAATCTCAACGTTAAGCTCTTCGTCGATGACAACGACGTCACCATCTCAGGTCACCCTTCACAATACATGAAAGGATTCAACACAGCAAAGACTCTTGAAGGACATGGCTTAAAGGTGTTCAGAACTGAGGGTGAAAACATTGACAAGTTGTATGCATCTGTCTGTGAGATTGTTGCGTACGATGGTCCAGCTGCTGTTGTTGCGTCGAGAAAGATCGCTCCACAAATCGAGGGCATCGAGGGTGAATCTCACGCCCACGATGTTATCCCAGTCGCTGTTGCCAAGAAATACCTCACCAAGCGTGGCTACAGTGAAGACCAACTCAAATTCTATGACGACATCAAGGCACAAAAGTACCAATACGAACACGTTGGTGCATCTAAGGATGTCGGCGCCAACAGAGTCATTTTCGGTGAATCTGTCAACATGGTCCTCGACAAGCTTTCAAAGGAAGAGGCAGCAAGACGTGTAATGGTTATCGACTCGGATCTCGAAGGTTCAACTGGTTTGAAGGGTATTCACTCAGCCCACCCAGAAGTCTTTGTTCCATCTGGTGTCATGGAGCGTGGTAACTTCTCTGCAGCAGCTGGATTCGGATTTGGAGGTAACGGCGAGCGTCAAGGTGTATTCTCAACCTTTGCAGCCTTTTTGGAAATGTGCTTGTCAGAAATTACAATGGCTAGACTTAACAGGTGCAACTTCCTTTGTCACTTCTCTCACTCAGGTGTGGATGAGATGGCTGACAACACTTGCCACTTTGGTCTAAACCACTTTTTCGCCGATAATGGTCTTCTTGACACTGCTCAAACCAACCTTTACTTCCCAGCTGATGGAGAGCAGATGAAGGCGGTTGTACAGAAGGTATTCTTCGACAAGGGACCAAAGTTTGTATTCTCTACTCGTGCCAAGGTACCATATATCTTGAAGGAGGGTAGTGAGACAAAGCTTTTCGGTGACAACTACAGCTTCGTTCCAGGAAAGGAGGAATTTATTAGGAAGGGGTCTGCAGGATATGTCGTTTCATATGGTGACATGCTCCACCGCTCATTGGACGCGGTTGAGCGTCTGCGTAAGGAGGGAATTGATGTTGGATTGATCAACAAGCCAACACTCAACATTGTGGATGAAGATGCCATGCAGGTATATGGCAAGACAGGATTTGTGTTGGTAGTTGAATCAATTTCACAGAAGAATGGTATGGGATCGAGAATGGGTACACAATTGCTTCAACGTGGATTGACAACCAAGTATGATTACATGGGTGCGACAACCGAGGGATGTGGAGGAGTTGCGTACCAAATCAAGCACCAAGGATTAGATGCACCTGCGGTCCAAGATAGAATCAGAAAGATTGCAGGACGTAAGTAAAGTAAAAAGGGTATCACAATTGACGATATGTATATGATTTAATGATTTTTGTTCAATTCGATTGCTTTATGTATTTTGTCTTGTTGAGATTGAATCTCTGATGCATTCCTCTCAATTCCCCTCTCAAGCTCGTCTGTATCGATATTCACCGCTGTTTCGTGTCTATTGAGGATTGCAGCAACGACGTCTTCAACGTTTGATGTCGTCACTTGGCTTGAAATTTCTTTAAGAAGTTGCTCATTTGAAAGCTCATGCTGATTGTTGGATGTAAAGTTCATTTGCGGACTGCCTCGTCTTGGTGGTTGAGGTTAGAGAGGCCAAGTGACGATAGCAAACTTGCTAGGAGTATCGCTCAAAGCGAACTTTAAACGGACTTCCAGGTCTTTGTTGAAAGTCAGAAGAGTTGAACGAATGAAATAAAGCTTACTGGGAGTAGCGCAGACTATTTACAGGCAACGGGTTATACTCGCTCTACTATGGCCCCCAAGACGTTTTACAGCAAGGAAAAAAGGAAAGAAGTGTGGTACTCTTAAATACCGCAGCGACGGACGAGAAGTACGTGACTCGCGCCTTGTGTTTGTTTTGCTTCGCGAACCCCGCTAAGCTCGTTCCTAGTTAAGGGTCTAACGGCGTACACAGAAGGTACTGTTGACTTTCTGAAAGTATGTCACAACGAAGTGATAGAAAAACTCATACTGGCCAAAGCCCTCGTTTGTGAATGGAATGTGGTTTTTGTCTTCTATATTGATGGACAAACTGCGAAGAGTTACTTCGCCCTCAAAAGACCGGCGCGACTTAAATCGCCTTTCCCTCGTCGAGCTCAATCGTCACTTCAACGAGAGACCGTTGCCTTTGTGAAACGTGGAGGTGTGATGGCCATTGACTGTTCCACAAGACTATGGGCCTTTATTTTGTACATTAACTCCCTTATTGATCCAAAGTAATACATTTTGTCAGTATCTGTGGTGTCTTAAGGTTCTACGGATGCACCATCAAAAACTTCCTCTTCTGATTGATCCATTGTGTGATCTACACCCAAGAAGCCCAATGAGCCATGTGAGCTTTGATGTGTTTTTACTGTAAAATCTCATTATAATCCAGGATTTCTACTACTCTGAGCCTTCTTCTCCACAAGAAACTCACTCGGTGACGCCTTCTCTGTTGGATTATCTGAAAGACGAGTTGAGCTGCGTAGACGCGGCGGAGACGGAGAACTACAAATCAGAGCGAGTTTCAAACTTCTTAAAGATTCCACTAGCGATTGAGAAGGTCATCGCATTTGGCAGCCTCGTCTGTCTCGATTCATTCCTGCACACGTTCACTATCCTCCCATTGCGGGGACTTATAGCTGTGAAGAATGCACCCAAGCGTCTCAACGCTTCACAGAAGTCTGACATTCTCAAACTTACCTTGTTTCTCCTTCTCTCAACTTTCCTGTTGTTATACACTGAGCCATCACGTATGTACCACGGTGTACGCGGACAAGACAACGTGAAGCTGTATGTAATATTCAACGCGCTCGAAATTGCCGATCGGCTGTGTTGTTCAATAGGGCAAGATATCCTCGATACGCTATTCTCGCGCGCAAGTCTAACGCAAGCACCCACGACGACGCTTGTAGTGTATCTACTACTAGCGCTGGTTTATGGCATTGCACACTCTCTGGTTTTCCTCTACCAACTAGTCGCGCTCAATGTCGCCGTCAACAGCTACGATAACGCTCTGCTCACTCTGCTAATAAGCAACCAGTTTGTCGAGATAAAGGGAAGTGTGTTTAAGCGGTTCGATAAGGAATCCCTCTTCCAGATAACTTGCGCAGATATAGTTGAGCGTTTCCAACTAATGCTGATGCTAGGCGTGATTGCTTTCCGCAATCTGATCGAGCTGAGTGGATCAGACTTTACATACCTGCCTAGCGCATTCATAAGGTCTAACACTCAGCTTGAAATGATTTTCTCACCTGTCTTGCTCGTCATCATGTCCGAGATGGCCGTTGACTGGCTCAAGCATGCCTTCATAACGAAATTCATGCACATACGCCCGAGTATCTACGCCCGCTTTATTGACCTGCTAGCTGGGGATTTGGTCCCAGAGAGCGTGGGCAGGAAGGGACGGAGTTTGAGCTCAGGCTCCAGCTCGCCGGGAGGACTATCCGCGCGCATCAGCCGCCGACTCGGCTTCGCGTCTATACCAATGGGGGCGTTTGTGGTGCGTGTTAGTGTACAGGCGCTCGGGATGCTCAACGATAGTTCAACTATTGATGAATGTGCGCCATCTTCACATTCAAATGGGATGTCACAAGATGTTGCACATGAGTTGACACATTCAATATCACACGTTACTCTTCAGTGGTGCTTGCGGTTGCTTGTTGGCGTCGTCGCATGGCTCGTACTCCTCGCAGTCAAACTCCTCCTTGGCGTCCGCTTACACGCTTTAGCCCTTCACCGCCAAACTGATACTGCAGCGCGCACCGCTGAGGATGTCCTCACTAACTTGCAGACTCCAATAGGGGAGAGCGAGGCATATAAGGTGGGTTGGGTTAGTATTGATGTTTTACACTCACGCTCACACACCCTCCAGGACCAGCGCATTGATACTAAAATCAGCCTATCGTCACATGCTGACGACGTCCCAAACGCCCCAAAGGGCAAGATACCCCTCGAACAACTATCCAGATGTGAGTATGGGCGTGACGCGCTGACTCAGCTGACACTTTCAGATGACATGGTGAAGCGGATCTGGTAGCTTTTGTAAGGAGGAAAGTGTGTTGTATTACTAGATTGATTAAGAAACAATTGGAACATTGAAACAGTAGAACATTGAAAAGTTGAAACAGGATCGAGTGAAAAAGAGTGTGGAATAATTGTTCATTCTTTGTGATATATGGTTGAGAAAGGTAAAAGATATAAGAGTAAACAGTAAGAGTTGGAATCCAGTCCAATCATCCACTCGGCGGCACCTAAATACCCGAATAGGCGTCGTCGAGATTGAGAGAGGTAGAGTAGCGAGAGTTGATGTTAGTGTTAGTGTTGCTATACGCTGGTCTGTAAGTAGCCTGAGTGGTATCTACGCCTTTACTTGGGACGGTGTTTTCATAAGGGTTAGGGAGAAGGTCCACGTGGTTATTGAATGCGTTGGGTGTGTTGAGTGCGCTGCTGCTGCTGTCTCCAGCCGTGTACCTAGGCGGTGAGAGTGAGGGTGACGGTGACGGTGACGGCGATACGGACTCTGAGGGAGAGTGCGAAGGCGAGGCCGATGACACGAGTGCCGCGTGCGACTGCACCGATGGCGACCTATCGATAAGAGGTGGCCGTGGGGGTATGAGTGCATCGCTGTAGTTGGGGAAGTAGCTAGGGGAGGGTGGTTTGTAAGGGGGAGCAGTGTGCACCAAGTGCTGCATGTGCGGTGGCTGCATGTTCTGCTTTGGGTTCATGTGAGGTGGCTGTATCTGAGGTGGCTGAGGTGGCTGCATCTGCTGCATATAAGGCATCTGCATCTGCATCGGCTGCATATGCTGTGGATATGGGTCGAAAGGCGAGCGAGGGTGCATTGCATGTGGCGGGGACTCAACGCGCGAGATCGGAGGAGCGCCCGGCACGTGTGCGAGACCAGGCAGTGACGGGAGGGGCATGTAGTTGGTGCTACCTGCTCCTGCAGCGCCCAGACCTGCCATGTTGGGTGCCGAGAGGGTGCTGTCGCGGAAACCTTGAGCTGAGACATGCATGTCGTTATTACCCTCATCCAAGCCCCCACTCACACTGCCACTCCCATTGACATCGGGAATCATCTCACCCTCGTGCTTGAACGAGTAGCGGTTGAAGGGGTCGACGACGGTGCGGGTGCGCTTGCGTCGCACACAGCAGCCTATGAGGATAGCGAGGAGGATGATGGCACAGGCACCGCCGGCTGCTATACCGGCAATGGCGCCGGTGGAGAGAGTGGGGGAGGAATTGTTGGAGGTGGAGGAGGTGGAGGAAGTATCTGCGGTGACTGTATGGACTTGGCCATTGTCTGGGTCTGTGGAGAGGGAGGGGTGGGAGGTGGGAGAGGGAGTAGGTGTGGATGAGCTGCTGGAGCTGCTGGAGCTGCTGGAACTGGAACTACTGGAACTACTAGAGCTACTAGAACTATCAGAACTATCAGAACTACTAGAACTATCAGAAGAGCTTGAGCTAGTCGAAGTTTCCGTCTGTTGAGTTGAAATGAGAAACGTAGACAAAGTGGCAGGAACGTACGCTGTCGGAGGAGGGAGAGGAAGAAGAAGACGGTGAAGAAGACGGTGAAGAAGACGAAGACAAAGAAGACGAAGAAGACGGTGAAGAAGACGAAGACGTTGGGGATGAAGCGGCTGTGGCTGCTGTGTTGGTTTCGGTGCTGCTGTTGCTGCTGCTGCTGCCATCGCCGCCACTATCACCACCTTCACCCTCACTCTCACCGAGTACATCAGATAAGAATTGGCGGTGGTGAAGATGGCGGTTACGGTGGCTACTCAATCTCCTTTCTAACATTGAGTTTATAGGGTAATTTGGTATATTTGGTTTATTTTAAAGAAAGTCGTGTTTCGTGGTTCTGATTCGAGATACCTTTCGCAGCAGTCGCGCTCGGACACATATCTAACGAGATATGATGACAGATGAGATAAAAATATATATTTTTATGTAAATACATTTAATAGCGCTTACGTCTATTGCCACGCTCTTCATTCCCCTCTTTCCCCCTATTATTCCCCTCATTCTGATTTAGAATCAATTTTTCACCACCGAGACATGGATCACATGATTGAGTGTAGTAATCTGCTGAGTTCTTGTCGAATTGGAACCTATAAATGGTATAAGTGGTGTGTTTTTGTATTCAAATTTACTTTCATTTGCGTATTTACGTCAAATTGTGGTCCACGTTCTCTTCTAGCCCAAATCAAGTGTGAGTTCCTGGAATTTTGAGTGTGTACACTAACAATCATCTCCGCTCACCACTCAGCTGCATTTAGAGTTCCATCTGTAGTATTTGATTGTTTGAATTCACTTGGCTGATTCGACTGATTCGACTGATTCGGCTGATTTTTAGATATTTTTGTACATATTACACGAGGACAATCTGTAGACCTCATCTGTGCTTATAGTTTGGCTTATCGGGCGTCTGCGATCAAGAGATGATGGCTATTTTCCATCATCTATTACCATCATCATCTATAAATTAATTATCAAATTTAAATGGATGAAGCTGCAGTAGTTACAACAGAATTCGTCAATAGCTTGGATAATCTACAAGAGGAATTTAAATTTATTTTGAATGAAATTAGGCTGAGAGATGAGTCGTCTACAGAGATACGCGACGGAATATACGGTAAAGAGATTGAGTTGAATACGGCAATGAAAGGTAGTAAAGATGTCCCAGATGATACTTTCATAAACATCGAATACGATAAACTTGAGAAACTCTCAATTGAAAAGCTAGATTGGTCAAATAAGCTCAAGATTCTAATCGATAAACATGTCAATAGGGTTAATGTGGATTTGAATACTGTCCATAATCTATCAACTGCTAATGGTAATGTTAATCCCATGTCACCTGCTACCATCACTTTTAATCAAGCTCCACAAACTCCAACTCCTGCTTCATCGAATAAGCCTGGACAGTCAATCAATACAGCAACAGCAACTACAGCAACAGCAACAACCACATCAACCAACACACCGTCCCATAAAAGACCATCATTATCTGAAAAATCAACAACTCCTGCTCCAGATTTACCACCTAAAAAGCGTAAATTGAGTGCTCTTAATCCGGGTATTAACGGTGGTAATAGTAATGGTATTAGCAATACTAGTAGTAACGTTAATAACACAAGAAAACACCGTCAATCCTCCAATAAACAAAGTGAAAGTGATCTAGATGATTCATCTAATGACCAGGACCAGGATCAGGACAATGACAACGACAACGACAACGCCATTGACAATGACTCACTGACTGATTCTAACAAAGGTGGTGGTATTGGTGAGGCAGACGAAGATGACGCTGCTTATTGCTACTGTCAGAAGAAGTCATACGGTAATATGATTGGTTGTGAAAACGACGACTGTCCAATATCATGGTTCCACTTTGGTTGCGTAAATATAAAACCACCAGAGCCAGATGTCTGGTATTGCACAGAATGTAAGAATAAACTTGGAATACCCACACAAACGCCATCAAAGAAGTTATTACAATCGATAAAGAAGAGAAAGTGAAGAAAGTGGATTATGTTTTATCATTATTAGGCTCGTTACTCTCATTAAATTGTTGTATTATCTCGTTTAAATCACTTTCTTCACTTATTTGTGCTAATTCTCTACGTGTTTTCAACTTCCACTGCACCAATCCAATAAGTCTATCTTTCTCTTCTCTAAAGGTCTTTGGATGTGTCTCATGGAGGTAAAAAGCAAATAAGCCTGTGAATACGCCGAGAATTGGGTCTAAAGATCTACAAATGCTTGTTAGATGTGAGTAGAATGAATATTAATCTACTAACTTTGAAATTAAATGCATTTTGTAAATATCAATGACAGGTTGTTGATAGATGCTGCTGCACCTCTCTTGTTATCATACACCGTGAATTTAAATTGAAATTTGAAATATAAAATATGGTTAGTGATGTGTGTATATCTGAGCGTCACTCACTCCTACACAGTCACGCTCAAGCTCACAAGGAATCCAAACACTGCTAGAGGCAGAGAGAGAAGCAGGATTGATCGTCCAACAAGCACGAGAGTACAGAACACAGAAACTCAAAGATGCTAGAATCGATGCACAGAAGGAGGTTGATGAGTTGAAGCGTGTTAGGGAGTCCACGTTCAAGGATATGCAGGATGAATCCACCGATACCCAATCAACGCATAAGAAGCAAGTTGAACATGATACTGAGAAGGCTTTGAGTGAGCTAGTCGTACAATTCCAAGATAAAAAGATAATCGTTGTTGATAAGCTTCTTGGGAGAGTGACGCACACGACTAATCAACTCCATCGAAATGTAAATAAAGTTTAAATTAAAAAGATTCATTCGCTATAACCTGACTAGATTCTACTTGATCTACATCGTCTGCCTCGTCTTCTTCTTCCTCTTCTTGGCCTTGCTCTAGGTCTATGTCCTCGCCGTGTAACTCCCTTTTCAACTCATCTATAGACGCAGCGTGCCCCTTGGGCAGCAACTCATCCAGTGCCAAATCATCCCATTTTAATGCTGGATCATGACGTTGATTCGTACCACTGAGCTGATCAACAACTGAATCAACTCCTGGACCTGGTGCATCTTTGAGCTGTTTCAGGGGATTTCCATAGGGGTACGAAGGGTGTATAGATGAGGGTAGCGTGGCTATTGGGGTTATTGTATGTTTCATAGATAATACATGAACGCACCTTCCTCCTCGTCTTTGGTCATAGGAAGTAAATCCAAAGGTACTTGAATGTCTGTGGAGTGTGTAAGTATCAACACGGCTACCACACTGCACCGATTAACCTTCAAAAGGTAAATCCTGCCTCAACAAATCACTCAAATCGTTGTTGAAATTTTGATCAAATTTCTTGAAGTGTAGAAAACAATATCTGTTATCCTGCTCATATTAATATTCAATATTCAATTCTCCAACTCCTCAACCACCTACTCCCATCGTGATGGTCACCGTCACTAACAACACATCATCAATAGTCGCAGATGCTTTCAAGTCTCCGGTATGTTGAATGTGTATCCATGTATCAACTTACAAGTCCAGGATGACCTCGCAAAGCTCTCTACTTTCAAAAACAAGTTACTCAAAGAACGCGCTGTAATTGAAACTAAATTGAAATCCGGCGTTGCTGAGCAGCTTGATATTACTAGAGACGCTATCAGAAAGCTTTACCTCACTAGATCTGATGTTAAACGGGTTTCTCAGGGTATGTCTAGTGTTGGTGACAGTAGCAGTGGTATTACACCCACAATCTCTTTCTCTAAAATATCTCAAGTTGCAATGATACATCGTAACTTTGGTCAAGTCGAGGAGACTGTACACAACTTGAAAGAAATGTACACTAAGATTCAATTCTTAGAATCTTGGTTGGATTCTGATAGTGAAGATCCTCAAGGTCCACATGACAACCTTATTCCAATTCACAGCGAATTATCTCAACTAGAGAATTTTAAATTTCAAGCTTTATACCAAGCCAATGAGCTCGATATCCACACGAGAGACACTCTCAACAAACACTTTGACACGCTCAACACCCTCATTCAACAGTTCGAGCTCCATTTAGAGGATCTCTCCAAGCATATTCTCGATATCGTCAGATATGGCGACTCTTCCGTCGTGGAGAGGTTGGTTCTGATTGTCGAGCATGAGCAAGGGGAGGATGACAAAGTGATGGAATTCAAAAAGCTCATCGAGGCGAACGACGAGTCAAAGCACGACCGGTACAAGCAGATGCAAGCGAACTCGCGCGTGATAAAAAAGACAAAGCAGAAGTTATTTGACGATATAAGAGGTGGAGTGAGTGAGTTATTCGATGCAGCCGAAGAGCAAGGTCAAATAGAGCAAGATGCCGGGGGGTATCTCTCGACGCTCGAGTGGATATACGAGGACTATGAGGACATAGCTAGCAAAGTGCAAGTGCTATTCCCCAGCGAGTACAACATCCACTATATCTACACACGCGCCTACCACGAGCGACTCGATGCGTCGTTACAACGCATAGTGGCGAGCGAGCCTGAGGCAAGGGTTTTACTTGCGCTACACGATTTCGTGCGCCGCTACGCCACCGAGATGAAGAGACTGAATATACCACCAGAGTGGACCACCGACCCTCCCCTTCTTGACGGGCGGGAGCAGGAGCTGATAGAAGATTATGTTGCACTGCTCACGCGCAAGCTTGACGAGTGGTCGCGCAACCTGATGTCAGACGAGAAGAAGGAGTTCAGCCATCGCGCTCACCCGCCTGAGGTAGATGGCGACGGGCTGTGGGGGATGCAGGGAGCCGTCATCCTCTTCCAGATGATCAACTCGCAAACAGAACTAGCCGCAGGTAGTGGACAGGGCGGTGTGCTGGCGCGCGTAGTCGGCGAGTGCTCCCGCGTCATTCGCTCCGTTCAGACCGACTGGACAAGCTTGATAGCGGCGGAGACGGCGCAAATGGCCAAGAAACCCGAGTCAGTCGCTAATGGACTGGGTGAATATCTTATTGCACTAGCTAATGACCAAATCAAGTCGGCCGATTTTACGGAAACTCTCCTCACTCGCACCGAAGCCCTCGTGAGCGATAAGTATAAAGACGTCATACAGCGTCACCTCAACGATGCTATGGATGGCAGTCTCGATGTTGCGCGCAGGTGTATCGAGGTCATTGTCGATATCATCTTCGCAGATCTCAAACCAGCTGTGAAGGGTCTCTTTGGGAATGCCTGGTTTGAGGAGTCGCTCGTCGTACAGATTCTCGAAACTATGCGCGACTATCTCGAAGACTGGTCCGATTTCATTAACGTTTCACTAAGGGAGCTCCTCGTTGAGTGTCTGCTCCATGAGTTCCTCGTCACTTACCTCAAGGCACTCAAGAACTGCTCACGCATCCGGGTAGGGCCTTTCGTACAGCAGATCAAGGCTGATATGGCGGAAGTGCACACTTTCTTCAAATCCCATCGCAAGGCGGGTGATATACAGGATGATTTGGAGATCATAGATAGAGTTGTTTCCCTGCTGACGTCTTCTGAGTCTATGGTATATCTCGACTATTTCGTAAGTGCTGTTGTCTTTAAGGCGCATTCTCTGTCTCTCTTTTTAGCATTCTCACACTCCATAGCCCTTCGCTAAACGTCACGGCCCTTGTCTCGCTTTCGTCTCGAGCCTCATCAGGGCGCGCGACGACTTGGAGAAACGCGAAGTGAGGGATATGGTCGATACTATACACAGGAAAGCGGAAGAAGAGAAATTCCCTGAACGTGGGTAGCGCAGGAGGTTCAATTATTCATCGCTAACACACTCCTCACACAGCTGATCCACCAACTATTATGAGCCGCATAAATTGACTTGTACATTAATACCACCCCCTGCATCTTTCTGAGTGTGTTACTGCGGCTGCGATCACTTTGCCCTCGCGTGCCTGGCAGTTTCTATAATTAGCGTCGCGCCGAATACCAAAAGTAGCGCGAAGGTGGCTGAAGAAAGCTATACGATCACGCTGGCACTGGCAGGCATGAAGATGACATTGGTCACTCGAACGGTTCGAGGAATGTGAAGAGTGCGAAGAGTGCGAGGAATGCGGAAACGAAGAAGAGCACACACCAATGAGTGGTGTGGAAGGTGGTATAATTTAGTACAAACACCCATATTTGATCCCAAAAGACAAGATATCAACCTCGTTGCTGTTTATATCTCCTAAGGCACGTTTCCTGCACAAGCGTCCGCCATCTAATTACAGTTGTCTTTCTTTGTTAAAGCGCATGCAATCATGTGCAAATGCAATTAAAATGAATCCATTTTCATTTTAGATTCACAAGACCCTGGCAGGTGATGAATTTTTGATTCAGCTGCGCCTGTCACGCAAAGCGTTTGTTGTGAATCAGTCTCCAGCACAACCAACGCCTCAAGAAAAATCGATATCCATGATGCTTCGTACAGCAGCTCTCCTCACACTCGCTTCATACGTCTTAGGACACGGCTACATTAGTGAATGTAAGTGAGAGTGTGCGCGGTGAATACAAATACACGCGCATACACACACACACTCCAAAATCAGCTAACGCCCCGCTCAGTCTACATCGGCGACCAACGCCACGATGGTTCCCAAGCCTCTCAGGCTGGCCCAGCGTGAGTCAGGGCATAATGTATTCCTGTCTCTGCTAATGTCCGTCCAGCATACGTGGTGTTCCAAGTGACTTGGGATATGTCAAATAGTGAGCCTCATCCCTCGCCGTCTCCTACCACCTAATTCGCCCCTTCCAGCTGGAACCTCAACAATGCAAACGTTGTAAGTAAAATTTTCACCTACCCAACCAACTTAACAAAGCGCAGGTATGTAATGAAAACGGCAACCAGCCAGCACAGCAGACAGTAGACGCGTACGCAGGCGACGTGGTCAAGATGCGCTGGCACGGTGACCGCGGTCCTACCGGCGACTACTGGGGGCACTACGAGGGACCGATCATGTCGTACATGGTTCCATGTAATGGTGACTGCACGCAGTTCACACCAGACGAAAACACTATGATGTTCAAACTCGACGAGGCTGGTCTCGACACATCGAAGCCACGCTCTCCTCAAGGCTTCTGGCCTACTAGACCTTCCGGACAAGGTCAATGGGCTCAGGACAGGATGTCGACTGAGCAGCAATCATGGTGGCAGACCACCATCCCATCCGATCTCGCTGAAGGTCAATACCTCCTCAGAAACGAAATCATCAACTTGGCTTCAGCTAAAAGCGCTAACCCTGGTGGACACACTTGGCCAGGCGGTATCCAGTCCTACCCACAATGTATCCAGCTTAATGTTAAGGGCGGTCAAGGCGTCACACCACCTATGACCAAGGCTACAGAAGTCTTCACTGAGGATGACAAGTTCTTGAACATCTACACTCCAGGTCCTGATGGTATTGCTTCTTACGATATCCCAGGCCCTGCTCCATACGTTCCTGGCTCTAATAACCAGAAACGTATGCGTCGTCACTCTCGCCGTAACGCTCACTAAGTTAGCTCTTTGACTCTTTAAATAGAGTGGAATCACTTTCTCTTTTTAACCATTTACGTTTCTTAGCTTTATCTTTCCACGACATTTCTCGGACTGGTTTCGGATCTTGTCTTATTTTTATTGTCATAAATTGTTCTTGAGTGCAAGTATATTTTTGTCTGAAGGCGCTATTTTGTTGCTCTCACAACTCATTTATATGTTTACAACAGGTTTTAATATGCAAGATGAAGATACTCTAACGACGCGACGAGCGAGCAGCAACCAACCTGTCGCGTTCTGAACGCTGATTTTGCCAATGGAAGGTGGCATTTCTAAGGCTTGTCAGTCGAGTACACACAACACACGGAAACCCACCTCATTCTGTTTATTGCAATCACCGCAAATGCTGCACTGCGGAATTTGGTCGATGCTTTCTTTTGTGGACGCTTTGCCATCTCTTCCATAAATCCTATCTTGGATATAGCTGCGATAGTGGCGTCTTGTCTGTAAAGCCGTGTTAGTTTTGTGACCACGTGCAATGTATACACCTACGTCAATCTCAATCCTCCGACTAATAGTAACAGGTACTTTTTTTGACAGATAAGATCCTCTCGCAATGTCCTCTCTCGTGAGAATTTGGCTTTGTGATACTTGATCTCTATAACAAGACCACGGCGTTCCTTTATAAAGTTGTTGCGCTCCTCCATCGACATACTATCTCTTCTGCTGTTCAGCTGAGCTTCCAATGCACGTACATTAGCTTCAGAAGACGTGAGCTCATCTCTGAGCTTGTTGTGTGATGCCATTTTACGATGCTCTAATCCATCACGCTCATTCTTGAGCATCTCAAGATCTTGTCCGAGTATGATAAACTCTCTGTTCATCCTGTTGAGATCTTTTTCTTGTCTGGCGAGTTCTTCGTGTGTGTCTCTGCCCTCTTCCTGCAACTCCGCATTAAGTTTTTGGAGTTCTTCACACTCATCCACCTTGGAGTCGTACCTCCTTCTCATTTGTGCTGTCTCCGTCAGTTTATTCTCCAATCTCATCACCTTTGTCTCTGCCTTCTGGAGCTCATCTTGTAGCGTATCGCTCAGCTTTCGTATTACGTCAGCTGATTTTGGTTTACTTTTATAATTTCGACGCCTACCTTGACAATGTTCTCTCGCTCTGCAATTAGTGCTTCTATCGACTTCCTATCCTCATCCTGACCTTCATGTACTTTCTGCAGCTCAATCTCCAAATCGTGAACTTTGTCACTACTTTCCATCAACTTATTGATTATAGACTTCTGGTCAAAGCCACTCTTTCCTAGCATGCGCAGATTGTTATCTACTTGGCTATTAGCACCATCTAGTTGCTCTCTGAGAGCAGCTACTTGTGCTAATAGTGGCTGTACATCTCCAGCTCCGATCGTTGTTTGGTTCAACCAGGTATCATGACCCATCCACTCAGGTGTAGCTGGTGTCTTTGGCATCTTGAGGTTGATGACGCTCTTGTGAATAGCTGGTGTAGCGTCAATCGTGTCATATCTAGATTTGTTCCTTGGTGTAGATTGGTTTTGCGATGGACTGCGTGTTTTCAACATGTATACTTCCTCATTGAGTCTCCTAGTGTCCATTCTCAAATTCTCCATCTCAATCTGATTCGATTGTAGTTGTTGATCCATATCTTGGTTCACTTCCTTGTACTCCTCCATACGACTATTGTACATCGTTTGACGACGCTCGAGCTCGACATCCAGATCTTGAAGGTCAGCCTCAAGTCTGCCAATCGCACGCTCATACTTATCTTTCTCGTGGTCAAAGTCTCTATTGAATTTGCGTGCATCATTAACTTCCTTGCTCAGTTGATACTTGTCGTTGTCAAGGTTCGCTACTTCCTCTTCGAGCTTTTTAGACCGCGATTTGTAATGTAACACTTCGTCTTGAAGTTTATCCACTGTGTAAGATAGCTTTTGCACCTCATCTGATGATGTTTGAGATTTTGATGTATGTAAACGATTGATTTCATCTCTCAGCTGCTGTGTCTCCGCATAGTGTTCATCTCCAATTAATCTTAGCTGCTCTTGAGCTTCAAAGGCATCCTCTTTCGCAGTTTCGAGTGCAGAAACAAGCTGATTGTTCTCCGTTGCGAGGTGTTCGTTGAGTGAATTCAAATAAGAGTTCAACTTGGTGCCATCGAATCTATTACCTGATTCGTTTGCAGTGATGTTTGCATTAAAGTTGTTTGGTTGACGCGGAGTTATAAGATCGCTGTTAGATGAAGCAAAAGATGGATCGTTGTTATCGTTAGTATCATTGTTATCATTGTTATTCTCTAGAGGCTTCCTTGAGAATGAAACTGTCTTAGGGAATGGTGTCGTGTTGACATTTGGCTTTGCCTTATCCTTCATAGCAGACATGAGTACATTTGGTTGACTTGTTAGTCGTTTTGACGCGTCTTTTGGTGTTTTGTTGAATTTATTTGGCGTTTGAGCAACATCTGATATTACTTTAGGTCTTTCAACCTCTTTAAAGCCCTCCTTAACGTTCTCCTTGACTTTCTCCTTAACGTTTTCCTTAACTTGTGTCGCTGTCTCGTTCGATTCAGTCTCCGTCAAGCCTGAATACTCCTGATCATCAATCGAAGGCAGAGAAACAAGCTCCTCCTTATCCTCCTCATTTATCCTCCTTAAAATCCGCGAAGGTGTCTCGTTGAGCTTGAGCATTTGATGATGACGATATGAACTAAGTCAACCTTTTGTACATTTGGTTATAAATTGGGTATTAATAGATGAAAATCATTTTCTACAAATCTTTAACAAAATTATTATCTTTGAAATCGGGTAAATTCTTTCTCGTTTATAGGAAAAATTGCGTGCTATTAGACTGCGTTAGTTATCCGCGTTTAGTCTACTCAATAAGTTAACTCACTTTAACCTCGAGCTTGCGTGTACTCTCATTTCTTCCATTTTGAACGCGTTCATTTCCTCTTTTATCATTTGCGCCAATTCAGGTGTCAGTCTGTTACATGTCGCAGGTTCTCCCCTTCTATCATATATTGTAGCAGGCCAAGTTGTTTGAACCCCCATAGAGTTGGCAAATGAACACTTTCTCTTTGGTTGAGCAGCCAAATTGATCATTGCTTGTACTGGTAATGCAGAAGTTGAATTATTGTGATTTACTAAAGGTTTGTCGATTGGTTTGTGCATCGATGACGGTCTTGAGGCTATACCATCAATCTTATCTGCATCCGGTGAAGGTAATTGATGAGAAACTTGCGGTTGAACTTCCCGACCATCCTCATCTTTCATTATATTGGTAAAGGTAAAAGAGTTTGACCGACCACGTAGCTGCTGTCTTTCTTCAAAATCCTCTTGACGGTATGTTCTTGCTCCTTTCAATATGCCTTTCAAAATATGCTCACGACGATGTGGCGCGGCATTCGAATCATACTGACAAGAACCATGCCACTCTTCTTGATGAATTTGTACTCCTTGTAAACCTTGCGTTAGATCATCATCATCTTGTGATACTATTGAATCGCCATCTCCTTTCGCTTCAATTGCACCTGGCAATCTTGACTTACTATCACTACCTGCGTGATTATAGCTATTTGAATTAAGGCGACTTGAAGATTTAGACGATTTAGATGATTTAGCTGATTTAGCCTCAGCTGCTGCAACTTGTTCCTGATGCTGCTTGACTAGGGCTGCTGCTGGACTCAAACCATCAATATATTCAGGTTCTTCATTAATGATTGAATGTCTATCAACTTCAGCAGTTGCATGACTTATTGAAGTCGATGGTTCCTTCTTACGTTTATTCTTCTTCTTCTTTTTCAGCTTTGATCCAATAGATTTGTTGTTCATATCCTCTGGCTCTTCACCACCACTATCTCTGTCTTTATCCTTGTTAAATAGATTGGTAAGACCAGCAAATGAGCTTCTTCTTGCTATTTTACCAACGCTACCAATCTTACGTAACATAACAGATGCAGAAGAAGCGGCTGAAGAAATGGAAATGTTATCAGTTGAGACGTTAAATTTGGAATTGAAAATGCTATGCTTTTTAGCTGGTTTCTCGTTAGCTTCATTATTTTCACCTGGTCTAACTCTATTCGATTCAGAGATTGTTCTTGTCCGTGGTGGTAATTGTGGTGAGGGTGATTGTTTGTTAGGCTGAGTTTGAGGCTGAGACTTCGTCGCTAGTGGTGAAGAAGCTGATGAATTTTTACCGATAGCGCTATCATCGATAGGAATTCTTTCACTTATATCATTTGAACTTGATAATGCTCGTTTAAATCGTGATTTTAGACCTGGTTTATCAGTCTTATTCGCAATAGTATCATTCAAATTATGCGGTGATTGTTGTGAAAGTGGTGATGGCCTTACATGTTGTGATTGTTTGTTGTTATTTAGACTAGTTGGAGAATCTTTGTGAGTTGATTGAGGTGATTGAGTGGCTTGAGTAGCTGAAGACTGCCTAGAAGATCTTGAATCGTTTGAGCTATGAGAATTCTTGCGCATACGTCCCATTGGAGGGCTGAAATCATCCACAAGATCATCGTGCTTTTTGTGAGAGCTAGAAGCACCAGTAGCTGGGGTTGATTCCGTTCTATTTACCATAGGGCGAGAAGTAGGTGATGCTACACTGCCTGGACCACTTGGGCTACCCGGACCACCCAAACTACCAGTACTACCCTTGGTAGTATTCCTCACAATCAAATCATCCTTTGATAAAGCATCGGATTTTGATCTCCTATGATTAGCGGTTGAACGTGGATTTAAAGAAGCGACTTGAGAGTAAGACTGTGATTGTTGCCTAGACTCTTGATACGGATGCGTTGAGCTCGGTTTTTGCGGCCCAGAGGATGTTCTTCTCCGGCCAGTAAAATCTGGGTTAGGCGGTGTAAACATGTGATTCTGTTGTAGCATGAGTTGCTGGTGGTGATAAGCGGCTGCAGCGGCTGCCCATTGTTGTTGCTGCTGATGAAAGAATAGCGCTTGATTCGTTGGGGCTGGTGGTGCGTACAAGAAAGGGGATTGAGTGGGTGATGACACGGGCGAAGACTGTGGAGATGCTAGCATTGAATTAGAATTAGAATTTGATTGTCTTTTATTTGATAATGACTGCGTTTGTCTATGATGAGGGAATTCCATTGAAGGATGCTGGTCCAATTACCATTCAACGCTGGCTGCTGTGTGAGAATGCGTGTCGCTGCCAAATATCAAGTCAAGACACACGCTAGATATCCTTTGTCTTAATTTTTATTATCTAAAGCCTGCAACAATTGCCTGCTTCGTTGAGTGTCGTACAACGAGTGAGCTACTCAAAAACGGAGATAATGTTTGATATTTTCATTTTTATCAAATTATTTATTTTTTATCTCTCTATTCACAGGAGTGTTGTGTAAATACAATTACTATTCTTCTCCTTCTCTCCCGCTCTCTTTTCCAACCGAGTGGATCGCCTCGAGGACTCTGCCAGCTCAACCCTGTTATTCGTTATCTCCTTAAGTAATTTGTAACACTTTGCAGCTCGTCCCACTCCGTTGTACCTCCTCTCAGCCCCGCTTGTTCTCCTATATCGTACACATAGAGGTTTCCATCACTCGATCCAAGTCCAACGCGTTTACCCTCCTTGCGCTCCCATGACATCCTGTTCAATGCTCTACTCGATGGTACTGCACTGCTTATTGGCACTTCCGTATCCACGTTTAAATTCCACAGTTTAAACTCCCCGCACCCATCCACGGATCCAAATACTGCTGGGTGATGCGGATGCCATTTCGCGTCATATACGCAGTCAGTGTGTTCATCAAAAGTCTGCAATGGTTTGTGGTGTTGTTGTGTGTGCTGTGTCTGTGTCTGCTGTTGCTGCTGCTGCTGCTGCTGGCCATTCGCTGCAGTTATACCTTTTGTTGACCACAGCTTAATAGTCCAATCTATCGAGGTCGTCAAGAAAAGGTCAGTGAAATCATTCGTATTGGTCGTCGTCCGATTGAGTGAGAGTGGATGAAAGTCGAGTGAGTTGACCGGCGCACTGTGGTCCGAGTAAATCTCATTGTGATCTATGCCCGCCTTTACTCCTGCTCTGTCATGTCTGTGGGCATGGTAGATTGCACCCTCTTCCGTGCCCACGTAGAATGACATTGTCTCGGCGTGTGGTAAATCAAAACATGTTATTGCTACTTCATCTGTCTTGCTATTTCCGGTACGCGACAATTCTATGCTTTCCTATGCGTGTGTTGCGTGTTAGTGAAATGCACCATCTGCATTACGCACTACGCATGACCCACCTGCGGTTGTGCAAGCATATCAACTGTCCACCCACAAACTAAACCATCCGTACTCGTCGTCATGAGATTGTTTGCGTTTTGTGTACCAATCACTTGCATATCGTAAACAGGGTGAGTATGCCCAGTAGCACTTAGTGGTGTTCTCAGTACTGGCGTCTGCTTAGCACGTGTATCCCATAACAATATTTGACCAGAATATGTACCACCAAAGATTAAATTAGCGTGGAATGGTGAGAAGGTCGCACTGAGAACATCTGATTGAGAATGTAACACAAACTCTGGTCGATCTAGCAGATGCATGTTCCAAACGGCGACAATACCATTTGGATCATTGAATGAAGCCGAGTTCTTGTTGTAAGCAGCCAGACTGAGTTCCGAGAACTAATTTGGTTGTGTAAGAAGGTGATTAAACTGGGTGTGTCATTTACTAACAATGTGAGACCAATCAACAGCAGTAATCGAACGGTTCTTAGTCCATTTTTCATCAGCGAAAGAACAAACAAGCTTCATATTCTTTGACTCGTTATCATGATTAGCATTATCCATGGCCATCCGATAATCCCTCGTCACATCATAATTATCTGATAATGCTCGTTGAATCATCTTTGAGGAACTTTCGATAAAGTCACCAAAATCTGGTGAAGTGTATACTGCCAATCTCTCTTCCTCTGAGATATCTAATATCTCTTGATCAATCTCACGCTGAATAGCAGCTTCTTCCTCTGCCAATTTTCTTTCATTTTCGACGCGTAAATGCTCTTCTTTATGCATGCGCTGCCTTAGCTCATCAGCTGTCTCTGTTCCCACAGCTGAATCGACAAGTGTTTCGTGTTCGTCATCAGGTATAAAAGCCGTTTGTACTTCTTTATTGTAAGTGACGGTTTCCTGTGGGAAGAGTGTGAGCATGGGGTACAGTGTACGCACACCACCAACCCACCTTTAAAGGTAAATAGAACACCTCGTGATCGACTGATTGTAGGATAGGCTGCTGGGTACTGTGGGTACTGGGTTGATTAGATTGGCTCAATAGCCCAATTTTCTTTCTCACTATTCAGCTTTTGTAACTTGTGATTCCTCTGCTTGCTCTGATTGACCTTCACGGCGAATATCGTTTGTTCTATCGCTCAGTACCGATGAATTCGATCCAACGAGCGACGCGACAAGATCATCTATCTCTTTCTTCCCTATCCTATTGTAATCCGTAACGCTTGAAATCTCAGCAGCCTGAGCAGCCTGAACAGCCTCGTGAGCTGACTACATGCCATATCGCCGCACACCTACGCCGGCAACGCTATCAGCGGTAGATTTATTCGCACTATCCAACCCCCTCTTTCTTTCGCCTCTCGCTCTCTTCAATTCTCCCAACTTGGCTCTCTTCTCCTCTATCTCTGCCTTGCGACGATCCATGATGGGTGTATGTATAGAGGTGTATATCGGTGTATCCTGGTGATATCGTGGTACAAGCGTGCAATTCAACATTTCAATACTTCAAATACCCAACAGCTAGCAGCGGTGGTCCAGACATCAATCCAAGCCAGAAGAACATGTTAGCAAACTCAGGATATCTTCTGACTAAGGGCAATCTACCAATAGCAATCATTGGCAATTGGGCCATCTGTTTAGTATCTCAGTGGGGTTATTCACGCATTGTCTGACTTATATCCACCTGCAAGACGAACAAATACATTCTATATCCATTTGTTAGTTCGATTGAAAATGTCACTGCCGCTTGAAAAAACACCCACCTGATCTTCTTAGTTACAACAGCCATCACAAGCTCGTGTATGAGTGCAGAAAGCAGAAAGGTGAGCATAGTTGCTGATTGCTTGGAGATCTTATATGTAGAGAGTGTGGAGACGTCTATATGTTGTGTATTGTGAGACGGAACGGTAGCAGAAGCGTTAAAGTCACCCACAGACATGTCTGAGGAGGAACATATGCACTGGTTTATTCCACTTACGCGCAAACTGGTCCCATGTTGTAGCGTTCCACCTGAGGGGAGATTGTGAGTGAGTGAATTAACGATACCTGTCCAGCTCGGCACCCTACCAATCCTCATAAAACTCTCGATCAGCAAATCTCGTAAGCTCAGCAAAGGCGTTGCAGATGCACTCGAAGCTTTACGTAATGTTAGTGTTAGGTGGGCTGCTAATGCAATTGTATTATTGTAGCGACGTACATAATGTAGAATCTGTCATGTCAGCGTGAACATGGTGAACGAAGCGAAACACTCACAGAAGGACGTAGTTGCAGAGAAATGGTATACACAAATCCAACCACGTTCTAGCGAATGCTGTCGAGCTCGTCAGCCAGCCCACTCACATGCATGACATAACACCACTCACATTCTTCCGGACGAGGCATTTTTGGTGAAATGTAATGCTCGCTTATCATGTCTACACCGAGTTAGCCAGCCCTACATACGCGCACAGTCACGAAGCCACCCACAGAGTATGTAGAAAGTACCGAAAGTCGCCAGCGTTTTCTCGATCACATACCACAGTCGCACACGCTCCGTGCGGGGATACTCCAGCTCGTACACGAGCGTAGGAATAAGGAGGTAGTCGAGGAAGTTAGCCAGAGTTACGTTATCCGGATAAGAGATTTTAGTAGGACCATGTGAAGTGATATGTGAAGTGAGCTCGTTGATCTCGCTAGCTACTTTAGCTACATCTGGATTAGAGGAGGTTGTGAGAGGATGGTGATGCACATCGTTGACATGAGCAGTTTCAATTTCGTTTGAGCCTAGAGGTGTGGAAACGCCACTGTTGGATGCTTGCTCTTCTTGCTCAACCCTAGTAATTGCCTTGCTAAACGCTTTGCGCTGTCTGAGGTCGCTCTCGGCTCTGTTTGATACTTCTGCTTCTCTCTGCTCTACGGTGGCTTCGAGTGAGGAATTGCTGAGTTTTGCCAATTGAGCCTCGAGAGATTTAATCTTAGAGTGCAAATTAGCGAAGTGACCATTTGTAGCCATGTAGGAGTGGATCTGGGGTAAAATTTTAGGTTTACGCGTGCATATAAAATCAACACACCTTCATTATCATAGTGAGAGAGTGTAAAGTCAAAAAACCAGACTGAACCCAAGGCCAATTTCTGAACCAGCCAAGTCAGAGAGATGAAAATGAAGTGAAACAACCGTAACACACCTCTGAAAGGCCCAAAAGACGGGTATGGCTAGGAAGAAGAGTTGTAAGACGTGCTGGATAGAGAGACCGACAGCATTATAGCTAATCCAGCCTCTTTGAATGGCTTTGATGAATAGAAAAGAGAGACAAGTGGAAGCGACGAGGATTGCGTCAGAGATAGCCAAAACAAGACCATCTCTGCTGATCAACCTGCCAAAATTTAAGCCTAGAATGCTTCCGGTAGCATCGTAGGTCTCTACAGCCGTGCGTATGCCAGTCATAGCAGCGAAAATCCAAAAGAGAGTGTAGAAACCCCTAAAGGTATCTACAGCGCTGAGCTCATTTTCTCTATCGAAATAAGAAGATCTCTGATGGAAAGTTGATTTCTTTGATTTAATAGGCGCGGGTGTCCCAGAACCGGTCATTTGGTGATCGACGTGATTTAAAAGCCCCTAAGCTAAGGAGAAAGGAGAAAGAAGAAGGAGAAAGGAATAAAATGAGAAAATAAATAATCAATTTATATTAATTTATATTAATTATGATTAATTTAAATTATTTCATCTCTTCGTTATCAACGACGACGTTGGGTTAAGAGAGATGGCCTCAGAAATAGCCCCAGAATGGACAGACAGCGATGCATGCTCGAGATGCCAGAGCGTATTTACGACATTTAACCGTAAACACCACTGTAGAAACTGTGGCAGGGTTTTTGACAGTCTGTGCTGCCATAAACAATTAACGTTACCGCATTGGGGATACAACGATCCAGTTAGAGTTTGTGAGGGTTGCTATTCCCTGATTCTCCGCGAAGGCACAAAGGCTGCTCCTCCATCTGCCATACGTGTTCCTCGCGGTGGTCACGACAAGGCACAGGACAAGGTACAAGATAATTCTCAGGATGCAGCTGATGCAGATCTACTCAAAGCCATTCAGCTCAGTTTGGCTGAGTCTGGTCACTCTTATCAGAATACTGGGCCTGCTATCAACGCTAACAGGCCAGAGCCACCAGAGGATGACGACGATATGAAAGCAGCTATCGAAGCCAGTTTGAAGGATATGCGCAGTGCTCCTCCGGTAGCTGCAGTTGCACCTGTTAGGAGCACTTCGAGCAACCAGAATCACACTCACAAGCCAAGCTACGAATTAGCCACACAAGATCGTGATGCAATATTCTCATTTGCTCAGTCCGTTCAACAGCAGCAGCAGCAGCAACAACACCAACAATATCCAACTCCACCCAATCCAAACCTTGCTTACTCAGCAGATCGCGCACTCAATGCAAAATCGAGATTGTTGGCCGGAGTTAATGAGACAGAAGCGAAAGAGCGTGTTCTGGTTGATATGCATGCCAAAATGACTGAGTCGGTGAGACTGTATAACAGACTACTCGAGTCGCAGATAGAGCAGCGAGAGGAACAGCAGCGGCGGGAGAGTACACCGGTGCAAAGAGCAACACCTTATTATTATCAGCAGCAGCAGTATCAGCAGCAGTACCAGCCGTACGAACAATACCAACAAGATGAACGCTTGCCCAGATACATTGCACCTCCACAACCAACTCCAATACCATCACTGCCATTTGCAGCACCATCTGCACCATCTGCACCACTTGCACTACCAAATGGACAATCTGCACCTACTGCACCATCAAGTATACCACAGCAATTCACAGATACACCCACGCCAATAGAAACACAGTCACAGTCACAGTCGCAGTCGATATCACCAATTCACAATGGCATACCGCAGCAAAGTTATCACCAGCAAACACCGCAACACTGGCAGCCACAACAACCACAGCATTATCGGCAAGAGCAGCAACCGCAACAGCAACCGCAACAACAACCACACCAACAACCATACCAACAAGCTAAATACAATGCACTGGCTGGTCTACCATCTGCGCCGTCGGAGTTGCCAGGCGATAGAATTAATGAGCATGAGAATGAGCAACGACAGCAACAGGAAGCACTGCTGATAGAGTTGTAGGGGGAAGAAAAGAAGGAAGAAAGAAAAACAAAACAAATGAACAATCAAAGAATCAAAATATTGTATTACACGTGATCAAAAATCAACAAACAACAGACCACTCATGTTCTTGTCTGCCTAATTGAATATCCTCAATAGCGTTTCTGAGAGTAGTAGCAAGAGCGCCGCTGCCGTCATGTTCGACGGGAATAGTGATATCTTTATCTCTCCAATTAACGCAAGAGATGGAGGCGAGTATACAAGCTGTGCCACTACCGAAAGATTCGATGACTCTACCTTGTTCAGCGAGGGCAGCCAATTCAGGCATAGTAATTCTTCGTTCCGAGACCTTGAGCGAAGGTGGGAGCTGAGGTTTGAGCCACTGAGGAGGGTTGCGGGTGAGGTTGAGGATGGAATCACGCACCACACCTGGCAGGATCATATCGTTGAGTGGAGGAGTGATAATTTCAGTCTCGCCCTGCTCTCCGCGCACGACGACGAAGAGGTTCATTGTGCCCACCTCAGTGAGTTCCTCTTGTTCACCGAAGAGCCAAAGATTCTGGTCATAACCCTTTTCAGCAGCTTCATGCTGCGGTTTGACACCTTGGACATAGTTGGCTCCGAGTTTGTAGGCTCCTGTACCACCAGGCCAGGCCCTGACGTTCTTGGAGGTCGCGAGTAATTTCACCGGCTTAAACCCGTTCTTGTAGTAGGGACCGACGGGTGAGCAAATGACGTAGAGGAGTGCGTCAGATGAGGCACCTACACCTAAACTAGCTTGTGTGCCAATGAGAGTTGGGCGGATGTACAAGGAGTAGCCAGGTTCCTGTGGAATCCAGTGCTGGTCTAAGAGGACTAACTTACGTATGAGCTGAGTCATAGAGTCACTGTCAAACGTAGGCAGAGCAGCTCTATCAGCAGTTCTGTTCATCCTGGCCATGTTCATATCAGGGCGGAATAATCTGACGTTGGATGACTTGTCTCTGTAAGCTTTCATCCCTTCAAAGAGCTGAGGTGCGTAATGGAAGCAGACAGAAGAAGGGTCTAGAGTGAGTGGACCGTATGGCTTAATAGTAGGAGCACCCCAACCACTGCCAGAATTCCAGGGAATAACGAGCATATGATCACTAAACGTGTGTCCAAATCTTAGAGTATCTGAAGGTGGAGGTGTCTTTGGCTGGCTGGCTTTTTCAATTTGAAGTTTACTGATGTCGATATCAGGCAGAGAAGTAACTTCACCAGTCATAGCATCTCTATAGACTTTTGAAGTTGGACTAGTGGAATAAGCAGCTTTCATGGCATTTGTAGCGTTAGCAGCCACTGAAGGCGTTTTAGCAATATTTTGAGCGATATTCATGGGGTTGATGGTGGTGGTTGTTCTGACTCAACTGTCTATATTCATCATACTCGAATGAGATTACGATTTGCACCTTCACCCACAGGTAGTCTACATATTGGTGGTCTACGTACTGCTCTATTTAACTTTCTGATTTCTTCAAAACTTGGTGGTTCATTGATCCTGCGTATTGAAGACACAGACAGAAAACGTTATCAAGCAGGCGCAATTGATAGCCTCATTAATTCGCTCACTTGGTCTGGAATAACTTTCAACGAAGGTCCTCACATCGGTGGCCCATTCGGATCTTATATCCAATCTGAGCGATTAAGTTTATATAGAAACGCAATTGAGCAGCTGTTGGAGGTATTTATATGGCTTATCATACACACCACCTAACATTTACCAGTCAAACGCTGCTTACCGTGATTACGCTAGTCCTGGGCATCCAGTTAAGACGTGCGATCAACACTTACACAAACCACACGTCGTTAGATTCAAGGTTTGTAGGGTGCTACATTCACTACTCTCTCTAACACCCACAGCTACCTCAATCTGACACTCACTTCACTGACACCGTCTATGGTGACATCACTTTCCCCTCATCTAAACATCCCCAAATGGGCTTCACTAATGACCCTATTCTCCTCAAATCTGACGGATTCCCTACTTACCACTTAGCCAGCGTTGTAGACGATACTCACATGCAGATTTCTCACGTTCTACGCGGTGAAGTGGGTGTCTTACTTAATGTCTTATTCTCTAAACTCACTAATTCTTCACAGGAATGGCTCTCTTCCATGCCAATCCACTTGGCTCTCTACAAAGCTCTAGAACACCCTCCACCTAATTTCGCCCACCTTCCACTGCTCATCAACCCAGACGGTTCGAAGCTATCCAAACGGTCTGGAGATGTATCTGTTGATACTTATCAGGCTAATCAATGGGAACCTGAAGCTCTGATTAACTTCACCGCTCTTATGGGTTGGAATGCTTTGCGCACGGCTGATCCTACCAACCCATCAGATTTCTTATCTATCCAAAGTCTAATTGATCGCTTTGATCTCAGGGACGTTCCTCACAGACGCGCTGCTATGTTTACTGGCAAGTTGCAGTTCCTCAACAAGCAGCACCTCGGCAAAAAAGTAGAGCAAGGCGATAAAGGTGTACTTGATAGATTCAGAGCTATGCTCGATCTGCACCTCTTTGTCGATGGATTCCAATTCGATGATGAGTATTTACTTCATGTACTCATCCTCATTAAGGTGGGTTGCTAAGACATTACTACTACTATGCACCTACTGACTATTTATACTTCAATACACAGGACCGCATCAATAACCTCAGTGAAGCGGCTCAGATGGGCGACTATTTCTTCGTCGAACCTTTGTACAACTCGCTCGACGCTAAGCTCGCGTACGATAGTACTACTAAGGATAATATAGATGCAGTTCTGAAAGCCGTATCTAACGCCTTGCACAATTTACAAGACTGGCAGACAGACACGCTCAACTCTCACCTCAAACACCAACAAAAATTACTTAATTTGAAGACGAATGAGTTCATGATGCCATTGAGATGGGCTCTCACTGGTAAGAAGGTATGAAACATTTCACTCACTCATCCACACTCTCACAATCCTCACAGATGGGTCCGAGTATTGCACCAACCATGCAACTACTCGGTAAAGAAAGAACATTACATAGACTACTAAAATAGATCAAAAGATATTAATTTAATTGTACACATTACAAACTTGTTATATAGTTGGATTTACTACCCCAACGTTGCAATATCACCACCTGCAAATTCTGAAGGATCAGCCATTACATTCTCAAACTTGAGTTGACCATCGGACAACTCCAGCGTATGCGAAGGGTCATTCTTTGCTTTTTGTAACTCCTTAACTTTCTTAGCAAACTCTGTTCGTTCCTGTGCTAATTGCATTCTTGCATTCTCCAAGCTCTTCTTTTCCTCCTCGAGTGTCAACTCTAATTGTTCAAACTGCTCCGTTTTGCACTCGAGTTTCTTTAACTGCGATTCGACAAGTTTGCTAATAAATTTCTCTATATTGTGCTCCTCGTCAGTGGATAGTGTCTTGGCCTTAGCTGCAGCTGCGCCCAGCGCAACCGAAGCCGCTTTTTCAACAGACGTGCGACTCGGCTCAACATCCATCTTCTCCTCACTACCGTTCACATTGGCATTCTGATTTTGATTCTCGCTCTTGCTCTTGCTCAACTCTCCAACCGACGCCTTAGCTGCTGCAGATGCAACGGAGGGGTTCACAACTGAGGCCAAGAATGCAACGACACTCATCACCGGATTATCCGCCTGCGAGAATGGGAACTTGCCATATGCCAGCGGACCAAGATCGCCTTGGGACGCCATGCCCTGGAACTGTGCATCTCGGTGAGTGTTAGTGTTAGTATTGGATGATGCAACCAGGTATGGATCTTCAATGGGTAGCTGCAGAAACTGCGCAATGCAACTCTCCCTCGACCTTGTGCCCACGTGCTCAGCTACCGAGTTCCAGTCGTCGTCATACTGCTCCAGGCCTTCGAGCAGCAGCAATGTCTCCTCATCTGTCCAAGGCTCCCCATTACCGTCTCCATCTTCCTCTCCTCCTGTGCCATGTTTGTATTTGTGATTGGTTATTCTGATAAAGTCGCCAGAGAACATGCTCGTTGGGAATCGTCCATCGAGATAAGCCTGCGGACATAAAACATAGTCGGGGTTTTTGATCGAATGGTACCGCTCTTGTGTGCACTCTGTGCCTGTAACATCACAGAAGTATCTAACTTCTCCGGAAACTCCATCGTCATTCTGCGTTTTGAACTTGTTCGCTGTCTTGGCCGTCTCGTCAGGATCCTCCGTAGCTTTGTATGAGGAGGTGTTGTAGATACCCTTGCGCAGCTCGACGTTTGGTGGTTGAGATGATTGCTGTGGTACTTGCGCTGGTTCGGTTTTAGCCGCTGTTTTCGTTGCAGGTTGAGTGCCCGGATGAAGCGGCTGAAGACCTCTAGGAGTATCGAGTGTGACTCTAAAATGACCCGTGAAAGGTGGTCCAAGTGCAGCTGGACGTGTATCTGGATCAATTTGGTAATTAATCAATCCCCACTGCTCCAAGAAAGCGTGGACACGCATAATAGCGCAGACGTCACCAGCTAAATTACGTCTGCAAGCAGTGAAAGTGAGATACTCAGACGGATTGAGTCTGTAAGTGTTGATGATAAAGTCTCTGTACTCCTTATAAATTGTAGGTGTTTTAGACCTGTTGCGGTTATTGAAAAACTCCGGCAGAGATCTTTTCTCAATAGCGTTTATCTGACCGAACTTAAACCAAGAGCTGTAGCTGGGTATTATAACTTCTTGCGTCTGAGCAGCTAAGTACTTCTGAGCTTCTTCCTGTGAATGGTACTTGTACTGTTCCCTTGCGATTGCATTTTCATCCGCGTTTTCCATCTTTACGTCGTCGCTGACATTGTCATCTGGATTCTGAGATATATTCGATATTTCACCGCCAACAACTGGATAAGCTTCATGCTGGTGGTCGTGGTGAGTTGAATACCACGCCATCCACGCCCAACTACCCGCCTACCTTCTTTCCATTCGCCGGATCAACTGGACTGACGCCGTTCGTTTCTGACATTGCTGATGGCTGTTAAGAATCAAGCCTTGTTTAGAGCGATATCTGTTTTTTTATAAAATGTCCATCTATTATAAGAGATTACCTGGGTTGGTGCCTTATAGCTCTGCGCTAGCCTTGCAAGACCGTCTCATCGCTGCAAAGCCAAATATCCACATCCTCCTCCTCCTCGAGCACTCCCCCGTATATACCGTTGGAAGGCGCATTAAGGATGAGAACGCTGAGGAGATTTCCAGGCTGCGTAATTTAGGCGCTGACTACCAGTTCACACTCCGTGGTGGCCAGATTACCTTCCATGGTCCTGGCCAGTTGGTCGGCTATCCGATATTCAATTTAGCCCGAATGCAGCTCAGCGTGAGAAATTATGTCGATTTGGTTGAAAAGTCGCTTATTAGAATGCTCGCCGATCAATACGCTATACGAGGCATTACTTCTGAGCACACAGGCGTATGGCTTGATGATGTCCACAAGATTGCTTCTATCGGCGTACAAGTCAGGCATCGCATCACTTCCCATGGTTTTGCAATAAACATCACCAACGAGCCATTAGATCCGTGGTTCAGTAGCATTGTAGCGTGCGGGATACACGGCGCAAAGATGACCTCCGTCGCTTCAACACTCAAAGACAACTCCAATTCCATATCCATGCACGATGCCACCCATGCAGCTGCGAAAGCAATTGGCAATGTCTTTGGTATGCATGTACAACAACTAGACGATCCTCACTTAGATGCGATAATATCTGATAGTCTAAACAGTATTGATTAATGTAGCTTTATTATATCATCCCCCTTAGCTTTGCTGCCTCCTGCTCCATCCATACGTGAGCTTCTACTACCAAACTGCATAGCGCGTTTGGCGCGTTTAGATGCGCTCATCAGACCTTCTGATGCTGCCAATATGCGTAAAAGACGCTTATCGCCCAATTCCGCCTGTCTAAAATCAGCCTTCTGGTGCAGCGGCAGTTTGCTCAGCCACTCAAGCAGTGGATAAGCAAGGAATGGGAATCTGACTTCACGTGAATGATGCGCGATCACTCTATCGTCGCGTCCCAAATTGCGGGAAGGTAATCTATCCAAATCCATCTCTAGCTGATAAAAGAGTTAAATGGAACAATTATCCATACTTCACCACCCACCTCATCTGCTACTCCCTCCCAGCCTCCTTTCTGATATGCCACTCGATGTCTGCCATACCCTCCCAAAGCCTCGTCTGCTCCGAGTCCACTCAACAGTACTCTGGCTTGCGTTGTGTAGTCCTCCCCTGTGTTAAAGAGATGCCCGTTTCCGCGCGATGCAAAATATAGTGGAGCAGCGAGTGATAGGTCCATAACGGTGTTCTTTGGATACATAAGCTCAATAACGTTCTGTTTTTCACAATTGTAATCCTGACGTAAAACCGAGTGAGTAAGTGGGCTCATGTATAATGTTAGCATAAACACACCTCTGTTGATATGTCAACATTTACTAGTCTAAACTCTCTGTCTGAATGCAGCTTTTCTAGCTCCCCCACCGCTTCCAACGCTGTTTGACGATCAGGTGCCCGACTGCACACCTCACGAACGGTTTCAAGGGAGGCATTTGGAGTAGCACAGAATGCCACATTGATTAGCTCTATAGGTTCAGAAATTGGTAGCAGTTTTGATGCCAGATGTGCAACTAAGAAGTGTAAGTTGAAGGTTTAGACGTGTTTCACAACCCACCCATAGTGCAGTCGATGCCACCAGAGAACAAGACAGCTAGTTTGCATTCTTTGATGTTCGAGGTTGTCTTGTTGTGGGTGGGTATACACCTAACGCGTTTGTCGACAGCTTGAGTGAGTATATGATGGAATTCATCTATAACGTTTGCTGGTATGTGCTCTACTGATTCACTATCTGTAAATTGTCGATTAAGTTTAACCGTTGAAGACCTTTTATGCTTAATTAAGGTGTTATCAGACTTTAATTCGTAGAGGTAAGTTGCGTCACATTCTTCCCAAGATAATGAAGGGTGAGGAATGGAGGAAACAATTATGCCATCATTTGAGATAGACATGACAAGGCTTCTACGGCCAAGAATATCTCTTCCAAAGAAGGTTGATTGGGTGGTCGCAGAGTGAAAAACAAAAGCACATGGATCGGCAAATTTAAGAAGAAATTCGCGCAGATCAACGTGATTAAGGGTAGATAGAGTGTTTAATAGAATGACGCCATCATTTTTATCATCCGGAACCTTTTAAAACGAGATTAAGTGATTTGTGGATGGATTAACACGAGGATTACCTTGAAGCTATCAAATATCTGACCATTGTAGCATAGAATATCACCATTGTTAGATCTTAAAGGCTGTTGAGTGATCTCTGTACCGCGTAAATGCAAAACAGAGCAAGAATAACTGCCTGAGAGAGAATTAAGAGTTGAATGGAAATCAGGGCCACGTCGTTTAATCCTTGTGAATAAATCTGTCGAGTCAAAAATTTCAAAATTATTTATTTTATTGAATATGATTCCACACATTTCACTCCGTTTAAACGTTCGCTGATGGACTCGATGGACTCGATTGATGATAATCCATTCGCAGATATGCAGAGAGATAATTTTGAGCAATTTAAGTCAATTTCTTTAGCGGATGATGACGGCGATAAGGAATCTTTATCCGATCGGAAGAGGAGTTTATCGTTGCAGCAGCAGCAATCTCAGCAGCGGGAGCATCAGCATCAGCAGCAGCAACAGCAATCTCAACAGCACCAGCAATCTAAAAAACCATACGATATATCCGTCTGTGATCCTCAGAAGATTGGAAACCCCACAAACTCATACATCCTCTACACTATCAAAACTCACACCAATATCCCCACTTACAGACAGAGCTCTCTAACCGTCTTACGCCGTTACAGTGACTTTCTATGGCTCTATGAGAATCTCTGCAAGAACAATCCAGGCGTATTCGTACCACCACCACCGTATAAACAATCTTACGGTCGATTCAACTTGGACTTTATCGAACAAAGACGCCAATCATTAGAAAAGTGCTTAATTAAAAGCGCAAATCACCCTCACTTATCCAACGATGAAGACCTCAAACTGTTTTTAGAGAGTGATTCTTTTGCTTTAGATGTGAGTTTGATATATGCCATCCTCAATCACAAGCTCATCCTCTCACATACAGGTAAAACAACGCCAACTTGATAAAGCTGAAGGAAAATCTGTACTTGCTTCTTGGAGTTCTTCTATAATAGGTCCCAAGTTCATTGAATCTGGTGGGCTACTTACTACTAAATCTATCAATCCACCTTACCCACTCTCACAGATGAATGGTTTGATATCGAAAAGCAACGAATTGAGGGACTGGAAGTTCAACTCAAAGCTCTTGTCAAATCTTTGCAATTTCTTTCGGTTCAGCGCTACGATTTGGCTTCTGCACTTGCTGATCATTCTGAATCATTACTCGAACTATCCAAACAATACACCAATTCTGAAACTCTTACTAGGCTCTTTCAGATACTGGCCGATCTTTCAACCAAGTCTAAAGGTGGCGTAGACGAGCTTATCAAGAGTGATGCCTCATCTTTCGCGGCTACTGTAGAAGAATATATGCGTGTCATTGCATCCATCAAGGTGCGCAGTATTAAGTTGATATTAATATCCACTAATCATCGACCTTAGAACGCATTTACCACAAGAATCGACCTATTTCATGATATCAAAGCAGCTGAAAACTCGTATAACAAAAAGAAATCAACTTACGAAAAACAGAAATCTGTCGGTCAAATTCACCAGTACAATATCGCCTACTCACTCAAAGACCTTGCTATGGTGGGTTAGAGTCTTTTTCTATATCGCTAAACTAAATCTTATTCAGAGTGAACACTCGGCACACGAATCTTCGCGTCAATTTGAAAGAGTGAGCCTTTTGATTAAAGATGAAATGTCGTCGTTCGATAAATTGCGCATGGAAGATTTCAAATCCAGTCTAAAGGATCTGGTAGCTACGTTGCTCAAATCACAAACAAGTGTAAGTCATCCAATTATTGATTTTATTCCACCTCTAATCATCTGTTAGATCCACGAAGGCTGGGTCAACTACGAACGAGAGCTAAAAGCCTTTTATGAATAATGATACCCGTTCAAAAATGCACCTATATTCATCAATGAACTAGGCTTATAAAGTCACCAGACATTCGCTGTGTCTGTATCATGTGAAATAAATGCATTGAAATTTAGTATAAGCATGTAACGTAAATCAAATAAGATATAAAATCAAACCGAAAAAACTTATCCAGACCATTCAACGGTTCTCAAATCAACACCTTCTTGAACCATTTCCCATAGTGGTGACATATCCCTCAGTTTGTTGACAACACCGACAATCTTGTTGACAACCAAATCAATCTCTGCTTCAGTAGTGAACCTTGAGATACCGAAACGAAGCGAGGAGTGAGCCATTGTGTCGTCAGCACCCAAGGCTCTCAAAACATATGATGGTTCGAGCGAAGCTGATGTACATGCAGAGCCCGAAGACAGAGCAACGTCATTCAGTGCCATTAACAGCGATTCACCTTCAACGAATCCAAATGAAAGGTTCGTGCAACCTGGATAAGTTGCTGTTTCGCTACCATTCAAGTTTACGTGTTCTAGTTTCCCAATGATACCATTCAAAAGCCTCTGTCTGAGTGCGCTTATTCTATCATGATCGTGCTGATTACATTGTTAGCAAATAGTTGCAGAAATCATGGTGATTTTCGGATACTCGTTACCCCTGCACACAAAAATCATCGATGAGCGTTTAGCATCTAAACCTCCCTCCTTTATTGAATGTGCATTATTTTTAATCATCGTAACCATCACCATTGATTAATTATTCACTCACCTGCATCTCTGCCTTACCAATACGACAGGCTTCACCGAATCCAATAGCCAGTGGAGCTGGGACGGTACCAGATCTCAGGCCTCTTTCTTGACCACCACCGCTGAAGAGAGGATCTATTCTGACTCTTGGGCGACGTCTAACATACACTGCACCAACACCCTTTGGACCATATATCTTGTGAGCAGAAAGCGACATTAAATCAATATTCATGTCCTGTACGCTCATAGGAATCTTTCCTAAAGCTTGTGCAGCGTCTGTGTGAAAGTGAACACCCTTGTATTTACGAAGCATCTCTCCAATTTCCTTAAGTGGTTGAATAACACCAATTTCGTTGTTGACGGCCATGATAGATACAATCGATGTGTCAGGTCTGATAGCCTTTTCGAGCTCTTCAAGTGAGACCAAGCCATTAGTTTGCACTGGCAAGTATGTCACATCAAAGCCCTCCTCTTGCATTTGGCGGCACGAGTCCAAAACACACTTGTGCTCCGTTTGGGTGGTAATAATGTGCTTCTTTCTGTTCTTGTTAAATCTAGCAACACCCTTTATAGACATGTTGTTAGCCTCTGTGGCACCTGATGTGAAAATAATATCCTTAGGGTCTGCACCGATGAGACCTGCGATATGCTTGGAAAATATCAGAATTACATATATGTATCAGGTAGAAACTCACGCTTCTAGCTTCTTCAACACCATCTTGAGACTCCCACCCATATACGTGTGTTCTCGAATGAGGGTTACCGTATTGATTTGTAAACCAAGGCAACATCTTGTCAAGAACACGTGGATCGAGTGGTGTCGTAGCTTGTGCATCCAAGTAAATAGGTCTTCTTGGATCTGCTGATTTGTGCTCAGCACTAATGTTGAATCCGAAGGAATCTGGTTGGTTAGTGAGAATTGGGCTATGTTGAGAGCTGACAAATGCGTACCGAGTGGTGCAATGATTGCCTGCGAGTCCAAATCCTTTGGTGCACTTAAAGGCCCAGAGCCTGAATCCACAGTGGTGGCCATCCCCTGAGGTGACGATGGTGTGGCGAGCATCCTTGATTGAACCAAAACTCTACGAGCATTATTTGATAACGCTCCTTTGCTTGAAAGGCCTTTAATAATTTGTTTAGACAACATTTTCAATTAAGCCGTGGATGTTATGATGGAAGATGTCATTGACGTTCAACGCCAATTGTGTATCAGAGATTGAAAATTACAACAGCAATTCTGACTTTCAGCGAGGATAGACTGATGAGTTGTTTACCAAGTATAATCATCAAATTTATGTGGCTGTACGATGTTGAAGTCGTTGATGTCAAATCTTAGATAGCTCAGTTCTGCATCGAGGTGGCTCAGCTACTTACAAGTCATAGTCTTCAGCTTGGAAATCTTGGTTAAAACCGAACTGATCCTTTCCCATTTCCAGATTCTCATTCAGTGTCGCTGTCTTGGGACATTGCTCGTCTACCTCATACGTCAACGACGGGAAAGAGTCGCTTTGAGAGTCCGCGAGTGTTGGGTCTGGCTTAATAGAGAACATTTCATCCAAACTGAATGACTTGCCGCCGAGAAGAGTCTCTTGTCCAGAAATCTGTGGCAAGGTCAATGGTATCACCAGCTAAAATGCTAATGTGATAGTTACTGCGTTTGATGAATGCGTGTTAGTGACGTCTCTGAAGGGTGATTGCAGCTTGGTCTCTTTAGCCTTATCCATCGCGCTACCCGTTCTCTTGATGCGATTTTCGAGAACCTGATCAAGATACACTTGGAAATTATCGCGAGACGAAACCGCTGGCAGCTGCATGGTTGCCTTCTTCCTATTCAATCTCTTTTTGCGCTTTTTAGGAGCGCGTTTGCGCTTCCTCGTTGCTGCATTTCCCTCCTCCTCATATGCCTTAAGTCCACCTGGTAATATAAGAGATAGGAATGTTTAGGCCAGAGATGCGCGTACATATGTTGCAGAGATATGCCTGGGATATCTCAGATAGTAAACCAATGTAGATTTCACACATACCTGGGTAACGGGATGTCTGCGCCAGAGAGATGTCTGCGAAATTGGTAAATTGTCGCTGAAAAGCTATTCAGGCGCACAGTATTCACAAAGCAGCGATCGCAATTGACGCCATTGATTTCTCCTTTCATTTTTTGAAGTAACTGAATTCGCAATCTTGATCGTGGGAGATAAAGATGCAAACGCAATCCCTTTCTAATTGTTCTTTTGCAAAGAGTACTGTCTATTCATCTCGTCTTGTTTCCAGGCAATCTGTCCAAATATACGTCATTTAGGAGGCTCTTATCAAGCTTGCATTGACGATTTGAGAAGTGGTTAAGCGTTGTAGACAGATTATGACTTCGCTTACTTTGGTGACGCTACTTCAGCCTTTTTGCTTCCAAAAAAGGTTGCCCGAAGTGCCCTTTTAGCCTTTTGAGGGTAAATTTTCCTGTAATATGCTTTGGCATATCCAAAGTGAGTAGCAAGAAAGCGCAGAAAGTCTCCGTATGCGACGATGATGATAATAATGAGACCTGAATATATTGTTAAGACGATGCATTTTTAAACTGCGTTCATCAGTGGATAGATAGATAGAAATCATAATATATAGTCAAAAGCGTTAAAACCATGAATAATCTTCGCCTGTCTATACTTTTTGTGCATTGAAAGCTGACAATTGTAGTGACTCAAAGGAATACGGTTCTTGGCATGTGTGCCGTAAATTGGGAGGTAGCTACGTGGAGCTACCGGCGTCCATCAATACTTCTTAAAGCAAGAAGAGTCAGAAGGGGTGGTGAATTTACTGGAAGCGTTTCTTGATTAGCGTCGTAACTTGTAAATTTTTGTGGTCCTCGATTACATTGAGCCACCGGGGGCACCCTCCGATTCTTCTTTCAGCTAAAAAAAACTCTAAAATGTCTTTATAATATAAAGACACACTGACAACAAAATCATCAATCCTTGTTAGTATATCGGTTAGTACGCCCGCTTGTCACGCGGGAGAGCTGGGTTCAACTCCCAGACAGGGAGTGTTATTTAATTTTTGGGAATACTTCGCCATATTTTTGTTGTTTTCAAACATTCAATTTTGTTGGTACCTGAAGATCGTTTGCCAGTGTCTGAATATATAATTTCGCTAACAAAATGACATTGTGGCAATGTATCCGTGAAGGGAATCCAATACTTTGCGAATAGATATCATCAAGAATTTTTATTAATACTATGTTCCAAAGAACATATTCAAGTTCTCCACTTGGTTGAATACGTAGTCGGGCGGTGGTGATATCACCACCAAGACACCGGGTGAAAACACAAGTAATTGATTTTTAACGTTTAAAAATGACACATTAAGATACAACATCTTCTCAAAAAAAAAATAGATGTGATATTCAATTAGAAAGTATAGTTCGTTGATTGGTGCATGACAAAAAAAGTATCCTCCTGCTCACAATTTGAGTGCTTGTAAGTCGTATTGATAGCGCTAGATTTTCCAAGTTATTAATTATAGGCTGTAATAATCATTTTTGTACTGCGCCGATGCATTTAGTTAGAAATACACGTTACTAAGTACCAAAGGCTGATACGAAGATAATAGTGTGATGTGTGCAGAAAAAATCAGCAAAAATAGACAAAAATCAATCAATTTCTATCGATAAAGTGTCTTAATAACTGCAGTTGCTTATCAATCGCGGAGGTTAGGTTAGATTATGACAACGCATGAAGCATTCCAGACGCAGGAAACTAGCTCACAACTAGCGCAAACAGTTTAATATTACATACTCATTCCTCGCGTTGGTATGAATATGATTTTTAGTTTTTTACTGTCACGTTAATTTTTTCTTTCGTGAGGCTATAAAATGCGGCCGCCCCTCATCTTTGTTTCTTCATACTTACCTTGGCGAGGCTTCTGATCTCATGTACATTGGAAGTCGTGTTGACCGTCTGGGCATTGCACGGCGACAGTAGCCTACTCAGAAGGGATGCATTGTGTAGACTTCGGTTTACATATTGCCTGAATATTTTGCACGCCTTCTACTCTACTCTGTAGGGTGGATGGCACTGTCCTTGTTGTTTTCGCAGCTTTGATTGTGCTATCTGACCTGTTTAGTGTTTTGTAATGCGTTTTTGCTATGTAACTTGTAGCTATTGGCGGTCGTCTGCATTAAGTTTTAGTTCCACCCGTCAATTCCAATTCAATAATGCATGCAAATAATATCAATCAATGCGATAGTGGTGTTGTGCCAGTCCAGCTTCTTACTTTAGAAAAGTAGTAAGGTCTTTGGTGCTGAGGTAAGGTGAGACAGCGATAGAATAGTCAAATTTCTACCTGCCTTCAATGGTATATCCACCTCCTCCTCCTCTCGGTTGACTGAAACATACTCCAGTAGCTCGATCTTGTTATGTTTGCCATGCACACTTGATTTCAATTTGGCCTTCATCCTGAACACATACGACACTCTCCTGATGTCGCGATCGGGGTCTTTGAGGTCATCGATGAGGATAGAGTCGTTCCTGAGCTTCCATCTGCCATGTAATAGTCCTTTGCATCGCAAATTCTCGTTGAGCGCAGGAACGCTGCTAGTCGGCACGTCTGTGCTCAGCCAGCTGATCACAAGACCATCTGGAAAGAAGCGTAGATATCTGTAGAAAGTGACGAGCTGAGTGAACGTAGTCCATGCCGACTCGGACTCTCCGTGTCTGAGATAGCGGCATATAGAAATATAAACGCCATCCAAGCGTACACGCGGGGTATCTATCCACAATTTCCTCCAGTTCCCACTATACTTGACTAAAGCAAGCTCATCGACTCTGACAGACGGCTTGAGCTGATGTGGCGCGACGAGGTGTGTGCGTGCAAGATCCTTCCATATGATATTGTCGTTGGAGAGCAGCAGGAGTTTCTTGCTTGTGTGTGAGAACCTCACCAGGGTCTGCAGATCTGTTCTCTGGACGAGATTGCGGTAAATGTGTAGTATTATTTCGTCCGGTAGAGCTGAGATTGGACACTGTTCGTCTTCATTCTCGGCTGCGAGTGTGAGTGTGTTATCGAGTGATTCGATAAGCTTATCAATCGCGTCTAATCTGTAACTTGATTGTTTTGGTGCGTCTGGTTCAGTCTGCTTGCGATTAGAAAACCTTACCGTCAAAGTCCACCTCCACCCACCTGTATCGTCTTTGCAAAATTGTAGACGTAATTGCCATCTTTATTTAACTCTATATCATCCCTTTCATGAGTAATTGCCCCGTCATCGTTATCATTCGCCTCTTCACGCTCTCGTGCCACTTTGTGGCTCACGTAGCGTGCATAACGCTTATCGACAGCGTCGTCGAGCTTAAATGCACGCCTGTACAAATCTATCGAGTCTCCGAGCTGGCCCACCTGCTCAGCTTCCACTGCCTGCTCGTAGATGCGCACCGCATGATCAGAGGGATCGTGTGTATCTTGAGCAGGTGGCTGATGTGTTGAAATATCATTATGCGATGATTTACTTGGCCCGCCCTTGCTGCTCAGCTCACTCTTCCACTCCGTTCTGAACTTGTCCAAATCGTCATTCGACATGCTCGCTGATAAAGATAAAGAAAGCTATTGCATTCCAGGAAAAGTAAATTTATGCACAAAACTTAAACGAATTGTTGGAAACGTCCACTTTCAACTTTACCGACGTCGAGCAACTTCTTGGCTGAGCTGACGATTGCTTCACGCTTAGCTGCAACATCTGGTGTGCCATCGAGTGATTTCTTAAGCTCAGCTGTCTCTTCAGGCTCAAGACCATTCGCGATCAAGTCCAACTCATTAAGCTGCAATTCAATATCATTCGCAGAAGGCGTTGAACCAGGTGGCTGGAAGTAATTGTTGTCTGTAACAATCTGCTTGATCGCTTTCTTTGACTTGCTGAGGTTCTTTCTGGCTGCCTCTTTAGCCTTCTTGTCAGTCGCCTTGTTTGCCTTGCTGGCTGCGTCTTTCTTAACTTGCTCCTCCTTGGCTGCCGCCTCTTGGGCTGCTTTAATTGCCTCATCTTCCTTAGCCTTCTTAGGATCCGTGGTGATACCCTTGGCCTTGTTCTTCTTCGCTTCACGTGCTGCTTTGTCATCTTGCCTAAACTTCTTCATACGAGGGTCTGCAGCTAAAGCATTGTCGACCAATGTTCTTACACGAGCATTGTCCTCCTTCTTTCTCTGAGCTCTATCTGACTTGTTCTTCTTCTCAGTGTAACGCTTGTCATCGCGATTCTCAGAGCCCTCATTTATCTCCTTATCGTACCACTCAAATGAACGCCATGATACAAAATTGTACCATGCGTTGTAGAACTCTTCAACTTGATCTCTTGGTGCGTCGGCACCGCCTAGTGAAGGCACCGGTGTCTCAGAGAATCTAGATTCACGGTCAAAGACTGGTCCGTAAACTTCAAAGAAATCTCCCTTAGTTTTTGCGTCTGGGATCTTGTCACTGTATGTCTCGTCGATCGAATCGAATTGTTTGCGTCTTTCTGGGTTGTCGAGGATTTCTAAAGCCCTAGCAACGCACTTGAAGAAGCGATCATCGTTGGCATCACCGCCCCTACCTGCCTTCTTGTCAGGGTGGTGTCTGAGAATTTTCTTCTTGTGGGCGAGACGGATCTGGTCTTGTGTTGCCTTGTAACGAAGGTTTGAAAGACCAAGAATTGCGTACATGTCGAGTGCCTTGTAGTTCTTTGGATCAGAAGTTTGTAACAATTCCTTGGATTCAGGCTCTTCACCAACGCCATCATCTTCTGGCTGGTTCTTACGCTCTTCTTCGGCCAATCTTTCATTCTCCGCCTTCACAGCTGCATCGTCCTCATCGAAAGTCTTGCCTGAGGCTTGACGACGTGCGTGTGCAGCATAAGCACCTCCAACTGGCACGAGCTTACGCTGTACTGGCTTCGACAAAGTGGTTGGCGCTGCAGATGTGCTGGCAACTGGCAAGCTAATTGATATTGGTGTAATTGGCTGTGTTGCGCTCATTCTCGTGGTTTTTCTCAAAGAGGAAGACGGGGAGACAGAGCTGTGGATGTTCATAATACAAAAAATTATCTATAAATTAAGGCAAGTAATTCTTGTTATTCTATTGAGTTGTGCATTGCGTAGATGGTCCATTATCATCGTCAAAGTCGTTTGGATGAGCGTGTGTCCTTCCAAACTGTGTTGAATGGTTAGCTGGCCATTCCCGAGGACTAATTAGGAAAAACTCACATTTGACATAGAGCTAGTCTCATAATTTGCAGTTTGAGAGTTCTCACTCTCCTTTATTTCGCTCTTTTGGTCTGGTTTTGGTAGCAATTTACCAAGTGACTAATTTTGTACTTAGCAATATGAACAACAATGATCAGAAAAGACTCACAGTACGATCCTGCATCTTCATCCAATAGCCACTTGGCATTTCGACATTGCATTGGACGTATAAATCACCATATCCCCTTGACAATGGCATACCTTGATCGCGTAAACAAAGAGTCTCTGCTGGCTGTATTACCCTTCCTTGAGGGACTGAAAGTTTCACAGAACGGCCGTCCAAGTGATTGCAAATGACCTTGTCAAAACCAGCCAATGCTTCGAAGAGGGTGAGCTTTATCGTAATTGCCAAGTCATAACCTGAAACTCTGAAAGTGTCATGCTTTTTGGCACGTAGCTTAAATATGAGTGATCCAGGTTTAGCGCCAGGCTGGCAGTATTGATTAGCATACGCATCTCTAACACAACCAACTCACAACTTCATCACCCTCACCCTGCAGACGAATCTTCTGACCATCAACCATACCCTTTTTGATATCGAAGGAGATTTTTTTCTTGGCCTTTGTTGTTTTCGAACCCTCACACTTTCTGCACCTGTTTGAGAGTAAAGTGAGAATGACGTCAAGAGAAGATAGAACGACGAACCTCGATTTGTCTCTGATTTTAACGCCTTCACCGTGACAGTCAGGACAAGGAGAGGGCATTTGAGCAATTAAGCCAGGACCGAGCTGTCTGCTGAGAAGGACATTTCCACTACCAGAGCATCTACCGCAGGATTGAGGTTTGGCGCCTTTTTTGCCACCAGAGCCAGAGCAGAGCTTGCAGGTGATATCCTTTTCGATAGCAAAGTGGACAGATTTGCCGAGGTATAAGTCATTGAGAGACACATCAAAGTCTACGACTTGGTCTCTGGCTTTTGAAGGTTGAGGAGGTCTACTAAGGTCGAAGAAGAATGAAGACATGAAATCGTCCATCGGGGGGCCTGCAGAGCTAGCACTGTCCGTTCTACCAAAAGCATCGTAGCTCTCCCTGGTAACCTCATCAGAGAGAACTTCGTAGGCGGCAGATATTTTCTGAAACTTGTCGCTGGCGTTGGGGTCATCTGGATTTTTGTCTGGATGACACGATATAGCTTGCTTGCGATAAGCTTTGCGTATTTCAGCTGCAACAAGGCGATGTGAGGCGGGAGTAGAGCATGCAAGCCAACTAACATTGAGTGGCAGTACTAGACACGCCTAGCAAATCATAAAATTCAGTTTCAACAACCATCGAGGTATTTTATCAAGAGAGAAGACATTCAATTCTGAGTACAAAACTTAATTTAAAATTGAGCCATTGAGCTGGGAATATGCGTTAGTACTTGAAGATATACTCAAAGGGATTCAAGTTCAAGTCGTTTCAGCCAATGTGTATAGTAAGGTAGCTGAGAGTTTACTGCATGGTAATCCTGCTGACTGAACGCCCACAAGAAAACCAATAAAGCCAAATGCGCTCAAATCATCCTTTGACTTGTCTTGAATCCCTTTATTTTATCTCCCACTCACTCTTCTGTTGGAGCACAAGAAGGAAGTTAACCATCACGACTGAATTTATACTGACTGAAAATTTTAATTAAAATGGAACTATCCAACAAGCTTTCCAATCTCAGGAAAGATATCGATAGCGTGGAGAATGAGATTAAAGATAACGTGATTTCAAACCAAAACGAGCTGTTCAAGTACAGCGAGAGTTACAGCAATATCAACAATTATAATATATCCGGCACAAGCCAGCAACTATACGACAAGATATCTCAACTTAAGTCAAAGATATCCGCAGATTATGACGAGCTTTCGAATGATATCGTGGATTTGACTAATGTCGAATCTGCGCTGAATCTACTGCGACAGGTATTCAAATTTAGAACGTTATCCTCATTACTGGATAGAAGGCTACAGAATAGCGTGATAAACGATCAAGATATCGCCCAGATTGTGCTTACAGTCGAAGAACTCGACAAAATGCTGCTAAACCCAGATTTAAACAAGGTGCACGTCATAAAGACCTACAAACCCCAGCTACAAGCTCATAAATCCAAAATTCAAGCTCAAAATTCAAATAACTCAAAATCAAGCTCAATTGATCACTTATTGCTTTCTAACAAAGGTTTCTTGAATAATGTATTCGATAATTTAGCTATGTAACATTCTACCAATCAAGTATAGCCTCTTTGGTGACTGGCTCGACTTGATCCTCATACTCGACTTCAACATGCTTGCCTCGCCGTTTGTTGTCCTTCTTAGCCTTACCTTCTCCCTTTCTCTTGCGTTTCTTCTTATCATCGTCATCACCCTTCTTCTTGTCGTCGTCATCTCCGTCTTCATCACTGTTCTCACTCTCTGACGACTCTGACTGCCCACTTTCATCGCTCTGCTCACTTCCCATACCTGCTACGCCTTCCTCCATATCCTCGACGTCTGATTCAATATCACTAGCCTCAACGAACTCCCTTTCATCCTCACTATCAATCTCATCGTCCTCGGATTCATCATCAAGCAACTCTTCCTCGTTCTCAACATTCTTATCAGCTTCAAGTACCTTCCTCCAGACATCCTCATTGACATTGAGCGGTGCATCACCGTAAGCCTTGGATTTGAGTCTATTGATCAACTCTGCCTCTATGGACCTCTCGAGTTTGGCTGCAGAAAGCGCCTTCTCTTCACGCGTAGCCTCTCTTCTATCAATCTTCTTCTTGATACCGACTAGCTTTGGCTCCTGTCTAGATTTAAGCTTTCTCAATTTAATCAAATACTGCGTCAGCTTTGTTATACGCTGCTTGCACTTGTGCGTGGTGAAATTTGGCCAATACAACAGATGGCTGTCTATTTGCTCCAAAGCTTTCGTATAGTTGGAAGAAAGCTTGATCTTCTCCCACATATGCTTAGGCGTGTGTGCTCTCTCCGGTGTCTTTATGTATAGGTATATGACACCTTCATGTTCCCTAACGGTTGCGTATCTTGAATTTGCGAGTGGACAAGACTGCCTATTACAGAATCCAGTAACGTTGTACTCATTTCTACAAAAATTCTGCGTCGTCGTTCTAAATCAAGTTTTATTGGCCAATTCACTCACGCAGGGCTCAGACTCACTTTACTTTGTAACTGCAGAATTGATGATTTATAACTGTCCACACGACATCATCCCTGTGATCCCATCAGCCAGATTTGACGGCTTTACCTCCACTTACATCTTGACAGTTTTGTGATAAGAGACGATGTACAAAAATTTATAAACAACGAGTTGCTACAAATTATTCTTATCTTGATCGTTATTCTGCAGATTCAAATACGCTGGAGCCCTCTTTTGACTCGTTTCCTTGTCATTACCATCATCATCTGTCTTCAATCCTAATCCCATATTTAGCGTGTCTAATTGTTCAAACAATCCTCCTATCGCCGTGCCTGGTCTCTTTCGTCCATCTGACGTCAACTTTGGTCTTTGTAGCTGCGTTCTTGGCGGTGTTGGTTTTTGGTCCTCTTTGACACTCTCACTCTCATCTCCAGTCCCTCTTCTCGTCACTGGTATACTACTACTTGATGGATTATTCAACGTTGCCCACGCTGCCTTATATAGATTGCCCCCATTAGCGAATGATGATGTTGTTGATATACCCAACTCCTTGTCGAGATACTTTGCTAGGGAAGTGGTATAATCTGACCTTTGCGACAAGTATGGTCGAAGCATTGCTGGATCCAGCTTTGATAAATGCACGTCATCGCGCATATACGCCCTCAGCACTTCTGGTCTCACTATGAACAAGTTACCCAACTGTCTCAGCATTTCGTACCTCGGCTTGAGTATCGCTTGATTGAAATTAGTTATCGTTTCTTGATAGAGTGCTATATCCTTAGTCAACATGAGTCCACCTGTTGGATTCACTGAAAACTTTTTCAAATGATCCAGTAGCAACCCATGAAATGCTACTCCCAATTCTATCAAAAACTTATCCAAATTTGATCCTGTCAATGAATCCATCGCATAATCTCGTGCCGATGACAATACTTGACAGCATAGCAAACAAGGTTCGGTATTGATTCTGGCAAACGATGTGTCATCGTCTTTGGGTCTGAAATCGCCTTTGCGTTGTTTCTGTAGGCAGCTACCAAGGTAGTTTATCGTGACTGTGAGGAGCACCCGTTAAAGCTGTTTTTGATCAAGAGCCATCTACTACTCACCATCCATTAACTTCTGCAGTATTGTATTCAGTTTCACTTCTAGTCGATTAATCGTATTATTTGCAAACACAGCCAACTCCCTTTTCATTCCAATCGCGCCGTTATTCGTTAGGGGTATGATAGTTGTTGCTGCATACCTTTGCCACAGCTGAGTAATTAAATCAGCAGGTGAACATATCTCCAAGCTTTCAAATGGTACATCATATTTGCTCGATTCAATCTTGTATATAGTGCTATCTATCGCTGTCTCAACATAAGATCCACCGATTGATTCCGCTAATGTTTGCAACAGCTTGAAAACATTCTTTGATAGATTGTTTGATAGCGTCAAGTCTATACATCTACCAACAGACTCTGCATTCCAGCGTAGCATCCTCTCTGCAACGTTTAATGATAATTTTCCATCGTTCTCGTCCAATTCCTTGTTGATTTCGTCGTTCTTCCCAGAAAGTTTTAACAAAGCAGCAGCAGATGATGAAGCAGTTGAGGTTTCGGACAATTGACTAACCACTCTATCTAAAACTGATGTTGATTTTAGTCCATGTGCGCTATTGTGGTATAATGTGAAGTTGGATAAAAATCCTGCGTATAATTCAGTTAAAGATTGACATTCAAGTGAGATATATCTTTCTCCTTCCATATACGGTACGAAGAGTTCATCGAGAGCCTGATCTAGCATCATAGAAATTCCAGACGGACCAGCGAAAGTACCAGGTGCGACTAAAGCACTACCCATAGATTTTATTGAAGATGATAACGTGTCAAATTTTTTCAAATCATCGACTAAACCCGATATTGTCATTCTAGACAGGTGTAACATTCTCAAGAAGGCAAAGTTGGAAATAGCCCTAGAATGCTCTAGCAAGTCTTCAATTTTGGTTTGAATTGATTGTGCAAACACTCTTTGCAAAAAAACTTGCATAACTACAGCAGGGTTTGGGAAGACAGCTTGTATGATTTGAGCTTCTTGTTCGACGGTGTTGCGTATTTCGTTGACTAAGTCAGTCAAAGATGGTTCATTTGAAGGTGGTTGTACATCCGGATCACTTATCGAGGACCAGAGGTTAGAATCAAGATGATGTGATGGATCGGAGGAAGTCAGACCAATTTTATCCTTTGATATGAAGAAGTCATGTTGATTGACGTAAACTTGCATACAAGAAGCGCCACCATTGAAAGCTAAAAGAGTTTGAGCGCAGTGAGCCATCATTTTTGGATCACCCTTCCGATAAGACTTGTCGAACAACTTAAGCAAATCCTTTTCGAACTTTTCACAGTACTTTTCGATAATATTTTGAGTACTCTTTGCATTAGGAGTGTCGACGACGGCAGAAACAGCACTCAAACGTCTTAATAGGAAAGCGCAAGACATTCTATTATCTTTACCGGGAGACTTTCTGAGGGAGTCTAGCTTAGAGGAATCACCTCTGGAAAGGGCGGAGTAGTGTTGAATGAGATCCCTTGCAGCGAGAGCTCTTGAGCGGTCATCAGAGAAGAGCTGCAATTGATCACCGATGTTAAGGGTGGTATTACCGACTTGAGAGATGGAGTTTTCCAAATCCAAGAAGGAGTTACCAACGGCTTCAAAGTTTAAAGTGAGTTCATGAGTGATTTGAGTGTGTTTGATCTCTGCATGTTTCACGGAGCGAATCAGCTTGTTTCGGGAGAGGTTGAGGTTGTGGTGGTAGCTATTCAGATCATCGAGATTAGATTGTATAGAATTCAAGTAATCATCCTTATTTAATTTATCCAAATTGAATTCATCACAGACGCTATCAATGAAATCTCTAATTTGAAATGATTTTGACTGAAATTTAGTTTGTTAGGAATTCCAAGTAGATCAAAATGTTCACACTAACATCAATTAAATTCATTTATTTTCAAATTTTAAAATTCCAAAATTCCCAAATTCGTTTGTGTTGGCTGTCGAGATTCAAGCGTGGACCACGACGACGATGGACAATTACACTAGATTAGAGAAGGTGCGTGTATTCCCTTTCATCAATTCATGTCTCACGCGTTTCCCCCCAGGTCGGCGAAGGTAATTCATCCTTCCTCATACGCTTAGCACGTGACTCACTCTACCCAAGGCACTTACGGTGTCGTTTACAAAGCAAAGAACGTAAATGACGGTAGAATCGTCGCTTTGAAGAAAATCCGCTTGGAAGCCGAAGATGAGGGCGTTCCTTCGACAGCTATTCGCGAAATTTCACTTTTGAAAGAGCTCAGAGATGATAATATCGTTCGTTTATTTGATATTATTCACTCAGATGCAAAGCTCTACCTCGTTTTCGAATTCTTGGACTTGGATTTGAAGAAATACATGGATAATGTTGGCCAGAAGAAGGACGGCCTTGGCCCAGATATCGTCAAAAAGTTCACTTACCAGTTGATTAAGGGGACTTATTTCTGTCACGCCCACAGAATCTTGCACAGAGACTTAAAGCCTCAAAACTTACTCATCGATAAGGAAGGTAACTTGAAATTGGCCGATTTCGGTTTAGCAAGGGCTTTCGGTATCCCTCTGCGCACTTATACTCATGAAGTTGTCACCCTTTGGTATAGAGCTCCTGAGGTCTTGCTCGGTTCAAGACACTACTCTACTGCAATCGATATGTGGTCCGTTGGTTGCATTTTCGCTGAAATGGTCATGCGTCAACCTCTCTTTCCTGGTGATTCAGAGATTGATGAAATATTCAAGATATTTCGAGTTCTCGGTACCCCAAATGAAGAAATCTGGCCCGGTGTCAAATCTTTACCTGATTACAAAACTACTTTCCCACAATGGTCACGTGTAGACCTTTACAAGGCAGTACCAGGCTTGGAACCTGAAGGTATTGACCTTCTCTCGGTGGGTCCTAATTGTTGACTTGGTTTAATTTACTGACAACTCACCCCTACAGCAACTTCTTATTTACGACCCAGCACATAGATTATCAGCCAAGAGAGCTTTAAACCATCCTTACTTTGAATTTTCAAATGAGACGGATATACCATCGATTACGGCATCTATAGCAGAAACAGCACAACAACGCGCTGCTCAAAAAGCTAAGACAGCCTCACAAGCATCTTTAGCAGCTGTCAAAGCGTAGACGCTACAACATTTTTCAACTATCTCTTTCCTTATCTGTGACTGTCATATATCTATCTCTATAACTCTATTTAACGATGACAATTATATAATTATACAGCTTTTAATATACTTATCTGTCTTCTATCATGCATTTATAGTATTTTAACGTGAGTAGGGAGATGTTGTTTTGTTATTGGGTGGGTAGTGGTAGCTTAGGATTTTCACTGGTCTCGCTATCTTCCTGATCCCTTGATGCGTGCTTTCTAGCTGCTAACGTTCTAGCCAAACCATGTCGCTGACGTGATTCGTGTGCATTTGATAGTGATCTATTTGCGTCGATGTTAGCCTTGAATTGCCATTCTTCCATAGCAGCTGAGTTGTTTGACCTGTTTAGACTACTCTTAATCATAGAAGTAGGTAAGAATGTGTGATATTCAACGAGAGTTACTATAGTTGACTGACGTCATGTTAGAAAGCACCCGACATGACTCATGCATGACTCAAGACTCACGAAGAAGATCAAACCAGCAATAAAAGCACCGTTAGATCCATAGACTGGCTGATGTTTCCCATTGGCTGGATGATGATACGTCGACCAATAGAAATCGCCATCCCAGCCACCCGAACGTTTTGAGTAGTGTGAGTTGTGAGAGTTGTTGAATTGTGATGAGCGTCTATGGGCATAGTTGTTCCTAACATATTCCATATCAGATTGCCAGCGTGATTGGGCTGTATCGCCGAAAGAATCGCTGCTCCAACCTGATCCTGTGTTTATGAAACGCTGCTTCTTTTTTGTATCCGATAATAGCTCATAAGCTTTAACGATAGATTGGAATTCCTTTGTACGCGTGTGGGTGTACTCATTGGATGCTTTATCAGGATGGTAAATACGCACCAACTCGTAGTACCTCGATTTAATCTGATTAGGAGTTGCTGTCGTCGGCAAAGAGAATATTTCGAATGGAGTCGCTTTAGGGTTCTTTGGGAGTTGCAGATTTCTTATTTGAGATAATTTCATCACATCACCGTGGTTGATCAAATACCGTCATGGCTTTATACGATGACGGAGTGGAAACAGCAACGACAGCTTCACAGGTGAGTAGTTTCTGTGTTTACTGCTAGCACCCCTCAAAAACCTCCGCAGAGAGATGTAGAAATAACGCTGGAATTTGCTCTCAATCAAGACAAAGAACTTGACAGACTGGCACATGCAAAGTACCTCACAGAGTCACTTAGTGGTCTTCCAGCTTCTATGAAAGCACTTGACGCTTCCAGGCCTTGGATAATCTACTGGTCTTTACACAGTCTCCTCACTCTCGGTATTTCTCTCGATCATGTTTCTAGATCGAGAGCTATTTCCACTCTTTCTAAATACCAAAATGCTTCTGGTGGCTTTGGCGGTGGTCGCGGTCAGATTAGTCACGTTCTCACCACTTACGCTTCTGTTATGAGTCTCGTTATCGCAGGCGGCCCTGGTGACGGCAATGGCTGGGATGCAATTGACAGGCGTGGAGTATACGACTTTTTGATGCGTGTTAAGCAGCAAGATGGCAGTTTTATCGTCCACGAAGGCGGTGAAGTTGATGTTCGGTGTGTTTTCTATGCTTTAGTTCGTTTATTTGGCTGACTTGCGTAGTGGCTGCTACTGCGCTTTAGCCGTTGCTACTATACTAGACATTCTAACACCGGAGCTACTACACAACGTCGAAAAATTCGTTGCAAGGTGCGTTGTTATTCATGTAGCTAATGTGGCACAACAGCGCTGACATCGATACAGCTGCCAGACATTCGAAGGCGGTTTCTCTGCATGCAGTCAAGATGGTTTACAATTCGGCGAGGCTCATGGTGGCTATACAAGCTGTGCATTAAGCGCGTTGACTATGGTAGACTCAACACGCTCCTCAAAATTGAACACGACATTCGATCTAGACGGACTTATCAGATGGAGTGTTCATATGCAAGGACTAAAAACTGAACTGGGAGGGTTCAGAGGTCGCACGAACAAGCTCGTTGACGGTTGTTATAGTTGGTGGCTGGGTGGATCGTTTAGTTTGTTCGAATACTGGCAGCTGGCTGTTGATTCAAAAGATGAAGATAATGAAGATGATGACTGGGTTGACGAGGAAGGCTGTTTGTATGACAGAGAGGCACTGCAGGGATATGTACTCAACGCTGCTCAGAATCCTAAGGGTGGTTTGCGGGACAAGCCTGGAAAGTGAGTAGTCTATTACTATGAACAGCCTCAGACTGACATACTCAAAGAAATTCAGATACCTATCACACAGCATACAATATCTCTGGACTGAGCGCATCACAGCATTATATCAAATACGATGCAGACAGAGCTAGGCAAATGGCAGTTGACTTCAACGAGAATGCAGACAATATGATACCCACAGATAACCCTCAAGAGCGTTCAAGTATTCGGAGATTCGCCTACGCAAGTGCAATGGGATGGATGCCCGACAAAGCAGCCAAGAAAGTACGTGGAGGTGGATCAAACATAACGAATCCAACGCATCCGATATTTAATATATCAATATCAAAGACACTTGCTGTGTTAAAATATTTTTATAACCAGTAATTTGAGACTAATTGTTATCTTTGATAAGGACTTTGATGAGATTACCTCAGGAGTTGAAAAGCCTAGAACCATATCTAGCCAGAGCCAAAGAGCTTGTGAACGTTGAGCCTGCAATTTCATACTGGTGTGAGTGTACTGTGTATTACTAAAGGTACTACTGCTCACGCCCCTTGAGGCAAGTTCTACGTGTTGCAGAACGCATTGCAACAGAAACCAGGAAAGGAGGGGGAAATATTATTGCTGGAACTGATGACAGAGCTTGAAGAAGTGCGTGGGTTTGTATATAGGATGGTACATGCAGCTGACGTATCACTGAGACCAAAAAACATCTCTCGCAGAATGAGGAATTGAAAGATTTAGTCACAGATGAGGATGCTGCTAATGCTTATATAGAGAACTTTGCATTGCGCGTTTTTATTAAGGCTGATGACATGGATAGAGCAGGCACGGTTAACAAGTTAGTGGATTACTTGGATTACCGCTAGCAGCACTCTGACACGCATTTTATATTAGAATAGTAGCAAAGACTTTCCTCGCTTCAACTTATTTCCTATCGCTGCTCACTTTATTCAAGAATCCACCAGGTGATTTACAACAGAAGTTGAAGTATGCGCGCTTCAAGACGACACAGTGAGTGACAGTTATAATTTAAACCGCTTCAGCTCCATAACACCCACACAGAATAATGAATGCAACCAAAATGCCACAGCGTGGTTCGCCAAGAGCCAGCACCTCCACTTCACCAAAATTAGAAACAACCGGTCTACCGCAGTCAACAGGAAGTGTACCACCACGCTTACCATCACCCAAATCAAGCTCACGACGTGGTTCGGTTTCAATACCCGCGGCGGGATCTTTACCGTCGCCTAAACAATCACCCCACACGTCTTTACATGGCTCACCAAGGTCACGCTCAGTTACAAGTTTACCGCAAACCCAAAGCACACAAACAAATAGACAGAGTGTAGTTGGTACTAAGGAATTTGCTCAGCTGTCCTTGCAGGGAGATGAACCAACTGATGAGCAATCAAATGAGGTAGAGGCAGAGGTACCACAAATGAATCCAGGAATAGTAAGTAAAGCTCAGAAGCACGCTAGGTGGGCAATATCAGCATTGAATTATGAGGATAAAGATACAGCAATGAATCAGTTACAATTAGCGTTGGATAGTCTGAAAGGATGATGTAGATGGGATTAGGACTATGGGGGAAGATCACCTCCCAAACTTAGGTAAACGGATTCCCTTAAACCGTTCCAGACGGATTTCTTGATCCTGTTAGTCTCTGATATGATAGATCTAAGTTCATTCATACGTTCAATGTATTCGCGACTGTCAGATAAAGCGTCATGGAGGGATTCAATGTGTCTTTGGGTCTGAAGCTTTTGCTGATCGACAGAAAGGTGAATGTCTTGGATATGATTATCGTTGTTAGTGGGTAAATCAACACCAGTATCTGAGATAAAGAGGTTATTTATGCGGGTTGAAGAGTTTGGAGAGTCGTATAAGTTAGAAAGGGCTCGATTTATAGATTTAGTAACCTCCTTTTCATTTTCGACGACGTTTGCAGCAGATGATTCAAATTTTGAGAGTTTCGGACAGGAAATGGAATCTTTGATGTGATTTGATTGAACAGCGTCAAGGAGCTTTTGAGGTTGAGGAATGATACTTGAAGAGGAAGGCTGGTCGATATCGATGGAGACAGCATCGCTATCACTATCATCACTATCAAACTCGAGTTCAATATCGTCAGGGATAAAGCGAGACAGACGCTTCTTAATCTGATCTCTATGTAACCTATCGAGCTCTAAAGAACGAGAATTGGGATTCCATTTAGATATTTTACCTTTCCTGGAGAGGTTACTGGTGAGTGAAAGTTTTCTACCGCGGTTCCCAATAGAGTTCGAAGGTATATGCTGATTATCTGCAACTTGATTTCTGAGTATCACCGAGCAAGTGGATGGACCTGTAGAGTACCATTGAGGATGGTCATTCGAAGGGAGAGAGCTGGATGGAATTAACTTTATTTTTTATTTCGATTTAACTCCTACAGAAGAGATTGCACCGAAGTTAGTTGCTGGACCATGGATGTTAATATTCAACGGTTATCATCACACTTCCATGAGCTCAAATATTAGAATCAATTTACAGTCGAGGATAGCGGAATTGGATTGTTAGTCCAGGATTTTTTACTTTTATTCTCGCTTAATATTATAGCTGTGTTATCCCAGGCAGCAACGAAACAAGGGCAGCAGCAGCCACAGCAGCAACAACAACACAAACCCTCCCTCTCCTACTCCCACACATCCTCTTCTCATCGTTTCAACCACAAACCTCGCCCTCCACGCCACATGAATATGTCCCTCACTAACACTAACACAAACCCCGCAGATCCCTCTCAACCCCCCTCCTGGATCTCTAGGAAATCTGCAAACATGTCTCTAGTCTCCTCCAATTCCCTTGAAAAGTCTAAGTCCTTATATGCTACAAAGCAATCTCAAAAAGCTGCAAAGAAAGCTGGTAAAAGGTCGAAACTCGCGAAAACATCCAAACAACATCAATCCATCACAAAGGACGGTCGTAGACATATCATCATCGACAACGTTCCTTTCCAATTCGACGATTCCGGTGCTAAACTTGTCAAAGTCAATAAAGACGATTTGCTTTCTTTCGACGACGATCCTTCACACAACCCTCGTGAAAATCTCGTTGAAACCGCTAGCAATACCCCTAAGAAAATGACCATCGACGGCACTAACTATGTTAGAACAAAATCAGGCAACTTAGTTAGGGATGTGTTCGCAAAGAGACGCTCCGATGATTTAATCAAAGCAAAGCAACAAAGGCTTGATAAAATGACTAGTATGCTTGGCACCGTACAGAAATCCCGTAATCTCGCTACACTCAATCGCAAACCTCCACACAAAAAAGAGAGCTTGTCAGAGGAACAGAAGTTGTCTTTCGGTAGAAAAAGATGTCCTACTTTCACAAAGTCTGGAAGATGCTCCAAAGTTCTACATTGTCCATATCTTCACGATAGCGCAAAGACTTCAGTATGTCCTCACTTTCTGAGGAAGAGATGCAGGAACAGTGATAGTACATGTCCGCTATCTCATAGTCCATCTCCACACAACATGCCTCATTGTTCTCACTTTGAATCACCTAATGGATGTAGAGCAGGTGATAAGTGCATCTTCTCTCATGTCCACCTCAGTAAAGACGCACCTGTCTGTCGTGATTTTGCTGTATTAGGGTATTGCGATAAAGGTGCAGACTGCGACAATAGACATGTTCGCGAATGTCCTGATTACTCAGAAAATGGTGACTGCAAGAACCCTTCATGCAAACTGCCTCACATACTCAAATCTGAAGCTAATAAGGCTGGTGATATTGAAGAAAGCTATTCAGCCAAGCGTAAAGAGGTGAATGCTGGTGCTGATGATGATACTGAACAAAGGACATCAGATCATGATGCACCAAGGAAAAAATTCAAGAGAAGAAAATCCAGTACTGATCACCTTACTCAGCAATCTGACTTTGTTACTTTTGATGATAGCGAGGTAGGTTCCTCAGTTTCTTCAGGCGATAGTGACGATAGTGATCAAGAGTCTGTTAACTCGGATGATTTTGATCTCAATAATGAGTCAATCCCACTGTATTAGTTGTTATGTATAAATTCATACAGTACGTGCGTTTTAGCCGTTAGTATGCGTTGATCACTAAGATTGTACACACAAACCACGTATATCGATATCCCAGTCATCTCGACTATCTATCCGGTTGTTTGTTGCTTCTTGTGCTTTTAGTTTCACTGATTCATTAGGCCATTCCTCGCCTTCGTTGTCCTACCGCTAAGTCACAAATGCTTTGTAATGGATGAACAAAGGATGTTAATACACGCACTCAATAAATTGCCGAGCGCTCGGAAGTGTTTCTTTTCTTATTTCTCCCGTTGCACCCAGATACTCCCAAACTGGGATTTGTCTTTATATATCTGATGACTTCAGGATGTGTTTATGGATCGACAGGGCACTTTAAATACGTTCCCTGTAGCACTGTCAAAGGATTGAAGCAGTATAAAGCACTACATTGAGTTAAAGCTGCTCAAGCCACCCTGCAAATGGTCCAATAAAGATTAGACGAACGCAAGGATACCATTTACTGATGATACTTTGTACAATTTAGTAAAATTGTCGTTTTTATAGCATTTTCAGTATCTCAAATACATTCTCATATTACCCCTCGGCTCAATATCGACAGAGTTGAATTTCTTGACTATCACCTATCTCATCTCCAATGATGCTTTACGAGTTTTGATGATCTCGAAAGGAAAGCTCCATAAGTGCCCTGATTGAGCTCTACAAATGTCGCGAGAATAACGTTATTACTGAGCCTCCACTTGCGCCCTGTAGGCTGTTCGGAAGTTGTAATTCGACTTCGCTCCGGAGCACGCTATGGGAAATATACGGTGGATCGACGAGCTTCACTGATGGAAGCAAGTCTTTCTAACTTATTAAAACCACAAGCACTCAGATAAATAATTACTATATTTCTCAAGTTTGCAGTAGTTACAGTGCTACATCGAATACGTCATTGAGAACGCCATTCTTTTGTGTTAAGCTGTACAACGGAGGAATACAGTTGAATCAAAGCCAAACTACTAAAACTTAATCATAGGATTCTGTTTTCGAACAAAAATGTCGATGGGGCGAATCGAACGCCCAACCTTACGAATGCATTAGCTTCAGTCGTACGCTCTCGCCAATTGAGCTACATCGACTTATATCAGCGTGCAGATCTTTGTAACATATAACCTTAACTGAGAGCAAGGCGCTGAGATTAAGTAAAGTAAAGAAAAAAAGAATTAGTAATGGACGCAGTTCAAACATGTATCGTCTCAACAAATAATCAAATATCATTATCATTAACTAAGTCTAAATGTATAAGAGTAAAAAGGAATCGTTTAAATCGTTTAGATTTTGGGGGTTTTCTCATGGTTCTCACTAAACCCATTGTTCTCCATGTTCCTGCGTCACGCCTGCTGTCCGACCTGGGCGGGGAGGACCACATCCTCATACGACTTATCTAACGCTCTGTCAATAAATAAAATTATCTTTATAAAGCGGGATCGGCTAATCTCATGTGCCGAGGCGAGCACTGGATCGCTATGTAATATTTAGCACATATGCATGTCAGCAGCTTATTTTCATTACAACAAAGCCTTTGTAATCCTACGACATCTCGATATACGCCTTTATACTTCTTGCAGTGGACCTTGAAGCAGGTATATTCATAGTAATGCTTAATCCACCAATTTCAAGCAATTGGGTGGGGTTCTTTTCATTGAAGGAGCCCCTCAATCGAATGTAATTTCTCAGGTTTATACCATGTTAACGTTGAGGCTATTTTGGCCATAAGGGTCTAGAGTAGTTTCAAGCCTTAACTTCCGCACGAAATCTCAATTAGTCCTAAATTCTTGGCCCAGCCTCCGCCAAAGGCTGAGATAATCCAAACATACTGTGACAATGGTCGAGAAACGCTATACTTTCAAATCAGAGTCACAGGAATGCATAACACCAACCTAGAAAGTATAGATGGTTTTGTTTCGCTTTGAAGATATTTGATTTTTACTACTACTACTGCCATAGAGTGAACTTTAAGCGATATAATAATAAAGTGAATCATTCAATGGAACTTTCCTATTTAGCAAAGAAATCTATTAAGCCTTTTGTACAAGATGGTCCTCAACAGGTGAATTCTGAGCGTCTCTGTAGGCTCGACCTTGTTCATAGCCCACACGCTGTGCAGCTTGATGAGGCATACTTATGTTTGGAATCAGTTTCGAAGCATCTTTACCAGATAGCTTGATAAGACCTTGTGATGGTTCTTGGCTAGCACCATTTGGAGCAGATGATGAGATGTTCAGGCGTTGGTTTAAGAAAGTTTCTTCTAACTCGTAACCTCTTTCGAGCTCTGTTGGTGCGAACAATGCGCCGTACGCGCTGGCTTCGTCGATTGCAGCTTGCGTTTGAGCCTCAAGCTCAGCTCTAAGGGCTGAGAATTGATTTGTTGCGTGGATATAAGCCAAAGAGAGTGACATATTCTGAGAGTTATGAAGGTTCATACAGAACTTGATCGCACTAAGGGGGTGTTAGAGGGAACAAGTGTATATAAGAAGACGTACTCTTCGGGGTTTGGGTTGATAGTGAGTTGCTTAAGCGTAGTCCAACCATTAAGAGTATGGATGATATTTTCATACCTATCTTCACCAACTTGCCAACCTTCAGTCAGACTTTGCGGCCTCAACGTTTCGAAAGGAAAGTCCTCATAGAATTGCCGTCTAATCTTGTCAACCGGGTAGACGATATTCGCAGGTCTCTTGTCTTGTCGCCAATTAGGAAGCTTTTTCTTGGAAGTGTTTCTGGAGCCACTGACAAAAGGTTTGTCTTGTTTATGAATATCGTCCCTCTGTACCCTTGAGTGGATCGGTGGAAGCGAAGGAAGATTTCTGAGGACAGGGCCGAACCACGCAGGCTGTTGTTGTATATAATCGCCCTTTAGAAGCCTTGAAACGCTTGTGTGTACCTCAGTCTGTATCCTACGAGGCATTTATCCAATTTTTTAAGTCGTGAACGTTGACGCTGAAGATGATTTGGCTCTAACAACCATCTCAAATCGAAAACGCTGGACGTGAAATGAGCATCTTTGGGAAATTAAAGCAACAGCATCAGAATTCTAACTCAAATGAGAAAGTAAGAAACTCATCTCTTCCTCAATCTGCGCGACCAAAGCAATCCCAGCAAGCTCAGCAGCAGCAACTCGGTACTTTACAATCAAATCACGCTAGCCCACCTCCTAATGCCGGCATTGGAGGCAGAATTCCTGTGAGGCAAACCTCAAATCAATCTCAATCTCAACTACAACCTCCTTCTCAGCCTCAGTCGCGTATACCTTCACGATCCTACACGCCCAAATCTCACAACCCAGATCGTTACCCATGGATTACCGTGCCTATGAAAACTCTCACTCAAGCTCCTTCCCTCATTTACCCTCCTCCATTTCCTCGCTACGGTCACTCCGCTAACACGGTTGCTAATCAGCGTGGTCATATATACGTTTTCGGTGGCTTAGTTGCAGACTCTGCCATGAACGACCTTTGGATGCTCGAAACTGAGGGCGCTCACTATCCAAATGCTAATCCAATCAGAGCTCATTGGGTGCATACCAACGGCGAGCTTCCTCCACCAAGAGTTGGTCACAGAAGTATCATGTGGAATAATTGGTTTGTTGTTTGGGGTGGTGACACTTTAAACGCTGATCCAATTGGTGCCGCAAGCCCGTCTCAAGATAACAACTTGTACGCTTTCGACACTAATAATCGCTTTTGGCTGCGTGTTTCTATCACTGGTGGCTCCCCTGTTGGTCGTTACGGACACTCTATGGGCGTCATTGGCGACAAGCTATATATTCATGGTGGTCAAGTCAATGGGGACTTTTTCTCTGACATTGCTACTTTTAATCTCAACCAGCGTGAGTCTCAATTAGTTTGATCTACAATAGGCTAACTAATCTAGTCTCTATGCCTGGTCCTTGCTTTTGGGAGTTCCTTGAGCCTGCCAATGACCCACCACCAAAGCGCACTGGTCATATCTCAGTCACATACCATGACAAAATCTATATGTGAGTTTAATACTATTAATCACGTACACACGTACATATCTAATTCTATTCAGCTTTGGTGGAACAGATGGTCAATATCACTACAATGATGTCTGGATGTTTGATAACTCAAACAGCCAGTGGTCGGAGCTCAGCTGCATAGGATACCACCCAGTTCCCAGAGAAGGTCATTCAGCCACAATAGTCAAGGACGTCATGTACATCTTTGGTGGTAGAGGTACCGATGGAAAAGATCTCGGGGATTTAGCTGGTTTTAACATCCCCAAAAGAAGATGGTTTGCATTCCAATCTATGGGTCCATCTCCTAATGGACGTTCTGGCCAAACAATGTCAACTTCAGGTGAATCTGTTTTTGTCTTTGGAGGCGAAGCTTTCAATGCACCTGAACCAGGCGCCACTAACGTTGGCGGCGATGATCCAAGTATTGTTCATGTTCTTAGACATCCACGCATCAATTACCCCAAATCGGATGACAATGCTAATGGTGTATCGCGTACACCAACTCCAAAACTTTCTGAATCTCCTCAAATCCAACAGCAACAGTTACCCCAACAAAATCAAAAATACACACATACCGCCAACAACAGTCTTCAATCCCAACAATCAAAGGATTCTCAATACGCTATAGTACCGTCACTTTACAATAACATTCCAAATAGCGACGGATTAGAAAAAGTGACATCACCTTTATCACCTACAGGCGTTACTAAAACATCTAATCAATCAATTCCAGCTATAGCAACCAGGAACATACCCCAAAGACCACGAAGAGCCGATGATAACAATTTCGGTGTAACGAACATGTCTCCTGTCGTTGAATCACCTCGTTCTTCAACCAGACCAGGTAACTTGAAAGAGATTCGTAATCAAGTTTCTCTAGAAAAGATGCGTCAATCGCCGCACATGACATCACTAAACCAAATTGGAAAGCAGGAAGGACAGACAAGATCATTAAGTCCTTCACATTCGTTGGAAAAACCACCACAAGATGCCTTCTACTATTCTGATGAAGTACGCAATTCCGCAACTGAGAAACAACCTACTAAGATTGATCAACCTACATATGACGAGCTAAGAGAACTAAATGCGCTTAGAAAGCGCGATCAATGGATGAGGGTTGCGTTGGAAGCTGCGGTTAGAAACGGTTACATCGTTCCACCTGGAGAGGATATCAATTTGGATAACCTTGGAGAGACAGAAGGTGACCAGCATGCTGCGGACAAGAAGAAGATTGTAGATGCTCTGATGCACATGAAGCAAGAGCTCTCCAAAGCACATGTGAGTTTCACTTGTTGAGCATTAATCAGCTCAAATTCTTTAGTCAACTATTAGCGCTCAAAGCTCGCAAATTAATTGTCGCCGAGAGGAGAGCGAACGAGCGCATATGACTATATTACATGAAGCCGCATTCCTAAAGGCAAAGTTACATGCTCATGAAAGTGGTAATGTCGGTGAATTGGAACAGTTAGACAAAGATAAGATGAAGTCCACAGAAACCAAGTTGATGGAAATATTATCTAAACACGGCGATCTTGAACGAAAGTACAACGATCTCGAAAATCAACTCCAGTCATCTAAAGATGTAAATGAGCTGTACACGGATGATCTCAATAATGCGGTAAAGAGAGCAGATACCGCTGAAAGTTCTCATTTGACAATAATGGAAGAGATGCATGAGCTACAAAGAAAATTGCATGTTGCTGAAACATCTCTTCGTGACCATCAAATGTCAAACTCTGCGTCTATTGCGAAGGCATGTCAAGTAGAAGAAGCACAAAAATCAAGGGATGAACATAGATCAACATTATCTTTGCTAAGAGAGGCTTTGGATTCAACGGAGGCTCGCTCAAAAGAGATAGAGAAACGTTATGAAGATTTAGTTGTTGAACTTAATGTCAGAGACAAGGCAATGAGAGAATTGCAGCTTGAGTCCGACACACACACACGAAATCTTGATAACAAGAACAAAGAGCTTGAAGAAGCCAAAGCCAGTCTATTCAGTGTCAAAGAAGAGTCAGATAAGTACAAGGGTCTCGTAAACGAAGGATTGTCTCGTTTCCTTGGCTCTTCGAGTGAATCTAGAGATCTTGATACGGATGCTTCATCAGACAAGAGACAATCGACCATGTTTATTCCACATGACAAGTACCTTGCTATGGAACAAGAGTCTGGTGTTTTGAGAAGCTTATTGGAAGCTGCAGGAGCCAAGGTTGATGAAACACACGGTGAACTGGCATTACAGAATAAAAAATGCTTAGAATTGCAAGGTCAATTGAGAGAAGTGTCATCTCAGGTATCAGCACTCCACGTACAGCTTAACGCTAAGCTACATGACCACAATGAAACGTACAACTCAAGCAAGATTCTGCGGGAGGAGTTGGAATCAAAGGAGCGACTCCTTTCCGAGACACAAATTGAATTGAGTGTACTAAAGTCATACGTGGAAGAAGACGATGGCAAGAAGGATGAGGAAGTGAATGAAAAAAACGAAAGGCAACTCGCTCTGAATCAGGAACTTGAAAAGAAGCATCAGAAGCTCCTGGAAGAGAAAAATAAACTAGAGAGCAAGATTGAAGAGATGACAGCTCTAGTGAATGATCTTAAACTTGTAAAGGAAAGAAGTGTCTCTGAAGATGACCATTCGGAAGCTAAAGCAAGAATCGAAACTCTGGAGAAGGATTACAGACAAGCTGTTGACTATGTTAAAGTATGTTAACGTGTTAAAGCTAACAGTATCTAACAATACGACAGGGGACCGAGAAATTTGTCTACCGACTCAAGCAAGAACTCATCAAAGCAAGAGAGAGCAACCAACAATTAGAAAGAGAAATAAAGAGAGGCTCTACTGACTCATTAAGGAGAGATTATTCGACATTGAAAGATGATCTCGAAAGACAAAGAAGAGAAGCAAATGATAAAGTAAAGGATTTGGAAGCTGTTATCAAGGATAGAGAGGGCATGATTGAAGCGCATCAGAGGGAGATAAAGAGAGTGTCAATGGCATCAAAGAATCAAAATGCTTCAAAGCTTCTAAAAGAGAACAAAGAGCTGATTGAGAAGAACGAAAGTCTAAGCCAGCGTGTACAAACGCTACTAGATACGATCCCAGATAATTATGAAGATGAAGACTTATTAAAGTCTTATAACAACTAAGTGTATATTTCCAATTTCATATAAATTGTAATATTTTGACTTCTTTAACTTTGACAATGGCTACGACGTCGGAATTTACGAGCAAATCGTTCTCAGTCGCGAACAAAAACCTTAAGCTGAATAGCAAGGATGATATAGATCCAATCCTTAAAGATCTCAATAAGCAGCTCGATGTCGAGGACGTGCATTTCAGCGGAAACACTATTGGTGTCGAAGCGGCACTTGCTCTATCTGAAACGTTGAAAAAGTTAAAATCATTGAGGGTGTGTAGTCTAGCTATAGCTCCAGGATAAGCTCACAGTGAAGTGAATAGATTGCTGACTTGAGTGATATCTTCACCGGTAGACTGATCACAGAAATACCTCAAGCTTTGAAAAGCATTTGTGACAGCCTTTTAGATTGTCCAGCTCTTGAAGAAGTCAACTTGTCTGATAACGCTTTTGGTGGTAGATCTGCAGAACCAATGGTAAATTTACTTTCAAGTCACCCCAGCTTGCAAGTATTGAAGCTTAATAACAACGGTTTGGGTATTGAAGGTGGTAAAATCGTTTCTGGTGCTCTCAAAACCCTCGCCTCTCACCCGCAAGGGTCTAAATTGAGAGTTGTGATTTGTGGTAGAAACAGATTAGAGAATGGCAGCTCTGATAGCTGGGCAGAGGCGTACTCGCTCCACCAGAATACGTTACAAGTTGTGAAGATGCCTCAGAATGGTATCAGACCTGAAGGTATCACCGCCATTCTTACTGGCTTAACAAGCTGTGCTGGATTAAAAGAGTTAGACTTACAAGACAACACAATGACCAAAAACGGTTCTATTGCATTCTCAAACGCTATCAAGAGCTGGAGTGGGTTGGAAGTGATTAACATCAGCGACTGTCTTACTGGTGGACGTGGTGGTATCGAGATTGCAAGGACATTGGCCGCAGGTGTATTGAAGGAATTGAAAACACTCAGACTTCAATTTAACGAATGGGATGAACGCGCTCTCACACCGCTTTCAAAGTATGTCAGCGACTATGGTCACAAGCTCACTACCCTTGAAATCAACGGAAACAGAGCTGATCCTGATGAAGATGTTATTGAAAGCATTAGAGAAGCCCTCTCGAAGCACGATCACGGCGATGCCCTCGATGAATTAGATGAGATGGAGGAGTACGAGGAAGATGATCTTGAAGAGGAAAGCGAAGGCGAGGATTCTGACGTTGAAGAAGCGGATGACGCTGTGGATGGAAAGGTAAAAGATGATAAGAAAGCAGCAGACAATACCACCGCTACATCAACACAAAAGGAAAATGATCTCGATGATCTCACTGATCAACTTGCAGGAACTAAGATAAAGTGATCTGTTAATTGCATATTTTATATATCCAGAATCTATTTTAGTACAAAGGCGTGAAATGCGTGTCTAGATGGAAAGTGTTTATTAAATCAGGAACAGTAAAGTGAAGATTAAAAATTCATCTATATAATTGAGTTCATTTTAGTGAGCAATCATACCGGCATCGGCTTTTTGTCCACCTTTAGTGAAAATTGATGTTAAAACCAAACTGAGGAATGCAAAACCTGAGCATAAGAACAGTGCAGCTTGGTATCCTTTCATGGTACCTTCTGTTGTGTATCTGATGTCTTTAGGTTGAAGATCTTTGACCTTTTGATTTGTAATCGACGTCAACGACAACCCGACACTTGAGCCAATTTGAAATGCTGTGTTGATGAGGCCGCCGGCCAGCGACTTTGCTTGTGGAGGTACACTGGCAACTAAGGAAATTGTACCAATATTGTGGGCGTAGCTTGTACCTATCAAATGCGTTAAAAGCGATTCTTCCAATCCACAACACTTACCGATAATGCCAACAATTGCAGTAGGTAAGACATATGCCCAAAAGCTACCTCCGACTGGGGTGAAGGCTGCCGGATATGGTGCTGCGACCAAGCACATGTATCCCAGAATTAGAACAGGCTTGATAGGGAACCTCTCTACGATCGGACCAACAGTCAGACTGAAAATAATACCCACTGCTCCCATAGGTACAAAAGAAATACCTGTGATAAGGGGGCTGAGACCGACAACCTCCTGTGCAACGAGCGTTTGATAGTAAATCTGAGACGCCCATGCGCAATAGAGGAAGAAACCAGCAGCAAAGATACCGGCAAATGAAGGCTGTTTCCATAAGTATGGCGGGAGTATGGGTGATGATACCTTCTTCTCAACAAAGTGAAAAGCGCCAAGCAATACGAATGCTAGTATCAGCGGGACGATGATCATTGGAGTTTTCCAGCCGCTGGATTCTGACTGAGTTAAGGCAAAGACGAGTAAAACCATGGCGGATGTACCGGTGAATGATCCTATAATGTCCAACTTTGGACGTTGATCCTTGTGTATAACGTCTTTGGGGAAGAAAAAGAAACCACCAATAGCTATGGACACGAGAACTGGTGTGAGAATGTAGAAAAGATACCGCCAGCCGATAGTACCACTCAGTAAACCAGATAAAACCAGTCCAACGACGAAACCAACAGCACCAGAAGCACCAAAGAGTGCCATTGCTTTTGATCTTTGCTTACCGACAAAGTAATTGGTAAGAACGCCAATAGCGGAAGGAACGCTGCTTGCTGCACCAATACCTTGCAATGCTCTGAAAATTATAGCTTGAATGCCTGTTTTGGAAACACCGACAGCGACAGTGAAGATAGACATCCAAAGCATACCGGCAACAAAGACCTTGCGACGACCGTATCTGTCTGCACACATACCAGCAAGTAGTAAGAAACCACCGAAGGTTAATGTGTAAGCAGCAACCAGCCAAGTCATCTTTGACTCTTCTATGCCTAGATCGGAAGCCATCATAGGCAAAGCTAGGTTAACGCTAGTAACCCATTGGTTGTCAAAAAATTGTGCTGCGCAACAAGTCATTATTATGGCTACGCCTCGAGGTGAAGTGAGTGAGTTTTCTGGTTTTGAATGATCTGATTCTTCATCAAGAGAGGAGAATGTAGGCTTTCTTGAAAGAGATTGAGGTGTGTCAGCGCCCTCTTTGTAAGATTTAGAGTCTGTCTCGACTACAGTGTCCTTATCGGAAGAATCTCTCTCGGTGTCTGAGCTATCAGCTTCCTCTTTTATAGCCGGTTCGTGATGTGTGTTCATAGGGAAAATTGTAAGATTATCGATAGATTTTTCCTCTAAAGCAGCATTGGTTGTGTGGCTCCATCTCCTACTGCCGGTGGCTGTGGCGGAGGGAGTTACGGAGAAGGGCAGATTGCCTGTGCGGACACTTGATCGACGCCGGACTTTACTAGGGAGGTCTAGATTGTGCGGATGCGAATGTAAAATGTCATTGTCGTTGAACTCATCTTCCTCTTCAAACACGGCGGACGAATGTGGATCTGAATCATGTAAATTTTGCTGTTTGTGAATTGAATCTGACATATTACAGTGTATAGTTTGAGTTATAGATTGTTATTAATTTATGCGTCTTAAAACACAAAATTGAAAAATTTGAGAGTCTCGGTGAAATAGCGGCACAAACGTCATCGTAGATAAAGAATTTTGAGTTATTTCAATTGCTTTGATAATCGGGATGCTAATGGGAAGAAACTTTATAGCAATTATACTCTCACACTTGCACCGTCATCAACTTGGAGCATTCCGATTTATGTGGCCAGCAATTTTAATAACATTCGTAATATCTATATCACTTAATCTGACAGCATCTACTTCACCTTATTCTTTTATTTCTCATCTTCCTTCCTACAGCGTTCAATTCGCAAGGAGAACGTTTGTCACCCCAGACGAGGCCAATCAGATATTAAAAGCTGGTGAAATAAACTTAGATACCTACGCATTAGACGTTAGTCAGCCATTAAAGATAGCTGATGTCGCTTTGAGAGAGCCGGTAATACCAGTGGGTAGACTGGTGTGGTGACTTCATTTGGCTAAATGCAACTCAGCTCAACCCCTTCGAACATTCAACCCCTCATCGCTTTCAATTATACCCTGACTACAGCTTCATTTGCGTCGTTCCTTCTGATAAAGAATCGGAGCCGGCTGCCACACCTGAAAGTCATACAGTTAGCGTGCAAGACGTTTGTAGGATTTTAGATACCATTAGGGAGGAGTGTACATTGTTCACTTCAGGAAAATGGTACGTTGTTGTTGTTTTACGCTTACTATATCTAATAATTCCTCTCAGGTGGACATATAGAGTCTGCTTCAATGGCGCTATAAAGCAATTCCACGCCAATCGTACGCCATTGTTTTCAGATGATCGTAAAGAATTGAGTTGGAAGGTGGAATTCGATGACAAGGTGCCTTCTTACATCCTTGGACGTTCTCCGGTTCAAGCGTCCACAAATGCAGACGTGACTAAAGATATAACCAAGGTAGACAAGACACCTGCAAATCCAACATTGAAGATATTAGGTGATGGTTTTCAGAAGTATGCGGTTGAGGAATGGGGCAATGGTACATTTTGCGATAAGACTGGTGAGCCGAGAAGTACAGCAGTTGAGTACTATTGCGCTCCAGGTGTTTTAAATCCAAGGATAATCTCAATACATGAAGTAACAACGTGTAACTATGTCGTTCAAGTGGAATCAGGTCAATTATGTGAATTAATTTCATTCAATCATATGAATCTTAAAGGGAAAGTCAAGGAGATTGAATGTATACCAATTCTAGAGCATGGTAGCATATGGCCTGATTTACTTGTCGAAGATGAGGAGTTTATTGTAGGTGATCAAGTAGAGGTACCTGATCATAGCAAAAGCTTAGACACACGAAGTAAAGAGGATCTCATTGAATTAATTGCACATTCACAAATCATATAAAAATAGCAGGATATTATTGTTGTAATATCTATATAAAAACGTACAAAAAAAAAAACAGAGTATCAAGAAGGATTAGTTTGAAATAGCGCTTTCCAGTTTCGATTTGATGTGTTCGAGGAAAGTATCAGTATTTACGTAGTGTTCATCACGAAGATTATTTGCGCCACCTTGGATAGACACGGCTAAATCTTTAGTGACGACACCATCTTTATCGATAGTCTCAACGCAGATTTGTTCCAATTTCTCAGCAAAGTTTTTCAGTTGAGAGTTGTTATCCAATTTTGCTCTATGAGACAAGCCTCTAGTCCAAGCGAATATGGAAGCTACAGGGTTAGTTGAGGTAGATTTACCTTGTTGATATTGTCTCCAGTGACGAGTGACAGTGCCATGAGCAGCTTCAGCTTCTAGAGTTTTGCCATCACTGGTAATTAACTCTGAGGTCATCATACCTAAGCTACCGAAACCTTGTGCGAGGATATCAGACTGAACGTCACCATCGTAGTTCTTGCATGCCCAAACGAAACCACCAGAGGATTTGATAGCTTGTGCAACCATGTCATCGATTAATCTGTGTTCATAAGTGATGCCAGCTTGTTCGAATGGTTTCTTGTAATGAGTGTTGAAGACATCAGCAAAAATTTCCAAAAATCTACCATCGTATTTTTTGAGAATGGTGTTTTTGGTAGACATATATAAAGGCATTTTCTTAGCTAAAGCTGTTTGGAATGAAGAGTGAGCGAAACCGGTAATAGAGTCATCTGTGTTGTACATGGCCATAGCAACACCACTACCTTTAAAGTCATAGACGTGAAGCTGTTGAGGTTGACCACCTTGAGGAGTGTAAACCAACTCTAATTTACCCGGCTTGTCGGCGATTAAATCAGTTGAGCGGTATTGATCACCGAAGGCATGTCTACCGATTACGATGGGTTTGGTCCAACCGGGGATAGGCTTTGGAACAGATTTGAGGATGATAGGTTCTCTAAAAACGGTACCACCGATAATATTTCTAATAGTGCCATTAGGAGATCTCCACATATGCTTTAAATTGAACTCTTCAACTCTAGCTTCGTCTGGGGTGATAGTTGCGCACTTGATACCAACGTTGTATTGCTTGATAGCTTCAGCAGAATCGACAGTAACTTGATCGTTTGTAGCGTCTCTGTTGAGTATACCAAGATCGTAGTATTTGATGTTTAAATCCATGTAAGGTAAGATGAGTTCATTACGGATTTTAGACCAAATAACTCTAGTCATCTCATCGCCATCAAGTTCAACAATGGGATTGTGTACTTGAATCTTACTTGAGATAGCTGTGGTTGAAACTGTTAACGGCGGAATAGTGAGCCGACGATGATAAGGGATAGAGAAGACTAACAGTGGGTTGCAGGGATAGACATCTTGATAAAATTATTAAGTATGGTGTTACGAGAAATGTAACTGCGTGATTGAATCAGATTTCCGATTCTTAACATGCCTGTGATCGTTGGTCGGAGAGAGTCATTCAACTCGGAAATATAAAGCCGATAAAGAAATAGAATGAAATGGTGAGATTTGATTGGTAATTTTGGTAATAAATTATGAATATTAAATAGTTTATTGCACTTGGAGGACTGTCAGCCAACGACAGCATTAGAAAGTGTTATACATGATTTGACAGCGAGGTTTAATGTGTGTAGTGGGAGTATCAATGGAATTATTCTAATATGAAACATCCAGTTCAACGCTAAGCAGAAGTACCATTTGGAGATACGCAGCTACTTGAATCAGTCCAAGTCAACGATTTACACTGTTAACATAAATAAAAGCGAGGAGATTGAAATAGTCTTTAATGAAAATCTGTCAAACAAGACATCCTCAAAACAATTCCAGTTGCTTTATCAGAAGGATAAGCAATTCACTTTAAAATCTCAACAAATTGTGGTTGAAGGATTTGAATTGAATTTAAATGATTGGTTGATTAGAATTGGTAACTTGATTTTGAATAACAACAAGTTTAAAGGTTTAGTCGTTGAAATTGATTCCACGCTGATAGCTGGTGATTCACAGGCACGCACTCTTGATGAGTTTATAGATGTAATTTTCCCACAATTTAAGCGTGTAGACTCAAAATTATTAAATTATTTCAAATCCATGTCATTCATCTAGTCTCTCTTTACTCACCATCACTCATATTCACTCATGTTCGATGCCGTTAGAGACGCCGAGAAGCTTGTTTATAAGCCATCCGCTGATTATAATCTCCCGCCATTATCTCAGCATGACTACGATGTATACTCAAACCCCTTGAATCCTCTTCGATCAACTTACCGTCCTTCAAAAAGGCCAGTCCCAAATCCTACAAATTTAAACTCAAATAACAAAAAATTCAAAGCAAATCAATATCAAGTTACTCAGTATTACAATGACAGACCCGATTATGGTAAAGATCTCAGAAAAATGTCACCAATTTTCAATCTAAAGAACTTTAATAATTGGATAAAGGCAGTTTTAATAGCTTCATTTGCTAGATTTGAACATCCTCCTCTTGCTAGAGTTTTAGATATTGGCTGCGGTAAGGGCGGTGATCTAAACAAGTGGACAAAGAGCAACATTATCGATTACGTCGGTTTAGACATCGCTCAAGTTTCTATAAACCAAGCACAAGCTAGATATAACGATATGCGTAAAAAATCCTTTAATACTCACTTTAACACTCTCGATTGTTTCAAAGAACCTCTAGATAAAGCTATACCGAAAGATTCTTTAGATAAGCAATTTAACGCTGTCAGCTGTCAATTCGCTATGCACTATGCTTTCGATTCTGAAGAAAGCGTACGATGCCTACTTGAAAACGTCACTAAACATTTAAAACCAGGCGGTTCTTTCATTGGTACTATCATTGACGCAAGTGTTTTGATTGAAGCTCTTGGTAATATTGATAGTGATGACAATATGGAATTTGGTAATTCACTATTCAGAATTAAGTTCGATCAACGTCCCGATGAAAACAATTTCTATGGTCAAAAATACAATTTTCACTTAGAGGACGCTGTTGACGCACCTGAATACTTGATTCAATGGGATATATTTACAGAGTAAGCCTTGTTCTCAATATTCCTTCAGCTCATCTAAATTCACCCCAGACTAGCGAGAAGCTACGGTCTTGAATTACTGGCATACAAGCCATTCCAAGAAATATTTTATGAACAAATACACGTCACTGAATTTCAACGACTAGCATCTCATCTTAAAATTATCGATGATTACGGTACTCCTATTTTAAGTGATGATGAATGGGGTACTGTGGGTATTTACGTTGCATTTGCATTTAAGAAGGTGGACAATTGATTAATTTTGTATTTATTTTCCTTGACCACGTACAACGATGACTAACTTCATCCATTGTGCCGTTTGTCACAAGATGCTTTTAAATGATTCAAAATCAAATTTTTATACTTCAAAATGTGGTGATATTTTTTGCGATAGTTGCTCACGTGAATTTTCTTTTTCTTTCGTCATCTTGATAACGTTGGTTGATGGTTGATCTATAGGCAGAATTGGAGAGCCATGCCCAATCTGTAACCAAAAATTATCTGCAATTAAGGAAATTGATAGAGAGGTAATTTGATCTCTGCAATTTGCTTGAGTTTTCAGTTACAGCTCTTACTCGTTAATAGGATGTTCACTTTCAGTCGCCAGGCACTTTGACTGGTATTTGCAACGACGTTGTCAACGTAAGTAGATTTATAATCAATCACGCTTTCTAATGTAGTCTCAGTTTCAATTTCAGCAAGCTGCTTATCTAGTTGAATACTACAGGACACGTACTATAAAGCAAAGAGACTTGATTGAGAGGGCAACAAAAGAACTGTTAACGTTGAGCAGTCTCAAAAAGTATTATAGCTATGACGCTATCGCCCCCTCTTATTAATCCTCCATAGACAAAATGCAACACTAAAGCAGCAAATAAAGTTAATAAAAGGTGAAACGAGTAACGAAAGCAACTGCAATGCTTTAAAAAGTTCGTCAACCATAATTGGTAATACAAGTGTCCAGAAAGACGTGCCGAAATTACGACCAGGTTTTGTCAATCCAGCAAATATCAACCCTCAAGACAACATAATCAATAAAGGTGCTTTGTTAAACATCACGGACTTTGGTAAGGGGAAACACGCAACTCAGAAATCTACAAATTCGTTATCAAGGACGGCTTCCTTTACAATCCCACATGTGAACAAAATGATCAGACCTTTACCACTCACCGACTATGATACCAATAAAGTCAACAATGAGCCTAAATCTTACAAGAAAATCCATCCAACATTCATGCCTCCGATCGATTCAAACAAGAATATCATTAGTTTAGATGATGATATTACTGAAACCAGTCGTAACGCCAATATAATTAATCCAGTCAAGTCATCCAGATTCAGTATTGCTTCCTCCAATCAGTTGAAGTGGGTGAATTATTAACACCGTCTATTGCTGACAATCCGCCAAAGAAGATTTGCTTTTGGTGGCCGAGAGAGTAGTGATAATAGGTATTTTAAGGAATGATTTGTAGTCAGTGTTTAGCTTTTGTGATCTAGCGCGATTATTCATATTTACATAAACTTCCATTTGCGGTAAAACCAACTTCCAAGGCTTCAAATTGTGGCAAACGCAAGCAGAGTGTTGAAACAGATGCAAATTGTTGATATATTGAATTTATTACCCCACAAATAGTATTTCTGGGTCAGGGCACCACTACTTACTCTCCTCCGCTTTTGAAGATAACAGCCAACGTATATGAAAATCAGTTTATAGGGGCATAACACAAACTTGATTGACATTTTAAATTACGCCTTTTTTAAACTTGACTTATTATTGGTTTAATTACATCGGCACTTTTATCTCACGAAATCTTATATGAACAGACGGATTAACTGGACGCCTGACAATGTTGATGAGACTTGGGACGACTACTTTGAACGTGAGTTTGTAATCGTTTTTAATATCCCCTTTGACAATTCGTGCTACAGCTCAGCATGAGAAAGCTGGTTTGGGTGTAGTATCGGCAATAGGTCTGTTATCAGCAATGTCCACTTTCGGATTATTATCTTATATTATATGGCACGCCAGACTTAATTATGATGCAAGACATCCACACCCCATTGTTGCTGTATCCGGATCGTTACCTTCCTTTATCAACAGCGCACCTGGTATATACCTGGTTAGTCTATTCATTAGCCACTTTATCTATGGCGTTGGCTTCACCATCGGTTTCCGCTGGACTGTCACGCAATACATATCAGTAGGTCCGCTATGCGATGCCCAAGGATCTTTATTGCAAATAGGCGATTTGGGCTATGCTTTCTGGTCTGGTGCCATTGCATATCACACATTTAGTTTGCTTTACTTTAGACATTCACCCCCAAATTGGGTGAATAAAGCTATAATGGGCATATGCTGGACTTTGCAGATTGTCTTGCCCATAATTGGTCCTACTGCGGTGGCTTATCCTAATAGACTATATGATTATTCAGGTGGAACTTGGTGCTGGATCAGTGGAAGGTATGATGTATTGCAGCTATTGTTTTACTTCATCCCTTCCTGGTGCTCAGTATTCATGTCTACAATAATGTATATAACGGTGTATATACACACGTCAAGATTCTTCAGCAATCAATCATTCTCGTCATCTCTTCATTCGAGCGCAAACACTATTAGCGATGACGATGAAGCTGCTTTTTACATCGGTACAAAAGTCAAGAAAAAAGCTAGATCATTGTTGATCTATCCACTTGTTTATGGTATATTACTTACACCGGTATCGATTGTGAAAATGGGTTCAATGGCTGGTTGGAGGTCACCGTTCTGGTTGGCATGTCTGTCAGGTGTATTTATATCAAGCTCTGGATGGATGGATGTTTTATTGTTTCTATATACAAGAAGAGCATTCTTACAAGAAGCTAGAAGAACTGCAAGGATCAGAACAAAATCTAGGTCAAAATCTAAGTCAAGGAACTTTAACGAAGAAAATATTAGACTTCAGAATATGACCATGGGCAGTGCGCCAAACAACCTTGAAGAATCATTAGGTCTCGGAGGTGTGCAAGCAAAAATGGAGTTAGACAGATTAAACTTGAATCTCCTAAACGAACAAAAGGAACAGAAAGTATTTTGAGAGGCGAGATATCTATGAAATATCACAACACGCACCAATTAGTTAAAAATCCAACGCACAAAATAAAAATGCAACAGTTGCTATTGTAATTTTATAATGTATTGTATTCAAACCTTATTCGATAAAAGAAATATAACTTGTTTGCTCACATCTGTCTCTTCCACCCACGATGGATATAGAGGCACTAGTAAATAAAAAAATTGCGGAGATAAACGATAATAAGATAAAAATCAACGAGCTGATCAAATATTTCAATAAATTTTATCAACTCATTTCTTTAAATAACAATTTCAGTTTAGACAAATTTAAGAAGATCAAATTAAATTATCAGCTAAAATCTAATCAGCTCAAAGCAATGTTGGATAAAGAGTCGGAAGATGTTGCAAGTCTTCTTTCAACTTTAGACAAATATAAAAGCATTTACTTGGAGCCTACTCATCCTGTCGCTTTCAAGTTACCTAAGGTTGATCACTCTATAGAAGATCAATGGATTTTAGCTAAAATTATACAGTCGATAAATAGTGACATTAATCAATACAAGGTACAAGACGTGGAGCCCTCTGAAGATGGTGGCCCCGGTCAAGTTTGGCAGACTGACCTAAAATCCATCATTGCTTTACCCGTTCATTCGAAAAGCACTTTTAAGTCAAGCACTCTCGTTCTAGGTTTATACCCAGACACGACATCATTCTATGTTGGTAGTTCACTACACATATCTTTGTTTGATTAACTTTGTTCAACAGAGAGCCACAGTCATTCAACCACCGGATACTGTCGCTAATAGAACTACGTATCTACTTCGATTCGAAGACGACGATGCCCCGTTCCAGACAGTATCACCCGAATACGTGATAAGTCTTCCTAATGGTACGAATTAGGATTTTTGAGTTATCCGATAAGTTATAAGTGTACATTAATCGTGTTGTTAATAGATTTCATACCCCAGCTAATCGAGTAGTGTTGCAATATTAACGATAGCTCTTCTATTTCGTCAAGAATCTCCAACTTCGATATCCTTTCTTTCTCTTTCGTAGACACCAAAGTATTACGTATGTATTCCAAGTCTCTGGTATCGCTTTTTGTTAACCCTGCTTCGATGTACTTGTCTTTGTCGTATGTTGACACTCCTGGTAACTCCACACCTCTAGCCTAAGCAAAGCGATTAGATTTGAGCTAGGTGTAGTAATTACTTACTTTCAAGTTTCTTAGCATTGTTTGCCCAAATTTATCATCAATGCCTGTCATTTCATAGACTAGTACTAACACATCATTGAAAGATTGTCCAAGCCATCTCAATATCCTATTTGATGCATCTTGTGGCATGTACACTAAGACGCATTCACATAAAACTAGTGTAGGTATATCATGGTTGACGTGTGGATTGATCAACGCATTCAGATCAGCTGTCCTCAAATCAGTTGGTAGAAGTTTGTATCTGTTACTGAGTAATCTTGATCCGCCTGCTTCTATGACAACATCTTCATCCAATTTGCTAGACAAAACATCACTTTTACGTATATGCATAATCTTTCTCGATGTCAATTCGTCGAAATCAACCTCAATGTACTTGAATATTCTATCATCACCGCTATACCTCCAAAACCTGGTGTCAGAACCAGATCCTAGGCTGATGATCTGAGCTCTCGACGTGGATGATAGGAACTGGTTGATAACATTGTCGATTGCGTATGTTCTTATATGCGTTCCCCTGTTTATGACAGGTGGTCGAGGTACTTGTTGTGATCTACTCAACCGACCAACGAAAAGCTCAGTGTAGGGATCCTCAATATATCCCTTTTGTATTGCTGACAACCTGCTTAGAATTGCATCCATATCCGTCATCCTCGTCGCATCATCACTCGTCATAGTTCAGTGAGAAGCATGCCTCAGTCCAAACCCTCATTGACCAAAAGTGATAATGGGAAACAATTCTGACAGCTCTTTGTCACCGCCACCACCTTCTATTTCACCACCACGCAAACGGCAAAAAGGCAGCGCCACAAATAAGTTTATGTCTGACTCTACGAAGCCTCCGTCCAAATCAAAGTACAGAATACCAAAATACGTTAAAGACAATTGCGAATTTGTACAACGTTTGGATACATCGCATAAGATTGGTTCACATTGTTCAGCAGCAGGTGGGGTATATAAGGCGGTGATAAATGCGGCTATCAACGGTTCTAATGCATTTGCATTGTTTTTGAGCAACCAAAGACAATGGAAGTCGAAACCTCTATCCCAAGATGACATTGATCACTTCAATAATACTTTGATTGAACACAATTACGATAGAAGCTTGATTTTGCCTCATGGCAATTATCTTATTAACCTTGGTAATCCCAATGATGATACTAGGCAGAAATCGCTTCAGTGCTTCATTGATGAATTACACAAATGTGAACAGCTTCGATTGCCTTTTCTTAATTTCCATCCGGGTTCGACGGTTGGTTTAAGTACGGTTGAAGAATGTTGTAAGAAAATCGGTGAATCTATTTCACTGGCATTGAACGAAAGCAGGAATGTCACTATCCTGATTGAAAATATGGCTGGTCAGGGATCTACGGTCGGAAAAAGTTTCGATGAGTTGAGAATGATAATAGACAGCGTCAAAGATAAATCGAGGGTTGGTGTTTGCCTTGACACATGTCATCTATTTGCCTCAGGATACAATATCAGCACATATCAAGCATACTGCAACACATTCGAAAGCTTCGATGAAATTGTTGGCTTTCGCTACTTGAAAGCTTTGCACTTGAATGACTCACTAACGCCTTGTAATTCAAAGAAGGACAGGCATCACAATATAGGTGTTGGATGCATCGGGTTAAACGCATTCGAATTCATCATGAACGACGACAGGCTAACTAATATCCCAATGATACTCGAGACGCCTGCCAGTGAAAATGGAGAAGATATTTGGTCGCTAGAAATTGATCTTTTGCATTCACTTCAGCGTAAAGAAGTTAATCAAGATAAGATACACCGCTTAAGAAGCTTAATTGAGAGTTATTCGAAATTTGTAAAGTAGCTTTTGCCCTTTCTGCTGTTTTATTTCCAATTATAAATTAGTCGTATACGTCAACCATCTCTTCAACTAAAACGGTCAGGTGCTGAAATGCCATCTGTCAGTATCATAATCGTTTAAGTACACGTAGGACTAATATCCATCGATATAGTATTCGGAATTGATTCAAATGGCAAAAGCCAACTCCGAGAGAGGCGCACAGCATCTTGAAGACATGAAGAGGCACAAAGAGGAGCAAGACGAGCATGCAAGAGCTCAATCAAAACGGAAGGAGGATGAGCGGAGGCGAGCCCAAGATGAAATCTCAAAACGGCGCAAGACAACGGAGTTACGTAATAAGGAGGTCGAAGCTGATCGCTTGAATCAACGTAAGAAAGCTAGATCTATGCAAAGCCATAGTCAAAATGTTACTAGTAGTCTTGCTTCTAGGAATAGAGCATCATCTTCCGATAAAAGTACAAAACCTGCCAAGGTGTGTACGAAATCGACTTAACTACCCATTGCTTATACATGAACAGCAACAGGAAGTACTTACCCGTGAAGAAAAGCGTAACATTAAGCAAAAGAAAGATTTCGGTGAATACGGTGCGCGACAGAAATCGAAGTCACAACAAAAACCACATCAAGACAACTACCAATCAGGGGGTCTAATTGCACTCAATACAAAGAAGAGAGATACGAGAACAATCGAAGAAATTCAACACGATTTGAAGTCAAAGAAGAGTATTGATAATGGACACAGCAAGAGTGACACCAGACAGTCTATATCTAAGAGAAAAGCACCGTCACTGCCAGATTTATCTAAAAGAAAAACTGCTTCTAAGGACTCTAAAAACGATATTGACAGCGATGATAGCATAAGTAATGATGTTGATAGTGATGGTGGTGATGGCTATAACAGTCATGATATTTGGAGTCTATTTGGTAAAGACAAGGCTAAGTACCTCGAGCGCGATTACGACAGTAATGAGAGTGACGCTGATATGGAAGCTACGAATGAAGACGTTATCGATGAAGAGCTTTCAAGGTAAGCCTTAAATGTTTCAGAAGAAAAACCACAGACTGAGGCGATAATCTTAAGCTCTCGTTTTGGCAAGAAAGAAGACGAAAGGGAAGCTGCAGATTTGCGACGTCATGAACTTGAAAAAAAGCGAAGGAAGCTAAACAAATAATCACCTTATGTCTCAGTTTGCTGTCGATTCGCACGCACGTTGTAAAGTATCTTATTCTCATCCGGGCTGGAGGTAGTCTATATAAGTTTGCAGTTGGATTTCATGCTTACTTGAGGTAGAGCCCATGGGCTTCGAAGATTATGTTCCGCGTTAAGATGTATAACATGTGAGGGATATGCCAACATTTCAAATGAAAAAATCATGTATGTCTTATAATATCCCACCTTAATTTGTACGCTCATCATTTATTTCAACATTTATTTTACTTATGCACATGTCTTATATATAGTTCTCATGTCATATTTAAGTGGTAATAGATGAAGTTAATAACTCACTATACAAGATCCCCTTTTCTGGGTTGACTTTTAATTATGGAATAATACTTAACGATACATCCGACATAGCGGTTCTTGATTCAGATATATAATCAAATCGGTTAAGAGAAAAAGAATAGGACTTCAAATAATATGAGACCTTCCAGTCATACCGAAAAAACCAAAAAATCTCAAAAACAAAGTATTAAAGCACAAGGAATTCACAGCGACTCCAGAAAACTTGTTTGATTGTTAACAAAAATTGAAGAATTTTGAAATCGAAAATAACGTTGAAAAGTAAAACTACTACTTCATCGGTATTTCAAGAAGTGACCCGCTTTTTTCTATCAATTCACGTATTGAATAGATCAAATTTTATTTTAGTCATGAACTATTTTTTGATGCATATGTGAATTACACGGGGAAAAGCGCTTCTTTAAGAGAAGTGTTGTTTTGAATTGTATCGGTTTAGACATCCTGATCCACCACTGTTATGACGACTTTCCAGCTCTCAGGTAAATTTTCGCGTTCCTTTTACTCGAATGTTGTTCCCCACAAAGAATTTGATATAGATGTTTTTATTTTTTCGTAAGGTAAAAAGCATTGAAATGACACTGTTCATCGTTTAAACTTGAGTTCAACTTTCAAAAAGTTCTGAACATTGGGATAACCTTGCATATGCAAGCCGTTTATAGAAAACTTGATGGAAGACGTTGAGTCAATAAAGGGTTGATTGATCTTAAATAGATTATTGACAACACAAAAGTTTACAGCCAAATGTAAACGAAAAAGCGAAGAGTACTTAGCTGTTCATAGCTGCAAGACACTCGGAACTTGAGTTTATTTAAAGGATTTTATATAGGCGAAGAAATCGCGAAAGCCTACAGCTGGTAGCTTATTTTAATGATTAATAAGCAAACGACTACGTAAATTTTTGATAATGCAGGTCTAGGACATAAACAAATGTTGTATGGATTTGGCATCTTTCATAGTTTGCAATCCTTTACCGTGAATCCATTTAGTAAAAAAAGGGTCACTTCTTGAAATACCGATGAAGTAGTAGTTTTACTTTTCAACGTTATTTTCGATTTCAAAATTCTTCAATTTTTGTTAACAATCAAACAAGTTTTCTGGAGTCGCTGTGAATTCCTTGTGCTTTAATACTTTGTTTTTGAGATTTTTTGGTTTTTTCGGTATGACTGGAAGGTCTCATATTATTTGAAGTCCTATTCTTTTTCTCTTAACCGATTTGATTATATATCTGAATCAAGAACCGCTATGTCGGATGTATCGTTAAGTATTATTCCATAATTAAAAGTCAACCCAGAAAAGGGGATCTTGTATAGTGAGTTATTAACTTCATCTATTACCACTTAAATATGACATGAGAACTATATATAAGACATGTGCATAAGTAAAATAAATGTTGAAATAAATGATGAGCGTACAAATTAAGGTGGGATATTATAAGACATACATGATTTTTTCATTTGAAATGTTGGCATATCCCTCACATGTTATACATCTTAACGCGGAACATAATCTTCGAAGCCCATGGGCTCTACCTCAAGTAAGCATGAAATCCAACTGCAAACTTATATAGACTACCTCCAGCCCGGATGAGAATAAGATACTTTACAACGTGCGTGCGAATCGACAGCAAACTGAGACATAAGGTGATTATTTGTTTAGCTTCCTTCGCTTTTTTTCAAGTTCATGACGTCGCAAATCTGCAGCTTCCCTTTCGTCTTCTTTCTTGCCAAAACGAGAGCTTAAGATTATCGCCTCAGTCTGTGGTTTTTCTTCTGAAACATTTAAGGCTTACCTTGAAAGCTCTTCATCGATAACGTCTTCATTCGTAGCTTCCATATCAGCGTCACTCTCATTACTGTCGTAATCGCGCTCGAGGTACTTAGCCTTGTCTTTACCAAATAGACTCCAAATATCATGACTGTTATAGCCATCACCACCATCACTATCAACATCATTACTTATGCTATCATCGCTGTCAATATCGTTTTTAGAGTCCTTAGAAGCAGTTTTTCTTTTAGATAAATCTGGCAGTGACGGTGCTTTTCTCTTAGATATAGACTGTCTGGTGTCACTCTTGCTGTGTCCATTATCAATACTCTTCTTTGACTTCAAATCGTGTTGAATTTCTTCGATTGTTCTCGTATCTCTCTTCTTTGTATTGAGTGCAATTAGACCCCCTGATTGGTAGTTGTCTTGATGTGGTTTTTGTTGTGACTTCGATTTCTGTCGCGCACCGTATTCACCGAAATCTTTCTTTTGCTTAATGTTACGCTTTTCTTCACGGGTAAGTACTTCCTGTTGCTGTTCATGTATAAGCAATGGGTAGTTAAGTCGATTTCGTACACACCTTGGCAGGTTTTGTACTTTTATCGGAAGATGATGCTCTATTCCTAGAAGCAAGACTACTAGTAACATTTTGACTATGGCTTTGCATAGATCTAGCTTTCTTACGTTGATTCAAGCGATCAGCTTCGACCTCCTTATTACGTAACTCCGTTGTCTTGCGCCGTTTTGAGATTTCATCTTGGGCTCGCCTCCGCTCATCCTCCTTCCGTTTTGATTGTTTGATAGAAGATTAAGAGCATTGTTCTTCCAACTGAAGCTGAATAATATCCATTATAGTAACAGAACAAACATATCATGTATTATTTCAGAGATATACTAATTTCATCTCAATTATGTCATAAGCAGGACGTGCAGGGAAACGGCGACAATCAACTAGTCATAAAACAGGATTCATGTGAAATTTCAATCGTTATAAAGTATGCAAGATTGAAAGAAGTGATAATGTATTCATATCATGCTCAAGTGATGAGTTGGTAAGAGATTGAATTGGTATCTGATTAGAATTGTTATGCAGAATCTTGATTATCAATTATTAATTTCGTCATCTAGTGGTAGGTAGGTAAAGAGTTCCATGACAGTTTTGCCATTCCGTCTAGAAAGAATGACGCATTTCTCTTCAGTGAAAGCTAATCGCCAAATAGATTCCCCTCTTTCAGAGAGATCTCTTATACGTTTGCCGGTTTCAAAGTCCCATAGCTTAATTCTACCGTCATTCCCAGCGGAAACGATAAAGCGTTCATCGAACTGTAATGAAGTGACGGAGTTACTGTGAGCATCAATCCTATGTAGACATTCATAGTTTTCTAGGTTATAAACTATGACTCTACCATCACTACCACCAGTTACGAGAATGTTGTCGGTTAATTGTAGAGTACCAATCAGAGCCGTATGACCTTGTAACATTGCTAAGCATTTCTTCTGAGAAGCAGACCAAATTCTAACCGTATTATCCATCGAACCAGTTGCAATTTTATCGCCATTGAAAGCGATTGAGTAAATTTGATGAGCATGACCTTGAAATGTGAACAAGCATTCACCAGAATTTAAATCCCATAGCTTTATCAAGAGAATAAGGAAATATAAGTGGTAGCTGAGGGATAACTTACTTTACTTGTGCAGTCATAAGAACCAGAAACAATTTTATCACCAGAGACATCCAGAGATCTGACAGAATGTTGATGTCCTTGCAAGATATGAATGAGAGTACCGTTTTCGATATTCCAAACTCTAATTGTAGCATCTCTTGAACCGGAAACAGCTATCGGTTTACCAGGGATAACTTTAACACATCTAATAGTAGAAGTATGACCGGACAAAGTGTGTAAACAAAGACCTGATTCGGCATCCCAAACTCTAACATGTCTATCGCAGCTTCCAGAGACAACAATGGTACCGTTTTGACCCCAACCTTTGACAGCTCCACAGATGGATTTACCATCGTTAGCGAAATTATTACCTCTAAAGATTTTAGAAAAGTGCTTCCTACGCTGCTTGGAAGATGAAGACGATGGATTATTAAAATCAGTTGAATTGGATCTTTGATATTGATCATCATTCAGTTGGTTAAATGAAGTTGAAGGAAAAGAGTTATGATTTGATAGTGGAGGTCTAATAAAGTCGAAGTCAAAGCCTAAACCGAACTCTTGTTTTGGAGTGTTTTGAGTTGAAGAAGAGTGAGGGGAGGGAGGGTAATTAGAGGAAGATAGGTGAGGAATGTTAGAAACCAAGACTAAACACCAAACACCTTGAATGTGACCTTGTAAAGCACACTTCCATCTACCAGTAGTAGCGTCAAAAATGTGAATGTTAGAGTTTGACATTCCAATAATGATAAAGTTATCATCCATGACAAGGGATGTGACTACGGCATCTTCAGGGGAGACATGAGAGGAGATAAGTCTACCGCCTTTTCTCCAATTAGATTCAGTTAAATAGGAGTGTTTAAAATGTTTCTTGTAGGAAAATTGTTGAATAGGTTGTTGAGAGGTCCAGAAGGAATTGTCGTAGTTTAAATCCAAGGAGTTTCTCCTGACAATAGAATTAGATCTGTAAAAATTAACTCTATGTTGTAAAGAGGAAGAAGAAGGTTTATAACGATGTTTAAAGCACATATCTTTCCAATTATTTTCATCTTCGACAATGTCTCTCCACCATTTAGAGACTTGAGAGCATCTAGCGAGGGTGTTTGGGTGGTTAATGAAAGAGAGAATATGTAAGGATAATTCAAGAGGTAGTTCCTTTAAGAAATCTCTCTTAAGTCTTGGGGCTAATAAGTTGTTGGCGTGTATAACTTGAGGGATGGAGAGAGAAGGAAGGATAAAATTCAAAGCCAAGAGTTTATCGTTGAAGGAAAGGCAATTAAATTGATTAAATATGGAAGATATGTTGTCATTAGTGTGAGTGTTATAAGAGGAGGTAGTTGGAGTAGGTGGAGTTGAGGGATTTGATCTTAAATTGTTCGATTTGATGGAGATGGGCGTTGTTGATAGGTTATCGTCCATTTCTTATAAATCAACTTTATAATAAAACGATGACTGTCAACGATCGACAGCTTAGATTAATAAAAAGTCAAAATGATTTGATAATAAAAATAAATAATAAAAATTACAAGTTTCAAATAGAGGACAGTATTAGCTTGGTTTTATTAAGCAGTTTGAGTAGTGGATGTTATAGTGATATTTTACTGGAGTGGATTGCTAGCGAAGGATTACAAGTTGAATTTAATAACAACAATTTAATAATTTTGTTCAAGTCTTCAAATCATCAAAATATTTCAAGTGTAGATTACAAGTTGGTAGACGATGATTATAAGCTATTCCAATTGAAGCCATCAAGCGTGGCATTAAGTAAGGAAACTTCAAATGATTTAGAATTGGAAGCCAGTCTACTAATTCTATCAAATGAGTTGGTACTTTCAAATGATATTCAATCGAGTCGAGTTATGAATTACAACTGCAATTTAACTAGAGGCAAACAAATAAATATAAATCCAGCCAATCAGCTTGATAATCAATTACTCAAATTATTCTCAAAGAACAATCGGCCACCACCTACGTTTGACAGAATAAACTTCATTCAATCTAATAAATTGTAATTGTAATTCTAGTTATAAAATTTTATCATGGTATCTAAACCCACTCACACCCACTCAAACTCGCACCTCCACCACCCACTATCAATGAACACACAAGTTATTCATAAGTCAATAAAAAGTTTAAATAATCTTATAAGCAAGGATAGTTCGAATTTAATTGAAGATGTCGACTTTTTATACTTGATTATTACTCTAAACTCAATGAAATCTCATATCAACAATAAAACTTTAAACATTCCTATAAAGAACACCCTCATTGATCCAAGATCTGATAACATTTGCTTATTGGTTAAAGATCCTAAGCAAGATTCTATCTCAACCTTAGAAAAATCTAATATCAACTTCATCTCTGAAATCGTCTCTTGTCAAGAATTGAAAGGTAAATACAAATCGTTCGAATCTCAAAGATCTTTATTCTCTCAATTCGATTTATTCCTCGCTGATGAATCTATTTTGCACTTATTACCTAGATTCATCGGTAAACATGCCTTCTCATCTAACAAACCAATTGGTGTAAATCTCAAATCAAATGACTTGAAGAATCATATTCAATCTGTTATAAACTCTACTCACTACACTCCATCAAAAGGTGTCTGTCAATCTATTAAATTCTCTTCCACAAATCACACTATAGATCAGCAAATTGCAAACTTAGAAACCGTTTTAGATCATTTCACAACAAAACTCACCAATTTAAATGAAATTAAGTCTATTAACATCAAGCTATCCTCGTCTGATGCCTTACCTATTTACATCAACGACTCCTTTAAGCCAAAGACTCCAACTGAACAATTAGATAAGAGGAAGAAGTCATCCACCTCGACAAAATCAAAGTCAAAGAAACAAATTACTGGTGATAAGTCAACAAAACCAAGTAAGCCTGTTAAATCAAATTAAGCTATTTATCATACAATCATCTTAACTTTTTCTCATTAAAGAAACCTCTCAAATGGGTTGACTGCCAGTAACATGCACCCGCTATGACTATCATCTGTAAAATTGACCAGGTTATAGTTCTCTTATTCGTCATATCTGATATCTCCCTAAATTCTACTTCTCTATCTCTTTGGAATTGCTGCTCTTTACGAACATCAATCAGCTTTGCATTTAGATCCCTTATCCTATTAGTCAATGATTGAATGTGGTTTAAATCTGCTGATTCATCGTGTTTAATTGCACCAATTGCCATATCCAAATGAATTCTAATTGATGGATTTCCTTGATACCAACCTGTGTTGATTGAGCTATTAGTTGATAAGCAAACTGTATGATCTCCAGCGAGGTGTGAAGTGAACATAAATGAACCTGTGGAAGGACCTTTACTATTAACAACCGGGTGCTTCTCCTCAGTCTCTTCAACTTGAATCAAAACACCAATATCATTGGCAGTAACCCATTCTTTAGTCTGTAAATTGAATTCTTCTGCTTTGTATTTACCTGTGGAACAATATATGTCACTACATAATCCAATCACAAATGCCAGACACACCACTAACAAGAGTATCAGCTGGCACCTCTTCTAAGAAGCATTTACGATCATTGCTATCCATGTAAAAGTGCAAGCCATAAGATAATTGGAACATTGCTACTAAAATTAAAATCAATTTCATCATCGTTGTATGTGTGTGTATCGATTATTGGGCAAGCCCTGGGTTACAAAAGCCGAAAAAAAAAAAAACCATTGCTCCCTCAAAACATCTTTGTGATTGCTTGAATCTTTAGTACTACATCACATTACGATATCATTCCTTGAGATGTTAGGATTCATCTCAGCGACTGTTTTATAGGGCTTTGTCAGCCCAGCTGTTTCGTTATTGCTTTCTAAAATTTAAGTAGAGCAAAAGCTCCTAGACATGTGTGCTGCATAAATAATGGATTAGTACTTATTCATTATACTCACGCCCAACGTCCATCATCCATCATCACCAGCATAATGGGCTCAATTTATTATAAATTTAAATCGTCAAAGATCACTTCAAGGGTTAATATCGATGGTACCTCTTTATCTGTTTTCGATTTAAAGAGAGAAATCTTGTTATCTAATCGTATGGCTATAAATAAGGGAAACGATTTCGATTTGATTTTATTAAGAGACACTCCTGGTCAAGAAGGTATTTCGTATTCTACTCACTATCCTCACTTTACTCACTAGCTCATTCTCACTCAGAGTATCATGATGATAATGAAATGATTCCTCGTTCTACTTCAGTTTTAGTTAAAAGGTCTCCACCTAAAATTCCGAATAGAGGCTCTGCTGCTAAATACACCGCCGATGCTCCTGTCATGGCTGACTCAAATTCATCCCAACCAAAACCACCATTACCTGTTTTAGGCTCTATGTCCAAACGTTTTGATGGAAAGGATGAAAACAAGTCACAACAGCTTCTCAACCAATCTGTTTGTTGCCTATTCATCCCTTCTTCTTCCCTCTGATCAAAAACAGTCTGAATCTGGTCAGCAAGAATCTGAACAAGACGCCATTTCTGCCATGTTCAAAGCATCTGAACAGCAATGGGAAGAAACTCAACAGCATATGTCTATGTAGGTAATCTCATTGTCATCTACTAATATTCAATCCATTCACAGGGCCACCCCTGTCTACACCAACATGAGGCCTCAAGTAAGAAAACCAATTCCTCAACCAACTGCTACAGGTGACTCTGCGCCGTCCACATCCCAACCTCAGCCGCAATCTCAACCCCAAGAGTCATCCATGTCCAATGCTATGCCTACCCCACCTGGCTATGTCTGCTACAGATGTGGAGAGAAAGGTCACTGGATTCAAGATTGTCCCACCAACGGTGATCCTAACTATGAGAACAAACCACGATTCAAACGTACAACTGGTATACCAAAGTCATTCTTAAAGACTGTTGATCCTTCTACAGCAGCATTAATGACTAACAATGGTACAAACAACTCTCAAGGTGTAATGATTACACCCGATGGTAGTCACGTAATTGCAACTCCCGACATAGCGACCTGGGAAAAATCTAGATCGATCAAATCATCAAAGCTCACTGTCAACGATATCAGAGATTCTGAACCCAAGCTACAAGAATTGAAATGTGGCTTGTCTGGTAAACTTCTCAACAATCCTGTCACCTTGCCTTGTTGCAACCTTTCCTTCTCAGATGATTACATAAATCACTACCTAATTGAAAATGACTTATTTTGTCCAAATTGTCATTCAAACGTTGGATCTTTAGAGAACTTGAAATCTGACCTAGAACTCAAGCAGAAGGTCATTGAGTACATCAACGAGGAGCTCCGTCTTGATAAATTAAAAAGAGATGAGAACAATAAAGACGGTGATTCTAACAACCAAACTGATTCAAGTGACGACACTCAAAAGGATCATTTCCAACAGGCTGATAGAAGGTCGCTATTTCACGATGATATTATTAAGGTGAACAAGATAATACACGACTGTCAATTTGCAATTATGGCTATATTCGAAGCACTGAAGAATAATGAGGTTAGTTTACTGTTTTGATCGACAGTTCATAGCTTACTTTCAAGTAGCTCGATGACAAGACCAAGTACAAATTTCAAACTCAATTGGTGCAGATAAATGTAAGCAAATTCCCATTCAAACATTTTTGGCTAATCATATAACTAGCAAATCATGAACCTGCAACAAGGTCAAGTAATGATGATGATGAATGGAATGGATCCTAAAGTCTTTGGAATGCCACTTTTACCACAGATAAGTGAGTTTGTTTATGACACTCATTGATCACAACACTAACTACCCACACCAGATCAAAAGGAGCAACAGGATATCAATCAGACAAAAATCACAGAGCCATCTACCGGACAAAAGAGACAGAATGATGATGATAATTACAATAATGAAAGACCTTCAAAGCGTTGATTATCATCTCATTGATTACCAGCCCTGCCTCTGAGTGAGCACATTCAAACATATCGAACTGTACAGATGTAATTTATAATCGCATAAATCATATTCCTGCTCTTTGTAACATGAATGAGCGTGCAATGATAATAGCATTAAAGAATACAGTAGCGTTGTTACAAAAAAAATCAAGTTATACCAAGCTGGTCATTTCAATCGCACCCAGCTTCAGCAATACTTTCACAGCATTCGCGATGATTTTTTGCGAATTCTTTCTGTTTAGACAGCTGTGCTTTCATTTTTGATCTTCTGACAACTTTTCCAGGCATTTACTATAAATCATATTTAAGAAAAGCATGTTGCACAGCGTTCTAGCCGATTTGTCAAATTTTCCCATAATCCTTAATATTGCGTAGCAGTATGAAGCATCTGAAGTGACTGTCCTTCAGTTGAGTGACTGAAAGTATTACCGCTTTACTGATCATACCCTCTACAGCTTCAGCTAATCCTCATACAGATAACGAACATTAGCTGAGTTAAACGCGCTCGAGAAAGGCTTGGCTCATCTCAATGTCATGAATGACAGCGACATGACGAGCAACAGATGAAAGCTTGGCAGGCAATTCCATTCTTTCGTTCTCTATATTGCACACAAACTACTCATTGAATTTAAATAAGTAATGAAATGCTCACAGCCAGCTTGTACAATGAAACCTAAAAGTAATAGCAAGTAAGAAGCCCAAATAATCGTGAGTGTGTGCTTTTTTACTAGGTGTACCTTATTTGAGAGTTGTGCATGCGCATCTTCCAAATCTCTTTTCATAACGTGGGCTTGTGCTGCTAAATATCTAAGTACCAACTCTGTATTAGCTCTAGTTGCTTGTAACTTCTCCCTTTTGATATCCTTAATTGATAGACTGCTGGTCTGATATAATTTTCATTGATTAGCTCGACTCCTATGCTAGCATAAGACAAGGAGGGCAAGTTGACTCCAACTGGGTCTCTGTGTACAATGTAAATTAGTATAAAGGTGAATTCGAGTAGTATAATTAAAGTTGGTAATTAATAGTAGTTTTTCAGCGCATCCATTCACCTCAATCTACCAAACTTCCGTCAGGAGAGGGATTGTCACCAAGAATGACCCTAGCTCGAACCAGTTATCTTCCTTGCCTTTATCAGTAAGTAAACATTCTTCCTACAAAGCTAGCTTGGAAGATGTAGCGTCTACATGGCGACTATTGTAGACAGATTTGGCAATGAGAAGCAAACAAGGATATATACTTGATTTCCGCTCTCATTCCTTACAGATGGTATTTCGGCATGATCTGCGGTGAGTGGTACGTAATTGAATTCTTTGTCTAGCTCGTGCATCTTGGTAGCAGAGCTCCACGCATCACCACTTACAACATCTGAGCAAGTGGATTCAGCCAAAGCAAGCAGAAGTAAGTCTGTATCGCCGTTTTTCTTTGCGATGTCTGCTCTTACCTTGAAGCAAGAGGATGGTACATCACTAATCTCAGCTGCCAGTGGAATTGATAGAACCACTCAGTGCGTTTCTTCTTCTTGGTATCAGTAATGGCACGTTTGAGCAAAAGATGTGCGAGCCAAGAGCTCCTCGCTGATGCGATTCTTATGAGAAGTGCATATGTTTCGAAGAGGTAGTTCTCGAGAAGAGACTTTGCTTTAAGAGATCGCTGGTTTAGTTATAGAGAGTTTAAGCTAAGCCTATTCTAGAGATCATTCCTTGTGTCTGTGTGGGACCAGGCAGATTTAGACTGGCTTTGTAAGATATAATTGCGAGATAACAACAATGATGATATTCCGCGAGCAGATCGTTTTGGCTGTCTACAGAGGCAAGGAAGCTATCTGCGTAATATGAGTAAACCGCTGCAAGAGCGAATAATTGTGAATGCTGCGTGCGTCGTGCCATAGGTGATGGGATGATGAAATCAAGTGACGCAATGCAGTGCTCGATAAGCAGACATATGATAAAGCGCGTAGAGAATTGTGATGAGGCCTTGTTGTACACGCTTTGAGATCATTTGCGACCGCAAAATCGTGTCACAGCGAATCAATGTCGCATAAGAAAACAAGAAGACGCGGTAGAGACTGTGATACAAGCCGAATAACACGCTGTAAGTTTAATTACATTTACAAACTCATTTTATATCAAATAAACGAGGTATGTAAGTGACTGAGCCAAGACAACCGAGGTGCACGCAACCGAAACTGAGAAGTATCGCTGAGCAGTTAAGCAGGGAAAAGCACAACGGGAGGTATCCAATTACTAAGCCTCACCTATTCAAACACACTAAATAAAATTTTGTAGTCTGACTCAATCATCTCCGATATAATCATCTTCTTCGCTGTAATCGGTCGAAACTAAAATTAAAAGGATGCTGCCTAGAAGTGCATTTGCGAAGGCCATCGCTAGCAATACAAGACGCTGCATTTATTCTAACAAGGCTACCGGCTCTCGTTTCATCAGTTCGAAGCCACCGGCCAAGGATGCAGCAAGCATGTAAGCAGCTTCTAAAACGCTCTCGAAGCACATCTAATTCTGTTACAGCCGCCCACAGCCATCCCCCGCCTTCCAGCAGTCGCCACCTCCCAAGGCTGTTGGAAAAGAAGTTCAATCGAATACAAAGATAATGCCTTGGGATCTTGACGACTCATTCGTCGGTATGAGCGGTGGTGAAATATTCTCGGAGCTCATGCTTCGTCACAAGGTCAAGCACGTTTTCGGTTACCCAGGCGGTGCCATTCTTCCTGTTTTCGATGCCATTTACAATTCACCTAACTTCGAATTCATTCTGCCACGCCATGAACAAGGTGCTGGTCATATGGCTGAAGGTTACGCTCGTATCACGGGCAAACCAGGTGTCGTACTCGTCACTTCCGGTCCTGGAGCAACCAACACCATCACTGCAATGCAGGACGCTCTCTCTGACGGTATTCCAATGATTGTTTTCACCGGTCAAGTCGCTACATCTGCTATCGGCTCTGATGCTTTCCAAGAGGCTGATGTCATCGGCATTTCGAGAAGTTGTACAAAGTGGAACGTTATGATTCAAAACGTTTCTGAAATCCCAAGAAGAATCAATGAGGCTTTCAAGATAGCGACATCAGGTAGACCAGGTCCTGTCCTCGTCGATTTACCAAAGGATGTTACAGCTAGTATCTGCAAAGACGCAATCCCTTCACGCTACACCCAACCACAAGCCCTTCCTCCTCTTCCAAACCCACCTGTTCTATTTCCATCTGATACTGGCCCTGATCTCAGCTCAATAAAAAGCGCAGCAGAATTAATCAACATAGCTAAACGCCCTGTAATCTACGCCGGTGCCGGTATTCTCAACAGCGAAGATGGTCCAGCAAAACTTCGCGAACTTTCTAACAATGGGAACATCCCTGTAACCACTACCCTTCAAGGTTTGGGTACTTTTGACGAACTTGATCCAAAATCTCTTCACATGCTTGGTATGCACGGATCAGCATACGCCAACTTGGCCATGCAAGAAGCAGATCTTATTATTGCACTTGGTGCACGTTTTGACGATCGTGTTACTGGTAAAGTTGATACATTTGCACCAGCAGCCAGAGCTGCTGCCCTTCAAGGACGTGGAGGTATCGTCCACTTTGAAGTGATGCCAAAGAATATCAACAAAGTTGTTCAAGCTAATGTAGCAGTCGCTGGCGATGTAACACAAAACCTCGGTCATCTTATACCTCACGTTCGCTCAAAGCCACGCGAAGAATGGTTTGACAAAATCGCTGCATGGAAGGAAAAGTATCCATTCATCTTTGAAAAGTCTGCTAGCAATTCGATCATGATGAAACCACAAGAAGTAATCGAAGAGCTTGACAAGCAGAGTCGCGGTAAGAAGGATGACTTTATTCTCACTACTGGTGTTGGTCAGCATCAAATGTGGGCTGCTCAACATTATAGATGGACCGCTCCACGCACCATGGTGACCTCAGGTGGTCTCGGAACAATGGGTTTTGGTTTACCTGCTGCGATTGGTGCCAAGGTTGCTGCACCAAACAAGACAGTCATTGACATTGACGGTGACGCTTCTTTCTCGATGACTGCAATGGAATTGCAAACTGCATCTCAGTTCAACATTGGTGTCAAGGTTATTGTTCTTGACAATGCTTTCCAAGGTGAGTTATGTGTTGGCTATGAAAGCTCATTTTAATACATCTTTAGGTATGGTTCTTCAATGGCAAGATCTTTTCTATGACAACAGATATTCGCACTCCCAAATGATTAATCCAGACTTCTGCATGTTAGCCAACGCAATGGGAGTACACGCTATTAAGGTTGAAACTCTTGCAGACTTACCAAAGGCCATGGAAGAGTTCCTGGCACATCCAACCGACAGACCAGTGTTACTGCACGCCAAGGTCGTCAAGAACGAGCACTGTTATCCAATGGTTGCCGCAGGTAAAGCCCTTCACGAGCAAACTTTGCATCCACTTTTAGTGAAAAAGGATTAGATACGATCAACGCAGATATTTCTCAGCTATATTATAAACATTTGGGTGTAAGGTTTCATTTTCATAAATTTCTTTACGATATCTCATAAAATTGCATTAATTTTAAATGTGAAATGGAGTATAACTTTATATCATTACGATTAACGTCTCCTGCCTTTTGACTTGGACTCGGCTTCTTCCTCGCCACCCTTATAGTGTTTGCGATCACTCTTCTCAGCGCGGCGCTCAAGCGCATCCCAAGATTCACCAGATACCTCTGACGCATCAGAAGCGTCAGACTCTGAACCTCCATCTGAATCATCAAAGTCGTCGCTACCTTCATCATCATCGTCGGATGCATCCTCGGACATATCATACGTAGATTCAGGCTCAGATTCGTCACTGCCTTGTTCAGCTTCACCCGATCCACCAAGGAATGTCCATCCACCAGACTCGAAAAAGTCCTTTGGATCTTCGTTGACTGTCTTCATAACAGCTCCCCAGTTCAATGAAGCAGGACCTTCAGAAAGTGGAATGTCGGATGAATCAAGCCATTCCTTGACGTTGTCGAGCTGAGATGCTTGGATAGAGTTGATGTGCATCACCGGTTTGGTGAAGTCTGAAAACACAAAGACGATATCAAATGTCTTCAAACCAAAACTGACTCTTTCCAAGTGTGCCAACTCAACTTCTGCCAATGTAATTATGGTGAAAGGTGGGTCAGTAAGTTGAACTAAACATTCAGTCGTTGGCTGCAAAAGTACACCAGTTCTGTTTGGTACACCCTGGAAACCAAGCTCACGGTATGGGATATCAACGTCGAATCTATCCTCCGAGGCTTCGGCGACTTTCTCAGCAAAGGCTTTAAATTCTTTGTTGAGAGCATTGCGACGTCTACGTTCTTCCTGTTCCAACTCAATTTCATCCTCATCACCGTATCTAATTTTACGTTTGCGATTACCAGTATCATCGAAAGATGCATCGCTTGCTTCACGGTAAAATTGAACATCCTAACAATTGTCAAAAGTTATCAGTTGATTCGTGTGTATACATCTCGAAACCCACCCTAGTTTTCTTTTTACCTATCATGATTGGCGCCTTGAGGTGGAAGTGAACAAGAACGACTAATTCATGTTCACATGGTTGGAAGAAGAAGTGCTTGACGTTGCTGAAAAGAACATCTATTTTTTGATCCCTCGTTGGCGTCGTGTATCTTACACCGTTGGCGTGTATGTCAAGATCACCAGCCAGACGCTTTCCCTCGATTGGACGAGCAAAAACCTCACCTAATCTAGTTGGTCTGCGGCCCCTTATCTCCGTAAGCTTCTCTTGTTCAACAACGTCAGCCATTTCACGTTTTTCGGCTGCGCGCTTCGTAGACAACTTCTTCAATTCGTTGATGTCCTTATTTAAGTCGGAGAATCTCAACTTATCAGTAGATCTGAATGTGACCGACCTAATAAACATAGAATCAGGATCTTCGAACACCATGTCTTCCTTCTTACCAACAGATTGGCCTGGGGTAATGAAGTTAATTCTCAAGCTAGTGTAGTCACCCTCCTCTGTCTTGCTGGTGTTCTTGATTGTTGAAACATGAACAGGTACAATGAACCCGTTGATTGGAATAATTACAGTTTGTGCTTTAGTGTCCACTAAAATCTACCACAAAGTTAGCAGATAGACTAGCAAAACAGGATCAACCCACTCTCAAATCTCTGTTGATAGGCACTTGTTGCTCGCGCTTGTAAGAGTCGAACCTCCTGAACACACCGGGTTGGGAGCCATTTGAAGAATCTTTACCACCAGCGAAACGTTGAAGGCCTTCTTCGTTCTTAGCCTCATGGAGGATTCTTTGGTGCTCCTTGATTTTGTGGGAAGTGGATTGGTCAGTCTCACGGCCAGCGTTACGAGTCTTACCGCGCAACATCCTGCTACCAACAACAGCCCCGTCAAGATCACCCGAAGGTCTCTTCTTCTTTGGTGAGCTGGCTTTCTTTGGTTTTACCTCTACATCGGTATCTTCCTCGTCGTCGTTCTCCATGAAAAGCATGACATCTCTGTTTGACTTGTTACCCTCAGTCAGGCAATTACCACCTTCATCTGTGACCAAGACAGTATCGATGAGCGACAAAGCGTAGTTCTTTCCGGATGACTTTGGATCCTTGATATCCGTGAAACCAATCGCCAAGTTGAAAACCATCCCTTTGGAAATCGTTCTTGTTGATTTTTGACTTATCATAAATGTGGAATCGCGGAAGTAAATACCAGTAGCAAAACCTAAGTTTTTACTCAGCTTGTCTAAAAGGTCTGGTTTGGTTTTGCGTATAAAGTCGACGGCTGTTTCATATATAGTGGATAATTGGGTTCCTGGCGTCATCTTGCTAAGTACGCGCTTTTGAAGTTCGAGTAAGAAGGTGTAGTTCTCTTCCTGTGATTTGTGAGGATCGATGAAGAAAGTTCTTCCGATATTAGAGCAATACGACTTGTATCTCATACCCAAAGAAGCGGTAATAACACCTGCTTTGAGATTGTTTTCGTTTGACATTGCAGATGGCTTGAGGTTGTATTCACCGCCTGACTGTATGATTGGAGTGTAGACTGTTTCGCTGGAGCTATACTCAATCTGAGTGGTGTTAGCTGGTATAACGTGCAGTGATTAAGTCAAACTGACCTCATTAAAGTTCTTAAGTTTCTTCCAGAATGTCAAATCATTAGCATCTGTATGATCTTCATTTTTTGCAGCCTTGCGCTCGATCAATTCCGCAACGGCAAAGTGGTTTATCTTCTTCTCAGAGTCGATGTAACCCATAATCTTATCAATACCCCATTTAAGGAGATGAGAAGAGAGCTGTGAAGCGTACTTGTGATTCCTCTGCTCATTCAGATCTTTTGGCGCGGTGACTGAAGCCATAGCGGGAGTGATATCGACCTCTTGACCAAATTTACCGCTGCTAATGTTATTCCAATCCTCGATGGATTTACCGGTGGCTTCCTCTTTCATGAAAAGACCAATAGTCTTGCCTGAGAGCTTGTCGACTACACCCTCCAAAGCTTTTTTCGTTGCTTCTTGGTCTTTAGTCTTTGTGACAAGTTCTACGTTGATATCTGCAGCGTTCTCGAGCTGCTTGAGAATTTTGGCTGTGGAAACGCGTCAGTTTGGCCTGTGATTTGGGAGTGTATACCAACTTTTGGTGTTTGATGCGATAAATATAATTGTGTTATCTGGTAAAAAGACTGAGATAGTAGTTGGGAATTCATATCCTAGTAACCAGTTCTGTTGTGCGTCTTGTAAGTGCGCTGTACGCCTCAAAATGCTTATCTTACGCACCTGAAGCGACGTAGACTTTCTGAAAGTTGAGTCTTCATCCAGATCACCGACTGGGACTATTATTGCCTCCACATTACGAAATGCTGCATAGTCCTCATTCTCTGTATCCTGAGATGGCATGTTAAACGGGTAATACGCGATACCTAAATTTACTATCTCACATGCCATGCTGACTGGATCTTTTTGTAGCGCTTTTCAAACGATTTTACGTCCAACTCGTAGCCCGACATGATGGCTGCTCACTGAGATAGACTCAACGCGTTTTTTGCAGATAAAATACAATTGCAGAAGAAATCAATTACAAGCGAGAATAATACGTCTAATTTTATCTCAAAATCCCATTAAGTTCATCACATGATTCCAGTCCGTATCCTTAGGCGGGGTCGATGAAGTGTGCGTGGTGTTGGTGGTGTTGGTAGTGTGAGTAGAGTATGCAGGTTGTGTAGCGTTTCCTGAGCGTGATGGTTGCACTGGTTGTTGAAGACTTTGAGGTGGTTGCCCCGATTGAGCAGCATTTGACCAAGCATTAAAAGAATTAATTTGAGGAAAATAGCAATTGTCACTAGAAGAGTTAAGCTGTGGAATTGGTTTGTTACTTCCGGAAAAGTCCCATAGACTATTGAACATCTCCGTCGAACTCGTACCCGCTGAAGTCTGCAGCAGTGCCTCGTAGATCTGATCGGGGGTGTTAGATGAACTGAGCATAACATTAGGATTGAAAGTAGAAGTCTGTGGGAGAGGTTGAGAGTGACTTTGTGGGTGAATAGGTGTATGGGTGTTCTGTGGACTAGTCGCAGCTCCGTTATCTCCCTCGTCTCCTTCTCCACTTTCTCCACCAACAAATAAGCCCCTGCGTCTAGATTTTCCGCGAGAATTGTTCACCTCATCACCCTCTTGGCCATAATCTTTGTAATTTGGGTAAAACTTAGGTGCCGCGCTGTCACTAATAGGGCTATTCCAGAGGGCATCATGAGGATCAGCTTTCGACTGAGGAACACGAGTCTGCACGCTATACGATCTCGATCTAGCCGGTGTCCTGATACGAGTTTCGTGACCTTTATTGACAACTCTCGAGCCCAACCCGAGGAGAACGAGGTGTTCGTCATCAATCCCCTCATCCTCCTCACTGCGCATTGTCCCACGCGCCTCGAGGTGAGCCATACAACGAGCATGAGCCTTCTTACGCAGCTTATCGAGGGCGGGCACGAAAGCATTCGCACGTTTTCCCGCCGTTGGCAAAGCGCACAAGTCGATGATCTCGCAAAGATCTTTCCACGCCTCCGATGCCATCGCCGAGCCAGGCGAGAGAATGCACGATGCCGCAGCGCAGATGCCACAAGAGAATAGATGATGGAAGAAATACCAGTGGCGTGTCGATAACTCCGGAATAAGCGTGTGGATACTGCGCACGAGCGCTACTATTACCCGACAACACTCCATAACGGCGACGTAAGACTGTGAGAATGGAGACCGAAGTGGGTCCTGAGGATACGTTTTGAGTGCGTGTGCAAAGTATCGCCGGTTCAGATAGAGTAAGCACTCATTCACGTTAAGCGCAAGCGTGTGCTGTTGGAGTGCTAGCTTCTCACTAAACCCCCCTGAATCCTCTTCGATAGGGTAATTGGAGGAGTTTCTCACAAGCGAAGCAGCCTTACATCGAAGATGAGGCGGTATGTTCTTTTCAAACTCCCTAATTCCCCTGTCAACATGAATGACAGTTTCATAGGGAGGCGGGTTGACACCGTAGATATCATCACTGATCCTACAGAGATGCTTGACGAGCTTGAACTTGAGCGTATGGAAACCGTATCCCTCATCTTTGCCACCGATGTGGAAGTTACGCGCCTCTTCATCCATAGGAAACTCGCAATCGATGTGCCTAGCGTGGGTTGAGTACGGTCTGCCGAAACAAATTGACTGAAAAACATCAATAGTGTGAGATTCCCAGAATGTCCTACGACGTTCATTTAGCTGACGCTGGTCAAATCCCCACCTAGCACCGTCTCTGTGTAAACCCATTGCTTGTATGATGCGCATCTGGACACCTAAAAGTGGCCAGTACGAGTCAGCACCACTCAACCTATTCCTATTTAAAAGGTAGCTGCCCATCAAATGAAGTGTCTGCGCGGTGGCTAGTGAGCACTTTGTCATAAATTCGGATGCATTGAGCAGTGTCTTGGCAGAGCAAAAGTACTTGTGGCAGTCAGGATGACCGAATGGCTCGTCAACGTCGCAGTGTAGACCGATAGCAAGAATCATATACAGCCGAGCGAGCTGATGAGCGAACTTGACATCAATAGGACCACTATAGATGATTTCAAAGTCTTCATCGAATATTTCCTGAGGGATGACGTAGTACCTGAGTGAGTCAGAATGAATGCGTGGCACTGGGAGCAATAAGACGCACAAGCAAGAATCGTAGTCGAAGTACTTGTCGCTTAAACGTCTGGCTTTGTCTATCGGTGGCAATTGCGACCACATCTGAGTAATGACAGACTCATTAGTGGCACCAGGGAAAGGGAAATCTGAAGGCGGAGTATTCGGGCTGTCTAAATTAACGGGAGAGCCCTCATTCAATCTCTCAGATTCCAATTCGTTGTCGCTGATTTGAGCTTCCTGGAATTAATCAGCTCCTATCAGATCGGATGCAGTTACGACTAACATTTTGGAGCCATTCAGATCCTGCGCTTGGACCAACGTATCTAGCTTGCCCGGAGATACCGAGAGTCAAGGACCCAAAGCTCTCTGCAAAGTCTTCCTCGTGAAAGGTTTGTTCCTGAAGTGGTGGAGGCGAGTTGAACGCGTATGCGGCAGAACTGATGATTGGTTCAGTTGGCGGCGGTACTATTTCACCGGCATTTTTTAAGGCACTTTCAAGCTGATCGATTCTGGTTAGGAGTGATGCCGTATTCGAAACCAAAGCCGTCCTGGACATAGTACCGCCTTTGAGAGTACCATCTGGGCAAATAGCCGCACATCCACGCTTCTTACACGATGTGCATGGCCATTCTCTATCGCACTAGATATTGTCAGATGGCGCAGAGATTATTGCTGGAGATAACCCACCTTAAGCTTTAGTCTTCTGCATTCTAGCACATGTCAAGGAATATACAGGCACTATCACAACAAACTCACCGCCACAGCTGAGATTCTGCCTACTCCTTTTCTTTTGGTTGTTCATCTATATGACGATTGTGATTAGCGAGGTATTTTACCGAGGAGGCCCACGAATTATATTGTTGACTTTACAAAATTTTAAGCTTTCTCCATTAAATCTCTCATTTCATTGGCAGACTCTGTAAGGCAGTGGCCAAGCTCCTTGCCTTCTCCGTTAGTGCACGTGATGGTCCACCTTATCGACTTGTCCTGAATGGCGTAACCCAAACCAAATCCATCCGGAGTAACTTCACTGAATCCCCAGCCATCGAATAGTGGTGAGCTGAGTTGTGATGTACTCAATTCCCACTTGCTCGATCTCGCCAATGCTGCATCTTTCAATGCGGGGTGAATATCTTCACCTTGCTCAATGCAATTTTTGAGACCGTAGATATGTCTATCTACTGCTACTCCATTGGCTGCCCATCCTGCATATTTCAGGTGACGTTTTGCTGCTGCGTGGAGTGCGCTAATGCGATCGGCATCCTGATTACATCTAGTGAGCTTAATTAATCGTAAAACACTCCAGCTCACACTCGCATTAACATCTCTCATTAGATGCACAAATTTTGTACTTTCATTCGAAGTTGGACGAATAACTTCAGTGCGTCCATACAGGAACTTGCGGGTCTGGCAACTCTCGTAAACCCCAGGTGCACGTCCACGTAGCTTCCAGAATGCGAGTTGTTTGATCATTTGTACCCAAGCATCTGGAGATATCTTGTTTGATTTGATGAGATTAGCACCGTAGCCATCGTATTGAATTACCTATAATGAGCGGATTAGAGGGGTTTATGTAATAAATGGCCTCTTACATCCATAGTGTGAGCACCCATTATAGCGTCGTGATGCTTCTCTGCGTTGGTGATGTAATCAAGTGCCTTTGAATCAAGTTCAAATGGCAATTCCTCAACATCGGACTGCTTAACAGAACTCTTCTCACCAAGCGTAATCTTCTTGCTAGCTAAAGTGCCCATAATAAACTCATTAAGACGAAGAGTGATCATACCGTCCATAGTGGAATGTTCAGCGTTGAATGCTGATTTACCGTTCTTGTAAACGATTACTAGTGAGAGTGTTATAACGCGGGTAAAAACAATTCTGAAAACTCACTTTGATGCTTATCAAACCATCTATTACGGCCGTCACCAACCCAAGCACCCCAGCTAGCCTTATCACGGCTTATAGGAGAAGAACTATCGAGAGCAACAATTAAAGCAGCAGAATCGATTTGTTTGAGTGAGTTTGAATTTGAATTTGAGAGGGATTGAATGTGTTGACGTGCATCTGACCAAGTGTCTCTGTTTTCGGTGGTGAGAGCACCAACAGCATCACCAGTTCTATCGTATGAGATTTTTATAATGTGATCAAGTTGTGATTCTAAATTATCAGAGTTATTAACGTCCAACTTGAAGAATCTGTTATTTGATAAGACAACGACGTGTTGATTAGATTGGTCGAATTTGACAACTTTATCAGAATTCTTGAGTGGAACGCGTGAGCTATTGAATAAGAATTGATAAGTTTCAGTACATAAAGGTGTACCTTTGATATTCTCAGGTTCAAGCTGTTCTGAATCAACGAGATGTTTAAAAGCAAGAGTAGCTTTGATAAGTGAAGCAGCAACAGTTGATTGATTGTTACCAATCAAATGACGATGATAAAAGTAGTAATTAGAGTATGGAGTAACTGGATCACGTGGTTCCAAGTAACCTTGAGAATTCCACCAATCAATCAGCCAATTCTCCTTCTTTGTAGATCTGTCAAGCAATCTCTGTTGAAGTGTAACCCCTTGGCCCGATTTGAAGTTGTCAACAAGCTGCTTTGACCTCTTCAACTCATCTGCATTGAGGAATGGCTCTGCAGATTCCAAATACTTTTCTAAAGTCTCCTCTAAAGCTGGAACGGGTAATCTAGGTAATTTAGATTGTTGCGCGTATAATTTCTTTGTCATTTGAGTGAGTGTTGAACGCATTAGAGTGGGAATGTCATTAGCCGTTCGGATGAGCTGTTAATGTCAATCCGGCATTACCCGGTGGTCATGAGATTTATTTATTAGCTTAAGGCTACTTATTAAAACGCAAGTGAGTAACAGTAGCAGTAGCAGTAGCAGCAGCAATCACACCAGCAACATTACATCACCAAGAATTCAAACTTAATATATTATTTATTGATTGTTACTAATTTTAAATTTATTTAACGCGTTGTATATTTCCGTTAATTCGCGTGAAATCGCGTCTACACTTAGAACATCCATCAACCACCCACACAACAAACATGCAGACTATAAGTCTATCTGATGATGGAATCGAGCATAGAAAAGCTTTAGATAGCCTAAATTCTAAAATTATTAAATCTAGGCGAATAATCGTCGTATCTGGTGCAGGCATATCCTGTAGCTCTGGTATTCCGGATTTTAGATCAAAAGAAGGCTTATACGACCTCGTAAAGGACAAATTCTCAGGGAATCTATCTAAAGGTCAGGATTTATTCGACGCTCAACTTTTCAGAGACGCATCGACAACCTCCTTCTTCTACTCGTTCATTGCTCAACTAAAATTAGCCTCCGATAGAGCACTTCCCTCCCCAACTCACAAGTTCTTTAAAAATTTGGAGACAAAGGGTAGATTACTGCACTCGTACACTCAAAATGTAGACGGTTTGGAGCAACGCGTTGGTCTTAACAACCTCATCAACTTACACGGCTCTTTAAACCAAGTTAGATGCGCTAGTTGTTCTTTTGTTGGTGATATGTCCTCAGAATACCTTCAAGTCTTCGCAGGCGGTCAATCTCCAAAGTGTCCTCTATGCGCTCAAAGAGGTGCGTCATATTTCCCTTATTACCCCCCTTCTCACTCCTTCACAGCCACTGAAAGGAAAGCCCTCGGAAAAAGACCACTAGCTGTTGGCTGTTTACGCCCAGGCATCGTTCTCTACAATGAAAACCATTGGTCGGGCGATTCTATTGCCAAAGCTCAATCCTCTGACGTGAAAAAGAAGCCTGATTGTGAGCTTCCTTTCTAAATACTCTACTTCATCTAACTCTCATCAAGTACTCATCGTCATGGGCACTTCACTCAAGGTTCACGGCCTTAAGCAGCTCGTTAAAGGCTTTTCAAGAACTATACATCAAAACAATCTAGAAGCGATCGGAAATTCACGCAAAACCACAGGCAGTGTCGTTTTTGTTAATGCTACTCCCGCAGCAGGCAAAGAATGGTCGCAGGATTTTGATTATTTTGTCCATGGCACTTCGGATGAATTTGTCAACAAGCTAACGGAGCAATGGAAGTCAACCAGACCTCAAGACTGGCAAATACAGACAACAATCACTCATGCACACAGATCTACCAAGAAGAATACCGTCAATGCAAAGAACACAGCAAAGTTACACGAAATACCTCCTCATAACGATGGCGCGGCTAACAAGTCAAGCATCAACTCAGTCAATTCCAACATGGGGTCTCCTCAACCGACAGTGACGGCACAATTGGCAGACCAAACATCATCTCCAGTACTTAGCACACGTATAACCCAACCAATACAAGAAACCAATCACTTTCCACCCCTCCCGAACAAGTCAGACGTTTCACCCAGATCGAGAAAGAGGAAAACAACGACTACGTCCACGATCAAGCGATCAGTATCATCAACGCAGAAGGGTATTGTGGATGTGAGCATTCTCAAGAAAAACAAGAGCGAGGACCTTTCACTTAACTTTGATCTCAAGCTGGGTGATGGATCAGAAACCGAGCCTGAGGAAGATAATATTCCAGTACCAACGCCAACACCTTCTAACGCTAGAAGAAGCGTACGTATTAGGAACTCCACTATAGCTGCTGCTGCATAAGCGCAGGTTGTATAAAACCAATCTACTTAATTCTGTACCATAGTGTAAATGATTAGTACAATTATATTTTTTGTATATTGAAATCGTTTTTATCGATCGTATCACTGCAATCTCTTGCCTCAATTCCACTTATCATTTGCTATAAAAATTCTCACCATCATCATGACTTGACTCTCAAATGGCTAAAAAGCTTTTGTAATAATTACAAATTTCCTGAACTACTAAGCATTCGACAGAGCAGCTGAGTTTATTTAAAAAAAAAAATAAACTCATTGATGTTGATGTTGATGGAATCTAAATATATTGTTTAGATAGATAGAAATCATAATATATAGTCAAAAGTGTTACAACGATTAATAATCTCAACCTATCTATACTACTTGTGCATTGAAAGCTGACGATTGTAACGACTCAAAGGGATGCGGTTCTTGGCATGTGTGCCGTAAATTGGGAGGTAACTACGTGGAGCTACGGGAGGCGCGCGGGTGGGTGCTGAGCTGGCTTTTAAAGAACTCGTAGAGAGCTTTGAGAGCTTCTTCATTTGAAAGCATATATTTCATCTCGAACCTTAACCCCAATCCATATATCCTCCTCCTCAACGATAATCTTGCTTAATCGAACTTCCTAAATCTGAAAATCCTGTCTGTGATACTGTCTACTTCATTGCGCTTGCTACAAAGTGGTGAGTCGGACAGTTTGAGTCGGAATCGGTAAGACTTGGCAGTAGGGAAGTGGCCTGAGCGGATCTGTGTGGCCACACTTCGCGTGCCACGGGGAAGCTTGTTGAGCATCCTGGCCGCCTGTGTAGAAGTCATCCTACCCATTACTCTCTCTGTATCTTTCGACTCTGGTCCTGGTAAAATACGTGCATCTACTCTCAAGAGAGCAGTGTGTCGCTCGCGCAGGCGTCTATGGAAAGCGAAGAGAACCGGCTTGAGAGTGAAGTCAATAGGGATCAAATATATTGTTTAAGACGATACATGTTAAAACTGCGTCCATCAATACTTCTTAGAGCACGAGGAGTCAAAGTGGGTGTCCAATTAACTGGAAGCATTTCTTGACTAGCGTTGTAAAACTTTATTGAGAAATCTCCCAGCAATCTGCGTAATAAAACTTAATCGTTAATAATAAGAGACTGTTGTTACTTTTTCAAAACTTCAGTATAAGTCGATGTAGCTCAATTGGCGAGAGCGTACGACTGAAGTTGTTGCATTCGTAAGGTTGGGCGTTCGATTCGCCCCATCGACATGAACTTTTGCCTCTGAACCAAATCTTCGAGGATCAATCTTTTTTTGTTAGCAGCTTCAGGCAATTTGTTTCTATTTCTTTGCACTCACTTCATTCTTTTAACACGATTGCATTAACAGATTGGACATTACAGAATCAAGCTCAAGTGCCGCTAGCGCAAATTATACAGTAAGTTGGATACTCTTGGTATACCCAGTGTCAGCAATACTATCACAGCACTTGTGATAAAACTTAGTGTATACCTCTTGCTTTCTCAACTCCGCTTTCATATTTGACCTCTTGTAATAGTTCTCTAACGACTGACTGTATATGAGGTTCAGGAATGGCATACCAAAATTCTTCCCATTAGCCTGTTCAACCTTACCCATTTTCCTTGATATTGCGTACCCAGTTTGAATCATTTGCAGTGCCTGGTCTTCATGTGAGTGTCTGAAAACTTCATTTAGCAGTGCAAACAGGAATGCACGTATGTAATTGTCATGTGATTGTGATGATAATGTCAATGACTGAGTGAAAAGATGTTTCGATCTCGTTATTATACCCTTACTGAGGATCCCTTCAACCATCTTCATGATAGCATGAATGGATGGTGAGCATTGAACATATCTCATGCGCTCGTTCACAGCTTTTACAGCCTCATGATCGCATCTGTTCATTCCAACCTCTAAAGTCATCGCTGAAATCCTGGCTGTTACCTCCATCTCGTCATTCTGTAGTTCCTCTACATTGCTGCTATTCACATGAAATAAACTAGTAAATGTGTTCGCATTCTTCCCACACAATATTGCCACTGCTTCATAGTAATTCTTCGCTGCCTCTTCTTCGTTACTAGCTTGTAAAAGGAACCCTTCAAGCATTAGCAACCAAGGAGCCCACAGCTTCATCACTTTGTGCTCTCGCGCCAACTTAACCATTTCGAGTAGCTGTTCACGAGCATCTTCCATCTCTCTTCTCATAATGTGCACTTGAGCTGCAGAGCACCTGATTGCTAGCTCCACGTTCGAGCGGTCCGACTTGCTAACCTCAACTTCCGACCCTGCTTGATGATGGATACCACCTCCAATGTCATCTTTCATGAAAGCTAGTCCCTCTCTGACACAAATTAAAGATACCGGCATCGATCCAACTGGATCTTTATGCGTTATACAATTCAACACAAAGCTGAATTCTAGTATTTGTCTTTGATTCGGTGCTCGATACTTCACTTTGTCGACGCATCCGTTCACTTTCATCTAATGAGATTTGTGAGTCAACAGTGTCCACAATTTAAGCTAATTCTCACTTCAAAAAGACTTCCATGCCCACCGCAATTATGGACAAGCTCGTTTACTTCCTCCAAGCAACTCTTGGCCAATGTAGCCTCCGTGTTACGACCAGTGAAAATGGTTTTGACCATAAGAAGCACAAGGAGGATGTATGACCGAACACCACTTTCCTTTCTGATAGACGGTTCTTTAATATCTTCATCCATTGCGTCTGGGTTGGATTGAGTACGAGTAGTCGCTTCTTCTTTCAGTGGCACATATCCAATCTCATTCTCCAGTTCCTCTATATTTGCAGCACAGCTTCTCCAATCCCCGCTGTGAGCCAATGAGCGAGCCAGCTCCACCAAAGCAAGTAAATGCAGATCGGCATCGTCATTCCTCTTAGCAGCTTCAATAACCGCTTTGAAATAATTAGTCGGATTGCTTGTGAGCTTAATAGCCAATAAATTGAATTGATAGAACCACTCCTGGCGCTTCTTCCTCTCGGCATCTTTGATAGCACGTTTGAGGAGGAATTGAGCGAATCTGAGATTCTTTGCAGAGGATATACGTATATGAAGTTCGTAAGCTTTGAAGAGATAGTCATCAAGGCTGTCGTCTTCGCTTGCTTTTGATAGCGCCCGGCCAGCTGTGTGCTCGGCGTCGGAGATATCAGTGGTATAGTCGTAGAGTGCTTGGCCCAGTCCCAATCTGGAGTTTAGCTCTTGCTGTGGAGCTAGCCCAGGTAAATCTAAGCTGGATTTGTAAGATAGAATCGCGAGATAGCAGCAGTGTTGGTACTGAGAGACGAGATGCGTTTGACTATATAAAACTGCAGCAATTTCTTTACACTTGGTGTTATAGCCTTCTGCTAAAGCCAGTAGCCGCGAATGCTGCTGCCTCCTTTGTGCCATCTTGATAGTGAGTTAATAGGAGCTGTTTGGCAGTCGCAGAATGACAAGTAGTTTTTCAATTAAAAAATATTGGTTAGTGTAACAACGAAAACTATTAATACATCTAGCCTATGCCGTATTCGCAACTGATGAAAGACGCGTCAACTACGCTGAATACTTGAGCTAATTGGATGTTTGCGTAGGACACAGAACAGCAGAGGTGGGATATACTTTGAGTAATTATACATTTGAATCGATTGGCACACGAGTTTAATCTCACCTGCGTGCCTTCTTTTGGCTGTGTGACTTTGCTCAACATCATCAATAGATTTTACAGTGAATCAAAGGAATTAAGAGTCTTTTTGACACATCTAGCCGCTCTTGATTCGTTAGCCGCGTGACTAGGAACGAGGGTAGCCGGGTTGGCGAAACACAACAAACACAAGGCGCCAGTCACGTGATTATCGGCCGTCGCTGCGGTATTTAAGCAGCCTACACACCCTTCCTCTTTTCCTTGCGGTTCGCCGTCTTGGGGGCTATAGTAAGGTGGGTATAGCCCTTCCCTGTAAATATTCTGCGCTACTCTCAGTAAGCTTTATATCCACTTGTTTAACTCTCTCTGACCTTCAACAAAGACCTAGAAGGCCGTTTACATTTCGCTATGAGCATTAACCCTAGTACTTTGCTATCATCACTTGGTCTATCTAAACTTCACCAAAACGAGACAATCCAGACGATTATAACCTGAGCGGCCTGAATATCATTCAGAAGCAAATAGTTGTGCTAAAACCTTCACGATATCTATCTACTGATGCTTTTATTATCTGCTTAATATCTGAGTATACTCGACAACCTGCGAAGCAACAAAATCACTATAGCCTTGGACTTGCTTGTATCACCTCTCGCTTATAAGCTTGTAGCACTATAAATTTTCGTTCTGGTTTTCCTCTGGGCATTGTGAATGCGTGGTGAATCATGGCATGTGGGAGTTTAGTAAGAGCCTAACCTAGCATCAAATTAGCCACTAGGCTTGGATGGTTTTTCCTATACGCGTCTATTCATTGAGCTATCTGTATCGAGTTAGTAAAAAGTCTCGAGCGGCTTTGAGACTGGTTAAGACGGGTTGAAGTATAAAAGTGTAAAAAACAACACCTAAATAAACACACTGAAATCTAAATGCTTCACAAATCCTCATTTATCTCACTTTACAGCATTACAATTGATAGTCGCATAACAGCAACAGCTCAGAGACTGCCGATCACTCACAAAACTCAACAGTAAGGACAAAATCAAGATAAATACATGCAAAATTTAATCTATCTGGCTTATCCCCTAATTCTCACCATATCACAAAAGTGAAGCACGTCGTCATCTCCAAATCGAGAATGGCATGCACAATGACGTATTCTTCATGACACTGTTATTAATGCAAACAAGAGCAATAATGGTTTTATTCTGTAGCGATTAATTGTGATATTAATTTGCGAGTGTATTTGTTGTGAAAAGCCTTGTGTGGCGCTCTGTAATTGTCTATTTAGATGTGGTATGCCTCTTGTAGAGCATTTTGGACCTTTTACAATTTCCGAACAGCCTACAGAGCGTGATTAGAGGCTCAGGGATATAATTCTGGTGACATCTTGTGTAACTCAATCACGGCTGTTTTTCAAGCTTCTTTATTTGGAGATCATCAAAACTCTTAAATTAGCCATCTGAGATGAGATGGAGGGTAGTCGAAAATTTCTACTCTGTGGATTTTGAGCAGAAGGTTGATATGAGAATCTATTAAGAGTACTGAAGATGCCTTGAAACCGATGGTGTTGGTAAATTGGTCAAATTGTCAGTATATCTCAACTCTGTATTCGTCTTCTCAATGTATTGGTCATTCTCAGGGGGCCTTGAACAGATTTAGTTCAGTTCAGTGGTTTGTTAAGTTTAAGCCATTAATTGCACTAAAAATGTATTCAAGGCACCCTGTCATATCACAAAATCACCTTTAAGTCATCAAACATCGCAGCAATGCGCTTACAACCCACACAGCTAATAATATCTCGTGATTAATAGAATGTTACATGTGTAGAGATGATATCGTGAATTTAAATGTTAACTTTGCTTGACCTTGAGGGCAATGATATGGCCGTCATCAGCGTAAACAGTGTGCTTATTTGAGTCCGATTGCTTTTTTGCAGTCGCCGTGGGCTTTGTGTTGTGACCACTGTTGTGGAAAGGCAGGCTGTAGTTAGGAGCGCCAGACGAATAGCCCTGTTGCTGAGCTTGATGCTGTGCGTACTGTTGATACTGCTGTCTAGCGTAGTGCTGTTGGGCAGCAAAGTGCTGACCGTATGCTGTAGCTTGCTGCGGCGGGTAACCAGCTTGGATAGCTGCGACGGTGGCTTGTTGAGCTGTTTGCGCTTGAGCCTGTGCCTCCAATTCTAACTGCGATTGCACAGATAGTGGTGTCGAGTTGGAGGAGTCAGCATACATCAAGCTGATGCCGTGTCCTGAGATTACCTGCACAAGTTCTCCGTTGCTGATGTGCCTGACTTCGATAAAGTTTGGATCAAACGCCAAAATGTACGGATAGTAGAATGCGAAGCCACGTGGTTGACCTTCCCAGCGAATAAGCCAGTCTTTGCGCACCCTCCAACCATTCTTGTTGACATAAAATGCGAGATCTGTGAGTCTGTCAGTTGATGCCAGAAGAAAACTGAAAAACTTACCATCGTAACAAAGGAGGAAATCACCCTCGACCCTATATATACCCATTGGCTTGACACCCTCCCTCTTCACAATAAAGTCGAGCGAGGTGTCTGCTGGATCGAGCAGTCCCTGGGTGTCGAGCGTCTCCAAATCGACAATCTCAAATCCTTTCGTACATCCAACACACAGTTTAGACCTCAAGAAGTGAATGGAAGAGGATTCCGTGGGTATGTAGAATTCCTAAGGATATTGTAAGCAAACAGCCTATCAAAACATCACACTCACCTTAAACACCCTCAAGACTTCTTTGCCGCCACCGACCAGCTTTCTGAGAGTAGGAGCTTTCTTGCTATTTCTCAGGTCTTTCTCAATTGGTTCTAGCACCTTGATGGTCGATGAAAGACTCGAGCTCTTAACAATACAGACAAGAGTCCTACCCAGACATTTACCACTCTTGAAGAAGGACGTGTGAGACGATATCTTTCTGCCCATCTTCAAGCTACCTTCTGGATCATTCTCATGCAGCACACTCAGCTCAAATGTCCAAATGGAGCGTTCTGCAAGGAGAACAATAATCTCGTCCTCCTCCAACACTTCTATCTGAGTAACTGATGGCATACCGATGACTTTTCTTGGAGGCTCATTTGGTTTATCAGACATATAGATGCCGTTATCTGTACCATAAACCAATCTCCTGCCCTGAGCGTATGGGACGGCACAATTGGCTTTGTCAGTGCCAACAAAGAATCCATCGCTTATAACCTCAAGTTCGAATGGAGCCTTGTTCTCACTCAAGACCTTCTGCCTGTTGTGAATGTGTTCCAACCATTTACGTCTATTGATGAAGGTTGAAGCCCAAAGAGTGATGGTGTATCCGCGGCGACCAAGATGTTGAAGAGTTATCGAGTATCCTAGTCTAGATTCAGGTTTTGGTGGTGCCGTGGAGCTGAATGTTTCTGTGCTGGTAGTTTCGAGTGACAGGGTACTATCACGGTCATTGAACATCAAATCATTCATTCTCGCATTGCTTTGGCTTTTGAGGAGTGTACGAGGCTTGCTGTGACCTGATGAAACATTTGCCGATGAGCTTGAGACAAAGCGACTGTTATACTGGTCATCGGTCGAAGAAACAATTAACAACTCTAGTGGAATTGGTTTACGCTGCACCTTGTAAACTTCATGTTTGTGAACGACCTTTGGCTTGACAAGCAAGAGTGCGTGATCGAAGAGGAACATCTGTAATTCTGCACTTTCACTCGGTGGTGCACCACCGCGTTTCTTGAGAGCACCCTTAAAAACTAACTCTCTAATCTCCTCCTTGAGACGCAAGTCTATACGCTCCTGACCAGGCTTGTATTGTAATTGTGATTCCAATTGTGCGAGGTTAAAGCGGTTCTCACTCTTACCAGTCTCGACATTGACTCTTCTCAAAAAGGCACGTATGCTTTCAACGACGATTGGGATATCCTTCTTGTCAGGGTGATCATCCGGTGTATACTTCAAGACTACATCGAGGAGGAGTGGATATCTAGCCAGTCTCGTTGTTGGTTTTGTAAGGTATCCATTTAGCTCTAGCTTTCTAGACTCCTTCTTACGCTCGACCTCTAAAACAAACTTCGCAAACTCAGGGTTGGATGACTTTTCCTTCTCGAACTCATACTTTCCGTAAAGCTGGTGTGCACCGTAGTTGACAAATGGGCCAAAGGTCTGAGCAAATGGAAGAAGCACATCACCAATGCGGTCGACAATGGTCCTTGTCTGTTGTCTCATAACCAACGCATCGCGCAGCCTGACATTTGAAGCATGAATCTCCAACACGTTCCAGAATACCTGCTGTAAAAAAATCATACGTCTGTTTTCTGGAATGACGTTACTAGAGCTCAATGGCTCGATCCAGAACTGAAAACTTCATTAGCAAGAGAGCCAATGATTGCACGCTCCACTCACGTCGCGCAGGTATTCCAAGTCTCGAACGAAGTCTTGCTCAGTGTAGATGACTTCGTTGATAGCTTCTTGTCTCTTGATTTCTTCACTAGAACACGACTCAATGACCTCCTTTGGTACAGATTCTACCCAAAGCTGACCAGGAGCCTGGAACGTTTTAACAGATACTCATAAGGAAATAACTCAACTCACTCTATCACTGGCTATATTCGAACTACTCCCGAGCTCAGCCTTTACAACGTTATCACTGGCTTCCTCTCCGACGCCAACGTTGAGTTCATTAAGACCTTCGGTGACTGTTTCTTCTATGAGGGGTTCCTCACCAATGCTTTCTCTCGTGAGGACGTTCTTGGCCACTTTCTTGGTCTTAGTACGTCTAAGTGATCCGTCGGATTGTTTGAAATTGCCGCCGCGGTTAGCCATACGGTGTTGCTGTTCGATACGACGTGGACACGTGATACTATAACAAAGATGGTCCTTTGTACATGTAGGCGAGTAACAAGCAGTCAACAGCGTAAATACACCTGTTGGAACCTCGTCACTTGAAGTGTTGTTCTCTGAAGAACTATTAACAGCGCCATCCTCAATTTGGTTTTGATTGTAATTAAAATCAATAGGTGCCGATGACCGTGGTTGTTTGTTTGCATTAATCAATTGCTCTTTTCTAGAAGCTCCTTTATCCTTGAAGCGAGATGGCATCGATGCTGAGCGTGAAGGTATAGATAATTTAGACGGAGCCAGACTATTTGAGCTTCTGGTTGGGTTATCATTATCATCGAGATCATCATCATCGTCAATATCAACAGGTGCATCTTCGCCGTCTCCGAATATTGGCGATGGTATTCTCTCCTTGAAGCGGTATATTTCCTTATCGCTATCTCTCAAGCGATGCTCCCATTGAACATCATGGAAGAACTTTTGCGCATCCAGACATCTACCCAGTAAGAGAGCTATGTTGCGATCTGTGGTGCGAATAATCTGACAAAGTAAATCGACAGCTTGTGAGCCGTCGAATGCCTCAGTGTACGTCAGACCATCTTTTACTTTTTCAGAAAGAGGCAGCTGGGATTTGAAAGCCTCTGCGACGCGTGAGAGAAGTGCAGGGTAAATCTTATTAAGTCCACCAGTAAGTGGACCAGTGCGAGGAGCAATGATGGCTTCTCTCTTGCTCTTGCTCGATCTTGCAGAGCTGCGTGCCTTTTTAACTGGAGCAACTGCAATGGCTGTGGCAGGTGAAGCCAGCGTGGACGAAGGGAACGAGTTAGCACGCTGTGCATGTGGTTCAGTTGGAGTGTGGAGAGTGTCACCACGTGTCGTGTCTGAAACGATGGAGGTTGTCGGAGCTGGAGTTGTGCTGATTGGAACAGCCGTATTAATCGTGCTTCCGCTTATGCTACGGGGGTAGTGCTGTTGATGAGGTATGTTTGTCGGATTCGCCGACGTTGGTGGTGGCCTGGAATACATGGTTGGTGTAGGCGTTGTAGCAACAGCAGCTGGTGTCACCGCCCTCGGAATATAGCTGTCAAAAGTTGCTTGCGTGTACGCGGGCGGAGGCTGGGCCTGTGCATCCTCATCTGCCTCAAGCAGTGGGTCAGAGGTAGACGTTGGTGCGCGCGTCGTGTACTGGCCCATATAATTGGTGGTACTCGAAGAAGGCGGGACTGCGTATGCTGAGCTGCTGGAATATTGACTCGTGGTCGAAGCAGAAGTTGGTAGCTGCTCTTCTGACGCGCTGTAACCGTATATACTGGTGGGGTAGTACTGCTGCTGAGGCTGCTGCTGGGGCTGTCTGAAGCCCATAGCCGACTGCGAGCGGTAGTACTGGTTGTAGTCGTATCCGTACTGTGGGTAGTAGTACTGCTGATAGTACTGTTGCTGCTGTTGTTGTTGTTGTTGTTGTTGTTGTTGTTGTTGTTGTTGCTGCTGCTGCTGGACAGTCGCTTGCTGGAGATATCTGGGATTGGGACGGTATCCCTGCTGGTGGTGGCTGGCAGACGGCCTACCAAATATATTTTGAAAAGCGTCTGAACGCCTCTCTGACATTAATTGGTCTTGGTGCTGCTTCAACGAATATGCTGCCGCGAACGTCGATTTTCCGCTAAAAAATTAGACAAATAATAAATACTTTCTTATTTTTATATTTACATAAAATCCGCGGCTGTCTGTCGCTTAGCCTTTGCTTTTTCTGCGACATTTTCGCATTCGTCATCATCAAAGGTGAGCTTGTTAAGCGCATTTGAGCGCTTCTTAGCCTCCTTCTTTTTCTTTTTTTGCGCCGTCTTTTGTGGCTCCGCTCGATTCTCGCGAATGTCGTTGCCTTTGGGCTTCTCGTCCTCGCTATCGTCGAAGATAGCCTTAAACACGTCCATTGACGGCCGTGTCTGCTTCGCTATCTCTTCCATTGTTTTCTCGTCTTCACCTAGCCCGACCTGTTTTGATTGCAAACCCTGCTCAGCCACTGCGGCATGTCTTGATTCCAATTCCTCTAAATTTGGCGGCGCGGGCATTAATGTATCCTGCAGTCCAGCAGCTGCCCAAGCATCTTGTTTCTTGGGCACTTCTTCACCCGTTCTTTTCCCAAATTGGAATCCTGCGTCGCTCTCTTTATCGTCACTCTCGAGCGTTATTGCCGGAGGTGGCACTTGAAATCTCCTACAGAGCAATTTGGATGGCTTCCACGGTGCAAATGTGTGCGTCCCATGCTTAATACCCATAGTACCTTCCCGTACTGCCTTCTGAAGAGGTGTTTCTTTCTGCATCCTTTCTGCATCACGCTCTGCTCGAACTTCTTCTATCGATTTGGGCGGCGGTGATGGTTCTTTGGGCTTGGGTGCAACACCAGGCCGTAAACCAGGTTCTATTACTGGTGTCTCAGACGCTCCTACGCTGCGGGATCCTGTCGTGAACCGTCCAGCCATAGCAGCTGTCATTGGTTTGTACAGACTTGCTACCTTCTGAAATTCAACCAGTTCAATGTTGAATTGCGTTTTCGTCTGCCCGTCTGACGATAGGTTTACAATATCTGCCGGGTAATTCTGTGGATCTGACTGAGAGTGTAGATATGCAGTGTATCTCCCCCTCTTAGCATCATCTTCTGGGAATGGTATGCTTGCACGCAGTGCATTATTGGCGGTAGCTTTGTCTATCGGCGGTATTCGAATCTCCTCATCTTCATAGTCTGATTGCTCCTTTTCCAGCCGTTGTTTGTCTTTTGCTGATATGTAGTCGAATACAGATTTCTTTGGCAATTCCTCGCCCAGTATCCTTGCACGCTGCGGCTTTGTTAGTGTACAGTTTGATAGTAGAACTAACTCACGTCGTGTGCATCGCGAGCAGCAGGTTTCACCTTTTGTGCATCCTTATCTGTCATGTCCAGCTTGAGCACTCTTGAAGGATCCGGCTTCCAATCTTTAGGTACATCAGGCTGGCTGAACCTGTTTGGTATGTAAGCATGAGTGTTGAGACAACCAAACAACCAACCCACCAAGTCTCCTCCTGTTGCTGACCTTTCTGCAACGCGAATCCTTTTAAAAGGGGCTTTCCATCATTGAAAAACCCCACACCGACGGAATCGCGCGGTGAAGTCTGCCTGCGCTGCTGTTTGGCAGCGAAGCTGCTATGCTGATGTTGGTTGTCGTCATAAGCTAGTTGGTTAAGTTTATTTTTCTTCTCAATACCCGCTGAGGGGCCGCCATAAACATCCATGTCGTCCTCATCGGCATCTTCAATACCCAGACCAAAACCATGAGAGATATCGCCTCTTAGCTCGCCGACACGGTTGTCTGGCTGGCTAGGTCTCAGAGAGTGTACTGTGTACGCATATCCTAGTCCCTGCGATGCTATCTGGCGGGGTGGTATGGTAAGAGCAGTATCTTTGGGTGCAAAAGTGTGGTTTTCGCCGTGTTCGACGAGTACATTGAGATTAGCATCTTGAGATTTAGCTTGGAGGACGCTTACGCGAGGCCCGACACCCTGACCATCCCTCCAGCCCATTTTACGCATAAGTAGTGTACCAATACCGTGCTTTGCGGGTCTAAATATATTCGCGAAAGTATCGCTAGCACCGTCATCGACTCTGCTGCGCTTGTTGGCGTCATCGCCCGCCAGGAGGTCGTAATCAGGTCTAGTTTGCAGCACTCTTGCCTCCTTGAGAGCCTCGAGATCTTCTTCATCCATGAAGTCTTCTGGCCTGGATCTCTTGTTCTGGTTGGTATCTTTGCTGCTCTTCCAAGTCGACGGTGTCCAGCCCTCTTTGCTTCCAACTGTGTTAAAGTATCCAGCACTGTATCCACCAGTAAATGCACCATGAAAACGCCTCCTTCCCTGCTCGTCGAGCACTTCCTGCTGCCACACTGGCTCATAATCGTTTCTGTCCTTCTTTGATTCGAGACTGGGAAGTGGCGTGCCGACAAGGCAGAAATTCTCATTAGATGCCGCCTGTGCTGCTGCTTGGCCTGCGCCTGGCCTATCACGCTCCAATCTCTTGAGATATTTCGCCGCGCTCATAGATGCAATCAAGGAGATAACAATATTAAATCAAGCGTACAAGCGTACATTTGTTCTATTCCTCCAACGACTCGGTAAATGCCTTGTAAGAATCCTCGTTGAGAAGTGCTTCAAGTTGCTCTGGTGCAGTAACTCTCAGCTTACAGAGCCAGCCTGGACGGGGTTAGTGATGAATGTAGAGCATTTTATCCACACACCTTCATCTTCTGGTGATTTGTTGAGGAGATTTGGGCGCTCGTTGAGCTCCTCGTTTACAGCCTCTACGTCACCGGCGAGTGGTGCGTAGATATCAGAAGCAGCTTTGACACTCTCCACAGCGCCGATTTGCTCTTAGCGACGCGTCATTAGTAGTATTGTGGTTTTAGCTGGCTACTCACCGCTCTGCTTCACTACGCTTCCCACCGTTGGCAATTCAACGAAAACAACATCACCGAGGCTGTTTTGGGCGTGGGAAGTGATACCAACGGTACCAATATTGCTGTCAGTGTCATAAGTGACATACTCGTGCTGCTTGGTGAAGCGTTTGGCTGCGAAATCTGAGAATAGTGGGATAAGACAGCCGCTGACGTACTAGTAATGCCTCTGAAGGCAGCAAATGAAGTGGCAGTGCTTCTTAATCCAATTCTGCCGATCGAATTAACTCTAGGGATTGTTTTAAGTGCCGAGAACATGATGGTAGACGTAATCGATTCATTTACCTCGAGTAACTAATATCAGTACAAGCCAACTAACAGCTGTAGCAGCCACATATATAGACACCCTGCCAGCACTCCCTGTTACATTCAGAAATGGATAAGGGTACCTCATGATCTTGTCGTGATTCTCATACGCCTTATACTCGATCCATAAGATATAGCCCAGGGCGGTTAGGACATACTTGCAGAGGTCTCTTCCAAACATCTTTGCCCGCTTAGAATCCTCGAAGAAGAGAGTGTAAATTAGCAATGTTGCGCCCGGTAGCAAGTGCACCATCATATCAGTCACAAGCGGCATCTTGAAATCTGAGCTCTGGGCGATCAAATGCCTGAAGAAAAGGTACAATGGCCAGTATATCATTGTGATGGTGATATTCGCTGGAAGTACGACTACTGTTAATGTTCTCGCGATCCGCTTAGTCGCTGTGATCGCCGGTTAGCCAGCTCTCGGTTATGCACTGTAAGCACCCACCTGCAGTCATGCATACCTGGTCAACTATTATCGATAAGTGCGTAAGCATTGATCCCCAAACACCCGCAAAAATCGTCAGAAACATGGACTTTGATATGTTTTGCGCCGCCATCCATTCGCTTATTCCTAGTTCAGTGAGCTTGTGATCACCATACCATATCAGCCCAAAGCTCAGACTGCTGAATGCTATGATTCCTGCTCGCGCTCTCAGGGACATGATCTTACTAAGCAAGTATGATCTAACGTGAAAAAAATAATGAAAATCCAAGATACGGTTTTAATTGCACGCTTCACTCGGATTTCACTGGCACTGCGAATAGCCTACAGCAGTTCTCAAGTACATTTAGGGTGCATAGTTTTATTAAATCAAATACATTTTACAAAGTAACCAGGAATTAGAAAAAAAATCATTAATAAGCTTCATTTCCCTCATAATGCTAGTGTTTGCTGTAATAGTCTGTCTAGTTCCTGCAAATTTTCATGTAAGCAAAGGCAGATGACGAGGGCTAAACCTACCCCTTCAATGCCATCTAAATCACTCCGAACACTATCATAAACCGAATCGTTATTCGATCTCGCAAACCATGTATCGTTGATATAGTCACTCTCCCTGCCTTGGCCGCTCGGCGCTGAAGGCTGCTGTCGTCTTGCATGTTGTGAAAGTGTCAAAAAGTGTCCGATGTTAAGATCTTGCATTGCATTTCCTATTCTAGTCTTTCTATCATTTTTTGTCGCATTATGGACTTGGTGCGTCGCATGATTTGGCGTCGAGACAGATGATCGCGAGCTGGCAGAGCTATCTAAGTCTGCATTCCTCGTATTGTCATATGAATTCTCATGACTCTCGTCAGTAGATGCTGTTCCATTAATGTTTGGATGTGCCGCCTGGAACAGCACAGACGGTGGTGTTGGATTTGTTGTCGCTGTCGTTGATGGGGTATTTGATCGCCTGCCTGACTCACTGATTGATGAAGCAGTCGAGCCTGACTGTCTGTAAGTTTGCAACTGCAGCTGCGAGACCGCTTCTTGAGTACTTTCCTTAGTACTGTCATCGAAGCTCTTGACACTTTCCTCATCTACATTTCTACTGTTCCTGCTTCCCCCGCTTTGTCTTTTATCGGTGCAACCTTCTCCCTCAACATTAACAGGCGCGGACTGTATCTCTCTAATCGCTTTCTCGTCATCTTCACTACCACTGTTACTTGACCCGCTGCGCCTAGATAGTGGCGTTGATCTGGCATCGGTGAACTCCTGTCCGGTTATAGTTGACATACTCGAAGACAAGTCCGTGTGTGCAGTTTGGAGACTAAATGAGCTCTGACTTCTCATTAAATCTTTGTGAGGTTGTTTAGCGCCGTCTTGAGTTGAATTGTCGTCGTATTTTGTCTCTCTCTGCCATAAGCGCTCAACGATATCATCAAACCCTTCACCCGATGTTACGCGGTCGTTCGTTGAGCTTGTCATAACTGATGATGTTTGGCTTGATCTATCAGCTACACTATTCGCGACTGTGGTGTTTGACGAGTTTGAGTAGTCTCCAATGTGGTAGTTTTCCATACTATCACTATCTCTTAACCCCAAGCCTCTAGGCTTCTCCTGTTCCTCTACAAGCTCTTCCACTTGCTCAGACTTGCTGTAAGACGATCGCTTGCTTGGAGTTGCGTCTTGCTCAGTGGCATCTTGCTCGGTTACACCATGCTCAGTTACACTCTGCTCAGTGAAATTGTGATCATCCAGCAAACCCGATGACTGTACCGGCGTTTCAACAGTTTGTTGAGGTGTCGATTGTGAATAAGAGGAAGACGATGCAACAGGGGAAGTGATTTGAGTAGCCTGATCATCAGATGATGATTTAGAATCATCTCGATCTATTGATACAGGACTGATGACACCCTTACTCCGCTGTTTTTCGGATCTTTGTCTAGCTATTATTTCAGCAAGCGATGGCGCATCAGTGATGTCATCCACCGCCGCCTTAACTATATTAACCCCTTCACTTTGGTGACTCAGTTTGTCAGCTCTGATTAACACGAACTGTAATTCTTGATCTGGGTATCCTCGATAGCCAAGTCGCTGAGCGTCTTTGTTGAAATCGTCACCTGAGAAGATCTGTATAATCTCCCGATTCGCATCAATCACTCTGCTATTAGGATTAAGGCTGAAGTCTATTTCAAAGATTAGATTTGTCATCCGGGGAGCAATTATACTACTCACTAGCATCGATACTTTTCTTATTACGAGGCTTAACAGCGAGACGATACCTGACTGCACTCTTTTTGCCATCCAAGTGTGATTCTACATCGTCACCGCCATCCACCACACCTTCCAAGATGCCAAATCCATTAAGCGACTGCTCAATGACCTCAGCGACGGTCGAGTTGGTTGGTATAGTCAACCTATGTTCATACAGACCACCACCGCTTTTCATATTCTTGTCCAAAACCACTCCCTCAGGTGCATCTTTACCGCTCACCACAACACAAAGATTCACCTTGTTGCTGTCAAGATGTAAGTACATTAGTAATTGACTTTCTCTCTTCTTTTTGGCAGAGAGTGAGGCATTGTTTTTTGCATTGAGCTCCTGATTAATATGACTAGTTGGTTCGAGGTCATCAAAAACAGGCGATGAAACACTTGGATCGTTCATGTAGCCGGCGTATACATCTTCAGCCTCATTGTCAACAATAGTCTCATGGAGGTCAACAGAGGAAGTTTTGCGGCAGTGAATATACATCTTCACTGCACTGTCATCGCTGTAGTCACCTAAACTGGAGATTGCAGGTAATGTAGACAGGTTGCTATTGATACTGCTAATACTTCCAACCGAGCTTCGTTTAACCTTTGGCAGATCATTGCTTGGGGCGTTTAGTTGTCTGCTAACAATAAGTTGGTTGGTTATATTAAACAACGCTAGTGGCTTCTGGTTTGGCTCCATTACTGTCTCTTTCCCGCTCTCTTGCTCTTTTATAGTCAAGAAGAAATCACTTTCTTCCACATTCGTAGCTAATCTAAATCTTTGCATTGCTTGCTTGATAAGATCAGTAGCTGAGGTTGAGCCATTAACGAGTACAGTCTTAAATGTAGCTTCAGATTTAAGTGATGGTGCTGCGAACATTCTCATAACATTCAGTGTCGGTACGCCGAGCAATGAGCCTGGTCTAGCATTCAAGCTACTATTCGGACTGGCCCATGATTGCTGTGAAAGCGCTGGACTTGTTTCGAGACCTTTGCTCGCTTTTGGAGATACGTTAAGTGAGTTGTTAGATCCTGATGCTAGCATGCGCGTTAGTTGTGTGCTATAGATAATCGACAGTACCCACGTTTAATCTCGGTGAGTGAGGAGGAGTTTGCAAGTGAATCATTTCTCGGGCGAAGATTAGGTGATGGGTGGTTGATAGGAGCAAGTGGTGTGAATGTGCTCGGCGATTGTCTGACTCCAAGTTGAGGAGAAATGTTTCTAGAATCCAAGCTAGTTCTGCCTTCCATGTCTTGACTGGAAGACTTTCGGATAGATTCAGTATGATTATCACTACCAGTAAAGCTATCTGAGGATTTGATACTGTCGACGCCGTCGCCGAACGAGTCACCTGATGGTTTCCTCTCCTTCTTTCTGAAAAGATTACCGAAGACGCCACTCTTTTTCTTTTTGATCGATTCGTTGGATGTCATCTCACTTAGGCTGTGTGAAGAGTTCTCCTTCTGCAGCTTCTTGGCTTTCTTCTTCTCTTCTTTGGCTTGCTTCTTATCTTTGCCGCGGTCAGACATAAGCGGAGAGCTTCTCCAGATGGACGTTTTCTGTGAGCTTGTTTCAGATGATTGGCTGTCCATCGTCATAAGCTCATCAAATGAAGCCTTGCTATTTTGATTTTGCGCTATTTGCTGCGTTGGTGAAGACACACCCTTCATTAACATATGAGGATCAGGACTTTGTGCTACGTCGGGGGTAATTGTCACTTTTCTAGTTGGAGAAGTTGCAGGATCTAGGAGAGGTGAAGTGTTAGTCGTCAAGTAAGTGGTGTTCTTATCATCATCCTCAGGATCGTCCTGGTGGGTGGCGTGTGTGTTAGAAGAGTCAGATGGCTGAGATCGAATGAGTTGAGGTCTTTGAACGCCATTAGTAAGTATCTTTTTGCTATTGTTGCTGTAGTTGGAGGAAGCGTTTGAATTGATAGAGAGAGGGCGGATATCAGCTTGTAGAGGTCTGTGAAGTACTTGTGCAGGTGGTGTGGCTTGAGAACTGGCGTCTATAGCTGCCTCCTTAGCCATGACATTTTCGTTAGTGTCCTCAATTTCGTTGGCGCGTCGCACCTCATCATTAGTGTGTGTCTCAGGTGCAACAACCTCCTCCGCGTTTTTATTAACTTCGGGCATATACTTTACAAGGTTATCTGAGGAGTGGGTATCAGTTGAGGAGTCGTAAATGTGTTTGGCGGAAGATTCTAGTGGAGGATTACTGCTGTTTATCTTAGCGGGAGCAGGAGCAACGAGTGGAGCAGCGGCAGGAGCAAGAGCATCGCTCACGCTATCATTGTCATATTGCTGCTCGTTGACGAGATGGCCATGCGAGGATTCCGAATGAGATTGACTGGAGAGAGAAGCGTCTTGGGAGCTGACTTCTGAGCCAGATTCGCTGTCTTCATCGTAGCTCTCCTGCTCTTCTAAGGCTATCTGTGCGGCGTCTTCCTCTGCCTGAGCAATCTCTTCTGGGTATAAAACGACTTGTCGATAAGTCGGCGCAGTGAAGGCGACATTTCTAGGTTCTTTGGGATCCCTGGATTCCTTAGATTCCCTACTATCGAGTTTCTTAAGCGCCTGGTGAGCGTCTGAAGGTGGAGGATGATGTGATAGGTCAGAGTGATTTGCCGAGGTTATCTAATACAGATAAGTAAAGATACGGAAGCAAAAAGCGGCCAACGTACGTCAATATTCCTGTGCTTGTTTAGCCGGGCCAAACGCTCGTCGGGTGTCTCAATATTCTCGGCAGGAATGTAGCCCAATTCCTGTGTTTTGAGGACGCGTATCAGCCACCAATATGCATTGCTATCATCCAATAAGACCAGGCTATCACCCCTGACAACGCTAGCCTGTCCTTCGACGGTTGCCAGGAAAGTATGCAATGCGTAAACGAGGCTATAATCGATATTGTCGTCGGGAATGGACATCTGCGACGAAAGCTCGTCATCGTCGTCGTCATCTTCGAATTCGCCCTCAAATATTTCTTCATCATCTTTGAGCATCGTTGGTTTGAATTCGTCCATGTCCATCACCTCGTTGACGTTGATCGTTAAGAGATGACCGTATTTGGCGATCAGTGTGAGTAATAGTGCGCTGTGAATTATTAAAATTATTTTATTAAGCTGGTAATTTAAGCTGTACACGCTTCTCCAGATACGCCCGTCTATGAGACTGTCACAACGACAGTGCGCAAGTACTTCCACCACCCCCCAGCTGAAGATGACTCTGGAGATAGCGCCGGAGACAGCACCGCCTCGCAGCTTATACGCATGCCTTTCTCTGGTTTGATTAGATCTGGATACGTCTACGACTTTGAAATGACGAGGCATGCGCCGTTTGACGAAGACGATCACCCAGAGCAGCCAGCGAGGATTACGCGGATACATCAGTCCCTCTCCAATGCCAAATGTATTTCGAGAATGCTCAGGATTGGCTCTCGTAAAGTTACTAGAGCTGAAGTGACGTTGGTCCACTCACCCGAATACTGGGATAGAGTTAATTTACTCGCATACATCCCGGAGATTGAGCTTAGAGCTATGGCGTCGCTGCATGAGCGTATGTCTGTATACGTTAATCCAATGACTTCCTACGCTGCTCTTCTCTCGGCTGGTAGTCTGTTAGAGCTCACAAAGGCTGTATGCGACGAGCGTATCCGCAACGGCTTTGCCATCATCAGACCTCCTGGCCACCACGCCGAGCCCGAGCAGATGATGGGCTTCTCTTTCTTCAACAATGCAAGCATAGCGGCGCGCTGGGCGCAGAAGAACTACCCCAACTCTATCAAAAAGGTCTTGATTCTTGATTGGTGAGTGGGCGCCTGAAGAAGCACTCCATACTGACTCTCAGCTTATTAAAGGGATGTACATCATGGTGCGTGTTGCATAATCATTAGATAGCGCACTCACCCCTGTACAGGCAACGGTACACAGAGGGCCTTTTACGATGATCCAAGTGTGCTTTACGTTTCCCTGCATCGCTACGAGAACGGCACGTTCTATCCTGGCAGTGATTTTGGCGGTATGAGCATGACCGGTAGTGGTGCCGGCGAGGGATAGTGAGTTTAATGACACCAACCTCACTAGTCTGACAGCCACAAAGTTCTGTCAACATACCTTGGCCTCATGCGGGTATGGGCGACTCAGAGTATCTTCAAGCCTTCAATCAAGTCGTCATGCCGATATCGCAGGAATTCGCGCCAGATTTGGTGATAGGTAAGGTGCGCTGCTGGTTTGAGATGTGTGCTGACTTGATTCAAAGTATCTGCGGGATACGACGCAGCCATCAACGACCCACTGGGTGAAAACCTGATAACACCTACAGGATATGCGCAAATGACGCACCAGCTGAGTAGTCTTGCGGGTGGAAAGATGATTGTCGCACTTGAGGTTGGCTGCTTTTACGTTCTGCAAACTCATCTCACACTCAGACAGGGAGGATATAACCTCGACTCTATTGCAACGTCTGCAACATCCACCACGCAAACATTGTTGGGAGAAATACCTCCGCAGCCACTTTTCAACACAGTGGCAAAAGAAACGGCTATGGAAACTCTCCATGACGTCTGCATGGTTCAATCAAAGTATTGGAGGTCTATATCACCACGTTCAATATCCAACAACGCTACTAAAGCTTCTACGGAAAGCGTCATTTCTATGTACGAATTGTTGTCGAAATATCGTCAGCAGCTGCTTTACGAAAAGTACAGCATGTTCAGCTTAGATGTTACGGACGAGTATATAAGAGACAGATTCAAAAATCAAGTTATGGCCACCAGCGATCTCTACAACATAGACACACTCCTAATCAATGTTCACGACTTTGGCAATCTACTCTTTGAGAGTAAGAATAGCGGCGAGATCAACCTCGATAAGTCGTTCCTGGTAGATACAACTGACAAGATACTGCAACTGGCCAAGGAGAAAGGATGGGGGGTGATTGATGTAAATATCTTCCACAATTTCGCCAACCAAGCCCGTCAAACGAGATTATTCCGAAGTCAAGTAGATCCAGTTAAAGATTTGCTGATATGGCTGTGGGATAGCTTTGTTGATCTCGCCAAACCCGAAATGAAAGTGGTGTTTGTTGGGTTCGGCAGTGCTTGTCCTGCGTTGACGAGATTCTTCGAAAGCCGCAGCTCGAGTATACAAAACCGGGTTATGTCCAACATATACATTCCTGGTATGCTAGACGTACCTCGGATATTGAAGATAATGAGGGAATGGTACGAATTCAAGACACTCGTTCTCATACCGTCGAATCATGACCACGTGGAGAACGGTAAACAGTTTAAGAGTTTTGGGAAGGTGTTGATCAGCGAGGAGTCTAGTAGCTGGGTGTTGGTTGAAAGGCATTTGAGTGATATTATGGCGTGGATCAGTAGTAGGAGCAGCGTGTTGGAACAAGGCAACGAGATGGAGGTGTGATAAACAGCTGTAGAGTTTAATAAAGTAAGAACAATGCATTATTATTATAAGTTACTCTTCCATTTTTGTATCTTGAGTGTCCTCTTGTGAGTCTCTATTGTTTTGAGAATGAGGAGAATGGCTCGACAAAACAAGCTCGGCCTCGTCATCGCGTATAGCAGTGCTGTTTGTGCTGAGAGCCGCGATGAGCAACCTAAGTTTATCGCCATTCATGTGTGGTTCTGCGCTCAGTTTCTCCAAATCGCCAGAGAAATTATCCGCTATGCTAGCCATCCACTGAGATTTAAAAGCGGCTCTGAGGGGGTTTTCGGGGGTGTAGATATCGGCTACAGGTAACTGCTTACTGGATGCACCTGATGTGTCGTTGAAGATGGAAGAGGGGATGAATGCGTCGTTTGCAGTTTCTGGGGGAGGAGAAGGAGACTGTCTTTGCTGTTGAGTAATGCTGTGTTGAGTCTTTTTTTTTCCTTTGACTCTGATTGACGGTGCACTGCTACTAGAGCTGCTCGAGCTGCTCGATTCGCTTGAATCGCTTGAATCGCTGCTATCTTGATCAGAGCTGGCAGATTTAGATTTTGGCTGATTGGCTGGCTTCTCAGCCACATTCTCTCCGCCTCGCTCTTCGCCTTCACTCTCACCAGAAGAACTGCTATCGCTGCTACTACTGCCACTGCTACTGTCGCTGTCCTCCAACTGTGTCCTGCGCTTACGCTTCCTGATGCGCTTGTTGGCTGCTGCGGTGTTGCGTGGTGGAGCCATCCTGAGTAAGTGGTGGTAGAGGTGCGAGTGTGTGCGCCTTCTTGCCTCCCCACACCCAAGAAAATTAGACAGCAGCCAACGAGGACATGTCCTATTTCCTGCCGCATTTGCCATCGGGTGGGTGCACTCTAATCACGCTACATTCTCTCACCACCTCCGCTCTCATCCAGGCTGGCACGTCGACCAGGCTATTCTCTCAGAAGACGACAGAGTGGTCGTTATACGCTTCGGTAAGGACTCAGATCCGAATTGCATGGTGATGGACGAGACGCTGTACAATATCTCAGAGAGCGTGGCTAATTTCGCAGTTGTGTATTTGTGCGATAACACGCTCGTGCCTGATTTCAACAAGGTATGTGTGTGTGTGTGTGTGTGTGTGTTTTGCCATATAGCTGATGGTATGAATGCAGATGTACGAACTGTACGATGACACTACAGTCATGTTTTTCTACCGCAACAAACACATCATGATCGATCTTGGCACAGGCAACAACAACAAGATCAACTGGCCGATGGACAACAAGCAGGAAATGATTGATATCATCGAGACCGTCTACAGAGGCGCTTCCAAAGGACGTGGGTTGGTTGTCTCACCCAAGGATTATTCAACGCGGTATAAATATTAGTATTTCCGTTTAAAACCAAGACTGTGTATTATTTATCAAGTATTATTACCACTACTACCAGGCTTGCGTTGGATATCCCTACGCACTTTACGCTTCTGCGCTCCTTCACCGACAGTAGCCTCGTTAGTGATATACGGGATAGAGCCATAATCCATTACCTCTTTTGTCCAGTCAAGAGAGGCATAAATAGGCAGGTCTACTTTACCCTTTGCGAGGACATGTACGCGTCTGCAAGTTTTGGGTGTGAGTGGTGTGAGTAGTTGGAGTTGGTTGACTGAGCTGTCCACTGCGCGTATAAGTCCATATCCCAACACGCGCGAGTCTTTATGGGTGAGAAGATTATCGCGTCGTGTTAGCCTCTCGTCGGCCTCTATGCCACCCTCACATACGCCCTCAACATGCCCTTCCATGAGCGCTACGACAGATGCATTCATCGCCATTAGCGTGTGCTCGTAGATAACATCTTCCCCATGCAGTATACACACGTACGCTAGGTCGTTGGCGTAATCGACGGTGAGGGGTGTGAAGTGGGTGAGTGGTTTGGAGAAATCCCACCGCACGTCAGAGATTTGAGTGGGAGAGTTATTGGGGACATTTTCAGCCTTCTCTGGAATGTTGGCATGGAAATACGTCGTCATGCTCAAATTCCTATAGTCAGCCGAGTGATACCTACTGAGCATAGGGTTATCAGCGGTAGCGATAGCATCAATGATCATGTGGTTCACGTTGCGAGCGGGGGTGCTGATATCCTCATTTGCGGGAATATCAGCGTGATTGTCAGCGTAAGTGTCATCTTCCACACCCTCCTCTGCAGCTGAAACAGACTGGGACATTTCAATCAACTCAAATATCCCAGCAGCATCGCAAATACCCTGTAACATTTCCGCACCGAGGCCCTTGACCCATCCCTGCGTGTTAATGATGAGGGGTATGGGTGTGTAGTTGTGAGTGTGATGTGCATGTGAGTGAGCAATTTCTCTCTGATAAAACTCAATCAAATCGCGCACAGCGTCGATATAGCCAACTGGGTCGTTCGCTGGGGAGAGTTCGCCTACGAAGTGTGCTTTTGACGGTATGCGGGGGTGCGTGAATGGAGGGCCTGAGTGAGTGAGTGAGTGGTGTTATTGCAATAAAAAAAGCAAAGACTCACCCAATAAAAATTCATCGATGAGATGGAGAGAAACGCAGCCAGAAGGCATGAACTCGGACTGACCTACGTCGCATTCGAGGTAAGCAACATTAGCGTGGGTCGCCTCACCACGCAAAGCATTGCACAAATAGCGCGAAAATGCACTCTTTCCCGTATTCCTACCTCCTTTGACTATAGCAATGTAAGGCTGTGGAGAATGGAAGGCGTTGCGGGCGATTTGCGTCGCTGCACTTGTCCACGAGGGTGGTGTGAGGAAAGCGTAGGTATTTGGCGTCGATTCGAGTATCTGCGCGGGATTTTTAGTGCCAGTCAAAGATAGACACAATAACACAACACGTACCGGATACATTCCTTCCACTACCCTCCAACCGTCATACACACCGGCGTAGGGGGATGCAAATGCGTGTCTGAAATCCGGTAGAGCGTTGCCTAGCCCCTCTAACCCATCGTCGAGAGGTGAGAGGCGGACGACGAGTTGGTTGTGAGCGAGAGACGGTGGTACGGAGTCAGAGTCTATGGCGAGGCTGTCACCATTTCCACTGCTATCTCCACTCGAGAGTGTCGGGAGTGGATAGCAAGTAGGGGCATAAATGCGGTGGTGTTGCACCGACGCGCCTATCCTAGCGCCCAGGATAGACAATGTGCCTTTAAGCACTTGAAGAGTGAATTTACCAGCGAGGATCAGTGTCGCATGAGCATCGAACCCGACGAGGATATATCTGTCGCCGAAAAACGTCGTCGCGGAGCAGGTAGCAAAGTTGGAAACACAGTTGTAGTCGTAGTGTTGTGCTTTCTGCTTCTGCTTGCGCTTGTACTTGCGCGTCTTTTCTGTAGCTGTGTCTGTAGCAGCTGCTATAGCTGCATCTGCAGACGATGGCTTGAGCTTCTTCCTTGAGTTACGAGTGTGCTTAAGCTGCTCAATATTCTCCTGTTCAAGCTCCCACTCCCGCTGCGTCTGCTGGATATCAGCATCGTGAAAAAAGGCATTGATAGCGATATCGTGGGAGTCGGCGGAGTGCTGAATGTCAGTAGGTGGGGAGGAATGCGAATGCTGGGAAGACTGCCCACTGCCGCTACCACTCGCCTCAATCTCCGCGTCTAAATTCAATTTCAATTTCCTTTTCGCAACAGCCGACAAGACCATAATAGTTGAGAATCAACAACCAAGAAGACAGCGATAATGTATAATTTCACCGACTCATCAGAATACACACGGATATTCGCGCGTTCGACTATCGCGATAATGCACCTCTGGCACGCACTCAAGATGGCCGTGGTGGAGGGATGGGGTGGACCCGAGTCAGACGCCAAGCGGACATGGCTGATGGGCGTTATGGTGGACATGTACGAAGAGCGTCCTCCAAACCCTCAGAACGGGAGCGTTGGTGGGCTAGACCATGCAGATACAGAGGAAATACTTGCGCAGGCTTTCTTCGATGAATTTGGAGCTCATTTGGAAGATGGCAGCCCTAGGTCAGTCGCCACTCAGCTGCGTAGAGCCTGGGCTGAAGCTGTCGTTGGCGATGAGCACTTGTCTAAGGAACTCACCGCCAAATCTGAGAAAGAGAGGCATAAGAAGATGGCGCAGTTTACAAGAGGCGAGGATGAGGAAATTCCATACTCAGGTGGCGAGAGTGAGAGTGGCGAGGAGGGCGATGTGCAGATGGACGACGATAACACCACCCAATCCACCCAGAAACCACCAAAACAAGAAAAGATATTCGACGACGATGGCTTTGAGGTTGTACAGAAGAAGCAGAAATAGATATATGTTACAATTTGTACATGTGATTAGTGTAGATTACTGGCCGTTATTCGCGTTATTCGCGTTATTTACATGTGCTGGAGGGAGTAAAGTTTTTTGAGCGTTATCTAGTGTTTCTGGTTTGGTAGGCGAGGCACTCCCCCCACTCATATTGTCACTGCCAGCCTTACCTCTCACAACCCCCTTCCCACCTTTACTGTTCTCTGACTCGAGGCTCTCGAGTAACATCTCTAGCACGCCGTCAATTTCCGTGGCGGGTATTCCACATCCGACGCTAATCAGTTTGCGGTATTCCGACATTTTCTTACCCGTGCCCACCTCTTTCTGCCTCTTGATGAGTTCGTGTAGGGAAGCGATGCGTTTGTGGTGAAGCGAGTTGATTTGTTCGCGGAGGATGGTGCACTGGTAGTGAACGTCTTTGTCACCATTTTCATTACCAAGATTGGATGTATCCATGTCCATCTTACCACCCTCGTCAATCTTGTCGTTATACTCTGCCCATCCCCGCTTATACAAATCCATCGAATGCTCCTCTAATCTCCCCTCTAAACCTTTCAATTTGGCTTTGAGCTGCTCAAATTCACCACCATCTATAGTCATCTTCTCCACCGTCTGCTTGGCTTCAACGATATCAGTTTTGATGTTACGAAGAATGACCTGAGCTTGTTGATAATCGCGCTCCTTCTGTGTGATCTCTTTATCGTAAGACTGAGCGAGATTTTCAAGGAGATTAGCGACGCCGCTCATCGTAGTGTTAGCAATCGATTGGCTAGTTTCGCTGCTGAAGAGGTGAGGAGGGGGAGCGTAGATGGAAGTGTCAGGAGGGTGTAGCCTGAGGTGATTAGAGTTGAGTAGAGGAGACTGTCTGAAGCGTTCATCTTCGAGAATGTAATCTTCCGCAGTCCTGCCATCCTTATTAGGCAGTTTTGAGTCAGCCCCGTGCTCAAGCAGGAGCTTAACGAGGCGTTTTGAGCGGGCGCGGGCAGCCAGCGTCAGTGCCGATTCACCCTCGTCGTCTTGAAAGTTAATTACATCTGCCAACTCATCGGGGTAGTTAACGAGTTTCGCGAGGACGCATTCCATGTAATAGCGCGCGGCGTGTGTCTTGGATTTCGTCAAGGCGAGGTCGACAATGTGGTGGAGGACAGTCCGGTCGTGCTTGTCGAGGTTGAGTGTAGACCTATGTAACAACTCGTACAACTGCGGGAACTTGCGTATGTCGTAATTGTTACTGAACATTACACTGCGCATCAGCGCTGTCTGCTCAGAATGGTTGACGCGAAATATATCTGCACCGGCACTGAGAAGCAGCTTGACTACGCGCACCTTGCCCATAGCACAAGCCCAGTGCATGGCCGTATGGCCCTCGTCATCGATTGACATGTTTGGGTTGAAATCGGCAGGTGGATGGATCAGGAGAGCAGGAATCTGGGTAGATTCGCTGATAAAGTAGTCAAGAATGATATCTTCATAACTGACACTACCATCTATGGCAACTGAGGAGGGCGTGTCGTTTGGGTTGAGAGTGTCGGGCAACTTCCTCTTGCGTGCGTTGAATCTGATGGGGGAAGGAGTACGCGAGCTGTTTGATTTGAAGGAGGGGGAGCTGGGAATGCTGGCGTCTTCACCGTCGGATAGCTCAGCCTTGGCATTGGTTGCAGCAGCTAGCTTGGCGGGGTGCTTAGCAGAGCTGAGTGGGTGGAAGACCTTGCTAGTGGAGGGGAGAGTGTGGGCGGTGGAGGGTTGTTTGCGTGCTCTGGTGCCTGAAGCGGTTGCGTGCTTGGGAGCTAGCGGAGGGGACTGAGAACCAGGGTGGTAGTTGATGATTGGGTCAAGGAGTAGTTGAATGCGGTATTGTTTAACCAAGTCAACGGATCTGGCCATGGGGATCCACGTACCCTGGTATTTTCCATAACCTCCCTGCACCTTCTCATGTACCCCCTTCTGAACCTCCCTCTCGAGGATACGTGTGCGCTGTGGCTTATCGAAGTTGGCCACTTTGAGGATTTGAGTTGCGTTCATCCACTCATCAGACCTGCGTTTCATCACAGCGATATTCTTGCAGTTGAATTCATACACGGGCACGCCTGAGTAGCAGGCCTGGAGAGGGAGTGTGAGTGGATGACATTGGGTATATCGATAAATACCTTGTAAATCGGTGGTGGTCCTAGCGCTGACATTTAACTCAATTTAAATAATTAATTTTCAATTTAACCCGCGTATAACCAACCAACCCTCCATCATTAAGTCCATCCATTTAATTTAAAAAATGGGAGAGTGAGCGCGGGTAACGCTAGTGGTGTATTTGGCTGGCTAATACTCCCTCACAGATCAACTGCTTCCAAGGAGGAGTGCGTGTCCAATAGACTCCCTTTGAATTGGAGAGATCAATGTAGCGGGTGGGCGCTCTGTGCTCTGTGTTTACATCTCCCATCTAACACCCCATAGCCTCCTGATCCCTCTCAACATATGCAGGCACAAGAATTTATACGCGCCTTGGTCGTGCACCGACGAACGACACGGCTATGAAAAGTGCCAGTACGATGACATGATGCGCAGAATGAAGTTGTTATCCCAGCAGAACAAGTCTGAGTAGTTTATCTATCCATGCATTCCTTACAAATACTCCATCCCCACCCCCAGCTGTATTGGTCGCGTCGTGCTTACATCCGTGGTGGCTGCTATCACTGGTACACCCAGGTTCAACTCCACTCTGATTGGCGTGAACCGATACACCAGCCCAACTCCCACACTCATCGATGGCTTCAACAGCGCACCCCACAGATCCACATTCTTCAGCGACACCAGCTGCCCTGCATTCACAAACCCTTGGCACTTCAAATTCCACTGTGGTTTCGTAGGGAACGGTGTTATTACCGAAACTCCCCCGCTGTAGAAGACATCGCCTCCTAGATGGTCCTCTCCATCCCTTGGCCCCATCCTGTTATGTCCGAACATACGCACTGACGTTGGTCCACCGAGTCTGAATCGGTCGCTGAACAACTTGGCGTGGGTGTTTTCATCGCTCACACTCCCATCCCCTCCCATCGGCAGAAGGCCACCGGCGCGGAATGACAAAGCGAGAAAGTTGTTTAACGCGCTATCGATCGGTCTCGCTACATACATCTGCAGCTGCCCCTTGAGGAAACTCACACTACCGCCCAATCCCGCGTACTCGACGAGGGAATTCACGTAAGCACCTCGCGTCGACATGTGTATATCATCGCGGCTGTCGTGAGTGAATGTGTGTGCGACAGCAGATTTCACCGAGGAGCCCGCTGCATCGCGCAGGCTGAGTGAGGCGAGTGGGTGTAAGGAGTGCAAAGATCTCCACGCCGCCTCATACGAGACATGATGAGAACCGTGTTTCTGAGTGGACTAAAGGGGGCAATGAGTACAATAAACTCCAATGTCACTCCACTCACACTCCATCCACATCGTGCTCCCACTGTGCCCTCCTTAACACCCGCATACGCTGAATGATCCCGTTCAGCCTGGAAAACCTGTGCATTGAGCTGCGTGTTGGGGGAGGGTGTGCAAATGAACTCGGGCACTGGGGAGGTATAAGCGAGGTGGAAAGCAGATGTCGTCCGTGTCCCCCAGCTAGCCTGTCCTTCTAAATTCTCCAGGCCACCCAAGAGGTTACGCACGCGTACGCTAACATTCGCACTTCCTTCTCCACTGCCCACATCTGTGCTCGATTTAGCCCACAATTTGCCACGCTCGCGCACCCCCATTGCTAGATCTACATCACCATGCTGCGCGAGCACGCTCTGCGCCGGTTCGAGAGCCATCTCAATTCCTGCGAAATGGTCGAAGGCGGTGAGGGTGTGGTGCACATCACGGCTCTTGCGCAGGACGTCTGCGAGAGTGGAGTTGTGCACGCCATCTGCACCCGCGTCGTTGAGATACGGGCGGAATACCGCAGCGAGGAAGCTAGAACGCAGCGTCGAGCCATTCACCCGTACTGCTGATAATCTGGCCGGGGAATCTCTGCTATCTGCCACCTAAGCCGTGCGCGAGTGCATCGGTGAGCTGGGTTCTTCTCCTTCTAACTGCCCTTACTCACTATCTCCTCTAGTCGCCGACCAAACGTTTCATACTCGCCGTTCAAACGCCTCTGCTGCATTTCGTTCATCCACACCCGCTTTGCGTGGAGAGTGGGGTTTGTGCCGTCTTCTTCTCCTCCGCCCCGCGGCTCCTCCTCGCGCGCACTTGTCGTCTCGTAAAATGGCCCGCTTATAGATGGCTTAGCTACTCCGTCCAGCTCGCTTACGCTCATTGGGGTGATCGTCGTTGTGTTTGCGAGTGTTGTGTTGTGTGTTGAGTGGGCGAATATGCATGCTAAAATGAGTTATGTTGCAGACAAATCTTATCTTATCTTCTTCTTCGCTTTGTTGCCTCGACACTCCCACTCCCGCCTTTACTCACTCGCCTCCCATCCCTCACCTTCTTCACATCACATCTGTCTGTATGTATCTTATGGCTACGACACATGACAAATCGCACAAATCCCTTGGATGTATTGCAAAATAAATCATCTTTTCAGTCTTACTTTGTAAGAAGTACAAGAAGACAAAAATATTTGTGGTTGCCAGGAATCGAACCTGGATCTTACCGGCCACAACGGAACGTGCTAACCATTATACCACAACCACTTGATACCGATTTCAAGATTTATAAGTATATCTATCTCAAATATAGAAAAAGCAAATTAAATTGCAGCAAAAATTTCTGTTCCCTTATTCTTACCAGCCTCGTTTTAATCATTCTCGTATAATTTTCGCAATCAGATTCAAGTTCGAGATGATTTGATAAAAAAAGCGTAAAAAGTGGCATTATTATATCGATTACATTTTGTTAAAAGGTTTATGTAATAAAAATAGTAAAGTAAAGCATTTCCATTAGCAGCTGCAGCTGCATGCTTTAAATGATTAAGGATAGTTGAACAAAATTCCATATTGTCCTCAAAAAATCTGTCAGTTTGCTCAAAACGACTAAATGTTCTCAAGTGCATGCAGCTGTGCAGTCTGACCGATAGAGTTTTCCTGCTGGTTAGAAGGACCAGCAGCTGCAGAACCACTGTTCGCGCCATCAGTAATGGTTTGGTTACCGCCCATACCCTGAGTGAGAGACTGGACGCCATCAACGGACATAGGAACGAAGATGGTCTTAGCGTTGCTCGTCTTGGCCATATTTTGCAATGCATCGAGATGACGAATACTCATTGCAGCAGGCGATGCAAGCAACTCGGCAGTCTGTTTCATCAGCTTGGCTGCTGCAACTTCACCCTTGGCGGCGACCACCTTAGCCTCAGCCTGGCGGGTGGCTCTAGCGGATGCAGCCAACGCAACCTGATCGGAATCGGACAAATGGACGTCTCTGATCGAGATAGAGACGAGAACACCCCACTCCTGCGTAATGGATGTAACAATCTCCTCGATGTCGCGTGAGATCTGCTCTCTGTCTTGGATAAGAGATTGCAGAGATCTCGAACCAAGCACGGAGCGGAGAGTAATTTGAGAGCGTTCAATGACTGATGATCTCATATCCTCCACCGCGTACGCAGCCTTGTAAGGGCTATGAACGCTGTAATAGACGACACCGTCAACTCTAACAGTGACGTTGTCCTTGGTAATGGCGACCTGGTCGCGGATGTTGGCTAGCTGAGTGCGCACCGAGACTGCCTGAAGATCCTCTGAGCAGAGATTGATCTTGACCAAACCAGGGTCGACGGATTTGTAAAAGGCACCGAAGCGGCTAACGAGACCGACGGAGCCCTGGTCGACTTCCTTGAAAGGATTTGGGCACGGACAGCAAGGAATGGCACCGAAGAATCTGTGAAGAGAGTAAGTGAAATGCTAGGTGCACTCCAGCCACCACCACTCACCCGATACACGATCCGAGACCGTTGATGAAGCTGCCGTAGCCCGAGTGCTCGTTACGAGGCACGTCCAGCGTCTGAGCGTACGATGGCTGCATCTGGTCCTTCTGGAGCGGCTGCACCGAGACTGTGTGGCGTTTGGTCGGTGCAGACGAAGCAGGCGCGGTGGCCGGTGCCTCCTGAGTTGGCTTGACTGGCTCCTCGATATCGAAATTGGGCTCTGCGTGCTCTGAATTTTGTTCTACCATTTTATGACAGTGTGTGACAAGAGAGACGACTCGGAGATTCGAACGCTTGGCAGTTGGCTGGTTGTCATGTGAAACAGTGATTCAGGGAATCGCACTGAGAACTCACAGAAATCAGCTACTGCAGCGTCAAATGACCATCGGTGCATCTTTCTAGCGATATTAATAAAGTCGCGTACATGCAGTTGAAGCAAGGTATTCCACCACTCACCCACACATTCCACTAATGAGCGTAAATATGTCAGTTGCGTTTCTAGCCCAGCTCCAGCTCAGCATTAACGACGCAGCAGCCACCAAATCACGCAGACAAGGCCAATACACCCACTCAACAAGCACTCCTCTACTATCACACAGGATATTTCCCATCTCGGTGCACAGGCCTTTCTCCACGCTATCGGCCTCTCCGAATCTGATCTCGATAAGCCACATGTCGGAATTCTGACTGTGGGTTTTGACAGCAACCCGTGCAACAACCACCTCAACAGCCTCGGCGAGCATGTCAAGCGATCGCTCTCGAATCACTCTCTCCTCGGTTTTATGGCGTCTAGTGTCGGTGTTTCTGACGCCATTACTCAGGGCACGGCCGGGATGCGCTACAGTCTGCCCAGCCGTGACCTGATAGCAGACTCGTTTGAGATGATAGTCGAAGCGCAGCACTACGACGCCAGCGTGCTCATCCCCGGCTGCGACAAGAACATGCCCGGTGCAATGATGGCCGCACTACGCTACAACAGACCATCCCTCATCGTCTACGGAGGTACCATCAAGCCCGGCACACACCAGATCGACTGCCGCCCCCTCAGCGTTAAGAAGGGTGACCAGAGTAACATCACAGACACTTTCGAGGCTTATGGCGCTTATCTCAACGGTAACATCGGCCAGGATGAACTGAAAATTATCAAACAAAACGCTTGCCCCGGTTCGGGATCTTGCGGCGGACTGTTTACGGCTAATACCATGTCTAGTATCATCGAAGCTATGGGAATGTGCTTGAGCTACTCAGCTTGCACGCCTGCGGAAACAAGTGAAAAAGTTCAGGAGTGTCTTAGAATAGGCCCGGTCGTACGTAATCTCCTCGAACAAGATATCAAGCCACGCGATGTAATGACGAGAGAGGCATTTCTAAACGCAATAACCATTGTGATGGTGTTGGGTGGCTCTACCAATAGTGTCCTCCATCTCCTCGCAGTAGCAAGAAGTGGAGATGTGCATCTGACAATGCAGGATTTCAGCGACGTCGCCGCGCGTACACCATTCCTTGCCAACATGAAACCGTCCGGGAGGTATATGATGCAAGACTTGCACCAAGTTGGCGGTATACCAGCTGTATTGAAGTATGTCTACGACAACACCACCCTTTTAGATGGAAATTGCTTGACAATCACTGGAAACACGCTCGCTGAGAATCTCTCTAACATTACTATAGATTATGACAAATTCCACACCGTTATCCATCCGTTATCGTCGCCCATCAAGGAAACTGGTCATATACGCATCCTTAACGGCACGCTGGCACCTGGAAACGCCGTAGCCAAGATCACCGGCAAAGAAGGGCTTCGATTTGAGGGTAAAGCCATGTGTTTCGAGGTAGGTTCGACGGCTGGGCTTTCGTGCACTAGCTGACGCAGACTGATAGGAAGAAAACGATGTTCTGCGCGCTGTTTCCGAAAAGCGCATCCAGCCAGGCACTGCCGTGATAGTTCGTTACCAGGGTCCGAAAGGCGCGCCAGGGATGCCTGAGATGTTGACACCGACTGGAGCAATATATGGTGCTGGTCTGAGTCAGTCTACCTGCCTTATCACAGACGGTCGCTTCTCTGGCGCCTCCCATGGCTTCGTTATCGGTCACGTCGTTCCAGAGGCTTTCAACGGCGGTCCAATCGCACTCGTGCGCGATGGCGATCGCGTCGTTGTGGATGCCGTACATAACACAATTGATCTTTGTGTCGATGAAGACGAACTAGCCGCTAGAAAGAAATCATTCTCCCCTCCTCAGCTCAAATACACTTCGGGCGTTCTGTATAAATATGCAAAGACCGTGGCTGACGCTTCGCATGGGGCTTATACGGATTAAAAGGGAAATTAAATGTATTAATGGATATATTGATATTCAAATTTCGCTGTCTCAGCGCTGTTATCGCCTTATCTCCCAACAATGATCAGCGACGACGCACATAGCAGTCTCCAAGCGCGGCTGGAGGGGGAGATGGATGCGGTGATAGCGGAGCTGGAGCAAGGAAAGGAATTTGAGACATATATTAGAGCCCTTTCGCTGCTCACTGATGTTGAGCACCTGCGTAACAATTTCTCACTGGAAATCGACGGACTGCAGACGTTCAGGGAGTTTCTAAGCAGTACAGAGAAGAAGGTAGGATTCAAATTTGTGCGCGTACGTTTTCGTCTGTATCTGATAATCTTCAGGCGTCGCAGTCAATCACATACCCGTCTCTGCCACCAACCGTAGACGCAGTGCTCGATGTGGACATCCAGCGGAAAGGGCAAATGGAGAAAGAGGCTGATTTTATACCCAAGGATTTGACCAAGAGAATGAGCCGAGTAGTCACAGAGGCGACACCAGCAGCATCTACATCGACATCAGCGCACATGCCAGCATCATCACCAGCACCGAATCCTCTACACAATCCTCCACACAAATCACACACGTATGACTACGAGAGAGAACGCGCGCTTTTCGAATCGAAACGGCAAGACAAAGTGACGGACGACTCAACATCCTTGCGCACATCGCGTGCTGAGCAGGAAGATCTTTCTGAGGAGCTGATAGCGATGACGCGACAGCTGAAGCAGAATGCTCTCGCTTTGTCACAAGGCTTGAGTAGCGATGTACCCCTTCTCGACCAAGCGGGTACACAACTGCAGGGGAATGCCGATCGCATGTCGACGCAGCGCCGGCAACTTAACGTGTTCTCAGGCAACAGCAGGGCAACTACCTGTCTCACTTTCACGTCTGTCATCGCCGTATTCATCGCGTGGATTGTGCTTTTCATAGTTATAAAGCTGTCGTGATAGAGATAAAGAATGAAAATTTTATTACTAACACGCATAAATACTTGATCCATTAATGCAACTATTGCAACTAATACTACCTATGAATAACCTCCTTTACTGTTTCTTCTGGCGATTGTTAGCTCTCTCGCTCAGGTCAACACCGACTAAAGTCTTCGATGCTTTCCAGAACTGGACAAAGTTGATGATCTGCTTGGTGAAGCAGATCGGGAAACTGACAATAGCGACAATGTGTGCGAGAGTCATACCAGCAACATAGGCTGACACTCCGTCGAGCAACGCAGCTGAGATTTGTTCCTTGACGAGCGCAGGTACGACCGCGTGCACAATTTCAGGGCTGATCCCTAATGTTGGTAACTTGCTAGTGTATACGAGATAGAGCGCGACGAAGAAAATTTCATTACCCGCGCAGAAAATGAAAAGGGTGATCTGCAGCCAAACACGTCAGTATGACGTCATCACTCGACGCATCCACCTACTCTATTATTGTAGTATAACCAGAGGATTTTGGAGACTTCCGACTGGATAAGCTTGTGCGACGTAGCGCCGGTGACGAGCGACGCGTACATGTGTATGAAGTGCGACGAAAAGTCCAGGGCGATAAGGAACTGGAAGACGTTGAACCAGTCTGGGTAAGCGGACGAGAGGAAGACCATTAGACAAGTCGTAGAGCATCTTCGGTGATGTTAGCGAGTACTAGGAACACGCTGGAAACGCGTTCGGCATCATACTAACCTGTCAGTGACCATGTCGAGCACACCGCCGAGCTTCGAAGTCTGGTTGAAAGCTCTCGCAGCCATTCCATCCGCTACATCTAGAATAGCGCTGATACAGTACAGTACTGCGCATACCTTGGGATGATTTTTCATGCAATAGACGGCTAACGCAGCAAAGACGATACGCAGGTATCCTTAGAGGGGAGGAAAGAATATAAGATTGAGCCAAGCTGTATAGCACCGCACCCACCAATCAGATTTGGCACGAACAGATAGATATTCTCCTCTTGTTCATTGGCCTGTGCATCGTGAGCAGTGCGCTTACACAACGCCCATATCACAGCACTCACGAGATCAATGGCACCCTGCTGCGTGATTCTCTCGAAGATACTCCTCGTCTTTCCGCGTGCTGAGTTTTCTGGCAATTTGCTACTTGGTGGCATCTCGTCAACGACCAACATCTGCTGGATTTCTGGATTTGGAACTAAATTATAAATATGGAATCAGATCGGAGCGTGCGTGTGGATTATCATGGCTCTACACAAATCTTATCTGTTGCAGGCAGTATCTGTCACCCGTCGTAGAAACTCAGCTCAATCGACTTATCTTCCTTCGTTTGAATGGGATGTGAATGGCGGCTGCGATGGCAGATTGGCAGCCTTTCAGCAATCACGTCAAAGCTTGCATCACAGAGCGCGCGTGTGTATCGATAGTCTACGCTGATGTATCCCCACTCATATCCGCACAGCAAGTCATGGACACTCTTCTTGAGGGAGTGGCTGATAATGCGCTTTCCGTGTTGCAAAAATCTCCAGACGTCAATGAAGAAGATGCTATTCCTACGTGTGTGTTGGTTTGTGAGTCATATTGTGTCTTGATAAACGACGCAGTATCACTAATTACTAATGCACAGCTCACGAGCCATCCTCCAATATTGTTATTCTGAGGCGACTGGATCAACTCAATCAAAACACTCATTCGCTCCTCACTCTCGAACTCGGCTGGCAGGATTTTGGAAGCAATCCGACGCTGCAAAGCGGTGTGAAGAGCATCGTGCTAGGGCTGCTTTCCAAGTACGCAGATGACGATGCTCATGTGGGTTGAGTACTTGGCGTACAATCACAATCTTACAGTATAGTAGAAAAGGTATATCAAATCAGCATTGAACAGCACAGATTTCAACACAATACATAAATGGTATAAGGATTCGTATATTCAAGACAATCCACCCAAGCTGGTGCTCACTTTACGCGACTTTGAAGCCCTACCTCCACCGATGGTCCAAGATCTTGTCAGCTTATTGACTCATTATCGCAAGTATATACCCATCAACCTCGTATTATGTATCGATTCCTCTCCAGCTGCTATTTACAGATTGCTTCCGCGGTACACGATCATCAAACTCGCTATGACGCAGGTCGCTGCACCGTCAGCTAATACCACCTTTGAAGCCATTATAGGAGAAGTCAGTGGCAATATAGAAAGTATATTTAGTCTCACACTCTCATTAGCTGTTCTTCTCAACAACCTATAACTCACCCATCACATTAAGCAGTTCTGCGTTCGACGTCTTGTACGATACGTTTAACCACTCGCATAACTCTTTCGAACATCTACTACACACCCTTGATGTGAGTGGCTGGTAACATTACGTTATTACATACTAAATCACCACTCAGATGCAGCTGCTCGACCACTTTTTCCAGCCATACTCCATCTTTTTTGATACAGACGCAGTGTCGGTTGAGAGCATTAAAGATGACAGAGTATGGCGTTATCTGCTCTCTTTACCGTCGACAATAAGCTATTTGAAACAGGGCAGGGAAGCTGTAGATCGCAAGTTGTGCAATGAGTTGTTGGCCGAGAAGGTGAACAGCGAAGGGTTATTGAAGTCACTCCGAAGATTACGCAAGGTGTTTAAGCAGAGTGTTGATGAGGAGAACGACGCTTTCAGAGCATTACAGCATCTACGCTCCTTTATCCACTCGGTCGTACCTGATTCCAAAGACTTTCTCCCGAACGCCAAAGCGCAAATGCAGGCCAAGACGCATGGTGATCTTGCCAAAATTGTCGACAAAACACTACAAAGCGTCAGCTTAATGTCGAAAGCTCAGTTGTACGAGTGGCTCAGTGGATATGCTGATACCAAGTCGTCAATGAAGTCAGATCAGCTAGCAACTAAACAGCTAATGTCATTCATGGATAAATTCACCGCACATGGCGAAATCAAGCTAAACACCAACGAGCAAAGCACACGCGATCCAGACTTTGTTGAGTTTACTCAAACGTGTGCGGAAGAATGGACACAACATTTCATCGTTAATCTGGTCGAAGAGCGTCTAATACCGTTCGAGGAGATATGGCGGGTGGGAGTGAGCAGTGATCTTCAGATGCTGGTGAATCCATCACCCAGACATGCAATCTTGACGGCTTTGCGTTATCCTCAGAAGTTGTTGGGCCAGCACTACCCAGAGATATCATTGGATGAGGCTATGTCGAGCGATAACGCACCTGATACGTGCCTCGCGTTTAAGTGCTACATTGAGGCTGCTAGGGTGTTTAATCTGAGCGACTGGTTTAGTGCATTCAAGAGCGTATTGGAGAGCGGGTCGGATCAGTCGAAAAAGTCGAAGAAGCGCAAGAAGGCTGGTGACGAAGACGAGGAGACTATTCAACTGCAAGCCAGGTTCACACAGGCAGTAAATGAGCTGGATAGTATGGGATTCGTTAAAAAGGCAAGTGCTAGGAATAGGAACATCGTAGCTAGGACGGTGTTTATGCATGTTGAGGGTGATGACGATGAGAAGGGTGTTGGTATGGAAACTATAGCAGAGTAGCAAGAAGGGCTGGCTATTAGGGAAATGATGTATGCATTTATTTATTATGACTGAAATTTTTCTTGTCTGTTCCTCGTGATTAAGAAAAAGCGATAAAAACATTGGTTTTGTATAATCCAAGGTGCTCATATCCAATCACCGTCTCAATCTCATCAAATTTATCATCTCGCAGTTTTGAACCTTATCCCCGTCGTAGCTCGAGCTCGTCTCACGATTGCGATAACTTTGAGAATAGCGAAATGAGTGAACCAGTCAAGCTTAGAATCACTTGTAAGTAGCGCGTCTATTGCAATTCTCAGCTAATCGGCACAGACAATGATATACACTCCGTGCGTAGAGATAGCGTAGCCAAAATATTCCGTTGCTGATAGGATGGCGCAGATGATCGGAGAAACAGCCGCAAAGATCAAGGATGACTTGTAGGTGATCATAGTGGGCTGGAACCAGCTAACGGGGAGCATCGCAGTGATCCTAATATCATGGTGAGATTGTGAGCACACGAGAGTCTACAAGACTGATTGTGGATATAGGTTGCTATCGGTGGCGGGTGAGATTCTTAAATTTGTCCAATTGGCCCGTATAACTAAAGATCCCCGAAGTGGCTTCTTCCCAGCTCGTGTTCTCCGCACTTTTCTAAAAATCCAGGGCTCAAAGAACAGTGAGTGGATTGCTGAGTGCTGAATCACATTCTTATTTTTCCCAACAGTCCCAATCCAAGCTATCGGCCTGTCACTCTACGAGGAACTTCCAAACACAACAGTCGAGCAAGTGGGCACTGAGGTTATTAGAACGCAGTGGCTTGATTTTTCCACTCTCGGTGAAAAGAGTTTAGTTGGAAAGAGAGTGCTCATCGTCGATGAGGTCGACGACACCAGAAAGACTCTCGGTTACGCTGTCAAGGAGCTCCAGAAGGATGTCGAAGAACAGTACAAACTTCTGCCTGCAGACTCGCCTCCTACGGAGTTCGCAATCTTCGTTGTGCACAACAAACTCAAGGAGAAAGCTAGCGAGATCCCAACTAACGTCAAGTACTTCCCTGGCGCTGAGATTGACGATCTCTGGGTTGACTATCCTTGGGAACAGCAGGATATCGTCGAGCATACGCGTCTCGCTGAAGAAGATAAGAAAAAGCACGTCGGTGACGTCAACCGCGAGTAAACCAGGCGAAGCTAGTTGAATGACATGTTATAGATTTGGATTTGTTAGATTTATTTGGATTCTTTTATCGACGTCGCGTGTTCGCTTTACCTGCCTTTCTTAGTTTTGTTCCTGAGCCCGCCGTAGAGCCCGCCGGAAAATATCAAGTTATATTAAAGTCTGAGTTAGTCCTTGGAATATTATCTCAATAGCTTGCCCAGATTTCCAATGAAACTGTATGCAATCACCACTCTAATCCCGTATAAACCACTCACAATTTGCGCAGCATAGACAAGTCGCAATCACACTCAGAAGATGGCACTGGGGGCACTCAGGCAGAGCCACAGCAAATCCAGCCATACAGCCAAGGTTTCTGGTCTCCACTTTTGAAGCAGCAACGAGCCATGTACTTCAAAATCCTCGCCGCGTCAGTTTCACTAACTACGATCGCAATCTGGGGCTTCCTTACGGTTTACTGGGCAAGCATAGCACATGAGACGGGAAGACTCGTGCAAATCAATGCGGTATTTGTGAATCGTGATATCGCGAACGGTGTGAATGGCACTCTCGGAAACACCGTGCGCGAGACAGTATTTCAATCTCTAAATCAAACGCATCATTTGGGATGGACGGAAGAACCTTCGTCTAAAGTGCCCACCAGAGCCTCCATAGAACAAGCACTAGTCGAGGATGAATGGGCGTGGGTTTTCCTTGTTGTGGGGGAAAACGCGACACAAAACCTGACAATAGCACGTGAGAATGGAATTAGCACTTACAATCCAAGAGACGCTATTACAATATACTACAATCAGGCACGTAATGAACTGGCGTCAGGAAAGATATTGCCTATTGCTCAACAAATAGCCCAACAATCCAGCCAGCAAGCTAGTGTACAGACGCTTGAACAGTATCTCACACAGCAGAGCGGTAATGCTACTGCTATGGCTAATCTCGCAACTGCACCTCAAACTGCCGGGAATGCCTTCGGAATAACAACAGTCGATTTCAGACCATTCGACCAAGCAGTAGCTAGCGCTGTTGTTCTCGTTGGTCTTATCTACCTTACTCTGCTGGCTTTTATACAGACAATGGCGTGAGTAGGGATTTTCACAATTTTTTAGTAGCTTACTTGCGCAGAAACTTTGGTGCTAGACCAATAATGGAAAAGTATCTCAAGCTCAGCTCCTACATTGGAATGAGGCGGGTTCTAGTTCCTTTCTGGATAATACCAAACTCACTCATTACAGAATTCTTGTTCCCCTTTGTCTCTATGTCGTAATTGCGTTACTGTTTACGATGCTCAACTTGCCATGGGATGTGCATTTTGATGCACACTTCAGTAATACTGCAAAGGGTTTCTTCTGCACGTATGCACTGTTCCTGGTTGGAATGTCAGCGCTTGGTAAGTGTTTTTTTTAGCTTAGCACGCAACGGAAATACTTAGAAAGCTATAGGACTTGCCACTGAGGTTATTATTACAGTAGTCGGGCCCAAATTCATGCCTTATGCACTCGTTGCACTCATCATCGCTAATGTCTCGGTCGCAGCTGTTCCTCCAGACTTACAGGTATGGTTTTTCAAATATTATCCCGCGATGTTAGTGCATTCTATCACTCTACTTTCTGCTTATAACGCCACACACTAGGGTCTACTATCACCTTAATAGAGGTGTGCGATGCATCATATTCAACATCAAGAACGAGCTCGGTTTGAACTTTGGTGTCTGCTTGGCTTGGGTAGTCTTTAGCGTATGCACACTTTCAGGCTTCACTGCTCTATTTAGACATTTGGATATCAAGAAGGCGAAGAAGGAGGCCGAAGAACAACAGGGAGAACACAAGGCCTGAGGAAGCGCATTTTTAGTCTGCTCACAGATAAAATGACTCAAATTTCTATTCTTACATCGCTAAATTATACAAAATCCGAAGTTAGATTTTTCTTCAGTCTTATAGGCTACTTTGTTGGATATTATTGTACACTATTAAATATTTTTAATCACTTTCCTTCGCCAAAATAATCATTCTACAAACCGAACCAGATAAGAACATTGGTGACCTCAGCAGCGCATTAGCAAGCTGCCTGTCATGAATCTTTGCAGTCTTAGATTGGGTTGTATTTCTATTATGTATGAGTTTTTTAGTATGTACGTGATGTCTTAATTTTACGCTATAATGCTTCTTGTACAGCTGCCCCAACTTGTGTGCCAGTAGGCTATGCCCTTAGCATGCAAAATAAAACAAGATATTCACACAATTTGATCTCTAGAAATTTAAATTTTTTTACCCGTCACTCGCTAATCACTCAGCGATATCGCCGGGAAAATCTCTCAAAAGGTCCGAATCGGGTCGACGAGACGAACGAGGTATCATACCATCAATAATAAGATTGATTGAGTGAATGAGAATGTATGCGTAAAGCGCTATCTGTTGGGTATCTATCTAATGATTGCCACAGCAACGACGACAACTCGCAACCTCATTCAGAACAGAGCAGCGAAACTATGCCTGCCCAGAAACAACCACAGCCATATACGAAAGGTTTCTGGTCACCCGACTTGAAGCCACTGCGAGCCATATATTTCAAAGTACTCGCTTTTTCTGTATTGCTCACTATCATTACGATATGGAGCTGTCTGTCCGTCTATTGGGCAAGTGTAGCACATGAGACGGGAAGACTCGTGCAAATCAATGCGGTATTTGTGAATCGTGATATCGCGAACGGTGTGAATGGCACTCTCGGAAACACCGTGCGCGAAACGGTATTTCAATCTCTAAATCAAACGCATCATTTGGGATGGACGGAAGAACCTTCGTCTAAAGTGCCCACCAGAGCCTCCATAGAACAAGCACTAGTCGAGGATGAATGGGCGTGGGTTTTCCTTGTTGTGGGGGAAAACGCGACACAAAACCTGACAATAGCACGTGAGAATGGAATTAGCACTTACAATCCAAGAGACGCTATTACAATATACTATAATCAGGCACGTAACGAGCAGGCTTCAGGAAAGGTTTTACCGATGGCACAACAGCTAGCTCAGCAAGGCAGCCAACAAGCCAGCGCACAAATGCTGGGTCAATATCTTACACAGCAGGGTAGTAATGCTACTGCTATGGCTAATCTCGCAGCTGCACCTCAAACTGCCTCCAATGCTTTCGGAATCAGCACCGTCAATTTTAGACCGTTCAACCAGCCAGTGGCTAGCGCTGTTACTCTTGTCGGTCTCATTTACCTCACTATTTTGGCTTTTATACAGACAATGGCGTGAGTGTGGCTATTTTACTGATGTTTCAGTAGCTTACTCTGAACAGGCATTCCGCAGTGAGGCCACTATTGGAAAAGCACCTCACGCTAAGCTCTTACATTGGAATGAGGTGGGCTTTAGTTCTTAAGTAGACAACTACCAAACTCACATACTCCCTCCAAAGAATTCTCGTCCCCCTTTGTCTCTATGTCGTTATCTCACTACTCTTTGCGATGTTAAACTTGCCTTGGGATTTGCATTGGGATGCGCACTTCAGCAATACTGCAAAAGGTTTCTTCTGCACGTATGCACTGTTCCTGGTTGGAATGTCAGCGCTGGGTAGGTGTTTTTAGCTTAGCGCATAACGGAAATACTCAAAAGCTATAGGACTTGCCACTGAGGCTATTATTACGGTCATTGGACCTAAATTTATGGCGTATGCCCTCGTTGCGCTCATCATTTCAAACGTCTCCGTCGCAGCGATCCCTGTGGACTTGCAGGTGTGGTTTTTCAAATACTACCCGGCAATGTGGGTTATCTATCTTCAACTTTACTTACCTTAACCTTTCTCACAATATACAGGGTGTACTATCACATCAACAGAGGCATCCGCTGCATTATATTCAATACCAAGAACGAGCTCGGTTTGAACTTTGGTGTCTGCTTGGCTTGGGTAGTCTTTAGCGTATGCACACTTTCAGGCTTCACTGCTCTATTTAGACATTTGGATATCAAGAAGGCGAAGAAGGAGGCCGAAGAACAACAAGGAGAACACAAGGCATAAGGTTGTGCATATATATGTGCTCTATACAACTGTATATCGAAGAGGATCTTCTTTATCACTACCTTTCTAGCATCTATACACATTTTGGATTAGAAGTTTTACCGCTACCATGCTACTTTTTGTATATTTATAAATGTCTATCTATATTAATAAATACTTTAATTTATTGCAAGTTACATTAGCTAATCTCCTCCCAATCGTCTGACTGTTGTGCGGTAGACACACCGCTTCCTTGTCTCGATAATTGCGGTGTTGGTGTCGCAGAAGATGTAGCACTCTTGCGGAATTCAACAACCCCACTATTTTTTTGCTTGGATTCATCGACGACGGCAGTAATGAGCTGAGAAGGTAAGTGTGAGCCTATCTTGCGCCTGACAGTAAGTAAGTCTTGGAACACTTCGCTGTCGAATCCATAAGCATCGGCGTAGGATAAACAGAACTGTGTTCTAGACTTGTTCATCAGAGGTAGTTGGAGTGCTCTATCCTGTGAATCGAGGAATTCATTGAATGCTTTCTGGATGCCACTAACGAAACCATAATTAATATGAGTAAACTGCAGCATTTCACTTGTGTAATTTGTGTCATGCTTGCGTTTGTATGTGTCATTGATGCCTAATGCTCTCGCCAGTCTTGAATTACGCTCAGCAGTAACGCAACTGTTCTTGCATTCTAAGTAATCATCCTGTTTGCTATGTGGCGTACATTCCGATGCACCACAGCAAACTTTAGCCTTCTGCGTCCCGCATTTGCAGGTGACCGTGACGGCAGCCTGACATGAAACTGACTCGTCGCAAGGAGATGTACCGTGGCATGTGGATGTATCGATATGTGCACAGATTGACCTTAATCTTCCACAAACACTTTGACATTTCTCCAATCCGCTCCTGCATTCACCTGTATGGCACGGCTTTTTGCATTTGTGGCCACAGTCCAACACCTTATCGCAGACCCGTCCGCATCTCACCGTCTCCTGGGAGCAACGAACATTAGGGATTTTAGATCTACCGCATTGGCACGTGCGGGTGGTAAGGAATGGACATGGGGGACAACCCACATCATCGCCGTGGCAGGTATGCGCTGGACGTGGATGACCGCAGGATGAAGGAGGTCTATTGCAAGGATAAGAACAATGCACTTGCATACCACATGGTATTGGTGGTTCCAGTGTAGTACTACCGCATGAGCACGTAAGTTCGTCAAACGAGGCATTCAAACACGGTCCGCATTTCCCTTTGTGATCTGGCTCCATGCATTTATGTCTTCCGCATGACAGAGTCTTGCCGCAGATGATCTCACATGTGTGCCACATCTGCATCACTTCATCGGGGACTGCCACGTGAGAATCCAGAACTGCTTTGCGTTTTCCACGTCTGTCTTCAAATTCACGAAGTGGGCAGCACCGTTTGAGACACTCGTGCTTGCCGCACAGACGGAGTGAGTGACAGACACGCTCACAGAGTACTTGGTCACCTTCATGTTGCACTTCGTGACACTTGCGTGTTACTTTTGACGCACCACAGCGACAGATTGTCGTCATATCTACTTGGCATGGCGGACAATCTCCAGTGTGACATTGTCTAAACTTATGTTAGATAAGTATTGAAATTTTAAGGAACTCACGCTTTACACGCATGGTTGCAAGTTCTTTGCTGCTTTCCGCACATTCTGCCACATGAAGCTATGGATTCTTGACAACTCTTCCTGGCACCGTCTGGCAGATCCTTTAGCGGGTGCTTTCCGCATGGACAGTGCGTGATGACTGAGGGAGACAATGGACAGGTGAGAGATTGACGAGATGGTGGGTGACATAGCTAAGAAATAGTCAGAAAGGCGAAAGACTATAAAGCTTTATGAAATTCTCACCTGCTGACACTGGTGGACGTTGCAATCATAAAACTCTCCACAAACATTCGAGCACTCCCACAATGCAATGTAGAACTCGTCCTTGCTGTAACACGACTGTTTGCCAAGATATCCACGGGTACCGCAAGGCTTTACAGAGCTCTCCTTGCCGCAGTAGCACTTGCTCTTTTCTACCTCGAGACACGGCGAGCAAGGACCAGGATGGCAAGGTGCTTTACAGCTATGTTGACCGCAATCAAGGGCCTTTCCACATACATTCGCACATGACATAGCAAGAACTTTACCGCTTTCAGGATTTCTTGTCGCATAAGAACACTTGATTGGTGTAGAAGTCTTGTTGCAGTGACATTTCACGTAAATTGGAGTCTGGCAGTCCATACAGGGACCAGGATGACAAGGAAGTGGACAAGGATGCTTGCAGTGCAGTCTTCTCTGGGAACAAGATTGACCGCATGAGTGAGGGACTGCCAATTTTCCCGGTTTTGGGTCGCGCTGTCTTCTGCAGAAACAGCGATATTCGCGAGGTATTTTTGTAGACTTGGTTTGGCATCCTGGACATCTCCAGTGCTTTGCCTCGCCTTCTTTGAACGGTTGGTTGTAAGACGCCCTTGCCCATTCCGATATACATTTCAAGTGGTAGACGTTGAAGCAAGTATTGCACGAGTGTGTTTTCTGATTGAATTCCGTCAGTTACGAGTTGGAGAGTAGGCGCACAACTCACATCGTATGTCTTTACAACCTCGAAGCAAATCAAGCACTCCACCTTCCCGGTTTTCAATTCGCGTTCTAGGCGTGTGCGAAGATCCTCTTCACCGGTTGTTTCTACGATTGGGATTGGCAGTGGCGATTGAGATTCCGAGTTGAACTGCGTGAGCGAGCCGTTAAAGCGACGATTTGGCTTTGAATTGCGCGTCTGCTTGGATTTATCTGGCTGATTGGAGTTTGTGCTCGTCTCACCGTTTGTCGGTGGCGTTGTTTGCGTTGCTTGCGTTTCTTGCGCTGTTTGTTTAGTAATATGAGCCTTTTGATTGCCACGATTTCTGCCTCCTCTACCGCGACCTCTTCTGCCTCTTGAAGATGCCTGCGGGCGGCTGCTATCGCTGTTTTGTGGTATATCCATCGCAGAGATGGTGGACGAAGGAGGGAGAGAGTGAAAGAGATAAATAGTTCCAAAGATCCAGAGAAAAGGAAACTGTGTGCATAAAGCGGGCGCTGAAGGTCTTATAAGTCTTTGTTTGCTGTTTTCTCAGTTTGACAGTTTGATGGACTGGATTTGTGTATACGCCATGGCTAGTACGTGCAGGTATAAAATCATGAAATTTACACGTAATGTTTTGGCTTTCATTCTTCGATCACCACTCCACACCTTCTTACAAACAGTCATGGCTTCCGTAGCAGAAGCAACGTATAGAAAGCGCCTCGAGAAGAAAGAAGAAGCGGTGAAATCGGAGTGCAAACTCAGTGGAGATCCTCCGCCATCTCCTCCACTTTTACAACGTGTATTAGATGCTCTGCGACCATTCCTTATTATAGCAATGATGATTATCAAGGGATTTCCAGCAGCTATCTTCTTCCAAATGACCCATCCATCTATCCACCTCTTTAATCCATTCAGATGGATCAGATTGGTACAGGAATGTGGTTTCGCCAAGATCTTAGCATTCGGGGATGTGATATGGCGTGGATACAAGCAGCCACTGGTAGAGCAAGCGAGTGGTAAAGTTCTTGAAATAGGCGCTGGTACCGGCGAGAATTTGAAATATTACAAGAATGATAACGTGAGCATGACGTGTGTCTTTCTAACCCTGCCGGCTTACAAACAAAGATTGAGACACTCTACGCACTCGAACCTGAGCAAGCATTGAGTAAAATTCTAGCTGAAAATATCGTCAAGAACGGTTTCGCTGATAAGTCACTCCTCATTCCCGTTGGAATCGACGACAGGAACAAGTTGAGCACTTACGGTGTTGCTGAGAATACCTTCGATACCATCGTCTTAGTGCAGGTCTGCTGCTCACTTCCAAACGCATCGGCTCATTTCAAATACCTCCAATCTTTACTCAAACCTGGTGGTAAATTGATCATGTTCGAGCACGTCGCATCTGCAGACCCTATTACGCGTCTTCTTCAAGACCTGTACACCTTTGCTTTCTGGAAAAGAGCAGCTCTTGGTTGTGAGGTAGGCCTTATAATTACTAATAACGAAAACATTCTGACAACGCCTAGCTCAATCGCCCATCTGGATTGTGGATGAAAGAAATCGGAGGCTGGGATAAAGTCAGTCTGCTCAGACCAGAAATTGAAACGTCTGGAAGTATCCTTCCACACGACATAGGCGTATTCGTTAAGGCATCTTATGCAAGCATGGCACACAACTAATAAGGATATTAGCTAAATGCATATGCTGTAGTACAAAATAATACACGACCCTTTTTATGATTATCTCCTAAATTCATTCAATTAGTCTCATTATCATGCTTCTCCTCTAGTCCCTCAATGGCACCACTATCGCTGTCGCCCTCCTGCGCCTCCTCTTCCTCTTTCGCAGCTCTCTCTTTGAGCTTCTTGATGAGCTGCTTGGGTTTGTTGAAAATGCCACCAGTCGCTGCACCACATGCATAACACTTAGGTGTTTTCTGAAAACGCTTCAACGCCGCGCTTTTTTCAAAGTAGTGTCCACATTTAGTTACGACGGGATCGACGAAAGGCTCACGCGTAATCAGGCATGCAAATGGCATGTCCTCGTCTTCGCTTTCGTCACTATCATCTTCAAAAGCAGCAGCACCAGATTTTTGCGCCTGCATCTTATTCCAAGCCTGGTCAAGTTGCCAACCAGCCATGTAATCCGAACGATCGTGGAGGAACTAAAAAGTGTCAGCTTCATAAATCCAGTATAATACACAACGCACCTTGCAAGTATCACCAAATCCACACCATCCCGTCTCTTTGTAGTCCTTGCATACATCTGGTTGGAAGTCGGTGATAGTGATCTGACGAATGTTGGTAGGTGCGCGAACAGGCCCAGCCTTAAACTTATCAGACTGTGCGCTATCAGGCTTTTTCTTGATATGGGAGGTGTAAGATTGGAGACCTTTGTAGAGACCGTCGTCTTCCAAATCATTAGCGTCGACTTCATCGCCCTCTTTGTATTTCTTCAACTGAGGGCCATCAATAGTTTCAGCGTCTGTATCGACGACTGCTGTATTTCTATTCATAGTGTTGTCCGAGGAATTGGTGGCAGACCAGGCAACATCTACAACACCGCCGCCACTCTCATCGTCTTCAACATGAGAGACATCTATATTTCGCTTTCTTGCTGCTCCTTGCTTATGCGATTCAGCTTTGGCTTGTGTAACCGATCTGCGATCCTTAACCGTAGCCACTGATGACTTCTCCACTTCCTCTGAGCTCTCCTTTGGTGGGCTCTTTTGCCGCAGTCCTGTTGGCCTTCCCTTGCGCGATGGCTTCTTGAAAGTGACTGCGTCTGTCATATCGATGTTGGAAGAAGGCGTCGAAAGATCTAAACACTCATAATTTAGATATCAATAGCAATTACTCAATTATTACAATAGCTCTGCCTACCGCAGATCATTTTCGTCGCGTGTATATGCAATCAGTGACTCCTCATCGTCATCGTCATTCTTGTCGATCGTCGAAGTGTCGTCTGAAGTATCTTGTAACTCCTTGTCTTTGTCTTTGTATTTAGGCTGAGGAGTGCTTGCAGCGCTATTAATCTTGTGGTCCTCGTAAGCCTCTTCAAAACGCTGCTCCTCTTGCTGCTGTTGGTCGTGCGCAAGATACCCTTCGTAACCCTCTTCATACTCCACTTCCTCCTCAGGCTTGAACATGTTGTGCAACGTCATATCATCCTTTTTCCTCCTCACTCTCTCAATCTCTCCAAATCCTCCAGTCCTCTTAAGGCTCTTCTTGTCAACGAAATCGACCAACTCGTTTGCAAATTCAGCATCTCGTCCACTCTGTTTAGCAGCCTCGATTTCCTTCTCGCGTTGGCGCTCGGCTGCCTCGATGGCCTTTAGACGTTTCTCAGGATCGTTCTGGCGATTCCTTATTTCAAGCAGCACAGTATCGAGACTCTGCGTCGGGTCACTCGACGTCTCTATCTCTGGTACTACTCGCTTGGCAGGTTGTGCAGAGCGGATAGTGGCAACTTGTTCGACTTGCTGAAACACAGTCAACGACGCTGCATGATCGTCTTTCAAGTCCGCCAGCAGCTTTTCTTGATGATTCAGGAATCCCTGCTCGTCGACTATATTCTGCAACTCTTCCGCCCACGTTTTCTTCCACATTGGTTTCACAGTCTCGACCTGTTTGAAAATGTGAGTAAGATGGACAAACAATTATCATGCGATGCCCACCTGTTGGTCAAGCGCCTCCAATTCATCTCTAATTTTCTCAAAGTCATTCTTAAGATTCTTGAGAATATTTGGACGTGGTTTTGTACGTCTCGCAATTACATCATGTTTGAGGTCATCCACTGTATCCTGAATCTCTTCCATACGTGTCAAAACATCCTGCGAACGTCCATCCAGTGAAGCTTTGCCGACGTCTATGTATGCCCTCGCTCCTCCTACTTCCGTCTTGGCAAGCTCTCTGACTTTGCTAGTCGATGCTCTAAGTTCGTTGATCTGGTCTTTTGTTTCATTCATAAAGTCAACATAGATTTGCTTGGTCACTCCAAGATCCCTTCGCACTGCCTGTACATTATCGAATTGCACCTGAAGATCTCGAATCTTTTTCATCACCTCTGTAGATGGAGTTTCGACGCGTAGCTGTTGTGCTGACTTTTCGTCCGCACTTTGTGGCTGTAAAGCTTCAGCAACTGCTTTGAATTGCTTGTCGGATGGACGCTGATTCGAAGAAGGCATAGTTGGCAAGCCCAACCCGACACCGTTAGTACTCGCATTAGTATTAGCGATAGCATTATCATTAGCACCAACAGGTGGTGGAGGAGCTGTTAGCGATGAGAAACGACGCGTGTTCGCAGACAGTGCATTCTTCAAATCCTTCAGCTCCTGCGATACGGTCGTGATTGACAAATCAAAATGCTGTTTGACCTGATCGAGTGGTTCAATGTTGAGACTCAAGACACTGCTCTCAATCACATCAGCGACATTCTCCAGCTCGTAATCTACGTTAGCTTTTGGATCGCGCAGATAGATCAACGGAAAGTCCTCTAATCCTGAAGAATAAGCAAATCTATCGATAAACATCATTCTCAAACCAGCCAGTGTGAGTGTCGACTTATCCTCAATTATTGTCTTCTTTGTCTGGTGTCCAATAGTGAGATAGACGCTAATTGGCGATTCATCTAAACTGCCATTGTCATCCCCTTCATCTTTTTCAGATACACGTGAAGGCTGGTAGTGCGATTCGACTAAAGATGACTGTGAATCACTATCTCTACTCACTTGACGCTTTGCCGAGTCGGGTATCGGTGGAAGAGGAGGTGCGTTGTCGGGTATAAATGGCACACCACTCCCTCTGATACTTGAAAGTCGTCTGCTTGATTTGCGCTCAGTGCCGCTTTGTGGGTTAGTTGGTATAGGTGTCGCAAGTGACGACATGCCTCCTGATACTGAAGCTGAGGAGGTCATCTTCCCCATCGTATATGACGAAAATCGCTTGCTGGCTCGGCGTTCGAGCGGATCCTGTCTCTTGAGCTCCGCGAGGGGGTTGTTAATCTGAGGTGAGTCCTTTGCAATAGGAGACGTCTGCTCTGGTTCTGGAAGGTTGATCGTAGGTGGTGGTGGTGCAGGTGCAGGTGATGGTGCCGGTGGGGGTGTCTGTTTCATAATCTGTGGTGGTGGTTGAGTTTTCTTAGCAGGCTGAGATGGTTGATAGGTGTGAGAGGGGTGCTGAGGAGGTGGCTGAGACTGTGGCTGTGGCGGTGGTATCATTGGCTGAGGTGGCGGGGAGACTAGATTACGGGATGACGTCGTTGAGGAAGACGGACTAAACTCGTCACCTCTAGGAGAAGGTCTAGGGGATGTCATCTGTGCTTGACGACGAGCAGCTAGCTCAGAGAGTACAGAGTCCCTCGAAGAAGAAGCATGGGATGCGCGTGACAGTCTTGAATTCTCATGTTTTCGCTTCTCCTCAGCGAGATGTCTTCTCCATTGAGCCTGTTTATCTTTCAAACCTTGCAGAAGATTGATAATGATAGTTCGAATAGGAGGAAGAAAACGATCTAAAACAGCGGGGGAAGCATTCTCGCTCAACGCGCTCTCTAAATGACGCCGTAGCTGATCGGGGATGTTGATAAGATCAGACATATCAATCTTGACGCTGCCAAAAGCAGCAACGGCTGCATTGAAATCATTTCCCAATTTCACGTAAACATCGCTAACACCGTTTTCAGACATACGCCCTTGAGCCCAAAGATTGAGAGCTTCGAGGAGTTGCTTTGTAGCCACGAGTAAACGCGTTACAGAAGATTCCATGTGAATTACCTAGTATTATAATATTAAGATCTTATATGCGTAATAGAGATATCTCACTCACTGCTGGAGATTTGGTCTTACCGCCAGAAGAAGTACGCGCAGGCTTGTTAGGAGATGGCGGCTGAGCGTGCGAATCTGAGTAATTTCTATTGCTGCCCGATTCGCTGCTCCTAAATTGCTGCATTTTTAAACGTCGTGGTCGTTAGAACGATCCTTGTACCGGAGCAACGATGGACGACGACGATGAATTCCTGTGAATTAAATTTCAATTAAATAATCTAATCTCACAAATAAAAACAGCTACGGAGATAACGAGGATCAACAAGAGGCTCAACAGGCTCCACCAACCAGCCTCAGTCTGGCAGAACCACCAACAGAAGTTATTTCGACTACGCACAACGAAATAAACAAAGTTGAAGGAATTGACGTGAGAAATGACACGGCAAATGCTTCAAACGGTTCAAACGGCTCAAACGAAGATGACGATCAAGATTATTCAGATTCTGAGTCTGTGAGTTGATGTTTAGTACATAATTCCACTACTCATGCTTTTTAAGGACGTTGAAATCATAATGGATACGCCAAATACTTCAAAATCTATTGACTTTAGGTGAGTGTCTTTGGTCTGCTCGTTCACGCGCTCACAACGGGGAAGACCACAAAGAAACTCCTTAGGCAGAACTCCAAGTCAACCTTCATTGCCAAAACCAAACATCACTACAGAGTATATACCACAAGAAAGGCCTTCTGCTGTAACTTCAACTCCACCAGTTAAGGCACCCTCACATACTCCGGTACCTCAGCCACCAACTGTTGTTGACAACACTATCGCTCTTCCTTCAGCTGCAAATGTCGCAGGTACAGGCACAACCCAAAGTACAGATGCTCCTGAAAGGTCTTTAGCTCCTACTTTAGCGCAGAAAAGCGACGCAAATGACTTCTTTTTGAAGCGTGCTCAAGCTATGGCAGAAGATCCTGTGGATAAGCCGACTACGCCATCGACTGCTCCTCAATTAGACTTGGATCCTTCTACATTAGATGCCGCGACTGTATATGATATAGATGTTGATGCTGTTGATGTCGAAAAACCTTGGAGGCAGCCTGGCGCTGATATTACCGACTGGTTCAACTACGGCTTTGATGAGTACAAATGGCTCGAATACGCTACACGGAAGAGGAGCATTGGTGGTGCGACCGAGAAGATGAATCCATTTGCTGTGAGTGTATAGGAATATCCCTGATTCATCCACTAACTATCCCTACAGCCGCACGCTACAACACCAGATGAACTCATGAATGTATTACCACCAGAGTTACAGGCAATGATGCATATGATGCCACCTATACCCCAGATGGGCGGCATGTCTGGTATGCCTGGTATGGGTATGGGTGGTATGTCTAATTTACCTCCTGCTATGCCAGGTGGAGGTATGCCCGGTATGCCTGGTATGCCCCAAATGCCTGGTATGCCTGGTATGCCGCCGGGTTTTGATATGTCCATGATGATGGGCATGCCAATGGGTATGCAGATGAATCAGACAAACTCCAATGAAGTCAAGGAAGAAGATTATGGTGAAGCAAAAGCTGATGACAATCAACAGCGTTTCAAGAATTACAACGATAAGGATAAAGGTGGTGCGATCAACTCAGCTTTGGACTACAGCGATCAACCTCTCGTTCATGATGACTCCACCAATGGTGCAAGAAGCACTTCGAAAGATAGTGATAGAGACTACAACGATAGGAGAGAACGGAGCAGAGAGAAAGATACGGACTTGCATGATAAGGAGAGACAGCCATCTCCATCGACGCGTTTCAAAGAAAAAGAGCGCGAAAGAGGCAACTTCCGGGAAAGAGAGAGAGAAAACAAAGAGAGAGAGAGAGAGAGGGAAAGGGAGAGAGCCAGAGAAAGAGCCAAGGAAAAAGAGTGGGAAAGAGAAAGAGAGAGAGAGAAAGCAAAAGGTGGAGGAAGATCGTACAACAGATCACGTTCACCACCTCCAAGATTTCCAAAGGAAAGGGAAAGAGATAGAGACAGGAAAGATTTCAAAGATTCTCGAGCTAGAGAACGTGATCGCGATCGTGAAAGAGATCGACGTGAAAGAGATCGCCGTGATTCTGACAGATCGTCACGGAGGCCTGGCAGATAAGCGTAAAGTAAAATTCAATGTATAAAGTATTATTTTGTCTTTTCTTGATCAATTTTGCATTTATTTATTTCCGTTCTGAGTCTTCGCTGTCGGCTTACGTGAACGTTCGTTCGTTTCAATCAAAGGAGAAGAGCGATTAGATTTTGTTTGAGTGGGAGAGAGAAAGTCATATGGCAAGGCTTTGATGACCTGATTCTTCGAACTTCCAGCTTTATCGTTCTGGCACTGCCTCGCAATCGTTGGGATTTTCCTTCGTTTAAAATGTCGTTCGATTAAGGGCTTTAAAGAGGTGGCGAGGCAGTGCTACTGATCTAATGATATTATACGTATACTTGCACTGTTCACATTTTCAAGATGGCTTAGAATCCTCTCCTGATCATTCTTCGTCTCTGCGTCATCATGCCACATCATTTTTGAGATTTGTGGGATTTGAAGTCAAATACACTCTTTCATAGCTAATTGAAGTGAACACATAGAAGCGATGAAATCACTTCATCTCCAATCCATTTACTTGCGCTATACAAGCATCGTTTGGACATTGTGACAACGCTTGTTATATCACAGTCTCGGATAATATACTGCTATAGCTAGCAAGTAAATGATCTTCTATACCACTTTACTTGTTGTTTAGAGTGTTCTGCTGTCAATTGCGCAACGTTGCTCACTCTTATCAAAAGACTTCATTTCAAGATTTATCTTCTAGTAAGATGTTGCTCCTTAATTAGCATATGTTTTCCTTGAAGCTGAAACTTTAACTGAAGTCTTTTGATAACGACATGAGTAATGTTTTTTCTTTACTTGCGGCTAACATAACAAATATCACTCTTGAGTATAGACTTAAGTGCATTGCTGTCGTCGTAATCATTTCACACTCCCGATTGAAGGCGTGCTTATCAATGCCTTCGCGACCTTCAAGCTAGCCAAGCTAAATATTAATGGACCTTAGCTTAACCTCCTTAACTCAAATCTTGCAAATCTCCACTGCTTAAAACGCTCGCGCTTGCTTTTTGCAGTCTACTTTACACGCTCCTTACTACAACCACACACTCATTACATCACAAAACATGTTCAGAAGCAAATTAAGATTATTTAAGAAATTTAGTGAGTATCATTAACTAAAACAAACTACACGCTAACTTTATTGCAGCTTCAAGACTCTTCCATCGCTCTACACCAACCGCTGCTGTTGATGAGTTGCTACTCCCGCCATCCAATTCCCTCCATTCAATCTACATGGGTAGCTCATCGCTGAAGGAGGCTTTCTCTGAAGCATTGCAAGATCCTGAGATTGTTCTTACGCGCTTCAAGCCATCTCAAAACGCCAAAACCGTCGTCCAATTGAGCGATCTTGTTGAAGGGCAATCAGTTCGTGTTGAAAATTGGTAAACAATCCATCTTCACACATCTGTTTTAGTGATAGGTTTGAAGATTTTATCTTTTACGGATTCAAAATAGCCTACACTTTCTTGTTCACTCCATTCCCAAACTTCCTTTATAAGTTATTTTTGTCATTAAAAAAGTTTTCGCAATATAAAGCATAAATTCCATTTATCGTTTCAAACAAAAAGAAATATTTACGGATTTGCCATCTTCAAGGCGCTTTTCCTAACTCTTGAACCACGGTTCAGTGACGATCTTGCGCTGTTAGTCTTGATGCTGTTTTCACGACTGGGGTGACTAGCGAACGACGAGGTATTGCTGTCTTTTTCCTCTTCATCATCTACCGGCCTATCGGCCTCTATTGCAGCAGTCACAAAAGCAGGTGGTGCATCGTCATCTTCATCGTTTAAAACGGTTTCATTTTGTGGCTGTGGAGGTGGTGGTGTTGGTGATTTTCTTGCAGGAGGATCTTCATGTTCGACAAAGGTATATGTTTCTACTGATGATATTCTGGCTTCGCCTTTCTCACGAGGTGCATCTTCCTGCCATGACACCGTATCCACAGTCGTTTCTTCTCCAGTAATATTGTCTCCTTCGTCACCCTTCTTATCGGAGTCTGCAGATGCGTACGAAGTGCGGTTGTCACCATGACCATCAATGATATCAAGTATATCATCGTCGTTTTGATTGGCGTGTTCGTGCACTTGCGCATCACCAGGCTGATCAACTGGTTTGTCTTGCGCAGCCTCCTTAACATTTACAGGCGGTGCTCTAGCATCTAAAGTTGGCGATGCTTGTTTGCTGTCGTTGACGATAGACGTAGAACGAGACCTCAAACCTGTGCTACCAAATTCCAGCTGGTCGAGTAATTCATCAGGCGTTAAATGTCTGCTACTTCCCGCACTTGATATTGATGAGTTGAATGTAGACCTAAGCACTCTCTCATCGATGGGCTTCGTGCGTCTCCTTTGTAATGTCTTGGATGGACTTAATTCCGTACTTTTCCTTTCAATAAGTGGGTTAAGGATATCTTCTGGACGCTTGATTAAGTCGATGAGTAAATTGGTCATATGTCTTTCTTGAATAGTGAGATCACTCTCTACGCGTGGTCTGAAAATAGCTTTAATTGAAAGTTAGCAAATAGCTTACACATCGAACCCCACTCACATCTTACAAGTAACAGCGAGAGCTTTTGCAAGTATACGTCATCTTCATTCTCTGAACCAGTCGAAGTAGAGGTGAAGAGATTATGTATGTGATTGCAGATCTCATAGAGTGTAGTGAGATTGAGGAGAGGCACTCTCTCCAACACCTTTTGTACATCTTGTGCAGGAATCTCATATCCCTTTTCGATGTATTTTGGATATACTGCCCTAGCATCTTCCCATGTGTGCAAACCTCCAAGTGGCGGGTTGAGTTCGAGTGCGAATAGTCTAACACAAGCAGCAATTATGGGAGCATGGACGTCATTTAAAACGCCTTCTAATGCCCCAATGATTTTAACACTAGGTACGTTACTTAGTGCCAAACTGACATTGTGACATGTGACTAATGGGATATCAAGAATCCAGACCTTGCGCACATTCTCAGGTTCTTTAATATCTGCATACTTTCTATCAAGAGCTTTGAGTAGCAGCTTGAGCGCAAGTGGTGTTGATCTCTGACCTGGAGTGACGGTATCAGGACATGGAATCAAGTGGGTGAGATCAGGACCGAAGAGTGTAAAATTTGAGTCTTTCAGTGTTGTAGGTAGAGGTGATTGATAGATAGATGGTCTGAATGGTCCTGTTTTATACTGATCGATGAAAGCCTGCAAATCAGTCGATGGATTGAATGTCTGAACCGCTAATGCAGAAGCGTTAACAGCTTCTTGTATCCCACTAAGGTATTTGTTCTGCGATTGGTTAAACCTTGCAAGCGCGTGTTTGGTAAGCGCCAGACGACTGTGTTCAAGTGCTTGCAATGCCTTCAACGTATCCTCAATCACTTCCTCTACATACATCCTCTGTCTGTGTAGTTGAGTGCGCGACTGCATGTAGCTAGAGAGTGTCTCATCCAGAACACCCTTGAGTTGCTGCTGTTGGGTAGTAAATTGGTAGTAACTATCAAGATCGAATGCGCTTTCAAAGGCATTTTTAAGGGTATTTACGTTTCTGATAGGTAGATTTGTACAGAGATCTAATGTCTGCTCATCGCTAAGCTTCATTTTGAGTCTGAACCAGTTGAAAATGTCTCTGCCCAAAAAGCAATCATGACGTTCACCGAGGAGTGGGACCTTGATGCTGATGGAGGGAAGCTGCTCAATGCAGTCTTGCAGCTCATTACCAGAGTCATTGAATTGAATCAATTGAGTTTTGTAATCCGCGTGAAGCTGTGCAGTTGATTCATTGAGCTTTTCAAGGGGAATAAGGTAGCTATCAACGAGAGACTCTTTGGACTTTATCTTTGAGCGTAGATTTGCTGTCTCTCTGTTGAGTACGCTGATAATATGTTGGAGCTCATCGCTGTAGCTCTTCTTACACTCCAATTCAAGGCTGCTATTGAGGGTACTGAAGCTTATTGCGAGTGTAAAATCATTCGCTGATTCCAAAGTGCGTCTTGCTTTCAACGCTTTGATTGCATCACTTTCGGCTTTAAGTTGAGCTTCGAAATATTGCGAAAGGTGCGTGTTCTCTTGGATGTTCTTGTAAAGCAAATCGAACAGGCTGTCTAGACGCAGGTCATCAGTCCATAGCGAATTGCTGAAACTGCGGGGAAGTTGAATTGTAGACATCATCACAGCATCTAATTAAGATCATTGTATCGCAATATTACTACAAAAAGTGTCTTGAAAGTTTCTTATAATCATTGGCGCATGTTTCCCTTTTGTGCTCTACATATACTCAATCAAAGCTCCTATCACTATCTTCCCAGGTTTCGACGATGTATAGGTGTATTCTATATTGTTTTGAAGTTGTTTCAACAATGGTCTTTCTAAATATATCTCTGGAGCGACTCTTCCATCGTGCGCTTCTGTTGTGTTTCACCATTACGCGAAGACTCGTTAGACTGATAAAAGCCACGCGTGAGGGATTCATCAGTGAGCCAATCATCCTTGATTATAGTCAAATCTCGAATGAATATCTTCGTCGTCTCGACAATCTGTAAGCAAAGTCAGTTAGTGTGCTATGCTTTGTTTCGTCTCTCTTCTCACCTCATGGAATATTACCCACTTTGTAGGAGGTGAGCGCGTGAACATAACACTACTAGGATGAGCATGAACAATCTGGTTACCGTTGATTAGTGTGTATGTACCGTCAGGGTTGAATTTAGCTGCATTCTTGAAATAACCAGACACCAAGCATCTTCTGATGGTTTCCTGATCCACTCCAGCACTAAGTCTAGGATTGAGTCCGTATTTCTCGAGATACTTGGAAAGTTGTGAGCGTATAGATATAGCTCTACTCAGAGCTTTGAAATTCAGTCTATGCTGACCCGCCCAGCGACTACTACTTCGGCCTATGGTTACAAATGAGTTGTAAGCGTTCAGAAGTGTGAGGTGGTCGCCTTCTTCCGCGACAAATTTTCTTCTCTCCAATTCACCCTGACCGTCATGCGTGAGGAAGGGGTTTTGTACAGACGTCATGGCTGCTATTGTAAGTATCTCCTCGCTACATTCAAACGACACGCTATTGAGAAGCTGGTTGTGCGTGTCATTAGGATATCTCTAGTGATCTGATACTACCCACAATCTTTGCCATCATTGGATCTAGAGGCATTTCAGCCATTTTCATACCAAGATCCAAAGTAAGATGACCATTATCATCTAGAGCTCCCAGTGCGTAAAGCAGTTCCAACGCTCTAACAAGCATTGATGAAGGTGGGCTATCCAAATAGTCGAACCGCAAGACATTGCTAATCCCAAGTGCTTTGAGCTGCAGAATAAATCCAGTCAGGTCTGTTCGACATATCTCAGGTAATGTTGATTCATCCAGCCTCGAAAGAGCACTTTCAGGAAAGAGTCTGAAAGTTTTACCTGGAGCTGTACGACCCGATCGACCAGCTCGTTGTGTAAGGGATGCTTTTGAGCATGGTGCGACAGAAAGTATATCTATACCAGTCGAAGGGTTGAAATGGCGCAGCTGTAATTATTTGATAAGCTTTTCAATTTAAGTACCTTCACATACCTTGACAAAGCCTGAGTCAACTACATAGCGAATACCATCAATCGTAACGCTGGCTTCGGCAATATTCGTTGAGAAGACAACCTTGCGTACGCCCATCGGAGGCCGCTGGAAGATTTTCAATTGCTCTTCGCTTGTAAGCCCGGCATGAAGAGGTAGTCCCATCAGTGACTCAGGCTGCCGCCGACTTCCTATCATTGTATCACTGAGCATTTGTAATGCTCGATCTATTTCATCTCGGCCTGTTAGAAAAACAAGAATATCACCACCGCCTTGCTATGTTATGTTAGTTGGGTAAGAAAATAAGTGGTTATAGTCACCCACGGTCTCGTGTATACCAACAACTGTGTCAATTGCAGCCCTCACATAATCTGAAACAGGCTCCTTGGTATAGGATACCTCAACAGGATGCATACGACCGTCCAAGGTTATAGCACCACATTTTTCAGGCCCACCAAAGAAATCGACAAACTTCTCTGCTGTGAGGGTTGCTGAGGAGACGACAATGCGAAGGTCTGGTCTGTGTTTTAAGATTCTTGACAAGTGAGATAGAGAAATGGACGTATAACGCGACTCACTTCTTCAAGACACCTAAAAGAATGTCTGTGTATGAATTCCGCTCATGTGCTTCATCGATCTAGTGTTTCAGTTAGGATAGTTGGGTTGAATAACTGATATCAAACGCACCATGATGACCGAATACTTTGATAAAAGCGGATCCATCAAAGTCTCTCTGAAGAGCATACCGTCTGTCAAGTATTTCAATCTCGTCCGGGTTGAAGAACTGAGATCTTCGAAACGAATGGTGTATCCAACCTGTATTATATACTGATGAGCTTAGGTAGATCAAAGCAGTATAATAGCCCACCTCATCGCCCAAGACTGAGCCAACTTCCTGTGCTACTCTCTGAGCTATGCTAGTTGCTGCTACACGGCGTGGTTGTGTGCACGCAATAGTATAAGGGGGAGCAGCCCAGCCTTCTTCCATCACATACTGCGGCAATTCTGGGTATTATTTGAGATTCTGTATGCGATAATGGTACGGGACATACGAGTGGTCTTTCCACACCCAGTCTGGCCTACTACAATTGTGACTTGGTATCTCTCGAGCATCCACAGCAGCTTCTGGCCTTAGAAGTGTGAGATAGTATGTTCCAAGTGATGGCATGAACCCACGATGCTTGTGTATTGGAAGAGAATCTCGCTGGCTCTGTATGCCACCGTCGTCATTGTGTAATGAGGAGATAGTCAATGATCCTTCAGCTTCGTTGGCTCGATCAAGTGAGCTGCCTTGTTGATGTCAGATAATCCATTGGGACATTGGGGATGCGCACCTGGTGCCGTCTTTCCAGGCTTCCAGAAAGAGGACATGGTGGTTTGTGAAGGAGAGGGATATGAATTTAAAATGCTATTCATGCTGTCTACTAGTTAAATACATAAATCACCGCTTCCCTTCTAAGAACAGTACGTGCTGCTTGACTGAGTTGGAGTGATATGAGATATATTCAAATCCCCAGAACCAACCACTTACCCTTTGGATCGTACTTGATAGCGCTCAGCTTCTCCGAGAGACGAGGTCTTTGGCACTGGTAGAAGAATCCAGTCTTTGCGCTTGATACCATTCTAACAAGTATTGTCCTGAGTGGAATATTAGTCGACTATATAAATTCAGCGCTTTATTTTACCTTGCTTTGTTTTTAGCCATGATTGTTCAACTTGAAGTCATTTTCAACTGAGAAGCCTCTTACGGTGCAACAATGACCACAGAATCAGTCGCTGCCGGTACCTCTGCTGGCGCAACAGTACAAACGCACGTTCTCGAGGAGATTAAGCGGCCTTCCCCTTGGAGACATCTTGTCGCTGGCGGGTAAGTCCCACTGTCTTCTCCCGGATATTTTAACAAAGAGAAAAGTCTCGGTGGTATGACCGGCGCTATCATAACCTCTCCATTCGATGTTGTCAAGACGAGGCTCCAGTCAGACATCTATCACAAGTCTATCGCTGCCAAACACAGCCAAGCCAACGTCAAAGGCGTGAGGGGGACTCTCTACCACTTCGTAGAGACTGCTCAGCTCATGAAGTGGGTCTTTCGGCTGCTCCAGTCTGCACAGCTCACTCTCCTCTCTCCACAGAGACATCTACGTCAAAGAATCCCCGCGCGCTCTCTTCCGAGGTTTAGGTCCAACCCTTTTTGGCGTTATACCAGCAAGGTCTATCAACTTCTTCACTTATGGTAATCTCAAGCCCATCATTGCTGGCAAGTCTCGCGAAAATTGGTCTACGCATCTTATAGCAGCTGCATGTGCAGGGATTGTAACAGCAACAGCTACTAACCCAATCTGGGTAATCAAAACACGTCTCCAGCTATCGCCGCAGGTGTCAACATCGTCTAAAATTGCAAAGATGTCTGCATCAAGAGACATCATCACAGACATATTCAAAAACGAGGGTATGAGAGGTCTGTATAGGGGTCTCTCAGCGTCCTATCTTGGCGTTACTGAGAGCACACTACAATGGATTCTCTATGAAAAGCTCAAAGTTATGACTAAAGACTCCAATCTCCCTTACATGTCCACCATGGTCTCAGCAGGTCTGGCCAAGTCAACAGCAACCTTAATCACGTATCCACACGAAGTCATACGAACTAGAATGCGTCAGGCCGTTCCCGTCGGTGAGAAACCCCGCTACACAACTCTGACACGCACCCTTAAACTTGTTTGGGCCGAAGAGGGGATTGGTGCTCTCTATGGTGGCTTATCAGCTCACCTCATGCGCGTTGTACCAAATGCCGCTGCCATGTTCTTCATTTACGAACTTGTAACTTATAGATTGTAGGAATCTCATCAAAATCGCAAGACGCAAGACGCAAGATACTACCACCACACTCGCTATTTAAACATCATCATTCGACATTCACTAACATAATCCATTTTATGATGACTAGTAATCACTTCTCCAAGCTAATTTATTATCATTTTGCATTTTTGTATGGTGGTATTGTTCTGTAGCAGCTGCATGCCAGGAGCTTGACGCTTCTATTGCAATTGATAGCCTGTTTGCGCTCTGAAGTTGTCCAAATATGGTCTGTTAAATTGCAAAGGGAGTAAATAGCATTTAAAAACTGATACCCATAATGCAACGCTCTCCAATATATCAAAGCGGCCTCAACCACCCCTCTATCTCCATAATCTGATTTTTGGAAATGCACTTGGTCGAGTCAAACCACCGTTTTCAGAGTTGTGATGACAGCCAATTTTCTACGCCTGAACATTTCCTTCAAAGTGTGAAGTGAGGCGGTATTTTTTACTGGTGCTAGGTTTGATAGCTGTGGACGACTTGTGTCGTGAAGGTTTTACGCGTTTATAGAGTGGAAATAATTGAGATTTTTGGGCGCTTGTGGTCTGAATCACGTTAAAATGCTTCCTCTTATCGATAAAGCGCGTTAGATTCTTCGTGTTTAACCTGTAGCGTGCTCCAGAGCGATGTCTGATTGCTACTTCCGAACAGCCTACGGGGCATCATAGGAGGCAAAAAAATATAATTTTTGTAATTCTTGTAATTCTCATTTAGGACTATTTTTGAAGCTTTTTTATTTGGAGATCACCAAAATTCGTAAGTCAGCCATCTGAAATGAGATAGGGGTAGTAGACGGGAATTCCAAGTTGGTAGATATTGAATGGAGGGTAGATATGGGGATTTACTTCGAATTCGGAAGGTGCCACGGAAATTATAGTCTAGTTTTGCTTACTTGTTGAAATTGTCAGTATGTAACATTCCTGCGTCTGTTTTTCACTTGCTTGGTATTTGCAGGGAGACTCGAGCAGGGTTCACATTCATTGAGAATTTCATACTATCGGGTGCTATCGAAAGTATTAAACAGATTTTTTACATCGCCCTTCTACATCACAAGTGTTCTGGGGTTCCAGTGATGTAGAGTTGAGTCGCAATGTGGGTGTTTGCGGATGTAACGAGATATGATAGCCCTGATGAATTTTTCACCTAATAATATGTAGAATCAGTGTATTGATCTCTGCAGTGTCTTCACTTCAATCATAATTATATGACTGAGAGGCGGCAGCAAGAACATCCGCGTAAGTGAAATGAATCGATCAAAAAGGCAAGACAATCAAGCACGTTAAATTAAAAGAGAGGCGCTACATACGACCTTTATTACGGATTCTAATTCCTTCAGAGGCATATTTCAAGACGACCGAAGTGCACCGTCATGAAGCTAAAAATTAAGCTGTCGACAACCTCACTGTACCAACACAAACTGAAACGACTTTCATACCAATTAAACATTTATGTATGTGATAAATATGAAGAAAATTCATTATGTAAAAGAATGTAAACTAGTGAACCAGTCTAAACCAATGCAAAAAAGTGTCAATGCTAGATTCTCCGAGAGTGCTTATCCTTGGCACGCCCCTAAGAACTTTTCTTGAACAAGCCCATGAACTTGCCAAAGGCCATCTGCACCATAATAGTAGGACTGAAAAACTTGACCTTGGTCAACCAGTAAAGGCCATAGCAAAGCGCGAGATTGCTAAAGAATGTGTATAAACTGAATATACCGAAGTAGCCCCATGGCCAACCTTCACCTTGGTAGACATGTATCTGCGAAAGGAAGGAGGATGAGTCTGACATAGGACAGTATTGGCAAGCAGTGGTTGCCGCAGGGTTCGCGAGATATCCAGGTGAGGATTGCGCGAATGAGCCGGCATAGGCTTCACAAGTTTGACCAGGTGGTGGATTGAAAGTCGCCATTTCACTTTCAACACACCTGACGGTGGTGTCGTGAGTTGTAGCGCCTGCGTTACGTTAGGATTTTACTGAGTAATCAACTGCCAACACTTACCAATCATACCGTCGAGGAAGTACGTGAGAGGGTTGATGTAGTAAAGAGTGTATCTCCAGATAACTGGAATATTGCCGTATTGAATGATGATACCGTTGATCAAGTTGAGGACGACAAGGTGGAATGGCATTGAGTTGGCGACGAAATGTGGTGAAGGAGCGGAGGCACAGAGCCAAACAGCCCACCATGAAACGAAAATCATGAACTCGATAGTCATCAATAGGCACAGCGCTGGATCAGCTCCAGTTCTAATGCCACTATCAGGTGTGTAGGAGAAACCAACTGGCCAGTACCAAACAACCCAATAAACTACCGCATTCAGCAAAGCATAGGGTAATTCAGATATCAAGAACGCTGTCATCCACGCCTGCCACGAATAAATCTTTGAAGGGTTCTCTCTGGCCATAAATAAGCCCCAAGAAGTATAATATTTTGGTAATGTTGCATTGAGGATCGCTGGAGGCAACATAACGATAAGGAAAGCACTTTCGGCAAAATTAGCACTAATAGAGATAATGATTTCTTATACTTACCTGAACATGCGTTGCTGGAGTTCTTGTTGTGAATTACCGATTTTGAAGAAAGTGAAACCATTGAAGAGAGCGACGATGAATGTGACGAACAATTTCCCATATCCGTAGGCCGCATCTCTCCAGTAATTTCTCATTGAACGTTGGGTGAGTTGCCATACTTGAACCGACATTGGTTGTGAAAAAGTCCTAGTCATGGCTCTAGTCAGCTCTCTTGGTTTCTGCGACTTCTCGGTATTGATTCTGTCAACCTCCTCTCTGATAGAAGCGCAGTTCTTCGAATGGCGGTAGAGATCAGCAAAGTCAACCTTGTTTCCGTGAGCGTCACGACCATACGCGATCATCTCAATCGCATACTCAGCAACGTTCTCGTTGTCGTGACATGGGCGCGCACCGACGCTTTTGAAGTAATCGACTATCGTGTTTCCGTTGTGGCCAACCGGTCCTTGATACACTACGTTACCACCTGGAGCGAGCAAGAGGAGTCGATCGAAGAATTCGGTGAAGAGCATACTTGAAGGTTGATGAATAGTACACAGAATTGCTTGGCCAGCACGTGCAAGCTTCTCCAAGAAACGTCCGATTGAGTATGCCGATTGCGAATCAAGACCAGAAGTTGGCTCATCGAGGAAGAGAAGTACGTCTGGCTTGGCTGCCAATTCAACAGCAATAGTGACTCTCTTACGTTGCTCAACTGATAAACCTGCCTCGGGTGTACCCACAATCGCGTCTTCGAGATCTCTTAACTCAAGCAAGTCCATAATCTGTTCGACGTAATCGATGACTTCTTGACGTGGTGTTTCGCGTGGCTGTCTAAGAATTGCGGAGAATTCTATCGACTCTCTAACTGTGGCGTATGCATCGTGCAAGTCACCTTGTTGAACATAACCAGTACCTCTTTGGAATGAGTTCAGTTCAAGAGGTTTACCGTCGATAAGCATGTCACCAGAAACAACACCCATTGCCATTCTTTGAGAGAGTGTGTTGAGGAGAGTGGTTTTACCCGCACCAGATGCACCCATCAAAGCGGTGATTGTACCAGGCTTGACGAATCCGGTTATATTGTTGAGTAGCTTTCTGTCGCCACCAGGGGTAGACACAGTGTAAGAGACGTCCTTGAATGTGAAATCAGCTTCAGATGGTTTGATTGAACCTGGTGTAACTTCCGTCACAGGAGCACCACCCTTCTCATCTGTTGAGCGAGCTGTTGGTCCAGTTTCAACATCGCCAACCATAGCCTTCTCAGTTTCTTTTGCCTTAGCCTTACCCTTCTCGGTCTTAGCGAAGACGGTAACACCACCACCATTTCCTGAGAAGTCGAAAATCTCACTGAAGAGAGCAGTTGCCAATAGGTAACCAATCAGATAAGCCATAACGTAACCGAAGTTAGGCCAAACGTGCGAGAAACTATAGCCGAAAGCAGTATTGATATAGTTGTCACCAGGAATAGTCAAGCTACCGGGAACGGAGCCTTGGAAAGCGCATGTTTGGTAGGCTACTTGTGCACCTGCAATGTTTGGAACAACAGATCCTGGAGCGCATGACAAAGTCATACCGTGGAATTCGTTAGCCATGGCAGCTTCGAAAGCAAATGGAAGTGGGTTAATGTAACTGATCCACTTAAACCACTCTGGCATATCAGTACGTGGAATAACATAACCAACGAAGACAACAGCAATGTTGAGCGCACAGACTGAAAATCTGATGGCTTTAAGACATTGTTAGTATCATCGTCTGTCATTTTGACAAATACTCACCTTCATTGAACGTTGGACTAAGGGCTGCAACGGCACGGTAGAATTGAGTCAACGACATGGCAGTAATGAAGACGAAGAGGTAGTATATGAAAAATTGACCAGCTGTGTACTGAAGTGATGCCAAGAAGTAGACGATAATTGACATCAAAGTGACACACCCGAACAAAATTGGGATATCAACGATAGCTCTAGCAAAAACGACTGCTGATGGGCGATAAAAGGCAAATTCCCTTTGCCTTTGGATGATTACTCGTCCACTGACAGCATCGAAGAGCTCCGGCAATTGAAGCCAACCAATAAATAATATCGAAAAGAACAGAATACCACCGCGAGAGAATGCTCCACTAGAGCTTTGAGGTTCACCATAGAACATTGACGCGACGACGAATGAAACGACCAGAATTGTAACGAATTTAGTAACATAACCATCAAGTTGACCAATTTGTAACTGAATTTGACGAATAACGCAGTAGTAGATTTGCTCAAAGTACGAAACAGTGTATGGAGAGCTCTTAGCCATACGCCTCTTCTTTTCCTCGCGAACAGAGTCTTTGAAAATTCCCAGATCCCTATGGTCAGAGGAAAATGCTTGATCAGCAGCGGCAAGTGCTGCTTGGTAGTAGTGAGAAGATTTGTAAGCTTGTTCAAGGTCTTCAGTTGTACGAGGAGCACGGCCTTCCCAGCCTTCCTTGTATGTACGCTCGTGAAGATCAGTGATACCTGTCAGGAAATCCGCAGATGTTTGACGTGGTGGCTTGTAGAAACCAAGACTTTGGAAGTAAGCACAAGCCTCGTTGGCTGGACCATAGAAAATACAACGACCGTCATCGATCAAGCAAACCTTGTCGAAAAGTTCGTAAATACCTTCACCGGCTTGGTAGAGCGTTGCAATTGATGTACCACCAGTGATATCGGTAATGATTCTCAAACTTCTAACATAATCGACCGCGGTAGAAGCATCCAAACCACGAGTGGAGTTGTCCCAACACATGACAGAAGCACGAGTTGCGAGTGTTTCGGCAATGGAGACACGCTTACGCTCACCACCTGAGACACCTCTCACCATGTCGTTACCAACGACCGTGTTTGCGGTGTGCTCTATACCGAACATCTTGAGAAGAGCTTCAAGAACGTATTCAACAAACTGCATTCTGGCCATTCCTTGAGGTCTAACACGAGGAACTTTTTCACGCAAAGCAAATGCAAGTGTTTGAGCAACGGTGAGTGTAGGGAAGTGAATGTCTTCCTCAGTGTTCATAACAACTTCACCACGGTACTTGTGCTTGACCTCCTTAGGAGTCAATCCACCATAGTCGACATCACCGTGTACGCCGACGTAACCTCCTCTCTTGTTGGCGAGTGCTTTGAGGAATGTAGTGCAACCAGAGCCAGGCTTTCCAAGCACAAGCATCATTTCGTTGCCAAGGGCACCCGTAAAATCGTCAACGAGGTTGCGTACAGGTGGTTTTCTGCCAATTTTCAGTTGGGGGATGTAGCGGGTAACGAATTCGTAGGCGTCAGGACCAAAGGTAGACATAACAGCCTCTGGGAAGGTTTTGACAAATGTAGAGCCGCTTCCAGCACCCTTGACCTGTTATAATGTGAGAAATGATCACGGACCCATATATACTGACTCACCGTCAAATGCCTCCAGGAGACACCAAGATGTGGCTTGTGGGTTTTACCAGCATCCTGGAAACGCTCTCTAGCGCCCTTGAGTGATGCGTCAAGGAGGGTGATTTGTAAGCAAAGTGATTACATACAGTGATGAAAGCTTGCAAGTCGAACTCGTCCTCGTCTCCCTTGACGGTGGCGTCCGACACAGACTTACGCTGCTGGTCTGATGATTGTTTTGATGATTGCTTTGAATCCTGCTGTTCTTTGCTGAACTGCCGGGACAATCTTCTGAAGATCTCCTTGGAATCATCAACGTTAACTTCGTTGGGAGATCCCCAACTAGCTTCGTTGCCTTCTTTAGACATATTTGTTTGATTATGAGATGATGGTTTTGAAGAAAAAGTTGGGCGTCTTTTGTCACATCTCGCCGGGGTCCGCGAACTTAGCTAAGCAAGGTGGGCAGCCCCAGTCGACGGTTTTGGAAGGGTTCGCGGCCCTTGATGACAAATTACGCAGTCTATCCTTATCAAGTCATTACGCCCTGGCTATCTAGCTACTTAATTTATGCGAGTGTGGGACGCTTTACACGCCTTCATTCCCCTTGGTATCGCCACAGAGAAAAGCACGAAAAGATGCGCAGTGTGACAAATTCAATTGTAATGTCATGATCGTAGTAGTTGTAAGGCTTATACGCATTCATGTCCAGGTATTCCAACTTCGTGCCATTTATCGGTCAAAGTGGGGTCTTCAAAGGCGAAAATGCAGTGACCTCAGGGATTCGCCGGGCTAATGTGGCTCGCAGAAGCCAATCAAGCACACTCAATCACTTTTAGTTCTGTTAGATATCCTTTACTGACAGCGTACCTGGCATTACTAATCCCGGTGCCAATGTCAGTTCATCCTTGACATGATCTGACGCGAAGTTTGCGTGGCATGATACTAGCATCCCTGTATCTGACGGTGCCTGATTTTTTCCGTCGCTTTCGGACACTATCAGTACCTCGTACGCTCGCTTCATCGCCAAGAGCGGCACCCAGGAGATAATATGACGGATTAACTATGGAATTACAGGAGATACAAAATGAACCCTGCTGCCAAGTACACAATCTCGCTGTGCAGGTCGCAAATGGTATCTAGATCCTTGTGATTTTGCATATGCATTGGCTTGCATTAAATTCAGTGATGCTTTGCCAGATAAAGGACATTCAAAATATACATTTACTGTTTCTGTTGTGTTTTATCCGCCTTGTGTGACTTTTGAGGTGGATCGCAGGAGTAGTACGCGCCGAGAGTGGGGAAAGTAGAACAATAAGGACGTTATCGAGAGCATAGATAAATTTGAACGTGATACACTTGGTGTACGCTTGCATTCAGTTAGTCGTACATCCCAGCGAAAATGACGACGCTGAGGTTTGCGGACATGCATTGACTTATCAAAGTACACAGTTACGTACAAATTTGTAAGCATTATTTTCAGTAGCACTATTCGATTACGATCACGGCTTGTACAGTTCTCAATTAAAGTTTTTAAGCTTTCATTTCCCCCTAATGCCGTCATCGCTATGCAGCCTCTTGGAAATGCATAGAGGAAGCAACAAATCCAGGACTTTCAATAAACTATTATCCATTTAATATTTCCAGCTGCAATGGGAATATGATTGCAGGCATTCGCCCATTCCAACCGTCCTGTGTGTTATAGAAGGGCTGATTTACGACTTATGTGGAACATTTTGAATAAATAGTCTTGCCGGAAAGCAATGAAATTAATGAGAGGAGTGTACCTGGATAGAAAGAGAGAGGTGCACTCGGAAGGCACCTCGCTTGAAGTTAGCGATTTGGTTGCCATTGCTGAGTAATTCCAAATCCCCAAATATGGAGGTACGAAGAACTTTGAACGCTTCAAAAGAGTGCTCTTTTGCATTGGTTTGAAAGGTTAAGCTTCCATATACCTCAAGTATAGTCTTTTGGATGCGTGTTACGTTTTACAACGCGTAGGCTCAGTCTTAGCTCTCAGGAAGAAATAACGCCACTTCCATTTGTATCTCATATTATAAATTTAATCCATACAGCAAAAAGTGGTGGTTAAATCAACTGTAGTCCACTAATGTTGAGAAAGCCGACAAGACGTTCGCGTTACCTTGGCATAGGCGCGCGGCGACTTTTTTTTTAAATACTCAACCTTGGTACGCTAAGCTGCCTCCTGGAGATATGTCGAGACCTTTCAACTCATGTAGGAGTATTAGATGATCAGTGTACATTTTACTGCTATCAAGATGGAATCAGATGCAATGTCTGGACAGATAACAGCTATGACATGCGGGAATGCTCAAGCTCTCCCCTAATTTAAACAAGCGTCGTCCAATCATACATATAAATAAGACAACCAGTCTCTTGTGATCTCATCTCTCGCATAGGCAATCCCTTGCTTCAGCCAAGTCTTTAAAGGCACGAGAAGACTACATTTCATATGTGATTAACTTGCATGACTGCGAAAAGTCTATAGCAAAGTATCCAAGCATCTTAGGTTCTTATTCTGCTCGTACTTGCGTAAACACCTTCAAATTCATCACAAGTCAACTCAAAGATAGTGCTTAGAGCAGCAAAAGGTTCTCAGAATTACTTGATATCATTTTGCCAGGCTTTGATATCATTAATAGCCTCAATTAAAATCATCTCCCGCTCAGTCAGATTTGCGCCTCAGCTCTTACATATCGTGATGCATTTGTACAACTGGACAGCCTTAGAATATACTAATTTTACTTAGCAGTTTGGCTCTTGATGACCTTCTTGACGATCTTGGCCTCCTCAACCAAGAATGCACGTACGATTCTTTCACGGACGCAGTGAGCGCAACGGCTACCACCATAAGCACGAGTGACGGACTTTTGGCGCTTAGAGATGGTTGCGTAGCCTCTTGGACGGAGAGCTGGAACCTGTGTGCGATGGTTAGCAAGTAGGAGGGAATACACAGGCGACGTACACCTGAGAGAGCTAAACCACAGTCACCACACTTTGGAACGGTTGGCTTCTTGTGGATGTGCAAGTAGCGCAATTGTCCACCTATTAGCACTTGTCAGCAGTCTTCTCTGAGCGAGAATCGACCAACCTGGGGTCTTGATGACACGACGCTTGTTGGACTTGGTGTTGTATGGGTTTGGCTTCCTCAATTGAACACGTCTGGCATCAACCATCTTTAACTGCTCTTCAACGTCGGTAAAAAAAGAAGGTAGAAACGCCTTTCGCCCACATTTTTTCGACCACCAAAATTAAAATTTATGAGGTAAATTTAAAGCCAAAATGGGCTAATGATACTTTTCCTGGCAGTGAATCGTGGGCTTAATGTGCTTGAGGCTTTTTCGCTGGCTCTGCCGGTTTGGTTGATGCGGTAGTGCGTAAGCTGAGAGACGCTCACATAAATGGGCGATGCTTGAGACTGGCTTGTATGCGAGCGTGAAGTATGCGTATTTGTGTACATGACTGGTGAGGCATCTTTGTGTGACGCACCTACGCAGTGCACTGTATCCCATCTCATTGAGATATTGCGTGTATCTCAATGAAATAGAGGCATTCCATTTCTGCTGTATTTTAGCACAAATTATTTGATTTTTACTCGGCTCAATCTCACAGTGACGTGCGATGTCACTTCGAGCACAACCACCACGATCTATGCAAGATGAGTGATCCAAACGATCTCAAGCCACCAGAAACAGACGTAATTCTCCTTTTTTTACTGCAATACTGCCACTCACGCCTCTCCAGACCGAAAGCAGGTCGCCATCTCCCAAGCCAGTGGGGATGTCAATTAAGGAGAGGATGGCTATGTTCAACAAGCAGGCTGAGTCCTCAAATGCACCGTCTGCCAAACAGCCTCCTCCATCTATCGGCAGAAAGCCTCTGAACTGGCAACCCCCTGCTGAGCGTAAGGTGTCCTCAGGAGAGGGAAGAAGCGGCCTCAGCGCCAATGACGCAGCCAGTTCTATCTCAAGACCAGGGGGCAGCCTCAAGGACCGTATGGCAGCCTTACAGGGCGCTTTCGGATCTGCCTCGGCTCCATCTCCAGGTCCAAAGCCTGAAGTTAAACCGAAGGAGACGAAACAAGCCGACGATATTAAGTCGCCTATCGAAGAGTCAGATCAGCAAGATCGTTCTGAGTCTGTCAATGTGCGTTCTACAGATGATCCAGATGTTGCTAAAGGCGCAGCATCTGACGTAGTCAAGGATCATTCCGACGAACCAGAAGCTAATGGCGATGAAGATGCTGAAAATGCAGAGGAAGATCGTGTCAAACGTCAAGATATTGCCGCTCGTATGGCCAGACTTGGTGGAATGCGTCTTGGCGGACCGCCAATGCCTTCTTCAAATTCCAAAACTCCAGAGCCAGAGACATCAGCTGTATTGCCTGAAGAAGCTCAAACCTCACATAAAACTTCAGAAGAGCTCCAAGAGGAACAGAAGCAGGAGCCCAAACAGAATATACCAGCTCCGGTAGATACCACAAATATGCAAGAGGAGTCGACAGTAGAAGCAAAATCAGAGGCAGTACCAGAAGCCAAACCTGAAGAACCTGTACAATCAGTACAAGAAGAGCCTCTCCCTGAACCAGAACAAACTTTTAATGATGTTAAAGAGCCTATTGAGGAACTCAACGACCAACCCACTTCAATGAAGGCACCTCCGCTAGCTCGCAGAGCTAAACCACCACGCCGTCGTCTTCCTCAAACGCAGGTACAAACGGACGATCTTGACGCGGCTACTACAACCCCACTCCCAGAAACACCAGCTATAGAGCAGGTTTCCCAGGAAGAGGAGAAGGTAGAGAAAGAAGAGGTGTCTCAAGAAGCGTCTTCTCGTGAGCCAGACCAAGCACTCAAACCCGTCACTGATGACGAAAATCCAGGTGGTGATCACCTTCACCGTTTCTCACCACCTAGCTCACAGGAAGAGGTTCAAACAGATGAACAAAGCACGGAAGATCGTCGTATCTCAATCGCTACTGCTCTCGTCGACAAACCAACACCACTCAATGAGGCTATTGAGCACTTTCACAGCCCATTAGATAAAGAAGAGACTCCAGTAGAAACTCCAAAAGATGAGATCGAGCCGTCTTCTCCGCTGCCAATTGCTCAGCCAAGTCTCCCTGTTACCGAGGTGCAAAAGGATGAGGAAGCACCTCCAAAAATGCCTGAGGAGGCAGGAGCTCCTCAGAATTATGCCACATTGGACGATGACATCGAAAGCTCCGAACGTAAGTAATTTATTTAATGTACATGCATACATTTAATTCGATTGAATAGCTCGTAACGATGATGAAAAGGGTAAAGAACGCCGCACTTACTCAGAATCAGACTCCTTGGATGTGGATGTAGCCAACGAAAAAACTGAACAAGCGAACGAACCACAAAACATCGAAAACTCGTTAGAGCACCGTCTTGAAAAGGAAAGCAGAAAAGCAGCTGAGAAGGAAGAACAGGAAGCAGATGCGGTAGGCAACGACGATGTTTTGCAGACGTCAGATGAGAATGAAAGCGATGAACCACCAATTCCATCTGGCAAGCCTATAGTTGAAAAAGAGAAGCAGGAAATAGACGAAAATGTCCAAGAGCCGGTCACTTTGGCGGATGAAAGTAGTCCTGAAGTGGTAAATGAAACGGCATCAGTGGCAGCTCCTTCTGTTGGTGAGGAACAGGACCAGGCTCCTATAGAAGAGGCAACCTCTTCAAATGCTAAAGGCGGCATCGCTGAACGCATGGCAAAGATCTCAATGGCAGGTGGTTTCAAGTTTGGTCCTGCACCACCAGTGCTCAACAAGCCAGTCCAACATTCAGAAGACTGGGAAGCCAAGGAAGACAAGGAAGACAACAAGGAAGAGGAGATAGCTGAAGCTGCACCACCAGTAACTGAAGTCGAAGACGAGAAGATGTCAATATCTGAGAAACCGGTTGAACAGGTTGATGAGACAAAGGAAGGCATCACACAGCCAGATGATTCTAAAATTAAAGGAGCTCAAGAGACTCAGGAGACTCAAAAGTCAGAAGAAACAGAAGAGACAGACGCTGAGCGCCGCGCTAGGATTGCAAAGAAGTTGGCTGCATCAGGTACTCTTAGACCGGTCTTTGGAGGCACTCCTGAACAAGTATCACCGGCACCACAGGAGAAGAAAAAGAATGATTTCGATGACTTTGATGACTTTGATGAGGAGGCCAGTAATTCAGAAGCATCAGATGACGATGACATGAAGAGATTTATGGAGGGCGTGCAAAAGAAACCTAATTCGGACGAGAGAAGTGATGGTGAGAACTTTAAATTTTCTTTACAACATCTAATTCCTTCAACAGTAGGTGACTCAGCTGTCTCGTCTGTACAAGGAGATGGCCTCGAGTCTAAGGACTCGCAATCACACCCAGAACCTTCTGATCCGGAGGAGGACAAAAAGTCTATCCCCTTGCCTTCAAGAAACATGCCATCTCTCACTACTGAACTATCAGAGTCTTCAGAAGCAACTATGCATCCAGATGCAAACGGTTTAGCTGAACAAATTCATCCTAATACTGTCGCTGAACCTGAATCAGAAGCTGAGATGTCACCACCACCAATTCCAAGTCGTCAGATTGTTGCTTCTCCACCAACACCAGTCAGGTCAGTCCCAAGTCTTCCGCAGTCGCCACCAGAGCGGACTATGCCAGTAGCATCTCCAATAAGTACCGACTTTGAAGCTGGAAAGCGAAAGTCAGTCGAAAATAGTCCATCTCTTGCTAGTCCACCTGCACGCACCTTGCCAGTAGCGCCTCCAATCAACACCAACACTGAAATTGGAGAGCCCAAGTCAGTCGAAAATAGCCCATCTCTTGCTAGCCCACCTGCACGCACCTTGCCAGCGCCTCCAAGTGCCGCTTCTGCATCTTCGCCAAGGCCACCTATTCCAAGAAGGAGACCATCATTGAGTAGCCAGAAATCGATTAACAGATCATCTCTGGGTAGTGTGATGGATCAAGGTCAGTCAAATAGGCCTAGAACGTCTTCAGTCAGCAGTTCGGTGGATCAACCAAATTTAAGATCATCCTTAACGAGCACTAAAGACGCTCCATCCCTCCCTGGCTCACCACAAGTAATGGAGCCAGCGATGCAAGAAGATTTGAACGAAGATAACGATCTAGCTGAAAGACGTAGAAATATAACCGAGAGACTGGCTGCTTCTGGTGGAATAAGGCCATTGGTCGGAGGTTTGCCTCAACAACAAAGCCGTTCTGTGCCTCAACACCAAGAAGAAGCCTCTGAGCCTAATGAAGAACTTTCAAAGGGACTCAAAGGCGATGCTGATGAGGAGGAGACACCTGAGTCAGAGGCCGAGAGACGTGCACGTATCGCTAAGAAGCTCGCTATGCAAGGTACTATCAGACCAATCTTTGGTGGCATGGAGTCGCAAGAGCCAACACAGTCTCAAACTGAACCAGTCGTTGAAGACGTTGAGCAACCAAAGCTGGAGGTTGAAGAGCAGCACCTTGAAACGCCAAGGAGTGCAGATCAACCCCCACCGGTGCCAAGGCAGCGCCCTAGGTCATTCCTTGGCAGACCATCATCGATGATCTCGCCACCAAAAACTCCTCCTCCGACAAGTCCCCCTCCTGATCCACCTATAGCACCACCTTCTCGCCAACTGCCAAAGTTGGAACCGCCCACATCTCAACAATCAACAAGGCATGGTGAGGAAGATATAGATGACGAGAAACATAAAAGTAGCGGAGAATTCGTTCGCGTGCCTTCACAGAATCTATCAGTGACCACACCAAAGACTGAGCGCGATTCTTTCGAGTTTGTCACACCACCGAAAGATAGAGATATACCATCGCCGAGGTCTGGTAAGAGCCCAACCGGTCCACGCCCAGCCGGAAAGCACATCTACACCCACGACGAGTTAGTGCAGTTGTCACAATCGCTTGGTAGAAAGATCAACGAGTTCACGAAGGCGCAATATGAGTTATCCAAAAATATGCCTATCGCTGATGGCACATCTATTGGATTCGTCACTGAGACGCTCGCATTCTGCAATGCTGCCAGTGATCCCGAAAATTGGAACTTTGGTCATTTGATACACTCTCAAAATGCTCAAGGCATTGTCAAACGTTTGGACGATCCACGTGTAGGTGACATCCTCGTTCTCAAACATTCCGAATTCAAAGGAAGGGTGCGTAGTGCTTTAGGACGATATTTATAAACTAACACACATTCACAGAAAGCATTCGGCAACTATAAGTCTCACTTTGGTGCAAATGGACCACAAGTAGCTTTCGTGGCTGAGTACGAGCTTAAAAAAGGAAAGGTGTCAGCTATGCAGTCAACGTCTCAACCAAACCATTATCCAACCGTGGGTGCTAGTAATCAAAGCTATCTAGAAAGCTAACACTGCATAGCTCGAATACATATCGATCAAGTTCGGAGACTTGAAGGATGGAAGCTTTGATATATTCAGACCGGTACCATTATCTTGAACGTGAAATTATGGGATATTTGCTTTATGTTTTTTACGAGTTAATGTTTATGCAATCACTTTCTCTTCCATAGACTCAGATTGTTAAAATTAGAATTTCTAATTCATGTTTTAGTGGACATATAATAAAGCCTGACCATAATGAGAACAAGTGCTTGTGTGTAGAGGCTTAAAGCTATGAGGTCGTTTAAATGGTATCTGCTCGTGCATGAGGTTTCAGCAACGCTCGCACACATTGTGGTTGTGCTAGTCATTCCAGTGAAAGGTGTTGGTGACAGCATTTACAGCAAGATCACACACATGCTTGCAAAAAGCAGAAAATGATATAGCCATCAAGTCTCAATTTTGAGATGAAAAGAATTCGCGCTTGTGTCGATCCCGCTCTGATGATTAGAAATATGAATAAAGCACAATTTATAACAGTAGTCTTTTGAGCTTTATTGTAGAAAATTCTTCAATATCCTCTTTCCAGATGTTGTGATAGCGTTTAGGATGACGTTCATCAAGCGATTCTTGCAAATCACCGACAGGGGTATAAGACTGAATGACAAGCACATCTCCTGGCCAATTATCAGAGACGCCGATCTAGAAGGACTCCACCCATCAACAACGCAGAAGACATGGGCAACAACCGACGTTCCGGTTGATTCTAAGCCACTTGATGCCCGGTTTGATGAGCAGTCGCAGACGCTTAGTGTTAATTGGCACGACACCCCAGGTCTACCGAAGAGCAGTCAGTACAATCTGAAGACACTTTCAGAAGCCTTCAGCAGCAGACCTTGGCAGACATTTCCACCCCATATCCCAGCTGCCAAGCCGTGGAGTGTAAAGGAGTTCACCAACAACAGCCAGCACTTTGACGTTGCAGAACTGTATGAGTCACCTTCTATGCTTCTCAAAGCACTTACACAGCTGCACGAGCGTGGTCTCATCTTCATAAACAACGTGCCGACAGAAGATACCACAGATGCAGGCTGTGGACTGAGACGAATGGCCGAGAGCTTATTCGGTGAACTGAGAAATACCTTCTATGGACAGACGTGGGACGTGAGAGCATTAGGCGGTCAGAGCCGAAACGTCGCTTATACGGGACTCGATTTGAAATACCACATGGACTTACTGTGAGCGGGCTTTATCGGCTTCTGACTCAACTCATGCCTTCGCAGGTACTTTGAAAGTCCACCGCGCTTCCAATTCTTGCATTCACTTAAGGCACTAACGAAGGAGAAGTCACCGCAAGGACACTCATTGTTTCTGGACTCATACAAAGCAGCTGAGGAGCTTTCGCATCAATCACAGCAACTCCTTAGATCAGTTCCGATAGTGTACGAATACGACAATGATAATCACCATTACATACACTCACATCCTGTTCTTCAAGAGTTTGGAAGTAATCTGCAGTCAGTGAATTACTCACCACCATTCCAGTCACCACATCAACCGTTTATTGCGGAGTTAGAACCAGAGACACAGGTGAAATACTTGAACGCTCTCAGGGAGTGGAACAACTTATTGGATCGCCAGGACCTAAATCTTGAGACGCGTTTGAGCGAGGGAGATTGTGTTGTATTCGATAACAGACGAGTGTTGCATGCTCGTAGAGCATTCGATGAGCAAGGCGGTCAGGATGAGATTGTTAGGTGGCTCAAAGGAACATATGTAGATGGAGATGCTATCTGGGATCGCTGGAGAGTCGTGAAAGAGAGTCAATAAATGACATGAATGATATTTGCTTATCGTATTGTGTGTTGAGTCACTTTGCCTCACGAGATCGACATATGTAGATTGATGCAAATGATTCAATGTGAAATGTTCACAAAGGAATCCTTCTCTTGTATTCAACCGCTCACGTATGACGATATCTCTTCACCTTCAACCATCAACATGTCGAGCGCAGTGCAGATATTGACAGACTATCGCAAGGAGGGTGTGAGGCGGTCGCAAGAAACATACAATTTGTCAAAGCAGATCTACGGTACACGCCATGAGCGTAGCTTGGGAGATGAGAGTGGGTGGTCCACCGCTGTGCCTTTGTTTTCTAAATAAAGCTTCAAGAGTGGGCCTTTTACGAGCAATTTGCAATCGCTGCACTGGATGTCGGTGATCACAATTTGGCCGAGGTGCGAGGATGTTCTTAGCAAGCTAGTCAACAGACTGACATCGCCAAAGGAGCTGCTTTTACGTCTAGCTGAGAAGTTCCCACTGTCGCCTCGCGTGTCGGTAATCGAAGGCATGATGTTGGAAGCCAAGCGTGAATTCGGTCTGGCTGAACGTTTGTACAACAATCTACTGGAAGAGGATCCAACCAACGTCGTGAGTTAGTAGCTAACGGAAATATTACGTTGACACTATCTCAAGGCGATACAAAAACGTATGATAGTGCTGACGAAGCTGCAATACCCTAAGGACCTATCTAAGGCGACGGATAGGTTGACAACCTACTTGGACACATTTTACTTGGATCCTGAAGCCTGGATGGAGCTGGCAGATATATACACACAGCAGCAGAGCTATCAAAGAGCGTTATTCGCTATTGAAGAGTGTCTGCTCATGCAGCCTATCAATCCATACTACATACTGAAGTATGCGGAAACTCAATACACATCGGGAGATTTTCACGAAGCCTACAACTCGTATTTACGTGTTGTCGAGCTTCAAGACAGCTTTCCTAGGGCTTGGCTAGGTCTCAAAATGTGCTGCAGGAAGCTTCTCAAGTATCCTCATAACGAGCAGCCTGAACATCTTTCTAGAGTTGATGTGCTAGCTACAAAAATGTCATTAGACATGTACACATCTTCATCCACTCATAAAGTCGATGATGACACTCGTAAAGCTGTATTAAAATTCGTTGAGTAAAATTAGATACCCAATTATAGTAGTGTGTCATCGCTGGTTAATGTGTTGTGTCTGTATTTGAGGATTGATTCATTCTGGCGTCGCTCAGTCACAGAGCTACTATTAAAATAAAGAGATAACGCAGTTAAATACAATACAACCTGAAGATCAGTACATGACTAAAAATAGGAGAGCATAAATTATATTTTGAAAATGGTTATACAACACAATAATGCAGGAATAATTTTGACGGGATTTGATAAGGCGACAGATTAGAGTTCAACTTGTGGATGAACGAGGTATGTGACTTGGTCATCAGTGGATGAGGATGGGTCTTGACTCTCCGTATCGCGATCAGCACTACCACGCAGCTCGAGCAAATATTGATCCTGGAGGATTAGTTAGGAAATAAATTTAGTCAAGCATCTACACCTACCTTGACCAACTTCTTCAAGACCTTTGCCATTAGAGCCTGTTCAGCCTCGAGTTGTTCAATCGAGTCTATTTCCTCCTCCTTTGATTCAATGTATGACTGTATTATCTCATCCTTTGTGACACCAGAACCGGTTGTGTTCTCTACTGTGAGAAGGTGCTGCACGACAAGTGACATGAGTGACATATACTTGTCGTATGTGATAGTAAGTTTGGTTTTCTCAGCTGTTGGTTGAGGTGTATTTACGCCGCCCTCAGAAGCTGGAGGTGCAGATGACGAAGGCTGGACTGATGAAGTTGGAATTTGGAGATTGGGGTCGGAGGAAGATGTTATGTCTTGGGTAACATTATCCATAGGCTCAGTTGGTTGTTGTTCGTCTTCATCATCCAATCCTACATCATCCTGCTCGACGTGAATGATAGATTGACGGAGTAAAGAGTAAGCCTCCTTAACATATTGTGGAAGGATTTCGTTTGAGCAGTTAGCGCGTGCTATTGCTTCTGATAATCTGATCATGGATTCCAGCTGTCTGACTGTGATTCTGTAGCTATTTCTACCAATACCCTGTGCATCATCTTGTCTCAGTATCCTGTATTTCTCAACCAGTAAATCGGAAGCTTCCACTGTCATTCTTGGTTGGAATGTCCTACTGTATCTGATAAATCTTTGCAGCTGCTCAGTGTTAAATTCAGGCTCGAGCGCTTGATCTCTGAATCTGTGAATATTGACAATGTGTCTTGCGAGCATATCATCGACGCTCTCATTGCACTCGTCCAAAACAACGAAGAAAAGATCGAATCTACTCATGATTGGTGCAGACATTGCGACGTTCTGTCTGAGCGTTGCTTTACGATTGTAGCGTCCACCGATTGGATTGGCTGCTGCTAAGATTGATGTTCTAGCATTGAGCGTAGCTTGTAAACCGGCTTTTGCAATAGAAAGTGTTTGTTGTTCCATAGCTTCGTGGATTGCAACTTGGTCTGCTATATCCATCTTATCAAATTCATCAATCGCACAGATACCATTGTCTGCCAACATGAGTGCTCCAGCTTCGATTGTAAATTCGCCAGTCTCCTCATCTTTGACCACTGCAGCTGTTAAACCAGCAGCTGAGGATGCTTTACCGGATGTATAAACTGCTCTTGGAAGGAAAGACGTGACATACTTCAAGAATTGAGATTTGGATGTAGATGGATCACCGACAACACAAATGTTGATATCTCCTCTCAAGTGAATACCCTCGTGAGTGCGCTTGTGTACACCACCCATTAGCTGTAACAACAATCCCTTCTTGACAATATCGTGTCCAAATACAGTTGGTGCTATACTCTTCACTAGACGGTGGTAGATGTTGTCGGTATTAACCATTGCTCGAAGTTCTTCGATTTCTTGTTGCGTTAAGCTTCTGAGGAAGGTATCTTGATCTTCTTCCTCCTCATAATCGGCCCTGACGTTGGTAGCAGAAGATCTACCATCTGCCGACTGAACCATGCAAGCCAAATAAGCAGTCTTGTATTGCAAATCGCGCACACCGAGCGCCTTTAAGCCCGTAACACCCTGATTATCAGTTCGACCGCCTGAGTTTTCTCTCATTAACTCAGTGTTTACACCAGGTATACCCAATTGACTGACATCCGGTACGACGATGAAAGTACCTGTGAAAGTGCACTTGTCTCCAGCCTTTGCCTTTTCAACCGTTTCACCACGAAGAATGACATCCAAAGATCTTGGCATCGAACCGGTCGGAATTTCGTTTGCATTCTCTTGTATACGGACTTTCTGCCAGTCTGAGAACTTTGACTGTTCAATTATAAGTCTCCAAGCGTTTCTGTTGTTGCACGTTGGATTTGGACACATGCTTGGCTCTGTGAATTTGAATTGCTGTTCTATATCGTGCATTACAACACCGCATTCTTCACAAGCGAAGCAGCCGTTGACAAGTTCAGGCCTGACTTCTGAAGTACGCGTGACTGTACCGCCAACACTCATCAATGTACCGATCTTGTCTGTTCTTAGGTCTCTGATGCCACTAACGATTGGAAGATCGTAGAAAGCGATTTGGAATTCCCTTATGATATATGAGCTGGCAGATTGTGTGGCTGTGACAGTTTGGGCGTTGGAATAGAGATAACCTGGTTCGTATTTGTGTACCAAGTTTTGTACGGCGCGTTTCAAGAAAGGCAAGAATCTATAGTACTGATCTGTGACGGCCTTTGCTAAGATATCTTCACGTTCAAGTAGGTGAGAGAATGATACGTATAGCGTTGTAAAGTTGTATTCTCTCATTCCGTGTATCTGCTCGACGTAGAACTTTGATTCCGCCTCAGCTTGCATTCCATCTACGCCAGGCGTAGCAGCGAGATCAACAACTTCAGTGTATGACTCTAAGAAATTCTCAAAGCTCTCCATGACCTTTTCTCCAGTTGCATCTTTGACTTTTGGTACTTCAGAGCTGCAGCAGTGTGAGATGAGATTTAAAGACATCTACGACACCCACGGATCTTGTGGATTGCGCTTTGCTCTTCTGCGTGCGTTTGATTCTTCACCCGCCTCATCATCTTCGAGATTATGATCCTGGATCGACATATCGTTTATGGGACGCGCTGGAGGGGAGCTTTGCCTCTGTGCGCCAACATCGGAGGTTGGATCTGGTAGTGGACTGGATGGTCCAAGTGGCGTGCTCATGGCGGTGATAAGTTAGCGCGTGTTGAGTCAGCCTGCGTGTCTTCGCGTCGAGATGGGAATGGAAAACAATAAAATTAAGATATTAACAAGAATATAAGTGGATTATATAGTGTATTAGGTCCTTGGTATGGATCTGTAAATTACTTAATAGATTCGTTGAGATGTGATTTGACTGTGCCTTGCGCATTTATTATTTCTTTGGGTTTACTGTGTTACGGCGCTGAACAGTGCGTTCACGCTGTGTCATCTCGTTAGATTAATTAGGCTCTCCATGCCCTCTCCAACTCACATCTGTTATAGCCTTCCCATTCGTTAGTCTATCCACGCGTTCCATACGCTCATCAACGAGAGCATCAATCTCCGCCTTGTGCTGCTTCTTTAACTCGAGCTCTCTTTGCCTTTGCTCGCGTTGACGCTCAGAAGACTCAAAATCTGACTTGAGACGCTCAAGCTTTTTAGCAATTTCGTGATGGCTCTTGATAGATTTCTCCAATCTACCATTAGCTTGTGTTATAGATTTCTCAGCTTTAGCGCTCAATTTCTGCGCTTTCTCTGCATCCTTGAGAGCGTCTTTGAGAGCAGCTGCATCGTTCTTGGCTTCCGCCTCCAAGATTTTTGAAACCTGTTTAGCATCTTTGCCCTCATTCATCAGAATCGCTCTGCGGTCATCATCCCCTAAACGTGCATCCGCGTCTTGGAGGCGGTTTTGTTGATCTTGGGATACTCTCTCTGCACCTCTAGCTGAGGCTGTGGCTGATGGTGATTTTTGGAGGTTTGCACCTTGATCTCCGTTGATTGCTCTGTCTGCAACCCCCTGTGGCTTTGACTCTGTTGGTGTGCGTTGAATCGAGGTTGGAGGCGATGGGGATGTTGCTTCTGGTACTTGTGGTACTGGTTGCGATGTATTTGCTGGCTCTGCTGGTACTGATGTTGTAGGCTCAGCTTGCTTGGTGGCGGGGGATGACGTATCTATATGTGGCGGGACTTGCTCCGAGGTCTGAGCAGGTGCTGATTTCTCAGCGACTTCTTGTGGCTGTGTGGCTACTTTGTCTGCTTCTGACATTCTATTCCAAATTACCCTTTTCGGTTGATGAATGTGCTTACAAAACCTACGAAAGCAGTCGTGCACGGAAGGAATGCGGATGAGAATGAGAATGAGTCTAGAACAAGTTACGCATAAAAATCACAACCGAAACACCTCAGAAAACGCAAGACATACATGTGGAAATATTGTGTTATTGTGTGATAGAGCGTAATTGAGCGCGATGCTAGGATGGTCTGTATTAGTGCTTATTGATCGGATATTTGATGCAAGTTATTAGAATAGTAGTGATTTAATTTCGCACTATAAACTGTTCATAACAAGTGCTTGGCGTGTGTATTTGCCCGTAAAATGCCTATGAAAAGAAAGTAACTGAACCTTTAGCTAATGCTCAGCTTTGCTGCTTATAAGAAGATGTGAAAGCAAGATTATCCAACTTGTTCGTCTCCCCTGTAAAATCTGGTGTTGGTAAAGGGGAATCAGAATGCGATCTATCACTCTTGTTCAATTGATGGTCTACTACTAGCTTTGGATCATACGCCCGCGTATACATGTACTGCTCTGGACTTCCTCCTACTGAACTATTTGATGATTCTGCCAGCTGATCTGAGCTGGAAGAGTCGGATGGTACATGATGTCCTCCGTAATTGCTCACGTACGAGGTGTCGTTGTTTGAATAGACATTGTATGTCGGTCCCGGCATCTCATGCGCGGGTACGAACGTAGATTTATGCTTCTCATCGCTAACATTCAACATTGACTTTGCTTCTATTGGTGAGGGTGAATTCCTGATATCATTGTTTGAGTTCTTCTCCTTTTCCATGTTGTATGAGGCAAAGTTGTCTCCTATCTTGTTAGACGACGCAGGTACACCTTTGTTTGAAGCAGCTGCGGCTGCGCTAGGTTTATTGTAGATCATTGTGCTTCCTAAAACTGTGCTAGCACCCATTACGAAACCAGGAGTAATTGGAAAGTCGAAAAGAATGACTGATGCAACTGAAGAGATTACGATTGATATTGAGGTAGCAAATCCTTTTAATATCTGTGCGCTTTGGTTAGTGAGGTATTTCAGGATCATACGCTACACCCACATTATCGGAATATTTAATAACTAAAGCCGTGACCAATCCACCAAGCACCTGAGTTAGTACAGTTGCATACGCCCAAACGTTGAAGTTGCGTACCAGATTAAGGCGTTCCAAGAGCCCAAGGCCATGTGTAGCTTGTCCAAACAGTACTGGTAGGAGTGCAGGAGGGAAGCTGAACAGGGATAGCTGTACGTTTCTAACCCAAAGATCGACGTTGGATCCCTTCAAAACAAGTTCAAAGTACACTCCAGCCAGACCAGAAGTTAAGCAGGCCATAGCGACAGCCATGAACCCTGTAATTGGATTACCGGCGTGCACACCCCCCTGCGATGAAGACATGGTGGTTGACTGAACCTGGACAATACCAACTCCGATAGCCAGGAAAACGAGCGAGAGCCACTTTGTCTTTGTAAGGCTTCTGCCGAGCAGGACTACAGAGAAGAGGGCTGTGGTGAGAATCTTCATCTGATAAGCGACCTAAGGGAGAAATGAGTGAGTAGGATCTTTAAAACAACACATCACGCACCTGGAAAGTAGCTACTTCCAAGTTAGACGCCGCCACGAATGCCAAATTGTTCTGGATGACATAGAGGATCGCAGGGATGGAGAGCTTCCAGGAATCCCTACTAAAAATCTGAGCCACGAGTATTTTTGCTTTAAGTTTAGTATCCGAGGGGCGCTGGTCGTCTTTGAGGCTGAGGGATATGCGTCTCTTGTTGTGGCTGGCAGACGGTTTGACAGGGAGATTTCCTAAGAAGGATTTCTTCTTCTTGGGAAATAGCGGGCTGAGGTGATCCTCTCTATTTGAATTGAGAGCGTGATCATCCGTACGCTTGTACGCCGTGTAGAGCGATATCGACGCCTTTAGTATCTCAGTCAATAAGACAGCAGAAGCGGGATTGTACGAGTGCTCAGGATCTGAAACGCGTGAGTAGCGCATCAATATCGACAGACTAGCGTTCTGCAATGCCAATGTGACCAAGCTGAGGTACTTGAGCGGTATCCCGTATAACTCCTGCTTTTCCACGGGGCTGAGATTAAGCGCAGGCGCCCGCTTTCTGTCGCTCGAGAACGATGATTTCTTGTTGGTTATCGACGACATATTAAGTCTTTTATAAGTCTTGCTGGAAGCGAGCTAAGATGTTTTTGGGGATGCTTTCGGATGAAATTACGGAAAATGTTTAAATTCAAATACAATTACATTTTATTAGTCTTTGCGTGTTCTGCGTGCTTTGCTTGCTCTTTCGCTTGGTATCATTCAACGTCTTCTCCGCTACGGCCAAACGCCCCGCTTCTTCGCTTGGGGCGACGACGGCGCGCATAAGAGGCTGTTCAGATTCATTGCTACTCTTCCCCTTGGCTTGACGTCCTTAGGCAGCGTCTCTACTGGCGATGGCGGTACTTTTTGGACCACGTGATCCACCTGTTTGGAATAACTCGTGAGGGGCTGCGCGGAATTCGTTGCATCTGCGTCTGCCTCGGCTTCGGCAATTTTAGGCGACTGCTTTATCGTGCTTTTGCTCTTAAACAAATTAGTCGTCCGCTTTACCTTTGAGCCACTATCAAAGCTCGTCTCTACGAATGTCAATGGCTCATTCTCGTTATTGTTGAATTGTCTGCGCTTCTCATTCTGTCGCTTGTTCTGGTACCATACTTGCACATTTCGCGACGACCTGTCATCTCAATCAGTACTTGTGCTCGGGTTCGGTAGTGTCACTCACATTCCAACATTCTGCGCAATCTCTGCGCGCTTGCTCGCGCTTGGAAGTGGATTTCTCAGGTATTCTTCCTCTAATAGTTGCAGCTCTTGCGGCGTCGTTCTCCTTCTCCTCTTCCTTGACTCTATTGCCGCAAAATTTTCGTTACTCATTGCTTTAATGATCTAGTTGTGGATGTAGAAAATAAACCTACGCGGTTTGGTTTCTATGTCTTAATTAAGTCACCTTGCCATTTTGGGTTGAATTGATAATCTATTACCGAATGCGTCGATTTACGCAGTTTGCGTGATTCCTATAAGGGAAGGTTCCAAGTGGGGTGTGCGTACACTCAATTTGGCAACCTGCCCGTTGGATTTTTTAACAGGTTTTTGTGGGGAAGCACAGTCCTTAAGAGTGTTTTGACCGGGAAAGTAATAAAACCCGTTTAATCACATTGCATTACATTATTCATTACACGTGTTGGCTAATTATCTTTCTTAGATATGGACGAGTTCATCTCGTTCACAGTCTGTCTCAGTTTGATTTCATCGTTGTCAAGTGGTCTGTCCTTGTTTGATTTGCTGCATCTAGCACTGCTATGCAACGCCAATGCCCTGTCACGCACGATAGCCGCACTCGCAGAGTTATCCCATATAGCTATCTTGAAAAGCCTAGCAAAGATACCCTTAATTACGAAATGTCCGTGAGAAGCTACGAGCGCTGCGACAAAAGCTACTAAGACACCACCATGCGCTGCGAGTATACCGCTATTTTTGAACGACGTATTGAAGAGAATGACGAGTGATGTGTTGATCATTGCACTGAGCCAGCTCAAAAACGACAAAGCGTCGAGCCATGGTCCAATACTATCCGTTGAACGGGGTATACAGCGACTATAATGTTTGATGAGCTTGAATGCGTCTCCGCGAATTTCAAAAAAGTTGTTGATCAGTCCCATGAGTGGTGCAAGTGGCCATGCGACACTCCATAGCGAGATAAAGCCGAACTGAATTGGTTTAGTGATTTTTTCAAAAAGCAAACGAAACACACCTGCGTAACCATCTCCGCATAGTCCTCGAACAGATCATATGTATCCTTAGCGACTTCCTCTCTGACGGCTTGCAGATAATCTCTCTCTTCTGGAGCGTCTTTCGGGGTGTAAGTGTTCTTGGAGATGTGCGATCTAACGAAGGACATGATATAGGGAAGACCAACTTCTTGGAAGGTACCAATAGCTTGAGAGGTAACCATCTGCGCGAACAGCTGCGTCTGTATCCTACTTCCATCAATCTCTACTATCTCATTTGTGCCGAATATCTCAAACTTCTCAAATCTCTTTGATGCCGCCTTCACCAGATCCTTACCGAAGGGTATATACACATATGCCGTCAACGCAAGACCGGCAAAGCTGACAAGAGAGTTGAGAGTGAAAGACTTTATGGTCAAGCTTGCCTCTGTGTCGCTGTGCGTGGCGTGGTTTTCCCATCTACTCAGCTTGTTGAGCACGGGTTGATATGCAGTGATGAGCAGCGGAACAATACCGCTGCATACTGCACTCAATATGAGTGACTGTTTGAGTGTGTTAGACGTTGGTGTCTTCGACACTTTCTACCCACAATGTACGACTTGAGAGGACCGTTGTAGAATTGTAATCCAAACTCCTCTATGAAGAAGATGCTGAGTTGTGTGTGAGTTTATAACAGCCAGAAACACCACACACACATGGTGAGTAGGGCAGCCAATAGCATGGCGAATAGCGCAAGGACAGGAAGCGTAGCCATTAGCTTACTCTCACGAACATACCACGCCGTTCTTTCTCTCTCTACTCTGGTCAATTCGATGCTCTTCGAGCCATCAGAACCCCACTGCACGCTAAGAGCGCGTTCCGCTACACGCCAGTACTCGACGAAAGCTACAGCGTAAAGACTAACGAATATGGCGTAAAATGAACTAAATTGAGAGCTCCTAAACCAGCAAAAAAAGCCAATGAGGGAAGGCAAAATAAGTGACCTAAAGTAAGACCTCAAGAAGGCGAAATAGAAGCCAACGTTAACACCAAAGGCATTCTTGATGCTTGTGAGCTGTTGGTTGGATAAAAGATAACTGCTAGTCAAGTCGCTAATTAATGTTTTGTTGAAATCGTGATTGTGGGGTATGACGACTTTCTTCACGTCGGGTGATGCGTAGTGGACCATGAAATAATCGTAGAGGTTATTGCACTCACTGTCTACACTCCGTCTAGTAGATTGTTTTGCTTGTAAGAATGCCAAGACCTCGTCGTCGTTGGAGCCGGGCCTCACAGCCCAGCTGAAAGAGCTCTGGAGTTGGTGGAGAGCCTTCAAATGAGCGTCGCTGCTGCTGAGCTTGTAAACGACTATGAGATCAACTTTCGCGGTCTCGAGACTGGGCATTGTTGTGGTATCTGTGAGAGAGGCGTTAACTGAGCTATAAATAGATGGCACTTGAAAATCCTATGGTTATTATTAGCTGTGTTAGAGGTACTGGGTCATGGGCTCTTTCGGTGTTCTGACTGTCAACTGGTCGATCAGTTTTCTTAATCTGCATTTCAAAGCATATCTTGGCATAAGTTGATGTGCGAGTGCGAGTGCTTGTGCTGCCAAAAGACACGACGCCTTTCTACTCTCAAACTTCGACGCATTAGACGTGCCAGAAAATTACTTCAACCCAAGTGGGGTAAAAGTTGGTGAGGTTGAGTGATGAGGTGGCTGTAAGGTGGAAGTACTTAGAGAAACTCATTTATCGCGTTTTTATACATAATTATTATGATGCTCGAGGCACAGCCTGGCATGAGTTTATTCAACAACAACGGTATATGATATCTAATCAAATTCTTAAAGTTGTATCGAGCCATGCCAATAGGGTCAGAGAATTGTATTGCAGCTTATGCTCTGATTCCCGTCACTGGGCCCTCTGATCTCCAATTGAGTGGTCGTGCATAGCAAGCTGAAGAAAGGAAGGGCAAGAACAAAACAAATTCAAGGTTGGAAATAATCAGTGCTTCAACTCGCGGCACGCCCAACCTCAAATCCCCGATTTCCTTCCAATCCGCAACGAATCATCGTTAGACGTGTTATGTGGATTGGTAAAATTGTCTTGAATTATTCCTATCTATTTCAATATCCAAAGTATTTTTCTGCAAGAAATGATGATGATGATAAAATCTGAATATATTGTGAAGACGATAAATGTTATAAACTGCGTCCATCAATACTTCATAAAGCATGGGGAGTCAAAGGGGGGTTGCTGAATTTACTGAAAGTTTTTCTTAAATAGCGTCGTAATTTGTAAATTTATGGTGGTTCTCAATTACATTGAAACACCGGTTCTGCGAGATGATGAAGTTTTGATATTATTTACGCGCAATTTCTGACTTATCAGCAATTCTGTAAACGTCTTGATCTTTGTGAGGTGAAACTGCACACAAAGAGCAAGGCGCTGAGATTAATAAAAGAATTAAGTCTAAGATGTATCAAAAGAAAAAGTAGTCGTTTAAATAGTTTAGAATTCTAGGTTTTATTCCCATTGTCTCGTTATCTTCATTGTCCTCGTGCATAATCATGCATAATCTTCATTGTTCTTTATTCTCATTGTTCTCATAGCGACCATGATGTCATGTTACCTGTTCCTGCATCTTGCCCGCTTTATTACCTACGAAGGTAGGGGCACATGCTTATAACTTCAATAGTACGACTGGTACAACTTGCTAGTTCATGATGAGGTCCCAGGTTCGATCCCTGGTATCTGCATAGACCAGCAGATATAGCTCAGTGGTAGTAGCGCATCACTAGTAATAAATTCATTTTTTGTTTTTTGCTGCCTTTTATTAATTAGGCCGATGTCATGACACATCTTGAGTGTAGTATCGAGTAGAGTTTTGGTTAACTTAATTTTTACGCGTTGCTTCAATCATTTGCCTGGAAGGCGGGTTGCTTTACAAAATTAAATGATGATGCTCTATGAGATTACCACGGATATAAGTCTAGGCAGCACGCCAGACCAATCGGATGAAAAGTTACTCAACCAAGTAGCATTAACATCACGCTTTTAGACGTGCAGAAAATCCAGCGAAGCTGCATATGTATATTTATACAATAAAAAAGTGAGCCAAGTGCACAGACAAGTTTACTCGTCGTCCTCTTCAGCCTCACCGTCACCGCCTTCAGCAGCAGCAGAGGCACGGGCGCGCTTACGCTTAACGCGACCAGGGCGAGCGCCACCGTATGGAGAGGTTTGAGAGAAGTCAATGTGCTTTTGGGAGTCGAGTCTGTATAGAAATCAATAAACTATCGAGTAAAAGAAAAGGCGTAATACTCACCTCACAGTGAACGAAGGGACGTTGACGATCTGCTTACCAACGCGGATGTGACGTTGAACAATGAGCACACGAGCGTGGTGGATCGACTTGGCAAGACCGCTCTTGAAGACCTGAGTCTGAAGACGACGTTCCAAGAAATCTTCAATCTTGAGAGCCAATACGTAATCGAGACGCCTGCACGAGGAGAACCGTTAATACGTTTATTCGTGACAGTGGACTTTCTCTTGAAGGGTTTAATGCCACTCACATTCTTGATTCGTCAAGTACACCAATACGCACAAGACGTCTGATCAATGCGTTACCTTCGAAAAGACGCTTTGGTTCCTTCTCATCGAGCTTGAGGAGCTCACGGGCAGCTCTACGGATCTTTGACAAGGTGAAAGCGATACGCCAGATTTCACGCTTGTTACGGAGACCGTATTCACCAGCGAGCTTTAACTCAGCGTCCAAACGGGCTGATTCGAATGGACGACGTGGGACCTTGTAAGTCTTGCTGTGATTTACTGGCGCACGTGGCATCTATGTAGATGTTAGAGGATTTGGTTGATAGGAAGATTTGAGAGGTTGTGGTTGGTGCGAGTGAGTGGGTGGTGTGCAGCTTTGACGGTGTTTGCTGTGTGTACAGCCTTCAACACTACCCACTACCACTCTCTTCCCTTACACGCCCCTCAAATTCCTTCCATTTTTCACTCACATCGAGGTCGCTGAGGAACCCGGCCAGACAAATTTACAGGCAAAATACGTCGCATAATTTTATTTTCAAAATTGCACAAAAGGGCGATTAAATTGTAGATTTGAGTAAACGTAGTCTTAGTCCTTTAGAATATCAAATTTGTTCCCTTAAATCGCCCGATTTATATTGGCAAGGAAGTGAGATGACTCGGGGTGAGATGACAGGAATTGCAGGGACACACATCTCACACATCACCCAACATACCACAAACGCCTCTCCATATTAATATACTCAATTACTCATGTTACACTGAAAATCTGACTGGCATAGATAAACTGAAATATGATACTCCATTTGATATTAAATTAGACTCAAACTACTGCTTGCTACTACTAGTGTTGTATATGCGTGTGCGAATGTGCTTGCGCTTGTATCTGTCCCGTATCATACCCATTATAAGCCCCATACATACCACCAATCGGGGGAGGTGGGTAGTTAGGATACATCTGCACGGGTTGTTGCGGTACTGTCGGTGGTGGTGGAGCGTAGACCACATTAGATGGTGGTGGCTGAGGTACTTGAGGTGGTTGTGTCGGTGCCCCCGGTGGTGGATATTGAGGGAAGGGCGATTGAATTGCTGGCGCGCTTGGCAGTGGGCGGGATGGCTGTGATTGTTGTGACGGTTGTGGTGGCTGCGACATTGGCGACGGTTGCTGCTGCGCATACATAGCATGAGCGCCGCTATATTGCACGTCCGAGGGATTTTGCCAGGGTGACCAGCTGCCTTGAGGTGCCGGTGCTTGTGCTTGCGCTGGTGGAGGGGCACTGGCAGAAACAGGTAGTGGTGCTCCATACTGAGACGGGTATTGGGCAAAAACCGGCGACTGTCCTACGATTGGTATCTGCTGCGACACTTGAGGGAATTGAGGACCTTGAGGACCTTGTGGTGGCATTTGTGAAACGGGCGGTATTGGCGATGTGCGGGGAGGTGGGATGGGTGTGACTGGTGTAGCTTGTTGCATTGGTGGCATCTGCATCTGTTGCATTTGCTGTAGTTGCACTTGTTGCAGTGGAGCTTGTGGAGGTTGGGGCAATGGCTGCGAAGGCTGCGACGGCTGTGATGTTTGTGATGATTGTAATGGCTGCACTTGAGACACTTGTGGTATAGGTGAATGACCCGGCGAGACTTGATAGAGGGGCTGCTGATAGTGCTCCTGATGGCTGTTCAAAGGCTGCTCCTGGTAGACGGGTTGGATAGCGTATGTATTAGGAGAAGGCTGTCTGATTGGACTTGTGCTTGCTGGAATGTTTTCTGGCTGCGGCGATGGCAAAGGAGACGGAATGCGCAACTCACCTCCGTCTATATAATCAGGTCTGTAGAGTGACATGTTCGACAGCGATTGTCTGGTCCGCAATGATTGGGGGATAGTGGCAGGATGACCAGGACGCAACGACGTGGGATGACCGAGATTGGCGGTGCTGGTGCTTGTGGTGGTGGCGATGCTGCCACTCATATTACCATTGTTATTGCCGCTGCTGCTGCTCGTTGGCTGTCTCTCGCCTGGGGCTGACAGCCTTGGAGCTCGTTTGGCAGGTGGTCTCGTAGGAGTTGCGAGAGATTGCGTGGCTGGCTTCGTTGGGTACTTTTTAGGCGGTGGAGAGGCATTTGAGAAAAAGGTCAATTCAAGACGCACTTCGCCGCGATATTTGCCGCCGTCTTTCGAATCGAGAGTGAGGGGAACCCATACTGAAGAGTCTTAGCGCGTAGATAAGATAAGAATAGTGTAACACCCACAGTCATCCTCGCCTTTGGTAAGTGAACGCGTGAGATCGACGAAAGCCTCACCGACCTTGGTCGGATCCCTGCTATCATCAGCCCAGCATACGACAGACATACTCTTGGTAGAAGCCGTTGACGCGCTGGAAGACCTTCTACCCATCGAATCCTCGAGTTCAGACATGATGGGAAAGCGCAACTCAGCATCCCATTCAGGCGCTTGGCCACCGCGGTTGATCGTCTGTGTACGCTTGGTAGGAACGGGTGAAGAGGGAATTCTTAGTGTAACGTATGGAGATTGCTTGCCTATACGCTGCTTGTCAACCAGATTGCGCTGACCAAATGCGTCAAAATAGGAAAACAAGGCGGAAAACCGAACAAGAGACTCACGGCACGATCAACGACGATGACGAGAGTACCAATCTCATTTCCAGCCTCAAATTGCTTGGGAGGTGGGCGAGGTGGAGACATGTACGATGTTGGTTGTTAAGAAGGAACGGCGAAGATGGTCAGAGCAATTGCGTCAATATTGGATACAGATTTGTATAAGGTGAGTTTGTGTGTGTTTACGTGGTTATATTATAATTTATATTTAAACAGCTCACAATGCAACAAGCTGTCCTTGAGCATTTCCCCAATGTAGACGTTAGCTATCGATTCACAAATCGCAGTATGCAAATGCGTTTTAATAAACAAGCTTACGATTCTATTATGGATGGATTACAATGTGCGTAAGATACGTAACAGCCACACAGCAGCCACTCAACTCACTCCACTCCAAGTCCTTACCCAACTCACCCTACAGCCCCATGAATACTCCTATTTACTATCTGATAAGGCCCCCATGTTCAAATCCAGCTATGTCGATTACCTCTCCAACTACCGCTTCAAGCCACACGAGCAACTTGACGTACGTCTCGTAAATACAGACAATAACGGCTTTGGTGACCTGGAAATTGATATACGTGGTAAATGGGTGGAGACCATCCTCTATGAGGTACCACTGATGTCAATTGTCTCCGAGTCTTACTTTGCTTACGTAGACACTGATTGGTCTTATGATGGCCAAGAATCTATCGCCAAAGAAAAAATGAAATCTATGGCTCAGAATGGTATTATTCTCGCAGAATTCGGTAGCAGACGTAGAAGATCGTTTCAGGGACATGATATCGTTATACGCGCGCTTAAAGAGGAGAGTGATCGTTTGCAGAATACAGGCGCATCTGGTAAACTCGGTGGAACGAGTAACGTTTTTTTCGCTCTCAAGTACGATCTCCCTCCTATTGGTACTGTAGCCCATGAATGGACTATGGGTATCGGTGCTATCACCGGATATAAGAATGCTAACTACACGGCATTGGATTTATGGGAAAAAACTTTCGGTGACAAACTACTCATCGCTCTCACTGATACTTTCACCACTGAAGCTTTCTGGAGGGAATTATTGGACCATCCTCAGAAAGCTAGCAAATGGATTGGGATTAGACAGGACTCAGGTGATCCCGTCAAATTCTGCAAGGATGCTAATGCTGTTTATCAGCAGTTGGGTATAGATACTCACACCAAAACTATCGTCTTTAGCGATGGACTGGATAGTGATTTGTGTATCAAGCTCAAGCAGGTAACAGACGAGCACGGCTTCAAATCTAGTTTTGGTGTTGGTACTTACCTCACAAACGACTACCGCAAAGCATCAAATGTTAGTGAAAAGAGCAAACCTCTGAATATCGTCATCAAGATAGCCTCAGTGGGAGATACACCGACAATCAAACTGAGCGATGACCTATCCAAGATTACTGGGAATAACAGTACAGTAAAGACAGTTAGAGATGAATTGCATGTTTAATTTTGTTTTTAATATTTTTATATTCTTGCATTTTGCATCTTAAACTCAATCCACGATGATCACAAACATCGGAAGACAGATACTTAGAGGAGCAACGAAGAATCTGAGAGTAGCTTCACGCGCTCCAATTGCAAGTCGTGCATTCACAGTAACCCCAATGCGCTTTGGAGCTGGGAGTAGTGGGTAAAGAACTGCAATCTATGGACCACCGACTGACATGACACAGCCGATGGTACACTCACAGCTCAGCTATCCAACGAGATTAAATTCGAAACTGAAAGCGCCAGCCCAGAGGAACCTGAATGGGTTAGAGTTTTCAATGAGGAGAAGATCTGGTCGATTGAGGATAAAGCTGGCTCAGATGAGATAGTGCTTAGCAGGCAATTCGGAAATGAGTTTATCAGGGTACTTTTCTCCATTTCAGACCTTGAGCAGGATGAATCTGCAGCTGGACAAGCAGAGGAGCCCGTCGATGAAGTACCTGCATATAGCGTGAGGATGTCAGTCAGCGTTACTAAACCAAATAGCGGTGCTTTGACCGTTGATTGCGTATCGCAGAATGAATCAATTCTTATCGATAATATATCCTTCTACAAAGATTCAAAACTGGCTACACAGCTCACTGCAGACGCAGATTGGGAGAGAAGGGGATTATACATTGGACCAGTATTTGAGCACCTCGATTTAGACGTACAAGGTGAATTCCAAAACTATCTCGCTGAAAGAGGTATCGATGAGCGTCTGGCTACGTTCGTCCCTGAGTATGCCGTGTACAAGGAGCAAAAGGAGTATGTCAAATGGCTCGACAACGTCAAGAGCTTCATTGAGGCATGAGGAATTAAAAAAGTTTTGTAAAAATTTAAGCTCGAATTAGCCACAACGGTGTTTGAATAGAAACCACCAATTGGATCAGCTGAAAATGTCAGAGAAATTAACGAGAATTGCACTGGTCAATAACGACAAGTGTAAACCAAAGTGCGTTTAATGGCTGCTCTGTGTTGCATCATCTCACAGCTTACAGGAAATGTCGTCAAGTGGGTAATCCCAACCAAGAAGACACAAATCTAACGAATAAACAAAGGAATGCAAAAGAGCTTGTCCTGTTGTTAAAATGGGTAAGATAGCTTTGTTATCGTATCCCAATCCAGCTCACGCCCATTCCAGGCAAACTTTGTATCGAAGTTGCTCCATCTGACAAGGTATTTCGATTTTGAACAAATACCTGCAACCAGCTCATGTTTCTACGTAGGTAGCGTTTATTTCGGAAACTCTCTGTATCGGTTGTGGTCTCTGCGCTAAGAAATGCCCATTCGAAGCAATCAACATTGTCAACCTTCCTACAAACCTCGAGTCCCAAGTCAGCCACAGATACACCGCCAACTCCTTTAAGCTCCACAGACTTCCCACTCCAAGAGCTGGTCAGGTTCTCGGTATGGTCGGTCAGAATGGTACTGGTAAATCTACCGCTTTGAAAATTTTGGCTGGTAAGCAGAAGCCTAATCTCGGTAAATACGACGATCCTCCTGAGTGGACTGAAATCTTGAAACACTACCGTGGCTCTGAATTGCAAAACTACTTTTTAAAGATCCTCGAAGACAACCTCAAAGCCATCATCAAGCCTCAATACGTCGATCACATACCTAGAGCCATTAAAGTTCCAATCACGGTTGAGAAAATGTTGGATAGTAAGATGGAAATGGGCAACAAGGACCTCATCATGGATCTTCTGCAATTGAGGGTTATCAAGGACCGTGAAATCAACCAACTCTCCGGTGGTGAGCTCCAGCGATTCGCTATCGCTATGTCATGCGCTCAGAAGGCAGATGTGTATATGTTTGATGAACCATCCTCATATTTGGATATCAAACAGCGTCTCAATGCCGCAAAGGTTATCAGAAGTCTCGCGGAAGACCAGGTATACGTTATTGCAGTAGAGCACGATCTGTCTGTTTTGGATTATCTGTCTGACTTTGTTTGCTGTATGTACGGCATGCCTGCAGCTTACGGTGTCGTCACCATGCCGTTTTCGAGCAGAGAGGGTCTTAACATCTATCTCGATGGTTTCCTTCCTACTGAAAATATGAGATTCAGACAGGAGTCTCTCAACTTCAAGATCGCAGACGCGGCAGATGATCTTACACTCGATAAGACATCTTCAGTTCCATACCCAGCCATGACCAAGACGATGGGCGGGTTCAAGCTCAATGTCAAGGCTGGTGAGTTTACAGATTCGGAGGTGATAGTGATGCTTGGAGAGAACGGTACGGGTAAGACAACACTCGTTAGAATGTTGGCTGGTGCCACTAAGGCGGACAATGAAGCAGATCAGCCTGAGCTCAAGGTTTCTATGAAGCCACAAAAGATAACACCAAAGTTCCAAGGTACGGTGAGAATGTTGCTGTTGAAGCAGATCAAGGGAGCATTCATGCATCCACAATTCCAGACTGATGTGGTTAGACCAATGCAGTTGGATGCCATCATTGACCAGGATGTGCAAACATTGTCTGGTGGTGAGTTACAGAGGGTTGCTATTGTCTTGGCACTTGGTAAACCAGCGTCTGTTTACTTGCTCGATGAGCCATCATCCTTTTTGGACTCTGAACAGAGAATTAGCGCATCAAGGGTAATTAAGAGGTTCATTTTACATGCAAAGAAGACTGCGTTTATCGTTGAACACGATTTCATTATGGCTACGTACCTGTCCGATAGAGTTATAGTGTTTGATGGTGAACCGGCAGTCGAAGCAACTGCAAACGCCCCACAGAGTTTGCTCACTGGGATGAACAAATTCTTGGAGTCGCTCCAGGTTACGTTCAGAAGAGACACGACCAACTATAGACCTAGGGTGAACAAGACTGATTCACTCAAAGATAAAGAGCAGAAGTGTGAGTCGGCGGCGGCTTTGTGTGACAAATATACTAACGGTAAAACACAGCGACTGGAAACTTTTTCTTTGTTGGTGATTAGACCGTGTACACATAATATTATTGCATTTCTCCATTCCGTGTTCAAGATTAAGAAAAAAAAAAGAAATACATAGTAGACATGTACATAAAGGGGAATGTTCGCTTGAGCTCGTTTAGTTTGTTAGTTTGGTTAATTCTTATCAGATTGCGTCTTGGCAATGGGGACGACTATGATGATGATGATTACGATGACGACGATTGCTAGGATGATCTTCATACGCGTGTCTTTCCACCACATAGCCTTCCTTACACGATGAGCGCCTTTCCTAAAACCTTGAGCGGAGACAGCGAGATCGTCTGTCTTGTCCTGGAGCTGGTCGAGTCTCTCACCACGTTCAGAGACCTGTAAAAGAGTGTAAATGGTTATAAGCAAGGATAGAATCTACATCAACGGCTGTCAACGGACCTTTGTGATATTTTCTCTCATGATGCCAACCGTGTCATCGATCTGGGCTTGTATGGCAGCTGTCTTTGGCTGCAGAGTGGGAGTGAGCTGGGTGTAAAACAACGGTGGATTAAACAGACGTTTCCAGCACCGCCATTGGCAGCGTTCGCACCGCTGTTTTCTGGACCTGGGTATGGATCGTATGGGGCAGACCTGGGCGGTGTAAATATTTAATATTCCTTCCAACCACTCATGCTCACATCGTCGTATAGTGAAGAGGCACAGCGATGAGTGCGGCGTCGTTGAAAAAGAAATTAACGGGGAGTTTACAGAAACTAAATCTCGACGCGCGGATACAGCTCATGTCTGGCCAGCTCAACAGACTGACGGGCTACGAGCGTATCGAGAAACTCAAAGCAGTGGTTATTGATGCCGAGCAGGCGATAAAGCATTCGCGGGGAATGCTTGTTGATAGCAAGCAAGAGTATGGCAAATATACAGAGATGCGTAGATCGTCGCAGAAGCAAGTGAATGATTTGCTGTCAAACAAATCCAGTTGGGGGGATGTAGAGCTCAATAGATTCACGCAGCTCGTCAAGAGCGATCATAGCATTGAGAAGCTCGAGAAGGAGTACTCGGGCAAGGTGGAGGAGTACGAGCGGTTGGTTGATCGCGGCTTTGAGAAGCTCCTCAAGAGCATCCTCGAACGCTACCACGAGGAGCAGATATGGTCAGATAAAATAAGATCGGTATCGAGCAACTACACTCTCATGGCTCTTTCTGTAAACGTCCTCGTCTTCCTCACCGCTATCGTCTTTGTCGAGCCTTGGAAACGGTCCAAAATGCTCAAAGAGCTGGAAATAAACCTCGATCAAGACCAGATCAGACTGCTGGGCGAGATTGATAGCATGCGAGATGATATACGCAGCCTTAAACCGATCCCCGCCATGTCTTCTTCCCTTGTACCTCCACCGCCATCACCCCCAACGACCGTGGATAGCGCTATTATCACCAACAATCCCTTCGCCAGCCTCTCTCTGGGTATCGTTATTGGAATCTCCAGTTTCTATTGTTTATGTTGATTATACTCCCTTTTAGAATCCTTCTGCTTGTTGGGCTTGGTTTGTGTGTCTACACCGAGGCGCTGTCGAGGTACAAAGGCCTTTTCGATGTAAATCTGCGGTGTTTGTGGAATATTATCTGCGTATATCTCGCTGGTGTGGGATGCAGTTTGCTAGTTTACGAAGCCACGACTACACACGGCGACATGGACAGCAAGGCGTTTATACCCGCGCTGACTTATATAGTCATCGCTCTCACTCTCTTCTACCCTTTCGATGCCTTCTACAAGCAGCAGAGGAGCCAATTTCTCAGCACACTCACCCAGATCATCTACTCACCCGTCACCAAGGCTATTACATTCAACCAGGTGTTTTTAGCAGATATACTCACCTCGTATGCAAAAGTTTTCGGTGACTTCTACTCTTCAATCATTCAATGTCTTGATCCGGAGAGTTCTTTCGCAATAACGCCCCAGTCGGCCAACTACATGGCTCCGCTGTTCACAACTATTCCCTACCTGCTCAGACTGAGGCAGTGTGTAGTGGAGTACATAGCCAGTGACTACCAGCAGAAGCGTTCGCTAGCCAACGCCCTCAAGTACGCATCCGCTCTTCCCGTGATTGCCTTCTCGGCGATCCACAAGCACAACAAGAGCGTGTATCCGTGGTGGTTGATTAGTGTAGTCGTCAATTCCCTCTACTCGTTCTGGTGGGATGTTCGCAATGACTGGGGGCTGAATTTCTTGGATCGCGATGTGTGGTTGGATGACGGTGTCGAGAAAACTCCCCTCCGCCAAACTCTCCTATACAGACAACCGGGCAAATACTACGCTGCTATCCTCGCCGACTTTTTCCTGCGCTTCACTTGGTCTCTTAAGCTGTCCTCCCATTTACACGCTTACGTCCAACTCGAGTCGGGCGTGTTTGCATTCGAAATACTCGAAATCCTTCGCAGATATCTGTGGTGTCTGTTTAGGCTCGAATGGGAAGTCATCAAGACGGAGGAATATCCTAGTATACCCATACACCAGTACACAACGGAGTAGAAAAGGTGTTATAAAGTGTGTTAATATGGTAGTGTGGTAATATGGTAAATGAATAAAATACAAATGCAAATAATCTAATTACTCTGGCTAATATGGCGACTGTCCTCGCTACTCGTCTGGTAATGCTCCATCACCCTCTTAAGAGCTTCGGGGTTGTCTTTGAACTCGGCCCTCCTGACCTCGTACATGTAGCGTGTATCTTCTATCTTCTTGAGGCTATTTTCGAGTGTCTTGAGTTTCTGCTGGAGGGTGTGGAAATGGTGTGTGTTATCCTGTAGCACTAGTTTCACACTCGTGATCAGCTCGACGATCCTCTCGATCAGCGTGAGGTCTGCCATGCCGAGGAGTTGTATCGCCATACGCATCAATTCGCCTGTGAGATCACCCAGCCCAGCGAGGTATTCAAGTGGGCGTACCGGGACGATGGGTTGGTTATCAATCGACAGCATAAGTTGAATTTTATCCACGGTAATAAGCGTATCGCTCTCGAGGAACTCCAGAAATGATATCGCCTCTATATACTCTTCCAAACCTGCGAAAGCGAATTTGGAGAAGGAGTGGCGGATATTTGATCGCTGAATGGGGTCTGAATGGGTGAACTCTACGGCTACTCTCTCCACCCAGATTTTGTGTATCTGCGTGAGCTGTGTATTGCGGATACTAGACAGCTGGTTGAATTGCTCGATCCGCGGTTGTTTGTACACGCGGTGTAAGGAGAAGATCATTCTCTTGCTCAGGGCTGTAATGTCCCGCGATGCTTTTATGACGCGCTCACGCTTATCTTGGTCTTGGTCTACCGTGTGCTTTATAGACTCGAATTCGCCGTTGATTCGTTGTGAGCGTGTGGACATGGCTGTGGGTGGGGAAGGATATCTATTATGAGCAGTGTGTATCAATCCAATTGCAACAGAACAATTACAATATTCTTCTCCTCCTCCTTCCTTTCTCTTGTACCACCAGAAATGCCTTTCAATTTGGCGCACAACACGCACATAGAGACACTGCAGCCAGCGGACAGAGAAGAAGTCAATGACGCAGACGCTGATATAGAAATGGACGACGATGATTCTTTCCCGCGTTCCAAACTCACTTCTCCGGGCGATGTGATTGCGTCGTCGTCGGCATACATGCAGTGGGTGTTGAGTGGCAGCAGTGCGTACACCCGCTCACAACCCGCAGCGGACACGGCACATATGTTCACAACGATAACATCGTTTCCAACATGTTCGGCACAGTAGAGCGTGTCAACAAACTCGTTTCTGTACGTCCACTAAAACACAAGTATATTCCTCAAGTCGGTGATCTCGTTATTGGCCGTATCGTTGAAGTTCAAGCTAAGCGTTGGAAAGTTGACATCCACTCCTCCTCAGATGCTGTCCTTATGCTCTCCTCTATCAACTTGCCTGGTGGTGTACAGAGACGTAAATTGGAATCGGATGAGTTGCAAATGCGCAATTTCTTCACTGAGGGTGACTTGTGCGTCGCTGAAGTTCAGTCCTTCTTTCATGATGGAAGCGTTTCGTTGCACACGCGTAGTTTGAAATACGGTAAACTGCGTAATGGAACTCTAGCTACTGTCCCGCCAAATCTCATGAGACGGCTCAAATCTCATTTCTACACACTACCTGTCAATGTTGACCTTATTATTGGCTTGAATGGCTCTATCTGGGTGAGCATGCACGACGACGTCAGTCAGGACCTCAACCTCAACGATGATAATCAGGGTTTCGATAGTGAGGGCGTGTATAATGACACCAACGACTCTATCGACTCTCAGACTCGCGAATCTATCAATCGCACTGCTATCGTTATAGACATACTCGCTAGCCATAGAGTTCCCCTTACTGACACACTCATTGCTACTGCTTATGATGTGGCTCTCGATCTAGAGCAAGATAATGGTATTAGGTTTCTCTCCAGTAATGAGGATGTTCAGGATGAATTGGTACACTGCGCACTCCAAGTCGAGGAGAGTGCTATGGATAATGCATAATTTATTATATCTACATATCTACATATCTATATAGCAGCGACTGCTTGGGCGACTTGATTGGGATTCGGTGTGTTGTTGGTGCTTCTGTTGGTGCTCCTCTCAACACTCTCATTTGCACGCGCTGCCGGTGTTCTGCGAGGCCGTCTAGGAGGCATCAATCCATAGCGCGGTGTCCAAGGACCTCTGCTATCATTTGCGTAGAAATCCATCGGATAGTCTCTCTCACCGTCGACATCTCTATCCCAACCCTGCGTCCGCTCCAGCGTCACAGCTGCTTCATAAGGCGAAAGAAGTGGTTTCGGGAAAGCGTATCCCCAGTCTATAGATAAACGCGGACACGACGTCTGCACAAATGTCGAAAGCTCATCACCGAACAGAGATACCTTCTGCGGCGACAGCTCTGATATCAGTATCGGCACGTACTCTATCCCACCGCGCGTTTCAATCAGATTCGCTATCGTCTCCAATACCTTCAGACTCCCCTGTCTACCTAACGTGCCGAGCACTACACCCCACGTGGCTGTGGATGCATTGTCGGCATGCTGTGCATCGCTGCCACCTTTCGCTAGTGCTACCGCATCTGATCGTATCATGCGCATCTCTGCATGGTCGTAGTGCTCCCGCGTGATCTTTTTGCTGTAGGGGTCGTACCGGAATGCAGGTACGGCCGGGTTTGCTATCATTATACTCTCGAGGTGGAAACGGCCATCGCCGATATAGAGCAGGGCGTCAACGGCGTCCAATTTAGGTGCCGTGCATCCGAGTACTTCTCCAGGAGATAGCGGACGGATTTGTGGAATGATGACTTCGTAGCTGTCCATGTGTATGTCGCTTTGTTGGGAGTCGAAGGGTGTTTGAGCACTACCGGTAGCAGTAGCAGCCTCAGTTTTACCATCTTCATAGCCCCCCTCGATCAGTCCTGCTGGCTTGGATTGGGGTGTCTCCTGACGCAGGTCCTTGCGCAGATCGAGTGCTAATCCTTGCAACGCACCGACGAACTGTACTGTGCCCACGAGCGCCAATTTCGTCTTTTTGGGTGGAGCATTCTCCAATTCAACACTTTGATATCTCTCTGTATCAGAATGGAGGAGAGTGTTTTCAAATTGCTGGGCGTTGGTAGGGAAGTTCTTCCTTATCGTCTTTGCCAGGTGGGTAGAATCGACACTGATTTCGACAAAGACGTAGAGCGTTTTGATGGAAGTTTGGTTAATGGGTACGAGGCAGCTGTGTCCGTAGTGTACGAGCATATCGCAGCCGAGAGCTCTGGCAGTGAAATCGTCGACGCAGCAAGCGCCGTAAGTGACATCACCGAGGATTATAACTTGAGCGCTAGTGAATCTGTGGGAAGTGTCAGTGTTGCTTTCGACGCCACCAACAAGCCACAAACTTCTCGAGGAGATCAGAGATGGTACAAGCGAACATCTGTAAACCTTCTGGAAATTGTAGGCCAACAACAGTTGCGTTCTCTTTGCGTATCCAGTGAATAGTTTTGTGGATTTCAAATGAGTAATTATCTGGGAGCAGTGCCATGGCAATATTCAACTGCGTATCATTTAGTATTTCATCTGGTATTCCATTCTGTGCGGCTGCTGGTTGGCTTGATGGCGCTTTCGTGCTGCCTACGAACTTCCTCCGCGGTTTCTTATCTTCGGTCATCGACGTACGGGAGAGAGAGGGAAATAAGCAATCCATACTTAATAATTACAACGCTTTTTTGTATATTGGGCTACCGTACAGATTGCAGGCTGTTAAATCGAATCCTCATTCTCAGATTCGTGAGGGTACCTGTGACCGGTGTGCAAGAGGACGATCTAGGTTCTTGATTGCCATATTGCCAGTCGCCGTTGAAGCATGCTATGTCAAAATGGATGTTGCTAAGGCTTTACAAAGAGATGTGCTTCATTCCCAGTGGATGCTCACAGGATAATCTTATGTCAGTGAGCTTCACGTCCGCCCGAGAACTACCAGCTAGCCCGATATGTGCGTGGCGCAAAATCTGGATGCTTCGGATGTGTCGCGTAAGTCTATTTGTGAACAAATGAAACTTTTGTCAGTCAGCCCGCAAGTTGAGATGTTCTTGGTTGCTGAATTTGATCAAGATTAATGAAATGCTAAGATTACATTCAAAAGCCACGAAGATATTCACTTATCCTTGAGCCCGAGTTCAATGGCTGAAGTTAATAATATGGTTTTTTCACCAAACAATGGCTTAAGCCTTCAATTTTACCCGGCTTGCCAAGGAGACCACAACGTCTTCCGAAGCCGAAGCCACTTAAGCCGGAAAATCTTCATCCAACCAAAAGTACCCAAAGGAATCACCTCACATTCAGGAAAAAGGTTAGTTCTAGAATACAGATACCAGTGAGCAGCTGGAAGAGCTATACTCAACCCTAGACTCTTGAACCTTACTGCCAGAAAGAAGATTGCTACGCGATCACAAAAAGCAAAGTCAAGAAAAGCTCATATCTGTATCATCAATACAGCTGATTTCGAAAAGAAAAAGTTCAGTTTGGGTAAATTCATCAGAATGGCATGGTCAGGCCGTAAGGTGAGATGTCGCAATTCCCATATCTCACAGGGTTGAGAGAAATTTTAATCAGGAAAGCTGTCTACGGAAAGGGTTTAATTCCAGCAACAAATACAAATCAGCCACCCGTACATTCATCACTTGGCTCCCCACCTGGTTCACCCCACATAAACAACGCCGAGTTGCCGACAAAGGCGCGGGATGCAGTGAGCAAACTGCAATTCCAATACTATAAATAATTCTAATAAATATCATTGTAACAGAAATGTTGGTGGTAATCGTCAATGCCACGCTTGCTATAATTATCAGAGGACGCATAACACTCAAATATCGGTACATCTGCAACAGGCTTTAGCAGAAACGATCGAAGGCCTGGGTATACAGTGTGCAAACTGCACTAACACTACTACAAATCATTGGTACAGAACTATTAGTGGTCATATTAGCTTAAAAAACATATTTAATTGCATTAACCAACTAATGTAACCTATATCAGCAGTGAAATAGTGAGTTGATATCTATATCTAAATCTACATCTACGTCATCATATTTACAAGATACTGTTGGCAGCTCTTTGCCATACACTCCTTCGATTCTGCTAAACCAGCAATAAACACCTTTTGCATTTTAAATCATCAAAAGTTTCTACTTATTCCTTGCACTTTCTCCTTCATCATAGAAATCGAGTTAGTTTGAGAATTTAGCTGTCACATCAAACTTCGTTTATTTGACATACCCTTCTACATCATTGGGACCCAATAATGAAAGATGTCGTCGATTACGATAGAGGCAGACGCTCTGATGCCGTCAAATACGCTCAAAGCCTTCAAATTTGGCACGGTACTATTGGAATGATTAAGTACACTTGTTACGGTAGCATTCTCGTTTATCTCGCAAATATGCGCTTCCCATGGGTGCAAAAACAAACGCTCGCTGGCAAGGCTTTCGTTGTTAGCTCTTTCTCTATCTTTGGGTGCGTTTTGCGTTTTTCACATGACACAATCGATAACACGACTCGATTCCTCACTCAGTCTTGTCGTATCCGCTGATAGCCACCTATTGTCCCATGAGAGGCAGCAGGGCTCCGTTGAGAATGAAGTCAGGCGGCGCGCTCTAGAAGATCTTAGCGCTAATCACGGCATCGTTGCCAGTGAGGGTCAGATTAGGCGCTGGGTGATGAAAAAGAAAGCAGAGGCCGAGGCCGAATCGAAAGAGGAATCTAATGTACTGTATAATGTACCTTCTACACAATAATTTGTCTAAACGTGCACTCTTTTTGCAATCAATTTGCTGTATGCTTCCTCTACTTTGGCCCAGTCGACAACCTTCCAGAACTCCTTTATGTATTCTTCTCTTCCCCATACGCCAAAGTCATTCATGTAGCACCTCTCTGAAACGCTCAAGCAGAGCAGGGGAGTGAGCACATCACCCGTTTCCGCTAATGCTCTCGTCTCCTGGTTCAAAGTGCTGTATTCTCTTGATTGAGATGGCGCGTGTGCTGCTGGGCTTGCATGGGTTGTGTGACTTGGTGAACTAAGTGGTTTTCCACTCTTCTCCAAAGTGCTATTGCTGCTCATTCCAGCCTTATCGAGACTAAAATTGCTCCACAAGCCACGTTGTTGCCTGCTACGCACCAAAACTGTTCCAGCACCGTAAGTAGTAACTATGCCAAGTGTTCTCGAGCTATCGCTAACGAGCCAGACGTATCCCGAACCAGTGAGCGCACTAGCAGCAGCACCAAACTGTGACTTAAACCCTTCTAAACTTCCAAAGCTTTTCTCAAGCTGGCTGACAAGGTAACCTCTTGGATCCTGTGGTTCAGACGTTTGAGTCAAATTTGATAAGAAGAAGCTGTTGTTGAGTGCCTCGGATGCATAATTGAATGCCAGTACATTCTGCCTGTTTGTTGCCGAATTGATCACCGTCTGAACCACTGAGAGATTCTCGAGTTCTGTGTCTGTGTCGGCGTATAAGCGATGCAATATTCTCGAAAAATGCACAAACCTCTAACTAAATCGTTAAGCCTATTCAACAATCCTTCTTGCCACTGCTGAGATACAATTTGCAGCGTCTTTGGGCTCATGAATCCAGCCAATCCTTTATCGACATTGAATTTCGAAGCTGGGACGCTATGATATTGGCGTACACCACTTAGCCTGCTTAATCCAGCTCTCAGCATTTTTCTTTACGCTTTTCGCTTTGGAAGATGAACGATGAGCTTCAAGAAGTACGCCCAACAGACATCCATGGGAATATCTCACTCGCGCTCATTCAGCTTAGACTCGTTTGTCGCAGAGATCGGCAACGACGTCAGCTACGATAGGAGGTGTGCTGCTTATCTCTCTCCACCGCCGCTGGTCGCTCATCCACCGCTAGTCTCGGCAACTCCCGCTTCCTCAAGGCGATACGCGGCAAGAGCAGAAGCGGGCGGATCATAGTAAAGGTCTTTACCAAGGCTGATCCATCCGTTAACCTCTCGTCTTTCATCCAGCGCTTGAAGAGTGGGTATCGATGACGTTGATGGCCGATATCTTACGCTTTACATCTTACAACAGAGGAAAAATCGCAGCTCGTCGGTATCAGCAATGTTTATGCCTTTCAAACCTTCCTCGAAACTGACAAGGCTGGCTACATGATCCGCCAGTACATCGGCACAAATCTCTACGACAGAGTTAGTACACGTCCATTTCTATCCACAGTAGAGAAGAAATGGATAGCATTTCAGTTGCTATGCGCCCTACAAGACTCGCATACTTGTCAAGTACCTCACGGTGATGTGAAATCCGAGAATGTTTTGGTGACATCATCAAATTGGGTTTATTTGACAGACTTTGCAAGCGTGAAGCCTTCACATTTACCTCTAGATGATCCATCAGACTTCAGTTTGTACTTTGATACTTCTGCGCGGCGCACTTGCTACCTTGCACCAGAGAGATTCTTCGATAACGATAGTGATATAGCTCACTTTCGTCAATTGATACTGGAAAAGGGTACAGCTAATGTCGATACCCAAGACAAACTTGTTGTCACCGAAGCAATGGATGTCTTCTCGGCTGGTTGTGTCATCGCTGAATTGTTCTTAGAAGGCACACCACTATTCACTCTATCACAGCTGCTGAGATACAAAGAAGGCAACTACAACCCCTCATCTGTTATCTCCCAGATTGATGACCAGGAGGTTAGGGTGGGTGTTGTCTCATACACAGAAATATTCTTCTCTGACTATTAATACAGCATCTCATCACGTCAATGACTCAAATGGATCCATCCGAAAGATTGTCATTTTCTGGGTACCTAGCTGAATATAGACAGAAGCTGTTCCCTAATGTCTTTTACACTTTCTTGCATGACTACTCCGCTCAAATCCTCGAACCAATCCAACAGCCACCCAATTCGACCTTTGTTGCTCCATCCAATACCTCAGCGACCCCCTTTGATACCTTCCAAGCTAACAACCAGATTCAAACACCCAATCATGTGAAATATGTACCTGAGGAGAGAGTAGAGAAGTTGTGGAATGATTGGCTGGAGATATCCAGCAACTTCGATGAAAAGTATTGCCAAATCAAGGAAGAATTAGATGAGGATGACTTCGTTGATGGTGTATGTGCTCAAGTTTTCTTGAGCTTTTTACTGACCTGTATAAGGCTGTCTTCCCTGTTCAGCTAAGTATACCAAATGTCAAGCCTCTTCTCATGGTGAGAAAAGATAACATAGACTCTAGTGACGGTGAAGGTAATTATTTTATTCATTGGCTATACGACTTGGCTAACAACCGAAAGATGGTGCTGCTCTAATTGTATCAACATTGCTGTGTTCGAACATTCGCAATTGCATCAAGCCTAGCTCAAAGATGAAAGCTTTGGAACTGCTGCTCGCAGTAAGCAGCTATTTGAAAGATGACACAAAGCTCGATAGGATCATACCCTATATGGTTGATCTACTAAGCGATGCAAGTGCAAATGTGCGAGCATCAACCCTTCGTAATATAACGCAAATGGTGAGCAGAGATTGCTATTTAACAACCGCCACTTATGCATCTCTAGCTACTCATTGTCGGAAGCATCACACCTGCCAACTCAACCATTTTCATCGAATACCTCCTTCCACTTATCCTGACACTAGCCAGCGACAGCTCCGAGCTAGTGAGGTCTACTTTAGCTCAGTGCATCGCGCCTATTGCAGAGACAGGACAAAAGTTCCTCAACTTGGCTGAATCGATGAAGTCAAACAATACATACACGGCGAATGAAGGTGTTGAGAAAATGTTGCTAGATGGGAACGAATCTTTTGAGGTAGGAGTTCTGCACTGACGAAAAATTTACTGACAACATACCCAAGAACTCGTATGAAACATCGAGGCAAGACTTGCAGGTTTTCATACAGGATATCGTAGCCACTCTGCTTACAGATTCGTCATCGATGGTCAAAAGATCGTTACTACAGGATATCATCCCCCTTTGTCTCTTTTTCGGCGCTGCTAAGTCCAACGACTTACTCCTTACTCATATCAACACATACTTGAATGATAGAGATTGGGAACTGCGCTCGGCTTTCTTTGATAGTGTTGTCGGCATAGCTACTTGCATTGGAGGAAAGTCCGTCGAAGAGTACATTCTCCCATTGGTCATACAAGCGCTGTCAGATGCTGAAGAAAATGTCATTGTTAACGTCCTTAATTCCATACGCAAGCTTGCTGAGCTGGGTTTGATTAAGAAGGTGCATGTCTGGGAATTAATTGGTATTACATATCCTCTCATTGTTCATCCGAATAAGCGAATTCGACAGAGTGAGTAGGACTTCGTGTCAATAGCTAGGCTAACTGGGTCAGATATTATTACGTTCATAAGCGTGGCTGTATCTAGGCTACCAGAGACTGATACTTGGTGCATAATCTACCCACAGTTAACATCCTTACTGAGTGGGCAGATTAGCAGCATAGATAGCGACTCATTGAACGAAGCCGCTTTACCACCGGTGCGTATTAATAACTAGCCAAACTGTCCTGACAAATTGTAAGCTCTCGAGGACGCTTTTTGAGATTGCCCAGGAATGGTCCCTCGAAGTACCCAAGTCCCCATTCTGGAGGAATGGCGTCATGTATCAAACAATTGGCCTCAAGGAAGGGCTACGAAGTTTGCACAACGGCATATACAAGCAAGTTCCCAAAGTTGATACTCAGATATGTGATGACGACAAGCCTTACATTGATAGAATGGCAGAGGTGGGCTTCACAAAAGATGATGAAATCAAACTCGCCTACCTTCGTTCGCACATCTCCATGTTCGCTCGGGCTCAGGAGAGTAGGTCAAGTGTCAATGGTGGTGACCAGCCGAAAAAGGAGGACATCGATAAAGTAATTGCTCTCTCTGATCTCAAGGTAGCTCCACAGACGGTGTTTATTGGTCTTAAAAGCTCCAATCTGATTTCAGGGACACTTGAAGCCAACGTCAAGAGCAGAAGCAATTTATCGAAGCAGCGGAGTATTGAGAGCTGGTCTAAGCAGATTTCGTCTATTTCTCAGCGTAATACGCCTAGCAATGAACACGCTAGACCACAAGTTTCTAATCGGGTCGATGTGATGGACTTGCGTAAAAGATTGGCACAACCACAAACCTCTTCTGTTGAGCCAGTCGCTACGAGAGAAGCGGATAATGGTAGTAGACGGGAATCCAGCACGACACTCGATACAATGCATTCCACATCTCCTCGTATGAATGATCTAGCTGGATTCGGAAACAATGATACAAGTCCACCAGAACCTGGCTCGTACGCAGGCTCGCCTACACTCAGCGTTGTGCGACCACAAGCAATTGGTAAACGCAGCGGGCCTTTGCCTGGCGACGGCCAAAAAGCTGCTGCTGCAGTCGGGTCTGTAAATACCAATGCTATAGGCATGCTCGAGGTACCTGGTCGGGAAGCGCCTGGTGAGGAGCAAGGCCAGAACAGCAGTCAGACACCCAACACCGGCGGTGGAAACACCAATCCTAGAATCAATTTGAAAAGTGCAACATACCAGCACACATACGAGGGTGGTGACACTGCGATATTGAAGATGCTCGATAGTGTATGCAGGGAAACGTTACGCGAGCCTCTTGTCGAGTTTGGTAACACTTTACCACCACCGCTCATCAAAAGGCGTAGAAGCCCTTATAGTCAGAACGACGAACCGCCCTCGTTACGGCTAGTTGGACAATTCAATGAGCATGAAGGGGGTTTGACGTGTGTTGCAGTCTCCTCAGATCATGTCTTTTTCGCTACAGGTTCTCATGACCACACTGTCAAAATATGGGATACCGCGAGATTGGAGAAGAATGTTACGGCCAAGTCGCGCCACACTCTACGGAGATCAGCTGGGATTAGTGCAATAAGCATGATCGAGAACACTCACTCACTAGCTGTCGCATGTCGTGATGGTACTGTTGTGATATACAGAGTTGATGTGTCTCAGGGCACAACGCTTCCACGGTATGCTGCTGATGTTAATGATGTTCCTGTCGTTCGTGAATTCAGTCTCAATGGCGCAAGCGAAGGTGAATATGTGACATGGATGTATCATTACAGCAGCGACACAAGCAGCAACTTGGTGTACACGACCTCGTTTTCTAGACTGTGTATTATCGACTTGAGAACGACGCTACCTACGATGGACATTGACGGCCCTGCGTGGCATGGTCCTATAGTTAATGCGTGTATAGATCGCGACAGGACGTGGGTAGTTACTGGTACAATTTTCGGCTGGCTCGCTTTATGGGATATTAGATTCGGGATAATGGTGCACGCGTGGCGATGTAGGAATGGTGGTGGAATCACCCAAGTCAATATGGATCCTTCGAGTGACCAGCTCGTTGTGGTCTGTGTAGACGACGTTAATGGTTCTCGGACGGTTGTAGAGGTGCACAACGTGGCCACTAGGCAGATTGTCGATGTATACGAGTCGCAAGGATCCGCATACAAGAGTAACAGTGATGGACTTATGGATGTGTATGGTAGTGGTAGTTCTGCTGAGGCTATTGAGAAGCTGGCAAACACAGATACCACCAATTATGCTCAGAGCGTTCCACCTTCTAGTGAGGCGGGTCGCTCGCTTCTGATAGGACCGGCTACTAAGCGATCTGGAGGAATTTGGTATGATTTTGGTAATGCGACTGGTCACGCAAATGCTCAACTCAACGCTAGCGGATGGGTATTCGAAGATATCAAGTCGAAGAAAGAGACAGCAATGCCTAAGAAGCGATTTGTGTTGATCGGTACGAATGCACATGAAATTAAGTGGTGGAATCTTGGTGATAAATCGTGGTATAAGTCTGCTGTTTTAAGCGGTAAAGCGGCTGATACTAGGGAGTATATCGTGCGGCAGGACGAATCCGATGCGAGAGACGTACACTACGAAGAGAAGGTAGGAGTGCAAGCGCAAACGAGAAGAAGCAGCAAGGAGACACAGGTGAATGAACAGAATGATAGGCTGATGCAGTGTCACAGTCATTCTGTAGAAGTCTTGGCCGCGATCGAGCTGCCGTTCCGCGCATTAGTAAGTGGTGACAGGAGTGGGGTAATGAAAGTATGGCGGGTGGATTGAGTTGTGTGTGACTCTCTCCTGTAAATTTATGTAAAATTCATGTACCATAAGCACTTGACAGACTACCGTCATCGTCAGCGATAATGGAAGATTTATTTAGCATACTGATAGCTGTTGGAGCTATATACGGATTCTATAGATGGTTCAACTCGAGCACAGCCCCAGCTAGCAGCAGCAGCAGCAGTAGCAATGGCGGTGGCTTATCCAATAGTGAGCTGGAAGTAATGACACAATAAAGAGACTAATTGTAGGACATGCAGTCAGGCAAGCTGATGTACAGGCGCTGCGTACACTTTTCCCCCAGATAGACAATTCAGCGCTTGTTTACGATTTGATGGAGACTCGGTCGATTGAACGGACTGCAGAGAACGTGTTGCGTCGCGGGAGGCTGACTACGGTGAGTGACTGGGTGGCTGGCTGGTTTTATAGTGCACTGCTCACTCGGCTTGCAGCCTCCATACGGTTTTCAGCTGCCGTCGCATCTCGTCGTCGAACCGCTTAGCGAATCATTGCCGAACAACACTGGTAACAGCACCAGTAGCACAAAGGACACACATAAGAACCTCATAAAGAAGTACAATCTCGAGGACAAGGACGTGGATTCTATCAACGTCAATAACGGCTGGGGGACAACAACCGGCGAGCGCGATAGACAGTTTAAAGAGCGCAAGGCTAAGATGATCCTTGAGGCGCGTAGGAAGCTGATTGATAAGAAGAAGAGAGAGGTGGCTTAGATGACGTGTATATCTGATAAAGGGATACCTACAAAGTGATATAAGTGAGAAATGATTGAGATACAAGAATCTTAGACAAGAGAAGAATGAGAGGAGTAATGAGACAGATGAAAAAGATAATAATATAAAAAGATAGAAAACTTAAAAGAGATAAAGGTAGCCTAGGTGGGGTATCTAGAGAGTAGATATAAGACGATTAGATACTCTAACAACAGGACCAGCCGTTGTTGCTGCTTGACGGTGCTCGAGACATGGACGATGATGATTGAACGAGGTTGCTGTCTGACATGACGCTGCCATCGCCAGGGGTGGATGAGGATAGGAAGATGGATTCCCTGTGTCTGGTGGCTTGTTCTCTTGCCAGTTTTGCCTTGGACTGTACAAGTTTGCGCGATATGTGCAGGAAGAGGTCGTTGATCCCGCTGTCATCCTTAGCGGATACTTCGAGGAGTGTAATTTGATCGATGAGGTTGTCTGTGGGTGTATCAAGAGTACCAGGGGTACCAGGAGTGTCAGAAGTGTCGTGGAAATTTGTATGTGAGTTGTTGGAGTAAGACCTGGCAATTGAGGATGACATACTTGTTGATCGAGATCTGTTTATCCTTGTTGGCTTCTCATAGGGAAGTTCCTGGTTGCGCATGACTTCAACAAAGTCAGAGCTGTGCTCAGCAGTCCACTCCTTTATCTTATCCTTAGCATGATTGAAATCAACCTTACGCTGTGACTCGAGATCAGATTTAGAGCCAACGATAGCGATTAAAATGGATTGATTGAGATTATCTGTCAGCTCAGATAGCCAAGTCTTTACTTGTAGGAAAGAATTGTAGGATGTGATATCGTAGACGATGATAGCAGCATGAGCACCACGGTAGTAGAGTGGAGTGAGAGCCTTGAAGCGCTCTTCACCAGCGGTATCCCAGATTTGGATTCTTACGCGTGTTTTATCGATAGTCAATTTCCTGGAGCATATCAGCTGTGTTTATCATGTGTTTCGGCGCACTGACTTTGTGAGGAACGAAGCGCCGATAGTGGCAGCAGTAGTGTTCTGACTAAATAGCCCACTCGTGTATCGCTCTGCGAGTGATGTTTTTCCAACGCCTTTTTCAAATGTAAGTGATACATACGCAGCCACGGCGACACTTGCTCACGCTGAGTACCAAGGATCACGACCTTTGCTTCCAACTCAGATTGCATTGGATCTGTACTTGAAGAGGAAACATATCTTGGTCTCCTTTTTCCGCTCATTTACATTTACTTGAGTCTCTTCAACCAACCACCAAATGGAGAGTGAAGCTTCGTCTAAACTCACTCAACTAAATATTGAAAAACTTTCAAGGCCTTCAAAGCCTTCAAGGGCCTCATCCGTCGATACAAAGACTAGTGCTCCCGTCGCAGACGTAAATGGTCTCGGTTGGCCAGGTTTGTTCTGTCGTCATTCTAGGCATACCCACTCACCCAACTCACAGCAAAATCAACTCTTCAGCGCCTGAAGGAAACTCCCGATCAGAAAGACGCTAGAACCGCTAAGCTCACCGGGGCCGTCAAAACTCTTCTCGAATGTATCGGCGAGGATCCCTTAAGGGATGGTCTACTCAAGACTCCAGAGAGATATGCAAAGGCTCTCCTCTTCATGACCAAAGGATATGAGGAGAAGCTGAGCGATGTTTTGAATCAGGCTGTGTTTGAAGAAGATCACGAGGAAATGGTTATCGTGAGGGATATCGATGTCTTTTCATTATGCGAGCACCATCTTGTTCCTTTCAATGGTAGAGTGCGTTAAATTGATACCTCTCTTGCTCTATTGACTCACCCTGCGCAGATTTCAATTGGATACATACCCAACAAGAAAGTTCTCGGTTTGTCTAAGCTTGCTAGACTTGCTGAAACTTTCGGTCGCCGTTTGCAAGTTCAAGAACGTATGACGAGACAGATTGCTCTTGCTATCGAAGAGGCTATTCAACCACAGGGTGTGGCTGTCGTTATGGAGGCTAGCCATATGTGCATGGTTATGAGGGGTGTACAGAAGCCATCAGCAACTACCGTTACGTCTACAATGCTGGGTTGCTTCCGCCATTCTGCTAAAACTCGCGAGGAGTTCCTTACTTTGATAAGGACACCAAAATCAACATTTCCTTATTAATTATTAGATTAGGCTTGCCTTGAGCGTTGAAAATGGTACATTTTGCTACCATCTGCTCCTGCTCTCTGCTACCTTCTGATGCGTTATGGACTATTTATTTTCTATCACTCAGCTAATTCAACTTGAAAGCACTCTTCGTACTCATAAATATACTAACACGGTATGTTGTACCACTATCCTTGCCTCTTTTAGCCATTCAACTGTGTTAACTGTTTATCGCATGAATTTGTCTCATTATAATGAAAATTTGTCTCCTTCATCCTGTGATTTGCATATCAGAAATCGCGACCCTTGTGCTTGTCTGCTTCCTGTCAATTTATCAAGTCCTTTTCTTATATTATAATTTATGGCTCAAGTCGATGGCATCACAAGCTGATAAATTTCCGTGAACCTGGGAACGAGCCGGTTAATGTTCCGCAACTTCTACAGTGCAGCTATCCTCCTCTTCATCACAACGAAAACGTCATCTCCATCTTTCATCTTAACCGCCATGGTCGTAGACGCCTCCATTTACGAGGAGTGCGCACAAATAATATCTAGTTCTAATTCTGAAAATACCAATAACGAACAAGCGTACGTGTTCCCGTATTCTACTCGACGCGTGCAAGACTCACGCCCAATCTCAGCGTGGACTTAGTTCAGAACTTCCCGAACGAATTCTTTGCCACTTTACTATCAGCTAATCCCCTACCGGAATCTACGCTTAGTCTTATCAAATTCGTAATCCTCTCCCTCGAAGGAGAATTCAAACAACTCGCTCAATCTGCTCTATGCGACACTTTCAGCGTTTTAGACCTCCCATACGAGGATGCAGCCATGGGTTTGAGATTGAAATTAAAATCCACGCTCCCAGATGACCAGAATGCCGTCAAGATGCAACTCGATCAAGTATCTACTCAAAGGAAACCACTTTACGATTTAGTCAGAGCTTTAATTGTGAGTTGCAGCTCGCTCAATATGTCTATCTAACACTTTTCTAGATGGAGGGTTATCTCAGTTCTCAGATGCTCTCACAACGCATCGGTGCATCTGGTTTGAGCCAACTTGGTCTCATCGGCGACCCTACAATCCACCAGCGTAAGGAAGCTAGAGCCAACACCGCGGCTATATATCGCCAGCATCGTTTTAACTTGCACAGAGAAGTTGCAGAGGGTTTCGCCAAGATGTCGACTCTTATTCTCAGCTCAATGGGTGATGGTGATGCTGTTGGCACAATAAGGAGTAGTGAATACATCGAAGCTGAAAAAAGGCGTGCTTTTCAATGCTGGATTGGCATTGAGAAGCTCATTGGTTTCTTCGATCTTGATCCTCTTAGAGCTCTTTCAACAATACTGGATATATTCTCCTCATCAATTGCATCTCACTGGCGGTTCTTCTTGGCTCTGCTGGATTGCTCACCTTGGAGACGTAAGACTAATGAACAGGAGATGCAAACGGATATCACGCCAGGTAAATATGAAAATTGGGACTTTAAGGACATTATACAAGACGCAGAACAAGGTAGAAGACAACCACTTAATCAAACACGGAATACCAACGGTAATTCTTCACTGGAGGCTAACCTTGTTATTGCTCAAGTGTTAGGTTTCCAGATGAGATACTACCAGAGGAAGCAATCAGAGAAGAACTCTGATAGCTGCTATCATCTCTGTGCTCTGTTGATACGTGAAGACTACGTTTCTTTGTTGGATCTACTCCCACATTTACATCCTGACGACAAGACTTTGAATGATTTAAAAAGTATCTACAAGGACACCCTCAGTGACAGGCTGATGTCAGCTAAAACTACAAACAACAAGCTGGCGATGGCTGCTCCACTTAGTGATGATATGCCTACTGCAGCCTTGAACGATAACAATAGTTCCAAGGAGGATGAGAAGGATGAAAAGAAGGAAAAATCAAGTGAAAAGGATGAGAAGCCTTTTGAGCCACCGATGCAGAAGGTCTGTCTGATCATTTCCTTGCTCAGTGTTGGTGCTCTGAAGGAGGGATTCTTTTTACTATCACTTTACCCACACATCCCTTACATTTACCCACGCATTATTGACATTATTTTGAGGATAGCAGAGTATTCAATGGAACCAGTATATGAACCCATTTCAACTAGGACAAAACGCAAGATTGACAAGAAGATTGGTAATACTAAGCAATTTAGCTGCGAAGCTCCGACACCAGTTGCCAGTGAAAAAACCGAACATGTATTCTATTACGACAAGTGGACTGAGAACGTCCCACAAGTACACACAATTAAGGAGACGTTGACCGTTATAGACGGATTTCTAAAATTTGTGGGACCATGCTGTTCACGTAATTCAGTCTTTTTTCAAAAGCTACTGCGTTTAGCCAGTCACGAGTCGCAGAAAGCTAAATCAGAAACATGTTTGGAACCTTGGATTAGTATGACAAGAAATTACTTCTTACCAGGTTTGGCATTGTCAATCTCGAGCAATACATTATCGATAGCCTTGTGGGATCTCATGAAGCGCTTCCCACTCCACACGCGATATCAACTTTACGGAGAGATGAGAGGCTCTACCTTGAAAAGACTTCCTGAAGTGAGGGTAAAGTATTTGGAATCTGAACGCGATGCGAAGTCAATTTTACGAAGACTCAGTTCAAATAAGGCGTATTTGAAAGTACAAGGCCGAGCAATAGGAAAGATATCGCATACCAACCCAGTTGCATTGTTTCATACAGTTTTGCAGCAAGTGCAGTCATATGAGAACATTGCACTACCAGTGATTAATGGTCTTAATTACTTGTCGGAGTTGAGCTACGATGTGTTTACTTATACGTTACTAGATTTCTTCACTGATCCTGCCAAGGAGAGGACCAAATTGGATGGTACAAACGCTTCACTTTGGCTACAAAGTCTGGCAACATTTACAGGAGGTTTGTTTAGAAGACAAGTCAACTACATGGACCCTTCACCCTTGCTTATGTATGTCGGACATGAGTTAAAGAGATGTCACGTAAAGGATCTCATCATATTCAGAGAGATATTGAAAGAAATGTCAGGCATTCACCCACTATCTGACCTTAGTGATGATCAGATTATCGCTCTTAGTGCTGGTCCATCACTCAAAAGCGAAGCCATTCCTCATCAAATGGACAGCGAGGTTGCCAAGTTTATAAAGAAGTCATCGAAGAATTTGAGACATGCTCTTCATACCTCCAATCTCACCATACCTATGCTCGTGCTTATAGCGCAGCAACTTCAGGTCTGTGTATATATGGTGCCTGAAAGCGAGGCCCACCCTAAACATCTGTCAACTTTGTATGATGAGACGGTCGGTGTTTTGCTGCAGTATATTGCCTTCCTCAGGGCCACTCCACCTCTCCAAAATGATCCTTGGTCGACTTACGAAGATTCACTACCGTCGTTTGAAGATCTTGTCAATAAGTTTGGACTGGATATTGGAGTTGCGTTTGCGATTATTAGGCCAAAGGTATCAGGTGAAATCTACGCGTACGAGAAGCAGAAGAGAATTGATGATGATGCCGAGAAGGCAAAAGCCAAGGAAGCGACTGACAACGAAGGTCAATCTGAGCAAGTCATGATGGAGGGAGATAAAAGCAAACCAGAAGCAGATGATAAGGGAGGTGATGTAAAGATGGAGACAGATGTTACTTCGAAAGCACCATCAACGCCACCAAGTACCAAGGATGTGTGGCATCCAATGCTTTCTGGATTGATTTCACAAATGAGTCATGTCCTGAGTGACAAAATCAAGCAGGCGCTTTCACCTGCATTCGTGACGACATTCTGGCAGTTAAGCATGTATGACATTTCAGTGCCGATTGAAAGATATGGTCAAGAATCAGCTAAGTTACAGAGTATGGCTAAGACCCGTGAGTGGTCGATGGTTGATAAGGAAACTGGAAAAAGCAAAGCTTCTACTGTTCCCGCTAGGAAGGATGCGCTAAATAGTGATATGCATGAGCATATGAAGGTTTACGAGGCTACGAAAAAGCGCATAAGTAATGAGAAGCAACATTGGTTTAGTGATGTTAATGCTAGGAGGAATTCGTCCATCAACTTCTATATCCAGTACTGCATCATGCCACGTGTAGTACTCAGTCCTGAAGATGCGCTTTATTGTGCGAGGTTCTCGAAACTTATGCATAATTACGGCGTACCTTCTTTCCCGACGTTACTATTCCTGGATAGGGTGAGTTGGTTTGGCCAATCTTAATTTCCAACTCACACTACTTAGATTCTCTGCGAAAGTCCTTCAGCTATTTTGTCATCATCTACCGAAAACGAAGCTAGAAATTACGGTTGGTTTATGTTTTTATGGCAAATGAATCGAAACTAACGAGAAACAGCTCGCTTCTTGACAGAAATACTGTCCGATGTTTCTGCTTGGCAGAAAAACGAGGAGGCATACAACAAAGGCGCAAGAGGTACAGGTGCTCAACCATTACCTGGTTTTCGCAAGAGTTGGGATGCTCAGAGCAACGTTTTACTCACCTACGAAGAGTTCAAGAAAGCGTTCAGCAAATGGCAGAGCAAGTTACTGAATGCATTTACAGCATGCGTCTCTTCTGGTGAATACATGCACGTACGGAATGCTGTGATAGTATTCAATATCGTCAGCGAGTTCTTCCCAGAATCGCATAAGACTGGCGAGAGTATGTACAATCTCGTCAAGGAATTGGTGTCAAACGAAAAGAGAAACGATCTCAAGATTCTCGCCCAAGGATACCTTGCTCAACTTAGCAAGAGAAGACACTCATGGGGAGGAGCTGATCCTGAGCCACACAAGCCCATTACAGAAAAGAAGCCTGAAACGAAATCTTCTGCACCAGCGGAAAAGACTAAAATTGTTGAGAATAAAGTTAGAGAGACTAAAGTTGATGAGTCTCCAGAGACTGCTGAATCAACAAAACCAGTTAAACAAGCTGAGACAGTTGAACCAGCTTCAACAGAAGCACCAGCTGCACCCGAAAATACAGGAATAGGCCAAGAAGCCAGCTTGAGGGCTCGCATACAGTCACGCACAGAACCTCCGAAAGAAGTCAGCATCAAGAGGGACAGAGAGAAGGTAGATTCGCCTGCAACGACACCAGCACCTTCGCAAGATGATGATCGTCGTGAATCACAGCCAAAACCACCCCAGGGTCCCAGAAAGAGTGATTCAGCTCGCAATAATGGGTTACCTCCTAAGCCAGGTTCTGATACAACGAGGCAGAATTCTGAAAGAACACCCCAGCAATCCCAAAAACCACGCTCTCCTGTACAATCGAGCGGTGCTAGCACAAGAAGAAGATCACCGCCACCTAGCAGACCAGATTCGCCAACGTCCAAGTATGTAGTATCTGTCACCGTATGGATTCAAAGAAATCTAACATATGACTACAGTGTGCCACCTTCTGGACCACAGAGTATAAGAGGCAGAGCAGCAGCATCGGAGAAAGCAGGAGGCGGCTCAGCCTCACTGCTTAGTCGTTTCGAGCCTGAACATGAACGTAACGGGCGTAGCGGATCAGGTGGGGGTCGCAACAGAAATAGGTCACTTTCACCGCCACGAGGTGGTCGCAAGTATGACCAACGTGATAGGCGTGATGGGCGCGATGAGCGTGAGGGTCGCGATGCTCGGGATAATCGTGAAAATCGTGACAATCGTGACAATCGTGACAACCGCGATCGCCGCGACCAACGCGATCAACGTGATTCTCGTGACTCTCGCGAACAGCGTGACCATCGTGATAGATATGAGGATGATAGGTCGGGGTATAGCAAGCGTCGCAGAGTAGAAAATGAAGACAGTGGCCGCGGTGGTTCTGGTAGATACAGAAATGAAGAAATGCGCAAGTCACATCAATACGAGGACCGAGCAAGCACTAATAGCAAACGATCACGTAATGATCAATCTCGAGCATTCGAGTCTGCAATGTCAGTAGCTGGCTCGGGTGACGACTATCGAAGGAAGCGCGGTGACGACAGAGCGAATGAGAAAGAAAGGGAAGTGAAGCGAGACCAGAACTATAGGAAGAAAAGAGCAGGCTAATTAATTTTAAATAATGTTTATCGTGCATTTAAAAGTACAATTTTGTATTTTCATATTTATCTTATCGGAGATTGAGTTTGACGCGACTAGATTGGGATTTGACGCGAACGATGAGTACAGGCGTGGATGGAAAGGAGCCAAGTAAAGAAAATAACTCAGATTCACCAAAGAGAAATGTAATTAGAAAGTATGGCAGAGCGCGTCCAGCAGAAGCAGCACAAGAAGTTAGCGCAACCAGTCATTTCGCTCAAGAACAACAGCAGAAACCATACGAAAGCAATATGTTAGATAGTGATGATGAAGGCGGTGAAGACGCGTCTTATGCTGATCTAAGAAAGGAATTGGGTATTGGTGGATGGAACGATGAAGTTGAGGCTATAGACGCGATGCCAGAAGAGCAGCTGCGTACACTTCCAGCTAACCTAATTGACGAGTTTGATAGCGACGGCGAGGAAACTCAAAGTGCTCATGTGCGTCCTTGTTGAGAATTGTATGTCATCTAATCAACAGCGCTAGAAGGAGAAGGAGAAGGAGAATGGAGAGGATTTCAGTCTTTCCATGGCAGAGCAACGTCAGCTAGTTGAGAAAGAGGAGGGGAGCACTGATCACAATCCTCAAGAGTCGCGTTTACCGCTGCCGTTTGAGGAAGAGGAAATGGATTTCACGGCTGACAGGATCAAGAAGCCGAAGGTGCGTCATCACTATACGCGCTTATTGCCTCCGTCTAACATACCCCAAGGGACTTAACAAGAAGGAAGTCGATAATTTACATCGTGAAACAGCGAGGATGGTCAGAGGTGAGTTGTATAAAGCTTAAGACTAACAAAGCTAACAAGATAAGATCAAAACGTCAGACTGGAATCACGCAGCGATAAGATGACCTTAGCTGATTATTACGCAAAGCTAGCGATAAAGAGAGGGTGCGTGTCTTGGTCTTTGTCGCCCTCCTCGCTCACTTTACTGATACAGTCACGCTGAAAACAAGGCAGAAGAAACGGTCCAAGCTGATGAGGAACAACCCCCAGAAACCACCCTACTCACAACATCCAAAGACACACCAGCAGAGCACGCAAAGGCTGACAAAGATTTAGATCATCAACCAGAAGAAGACATTCTCGTGCAGCAAGACATTGACGCGAAGAAGACACAACAATCAGAAAAGTTAAGACATCTCAAAGTCAAGGCTCTCGAAAGCGCACATCAAAAGAGCCAACAACTTAAAAAATCAAACAAAGAGCAAGACGTTGATGAAGATATTGAAATACTTGCAGATGAGTCTGCTGTTGGTCCAGTCGCCCGTACTGCCGGTGCACGTTTGGGTGCTGGACATGAAGACGCTACCAGTAAAATGTCAGCTAAGCGTCGCTGGGATAGTCGTGAAGCCCATAAAATCAGGAAGTTTGTTGGCATTTCTGAGCGTGGTGGATCAGGTGCCAAGAGGCGCAGAAGCAGTGAAGGCACACCAAACAAAAAGGGAAAAATGCTCACGAATGAGGAATTAATGGAGAGTATCAGACAGAAGACACTTAATCAGGAACTCCAATTTAAGGATCATGTGGAAGAGCTCGAACGTGTGCGCAAGAATAAATACAACATACCTAAACCCAAGACGGAGCTGTCTGAGCGCATTGATCCGGTAGAGGCGGCCATTAAACGTGCTGAAAGAAAGTCGGAAATATATGCTGATATTGGAGCTGATGATGGAGTAGACAGTGACGACGATGCTGAGGACGAAGACTGGGCGGGATCGGCTGATGAAGAGGAAGATAAGCCAGCGATTGCATCAGGCTCTGAACGAGGATCAGAAGAACCTGACGAGAATGAGATAGAGAAGGAAAACCACTCATCCTTCTCATCTAATGCTACGAGTGGCAGACCCGAAAACACTCGCAAACCTCTAGGAGAAGCAACCGGACATGCCTATGATAATGCCAGCGATGATAGCGACGGAGAAGTTCGCGGATATAGGCGGATAAGGAGGATTATCAATGATGACAAGGATGAGGAGCAAAATGAGGCTAGTAAGATTGAGGGTAGATTGGAGTCACCATTTGAAGATAATTCACAGCCTGAGTTTTACATGAATGAGGATGGGCTGCTGACACAGTCGAAGCCGTCAATGGAATTCGCTGAGGAGGGTATGCAAGTGGATAGAACTGAAGAAGTCAATCATGGTAATCAGCTCAGACGCAGATCATATGTGAGTGATAATGACGATGAGGGTTATGTAGCGAGGAAGCCAATGAGACAGACACAGCAAGCAACTCAAGCGACTCAACCAACCCAGGTAACGGAAGCAACTCAAGCAGCCACACAACCAGCCACAGAAATCAAGACACAGCAGCTTACGCAAATTGAACCAATACCGACAATGAAAGAATCAACGCAAGCCACTCAAGCTAAACAAACCATCCAAGCACCAGCCAGCCCATCTTACAGCGACAGTGACAGTGAGCAAGAGCAACCACCAAAACCATCGAGGAGTGCATTCGATACACTCAAGAAGGGAATGAAGAGGCAGGAAGAGAGGCAGAAGCGACCAATTGATCCGCGCTACTTTGAAGCACAAGCTGAGATATCTGATGAGGACAACCTGGTAGGATTGATTAGTGATGATGAAGAAGATGACGAAAGAAACAATCGCCAATTAGATGAGCTGGTGAATGACGACAGGGTGGCACGGGAGACGCGCGACAAGCAGGATAAGTTGGCTACCGAGAAGTACCAAGAGCAGTTAAAAGAGGACGATGAACTGGATAAGAAGGTAGCGCAAAATGCTGCAGATGGTCGGTATAGATATAGGAGGAGACATCGTAATGAGGATGGATTGGAGATGAGTAGTGATGACGATGATATCGAGTTCATGAAGGCGCAGGAACAATTGGCGACTAGGTTGGCAAAGAGAAGAAGGAAACAGGCTGGAGAAGAGCCGATGGAGAGATATGGTGGGTTTAGATGGATTTTTCTATAATTGACGCTGACATTTGCACTCGATACAGCTCGTAATCCTAGAACTGCTGCTTTCGTCGCTGCGTTCGAGGCGCCTGCGAATGCTGAAGATTTTGAAGCGGACTTTGATGTGGAACATACAGGTGGACCTTTGATCGAGCAGCCGGAGCATAGGAAGGATAGTGAAAACAGTGCCAGCGACAGCGTAGATGAGGATGAGGATAGTGATGTATCTGAAAGTACACATCAAAATGACAGCGTTAGGGTGAAAAAGCAGATGACGTTGAAGGAAGAAGCAGCAGCAATGCGCAATTTCATGGAAAGGGTAGGTCTGCTGCCTTTAACGGTAGCGCCGCAGCTGAGATAACAATAACACAGAAACACGCGTACGAAAACATACAGTCGAGCGACTCGGAAGACGAGAGCCAGGCTATGCAGTTCGTCAGGAAGGGCGATCCGGGTAAGCAGAAGCAGAAGCCGCGCATCGAGAGGCGGGAGAATGATGACGAGGATACTGTGCCGTCGTACGCCAAGGGTCGTAGACCGCTTTCGCCACGCTCGTTGAGCAAGTTGAAGAAATATGCGCAAGACGAAGGTAGTGGGGTCAACTACTCTGCTGGCGGGGGAAGGAAGGGAGTGACATCGTTTTTGTCAGAATCAAATAGCGCTGGAGTTAAGAAGAAGCATCAGAGTGCGTCCAAGACGAAGCCATTGCAGTCGCAATCGCAGCAGTCATCGCAATCGAAGCCATCGTCCAAACTAAGTTCGTTCGGGAAGTGGAGTTGAATAGTGTGTAAATCTATATGTATGATTATCGTGGTAACTGTTACATGAAATTGTACAGCACACAAATTTAGAGATGTGCCGTGGCAGTTGTGCGCCTATAGTAATCGGCTTTAATGAGATCGGATGCTCTTTCAGCTACCATTTCGACAGTGATCATAGGATTAGCGGTGACCATAGAGGGGAAGACAGAAGCGTCTACCACTCTAATACCTTTCATGCCCCTAATTCTGAGGAGAGGGTCTAAAACAGCGGATGGATCATTAGCTGCGCCCATTTTGCACGTACCTGCTGGATGGTAGACGGTGTGGTGGACAGCTCTGCCGTATTTACCAATATCTTCATCGCTCTGCACGTGTGAACCAGGGGCAACTTCCTCTTTGAGCCACTTGGCGAACGGCTCCTGTTTAGCGATCTCCCTTGCAATTTTGATGCCGTCAATGATAGTCCGCTCATCTTGGCGAGCGGGGTCGGTGAAATAGCGAAAGTCGAGTGCGGGCTTGACGGAAGGATCGGCGCTAGTGAGGTAGAGTCTGCCGACCGACTTGGGTCTGCAGACATTAGGTGTCATGCATATAGCGTGCTCGGGGCGTGGGTAGCCGAGTCGCGCGGTGTTGTCAGCGAAAGGAACAGAATAGACGTGGAACATGAGATCTGGGCGTGTTTCGCCGTATTCTTTAACGCGCTGAATAAAGAGAGCCGCATCGGATTCCATTACTGTCTTGTCCTCGAGCGGCGCATGGAGCGACCACATGATGATGGACTCGGGATGGTCGAGCAGATTCTCACCGACTGGCAAATCAGCAGTAAGAGGAATGTTGAGGCGACGGAGCTGCTCAGCGGGACCAATGCCGTTGAGGAGGAGGAGTCTAGGTGAGTCGATAGCGCCAGCAGAAAGCAAAACCTCATGTCGACACCTGAAAGTGGTGCGTGACCCGCCTTCCGGTGTAGCTTCAACACCGACCACTCGATCCCCATCAAAGAGGAGCTTGTCGACCCACGAATTCAGCATGAGGTGCAAGTTAGGCCGTTTGTCCATGATAGGATGCATGTATGCGACTGAAGCCGACGACCGCTTCCCGTCGTGGGGTGTGTATGCAATGCTCAGCCAGCCCACACCCTCCGTCCACACCTTGGTGCCGTGCGAGTGGCGAGTCTGCGCCCAAGAGTCGAAGTTGTCGATCACAGGCACGCTAGTGGCCCGTTGCGAGGCGTCTATCCAGTCGCCCATGATCGGGTTGCGGTCTTTGTGCGCCGGCGGCTGGATGTGATTGAGGAGGCGATCGCCGTACGCCTGCATCGTGTGGCTGTCCCATCCGCGCGCACCACGCTTCACCCACTCATCGAGATCTTGCGGAAAGGGGCGGAAACAGATGAGAGTGTTGTGGGAGCTGCACCCGCCGAGTACTTTGGCGCGTGAGTGCAGGATGTGCGAGTTGCCGTGTGGCTGCGCGACGGTCGGGTAGGCGTAGTCGAGCTCCCCGCCGAGCAGAGACAGCCAGGATCGCAGCTGGAGCACCTCCGGGTGGTTGCGGTCGTCGGGGCCGCCTTCGATCACGAGCACTGATATCTCTGGCACCTCGGTCAATCTGTTTGCCAGCACCAGCCCCGCTGTACCGCCGCCGATGATTATATAGTCGAATTCCATCTGCCTGTTTGATTTGAAAATTTTTGATTCGCCGTCGTCGTCGCCAGAAGAAAAGTTTACTATCTCATCTGTCATCAACTCATGGCGTCACCGAAATTATACACAACGATCCACGCGCTTAAGACAAAGATCGAGGTGCCGCTGGGGCTGTTTATCGACGGGGAGTTCAGGCGGGGAGGCGGTGCAGCCTTGTGAGTTGAAGTGGGTGGATAACGGCGATGTGCACGCTGACACGACGCAGCCACACGATAAACCCCGAGAACGAGCAGCCAGTGGTCGCAGATACCGTGCAAGCCGCGAGCAAGGCTGATGTCGATGCCGCAGTGAGCGCAGCCCGCCTAGCATACAACACGACATGGGGGCAGACAGTGGAAGGGAGTGAGCGATCGCGGCTAATGCGCAAGCTGGCCGACCTGATAGACCGTGATACATGCCTACTCGCTGCGGTGGAAGCACTCGACGGCGGCAAGACGGTTACGTGGTGTGAGGGCGATATCGCCGACGCGTCTGCCTGTTTGCGCTACTATGCCGGTTGGGCTGACAAGATACACGGGCAGACACTCGAAGGACATGCGCCTACGAAGATGTCCTTCACCCTCCACGAGCCCGTCGGCGTCGTGGGGCAGATCGTACCGTTCAACTACCCGCTCATGATGGCAGGCTGGGCGATTGCGCCTGCGCTAGCAGTTGGCTGCTCTGTCGTATTCAAGCCGGCTGAGGCGACGCCGCTGTCCACGCTCCTCCTTGCGCAGCTGGTGCATGAGGCCGGCTTCCCAAAGGGTGTGTTCAACGTCGTCAACGGTAGCGGGCGCGAGACAGGCGCGGCGATTGCAGAGCACCCCGATATCGACAAGGTATCTTTCACCGGTTCCACAGCTACTGGCCGCGGCATTGCCGTTGCTGCAGCGCGCTCCAATCTCAAGAAAGTGAGCTTGGAACTTGGCGGAAAATCTCCCAGTCTCGTCTTTCCCTCTGCGGACATAGACGAGGCCGTCAAATGGAGTGCGTTTGGCGTGTTTGAAAACGCTGGACAAAGCTGCTCCGCCGGCACGCGTCTTCTCGTGCACGAAAGCGTATATGAGCAGTTCGTAAACAAGCTAGCACATGCGGCTGACGCGATAAAACTCGGCAGCGTACTCGATCGGTCCACGCAACAGGGACCACAGATCCACCGCGCACAGTTCGAAAAGGTCATGCAGTATATAGATATTGGTAAGGCAGAAGGTGCGCGCGTGGTTGCAGGTGGTACGCGTTACGGTGATACTGGCCTCTTTATCCGCCCGACCGTCTTTGCGGACGTACATAACGGCATGCGTATCGCGCAGGAGGAGATATTCGGACCCGTCGTTGTCGTGATTCCCTTCAAAAACGAAGACGAGGCGGTGGAAATGGCGAATGATACCTCTTACGGCCTCGCTGCGGCTATACACAGCAAGCAGGCAGATGAGGTGGGAAGGGTGATGCACCATCTCAAGGCGGGAACGGTTTGGGTTAATCAGTACACCATGCTCTCGCATAACACGCCTTTTGGTGGTTATAAGCAGAGTGGGTGGGGCAGACAACTCGGCAGCTACGGACTCGACGCGTACATGAATGTGAAGGGCGTTAGCTGGAACTACGGCCCTGAGGCGGCGCCCAAGTTATGATGTGGTGGGTTTTCGAGTGGGCGATTTCGTAATTTTTGTAGTTTGTTTTGAATAGTGAGTAGTGAGTAGTGATTACTGTTTAGAGAGCAGCCTGTAGTATAAAAATCAAAGCGATAATTAGCAATACACTGTGTACCTGAATCAGGCACACTCGAGGCACCCTGAGTGTTGAGCGAGTGCCTTGAGTGCCTTAGTGCTGGGTGCCTTGCCAGCGACGCCTCCGCCTCAGCCTCAACACTCTAACCAACCACCAAATATTCCCGCACGACCACCGATCACCTGCACCAAGCTGAAGCGACACCGCTAGCGAAGAGAGCAGGGCAACGTGAAAAAATAAATAATAAAACTAATTCGTAAGCAGCGCACACCCAACGCAACACGCACAATGACGCTCACAGGCGGCAGTACAGGAGCAGGAGCAGGAGCAGGAATGGGTCCAGGGATGCCCATGGATAATAGCGTGCACGGAGACGGCCGCTGCAACGTCTACCCCCTCTCTACAGATAGATTGGAGTGCCTGCCATCACCATCAAATGCGCAGGTAGCGGTGGCTGTCGTGCTCGGTGGACTCGCCGTCGTGGCATACACCGCCGTCGTCGCAGCCTTGCTGCTCGTCCGCAGGAGGGCGAGACTGGGCGAGAAGGAGCGCGAGCAGGAGTGTGAGTGCAAAGGCGTGGACGGGATAGTGGGGTAGTATATTCCATCAACAAGCAAGCCATCAACCAAATCAACGCTATCTATCTATCTATATGATACAAACGAAACAGGAAGCAATCCACACACTCACACTGACTCCCACTTACTCCATCGCAGCAAGGCGATAATCCGCGAGGTTGTGATGTTGAGACGGGGAAGGCGATCCAAAGAGGCGATCGCGCCCATTGAGGGATTTCGGAAAGGCGATGGTGTCACGAATAGAGGTTGTATCGCACATGAGAGCGATGAGCCTGTCGAGCCCGAGCGCAATACCAGCGTGAGGGGGGGCACCACTAGCTAGGGCTTGTAGGAGGTGACTGAATCTACCCACCTCCTTCTCGCTCAGACGTAAGACGTCTCTAAAAACACTCTCTTGTAAATCCGCCTCATGAATACGCACACTGCCCCCACCGATTTCGCACCCGTTGAGTACGAGGTCGTAGTGCTGGCCGCGCACGCGCTCTGGGTTTGTGTGGAGGAGGTGCACGTCGTCTGCATGTGGTGCTGTGAAAGGATGGTGAGTGGAGGCGTAACGCCCACGTGAGAGATGTGCTTTATCCTCATCCGCACGCGTGAAGAGCGGGAACTCGGTGATCCACGTGAAAGCATAGGGTGTGGTGTGGGGGAGGGCGAGGTGATCTGCAAGCGCCAGACGCAGTGCTCCCAGTGCAGTTCCCCCACCGTCGGGATACACCGGCGTATCTTCACACCACACCACATCCCCCTCTTGCAGGCCGAGCGAGGCGACCATCTGTGGTGTGGGCGGAGTAGGAGGGTGAGCAGCGTAGAATTCTGCGCTCACTCGCGAGGCTGTCTCTTTGTCCAGCGTGAGTGCTCGCGTCTGCATTTGAGTTTGCTTTACGCCACCACTACCTACACACTCACCTCCACCCTCAGCCACGCCGCGTATGGCCAAATCGAATCGCAGGTCGGGCTTGTCGGAGCCGTAAGTGTTCATGGCGTGCGTGTAGGACATGACGGGTATGCTTGGAATGTGGGTGTGCATATACCGCGCCCACAACTCCCCCACTAGCCCTTGGATAAGCTGGCGGATCTGCTCACCACCGATATTCCACCCGCGCGCGCACGAGTCAGGCGAGGCAGCACCATTGACATAGGCCATTTCAACATCCAGCTGGGTAAACTCAGGCTGCCTATCCTTCCTGCCATCCTCATCACGGAAACACCTAGCAATCTGGAAATAGGCGTCAGTGCAGCCAGAAGCAATGAGGAGCTGCTTGGGTTGCTGGGGCGATTGGGAGAGCGCGTAGAAGGAGGGAGTGTCGGAGGAGCGTGTGGGGACGAGGAACTCCCGCGCGCCTTCGGAAGAAGAGTTGAGGAGGATCGGAGTTTCGATCTCGGTGAAGCTGAGGGAGTGGAGGTGGGTGCGGATAGAGTGGGTGATCTGAGACCGGCGCTGGAGAGTTTGGGTGAGGCGCGTGCTGCGCAGGTCGAGATAGCGGTGCTTCAGCTTGAGATCGACGTCGGAGGAGCAAGTGGGGGAGAGAGGATTGAAAGGGAGTGAGCGGGCCGCGTTGAGCATGTCGAGGCGGTGCACGTCGAGCTCGATGCTGCCTGTCCTCAAATTGGAATTGGACGAGTCACGGAGCTTCACTTGGCCAGAAACCTGGATAACTGAGTTTGTCGTAGTGTTTGGTGGGATTAAAGTATTTGGTGTGATTAGCTGTATAACACCGCTGTGATCTCTCAAGTCGATGAAAGATTTCGCCTTGTTCAGCCGTCGAATCGAGATCAAATGGCCAGCGAGGTTTACAGTGCTATTGAGATCATCAACACCAACTAAACCACACAATTTTGATCTTTTGAATAAATTAGAGAGTGTCATGGTGGTTGTGGTACAAGCTTCTATTTCTTACGATTTCCACCTTTTCTACCGTTGAAAGATGCCCCAGATCTCGCCTGCTGGCGCTTGCGATGTCTGCCTACGTCTCGGCCGTGGGTTGAAACCTTTTTGTCGGTATTCGAATCGGTGTTGATGGGCATCTCACCAGCACCCAGATCCTCTGCAAACTCAGGTCTATTGTCCTTAATAGCCTCGTCAGATGGCTGTGTGCTGGTCAGTCTACTGTTCAGCCTAGCCAGCCTCGCTTGATCCTTTATATGGTAATCTGAATCCTCCCTGCTACGCTTAGCAGATCTGTGCGCCTTTTTCACATTTGATCCTGTAAGCCTGGTTAAGTCTGAGCCACTTGATTGGGAAATAACCCACTCATGGATTTCGCCATCTTGGTTGTTCAACTCTAACCATCATGGCAGATGAAAATAATCACATGGACGAGAATAATAATAATAATTCTAAATTATGGCATTATATTAGGCGGGTGTTGTTTATATGGTTTGTTAGTAAATCCTTGAGTTATTTCATTGGTTTGGGTATTGGCAATGGCAGCGTAACTAATCCACCTCCAATCACATCCCCCCATTCCCCGCTTACACCGAAACACGTTACCAGTCTCTGGGACACCCACACTAATATGGATTTATACATTAAACTCAGCACACTCGATCACCCAGATATCACCAGCAACGACGACGACGACGAATCCACCCTCCCTCACCTTCTCTGGGAAAACATCCACTACGGTGACTGGAACCTACACAGAGAAGCCACTCTAGATTTACACCTCCCTCCCAGCGTCACTCACCACAACCACTCCCTCTACGCTGATTTCTATCTCTATAAACATGGCAGTCTTCTTAATAGCAGCGATAGTAATTTCGACCCTCTGTCTCTTGTTCACTCCCGTAAACCTCTCATTCGCTACCTTCCAAAGCAAAAAGAGCGTAAACAGGTCAATTTGTTGGAGGGTGATAGCGAGGTTGATAACACTGACGATGTCATTAATCAATCACAGCAATCAATACAACCTTTATACACCCCTTACTACCATCCCTCTCTCCCCCTCAACATGATCCAAGACACCAGCATGAAAATTCCCTACACCTCATCCCCACCACCCACACGCTCTTACATCTCCTTAGACCCTTCAAACTCGTACCATTACCCCATCCTTTACCCAAACGACTTATGGCTCCTTCGCAGTCAGTTGATTGAAATTAACTCCACAACTACTTGCCTCCCCTTGACAATAACACTCGACTCTCTCACATTCTTCAAATTCAATCTCTACGCCAACATAAACGAGGGTATTGAGCGGAGTGCCCAGCAGCAAGGTACAGCAGGTGAACTTGACGAGTTTAAACGCATGATCCTCGAAACAAATCCTTACTTCCTCGCACTTACCATGTTAGTAACTCTCCTTCACACCCTCTTTGAATTCCTCGCTTTCAAAAGCGACGTCAGTCACTGGCGGGATGAGAATCACGACATGGTTGGTGTCTCACTCAACTCAATACTCGCAAATATAGCAGTCCAGCTGATTATCCTGCTTTATCTCCTCGACAACAACGACAATGCAAGCTGGACAATTATCGGTGGTCAGGGTGTAGGGCTGGTGATAGAGATGTGGAAGGTTACCAAGGCGGTAGATGTGGGTGTGATGCGTAGTGAAAACAGATGGTTACCTCACATCCGCTGGTCTGACAAGAAGCAACTCACCGCCGAAGAAAAGAAATCACGCGAATATGACACCCTCGCTTTCAAATACGTCAGCTGGGTGATGATACCCATCCTACTCGCTTATACCATCTACTCCCTCCTCTACGACACACATAGAGGGTGGTACAGTTTCGTTGTATCTACACTCACATCCTTCGTCTACGCGTTCGGGTTCGTTCAGCTCATCCCACAACTCATTATCAATTACAAACTTAAAAGCGTTGCTCATATGCCAGGACGCGCTATGGTTTACAAAACACTATCGACCGTTATAGACGACTTGTTCTCGTTTATTATTAAGGTTTGTGTGGTTGCCGTAGTCTATCTATCTAACATCACCTCGCAGATGCCACTCCTTCATCGCCTCAGCTGCTTCAGAGACGACGTCGTGTTCATCATCTACCTCTACCAGCGTTGGATATACGCGGTGGATCCTGATAGATTGAATGAATATGGCCAGGCTACGGATGAGAAGGTGAACAAAGTGAATGGGGCGAGTAAGGTGGAGAGCAAGAAAGATCAATAGATGAATTTATTTATAGCAAGTATTTAATTAATTTGATTTGTTTAGTTTTTATTTTTTACTTTTACTTTCACGCCTCACTTTCACGCGTCTCTTTGTCGCGTCTGTGTCGCGTTCGCTTGTTTATCTCCAACGCCCAACTGCGAATAGCTGCACATTTGCACAGCTGCACACGTACACAGAAGAAGACATCCTGCCAGTCTCCACCTGTATCTACATATATCTGCATATATCTGCATATATCTGCTTCTATCTGCTTTAGAAGAAAAGCAATTGCTCAGCCACAGCCACGTAAACCCAGCGCACACAACGCACAACAAAACATGCCACTCAGAACATCACGCAGATTGCTCCACCTCGATCCACAATCCACCGAGGAGGATTTAGATCTGTTGGGGCTCGACAAGCAGCTCAATATTGTAACTCCGAGGAAGAATAATAGACGGCAGCCACATCCGCCCAACGGAGATACCACAGAGGAGGAGGATGAGGCTGTTAGTGATGCACATGCACATGCTGCTACTAATACTGCCACAATCACTCAACCATCTTCACAATCACCTTCTCCAAAACGGAAATATAGACAAAAACAGAGACACAGTCGTTCAGAAAATACACAACCTGGCACTGGTAATGACACTGGCAATGACACCACCACAGACACAGACACAGACGCACCTAATCTAATCAAGAAACAAATCACTCCAGAGAAGAAGAAACGTGGTGACAGTGTCAGCACTGCCAACAACACGCACACGCACACACGCACATTGCGTAACTCTCATTCAACTACCTCAACTCAATCAACTCACCTCACTCACCCATCCACTCGCGCTGCTCTTGCTCGCGAGAGTACCTTTGGCGAGAACAGAGACACAAATAGAGACACAAACAAAGACACAAACAGAGATAACTCAGGTGTCTTTAAAACACCCAGCAAAACACCAAAAACACCCTCCAGAACAACACGCAATTCCCTCAAAAAGCAGGACACCTTCGATGAATACATCCAGCAGCCCAAGACGCTTTTCAAGGAGCTGGCGGGAAGTGTAGAGACGGAAACAGCGACTCACACTCCCTCTCACTCCCGCTCCACCCCTCTCCTGCGCCAAGACACACTCAACACGCTCAGCCAACCCAGCAACATATATGCAACAGCGCGCAACGCCATCCGCAGTATGAACGCAGCATCTGATAGTGACGAACTGGTTGGACGCGATGAGGAAATACGTACGATACGCAACTTTATCGATCCTGCCTCCCCACACTCCTCCCTATATGTCTCAGGACCGCCAGGAGGAGGTAAGACTGCAGCTGTGCGGTTGGTAACGCGTGGCATGCGCGCGCGATGGCTCAATTGCATGACTTATAGCGGGGATGGGCTGTTAGAAGAGGTGATGAGTGTGGGTGTGAGTATGGATAGGAAGAGCGATAAAGATAAAGACCAACCGAGGTGAGTTGAGTTGGATGCAAGCTAATATCCTACGCTAATTCTAATTCTAATTCTAACTTAACACAGACTGGTTATCCTTGACGAAATCGACACTCTCGCACACGAGCATCTCCTCAAGCTCTTCCAGCTCTTCCAGAATCAGAACTCGAGCCACACGAAGCTGATAGGGATAGCGAATGCACTTGATCTGACGAGCAACCAGCTGCAGAACCTAGCGCACCCACCAGTACATCTCCAAGTACACGCGTACACCTCGGCGCAGTTGGCGGCGATAGTTGATGCGCGTCTTGGAGTATATCGCCAGCTGTTCATCTCCCAAGCGCTCGAGCTGCTTGGGCGGAAAGTGGGCGCGCAAACGGGGGACCTCCGTCAAGTGATTTCGGTGCTAACGCTTGCACTCGACAGTGTAGAGAAGGAGCAGCGGCGGAGTAAGGGAGTGGAGGGTGTATCTCAACTGACGTTGGAGGATGCCCCGCGTGTAACGATGCCTGTGATGCTAAAGAGCATCTCTGTGCGCGTCACCTCCGCCCAGAAAACCAGTCGCGGTGGCAAACTGGCTGGTCTCAATCTATATGCGCGCATCGCGCTGCTGTGCGTTATGCTCACTATGAAACGCAGATCTAAGCTCAGAAGCCGCGTCGGACTGTACGAACATTACTGCACCCTCCTGCGCACCCACTCCACTCTCAACCCGACAACCAAATCTGACTTTATTGATCTCGTCAATGTCCTCGTTAGCGCTAGTATCGTCGTCGAACTCGCTGCTCCGTTCGATCAGAATAGGAATGCTAGTGACGCCTTACTAGGCACTCCTAGCAAACGCGCTCGTAATAGAGCTGTTGCTGCTGCTAGCGAACCGGAATTCGGTTTGCAGTATAGCGAGCATGAACTCATACGCTTGTTGGGCGTCGCTGATGAACAGCATACCCTCGATGATCCTCTCCTCGAACAATTGAAACGTGTCTATTGGGGTGAGTGTAGACGTATCGATGCCGAAGCTGTAAGGTTGGAGTGGAGTAAGAGAACACCGCTTGGTGAGAATAACAAAAATACACCAGTAGATGTTTTCGTTTAGATAGTATTATAGTATATCACATATATCGCATAACACATCAACTCATCAAGTCAAATCCATTTAACATTACATTCATTAATAGTTAATTGCTTTACTTCTGCACACCCTCGTGGATAGCTTTGAGGAACTCATCGCCGAGCTTCTTAGCACTGGCAGGGTTCTGGCCTGAAATATACACACCATTGGCGTTCTTGTCGACAATGACACATTCGCCCCATGGCTGGTCAGCCTTGACGTAGACACCGCCGTGTCTCTTGATGTGATCCTCTGGTGTCTCAGAGATGCTCTGGACCTTGCCGACCATTTCTTCCTCGGTGTTGGAGAAGGCGGTTGCTTGTCTACCCTTGTAGATGGACTCGCTGTGCTTATCGACGACGTTGCCGAGGACACCACCTGCGTGGCACACAGCAGCTACTGGCTTGCCTGCTTGGTAGATACGGCTGATGACGCGCTGTGCGTCGTTGTCCTTGATAAGGTCGATCGATGGACCGTGACCACCTGGAAGGAAAACAGCGTCATACTCGGCAGGGTTAATTTGGGAGAGAGGGACGTTGTTCTGGTACTTGTCTGCGCGGTCCTTGAGGAAAGACATGGATTCAATGTCATCCTTGAACATAGCGATAGATCCTGGATCAATCACTGAGTGTCCTGTTGGTGAAGCGAATGTAATGTCTACGTGTTGGTGGATTGCATAGAATGGGTGGGCCAATTCACTGATGAACACACCAGTGTCTTCGCCTTTGAGTGTTTTGGTGGCGGAAGAGAGGACGATAAGAACCTTTGGAAGTGTAACTGCTGATGACATTTTTTTGGATGTTAGTCGTTTGTAAACAAGGATGAGAAACGATGATTAATTTACGTGGATTATCATAACATACGTCATACACCTATTTATAAGCAATCTGAGGCATTTATTCTGTGGCAGCTGAGGTAAGATATTTGCATTTAGATATCCCTCCCTTTACATCCACCAGCTCCTTCTGAGTGTCGTTGAGTTATCCAAATTGTATTTGAGCAATTATAAGTGAGTGTGGGGTTAGCGTGTATCTGTACTACGCGCCCACTTAAACCCAACAAACACCTCTAGATAACTCCCCTCAATCCCTCTCACTTCCTCACTTCCTCACTTCCACCGCCCATGTCTTCCAACAGCGAAAACCCAAATACGACGCTATACGTGCGCAATTTACCTGATAAAATTAACAAGCAAGAACTACGCCAGCAACTCTACTTTAGATTCCAATCCTACGGCCGTATCCTCGACGTCGTTGCGCTCAAAACCGACAAACTACGAGGACAGGCGTGGATAGTATTTGATGTATTATCTGCAGCTACCTCCGCAATCCGCGCTGAAAACGGCAGCAGATTCTACAGCAAGCCTATGACAATACACTATGCAAAAACTACATCAAATGCAACAAAAATACATAGAGGCGGTGCAGGTGATATGTACAATGATGCACAGAAGAATGTACAGCGTATGACCATATCTAATGCTTCAGAAAGTAGTCTCGGTTTGAAACGTGCAAGGGAAGCCGAGGAGTTGCAAAGGAGGGACAATGATGCGGCTGCTACCTCAATAAACACCCAAGATTCCAACAAAAGAGTTAAAGTTGACTCCTCCTAGACACACTGTACATTACGTTTAAACACGTTTATATACGTTTAGATGATAATTTATTGTAAACTAATACAAATCTTTACCAGCGACTTTCGGTGATTTGCTAATTATGGCCTCTCACATACACCTTTCACGCAGGCACTTGTCGAATCTACCTTCCAACGCCTCAAGTGTTGTTGCGCAATCTGGACGCACTGTTCCCTCGCCATAGAGTGGAATAGAACGGGTATCCTTTGTGTCCTCTGCGTGCTCTGTACTCTCCGGAATAACATCCTCATCAACTTGCTCCTGATTCTCTATCCCGATATTAGACGCCTGTTGCACCGCCTGGTCAGCCCCATTGCGCACCCTTCCATGCATGGTAATTGGTGTGATTGGATTTTTATCAATCATGTCCTGCCACACTGCAATAAACACTCCCGGTCCAATACCAGGCTCAGTCTTGTATCTATCGAGCAAATCATTCATCTTCTGCTTGCTGCTATTAAGTACGTTGTTTTGGTACGTGACGTGCTCATCCAACTCCTTCATAACCTTGTCTTGCGTCTGTGGGTCGAGTTGGTCAAATAGCTCTTGCAACACTCCGGAATAGTCTCCCGCTCCAGTACACTCCTCCTCTGTCACGTCCTCGCTACTAGTGCGGTATTCATTCAGTGAATGCATATACCACGACAAGTACATGTCCTTCATTTCAGGAGCGTTCTTCACCAGATTGTGCAAAAACTTGTGCAAATTCTTCTGATGTTTGTTGAACAGATCTATGTAAGCACGTGGTCCGACCTGCTCCTTAGCTATTTTGACGAGATCGTCGATGAATATTTGAAGGTCTTCGAGCGTTTCTTTCAAATTAACAGATTTGTGTAATTTGCGAATAAGCGGTTCAAACGCATTTAATGCCTCAGTGACGCAAAGTGAAACGAGATCCGGTTTGGTATCTACAAGTGCATCTATCAAGCGATATCTGTCGCGTATTGCCAGCTGCAGTGTGAGTTGGGTGAGTAATGTTGAATGAGCCTTCTCTGATGATGGCAGATCGACTTTCTCGCGAGAAAGTATGGTTATAATGATTGATTGGTTGTTTTCTATCGTCTGACTGCGTATCTCCACCCTCTCCTCTCGTGTAGCGTGATCAACGTATTTCTGAATAGCCTCCTTCTGCGCTGTGGTCGCACCATTCTCCGCCTCCTTCCTTTCAACGTCTGCCCACTGTTTCTGAAGGTTAGACTTATCTTTACCCAAAACACTCGTAATGATGCTGGGATTTGTTAATAATATCATCCAATAAATAAAACACTCACGTCTGCAAGAGATTGTTGCCACTGCCTATGCCAACATAACCCAGTGGATTCCGAGACAAGAAGATTTTGAGTACGCCGGATATCATAGTGGCCGCATTAGCGACCTGAGTTGACACCCCGACGAGAGAGTACGGGAGGAGGTTGTGTATGCGCGAGATAAGCGACACTGTCGACTGTGCACACGGCGAGCGTGTAAACAAGTAGTGGAGGAAACTAGCCAAAGTAGCACTAGCGAAGGAGTGCGCGGCCTGATATAAAGAAGGAAGATCTTGTAGATTATCCGTCTTCTCGACGTACGCGATAAGATCCTCAACGTAATTACCATAAACGAGACCTTGCAAGAAGTCAGACCACGCGTTCTGTACGTCTGTTGGGTTTTGCGGATCGTAGGAGCATTCACGGGCGTCCTTGGGATACGTAGATTGATTCTTGCGTGGTAGACCACCGAGAACACCTCTCAAAGCGTATTCAGCCTGTCTTGTGTGAGTTGGGTGGTTGGGAAAATGGATAACGCACTATAACGATAATACCCTGTCCCAATATCTTGCGCTTACCGAGAAGACCTTTATCGAAGCTGTCTGAGAGGTCCTGTGAGGAATGATTGTGAGTATTTGCGAATGTTGCAGCTATCGACAGACTTGTGCAGCCAGCCTCTCGAGCAAACCCTGGGCCACCTGTTGCCAGAGCTCTGGAGAGATTGTGTTGAATCCAGGCAACGTCAACGCTAACTGTCTGAAGAGATAGTTGAGCGCAGGACTCGGCGGCTGTGGCTTATCTGCGAGCGGTTTGAAAGGGTATCCAGAGCTTGAAACGCGGCCGGGTACTTTAGTGAGAGTAAATTCGTTGAATGATTGCACATGCGTGAGTATATCAAATAGCGCCTTTAACTGAGCTCCATTTAACTCCATATTAGCCGCCGTCATCGTATAGGTCAACCGACGGATAGTTTTCTTGGCAGGAGTGAATATGTGTATAAATTCAAATTACAAATATAATACCAATTATCAGTGCTATTAAGGCTGTTAACGTGGCTGTGATTGAATTAGCACCGCTATCATCGTCTGTGCTATCACCATTGCTATCGGTGTTACTATCACCGCCATTATTTTTGGTAACTGAATTGTTTGACATTATTGGTAACGCCGTGTTCTCCACTTGTTTCCATTCCGCACTGTCCTCCTCGCTAAAGTCCAAATAATACAACTCACTCGTCGATGTGAGCTGTACGAGCGTATCTTGTGTACTCGCGTAATCAGCTTTCTTATCCTTCTTCGTTGGACCATCGAAAGTAGTCGTTGTATTGCTTTCTACGTCAATCAAGTAAGAATTTTCACCAGAATCTGGAATAAACCAGAATTTAGTCTGCCATTCATTATCACTTTTGAATACTGAAGCCGTCTTTCCATGTTGTTGATTCCAATCGCCGTACTTCTGCGCCTCCGGTTGGAAATACGAGTAGTGGATAACGAATAAATGAGCTTCACCTGGATCAGCGCCAGGAACATCAATAAAGTGAAGATGATTAGATGCTAATCCGATAACAGGATTATAGTCATCTGTAGTGAATGGAGGCTGTTCAACAACATTCCAAGTGAGAGTATCGTTTGGAATCAAAGATTCATCACCCATTTCCAACGAATAGAGAGTATCACCATCCAAACCATACCAAACATTCGTATCGTGATCTAAAACTGCTTCAAGATTATCCAAACTTGGCTTATCATCATCTGTCAATTCTGCGCTTTTCTTTGTCCATTCTTTATTATCGAAGTCGAGTATATAAACGCTATTAGGCTCACTCTTCTCCACGTTGAGGCACTTGAGGGGAGTCGTTAGGTATGTTTACACTAAAACAAACAATTCACTTACGTATGCACCATTATTATACTGCGATAGCCAGCAATTTGGGTTAGCTGTATCGAATGACCTTAAGTCAATGTCAACTAAACACTAAAGAAAAAGACGATGAAACATCTACATACGGTCTGTCACCTTTAGTTATGTTGTCGAATGAAGAGCTTGAATTCCAATTCTTCTTGCTACCTGCTGCAAAGTCCTTATTGGCCACACCGAGTAGGTAAAGGTTCTGATCACTGTCGAACACGACTTGTGAGTCAGCGGCGGCTGTAGCGAGCGCAGCAACGACTGAAAGAATACCCCACTTCATCTTGATTGTTTGAGCACGAGGGTCTAACGCGCGATTACTATTTTTAGTTGATTCACAGCCTAACCGCAGACCTATTCATATCTCGGTGAGTAAAAGTGGAATACATGAATATTTAAATATAATGCTATTATACATGTATCTAATAATACGCAACACAATGAAGTAAGGGATGTGGATGTAACTCTCTTTGTCTATCAAGGATACTCTCAATATCCTCATCTAGATCATTACTACGTTCAATCTAACAAATATTCAGCATAAAATGGTCAACACACCAAATTTAAACTCACCGCTGTTGCTAGATCGAGTATTGCTCTACCTGCTAAAAGAGCCTCTTCATGATTATCCTTAATCTCAACATTAACTACGTGTACAGGCCTATTGAAGTATGCCTCCCGATTCAATAGATCATCACAAACAGCCTCCCAACACCTCTCTTCGCATGTAATTACTATATCTGTATTTGGTGCACTATCTGACCAGCGCTCTGGTGCAAGCTTTATCTGCCTATTCCTATCTAACATTGCCAATAAACCGTTATTAGTGTACAGTTTCCTATCTTTACTTTCTAAATCCTTAAGTATATGATTATATGGTGTACCAAACGCATAAGTATTAGGCCTGTCTATTGTTGTTCCAGGTAACCGTACTGCTGTACCTGTACCAGAAGATGTAACTTTGAAATTAGCTTTAGCCAGCACTTTATGCGCTTCCATTGATCGATTTTGATTGGATGAGCAGACTACGCAGAAAACTCTTTTCTTTGGTGAGTTTGAAGTTATTGCTGTTGCAGACGTCGTCGGTTCTAGTGATTGCTGTAGTTGCTGCTTCTGCTGCTGTTGCTGTTGCTGTATTTGCGCACTCCTCCGAGGATCCACTCTACCACGTAATCTTGGATCCATTTTTCTTCTTGTCGTTCTTGTCGTTCTTAGCGTCGTAGATGATGATGAATTGGGTTAAAGAGGTGAAATGCATCTTGATCACTTACCACCATGAGCAGACATCGCTATGTTAGAAATATGAATTTAGATGGTTAGTTATTCGAATTGCCAGTTTCATTCTTAATTTCAACCTCAAAGACGAACTCGACGACGGTGGTTTCAGCGATGAGTACGATGACGACACTCAAGATCAAGTAGTTTATGGTGTGTACTGGGTTTATTTCGCTCACTCCTACTCATCACACACGCTGCAGAAGGTATCACAGAAGATCAACTTGATCAATTATACGCTGGTTTAGACAGCATACGCGATTCTATCCCTGATTCTACCTCCTCTGACCGTGAAGTCAAGGACGCCTTGTGGTACTTCTACTTTGATGTTGAGAAATCCCTTAATTGGATTCTCGGTACGTCATCATCCCCTATTCAAACGCATACAGCGCTCAATTACTTGCAGAAGAATCCTCTAGACGCGCAGACGCTCAGCGCAAAAAGAAGGAGAAAGGTGAGCTCTCTTCCCTCCCACTCGACCCGCATCCGTCCAACTATCCTACTCTTCACCTAGATGAGGCGCCTCTGTCAGCACTTAAAAGGCTTGCGATTGCACGCCAGTCAAAGTCACAGCCATCGTCGTATCAGCGCCAGCACATTCTCTTCACTGGAAGAGGCAGGGCGCGTGTACCCCTGCCTTTTGATGTAGAGAAAGCTATCCATGTGAAACCTGATAGGAAGGTGTCTATGGTTTCTGAAAATGTTGCCGAACAACAGCGATCGCCGACATCGCCTACTGCTCCTTCTAAACCTATGTCCAAGTTGGCGGCTATGGCAGCAACTAGAAGGCAGCAACAGCAACCGCAGCAGCCTCAGCAGCCATCCACACCTACAACCTCTAAACCACACTCGCACACCTCTGATGCATCCACCAAACCGCTCTCAAAACTACAGTCAAAAGTCCTTCAAGCACGCGCAGCTCCTCCGCCAGACCAGCCACCACCACCGCCACGCGAGCTGACTCAGGCCGAGAAACTTTTCATAGAGCTCGACACTAATATAGAGAAGAACACTCCCTCTGAAATTGGCAACGTCATTATTAAAGCAACATCAAAACCCCATGAACATCACCTAGCCTCAGAGGCTAATTTGTGGATATCTCAAAAAGGTGCATTCGACGGACCCAGTCCAGACGATGTTGTGCTTTTGGCTCGCAAAGGCACAGCCCTCGATAGTGCAGACAGAGGCTCTTCGTAGACACCACATCTTTATTCCCTTACTATACCCTGTCCGACCCCCTTTATTACAATAAATATTAATAATACTCCAGAACAGAATCGCACATCCAAGCCAAACTCCAAGGCATCCACTCCCACCCCAGGCACACCTCGGAAAGAGTTTGCAAATCTCAGCAAAGATGTTAGCAATCTCAAAATCTCAGCCAACAGCACCCCGGCGCCATCGCGCCCATCAACACCACAGATTCAAGAATCGAAGAAGCTAATCCCGCGTCGAGAATTGGTAGAGAAAGTGCAGAAGACGCTCACCAGCGACATAAGTCTGTGTGTAGTTGGGCATGTTGATGCAGGTAAATCAACTCTCCTGGGTCGACTGCTTGTCGAGCTTGGTGAAATGACAGACCGTGAACACGAGAAAAATGCGCGTAATTCCGACAAACAAGGCAAATCTTCTTTCGCATATGCATGGGCAATGGACGATCTTGTAGAGGAGCGTGAACGAGGTGTGACACTGGACTATGCTGTGACATCCCTGCGCACCAAGGACCGTTTACTGCATATAGTTGATACTCCAGGACATTCGCATCTTGTTCATAATATGATCTCCGGCGCGCAGCAAGCGGATGCTGCTCTGCTTATTATCGATGCTCGTCATGGCGAATTCGAGAAAGGGTTCTCGGAAAGAGGTCAGACTAGAGAGCATGCCCTGCTCGTGCGCAGCCTTGGTGTAAGGGAGCTTGGTGTGGTCGTCAATAAGATCGATGCGACAGGCTACTCACAGCAGCGGTTTGACTTCATCACAGACTCGCTTAGACCATTTCTTATCAAGAATGGTTTCAATAAGGATCGCATTCAGTTCGTTCCGTGTGCTGCTATGACAGGCGAGAATGTTACGAAACGGTCAAATGAGTCGCTTTGTGGGTGGTATAAGGGTCTTACTGTCGCTCAGGTTTTGGGTGAGTGTAGTTGTATACAGGTCTAGCCGCCCTATACTCATTGCTCACACATACTCATTGCAGACCACCTTGAACCCCCTCAACGTCCCCTAGAAGCCGGGTTGCGTTTGCCTGTTCATAACATCTTCAAGGGCCAAACTGCAATAGCAAGTGGGGTAGGTGTCACTGGTAGATTGTGCGCTGGTGTGGTGCAGGTTGGTGAAAAGGTTAGATGCATGCCGGGAGACGAGCATGCTATTGTCAAAAGTAGGTTTGATTGAGTAGACGATTTCTTTCTAATGAACCAAAGTGATCGAGGTGGACGAGGAACCAGTGCCATACGCCGCTGCTGGTACCAATGTCACGCTGTATTTGGCGAATATTGATCCAATTCACCTGAGGTGGGTGCAAATCTTGCACAGCGTATTCCGCTCATTTGGCATAGTATTGGCTCTGTTCTTTGCTCACCAACCGATCTTGTCCCACTAGCAACACGCTTTGTTGCACAGATTCTGCTCTTCGATACACACATCCCTATCCTACCAGGAACGACTGTGGGTAGCTATACTTGTTCCAATCCTCCTTAACACACCCCAAGTTTGAGATGTTCCTGCACTCAATCAACACTTCAGCCAGTGTGACCAAATTAATTGAAACAGTGGACAAAAATACAGGCGCTGTACTTAGATCCAAACCGAGGTTTGTTGCTTAGACATTTACTTCCTCTCCTAACACCCAGACTAAGGGTCCTCAGTGGAAATACAGCAGCACGTGTAGAAATGGCGGTTGGATCAAGCTCCCTCACATCGCAATCGGGCAGTGGAATGCCTTCTAGCAATCTCATTGCGATTGAAAAATTCAGCTCTAATAAGGATATGGGTAGGATACTGCTCCGTCACGAAGGCGAGACAATAGCAGCTGGTATCATAATCGATCATATTCGTTAAAACTAATGGTCTATTCATGTAGATGTATAAGATAGGCAGTTAAATACACAAAATCTGTTCTACTTTACGTGTATGGCTCAAGCTAATAAGTCTAGACAGTTCAGTCGTATACATCGACGTAGTGCTCTTCGTTGACGGTGCAGCTGCAATCTTTAGGTTTCTTGCCATTGAAGAATCCCATGGAGTGCTTTTCCATACAACCCATTGTGTCTGGTATGGCAATGCCAGGGGTAGCGGTGTGACCGTAACCATTCTTGATTGTGAGCAGTCCAGCGTTCTTCTTGCCGACCAAGTCTTGGAATTGGTGAGCCTGCTCAAGTGGCAGGATTGGATCGTAAACGTTGGCAACCAGCAAGAACTTGTTAGCAAAGTCGATGCCGCTGAAGTCGGTCAAGCGAGGCTGGTCGAATGTGCCATTGGGGTATAATTGACACGTGAAGCCTGATTGGTATAAGTATTGGCTGTAGAAGCGCTGAGTAACTTCGTTGTAGGTGTCTTTCATTGCATTTATAGCATCGTCTACTGTGAAATCTTCTATCTGGACATCAGCGCAGTTAATAGCTTTGATTGCATCGCCTCTCGAGCTGCTAATGCCACCTTTAGGGCCATATGGAGATGGTAAAAGCGAGGCAGCCTGCTTGATTCTGCTGAATGCTGTCCCCCATGTTGGTGGTACGTAGAGTGCGCTGTAGATATCTTCAACTGCACTCGTACGAGTTGAGTAGATAGAGTTGATAACCGGATCATTGTTGTCGTACGCCATTGCAGTAAGCGCGTCAATGTACTCCTTGGTGATACCCTGAAATGGACATTCTTCCGTCTGTTGGCAACTCTCTACCATCTTGTCAAACACGCTATCGGTCGATGTCAAGTATGACGGGATAGCATCGAGGGTATCAGTGTTTGCTCTGACGCTTGGAGACATGATTCCATTGAGGAGGAATTTGCCGACGCGATTGGGGTGTTTCACTGCAATACCCAAACCCAAGAACGAACCATAACTTTCTGCGAACAAGTCAACAGGCGTGTTAGATGCCTCGACCAGCTTATCGAAAACGTATACCATGTCATCTGCCGAGAAGTATGTACCGAGATAGGCAATGTGGGGAGTGTTGTCAACACATGACTGCATATATTCCCTTTCCGCGTCGTAATAGTTTTGAAGTTGTGTGCGGAAGAGTGGAGTGGTTGTTTCGTCGAGCTTTGGTGGTACATCTGGGAAATTGTTTCTGGGGCCAGAGTCACTAGTGTTGCACATGACCTTGAGACCTGATTCCCCAGATCCACGTGGATCGACGCCGACCAAGATATAATCATTTGGCACGAGCTTATACAATAAGTCAGCAGATGCTTCAATTCCGCTGGTTCCAGAGCTAGCTGATGCTATGGCGGGTCCTCCAGCGTTGAAAAGTACGTGTCTTGACTTGAGTGCATTTTCGTTGCTCTTGTTCCAAACTTTCTTTACGTAGAGCCCGAACGTTCCAATTGATGGGTCATCGTGGTCAATAGGAGTGCTGGTGAGTGTGAGCGGTTTTGACAAAGGATATTCAAGACACACTCTATAGTTGCACATTGTGCATTGTATTTGTCATTAGTTGAACAGTCTTGCCAGTTAATTGAATAATCACGAGCCTATCAAGGTTTTGTTAGCTTGAAGTCTCACTGCAATATTAAAGCAACACTCACCAGCGCAACGGTTGTTCCCATAAGAAAGAGTGCGAGTTGAAGTAAGTGGACCATGTTTCTATCTGTCTTGTTTATGTTCTACAAAATAGATGAAGAAAATGTACAAAGGCTTAGCGGCCGAGGTCTATGCATGAATTTGAAAATCGAAAATTTTAGGCAGGGGAGTGAAAATTCGTTAGGTCGGGCCGATAGCATCAGTTTAATTAAATGACAGATAGCAATACCTTTAAATCAACTTATAAGTAAAATTAGAGAGAAAATATTCATTATATCCACTTCCAAGGAACAAAAAGTGTACAAAGAAAATGAGCGAGTGTTAGATAAAACAAACCAATCCAGGTTCGAATTGTAAGAATGACGGCTTTTGTCCTTCCTTAGCCTTAACTTGTTTTAGCTTGTTTCAATTTGTTTCAAATTGTTTCGGCTTGATTCAAGGTTGTTGATTTATGAGGTATGTAGGGTAGTGTCAAGTTGAGTATCAATACGTTGGAGTTGAACAGATTATTGAAAAGAAAGGATTTCGATCGTAATTTATTGTAAAAATCTTGAGTGTTCAAGATAGTTGTATGCAAGCTCAAGTAGAGAAATTGGATGATGCAGCAAATAAGTTTTGTGGTATATATCGGAGTGCAAAAACCGAATAATAATTATCCCCTTATTCAGTAAATCGTAAATGAAATTTGGTGTTTACTTTCGATCGCTCAGTGGACCTAAATCTACCCAACTCACTCTAGGTGCTGTTGATGAATTTTGTCCTAAGGTTTGTCCTCCTGATCTTTGCCTCATATGCCCTGGTTCTCCATTCATTGATTCGAACGCTGACGTATGCGCAAGTGGTTCGAATGATTCTGATGGTGTAAACGGTGATGCTACTGAGTAAGATGAACTATCTGGCGTTTCAGAACCAGAGTTTATAATCGCTGATTTAAATTTAGACATTCTTGCATCTCTCTCCTGCTCTTGTACGAATGCAGGTATGGCGTTCCCTGCAATAGATTGTCTCGAAGGCAAGAACCAAACAGACTGTGGCCTGTTCTCATCGAAACCTTCGTTGAGCAATTCTTCCATTGCATTAGCATCATACTCTCTTCCACCACCTTTCATCAACAGATCATGTGCAGGTGTGAGTCTTGAAGCTGGAGGTGGATGTTCGCTATTAAACTCATTATAGTTACCAATTTCTTCACCCCACTTATCTTCTTCACCGTATGAGCTAAGAGATGTGTTATCGCTCTCCGCGTAGTCTGTTGAATCTGGATGTAACGAATCTGGTGGATTGAGATCGTTGTAGAATGCTCTTTGACCGAATGCTTTTTCATATTCTTTTCGTGTCCTCTCCTCTCGTTTCGTTTTGCGCAAGCGAGAACGTTCCCAATCTTCCCACCTGCGTAATGGTATATTCACAGTAAACAACTCTTCCTTATCGTCATGTGCCACACTCTTTGCTTCACCTTCAACTTTACGAGTTTCACCCCAGGAAAAGTCATCAAAGTGCCAGAATGAATACACAGGCAACACCAAATTCCATATCGGCAGAGCGATAATGTAGATAACCATCCAACCAATGTAGACAATCTTGAAATTTGTGATAAGAATGAGAATTGCAGGTAAACCAAGAACAGCACAAAGCATCATGAGTGGAATTGCATCAGCAAATTGAGTAGGTGGTGTGATAATTGAGTTGATGATTAATGCCAATGAGAGGAGGATAGCGATTGGAAGAACGACGGTACCGATAAGATCCATGAGAATCACGAACTGCATCGAAAAGCAGAAGGTACCACATCTTAGTGAAATGTCAACTTTGCTAATGCAACTCAAGAGTCACTTACAAGTTCCTAACCAATACCAACTCCATCAAGTTATGTACAGTTGAGTTGATCCAGCGACGGCGCTGAGATAGCAAAACCTTGAACTCGTCCGGAGCGATGGTTCTACAACGTGCAGATGGACAGAACATCATTTTGCGGTTAGGGAAGGTTCTTAACATCATTGTTGACAAGAATCTGTCTTCACCAAGTAAGAGAAGATTCTTTTGATGCAAAGTTTGAACGTCTGTTTGACTATACTGCTCTACTATGTCTGGTTTTACTATGAGTGGTACCCAATCGTCTTCCTCATCACGTCTAGCCTTGATACGATACATGGAGAAACAACCTGGTAAACAAGTAACACCACCGAACACACTCTCGAATGCCTAAATTGGGTTTAGTTCGCGAGATCAGTCTAACATAACACGACTCACTTTGACCATGTGATGGGAGATGTAGTACTCGAATACCTGTATCCAAGTAACCCAGCTAGCCCGTTTGTTTTCCAATCTAGTTTCACCACAAACACCCATAATCAAGTTATCGTGCTGCATGCATAGAATCAACTTGGTGAGTGCGTCAGGAAAAATCTTGGTATCAGCATCAATCATGAATATTGTTTCAAAGTAGTCAGGCGTAACGCCCATCAGAGTATGAATCTTTCTGAATAAATCGTAATCTAATGGTGTCATACGATCGTTGTATGTAACTCTAGAGAAGAAGTTCATGAGAACTATCTGAGAATCTCTTTTTCCTCTGTTTCCAGGCTTTGAAGCAGAGGCAGCCTCATCTTCAGTACCGCACTTTACCAACACGATTGTAGGAGTTCTGTGACCATTCTTTGATTTGTAATGTCCAGCATAAATCATAGCTCTATTTTCCTGCTTCTTGCCACCACCAACGGCCAAGTAAGCCATTGGCATTGGATTACCGAAACGTGGATCTGGCTCAATCATACTGACGCAAATATCAGGGGTTGACATTTTTTCACCGTGCCCAGTGATCATACCATCTGCGACAATGAAGATGAGTTTGCGCTGGTCAGAGTAGTCACTAGCGGATATTGATTCCACTGTCGTTGCAATACTATCATGGCCCTCAGAGTAGCATGTAATGAGGCAGCATGTATACAGCTCTGGACCAACACGTGCAGCCGAAATGATAGGATCATCTGGGACCAATGAGCGGTACTTGGCATCCTTGGCAGCCTTCTTACTTGATTTTGGCTCAGCACCATCAGAAGCCCAGGGTGCAGTTCCTTTTTTGTTGTTAACGCTGATGTTTGCACCTGAAGGCATAACAGATGGTGAAACAACGGATCTGGACATGTTCTTTGGAGGCTCGGTGAACTTCTTGGCTAGATACCAATTAAACAGGCAAGCCATAATGAAACGAGCCAAGACGACACCAAGGATAATAATGAGTGCAGCGTAGAGGAATAACTTGGAAGCGAAACAGCCTGGGGACATGTGATCGATTTGTCCAGCTTTGTAACGCTCGTGGAGACAAGGGACTGCATCCTTCAAATCTTTCGTATTGTAGAACATTTTGGTAGCATCTTTGCCGCCACTTGTATCAACCTTAAAGAGGACCTTACGAATAGCCTGATCAACAGGGTCATCAGGAATCGGCGACATCTGGCGATTCAAATATGGTGTCAAATTAAGTACAGTACCTCCAATGACCATCATGTTACGTTTGGCGGTTACATTCGACCAAGAGTAGCCAGAAAGGGTGTGGTCGGGTACCAGACCAAGACTGGATATGACTGACTCTGTCGGAGGGTCGAATGAACATTCAGAACCTTTAGAACAGGTGTTGATGGTCGCGTACGGGGCTTTGTCATCATTGCAGTTTTCTAAGGTACCACGACGGAAGTAATTTGTCATATCAATACCGGGTGAGCCTTCGCCCATGGCCTTGAAATCAGGATTATGAGCAGTTGCATTTTCTGTTAGATAGTTCTTCCCAGCAATCGAGACAGTACCAAACTTCATACCGACTCTTTCGAATTTGGTGTCCATAGTTCCCTCCGAAGACGGACAAAGAACTCTATCAACGCCCATACATATGAAGCCGACGATCGCAGCTAAGGAAGCGCAAATCAAGCAAAGTGAAACCTTTTCACGCCATGCCTGTCTCTTTGCTGGCGTGTGGACGAATAACTTAAGCAGAGGATCAGGTATATAGAAAGTGAGAGCGATGGCTGTATAATGCCAGGGACCCTTGTTCATTTCTGCGGGCTGCGTTAACTGGATACTCCGAGAGCGGATTACTGCGTACCGATGGAAGGGCCACCGGGCTTGACCAAAGGGGTAACTGGGGGAGCTCTTTCATGCTTAGTGAGTGTGCGCGATCTGCCAATCGTCGTGTTCTGCCTATGGTCAAGCATGCCGGTGCCAGAACTAGAAGCTCTTATCGCTGTCGATCTTGGTCTCAAGTTGTCTGCCATTGAAGATGTAAACGAGTGTGTAAGAGCGTCGCTGGCTCAATTTTCTGATTTGACGTCGTCGTCGTGAGTGATGAGGTCAATTCTCGAACAATGCTTAGCGGACTGCACGGACGCAGCAGGTAATTCAAAAAATATAAATTTTCAAGTATACAGTCTAATTATCTTAATCAGATTTCTTTACATAACGAGCCATCTCGCTATTCCGCCGTCTAGTGGTGCTCCTCATCGTGGTCGTGTTCGAAAGGCAGATGCCATCCCTGAGTGCCTGCGTTAGCTGATAGCCTGGAATCATACATCTCTCATCTCACAAGCATATGTGGTAAATCTTGGCTGTAAACGCTTATCAGCGCAGCTTTATAAAGCCAACAGAAACTCACCGTGCTTTGTAGAAAACCCAGAACCACATTGATGCCCCTAAAGCGGTGCTTGCGAATCTATGGAATGCTGGTGGAGCATGGAAACCTGGCCAACGTCTGTGTGAGCTATCCATCTCTTATATAATAAACCATTAAATACCTCTTGGACCGCCTGCCATTGTATTTCTGTTTATTTCTTATCAGCGCTACTCACTTGCCGCTCCCAGCCACTCACTGTCGATGGGAAGTTGGGAAAACCCGTCATATAGAAATCTCAAATATATATATATATATAAAATTACATTAACAATTCTCGTTCTTTATCTCATTTAATACTCCGGCAACGAGTGCTGAATACACGTAAACGTACTGACGAAGCGTGGATACCATTGACATTCTCTGCTCGCGTAAATCTTCCACGACATCGCAAACTGGTTCATGCAGCCCTTTAATAACACCACAGTGCTGGTGCTCTGGCTTTTCTCCATCCAAATTTGCGGCTTTGAGACTGTCACCAACGTCCCCGGTCTCACTCACACCAGAAGCTTGCGAAGACATGCTTGACAACTTGCCTCTAAGTTCGGTTGGAGGTGAAGGTGGTCCGAAGGGGAAGTCCACTTTTTGACCAATGTTGCTAGACGATGTTTGTCTTTCAACTTGCATATTAACATCATTATGTTGATCCATATCAGTGCCATCCTTGGAAGTTGTACGCCTATCTCCAGCAACCTTCTTTAGACCCGGCCTCAACATATCCACTTGCATATCGTCACTGCTAATTTTCTGCGATTTAGAGCCTCTTCTGCGTAGTTTGCTCTTTCGTTCGTCTCTTAATAGATCAAGCATTGTGTCAAGAGCAACATATGATCCTGTTCGACCAACGCCTGCACTACAATGTACGACTATTGGTCCCCTATGCGAGTCGTATAACCCGTTGACATCCGCTATCATTGGCAAAAGTGCATCCGGCAGCGTAGGTGTGTCAAAATCCGGCCATCCAAGATACTGATATTGTGTGATTATTTTCTCCTGTCGTAATTCACGATTCTTCAACATAATGGTCCTCTTTACGTACGTAGTCTCATACTTTTCCTTGTTGGCATCTTCAGTTGAGCTCTGTCTTCCAATAAATGATTGCTTTGAAGATGTATTCTTTTCACCGCTTTCATTGCCTTCATCTCCCTCAGTCGTAAGAACCTGGATTTCGATTTCGTCAAGAACTCTGTTGGCCCAATAGCGGCAGCACTTGTCAAGGCCACCTTCACGCTGCTTTGTGAGCCTTCAAAATGTCAGTATGCTCGTTATGCTATCAATGCTACTCACATAACGATCAAAGCGACATCCTGCTCCCAGCATACCTGCCAGAAGTCTTTGAGTGTAGACTCCATTGGCCCTTGCGTAGCAATATAGCGCTTGGTGTGATGCATAAGATCCTTACGAGCTTCCCTGATAATAGGAGTTTTATCACTTTCGCCAGCAGCATGAGGTGGTGCCGGACCTGTGTACAATGGTGAGGGAGCGAAACCGTCATTCTTGTCGAAACCAAACCCAGGCAGAACATGATTAGCGTTTACGTAATCATTGCCGTCACTATCTTCAGGATCTCTAAGCTTGACACGGGTGTGCTCAAATGGATATATGTTTCTGTATCTGTTCTTATGACCCAGCTCCACACCTGCACCGATACTGTATCTATCAATCTTACGAGCTTTGCCTAGGTGGAAAGTATCGTCGCGCTCTTTGCTACCCAAGGATTTCGATTGATTGCCATTTCCGTCAAGAGTCTGGGAATTGTTCGAAAGCCAGTCAAAAACTTCCATCATTCTCTTTTGCTCGGTCCTTTCCAGTCTGTAGAACTGATAAGCCAATTCATCGTTGGCTTGCTTCTCAGACATGTCGACAATTCTTCTGAGGAAAGTTGGAAGCTTGTAAGAATTCCGTCTACTTTCATCTGAGATAGACATAGAAATACGCTCATGAGACATTCCATTTGCGAGCTCTCTATTCTGTCTAACGCTGTCAACTGTAGACGTGTGAGTTTAATTATAGTCGAATAGCCGCAAAAGTATTTACAGAAAGGATTAGCAGCAAATTTATCACCACTGTGGCTACTATGCGGATTGCGAGGACTAGCTTTATTTGTAGTGGTAGAAACACCTTGGAAAGCTGCAAAGGGTAGGTTGCGTGGCTGAACGAAGGAGTTTTCGCCCTTAGGCGTACCATCTGTATTTTGACCTTCTGCGAAGCCGTTTGATTTTGGAGTAGTCTCCACTGGTGCATCTTTTACTTGCGTGTAGGCAGCGAAACCGCCTGATATGTACTCCAATGAAGCACTAGCTCCGGCGTTTTCAAACTTCCTAAATACACCCAGCAATGCAGCGGGCGTGCCTTGCATACCTTCTCCGACGTAATTAGTGTCAGTGTCGTAAACAATGATAGTCTTTGCTTTCCTGTAAGCCTCAAGCTTACTTCTATCATGAGGATCTGGAACCATCTGAATGATTTTGTCGAGGCTGAAAATTGGACGTCTGAGCAATGTTGATGGAAGACAAATGCTAACTGCGCCTGGAATGCGAGAAGTAGAAAATGCAGTGTACGATCTAATGTCTACGATTAAAATTTCCTCCTTGACCGCATCTGGACGCTGATTGATGACGTCGACTAGATTGTGGAGTTCGGTGTGGCGTATGTTATTGGATTTGTGATTTGTGAATGGGGGAGCGCTATTAGAATTGTTTCGAGGGAGTGGTGGATTTATGGGCCCTTTCAATTGAAAGGGAGGCGGTCCGCCCAGCTGTGCTGGTAACGGACTCGGAGAAGCTTTCTTATGAGCAGGGCCATTATCCTTAAGACCAGCTGAGCTGGCATCTCTAGAAAGGCTGCTGTGTCTTCTGAGATTGCTTCTATCCCCGATCGCCTTCTCGAACTCATTGAGAGAGTGATCTTCGGCAACTGGACTCGATGAGCCACTACGCTCACCACGATTGGGTGATATATAGTTTGATTTGCCGAGATTCTGAAGCTGTGGCGTGAGTGAGGTTCTCCGCTCCACCTTCTGCGGGCTCAACTGCGTTTGTGATCTGCCGAAGCCAGGTGGGCTGAATGGATCTGGTTTTTCTAGCTCATGCGTTGGCTGCGTTACAATGCTTGTGTGGTTTGAGCCGAAGCGTTCTTCTAGAGCCTGCTCAAAAGTGGTCATTGACGTGAAGATCGTATTGATTGTGGCTCAAGCTGGTACATCACCCGGAATATCAAAAAAAAAATAAAAGTGGCAAAATTAAGCAACTGACAACCGTCACGTTATTGATCTTTTCCAGCGAGTGTTGTATTCTGTTCATGAATAGAGTGCTGTGACGTCATTCACGAGAATAACGTCAAACTTTGTCGTTGGCGCTATGTGAGCTTATAAAAGCGCAATAGACGTTATATATGCTTGAAATTGTATAACATTCAAATTTTACAACAATGATTTCTAAGCAACTCAATTAAGCGATCCTCTACAACCATCGACACCACAGAGACACGGAATCTTCTCATCCTCAATAGGGAAGTGGTAGTCATATGTGATCTCATCCCCTGGTGAAATCTCCTCCTTGGCATAGATGATTATCTTCTTCTCTCCGAGAATGGTGATGATTTTCTGAGATGTATTATGACGTTAGATGATACGACGATCAAAATAGTATCACTCACAGCAGTACAGTTTGGCTGGCAGCAGTGATTAATTAGACGTGCCACGCTACCTTTCATTGTAGCATCAACACTAACATGTGTTAGAAAGAAACACACGTGCACCAAAAAAACTCACATATTGTCATCGTCGATCTTAAACAAATACGAGCTACCTATACCCTGCTTCTCGTATGCCTTCTCTCTCCTATCCGCGACCTGCTGTCTGACCACTTCACCGACATACTCAATCACCATTTCACCTTTCGGTATGACTTGGCAGCTGTAAAGACCCCAGCTATGTATACTTGACTTGGCAAATTTGAGCTCTTTCTTACGTGTGCGAAGCTGGTTGAATTTGAGTATTTCACCATCCGTAGCACCACCCGTAAGACCATGAACGAGAGAGCGAGCGTTTGATCTGTTGGCGCGCGAACTAACATTATCTCTATCCCCATGCTGCCTGGATGCCTTGGTAACTTTATTTCTCTGCGGAAGATAGAACGCCTTCTCTGTTTCGGGTATGGGATAAATTCCTTCCGATCTCGCACTTCCTGTTGCATGCACAGGCGGCCGCCATGGCGCATTTTCATCAGTCTTTTCAGGGCTATTGAAAATCGAGAATCGTAAATCGTCCTTCCAGTCTGGAGGTGTGTAATTGTGACATTGCAGCAATTCTTGGATGGTCGTTGGTAACTTCCTAGCTTCTCGGTCAATAACAGTTTTTAGGTAGTAAAGATCTTCTTCGGAGTTGACGAGGTCGCTTGATAGTATGTCGGTCTTGGTGTAGGGCCGGCTTGGATCAGAGATTGGGTCAAATGGAGGTACATTTAGGGGAGGTGTAGGTATCGTGTTCTTAGGTGTATATAGATGATGAGGATCATCCGCCTCTTCGGAGATGTCAGACTGTGCAGATTCTTCTGACTTGGCTGATGATGCAGCCGGTGGTGGAGTTTTGAGTGCATTTTTGCTAGACTTCTTGGTTGCCTTACTCGTCTTTCTCTTAGAAACAGGAACTTTCTTGGCCTTGGAAGCCTTTTTACTCCTAAACTTATTATCCGGTGCGTTATCAGTCGAGGTTGTTTGCTCTGATTCGGTCTTGATCATATCAGCGGGTTTGTTTGTAGTCTTAATTTCATAGATGCTCTGGTTGCCAATGAAACCAGCTTCAGCATTGTTTAGATTATCGACAAAAGTAGAAGCATCATTCTGATTGTCCTTAGCGGCAATTTCAACATTATTATGTTGATTGACAGTATCAAAATCGCGCTTGACATGACCGTTGACGTGTGCTCGATCGTCTCTGCCGTCATAAGCGACATCAGCGACATTTTTCCTAATACCGTCAACACCCTCAGCAAATTCAAAACGCTCAAAAGCAGGCTCCTTTTCTACAACAGTAGACTGCTTCTCATCTCCACTTTCACCTTCGCTGCTGGTGAAATCGACCATGTGTTTGTTTTTCGATTTCATAACCCGACCACGTTTCGACTTTTGAGACTGGAGGGGACGATTTAATTTGAGAACCACGTCCATATCGTCCATATCGTGTGAATCATGTGGCTCCTCGGAGAATGTTCGCTTATCCGACAGCTTCACCTTGTCCTTATTGATATCATTGAGCGTCTCGAGCTGCTGAGCTCGTGGATCGCGCAGCTGCAAATGCATTGTAAATCCAGAACACTGTTTGCCATCGGAGGTAGTCATAGCGCGTCCTGCTATACCAGGTTTTGTGAACAGGACGAACCATCCATCGTCGTTTTTTAGTACCTTAATGTATGTCAGATAAATTCGAATTGATTGAAACACATCAGAATCATCTTTAACATCACACTCACATCTGATACCTTGAACTGTCCGAAAAATGCACGAACATCTACTACATCCACTGAATGCACAGGTAGACTTGATTTATCGATAAATATATGCGCATTGCCGTTCTTCTTAATTTTCTCCTCAATCGAAATCTCAGCTTGGTGTGCGTCTTGTTGTATCGCATCGGGGTGGTGTTGAGAATTTTTCACAGGTGACTCCTTCTTTCTCGTGAGCATGTTATCAGATCTACCTCTGAATATCTCATCACCGTGCAGATCATCCCACTCGTCTTCATCTTCTGTATCCTCGCTACCAGCTTTAGCCATCTCCAAAGGTTTCGGATGTGAGGGAGTGTGTGCCAAATTCGAAGGCTTACTTGCACTACTCAACCACGAAGTTTTCCCAAGAACACTTTGTCCTGGTCCTGGTCTAGTTGGTGTTTGTTGGTTTGGATTGAAACCAATTTTAGTAGAAGGTGTAGGCAGTACTTTAGGTGCTTGATTTACTTGACTTGCTTGACTCTCTGCGGCTTTGCGAGATGCCTCCTTCCTCCTCTTCTCCTCCCTTTCCCTTCTAGCTCGACTTTCATTCTCCTCGCGCTTCTTGTAAAAGTCATCGACTACTTTATGGTATACATTGCCATCCTCATCTGGACGGACTTGTATCGGTGGAACTGAGCCTATGTGTGCCTTACCGAGGTTGAAATTTTTGGCTCCATGAAACTCATCGATACACGCTTCAGCGTCAGTGTATTTACGAAAACTAATCCAAACAAGACCCAAGAAAGCACCGGTACTTCTATCGTAATGTAATTTCATACTTTTGAACGTTTTGTACTTTCCTTTGAAATAAGTGTTAAGATCATTTTCAGTGAGTGCAGATGGTATGCCCTTTATACAGATGCAAGATGTTGGTGGAGGTTGCAAGGAATGTTCGTCGTGTATAAAGCTCTTGAGAAAGATCAAGTTGTTTGAATACCTGTTTCTATTCTTTTCGTGGTTGATTCGCTCGACAAACAAATGCCTATTCTTGCGCGGATCACTGGGCTGCGTCAACAGCCCATCACCATCAAAACGCTTTTTGCCGTCTTTTATGAGGTAGTTTTGTTTTCCCTCTGGCTTTATTGGTGGTCGAGTTGGATCGACCAGCTGAAATGATTTTGAAGGCGACTCTTCTCGTTCAAGTGAGTACTGTCGTTTGTGGGGTGGTATAGAGGATTGAGGCATTGGCGAGTATATACTGACTGGCTTTGCTGGGAGTTCATGTTTCGCAATGTTTGCAGGGGGGTATTGAGAAGATGGCTGGGTATAATCGAAATCATAATCCCTGTCGCGATAGGTTCTTGGGGAGGGTCTGCGAGAGGTTCTAGGAGGAGTATCTGTTAAGAGTTAGAGGTGTAATTGCAATACCGAGAGAACCTACGTCGCTTTTTCGGAGGAGGCCTTTGTGCAGTTATATGCGGGTTGTAGCTGTTACCTCTATATCCGCCAGTGTATCCAGGTGGAGGACGGCGTCTATAATCGAGCTGCTGAAGATTGCCGTCGTAGTCGTAATGATGATCGTATTCGTGTGGGTAGTGATGTTGGTAGTGATAATCACGCTTGTAAACTGGCTCATACTCACGTTGATACTCACGTTCATATTCACGATCATAATCACGATCAGACTCAAAATTCGTACGAAAATCACGACCACGATCGCGATGAGCAGCAGCGTAACTAGTTGAAGGTGAAAATGTACGAGAGTCATAACGAGTGGGCTGTCTATCAGAATCGAACCTTGAATAACTCCCTTCTGCCGATGTGGACCATTTTGAATTGACAGTTTTCTGTTTTTCGAGTGCACTTCTAGCCTGTGCAGCGAGACGGCTGTCCTTATAATTGAGATCAGGATGTTGCGATTGAGTGCGCGTTGCCGTGGGACTGCTATCATCATACTTGACTGGAACAACACCGTTATCTGCAAAAACACGCTCAGCACCACGAGAGACGCGTTTTTTAGGTGAATTACGCCCAAGGCTATCGCTATATTTGTCATCGTCACTGATACTGACTGGATGACTTTGAGTGTGAGTGTGATTGAGGCTGGGTCGATGCTCGTATACTCTCATAACAGAAGAATTGTCGTTGCGAGTGGGTTTGTAAGTATTGTTGTAGGAGCCATGATTGCCATGATTGCCATGAGTGCGATTGCCATTACCATTGCTATTGTTACTACTAGTACCATGTTTTCGTGCGTAATTGTCAAACAGAGAAGATCTATCATTGTGACTGTGTAAGTCATTCGCACTCCCACCAACCGCGCTGTATCTGTCGTCCATCTCGTCGACCATGATGAGATGGGAGGAAGAGGGACATCGAGAGAAAGCCAAAGAGGAAAAAGTTTACGAGGATGAAATTGTACAGCAAAGCAAGCAATTTGATAATACAAATTTACCTAGCTGCCTCACTTTATTTGACGCCTACTTGAGTTGTTACAGTTAAGTATTCAGTGGTGTGGTTGATATGATTCTTATTTAAATCACAGCTTTACGTCCACAACTTCAATCCATTTATCGTCACGGTCAGTACAAAAATTGTACTCGTCGCTGGGATGATTTCGTATGGTGTTTTCAGAACAATAGAATGAGCACAGAAGAGAAATTAGACGCTTGGATTCAACGTAGAGCGCAGTGGTGGACTGATCGTCGTCTCACTCGCAGCTCTGAGGATGTTTGGGAGGCGCGAGAAGACACTGAGACACTCAAACCATGGCCCAAAACACCTTTCAACGGAGACACAAGCACAACTACCCCTTTGTATAACTAATTGAGTCAGTCAATAGAAATTAGAAAGATTAAACGAAATGTATAAATAATTTCTTTCTTTGGTCCCCTTCAATGGCTGTACAGATTCACAAGGCCATCGGCACCCGCACTGAACAGGAATGGCTGCGTTGGGTGCCAATGCAGATCCAGAACGCCCAATCCATTGGCCAGTGTGTGGCATTTCAGCACTTTAAGTGGAACAATAAGCGCGTTAGTGGCGAGATCGTCGAACACGCGTCCATGGAAAACCTGCACACTCCCGTCATCCGAGCTAGATGCAAAGAGAGGAAGTGATGGGTGGTACTTGACTGCTCTCACCGCTCTATTATGGTAACGGATAGTTTTATAAGGTTTATCGCCGAGGTCGATATCGAACCAGCACACCTTTCTGTCGTAGCTACCTACGATGAGGTTGTCACCTGAGGGGTGAACGTCGATCGACGACAACCACCTCAAGCCCGGCAAGAACGTCTTAAGGAGTGTTTGCTGGACGAGATCGTACAGCTTCACATACCGCTGTGTAACTAGGAAGAACTGCGGTCTCGTTGGATGGAATTGCACCTTCTGTACACTTCCCTTGCTCCTCTTGAACGGTGCTTGCGATTGGTGCTTCGACAGCTGGTGAATGAGAACCGACTTGCTACCGGCATCTCCCGCCACGGTGGCGAAATAGTCGCCCTTTCTATGCCACACTACCTGCTTAGGTGTTCCCGGTACTTCGATCTTCACCAGTAGTCCATTCTCGCGTTGCGATTCGTTTGGACGCGCATACCTAATATCAGCCGTCTTAGTCGCCCCCGCTTGTGGATTGGCAAAGGCGAAATCCGCTTGCTGTGCAGATGCTTTACTCAACCCGGTAGTGAGTATGGGGAGGGGAGACAGGACGGTGACCTGCTTCTCGCTCGTCGCCACCAACAGCGACACCTCTTTGTCGGGACACCACTCCACACTGTGGACAGGCTCCCCTTCACCGATATTCCAACTATATGCACAGCGTCCCACTGACAACTCCCACACTCTCACATAACCATCATCGGCAGCACTAGCAAGCCAGATACCGGTAGGATCAACGGAAATAGACCGCACGCGTGCGTTGTGTGTGTAGCTGATGGCATTGTAGATAGGGAATGGTTTGAGTTCCCTAGGTGATGGAAGTTTAGGTACGAGAGACTCAGGATCGATGTTGAGCTTAGTCCTGCGCACTCGTGGTGCCAGGTAGAGATCTAAGCACCTGTCAAACCTTTCCTTCAATAAATTAGCATAAGCGGGAACGAGACGCAAGTTAGAGTATTTCTGGGGCATGAACTTGATCTTTCTGTCTTGTTCATCAGTCTCTTCCCACTCCTTCCTCTCCTGCTCATTGAAGAGGTATTCAGGTGGTGGATTGAACGACTCTATTGTCTTTGGTGGTGGTTCTTGGGGTGCAGGAGCGTCCATGACGTGAGGCGTGTGTTCATCTGTATTAGACCATATAGCGTAAAAAGTAGGTTTTGGAGGTGCTTTTGGTTTATTTGGCACAATTCTGCCAGCGCGTATAGCTCTAGCAATCTTCATAATCTACGGAAACTTGTGAGAGTGTAGTAGAGTGAATCAAGACAACGAACCTTTTCGTGCTCCCATTTAGAAGGTAAGAAACGACGCTTAGGTTCAGGTGCTCCAGAAATGGGCGTGACCATTTCCTTGCCCTTACCAGTAAAGAACTCGACTTGGTCTGGGTATGGATCAAAGGCATCGTCAGGCACTTGGCCCTTCTCGAGTCTTCGAATCAGACGGAGTTCATCGGGGGTGAGTTTCATGTCTTGCTGCATGTTCTTAGATGGCACAGTGTCAGCGTCACCCTCCGTGTGCTCCAAGAAACGCTCCAATTCATCCTTTGTAGCAGGTTTGAGAATCTTTTTGCCGTTTATATCGTAACCGATATGGGGCATATCTTCGTACCACTCAGCAGGGACATCGCCGATCGCATTCTGTTGCTCTTCAGTGTCGCTGTCACTATCGTAGCCAGGTTCGATGTTGCGATAAACGGTTTTGTCCTCACCAGTTGCATCAGAGCGGACAGTTCGAGCGGTAGCTTCAAAGCCAAGCTTCTGCTTAGGTGGCTGTGAGTAGTAGTCAGTCTCGTCAGGCTTCTTTGAGGCTTTTTCGATGAAATCAGAGACGTTAGAGGAAGTGGAAGGGACGGAAGAGAAGGAGGCGAGAGAGGTGTCAGAGTCACTAGAGTGTATGCTATCATTGTCACTGTTAGCGTCATCGTCACTGTCACCGGCGTCTTCGTCACTGTCTGGATTAATCTCAGGAAATTCAGCTGGTTCTTCATCATCTGAAGAGAGATGGTCGTTGTCGCCGTCGCTGAGCTCCTCTGCGCCATTTATATCCAATTTATTATCAAATTCCTGAGCAACCGCATTGCCTCCTTTGGTGCTATCTCTGCTGCGTTTTTTCGAGATGGCCATTGTAGGTGAAGAAGACAAAAGAGAAGAAACCAAATAAATAATTAATAAACAACATTTATGCCCATATTATTAGCAGTTGATATCACGCTCCTAGCGACGTTCTCAATTCCCTTAGCCTGTAAATCTTTATCAAGGCACTTAATCGCAGCCACTTCGTAGACGTGCTTGACTGAGATAGTGGCGATAGTCTCGTGGCCGGGCTGACCAGTACCTTTCTCAATACCACCAGCGACCTTCTTCAAGAGATGGGTTGTTGGTGGAGATCTCGTAGTGAATGAGAATGATCTGTCTGGGTTTATCGTGATTTGCGTTGGAGTGGGAGTACCAGCGACCAAATGAACAGTTTTAGCGTTAAATTCTTTACAGAAATCCATCGATTTTACACCTCTAGCTCCGAGTAGTGGGCCAACTGGTGGTGTAGGTGCAGCTTTCTGTGCGGCGATTAGACAGCGCTTGAAGGTTATGCGTTAGCTACGAATCCCCAAACTCTATCCAGCGACTCACCAGCGTGACTGGCGTCGTTTGAATGGCTTTGCTCATCACTGTATCCCTTTAAGAGGAACAATGGCCCTAGTTTTCGGCAGCATCAACGTCGACGAGTTCCTCGCTGTCCCCCACATTGTTAGGCCGGGTGAGACCATTTCATCCACTCACATTACCAAGAAAGCAGGTGGAAAGGGTGCGAATGTGGCTGTGGCACTGGCCAAGGCGTCTGCACGCGTCCTTCTCGCTGGTCAGATAGGCGAGGATGGCGAGTGGGTGCGCGCACTTCTCAATACCTATTGCGTAGACACCACCCATCTCCTCACCACTGCCAGCGTCCCATCAGGTCGAGCAACAATCCAAATTAGCCAGGAGGGCGAAAATTCGATTGTGCTCTACGGCGGAAGCAATCAGATGGCCTATGGCCCACCGCTCCCGCTTTCTCCAGCCACCATATCCCATTTGCTCGTGCAGGAGGAGATTGTACACGCAGATACAACATCAGCCATTGTCCACGCACACAACAACAAGATCAAAACTGTCTACAACCCATCCCCTCTCCCGCCCTCGCACCAGCTACTCGAATTCCCTTGGCACGCGCTGTCTTACCTGATTCTCAACCAGGGCGAGGCGATGGATTTGTATAATTCACTGGTTGGACAGGGGCAACACACTCAACACGCCCATTCACACTCACAACAATCCCCACAACACCTCCTCGATGCACTCACGACGCACCCTCTCACCGCGTCAATCCAAGGGGTGATCATCACTCTTGGCAGTGAAGGACTGGTAGCGCGGGTAAAAATCGACAACACCCCCCATGACTATTGCCTGCCCTCTACGAAAGTGAATGCCATCGATACCACAGGTGCTGGTGATACATTTGCGGGATATTTCGTCGCCGCGTGTATGTCATCCAGCATGAGCACACACAAGAGCACACATATCGAGCTCGTTCTTAAGAACGCAATGGCCGCTGCCGCTCTCGCCGTAACCAAACCTGGGGCTATGGATGCTATTCCCATTCTAAGCCAAGTGCGCGCCCATCTCCTAACGAATGGTATAGAGTGTGTTTTGTGATGACTGAAGAGTGTGGGTATATTAAATGGTTTATGTATAAATACATATTTCAATGCACAATCACAATCCTACTCCTCCCAATTCTCCACCTGAGCCTGCTCAGCAACTTGCTCATCTTGCTCGTCGATATCTGGTGTCTCAGCGGAAGGTGCTTGTGAAGGGCGTGCGTGACAATCATGAGAGTGGTGAGTCTGTTGATAAGTGTGGCTCATCGTCTCCCTCTGATCATTCTGCTCATTCTGCTCTCCCCTCTGCTCTCCCCTCTCACGCTCCTCACGCTCTTCACGCTCTTCATGTCTGCGCTCCCTCCTGAGCCTCTCAGCAGCTTTAATTGACTTAAAAGCCGAATAGCGCCATTTAAGTGCGCGAGACCGTCTCCTCTCAACCTCTGGAAAGAGAGTGAGAATAGCGAGTAGCGCAGGCACTATGAGTCTAGTCCACCACATTGGATGGCGGGGTGGACGTTGCTGTGACGCTGCCATTCGCGTTGCTGGGTATGGTGGGAGAGGGGTGTTGGTGGGCACTGGGCCTGGAATGCGCAGGCGTTGCGCCTCATAGTGCAGGTTAAGGTGAGCGACTCTGTCCAACGCCTGATCTAGTGCGCTAAGTGGATTGAGTGGGTTAGTAGGATGTGGATGTGGAGCTTGCGCGGTGTTGTCGTTGTCGTTGCCATTACCATTCGCTCGCGCTTGTTGGGCTGCTTGGTTGAGTGCGTCGTATGCATTGTTAGGATTGTTTAACGCGTTAGCCTGGCCATTCTGCTGTCTACCTTGTACACCTTGATTAGGTGGATTTATAATGTGTCTGCGTACGTGGACAAATCGAGTGGCTTCCCATATAGAATAACCAATAGTGAGTACAGCCATGATTATCTTACGTGGCCAACTACCGTGTCTGCAGAAGATGTAGAGCATGAGACCACACTTGAAAAGGAGGAAAAGGAGGGGGAGGACGAGTGGGGTAAGAGTGGATAAGTTGATGACGATGTAGCTGTCGTTGCGAGGAGGTGGTTGTGGTGGTTGTGGTGGCTGCTGCTGTGGCTGCTGTGGTGGTTGCTGTGGTGGCTGCTGTGGTGGCTGCTGTTGTGTGTTGTTGATATTGGAAAAAATGGAATCAGTGGAATCAGTGGAACTAATAGGAGGAATACCACCAGCACTGTTACTACTATCACTGCTACCACTGCCACCACCACCAAAGTGAATCCAATTATCAACCAACGTGTACACCTCATCTAATAATTCCAATTGAGCGTTTATAGAATAAATAGAATGCTGATCAACACCAGGTAAACCGATGCTCAATAAATAATGATTAACAGCATCAAAGCTTGATTTGTTGACGCTATCAAGGCCATTGTCAAGTAGAAGGAGATAAAAGGATTTAAGACGGATTAGAGATGTGTTTAGGGTGTGAATGTGGTTGGATGGCAGTGAATTTAGATTTTTATTGAATGCGTGGAGATGGTGCGATTGTGGGAGTTGAAAGGTGTTGATCATGGTGGTTATGAGGAGAGATTAGAGATGGGATATAGATTGAGGAAGGAGATAAATGGACATAAATGGAGATAAAGGAGATATGGATATAAAAACATTCTTACAATTGAATTTTAGAAACGCGGTCTTTAACCATGTCGAAAGCACGGAACTGTGAAGGATGTTAGAAGAATCATTATAAAGTGCTTGAACCCACCAAAGTCTGCTCATTTAATTGAATATCTTGAGTATCAGCTTTTGGTCTACTAACTCTGTTTGCAATCGCAGTTGAATCAGTTTCGAGTATAATACCACCATCAATAGTCTCATCTAATGCTAATAAAATCATGTCCAAATTTTCAATAAAAGATGACTTCTCTAGTTGGTGACGTAGAAGGATATCAATTGCATCAATAAACCCAGTTAAAACGGTTGATAACATTAGTTCATTTTCCTGTACTGGTGATATTAAATAAACTATCAAATCCATCGTTGATTTATATAAAACTAGTTTATCCTTGTAAATTATCAAATCACTTGACATTCCTGTCTTGTTGAATAACTCCTTCTCAAATAACTTGTCATTCTCTTTATCCTGATAATATTTAGACAACAACTTATTCCCTTCACTGTCCATAATAACTACCCCTTCTACACTATACAAACTGTAATTACATTGATCACTCATCGTGGTTTTATGTCAAGAAGCTTTTTATTTATTTTTATGAATATTTTCAATTACTCTGGTAATCCTTCTCTTTATCCCCAAATATCCTTTCAAAAATCCCCTCATCTGTCACCTTCAACTCCCCCACACCCTCTCTTCTCCATATCTCTCTGAATGTCTTGGTTAGATTATTCAACCCAATCAAATACCCGTAGTCTGGTTCATCTGCGTGCTTGGCTGGGTATCGTGCGTACGGTAATCCCGTACTGACATCCACTTTGGCATTATAACCTCCTTCTTTAATCCCAGGCAACTCACTCCCCACTCCGGGTCCCAGCGGCGGCAAAAAGTCTTTCCCCGTCGTACAATGAGCAAAGTCTATTATCTTGATGTTCACTTCTCCTTTCCTCCTCTTCTTCCCTTCTTCTGCTTTGTTTTCACGACGAGCAAATGACTGTTGCAGCCCGCGCTGTATCCCCGCATCTCCATCATAGAGGAACAGCAACGAACTAGCATAAAATCTATACCCGTTTAGCTGCGATATGATTCGTCCAAGTCGATAAAGCTTTCGCAATATATCCGGTATGTGATGCACCAGCACAACTTCCCCATTATCCAGAAACGCAGTCAACGCTTCTGTGAAATTGCCCACTTGCACTCCTCTACCATAATACTTGTCTTGGAATGTATACTCGTTCTTGCGCACGTTGTACACTTGTGTGCCACATAGACGCAGCCCAAGTGTATGCGATGTAGTCTTTTTCGCCTTCTTCCGCTGTGACGCCTTCTTCTCTTCCGTCGCATCCACACCGTACTGCCGCGTGCCCATTTTCAGATCCAGTACGCACGGTGCCTTGAGTCGACCTGTGAGATCTTCCATCAGGAGGAATTGTTCTAGTCTGCTATTGTTGTGTGGGTTCTGTGGGTTTTGCTGATCGGAAAATGGGTTCTGTTGATTGCTTTTGCTTTTGACTTGGCTTTGACTGTGTGGTGAGTGTGCATGTTCGAGTGTATTAACACTCCCATCGTTACTACGGTTGCTGCCACTACCAATACTACCGGTATTAACTGTATTTACACTTCCACTCCCGTTCGCTTTCGGCAGTATCTCCGCAGAGTGGTAGATAGGCGACGACTGTGTGCTGGTGATGTTCAGACTCGGCCGCATTTTCTGTTGTTGGAGTTGTTGGTGTTGCTGGTATTGCTGCGGCGAAGGCACCTTAACGCTAGTATTGACATTGACATTCATCCCACCAACTCCCACTCCCGCTCCCATGCCGGCGCTGAAAACATTAGACGTCTCCAATGCACGCTCTCCACCATTCAGTGAGCGTGAGCGTGAGCGCGAGCGCGATCGGTGATGTGTTTGTGGGCGAGTTTGTGTTTGCCTTGTTTGTGTGCTTTGCAAGCTTTTTGCTTGTCCTTGCATCTTGCTTCCCCCTTCCAAACCCTCCATTGAGAACATATCCACTTCCCCTCCTTCATCACCTCGCCCTCTTTGTGCATCCTCCCCAACCGACACCACAAAGTGCGACCGCCGCTTACGGATCGAGCGGCCAGAGGGTATATCAGCTTGGGGAAGAGGGTGTGGGTATGAGTGTAAGTGTGAGTGTGAACGTGACACCTCATGGGAGTGTTCCGTAGACGTGTTTGAAGTATGCGAATTTTCTGACCCTCCACTACAACTACCCTTATCGTTGTAGTTGTCATTGTGGTAATCCATTTCCTTATCCTTATAACAATTATCATCATCATCATCATCGTTATCATCGTTATTATTATCGTTGCTATTCAAATTGTACTCCCCCTCATCACTATCATCATCATCGTTATCTACACGATTAGTGAGAAAGGATTTGGCTTTTAGTGCGCATTCCTCGGCGCACTCGCTCCGCAAACGAAGCAAAAGCTGCTGCTCCATCTCGCCAGGGACGCTGACTCTGCGCTGTCTATGCGACGAGTGAGGGTGAGAATGGGAGTGAAAGTGGGGGTCGTGTGAGTGAGAGCGCGACCTCATATGCGCCTCCTCTCTATAGCTGGAGGGCTGGGAACCAACGCGACGCGGTAGTCTGTCACTGTCCTCATCCTCCTCATCATCATCTTCCTCCCCTTCACCACCTCGCTCAGGTGGACACTTGCGCGTTCGCCGCCTCCGCTTGTGTACGCGCGGCGACGAGAAGACCTCGCGCAGCACCTGTTCCTGCAGTCTGCGGTTCACCGTTGTCGCTCCACGTCCGCCGAAGAAGGGGTAAGTGTAAGTGTCCGACTGTGATTTGGGTAAGGTGTGCACCGAGTGTTTGCGCGGCTTTTGCGATTCCGCGTGTGAGGGCGTGTCGATAGGTGTGACTGTGAAACTTGACGATGGCGATGGACTGCGGCTTTGAGTTGGGTTGCGCGTGTGTCCGTCCAGTCGCGCACTCGCACTGCTACGCGTCGGAAGACTTGCCTTGCGGTGCAGTGACGATCGATGCTGTTGTGTCTGCGGACTGGCCTCGTCCTCTGACATGATTGCGAGTTCTTCGTTTGCTTTGTTCGCTCTAAATCCCGAACGCCGAAGCATCCAGTTCGGGATCAGGTGCGTATTTCGCTCGAATTTCACCTGCGGTATCTCGTCTTCAGACGTTGTGCGGTGGCGTTGAAGCTGGAGAGAGCGGCTGAACCTCCTCTGCTGGATGAGAGGTACGGAGCTGTGAGAGCGGTTGAGAGCAGGTCGATTGTCGTGGTTTTTGTCGTCATCGCGATCACTATCTATTTCCAGCTTGCCAAGTTTGTCCAAGTTATCCAGACTACCCAGGCTACCCAAATTACTCAGCTTGTTGAGCTTATCAACCCTGTCAACTGCCTCCGGGGAAGACGGGGGCGATGGCTTGACGAAAGTGACATTGAGAACGCCCAAATACTGTGGAATGTACTGCAACAACTGCGGGTGATCACGCTCGACAGATTCATAGAACTGGTTCTCACGCCGCACGAGTGGCTTGCACACAGCTCTGCGCGAGAAACGGAAGATAGGATGATGGCCTCCGACTTGATTGTTGAATGGCTTGAGTGGGACAGAGGGGAGCACACTATCAGCGTCATCCTCCTCCTTTACATTTATCTGTAAATCTAATCAGCTCACAGAATCACCGCAAAAGACAGCAAACACACATCATAGTCGTAATCGCTGGATTCTGAGGCTAAAGAGTCAGATAGAGAGTGGAAAGAGCTCTCCTCGCTGCTGAAATCGTCTGTCTCGTAGGAGGTTGTTGAGTGTTTAGGTGAGTGTGGCTGCTGCTGCTGCTGCTCGGACGGAGATCTAAATCTCGATTTTGCATTGAGCTTGAACGATTTCCGCCGTATTGGAAGAGATGGCGGTGCTGTTGTGTTTATCTGCGGGAGATTTGTCTGTGTGGAAGACGCAGAGTTGGAGATGTGCTCTAACGGGTGAAGATGTGGCTGCGGCTGTGGCTCATTTTGCTGCTTCTGCTGGTCCTGCTGGTCCTGCTTCCACACCAAGCTCATCGACGTTTGATTATAAGATGGATATTACGATACAATTAAATATTTTATAATTAAATCAGTTAAAGCTGCTTCCTGGTCTGATTCTGTTGTTAGCGTTACTCAACCGCTGTATCCCCACTCACAGTCCAACAGGCACAGGTGCAAAGTGATAATCCGTTGAGTTATCTCCACTCAGCGTGTCCAGTGTTTTATTCGAGTGCATTAAATGCGGGTGTGCCGTGTTCGCTGTGCTGTTGAATTTGCTGCTCCCATTGACATTGCTGATATGGTTTTCCCCTAGCCCTACTGGCACAAACCCCTTGGATTGTACTGGACTCGCCGTTACTGTCGCTGCCAGCATTCCAACTACTAACATACTCAATGCTGTCATTGTTTTTGTTTTTGGTAAACTTCATCACGCCGCCTGGCTTTGATTTTCACAATTGCCTTCCTTTTTCGTTTAAAACACGCGCGCTGAGGTATGAATAGCGCGTAAATTACTAGAATTGTGAATATAGATAGAATTACATGCTACATATGAAATATGCTCAGGTTACAATCACGCCAACTATTCATGCTCCACGCTCCACGCTCAACTCTCAACTTCCTCACCAACCACCCTACTCAACTTCCTGTAGAGGTTCCCAGGCAGCATTATCTTATCCCCCTTATCTCTCTCCCTCACCGCTTTGGCATCTTGTGGGACCGGTGTAGCGCTTCCTGACTGTGGATGTCTTGGTGTAGCATCTCCCGAGCTACTCCCATCCAATTCGAGCAGCTCATTTGGCTTCTGTCCCTCGTTCAGTCTCAATGTCTCCACCTTCTCCGCTCTTGCTATAGGCACATGTGCATCGAGAGCGAGTGACGCCTTCTTAGGCGCTATCTGCGATACCCCCTCGTGCCTAATCCACCCATGCTGCAACGCTTCATCCACTGTCATTCTCTCATTCGGATTCGGTTTCAGCAGACGTTGAATAAAGTCCTTTGCTGTGCGATTGTGAGTGGTGTTAGTGAACTTTTTCATCATCCTCTACCCACCGTCTCCCGACACATCATGCCAAAACAAGTCATTGAACTTGACATCAGTGAACTGCTTAGTCTCATTCTCTATTATTTGAGGGTTCGCTGAGGTGTACAGCGAGCGTCCCGAGAGAACATTGAAAGTTATAACTCCAATAGCCCACATATCAGCCGGGAATGAGTATCCCCTGAAGTTGTATATTTCAGGTGCAATGTACGTTGGACTCCCGCAAGGTTCGAGCAGCTTTACATCGTGCGACGGGAGCAGTACAGCCTGGCCGAAATCGATGAGAATGACTTCACCAGCTGGTGCATCTTTGCTTCTGTAGAGGTAGTTGTCGAGTTTAATATCCCTATGCAACACATTGCGTGCATGCAGATAGCTAGTTGCCTTGAGAATAGCCGTTACTGCCTGCCTCGCTTCATCCTCGCTGAGATGACCGCCTGGAGTGGATGGTAAGTTAGTAAATGATCCCACTATTACACTACGCAAACGCGTCGTTCCTCCCACCAGCTGAATTAAGCCTATCTATCAAATCTCCCCCGGACGCCAACTCGAACACCAAATAATAGCTCGTCGAACTCGAGAAAAAGCTTATCAAGTTGATAGTGTTTGGGTGGTCCATGTTGTCGCGCATGAATGTGATAAGTCGTCTGTAGGCGTCCCTATCTGATATCATCAATCAGCACGGTTACGATAAGCAGATGACGTGAGTGACGCACTCTTGATACTCTTCTTGGGTACCTTCTTGATAGCCACGTCTCTGTCGGTTTCCTTGTCATGCGCTTGGCTCACGACACCGAACCCGCCCTGACCGAGGACCTGGATGATCAGCCGTGTGAGTGGAGTGCGTGCTGGTCCATGGCGCCCCGCTCACCTCACCAAAGTCATATGCTTGCTTGTGCTGATGCGATTCCTTGTGGAATAGATTGCCAAGTAAATTCATCTGCGTGGGTGGTGTAACGCAAACGTGACATTTGCGATGAGGCGGCGATAAGTATCGGGAATAAACGGGAAATGGAATTGATGCAAAGACGGCAACGAAGGATAGTGTGATACTTTGAATACCCAGATGCCACCAGATGCCACTACGCCACACATCCAATCGACGATATGAAAATCTTCGATGAATATACATGTGAAGTGGAGCTATCTACATCCGAAACTACAGGACAATCAAGGGGTCTTATAGTACCTTTACTGGCAGCAATAAAAAAGCAGTTCAGATTAGATACAATTTCACTGCCTATTGTCACTTCTTTAAATAGAAATAGTCCAAATATTCGTGCTTGATCTACTTGGCACCATTTGAATCATATTTGATAATTTGTTATACACACTATGACGGATGATTCTCCGTCTTCTTCAAATAAAATGAATCCAGACTTAGAATCGCAATCGCCATCACCAAAGCCTTCACAGCGCAACTTTTCTTCCATGTGAGTTGAGCAATGCATTCCACACACCTCTCACATATTCCAGCCTCAATGAACACGTCGAACACCACAACGCTGCTATTCCGCTAGCCTGGCAATCATTCATCACTGGTTTGGTCGATCTCATCCTCTACTCGCGAAGCCAAGTTTGGGTTGGTTTTCAAACAGGCAACATGGTCCAATTCTCAGGAAATATCGCTCAATTCATGCTTCCTGATTATCAGCGACATCCCCTCAAAACTCTGATGAGAATTTTATCTATCGTCGCCTTCTTCCTAGGCTCTTTTGTTTCTTCAGTGGGTGGTAGATATGTCGGTGACCGCACGCGCAAATGGCTTTTCATCAACTCAGTTCTCCAAAGCTGTTTGTTGTGGGGAGCTGCAGGTATACTCCTGTCTAGACCTGAATATGAACAGCCAACATTTGACTACTTCCCCGCTGTACTCACACTCGCAGCCTGGTCGTTAGGAATGCAAGCTGCAGCTTCACAGAAACTGACATCCCCGCACTTCGCAACGACAGTCGCATTCACAGCCACCATCACTCAAATAGCCAGCGATCCCAATCTCTTCAAGTTGAGATCGCCGACTAGAGATAAACGGATGGTAGGTATAGTCTGTCTGTGTATTGGTGCAGGCGTGGGTGAGATGTTGCTTTATGCCGACACCAATCTAAGAGGCGCGATGGCGATAGTCGCTGGATTCAAACTTATACAAGCGTTCATGTGGTTTTTGCCAAAGGCTTCCCCACCACCACAATGAAATTACTAGAATAAAATCACCTCGTCGGTATACTTGACCCACACTGCTATTACTACACAACTTAACACCGCGAATGATAATTTGGCCTGTACAACTGCATATACCCACAGCATAGCGATCGATGGCGCTCTCTTGATGACTTGGTAGCTTGGGGAATCGTTGATGAGCTTAATTAGACTCATTCCTAGCGCAATGGATGAGAGTAGGTATACATATTGCATCCATCTCGAGTTGGAGTATTTGTTAGCTACATGGGGTTAGTTGGGCGCTCTTGCAATGTCTCAACTTACAGTAGAAGATGATGACGGTTATTACTTTAAATTGTTAAATGTTTTGCATTAATATGGTGAACACACTTACATGGCACTGCCTTTGCCATTTGCTTGGCTTCTTGTGTGAATGTCGGCCATGAGTTGTACTGTGCAGATACGAGGAGGTCCATGAGGAGGTATAAGAAGCTGCTACAAGTTAAATAGGCATAAAAGGCTACCAGAAGCCCACCTAAAAGGTATAATGTGTAGTACTGCACCGAAAACCTCACCAATTTCGAGAACTTCGGGTTCGGGTTGCTGTTGCAACTTCTGCCTGACGCCAGAATAGTCAACGAGTTCATCTATATTTTCAATGCTCTCTGCTTCATCGTCTCTGATTTCCTCTATTTTCGCCATTTTTGAGTAAAACGAGAAATGCGCTCGCCTAGCTCCAACCGCTACAGCGATGCAAGTAACTAGAATTTCACGCCAGGCTGTTGTGAGTGAATAGAGTGTCTGCAAGGGAGAGTGCTGAGAATTATACAGGACTTTTCACGTCTCACCAGCCAAATTGGACTCGGAAAGGGTGAGTTTGGAGTCTTGAGGATTCAATGTAGCTCAAACACACGCGTAGACACCGTTGCTCAAATCAACGCCTTCAGAAAGCGTGCAGATGAAGCAAAGCGTTCATTAACCAACCTTCAAGAGCACAAGGTGGACGTAGACTTCAGTCACTACCGCTCAACGCTCAAGAACAGCGCAGTGGTTGATGAGCTTGAGAGCAAAGTAAAGTCATTCAAGCCAGCTACTTACGACGTTCAAGCCATTCAGAAAGCAATTGATGCATTTGAAGCAAAGGCTGTCGACTCAGCTCAACAAACTGAGAAAAAGATTGCAGAGGAACTTAAAGACCTCCAAGCCACTTTGGACAACATCCAATCAGCTCGCCCATTCGACCAGCTCACCATCGACGACGTTGCAGCCGCACGTCCAGAAATCACCAAGACTGTCGATACGATGGTACAAAAGGGCAAATGGTCTGTACCTGGCTACAAGGAGAAGTGTGAGTGGTGCTGTAACTCTGATTTCAATTTTACTAACTCGGTTTTTAGTTGGAGACCTCAATATCAGTGAGCACCACGAGCTGCGCTGTACGTCGCATTCTAACTCAATTGACAGTGTAAAATTATTAATTTGTGAGAGATCTGCTCAGACTCATTTAAATCCTTTTTTCAAATTTCCAAATTTCCAAATCGTTTGACTGTGATCTCATCTCCGTACCATCAAGATGGACAGTAGTACACAGAGTACCCAGAACACAGCTGAAGATACTGACCAGCCCGTTGATGAAGGCTATAGGCCACTCAACGTACGCGACGCTCTCAGCTATCTCGACCAGGTAAAACTCCGATTCCAAGATAGCCCTGAAGTTTACAACCACTTTCTCGACACTATGAAAGACTTCAAATCGCAATCTATAGATACTCCAGGCGTTATTGACCGGGTTTCCTCTCTTTTCCGCGGTCATCCCGCCCTCATCCAAGGTTTCAACACTTTCCTTCCTCCAGGCTATAGGATAGAATGCAGCGACCTCTCTGGCACAAGTCCCACAGGCGGTACAATCACCGTCACTACTCCTATGGGTGTTACCACTCTCCAGGCCTCCGCCTCTTTCCTACCTGCGTGGCAGGCCCAACACGCTCAACCACCTCCACCAGATCCTGTCATTCCACCTTCTCCATCCTCCCACTACGCCCAGAATCAACAATCAGGTGCCAACACTCCCACCGCTGCGTCTACTCTCGCTAACCAAAAACCTCCGGTTGAATTCAATCACGCTATTAGCTACGTCAACAAAATAAAGAATCGTTTTAATCAAGACCCTGAAACTTATAAAATGTTCTTAGAAGTCTTGCAGACTTACCAAAAAGAGCAGCGCACGATACACGAAGTTTATGCACAAGTGAATCACTTGTTCCATGGTGCTCCCGATTTATTAGATGAATTCAAGCAATTCTTACCAGACACTACTGGTGCTGCTCCTCAATCTGGCGGTTTGTTCCAAATGGTTGGTCAGATGGTTCCACAGAGCGTGCCGTCCTCCATCGACTTATCACAGAGCGCTAGTCGCAGCATGACCAAGAAACCCACGCCTAAAGTTGATGACAAAAAGAAAAAGAGAGCACCTACGAGCGACTCATCGCAAAAGCAGTATTCTAAGGTGTGTATAGGTGTACTAGGTTTAATGGTCTTCTCAACTAACATTCAATCCACAGACAAAGAAGCCAAAGTTCGTGCACAGAGAAACATCACCACAATCACAAATATCGCACCCTATGTCCACGCAACAGCCCACTTATTCATCCGCACGGATGGAAGAACCACCACAATTTCTCTACGAGTCGCCTTCGATGAGATCCGCAACAATAGTACCACCATCAATCCCAATCGACAAGACACTTGCAACTGTCGAAGAGATGGCATTCTTCGATCGAGTTAAAAAGTTCATTGACGACAAGACTACGTATCATGAATTCTTGAAGCTGTTGAATCTGTTTACCCAGGATATTATTGATGCGCGTACTCTCGTTGATCGCTCCCAATTGTTTATTGGCGAAAATAAGGAATTGTGGGATTTTTTCAAAGCTATGGTGGGTATTGTCCCAGGTCCAGGTTCTGGCGGTCCAGGAGGCACGTACCAGATTGAGAATATTCCAGCTATTGAACGTCCCAGGATTGAGTTAGAAGAGTGCAAGAAATATGGTGCCAGTTATCGTAAATTACCGCAGTCAGAAATCAGTCTGAGTTGTTCAGGACGTGATGCGATGTGCTGGGAGGTTCTTAACGACGAATGGGTCAGCCATCCAACCTGGGCATCTGAAGATTCGGGTTTCGTAGCCCACCGCAAGAACCATTTCGAGGAAGCATTACACAAATCAGAGGAAGAGCGTCACGAGTACGACTATCATATTGAGGCGAATTTGCGCACGATTACTCTGCTTGAGCCAATTGCAGCGCGCATTTCAGCGATGGACGGTGAAGAGCGTGCTGCTTTCAGATTGAAGCCAGGTCTTGGCGGACAGTCGAAATCTATATATCAGCGTATAATCAAAAAAGTGTATGGACAGGAGAATGGATTGGAGATAATCAATGCTCTCCATGAAAATCCATCCGTTGCCGTTCCTGTCGTTCTCAACCGCCTTAAAGCTAAAGATGAAGAATGGAAGCGCGCACAGAGAGAGTGGAATAAAGTGTGGAGAGAATTGGATGCACGCAATTACTATAAATCCCTCGATCACCAGGGCATAGTATGGAAGCAAAACGAAAAGAAGAACCTGACATCTAAGCAACTTATTCTGGAAATAGAAACATTGCGTAAAGAGCAAATACAAAGACGTAAATCTACAATGTTCCCTGCAATTTCTGCTTCACCTATGCGTTCTAGGTATCAGATGGGCTTTATACTCGAAGATCAGGGAGTGCTGTTCGATGCTATCAAACTCATCCTAGCTTTCATAGACAGACCAGTGCCGCCATCGACTACAAATGGCAACAGCATCTCAGCAAGCTACTACAACTCTAACAATCAAGTGTATTCAGCTAGTGAGAGGGAGAAATTCGAGACGGTACTGAGAGATCTCGTACAAGCCTTCTTCAAGATTGATGAAGACAAGTTCAATCACTATCTAAGTCCAAATGCAGGTGCAACTGATGGCGTCGATGGGGATAGGGATGAGACAATGCAGACTAATGGCGACCGTGAAGCCAGCCCAAGTACGCGTGATGCTGGTAAACCATGGACGAATATTACAACTGAGCAGGCATCAGTGGTACATACTGAAGTCAATAACGATCCTACTACTAAACGCAAGCATTTGAACTTTTTCTGCAATTCGACCTACTATATAGCCTTCAGATTGTTATATGTAAGTGGTTTCACTTTACCCCTTTAAAGTGACCAACTGACTGTCATTCAGATTCTTTATAGTCGTCTGCACTCATTCAAAATGCTCGCTCAAGAACTTACGACGAGCAAAAAGCAACCCGTCAACCCACTAGCGAAAGAAATGGGTCTTCACGACACATCTATCACTCAGACAGTTGGTATACCATTGCTAGAAAATACTACGAAGGACGGTGCAGAGACACCAGCGAGTGTGCACTACTACGACTACCTTCTTGAACTCTCAGAGAGGTTATTTGAAGGTGAAATCGACCAAAATGTATTCGAAGAGAGTTTGCGGTGGATGTTTGGTACGCGCGCATACCCAATTTTTACAGTCGACAAGTTGATATCGCAGCTACTGAAGCAACTGGGCAGTATAGCGTCAGACCAAAAATGTCAAGAACTGTTGTATGTCCTTCAAGCCGAGCGTCGAGAGCCATCTTCGTCCAACTCTCGCCAATTCATCTATCGCAACAAAGCCCAGCGCATAATTGGTTCTGATGAGCCATTGTACAGAATTGAGTGGGTAGGCTCTACCAAGGAGTTGAGGATGCAGTTGTTAGCAAGAGAGGATCTCACTGTCGATGTAGATGAGCGCAAGCAGACGAGAGATCAGAAATGGACCTATTACATACAGTCATATCTCCTTCAAACGCCTACGGAGGGATTAAATGCCGACCTCACCGCACCATTCCTCTACCGCTCTATACCGCAGCAGAGCGAAGAGGCGGAGGAGGACGATGAAGAGACTGCTATAGTCGATAGATCTGAGTACTCTAATGGGATGGAGTTGCGTATCTGTATGAGAACGTATAGGATGTTTTTCGTGCCCAAGACTGAGGATAGCTTCGTGATCAAGAAATTCGGTAAAGGTGTACAACATTCGCTCGGTCCAGGATTACGATTCGGCGGTGCGCCAGGACGCGTCAATCACAATGCTAGAGTCAGTAATGAGAACAGACTGAAGCGGTTGAATAATTGGTTGGGAAAGATAGGACATGGACCTGACGAGCAGCAGCAAACCCAGCAAATTCAGCAATCCCAGCCAGCGATAGAAGAAGCACCAGAAGAACCCCAGCAGCAGCAAGCACAGCAATCCCAACAACCCAACAATGACGTCAAAATGAACGAATAATTGTTTATATTCATATTTTTAGCTTCTACCTTTTGTAATAAGTATTTATACGTCTCAACGTCATCTTCTTTTCGTCATTGTGTCATCATTGATTTCACAGCTAGGATGGGCAACAAGGGTAGGTGGACTAGTGCTTAGGGGAGTGAGAGTCTGGCTAACCTGGCCACTAGACATAATCACGCTCGGAATGTTCATTGTCGATGAATTTGAGTATAACCACCCAAACGGTGAACCAAATGTGGAGAAACAACAGAATGGAGAATCTCAAATCGGGGGTGGAGGTACATACGCAATCATGGGAAGCAGGATGTGGACGAGTCCGACACGCCTTGGACAGATTATAGACACGGGGAGAGATTTTGACGAAAGCACGAGAAAGATACTGGAAAGCTATGAACATGATGAAACCAACAGAATGTTTATTCTCCGTCAAGACCCATCCAAGCCGACGACGAGGGCTTTGAACAAATACATGGGACAGCGAAGAGAGTTTAAGTACCTCACAGAGCGCCACAAGCTCCACTTAAAAGATTATATCGCTCTCGGTGTGGATGAGGCCAAGTACTTACATTCGGTATGTAATCCCGAGCGACAAACAGCCATAATAAAGGAAGTGAAAGAATTAGGCTGGCGGAATGTCACGTACATCTATGAACCACTGCCGGAGGCTATGACGGCTACGAACATGGACCATCTGATTGAGACGATGAAGATTGATCGTGAAAATACGCTCCTCTCGCCCAACCACACAGAGGCTGCTGCGATGCTAGGTGTGGATGAGCCAACGTCTAGCAAAGCATGCGAAGAGCTCACTCAGGCTATACATGACTACGTCAATGCCTCAAAGGTCGTGTTGAGATGCGGCAAGCTAGGTACCTATGTCAGCACACCTGATGAAGCATTCTGGGTGGAAGCTTTACATATACATAATCAAGAAAAGGTTTTAGACGTCACTGGCGCTGGTAACGCTTTCTTGGGCGGATTGGCAGGCGGACTGAACAGGTATGGTGATATCAGGAAAGCAGCTGCGTGTGGAACTATCTCTGCTGGATATACCATCGAGAAGGATGGCTTGCCATGTGTTTCATTGGTAGATGAACAAGAATGCTGGAACGGCCGCACTCACACTGCAGAGCAAGAGCTTGATCATTTTATCAAAACTCGCATGTAAAGCATTAAAATTGTAAAGTTGGATATATTCTTCAGTCGTGCAGTGTTTCTTTACAAACTGTAAGTAAATGCTATAAAAAATCCTTAGTGAAAATTGAACCTATGTTTAGAGTCTCTCCAAGACGAGTGCAGTAGCAGCACCACCACCGTTGCAGATAGCAGCAGCACCCTTTTCACCAGTGGTCAATTGGTGGATCAAGCTAACGACGATTCTCGAGCCCGAGTTTCCGATAGGGTGTCCAAGACTGACAGCACCACCGTTGACGTTAACCTTGGCGAGATCGAGACCGAGCGCCTTTTCACCAATTTTAGCTACGGAAGAGAATGCCTCGTTGAGTTCAAACTTGGCAATGTCCTTAACCTCAACGTTTGCCTTCTGGAGTGCGATTGGGAGTGCTTTCGTTGGAGCAATTGGGAAATCAATTGGTGCCATGGCAGCATCAGCTGATGCGATGAGTTTTGCAATTGGCTTAATACCCAATTCCTCAGCCTTTTCTTTAGACACAAGTATCAAAGCAGATGCACCGTCATTCAAAGTTGACGCGTTAGCTGGCGTTACTGTGCCATTCTCCTTTTGGAATGCAGGACGGAGCGATGGGACCTTGTCGAGGAGAATCTTTTTGTACTCTTCATCTTCTTTGACGATGATATCGCCCTTGCGCGTCTTTACTACAACTTCGGCGATCTCATTATCGAAGCGACCAGTCTTCCATGCGTCAGCTGAGCGTCTACAGGGTGTTATAGGGGATTTGAACAAATATTCACAAGACACACCTGTAAGATTCAATAGCGTAATTGTCTTGGTCTTCTCTAGTGATATCGAACTTCTTAGCGGCAGATTCAGCACAGCCACCCATGTGAATGTTGTTGTACACATCCCAGAGGCCATCAGTCATGATAGCATCAGAAGCCTGGAAATGGCCAACAGGAGCCTTCTGGCGAGGAAGAAGGTATGGAGCATTGGACATGGATTCCATACCACCAGCAACGACGACGTCTTTCTCACCGAGTCTGATGGATTGAGCAGCGAGGTTGATAGCCTTCATACCAGAAGCGCAGACCTTGTTGACGGTTGTAGCGTCTACAGTATCTGGTAAGCCAGCGCCAAGGACGACTTGACGAGCAGGTGACTGTCCACAGCCAGCTTGAAGGACTTGTCCAAAGTATAACTCCTCCACTGCGGACGCTGGTACATTTGATTTCTCAAGTGCCTTCTTGACTGCTACAACACCAAGCTGTGGTGCGCTCAGCGTTGCTAAACCGCCGTTGATAGATGCGATGGGTGTACGCTGTGCTGCTGCGATATACACTTCACGGCCTGACATATTTGATATTTGTCTTGTTCCAAGAGCAATTGCTGAGGCGATTGGCTTTGCCTTTGATAACCCTAATATTAACATAATCGTACGATTTTAACAAATAAAATAAAATTTATTTCAATTCCAATAAAGCTATTTTATTATCTTCTGAACAGCTCAGTAGAGATCTATTTCTTAGGCGTATTTTGTTTATGAATCCGTTATGCTCTTCCACACTCGCGCGCTTTGTCCAGCTATCAAAATTTTCACCGTTCTTTTCGTATATTTCGATTAGCCCATTTTCTAAACCAACAGCCAGTAATTTTCCTGACATTGACACAGCTGTTGCAGCCTCGTCAAATTTCAGCACACATACTGCATCCCAACTGCTATTGTCCTTGCTACCTGCGGATCTGCACCACACTCTTACAGTCTTATCGCGTGATGCTGTGACGAATGCATTACCGCAATTGCTGAATTGGCAATCCCATATGATACGTCCATGAGATTTATTAGCAGCGACGGCAATATACTCTTCCTTGTCTGACGCTTTCTCGAATAGTCTCCATGTTCTATCTCGACTCACACTTAGTATCATTTTGTCATCAGGCGAAAACTGTATACTTGTGATGGTAAGGGTATGTCCTTCGAGAGGATTACCATAATGCATACCCTTGATTGCATCAGTTATTCTCACAACTGCATGCTTTGCACTCTGAGCCTTACAAGCCGTTGCTAGTAAATTGGAGTGATGAGCAGCTGCGATACTGAACAACTCATAGCCGTGTCCGAATAATTTGTTGGATTCAGGCCATAAACTAGTCACCAGCTGCTCCTCAACTGGTGGTTTAGCAAGCTGAGTACCATAGCTATGACTCAAACTCCAATCTTTATCCTCCTCCTTGAGCTTCAACTCATCAGGATGTTCGTCATTCTTGACTAGACGGTTGGAAAGCGACTGAGGAGGGAGGGATGCACCGAGTGGACGACTTTCTTCATCCACATTATCATCAATTACGCCTAACTTCTTCGCACTCCTGATCCATCCTTTTGGTGCTTCGAATGTTCGGACAATCTTCTCATCCGCCGCACTAGCAATTTGGGAAGAATCACCACCAATGAAAGCAAGCGCTTGCATATCATATCCATGCGACTGAGGTCTGTTTAATTCATGCCACGATTCGACACCATTTCTCTTCCATGGACCATGCAGGCGAGTAGACTGGTCGAGAGACGCCGATAAAAAGAATTGATGGTTTGGATCCCACACGACATCTTTGACTGGGTTGGGGTGTCCAGTGATTGCTAATTCTGGTTGCCACAGCCCCATCTCGGGTGTGTGCACCCATCTGTGGAAGCTACCGTTGAGACCGTGAGCAAAGACCTCTTTACCATTCGGAGAGAAAAGTCCACCAAAGAAACCTAATCCACCTGTACCGAATTCACCGAATCTTCTCTCATTCATCCACATACCATCAGATTGAGGTGCCCATAGAATCATAGATTTGTCTGCTGAAGCACTTAATAGATATTGCGGCTGTATATATTTACTATCTGACTCCCACTGTACAGGATGCCAATGGAGACCGGTTATCCAGCTATCATGACCCAGTAACAAAGCTTCAAAGTTGAGTTTGTATCTGTAGCTGGGCGTTAGCCGTAATAAATAAAGCCAAGAATGCTCACTGTTTAGAGGTATTCTGATCTGTGAACACATGAGATTTAGTTGAAAGACTAGACGTTGTAGCGTCCGATTCCTGCATTTTCCTCTCGAAATCATCTAAAAGAGCGCTATTGAGAGTAGATTTATCTAGATTCACTTGAAGGTTTGGCTTGTTATCGAGATGGGTGGTAATGTTCCAAAGTCTAATGTAACCATCCTGAGAACCACTAGCAAGAACAAGATTATCACCGTTATCGGATGGGAAATTAGCGAATGAGAGTGCTCTAACCCAATCCTCGTGACCCTCTAAGCTCAAGGCCTTAACGAAGGAGTTGTTAACCATTATCCAGATTTCGATGCGATTGTTAGTGAGTGAAAGAGCCATAATAGGAGTATTTGAGTGAGGTAGTAGAGAGATATTAACATCTAGAGCAAATCTACCTGCTAAGTCGATAGACTGAATCTGTTCCGTCTTAGAATCAACGATATTCCAAACTTTAAGTAGAGAGTCTGATCCAGCGGTAACTAGCAAGTGACTATTCCTATCAACAAAGGGAGCATTTAGAGTACCAATTGCAGAAATTGATTTAGAGTGTGCGTCTATAGATGTAATTGGAGCGTATTGATCATTCCAAATGATAATTTTACCGTTTGTACACCCTGATACCAAATCGTTTGAATATTTGAATGATTGAAGGTATTTGACAATTCTAACATCACCGCTATGTCCTTGTAGAGTATGGCTTACGCCTTTACAGCGTGTATCATTTGGATTCCAGATACAAACGTATTTACCACCACCGAAAGCAACAAAACCTTTATAATTGATATCTGCAGCGTTTGTTGATCTATTGCAGCCAATTGAAATATATTTTTTATCGTAAGCGTGAGAAGAAGAAGACATGGTTGTTGTACTTCAACAACCAACATCAACAAGAAATAAATAAATGTTTGTTAGCTAATTATCTCTAATAACCCATCTCATAGTCCTTTAATAGGTACAACGGTATTGGTCTTCATTCAGCTCGTGGAAGTGGTACAAATGGATACATACAGCGTAATCTTGCATATATAAAACCACGTGAACAGCAATCAACTTATAAAGAAGAAATATCAGCAAGGGGTAGATCACCAGATAGATCCATACTCGAACATGATCAAAAGCGTAAGATTGAATTGGAAATTATTCAATTACAAGATGAATTGGAAGATAAAGGAATTCCTGAGAGTGAAATTGAATCAAAGTGTAGTGAATTACGTCATGAGTTACTCAATAGACCCACACAACCAATAAATACAAAGAATCAATTCAAAGGTCATCAAACACATGCAATCGCTGCTGCTAAAGCTCTCGAAATGCAGCGTATTGATCATGCTTTCAACACAAACACCAATTACAAAGAAGGTGACGCCTTCGATCGCGATTTACAAGAACGTAAACGTTTAGATAGAGCTGAAAGAAGAGAGCATCATCAAGCTATGCGCATTCAACGTGAAAGAGAAGGTAGACAGAGTGCTAGAAGTCAGGTTGAGCGTGATTTAGATGAAAGAGAGAGAGACAGGGATGTGGATGTAAGGAGGTCTCCTGGTAGACCTTCTAGAAGGGATTATCGATACGACGACAGATCCAAATCCCCAGACTATGATGTCAGAAGGTCTCCTGCTTACGATAGCAAACGTAGATCACCTTCTCCAAACGACAGAGGTAGATCTTTATCACCCTACTCCAAAAGAGCGGCACTCTCACGCAGAAGGTCACTTTCTGACTCAAAATCACCACTCCCGCAATCCCCGCGAAGAAGAAATTTTACAGGGGATACCAGAGCATCTTTAACCCCTTTGACGCCACACTCTGATGCATAATCAAGTTAAGGTTGTATTATAGTTATACATAATTCATTTATCTCAGAATTATTAAAGAATACACGTTTATAGAGAACTAAGGAGATAGTGACCTTATAGAGATGAAACAAGGAATGAAAAAGGTTGGTTTCGTTATTGAGGATTTAGTGTGTATTTGCGTGAGTGTGGAGTAAAAACAAAGCGATTACGAGTAACCTCATCAAGCAAGTTAACCCAACATCCTAATAGATTGCTCTTTGCGATTGTGCTTGTGCTTGAGACTGAGCTTGAGCTTGAGCATGCTGCTGCTGCAAGGTTGGTGCTTGCATTGGAAGTGGAGACAACATATTGTTAGATTGGCCTGGATGATTCTGTGTCTGAGATGTTTGTTGCGATCCACCTCCATTTCCTCCTTGTGCTTGTGCAACGTTGCATCCTGAATGTTGTGATAAAACATTTCTCAGCACTCCAATCTCCTCTCTAAGAGCAACTACTGTTTGTTGTAATGCTTCGTTGTCAGTCTGGAGAAATTCAACCTTCTGTTGTAATTGTTGCAGCCATGCCTTCTTTCTTTGGCGACACTTGAGTGCAGCTTGACGATTCCTTTCTAAGAAGTTCTTACGTTTCTCATCTTCTGTCATCTCAGCTTTGCTTGAATCTGGTATAAGTCATGTGAGCAGGAAAATATGTCTGACACAAAACTTACTACCACGAGTTGCACTACCAGCTCTAGTGGAAGAAGATGGCATCGCCAACTCATCGTCATCCTCGAATGCATCATCGTCATCGTCATCTTCTTCTTCTTCTCTCTTGGCTGCATTTGATCTCCTACCCCTACCTCTACCACCACCCCCACCAGATCTTCTCTTGTTGGAAGTAGCTGGAGAAGGAGCAGAAATTGAGTCCGGCTTTCTCTTCTGGCCGACGTCAGCTTCCGGACTTTCGGCAGAAGACTGATCATGTCTACTAGCTTGGGAGAGTAAGAAAAGACCATTAGCAGCGTTAGCAGCCGCGTCACCGGAATTTCTCTCATAGCGTTGCTGATTCTGTTGTGGAGGTTCAAGACCTTCTTGCTTGACTTGAGGTTGATAGTTCCTATAGTTTTGGAAAGCATCAGACTGATGATCAGGGTTAATCGGTCTACCACTGCCATCAAAACTAGCAACTACGCCATTAATAGCGTTGACAGTATTAGGAGTTAAAGCAGGTGGTTGAACCATATTCATTCCGAAGAATGCAGCGTTAGGTGACTGAGGCTGGTATTGGCCGCCTGCAAGCGGCGTTAAACCCGTCTTAATGTTGTTGTTTTGTGCAAATGATGCTTCAAATGGATTTTGATGTTGTTGGGAAGGACCTTGTAACATTGCAGGTGAGAGTGGACCTGAGCGCAATGATGTTGGAACAGCAGAAGCAGCAGTAGGTGGTAACTGATGCTGAGCTGGGTTCGGAGGTTGTTGTGGCTGCTGCTGTTCCTGCTGCTGATGCTGTCCAGGTCCACGCTCACTCGCTTGGCTTTGTTGCTGCTTTGTAAGTGTGGAAATTGAAGGCAGTTTTGAATCCTTGTCATCTGAGGCCCCAAATGACTGGTCGAATGGATTTGGCTCTAAATCTAATTGTGATCTGTCCTCAATTTGTTGTGACATAATCGAAAATGCGTAATTTGAAAAACTGACGTAGTCGACGTAAGAGATACAAATCCTGCGTCATCGCAAATTTATTTGCTCATCAAAAATTTATATCAATTTAAAAAAAATTACCTTCAGGCGTCTTTTTATCAGATTCTACATTGTGCAATTAGTATTTTCTCCTTTTTTAGGTCCTTTTGACAGCTTTTCGACGATATACATCCACTCCTAAACGCCCGGTCGCAGAAGTGACAAAGGATTGTTCACAGCTGCTCCTATCTGATAAACCTCGCTTTTGTTCTGATGCAGCATTATAGCTGGCACGACCTATTTATATTTGATGCAGCTTAATAATGCGAAATTTTGCACTTGGTTTCACTTACATATTCATTAAGGCTTGAATCTTTAACTCCTGTCCAATCATAAGTCCCTACTTTATTTTTGCATTTGTCGTTTGGGCAGTAGAGCTTCCCTGATACTTCTCCGCCGACTAAATTCATCCATTCGAGCTAAAGTGTTTATCAGATGAGCTTCAATAACTTTTGAATACGCACGGATTCGACATAAAAGGGCGATGAAGGTATGTACATCACAATGTCGTCATAACCAGCCAGCTTCATTCTGTGATGACATAGTGTGAGATAGGGCGAAACCAAACGACGCATCATACACACCTGCACTGCTTACACCTAACCGCTGTTGTTCTGCTTATTTTTTTCTGCTGCTTCTGCTGATAAAGATGCAACAGGCCCTCTTTATTGTCGATATCAGAACGAGTACCGTGACCATCCCCGGCGATACTCTTGGCTTTTTGCAGTAGTCTATACCGTCTCACTAGAGGATTGCTATCTGATACGGACCATCCCGCCAACTGGAATATTTTGAGTTGATGCTTGAAATTCGGATTTGGACTGTCGAGATTATGAGAAGAGTGCTTCAATACATCACACTAAACATACTCAGCTATAGGTCTGCATCTGCGCACTCTAACCAAAGCATCTTCCAGACTGAGACTGTATTTCCGCATCAAGTGAGCAGTTGCAACTGTCGCAGATCTGCTAACGCCTGCATGGCAAAGAAGGAGCGTTGGTGAGTTGCTGTTGATACCTTGATCGATCCAGTCGAGAGTTCGCGGAAGTAACTCAAGTATGTCCTCGTTCTCATCGTCATGTATGTCCAAGTGGAGAGTGTCTATATGTGGCTGTAAAGCATAAGCGTGCATTTCTCACAATCCATATCCACACACAGCTAGCTCAGGTAGAGGACCGTTGATAGCGACAACTGCCCGGCGTATTCCAGCGTCTTCCAACAACTTCTTATCAGCCTCTTGAATAGCAGACAGCGGGCTTATAAAAATTAAATGATCAATCTTGTCCATTTCTCTGTATACTTAAATATTTCAGCCTTCTCTCTCGTTCTACTGACGGTGGCTGACGGAATACAACGATAACCGATAACTGTAAATGGGTGAAGGACGAGCACTTGTCGTCGGATCTGAGCCAATCTCTCCTCCATTTCCACTTAGAATGCAAGGATATGTTCAAAGAGGCTTCGGAAGGGGAAGTAAAGACCTTGGAATACCAACAGGTGGGTTTTGTGTTCTGAGCGTACTCGCAGCCCATTCAAATGCTCTCACCCAGCCAATCTCCCTGAAGAGAGTTACAACGAGAGCTTCAAGCTTCTCGATGCAGCCAAGAACACTGGTGTCTACTACGGTTGGGCAAAGGTAGACGGCGTGGAGAATGCTCAAGTACATCCGATGGCCATGTCCGTTGGATGGAATCCTTACTACAAGAATGAGAAGCTCACAGCGGTGAGTGTGGTGATTAGTAAGACAGAAATGTTCTGAGTCCGCTACTCCCTCAGGAAGTTCACATTATGCATAACTACGATATGGATTTTTACGGCAAAAATATGCGCGTAATAGTCACCGGATACGTCAGACCAGAATTGGATTACTCGACTCTCGAAGCCCTGATTGAGGACATAGAGTTTGACAAAAAAGTAGCAATACATTCATTAGACAGACAATCATATAAGTTATTGAAGAGTGATAGTTTCTTCAATTGAATAATCAAGAAAGTTATCCCAACAAATCCCGCATCATTTCAATCTCAGCAGCACTTAATCCAAGTTGGGCGTATGTTCCCTGATGTACTTGTTCAGATCTCTCTAACTCACTGAAGCAGTCCCTCAGTCTAGATTTCACGCTTGGTGTCATATATCCTCTTTCACCCTCTTTTCTCTTTGATGATTGCTGCGTGAGTGTTATGACGACCCTCAATGCCTTTTCTTGTAGATCGCTATCGGTTGATTGATTTGGTGGAAGCAGTGAGAGGATAGCATCAAGCAAGTTGTGCTTGTAGAGTGCTTCACTCACCATACCCTCCGTGCTTGGTGTGCGTGGTGCTCTGTCGCCTGGAAATTGGCTCTCATGGCGTATAGCAACACCAGTAGCTGTACTTGTTGGTGCTGCAACTGGTTTCATTGTAATATCATCCGAAAGCAGCAGCGTATTGATCAAAAAGGTCACTTTGCGCTGTAAGTTGAGATTGTTGTTGTCTGCGATTCTAGTTAGTGGTATACAAGACGCACAACTGCCTTACACACCTTGTAAAGCTTTACCAAGTGCTGTCCATCCACCTACACTAGTGAATTTATGTACAGCGACGGGGTTGTGTTTGAGAAGACCCGAAATGTTAAGTAGTGCTTTATTCTGTAATGTCTTGTTGGATGATTCGAGGTAACTGATGAAAAGGGGCAGTGGATCCATCTCAAAGAAGGTATCTTGAGTCTCGTAGTCATTGTTGATAGCTGCACCTGTACAAGCAGCAGTTGCAACTTTAATTTCATCCTCACCGTGCTTGAGGAGTGAGTAAATGGGTTCCCATAAACCGATGTTCTTCATGTTCTTTGCATTGTCTACTTGCTCAACAAGCATTTCAAAGTTATCGAGTGCAATTAACTTGTTATCAAGGGTGGCTTCCTCGTTAGTGGCGACAATCATAGCTTCCTTCATCATTTCTGCATCAGATTTACCGAGCTATTGAACAATACGTTAGTGGCATATTAGAGATGTTAATCTGCTACCCACAATCTTATCAAGCACCGCTGGATCGTACTTCTGACCTGGCCCTGATTCGTGCTTAGCAGTTTCAGCCATCTTCTTAAGATCCTCTGCATCTCCATCGTTTTTAACAGAATGCTGTAATCCCCATTGTAAAAGTTGTTCCATTGCCTGATTTCAAGCCTTGATGGTTTGTGATATCACTAATGCACAAATAAGCCAAAGCATTTTCATCCAAGTCGAATATTCGTGAACATTACAGAAGGCGCGTCACAATATTAAATCAACAACATCTAAATACAATCGTCAATGAATATCATGCAACTTTTCTTAATCTGAGAAAAAAAAATATTAAGTTGAGTGTCTGATGAAGATTTTCGCAAGTGAACACGATTGAGTAAACGACAATCTAAGAGTACTGATCAATGATAGTATCTCTCAAGTCATTCACAACAGCTGTAGATTCTTGACCTTGTAACTTGAAGATGGCCTCGATAACAGAAATTTCCGTCGATGTGGTGTCTTGGCCCGTAAAGGCTATCCAGTCATTTACGACCAAGCCAGCACCTAATACGTCACTACCTCTGTTTATGGTACCAGCAGCGAGTGGAACCTGCAACAAAGAAGACAATTCATCCTGGTCTTGTATAGAAGTTTTTGGATGAACGAGACCACCTTGATTTGACAAAGAGCAGTAGCTTCCGACTAATACATTCTCTGCTACCGTTTGTCTAAAAACTTCAACCTTCAAAACGTCTGCGATTATTTCTTCAGTCTCACTATCGATATCTGGGTGCACGAGAGCAACGTAATCGTTACAGGCTATAACATTGCCTAGGGCTGAAAGTCTCTCTTCGACTCTCTGTATCTGTACAGAGTCTGGCAATGAGTTTCTAAGATGCTGGAGTTCTTGATCTGTAGTAGTGGATGGAACGAGCAAGCCATTCTTATTACCTGCAGTGAGTCTACCAATGATTCTTGTACCTGCAATTGAAGTATGTACCACTGGAATTACATCCCCCAATTCTGCTTCGAAAGACGAGTAAAAGTTTGTTGAACCGAGTGCAGTCAAGCAGTAGCTGTTTGTCAATTTGGAAAATACGCCAATATCTGAACTATTCTCAAATGCCGTTCTAACTGCCATTTTTGATCTTGGCTGTGTTGAATCTTCTCTCTCTTCAACGTTATCTATAAATTTAATATAAAATGGATTTCTCGAGGTTTAGCGGGTGGGTGTGGTGGCTATACAGATGGTAATTTGGCTTATGTCTTCTCCGCATCAGTCCAGAACGGCTGCAGTTGAATGTATGCTTGAGTTTCATACACGTGCATAACTAACACCATCCAAAGCAATACATTCAGAAGAAGGAAATGAAGGACTTTATGCAGCTTTACTCCAACTTAGTTCAGAGGTGCTTCGAGGATTGTTCAAACGACTTCACTTCTAGGGCTCTATCAACTAATGAGAAAACATGTTCTGAGAACTGCGTAGGGAAATTCCTCAAGCATTCAGAAAGAATCGGTGCCAGATTCGCTGAACAGAACGCAGAGATGATGGAACAGCAGGCGAAACTTCGATAGAATGATATGTACGATAATAGATAGTTTTGATAGTTGATATAATTGATTAAGATATGTAAGCATCGTATCTGTCCTGATATACAGTCATCTAGAGATATCAAGTCCATAAGAATGCAACTTAAGTCTTGGCCTTATTCGACGCGCAACAAAGTCCATTATGAGGAATAGAAGCGTTTGCTGATATAGGCCGTGGTGTGTGCTCACAACAAGCTAGAAAATTCAAGCAGATATCATCAATTCAAGCTTATTACGCAATTGGGTATCGTCCATGCTATCCTTGAATGGATTCGCGAGGTATGCGGTGTAAATCGCGTGTATAGCTCTAAAAATCTGTATAAATTGCTTTGTGAGACACATAGACCATCAAATGACACCAAACTGACAACATATACATCCTCATCTTCAGCTGGTTGATTGAGAATGAGTATTATCATCGTATTCGTCGCTGATTGATATGCATATCTACCAAAGACCATATCAGCGCATAGAAAATCGCAAGACGATCAAACTAACGTGAAATTACTATCAATGGACTTGATTAAACCTAAATATGCAGAAGGATGCGTATCATCTGTCAAGACAGAATGAGATCTACATCCCTCATCACTCAAGCGTATAACGTACTAAATTGATGTAAATAATCTAAGCCTGATTGAATTTGGTGTATATAATCGTTGTTTAGTATAAATTTATCATTTTTGTTCAAAATTCCAAGGCTCGAGATGATGGACGTTTTCATTAAAGCGACGATGGTCCCTAATTCTGTAATTGCGGGAGCTGCCGCCTTCATCTCCGTACCACTCCTAGCAGCGCCTAAGAGCACCCCTTCTAGGATTTTGAAGCTTGTTTTACACACTTCAATCTATACCACAGGTCTCGCTTTCAACTCGCTCGTAGGTGTCGTATCCGGGTTAGCAGCATTGGTCGGTGGTGATAGGTATAGACAGCAGATATCGTGGCTAGTTGCTAGGTCGTTTTATTACACTGTAACACCGCTAGTTGGTTGGAAATTTAACGTCATCGGTGAGGAGAAATTTGAGCCATTCACGAACCCGGACGATTCAAAGAGACAGTCCTCGATTATGGTATCCAATCACCAAACCGCACTTGATATCCTGTTCCTTGGAAGAATTTTCCCCAAATTCACAACCATGATGGCAAAACAGGAGATCAAGAAGATTCCTCTGTTGGGCTGGTGGATGGTTCTATCAAAGGCTGTATTCATCAACAGGAAAGATCGCAAGGATGCTATCACGGCGTTCAACAGAATAGGCAATGAAATTAAGGATAGAGGTATTTCAGTATGGATTTTCCCAGAAGGCACACGCTGTACAACCCCATCGCCTTCTTTATTACCTTTCAAGAAAGGCGCTTTCCACTTGGCCATTCAAGCTCAGATCCCTATTCTACCAGTTTTATGCGAAAATTATTATCATCTAGCAAATTACAATGGTGATGCGAATACTGGTGGATCACGATTTGAGAGAGGTCAAGTGCAAATCAAGGTGCTTGATCCTATTCCAACAACGGGTCTCACATCTGATGACGTACAAACGCTCATCGACTATACCTATGAGTATATGCTCTATCACTTGAAGCTGTTATCTTCTACATCTTGCTCACTCGGGAAGCCTCTCCCCCCACCGCCTTCGCCTTTCAACAAGCCATTGCCAACGAAATCCACCAGAACGGATGACGAGGATGTCGTTTTGGTTGAGAAGAGTTAGTTGTTTAGTCGTTGACTTGATTTAGATTTATACGATTTTCAATGTGCAGTTTGTAGTAGTTATAGAGTATGTATACCGATGGTGAAATTACAATGACACAGAAACTCCACATCCACATCCAGAGCCTTGTGCTTGAGGGTTGTCGAGCACCTTGAAGGAAGAACCGATAAGTTCGGTTGAGAAGTCAAGCGTTGAGCCGCGCAGAAGTTGGAATGAAACGGCATCAACCAATACGCCCGGACCATCTGGATCGTCCGTAACGCTGAATCTATAATCATCCTTCTCTGCGCTCTCGACGTGACTATCCACCAAATCCAATTTGTACTGGTAACCGTGGCAACCACCGCTTTCGATGGCCACTCTTAACGCCAAAGTTTTATTCCCTTCCTTATCGGATATTCGCTTCAATTGCTATAACATGATTGGATGAGCGGGGTGTACTCTTCAACACAAACGGCAACTCACATCGCTAGCTGAATCTGTTATCGTCAACTTCATATGATCAACAGGAAGTACTTCTACATCGAGTCCATCGTCCTTCTCTGCTTGGATGTACTTGGGATCTGGATACGCCACCAAAGTGGATGCAAGCCGTGTTGAAGGGATTTTAGGGGTATTTGAGATAATCGGCGCACGTAATTGAGGTCTAAAGCTCCTTGCTAGTTTTTGTACACATTTCAATCGCGCTGAGAACATGACCGTTATGATAAAGATTACGTAAGGTGAGCACATTGATTTTATTTATAAAGAAAACAATTTGATTTATCAGGCTTTAAGATGTTTTATACTCAATATTAAATTCATCGATGGCTTTTGGATTCTCGTTTATATGCTAAATGAGAATCTTCACCATACACATAATTTTTGAAACACTAGAATTAGTCCTTCTTCTCGTTAGATTCAGTTGTAGGAGCAGATGCGTCTTTAGCAGGAGGCTGTTCTTTCTGCTCGTTGTTCTCGTTGCTTTGGTTGGTGTCTTCTTTGTTTTCACCGTCAAGACGTTGTTTCGCAACCTTTACGGTGATAGTTCTTCTACCAACAACAGAGCCATTTAATTCATTGATTGCTTTCTCTTGATCAGTGCTCTTCTTTAGTTGAACGAATCCTAAACCTCTTGAACGCTTGGTCAATGGGTTGGATCTGTTCACCACTCTGACTTGGTCAACCTCCAAACCTTTACTCTCAAACAATTCCCTCAATTGCTGATCTCTGAATGGAATCTTTGGTTGATCGTCACCTTGGTAGTGTCTGAATGGAAGGTTGTCAACAAAGACAGAATCCGCCAATGGTTCACCCAGAGGCTTAGCTGATTGGCGAGATGCTTGGCGCTTTCTTTGAGATCTCTTTTTGTTGCCAGCCTTCTTCTCACTGCTGTTCTCCTCCTCTGACTTTGGTTGCTGAGCATCTGATTGGGCGGGAGTAGAATCGACTTGCTCAACGCCAGCTTCGTCGTTGTTCTCAGCAGCAGCAGCAGCAGCAGCCTTCTTCTGTTGCTGCTTCTTCTTTTGTTGCTTTCTTGGTTTTCTTGACTTTGGCTTATCAGAACCATCTTCCTCACCAGGAGCGGCTGAGTCATCAATCCTTTGGCTACGCTCTGGCTTTGGTTCCTTTGGTCTAGCGATTTCAACGACGATGTTTCTGCCCTGATAATCTTGACCGTTGAGAGCCTTTACAGCGGTTTCTGCTTGTTCCTTTGTTGCGTAATCAACGAAACCGAATCCCTTTGAGCGTGAACCGAAGCGAATAATTTGAGCATCAGTGCTTTAATGAGATTGTAAGAATTACTAAAAATCCAAATTAAACACGCCACTCACATTTCACCGTGCTCTTTGCACAAATCCTTCAAACCATCATCCTTAACGGAGAAAGGAAGGTTTCCAACGAATACCTTTAAGGTTGGTAATACGGCAGCTTCAGCTGGTTGGTGAGCTTCAACTGCTTGTGCTGCATGCGTTTCAACTGGTGGTGCTTGCGACATTTTTATAAATTCGACGTGGTTTGGGACAAGGGAACACTGAAAAATCTTGTACAGACGTCATCAACATCAAATGAACACAGACCAGCTAGAATCTATTAAATTGAAGCTATCGCAGTCTTTAGAGAGTCTTCAGGGCTTTCAATTCACTCTAGCCACCACTGAAATGCCAAATTGGTATGTTTAAGCGGATTTACTTGGATTATAATCTAATTTGTATCTAAGGACTGAAATATTAAACAAGTATAACAATATACTCAGCCATGTTCACATACTCAACTCATTCCTCATCGCAAGTCAAACCAATGAAATGAATCCTAACAACTCACTTTTGAAATCTGTTATTTACCCCCAACAACCTATTGAACAATCAAGTGAACACATTCTGCACGTTCTTCTACGTACCAAGCCGTACCCCCACATTGAAGAAAAGGAGAATGATCTCATTTCAACGCTACAGCTTAACAATGAGCAAGTTGAATCAACTATAAATGCCCACGATCAGCGCAGTAAGAGGGCTAATCAGCTTACTCAACGTATCAAGAATCAGTATGACTGGAAAGCTAGATTGGAAGTCAGTGATATCACCACCGCTAATATTTCACCCGAAGAGACTTCAAGGCTAGCTGCATTCATGTCAACTGGAACTATGTAAAATATTTGAGTATCTAAACCATTTGTATTAGTATAATGAATAATGAAATGCATTCCAAGTAAAGGAAAACTACTTATTTACAGACAATTGTTGAACACCTGTTGAAACATCCGCCAACTCTCCACTCTCAGTCTTCTCAATCAATTTGGTTATCTTACCAATAGCTACCGTTTTACCTTCATCTCTCAACGTGAATCTACCCAATTGTGGATAATCGTTGAAACTCTCCACACAAACTGAGCCAGTTGATTCTAACAATGCAACAACTTTCTGTCCTTTCTTTGCGAATTGTGGTGCCTTCTTCGATTTTCTGCCCGTCTTCTTATCATAGTAGTGCAACAACTCTGATAAATGTACCTCTTCTGCCAATGTGTGACAGTGCATCATAGCTGAGTAACCAGCGCAAATAATATTCTTATGATCAAGAATTGCCAATTGAGCTTCAAATTGTTTGACTGTCTTGACTGGTTTTCTTGGATCTGTCAACACGAATCCAACTTGCACATTCTCATCATCAACACCTCTCAACTTGAGTGTAACATTGTCACCACATAGTGCTATTTGAATTGGCTCATCGAGTTCATCTTCAATTGTCATCACTTCAACTTGATCTTTGTTTGGCATAAGCGTTAACTTATCTCCACATTTCAGTGTACCAGATTCAATTTTACCAACAACCATTGTACCCATATCCTTATACTTTTCACTAATTGGCATCATCAATGGTGCACTGTAATTTCTATCAACCAATGGCATTGAATCCAAGAATGGAATAAGAGCAGGTGAGTCACACCACTCTGCTTCAGGTTTTGAAACTTTATCCTTGATGTTATCTCCTGAGTATGCAGACACTGGAATGTAAGTTACATCAGTCTTCAAGCTGAACCCAGATCCCTTCAAGAACGGATTGAGCTTAGACACTATGTCATCATATCTTGCCTTATCCCATTGCACAGTTGGTTCATCCATCTTGTTGATAACGACAATAATCTTCTGAACACCTGCAGTCTTAGCAAGAACGACGTGCTCTCTAGTTTGACCACCCTTTTCGAACCCAGTTTCAAATTCACCCTTTCTGGCGGAAATAACCAAAACAGCGACATCAGCTTGAGCAGCGCCTGAAATCATTGATGGAACGTAACCCTTGTGTCCTGGTGCATCCAAAATTGTATATCTTCTCTTCTCAGTCTCGAAAAATGCTCTACCAACTTCAACAGTCTTACCCTTTTCTCTTTCCTGAGGAGTTGAGTCCAATGCCCAACTCAAATACCACGACTCTCTACCAGCTTCTTTAGCATCCCTCTCATACTTTTCCAGTGTACGCTTGTCGACCATACCAGTTAAGTGTAACAATTGACCGCCCATTGTTGACTTTCCAGCGTCGACGTGACCACAAAACACAACGTTAAGATGTTGTTTTGGCTGTACACCATCTGCACCGAAAAGATCCTTGAGTGTGTCTGCATCAGCTGCTGCCTTTGACTCTTTGACAATAGTGTCAGTCTTGCTTTGCGCCGCTTGGAGTGCAGACTTGGACATTGGTGTGTTTGCTCCGCTTACTGCATTTGAATCTGAGTTATCGGTCGATTTTGCAGAAGCCCTAGATGAAGCGGCTGCAGGTGAAGGCGTTGGCGCTGGAGAAAGATCCTTTTTCTCAGTAACTGATGGAGCTGGGGCTGGCTTTTCTGGTGCAGCTGCAGGTGCAGGTGCTGCTGCTTCCTTCTTCTCCGAAGTCGCTGGAGCTGCTGCAGGCTTTGGTTTTGAGCCACCCATGCTAATTGACATAGATTTCGCAGGTGTTTCTGACTTGCGTTCCAATAATTCCTTTGCGGATGGTTTGGCAGGACCACCGCCGCCGAGTGAGAGTGATACTGGAGGGCTCTTCGTTGCACCAGAGCCTGACATCATCTCCATTTGCTCCTTTGCTGATAATCTAGCTGGCTGTTGAGGCTGTTGAGGTTCCTGCTGTGGTGGAGCGAATTGGGGTACAGCTGCTGGATATCCGCCGTATCCTTGCTGTGGATAGTATTGCTGATCGTATGGATATCCACCTCCGTATGGATAGCCCTGTGCAAATTGCTGGTCTGCCTGCTGTTGCTGTTGCTGCTGTGCTTGAGGAGGAGCAGCCCATGAAGGGACGAAACCACTACAGAGACGTCAGAAAAAGCCTCATATATACCATGAAATCCACCCACGAAGCTGAAGGGTTAAAATTGAACGATCTCGCGTTTGGGTTCATTTGGAGATGAGTGTACGCTGCACAAAATTGATTAGCCAAATTATTCTGTAAACTTTAATATCAATGGCTTATGCTTGTACAACAAATAAATATTTCTTAATCAAACTATCAAATCGCTTCACGGAGTAAATCCTGGTTGATCGACAGCGTAGCTCCGCTGTCTTCTTCTTTCTTGATTTTCTTATTTTCTTTGTAAGGCGACTGATTGATGGTCTGCCTTCTCTTCAGGGGTTTGTCAGGCGTGTCAGAGCGTGATTGCATTACGTTTGATTGCGAACTGTGATGCGAACTGTTCGAAACTGATAAAGCCGGCTTCTTTGGCGAAGACGAGGGAGTATCACAAACCCCTGCATCAGATGGTACATTCACCATCCATCCTTTCTTCTTTACTAGCTTGACGAACTCGTCCAGCTTTTTCGATAGTGCGATAGTGGAAGCTGAACCAACGACGATCAACTTGCAACGAGCACGGGTGAGCGATACGTTAATTCTCCTCCAGTCGTTCAGCAAATCACCTATCTGATTCTTCGTGTTTGATCGACAAAGTGAGACTATAATGCAATCCTTATCTCTTCCTTGAGATCTATCAGCAGTCAGTAATTCAACAGTCTTGTGTTTCTGTAGTCTGCTTTGTAGGTGGTATATCTGCTTGCGATAGAAGCTTATAATGCCAATCTGGTTTTCCGATACACCAAGCCTCAATAATCCTTCAGCAATTTTAGTCACAATTGCAGCTTCGCCAATATTTTGGACTAAATCACCATCGACAGTTTCTCTAGCTGGAATTTCATCTGTATTGACGAACACAACGCGATTTCTGCGTCTTTATTAGAAATTTGCATAACACTAAACACAACGCACTCTGGGTTAATAATACGCGTAAACCAATGACTATCCTCTTTCATCTTGAAAGCGCTCGTCAGATTCAGCTTCTGCATTGCAACTGAGCCATTGCCACAGACAAGCTTCTTATCGTACACCAGCTCATTCGATAGATACATGATATCCTCCGCCATACGATACTGGTGAGCAAGATGAACAACCGATTCCGGATGATGTTCACATAGCCTCCTGAACAAGCTAATGTCCAATCCGTTCTTCTTGGCGAATTCACTTCTAACGAGTGGAGGTAATTGGTAGTGATCGCCAACCAAGATAAACTTATCTGAGAATCGAATGGGACCTAAGCAAACTGGTAGCGTAATTTGTGATGCCTCATCGACAATGCAGTAGTCAAAATGACGCTTAGTAAAAAGAGGATGGTTGATACCTAAACAAGTAGTAGCGACCACTTGAGGATTCAAGAATAATCTATCAAGCTCTTCTATCGATTGCGTGCGTTCATCAACAGTTCGAACAAATTTCAACACGTCCTCGTGTATTTTGCTTCTCTGGCCCAGACGCAACACCTCAATTCCAGAAGTGTCTAACTTTCTGAGAATGGTGTCGACCGCAGAATGAGTGTAACTTGCTAGCAAGACGCTTTTACCACGCTTGACTAATTCTTTGATTGTTGTAGCCACAGTCGTCGTCTTCCCTGTACCGGGCATTCCCAGTATAAGAGCGTATTCATTAGTGTTGATAACGCGTTGGACTGCACTTCTCTGATCATCATTCAATCCGTCATAAGCCTTACTGTGCTGGTCACTGGGGATATGCTCATCGCTGTACGTAGGTTTCTTGAGATCGACTATCAGTTCTCGCCGACGTGGATTGGTGGTTGGGTAGAACATACTTGCCAGTGAATCACGTACAGCAGCTATACCAGTCCCAAGTTCATCCTTATCAAGTCTGTAGCAGCCAGTCGAAGGTGTATTGAGGTCTGAGCGACGTTCGAATACTGAGCTGTTTAGTGGCGTGTTCAATCCCACGGTGATACTCTCACCGGTGAGCGAGAGAACAAAACCTTTTCCAATGGCGACAATGTCAGGCTCGATTGAGATAACGACCGCATCATTGACAACAATTTGGGAATGAGGGAGCTTCGCGAATTGCACTTTGGAGAATTCGTAGATATAGGCTGTTCTGTAAGACGTTACGGGAGCATCTTGTGCTTGCAAGGAGTTTGTTGATGTGTCAGTAATCTTCATACCACCGAAGCACATGCCTTTCCTCTCACGCTCGTCACTATTTAACGTCCACAGATGCTTCCTAAACTTGATGCTGTCGGCTTCCTCAATGCTAATGAGCTCCTCCCATGCTCTGAAGAATTCTGTTTGTTGTACGGTGAGAGAACCTGCCTTTTTCTCCACTAGCTCATGTATATCACATTCGGTTGGGTTCGGAGGTCCTTCTAAAGCCTTTTTGTAAAGCATGCACGCATCTGCGACAAAGCAACGAGGACAGGCGTGTTTATTGTCAATAGTAGGCGGAAGAATGCTATCCTCGATATCAGGCAAACCAGAAACATTTTCACCCTTGAATTTCTTGAGAAACTTGCTCGGCTCTTTTATGGACATATGGTGGGCTAAAATGTTGCGCTTGATCATCAAACCTCTCAACTCAACTCGCATTGGTGTTATCCTCTTGATGGAATTATCGGTGGTGTACCACAGCAAACCAGAGGGAATGACTGACTCGTAACGTTCTGCTATCATCATGCTATAAAGCATAGTTTGCGCTCTGTGCTCAATACCTATAGTTGATTTGCCTGTCTTGATCTCGAGCGGCATCACAATATCGTTAACCATTCCTTGCGATTTTAGATTGAGTGATCCTCGTATTGTTGCATCTACTTTACCCTTCAGGCCATACTTTGGAGACCAGATATCCTCCTCCATGGCGCACAAAGAGCTGATTGCGAGAGTTGGTGTATCTTTACGACCAGCGCGAGCATCGTAAATTTCTGCTTCATCTTTGGGAATATCACCGAAGTAAGTCTGTCCAAAGTTATACAGTTTCTGGAGTTTCTCGTTGCATTCTTCAAACGACGCGTTATAATCTAAGTCACTCTCCCATAGATCCGCGAGGTAAATCTTCAAAACTGAATACAGGTTATTCCTGACGTTCTTTTCTGCGAAGTTGCCACCATCACTTAAGCAGCGTTGAACTACCTCGTGGATGATATTCCCGTACACTAGTGCCTTGCTTTTTTGTTCACCGACCGTTCGAATACGCTCAGATATCAGAGCTTTGCGAGAGCAGAAAGCTGTATCGGCGACTTTAGTGACAGATATGAGAATATCGGGATGAAGAATAAACAAATTTTCCTTCGCTGTGACATATACAGTCCTATCGACAGAAAGTGGTTCTTTATTACTAGAGACATTGATGTCAAAGTCGCCGATAACATGAACTTTGTCGTCTGAAAGCGCGTCAGTAGTTGCTGTAGCTGTATCAGCTCTCACCGACCAATCGCAACGTGAGACTCAACCCAATCGTCGCAAAGAATGACCAAGACAAGATCGCTAGACTTTGCACGCCTGCATTTGAGCAGCTGGGGTGGGAATCAGCTGGGTGCGATTAAAACCACGCCACCCACCTTCTGCAACCGATTGTTATCAGAACGCGCCTCGGTCACGTCCAAAACTCTGAGCCTCTCGAAACCAGGCTTTGATCTACGCGTAGGAACGCGAGGAATTGTAGAGATGTTGTCGTCTTCGTCGTCGTAGTCGCTAAATTGCCATGTCTCTGCGTCTTGGAGCAGTTCATTCAATTGCGGTTGTGCATTGTCAGTTGTAATGGCATTGGCCGCGTCAATATTCTCAAGATCCTCCTGATTGAGATTTAGATCCGAGTAAATTGAGGACTCTGCGCTTATCATGGCATAGGTGGATAAGGAGACTAATAAATGAATTTAAGGAATATTTGTACATAATTGAGCAAACCTAATGGCGCTGAGCTACCTTTGGTTGCCAAGGGTACATCTTTGGTGCTGTTGTGTTATACGTGGTGAAAGCACCTCTAGTACCAGTGAGATTTTCGATATGGTTCTCAGCCTGGGAAGTAATTGGGCGTTAGAAATGAATTCTGCGTTGTTCGCCACTCACAGGTCTCCAGTGCTCCGTTTGGGCTGTGATCTTCTTCACAACTTCATCCTCATGAGGGGCGTTGAGTCTGGTGTGGTGAAGCCACGCGTGCCATTCAGATGGAACTTGTGAGGCGTTCTCCAGTGGTGAAGATTGGGCATAGCGAACCCAGCGTTGGCGCCCTTAGAGGACAAGTGAGTACAAGTGAGCACACGCATAGGAATCCACTCACAAGCCGCTTCTGGCATTTCCTTTTCAAGGTTCTCAAAGTATTTGTTACCGAATCTGAGCCAGAGTCAGCCAGCGCTCAATTCACCGAAAGCTGCACCCACTTATCCGTACCAGCCAGTCTGCCTGCCTTTACATCGACCGATTCGTTGAGCTGCGTCCATGCATCCCTCAATCCAACTCTGTACCAGTTGCGCAGGTGTCTGTATAACGATTGTCCTGACATTGATGATGGCTGTATCGAATATAGGGCAATGTATAAATTTGTACACAAAACAACTATTCCCAGTCTTTCAGGCTCACATTCCCCGCTTCTGATACTCTCTTCCCTTTTCCAGCGCCCCACACTTCCTCGCTTATCCGCCGCTCCACCTCCTCTGCTATGGCCATGCATCCAGTCAGCCCAGGGCTCTCAATACCAAAGCAGCTAATCATTCCTGGTGTATTCTCTGCATCGTGTATTATCTCAAAATCTGAAAATTGGTTGCTGCTTGGCGGGTACCGCTTCACCCTCAACCCAGCTTGATCGGGTGAAAACCCATTTGGATCGACGCCTGGAAGATACTTCTGTACAGCATCTATCACTTTACCCATATTCTTTTCAGATGGCTTCAAGTGCTCCTTCCAGTAGTCTATTTCCGTTGATTCCGGCAGGTGCTCGACATCCGGGCCAAATTTCACACTAGTACCATCAAGACCCAGAGTGAGATGCGTACCTAGACCAGCTAACGAGGGCTCTGGACATGGATAAAGCAGATGCGACACATTACTCACCCCAGGACCCTTGTACTGGAACCAGCTGCCTTTCGCATACCACAATGTGCGCTGTTCAGCTTGAGGTAGGACCATATTTAGCATTGTGTGGGCATTCAGTCCGGCGCAGTTAATGACGCTCCTCGCTAACAACGCATCTGTCCTATCCGAGCCTTCTGTCAGCATCTGCACCACATACCCACGATCGTCTCCTTCTCCCTTGCGACTTGCGCTGTCAATGTTATGTGGGTCAATTCTCACCACGTTAGTTCCGTAGACAAGTTCACAGGACTCCGTCTCGCCGATGTCCTTCTCGAATGAGTCCATCAGGCTGTTTGTTTTGGTTAGATCTGAATACATCATGATACGCTTCCCACCCATGTGAGTCTATTATACCAGTCTCTGGACTGTACAAAGCTGAAGTGATTGTCCTGGACAAGTCTGGCTCGTATTTGAGCGCTTCCTCGCCGCTGATAAGCTGTGTAGGTACATTGACCTTCTCTGACTGGGTGTGTGCGTGCAGATTACGCAGGTATTGAGACTGGGATTGTGACGTGCCAATCACTAGCTTCTCTCGTTAGCTTGAATTGTCCATCTAAAAACCACACACCTTCCCCGTTTTCTTGTGATCGATTTTGTGGCTTCTGCAGCGGTCGTAGAGCAGCTTGCGTCCTCGCACACACAGCTGTGTCTTGAGCGAGCTCTGTGGGTAGCTGTACATATGTAAGATACCAAAGATGATCCTAAACGTCGTCATTTACTAGATACCGGCGTGGATGACTTCAGAATTGCGCGAACTTGTCTCCTCGCCAGCTCTCTCGTGTCTTTCGATGAGATAGCTGGAAATGGTTTTAGAAATACTCGCATTCAACGCAAAACCCACGTCGATCGCGTTGGAAATCTCTCGGCAAGTTTCTGGGCCACCGCGAGTCCAACGACACCACCACCAATGATAAGATGATCTATCGCAAGCTCTGGTGGCTTATAAGGGAAGAGCTTCTTGAGAGTGCTGGCCATTGTCACAAAGCAAGAGATAAGCGTAGACTGTTATTGGGAACTAAAGAGAAATTAATAAAATGTCTACAAATTACTAGCTCATGTGATTATCTTGTCCGCCTTGAGGGTGTCCAACACTTGCTGCTTCTCCTCGGTTGAGAACATTGGAGGCTAGGCGTCGTTAGCTGGGCTGCAGCGTGCGTGCAATATATCTCAACATACTGGAGCATTACGTTCACTGTTGAGAAGCGGTGTCGTCAGCATCCATGTGTATTGAAAGCAGCAGGAGCAGCAACAACAGCACTACTCCCACCACAACCAGCCAAACTCACACTTTACTACCGCCTGGCATCAGCACAGCTACAATTCGTACTCGTCAGCGTGCAATCCACATTCTCCACACGTGCAACCCACGGATATATGGATCTGGGTGCTTGCGGTTAGCCAATCTCTCCTCAAAGTGCTCAAGCACTTTAGCCAACTGGCGTGGATTCGTGATATTTCTGTTAGCTTCGAATTTAGCTCTGATTTCAATTGCGTAGTCTCTCCAGAGATCGCGGCGGATGTACCAATCCAATCCCTGCTTGAGGTAGCGCTTGTAGAGCGACTAAGTTGCAGGTAGTTAGAACATGTACCTCTATACACCACGTGCACGCACCTTGACGTAGATCCTATGGCTTGCTGAAAATGACATGAGCTCTTGGACGTTCAGAGTGTGGAAGGAGAGTTGGTAAAAAGGACCAAATTGAGATATTCGAATAGAGATCTACATCCGCCTCACCGTTCCAGCCTTTTTGATACATTCCATCTCTCATTCTATAGAGATACCGTCAAATCGCGAAATCAGCGGACCCGTCCCAAGTCTCAGCCCGCGAGCAACTTAAATGAATCAATGAAAACAAGCAAAACGCCCATTCGAGGTTTTCTTCTATGATCAACTTGTCATTCTTCACCTTCCATATGCCAAATCCACTCAATCCACACGACAGAGCAGTCAACAAGGTCCTCAGGACTATTAACGAGTGCAATAATCTCTATCTTAATCCCTGCAACTCTGCATATCGATCAGGCGAGTTCTTGCCCCGACTTTGGTGGTTTGTTTCATTCGCGTGTATGTTACACAATCCCATAACATCACCTACAGCATTCTCAACGAGCCCGGCTTGACACACGTTATATCATGGGCTGACGACGGAATGTCATTTCTTCTCTCGAATAAACACGCTTTCGAGAAACACGTCCTTCCGCATATCTACAAGGCTACTAAAGTGGCCAGCTTCTACAGACAGCTCAGGGTGAGTGCAAGTTGTATGTCTGCTTTATTCAAGTTGCTCACATTTTCTCCAGCTGTATGGTTTCAAGCGGCTGGGCTCGCTGCAGGATGAGGTGTGTACTATCTTTTTCACAGCCATAAACTGACACAGTCAAGGCCACCACCTTTGAGCATCGAGCATTGTAAGCACGTCACTCTGAATAGCTTCAACCTAAAGCGCACCACAAGCACACGCTACACCACAGTCAGTAACCTCTACAATGTCGAGCGTCTTGACTTTTTGTCTCGCAACAAAAAACAAGGCGAATTAGACAGCAACCACCCAGGTAAGTCGAGTGATATGGAAAACAAAGCAGAAGCAATCACAAACACAAACACATTTGCACCTCCCCACCTCTCTTACATTTCTGCCACTGACGCTACGATATTCATGAGCAGAGTGAATATTAGGGGCTATGCCGTACCATGCCAACCATTGATACTATCTACACCAATCTCAACCTTACAAACAATGGTACATGCTCCAATTCCCAGAGGCGTTTCAGCTCAAATGCCCATTCTCAGAGATGACTACGAACCAGAGCAAGACAGTCACTCCAATTCAATCTAAAACTTCACAATCATATCAACAGCACACTTCTTGATACCCTTCTTGTGCGTAATGAATGCAAAATGTATTGTCCAGTATTTCGTTAATTAAAATGAGTGGACCAGATGAATATAAATATGATTGATTCCATAGTATACCTGGCATATTAGAATAAAGCCTTAACGTGCTTTGGGTAAGAAAATTTTCTATAACGAGAGTTTGTGGGGATCTACTCTTCGTGATGATCTGAGATGTTGTCGTTTGACATAAGTCTCTGACGGCTTGCATTCCCTGCTTCCTGTTGACCATTGAGACTGGCGTAAGTTGGTGGCAATTCAGATTGTTGATGTGCGTTGTGCTCTGAAGTCAAAGGTCCACCGTCTAAGTGCTGCATTATATCATCCTGATTTGAAACAGCAAATTGAGGTTGTCTTGACTTGATCATTGGCTCGGCGTCAGGATCTGAAGTGTCTATACCGCCGTAAGCTGCATCTGTAGGATCAGACCCTGAGTGGTGTGAGCGTGAAGATGGCGGCATTCCCCTCGAGTTGTTGGAACTGACTGCTCTACCTCCCGTCGCAGCACCACCGGCCGCAGCTGCAACGCCCGCGTTGTGAGCTGCTTCGTGACCTTCCTGTTCTGTTATAGGGTTAAGACCAGCTTCCCTGAATTTAGACACTGCTGCATTGTTTGAACCGCTGGAGTTTTGCGATTGAGCCATACCAGCAGCTGGTACAGCGAATGGACCACCCGAATGACTATCGAATGAATCAAACGCAGTGGAGTGATGAGGTGATGTTGCTTCCTCAGCTTCATCTCTTGTCATCGGTAAGATAGGACCACCTGGACGTTGTGACATGTTATTCGATGATCCACCGTAAAATGGTGTTGGTTGGTCTGATGGTCCAGCTGAGCTATCCTCGTTGCCTCTATCAGGCGAAAAAATAGCATCACCCATGTTTGGCTCCATCTGACTTGTGTTAGAGTATTAAAAGAGATGTAATGTTACCAACCTGGTTTTTCTTTTTGCGTCTGATCATGAAGACTGCTAATGCAATTAGTGCAAGAACAATAGCACCACCGACCTAATCGCAATCAGCTTAAGTCATGTCAAAAGGATGGATACTCACCGCTCCACCAACGGCACCACCAATCGTACCGGCATTAGTACTGTCGCTACTATCGGCCTGAACGGGAACGCCTGACCAGCTAACAGTAACAGTGGTGGCAGAACCTTGTTCATCAGTCGAGGTAGAGAGGATCTATGATCTAGTCAGAAAATTTTCGCTCAAGCCAAGTCGACTACGAACAGGTGTAGAAGATGTCGATAGCGAGGAAGAAGAAGAAGACGGAGAGGAAGAGGAAGAATCGGAAGAGTTGGAAGAACTAGAGGGAGTCGTGTCAGTCGTGCTATCATAGACGGGGGTGGAGGTGGAGGTAGAAGTGGGTGAGGATGACGATGTACTTGAGCTCGTACTCGAAGTCCATGGAGCATAATCCGAGCTCGTACTCGTGCTACTCGAAGTCCAAGGAGCATAGTCTGAGCTCGAGCTAGTGCTACTCGAAGTCCAAGGAGCATAAGTCGAGCTCGAACTAGTGCTACTTGAAGTCCAAGGAGCATAAGTCGAGCTCGAACTTGTCCCTGTACTCGAAGTAGGCGCATCAGAGGAGCTCGTACTTGTCCTTGTACTAGAAGAGTCAGTACTGGAAGTACTGGAGCTCGTGGACGACGTATTCGGAGCGCTGGAAGTACTTGTGTCAGAGGATTGGGCAGGATAGGTGGTAGAGGTAGAGGAAGGAGCAACTGACGTTTGTGAGCTGGATGAAGAGTCTGGCTGTGAGCTTGAGGATGGGTTTGAGCTGGATGAGCTGGAGGTGGGGCTGCTTGATGAGCTGCTGCTGCTGTTGCTACTGCTGCTGCTACTCGAGCCCGGATTTGTGGAAGAGCTGGGGCTTGAGGAGCTTGTACTAGAGCTAGAATCTTGGCTGGAGCTAGAGCTGCTGCTAGAGCTCGTCGGACTGGAGGAGCTGCTGCTAGTGGGGCTGGAGCTGGAGCTAGAGCTGCTGCTGCTATTGCTACTGCTACTGCTACTGCTACTGCTATTGCTACTGCTAGTGGTGGGGGATGAGCTAGATGAGCTTGAACCGTCTGAACTGGAGCTGGAGCTAGTCGGGGATGAGCTAGATGAGCTTGAGCCATCTGAACTAGAGCTGGAGCTAGTCGGGGATGAGCTCGAGTCTGAGCTGGAGCTACCGGAACTGGATGAGGTTGGAGATGAACTGGAGCTGGAGCTGCTGCCTGAGCCCGAGCCCGATGTGCTGCTCTGTGTTGGTGAAGACGCGGAGCTAGAAGCATCGCCCGTTGCAGTTGAAGACATTTACGTGTTTTACGCGGCTGTTTTGCCTTACAGAGTTATTTATATTTGTAGGTTGTTGGGTGTGGTGGTAAACGTAGAAGCTGTGCACGGAATCGATCAAATTGGATTTATGTGGATTTCAAGTAGAATCACGCAGCTCAAACTGTAATATGAAATCAGTCATTATCCACCACTCGATCGAGATCCACCTCCTTGGCCGCTTCTAGAACTGCGCCCTTTTACCCCCGTCTATTAGCACATCAACAAGATCGATTTCATGTACAAAATCTATAATTTTCCATATCTCTTGGCTATATATGCTGCTACTCCCACTACTGCCGTCGCTTTAACTCCTGTTCTCGCTAATTTGCCTATCCCGGCGAACATGGACTCGTGACCCGGTTTGGCAAAGTCAATTGGCTTGCGAAGCGCCTTGGTCAGGTATTTCAGCTTCTTTTCGCTGTATGGTGGGTATCTCTTGGTGTAAAGGAACTCCAACCATGTCTTGCTTCTTAATATAGCTCTCTCATACGTAAACACATCAAAAGTGCGTTTGCCGTGGTAACTACCGTGTCCTGCTCCTCCTACTCCTCCGAATGGCAGTTCCTCTGTACCTACTTGAATAAGTGCATCATTTTGGACAGCAGACCCTGAAAGCGTGCCTTGGAAGATTTTCTCGCGAACCTGATCACTTTGCGTGTAGACATACAGCGCCAGTGGGTGGTCGCGGCTCCTGATGAAGTTCACAGCTGCATCCATTGATGGTACCGTCACGATCGGCAGGATTGGTGCGAATAGTTCATCCTTCATCAATGCGTCATCTGCTTTGACGTTTTTGACAATTGAAAGGGCCACGAACCTATCTGAAGCATCACTATCACCACCGATAACAATGTCACCCTTTGTGTCCTTAAGGAGACCTGTTACTCGTCCAAAGTGGCGGTCGTTGATGATACGTCCGAAAGATTTTGAGTTGCGAATACCCTCAGGGTAGAATTGCTTATAAACCTAGATGAATGTCAGTCTTTCATCGTGACTTTGGTCTGTCTGTCTTACTCTTTTAAAGCCTTCAACCAATCTCTCTTGCATGTCAGGTGTGCAGAGAACATAGTCTGGCGCTACACACGTCTGACCAGCGTTTGTTGCCTTGGCCCATAACAGTCGTTGAGTAATGACATCCAAATTCGCATCATCTGCCACCACTGCTGGTGATTTACCACCGAGCTCGAGAGTGGTTGGAGTCAAGTGCTCAGCCGCAGCGTGTTGCACAATCCTACCCACGGTACCATTACCTGTGTACAAAATATGACCGAATCTCTGCTTCAAGAGGGCTGTTGTTTCAGGGACGGCACCGTTGACAACGCGAACAACCTTTGGATCAAGGTACTTGTGAAGGAGGTAGGTGAGAGTAGCTGAAAAGTTCTCTGAAAGCTCCGACGTCTTGATCATTACAGGCGATCCACTCGCGATAGCTCCAATTACAGGTTCGATTGTAAGAAGTAAGGGGTAGTTCCATGGTGATATCACGCATGCAACACCTTTGCTTTCTCTCCTGACTTGAGGGCCGAGCATGTTGGTAGGGAATTTTGCAGAGACGCTTTGAGGAGCTGCCCACTTGTGAACATTGTGCACAGCGCCGATACAGCTGTTTATGCAGTTGAAAATCTCAGTCATGTAGGCTTCTTGTCTACGCTTGCCCAAATCAGCCTCGAGAGCTTCCTGAATCATGTCAGAGTTCTCTTCGAACATGTAGGCCAAGTTCTTGAGTGTCTCAACACGCTTCTTAATGTCGACCGTGTAGCCTTCTCTGAAAGACTTTTCAAGTTCGTCATGAATCTGGCAGCGAGTTAGTTGTATTGTCAAGTGCGCCCTGGCTAGATTCTCTGGCCGACGAAAAAGGCAACCGACTGGCTATGATCGATGATGAAATGAGTAACCCTAACCCCAATTAAGCATTGACACGCGGACGTGCGGGGGTTGATCAGAAATCTATAAACGGGCAGAAAAAGCGGAGATATATGAAAGTGTTCTTCTAGACCCTCTAGCTCCGATCGAAGAAGACCAATTTCCAGGGTTGTCGGCTGCTTTCGCATGGAGCTAACGAGGCACAGGAATGAGCCAGAGGAGAACAGAGCTCACCTTTACAATATCTGGAATAGAAGTGTACTCTAATTTTGTCATGATGATGATGGTCGAGCGAGTTAACGGAGCTTTTAGGACGATGACGAAAAGTCTCATTTCGGCAAAACTAAAACTAAAATCCAAATTAATAAAGGGATTTCAGGGCCAAAATTAAATCGTAATAGTAAGCAACGTAAATCTCATTTGAATTGTCTTCCTATTGATCTGCTTTACCGGATTCAGATGATGGATTTCAAAGCATTTCAGTCGGCAGAGTGGATACGAGGGTGATTTAAAGATGAAGACACGCTTGCATGAATACTGAGGTGTTCTATATCAATCAAATTGCAAAAATCCCATCAGTCTTGGTTCAATAGTTGTACAATGCGAACTGTCCCAATTTAAGTAGAATGATCCATTTGAATCTTGCATTATCATCATCCGATCACGCTTAGTTATATTCACTGGGATTTTATTTTTGCCTTATTTCGCTGCTCTTCGCATCCTCAATTATATTACGTAAACCGAAGGTAAAGTTCACACTCGACACTCGACATTACATTAAGATACATGAAGAAATTGTAGAATTACAGATGATGATGACGAGATCTGAATATATTATTAAGACGATACATGATTAAACTGCGTCCATCAATACTTCTTAAAGCATGAGAAGTCAAAGGGGTTGCTAAGTTTAATGTAAGCTTTTCTTGAGCTTGGAAAATAACAAAGGTAAATCGTAATTTTAGCTGAGAACATTTTAAGAATCTAACTTAAAAGATATTAAGATTTATCAGATCTCCGATGGCGCAATTGGCTAGCGCGTCCGACTGTTAATCGGGAGGTTGGTGGTTCGAGCCCACCTCGGAGAGATATACTTTTGCCATTCATTTGACAAATTTTTAATCTTTCATTATTTTTTCTTTCTAGTTTGGCAGGATGTAATTGTAGCGACTAACGTTATAGAATTATTGAAAGTACTACCCTTACCTGCCAGAAGTACTTCGAGGATACAAGGCCACGCAGCTGCAACCTGCGCTTAATATAGTTGAAATGATGTAAATACGAATGGAATCATTACACCTATTTACCTATTGCTCCTCCAGCCACCGCAAAAACCTAATCTCGATGACGTCATTGAGCTATCCAATCCAATTAATCAGGTGAACGTTCCTCCATCTAAACAATCAAGTCGAAATGTCGCGCAATCTGTCTACTCCAATCTCGCTCGCCGATGGCGCTAAGCATCCTATTCTCGGACTTGGAACGTATTTGCTCAAAGACTCGAGTGCTATCAGCAGTGCAATCAAAAATGGCTACCGCTGCCTAGATACAGCGTGCTATTATCGCAACCACAGTGCATTTGGCGCCGGTGTGCATGACTCTGGTGTCCCACGCTCAGAACTGTTTCTCATCACTAAGGTCGATCCGTGGACAGGTGCGATCAACAACGCGAGAACATCTATTCTCAAGTCTCTCACTGAAGCGAAGCTAGATTACTGGGATCTAGGTGGGTTAGGTGTGCTCTTAAAGTCACGCTAAACATCAGACAGTGCTCATTCACTCACCTGAATCTGGCTCTAAGATTCGCATGAAAGCCTACGAGGAGCTGTCTACGTTGGTGGACGAGGGTAAAATTCGTTCTTTGGGTGTCTCAAATTATGGAAAACACCACATTAACGAGCTGTTGGCTTCAAATCCACGTCACAAGCCTGTCGTCAACCAAATCGAAATACACCCCTTCCATGCTCGTAGGTGGGATAGATGTTTGCGTGTTTACGTGCTGATCTGTATTCAGAACAGGAGTTGGCAGATTACTGCAAGAGCAAGGGTATACTGGTGCAGGGGTACTGTCCACTTGCTAGGAAGTACCACTTGAAAGATGCCACTCTTAACTCAGTTGCCGAGAAGTACCATACAACCGCGGCGAATGTCATGTTAGGGTGGTCTATTGCAAAGGGCTACGTGCCATTACCAAAGGTGCGCTAGTATATGGTATTAATTCGCTTCTAATCACCCCAAATAGTCTGGTAACGTTGATAGACAAAATGAGAACGCCAAATCGATCAATATCAACATCTCAAGCGAGGATGTCAATACTTTGGACGGCCTTGACGCTCAATCTTCAGCAGACAGCCAATGGACTGTGCAAAACGGACCTTGAATTCTCACTTGCTGCTGACGTACTCAAGTCACTTTGATAAAATGTATGAGATTAGTGTAATGATAAATTGGAATGTATTTTGGCCATATGCTCATCTTAATTTCTCAAGCCACAACAATAATATCTTTGATTACGTACCTTCAACATGTCAGATTCGTACAGTTTCTCGCTCACAACATTTTCTCCTTCAGGTGTGTGTATAACTGTGGCTGAAAGTTCTTGAGGAAATACAAACCCACTGGTGGCTGCAAGTTTCGATCGACACCCAGCTAACACGTTTGAAGGACAACTGAAGCAAGTAGATCATGCATTGGCTGCAGTAGCGCAAGGTACAACGAGTTTAGGTGTAAAAGGTGTGTAGCTCGTAGTTTCGTACTCTCGCCCGCTCACTTACAATTACAGCCTCAAATGGAGTCGTAATCGCAACGGAGAAGAAGCAGCCAAGTCCATTGGTTGACGATAGCATGCTTGAAAAAGTGGCCCTGATTTGTCCAACGATTGGATGCGTTTACTCTGGAATGGGACCAGATTTCCGTCAGTTAGTCACTGCAGCTAGGAAATCAGCTCAGGCTTATTGGAAAATGTTCAACGAATACCCGCCTACACGCGTGATGGTTGGTGAAATAGCTTCAATTATGCAAGGAGCTACGCAGAAGGGTGGTATGAGACCGTATGGTTGTTCATTGCTCGTTGCTGGTTATGATAAGACACGCGGCTCGTCGCTTTACCAAGTGGATCCATCTGGATCTTATTGGGCGTGGAAAGCATCGGCGATGGGTAAGAATATGGTCAACGCCAAAACATTCTTAGAGAAGAGATACAATGAAGACATTTCGCTTGAGGACGCTATACACACGTCGCTACTGACTCTCAAAGAAGGCTTTGAAGGTCAGATGACAGAGAAGACTGTCGATATTGGTATTATACACATTCCAAGCGAGTGGGATACCAAGAATCCACCTGAAGCTTTGGCCGGTGACAAAGCGGGCCATTTGCCTGGAATGCCGGCATTTAGAAAATTGAGTGAAGAAGAAATTAAAGACCACCTCACATTGTAATTGAATTTAATGTTCCATTTCTCACAATCACATTCACAATCACTGCCATGGACGCGGAGGCTATCCACTCGCAGAAGAAGCTCATTGAAGCGCTCAACGGCGACGGCAGCGAGGCAGGGCAGATATTACATCTAGCCAGCAGCATCGGTGACGTTGCCTGGCTCAAGTCTTTAGCTCTCAGTGTCGTGTGCTTCTCATTCGAAGTGCAAACGGCGATCGTCGATGAAGCTATTGCAAAAATCGACGGAGACCACGAATTGCAAGAAAGGCGCTATAGGCTGGACACATACACTCTACTTACGTCTTCGTCGCAAATAGACGAGGACGAGGACGACGATCCTTGGAAGGATGACGAGGATGTAGAAACAGCGGAGGAACAACGGCAACCGCTAGATTTGTCTCGTTTTCTACTATCGCCAGTGCAACACACCTCCCTTGAATTAGCTGCGAGAGGTGAAATTGCCAGACTTAATACATTCATCGATAGATATCCCAGCATACTCAGCGATAGCCGGTATGCAATCTTAGAAGCCATACCTGTCAGTATACCTCCAACAGGATACCTCAATATCCTACCATCGGACGAGAGCACGTCGAATTGGTACATATCCCGCGCAATCAAAATGGATGCTGTTGGCAGACAACTCGACAATGCACTGTCGCTAATTCAGCATGGCGCAGCACGTGGTGTGCTGGGGCTGGATAGGATTGGAGAAGATCTTGTACTTCTACTCAAAATGGCAGAGTGCAATCACAACGTAGGGTTACTAGAATTCCAGGAAATGTCCTATGAGGACTCAGTAAAAGCATACCTGGCTGGAAGCAGTCCTCAGGATTTTCCAACAAGGATCAAGAATGCACTTCTGCCCTATCTTTACGTTCTGGAGTCGCGGAATGAAAGACAAACAGGAGTAACCGATACCGAACTCCACGAGAGATTGCTTATCAATATTATACTCGCCGTTGAAATGGATTCGGTTTTGAGCTTGATAGAAGCTAGCAGACCTGATTTGAGTATTAGCGAGAGGGTGATTAAGGACGACAAACTACTGGTTGCAATATCTCTAACTCTGCTCTATACAACAACACGCACTGACATTATCGACACTATTCAAAGAGTCTTCGAATGTATGCCTGCTTGGGAAGGTGGTTTGAGTTGCAGGGTGAGAGATGTCACAGATTTCACGAATGAAGGTCGTGCAGAGGTCGTACAAAGATTCAAGGCTCTCGATGTATCACAACTTGGCTCACTTCTCGATCATTTAGACATACACATTGAATCGATGGAGATCTTGGCTAGATGGTCAATCAACGTAACCCTATCGAGAATCGAGTTGTGTGATTACGAACAACAACTGACATGGGCGAGGATGTTGACGCGTAGAAGCGTGGGTACTTTAGGAGAAAATATCGAGAGTGGATCAGAATGGGAAGCGTTGCTAGATGACATGGTCAAGCTGTCGAACAGTGATGATGGCAGAGCGCTTGGGCTGTTAGAGCGGGATATTGTCGTTAGGATTTTCTTTAGTGGTCTACTGAATTCTGCGAGTGGGTTTGCATCTTGATGGTACAAAATGTGTTTCTAACAGAAGCATAGAATTTGAACTAGCCAGAGAGCTCCTGTCTTCTCCAGACTCATTGCTGTCATCTCTTGATAGAAATTTAGTGAACGAAATAGTGTTGGAAACATCCCAAGAATTCTTCGATAATGCGACAGACGGAAATATCAATTACGGATACATGAGGCTATCTAAGGAAGTTTTAGAAGTAGGTGCTCAGAATGCACGTGATGTTAACTCTCGCAAAGAGTTTATACTTGCAACATCGAGACTCTGCTCATTCAACCTGGTAAACGTTCAAGGTGTTTACATAACACCGCTCGAAGTCAGACTGGAGGGTGATAAGTTGGTGTTTATTGACCAGTTGTTGAGTACACACAGGGATGCGTATCAGCATCCCGCCAGAATTATGGCGCTGGCTGAAGGTCTCGACAGCAGTCTGAAAGACAACACCAAACGTCAAGTGGAGGTTTTAGGGAGGGTAATAGATGCTGCTATCAGATATGAAGACTATGAGCAAGCTTTTAGCGTTACGCAGACTGACGATTACCAACAAAAGCTGACGTTCGGTGAAGACGAAGAAGACAGACGATGGGTGTCATTCTACAAACTGGGCGTGGAGATCAGATGGTCGTCAGTCTCTAACAGGCTGGATTGTTTGGCTCAAGCTATGCGGTTGTGTCCTCATCGGAGACTGCATGATGTTTTATCAAAGTGGAAAGAATTGGAAGAGAGCAAAGATAGGATAGTACCAATGGAGAAGAAGGAGGGAACGGTGAAAGATGCAAGTGGGGTACTCGCCTCGATTGTTCGCCCAACGACAATCGAAACACAAACACGTCATTTGCTATCAGGTGGGTTGAGAAGATTGAAGAGTGTATCAGCAGGATCGCCGGGTGTTTCGTCGCAAGGGATGTCATCATCAAGCAATTCGCAGAGCCATTCTCAACCACAAGCCCATCCACACCAAACATTTGGTCTGGGGTTGGAGGAGAAGTTAACGCGCGGAGTGGGTTGGCTGATCGGGGCAGAAGAGTAGGCGCAGCTTTGTAGAAAAGATAAAGAAATGTATTTTAAGATTGAAATCGATATCTAAGCGCCCGTTCCAACACCCATGTCTGGACTTGTGCGACAGCTACTCAGGAATAACAGGAGAAATATAAATTTACGAGAATTCCACTCGACTCGTCGGCGATGTAGCGGGTGGAGTGAAAGTAAGGAGAACAAGGATGTCATACCATCGACGAACCCACCGCAGCCACCACTCTCAACGACGCCGACGCTTGACTTTTTCAAGGACCTCGGCAAAGCAGACAGAGTGTATCATCCATTTGATACGTACAAGTTTGTGACTACGTTGCAAGCGTATGCATACTCGAGGCGTGTCTCTGAGATAATAATGGTAGCGACGAGGTGAGTGGACTGTGTATCGAACACAAGCATTAGTAATCCACAGCACCGAACAGGACTCTGCTCATCCAACACGCCTTGATAGCCAGGAGCTCTCTAATGACGAGAGAAGATCTCGAGAATGTGGGTGTGGATGATACGAAACTGGATAAACCGTCTCACAGCGCGTATTTAGTCAAGCTACCTCTTCCAGGCAGCGCTCACGGAGCTGCGTGTGGAGCTCAGCATCAGAGGCCGTGCAGACGCGAGTGCGTTGCGGAGCCTGACGACGGCGCTCACACGCGAGGTGGATGGTTTGGAGCAGAAGATGAAGGAGGACGTCGGCGGATTGAAGGATGACATCGAGCTCGATATGAACAACCGCAAGGACGAGACACAGTCGGATGGAAAGGCGTTCGAAATAAATGTACAGTCGCTCAACAACAGAATCACAGTGGCCACGGGTGAGTTGAGGACTGAGGTTGAGAGGGATAAATGGGATACGACAATTCGTGTTGTCGGTGTTATTTTCTTCGAGGCTGTCTGCATCGTCGCCGCTGTGTTGCTATCGGATCCGGAAGATGTCCAGAAAAAGAAGCACAAGACTCGACTGCCTACAGCAGAGGAATTGGGGATCAGGGAGACTGAAGATGAAGTTCAACAGCGTGTGATATGATGATTACATTTCATTTTTACAGTGTGTTTCATGTGTTATCGGTGCGCTTTATATTCCCGCCATTGCCCTTGCTTCTGCCTCGGGCTCTGCCGCGCCCACGTCCTCGCCCGCTACTTTCCTGGGTCTGAATTGGCTCAGCAGACGCGTACTTGGATGTCTTTGAACCAATTCGGAGACTAGAAAGCTTGGATGTTAGCTCATCGTCGTCTGAGTGAGTGGTTGTGGGTGATTTCTGTGCTGCGTGACTACGCCTCTCAGTCTCATCACCAGCACTCAAACTCTTATCACCATCGCCACTGTCACTGCTATTCTTCTTGGGTGTGGGTGTCGCACTCCCCGATGCAGCTCTCAGCCGGCTCTGAGGCGGTCGATATCTCTCGACATCCTCGACTGGTCTAAACCCCGGCCTAATTTTGATCTGTTTCCTGACGCTGTTTTGAGTGCCACGATTAGCTGTGGGTCGTCGTCGTGGAAATATTCGCCCACCTTCCATCACTGCGTACACTCACCGGTATTTCCCTGCCGCCATCCTCACTATCGACAATACCAGCAACGGTGCTTGCGGGGCTTTTCTGGGGTGAGCTGGGTGAGCTAGGTGTGAGTGTGTTGGGTGAAGTCATTCAACTGAATTGTTGGAATTGGATGTAATACACGACGCGAACACAATACAAATCGCAACACAAACATCATTCTTCTTTCTTCCCGATTTGTTCCAGTAGCACTTGTTCGTTGAGCGTGTTTTGATGCTCGCCAACTGCCGTATGACTTTGTTAGATGGCGCTCAAAGGGTACAAAATTCTCACTCACAGAAAAGCCGCTCAAGATTCCTGTACCAGCCCAGATGCCATATTCTGTCATCCACTTTGAGCACCTGCTGGCCAACTCTGAGATATTCTACCGGCTCGAGATATTTGAGTGTGTTTTGTAGATGAGGATCCGAGGGGTTTTTGTGAGCCTGCTGCGTGAGCTAAAAGGGGTTGTAAGTGAGTATTGAATACGCTTTTCACGCTAATTCATACACACCCTCTCAAACGACCTTCGCCGCTCAATGTCGACACTCGAGTGCGAAACCAAGACACCGCGCATGACGGTGCAGAACAGGGCGGCAGCGACACCGCTAACGACGGTAGCCGCGAGAGCGGTGAGTGCCACGTCGAGTCTAATGTCGCGTACGGTGTGTGCAGTGTGTGCAGCGGTGCTAAACCGCCAGTATCCCAGCGCATAGCGAATGGCCCGCGCACCCACGGGGCCAGGAAAGTAAGCAGCGGGAGTATCCCAGAAAACAGAACGGACCCATGCATCGTGTCTACTGAGCTCGCGCACTTGGCGGAAATTGGTCAGCAGACTGGGGAGGATCGGTGCAGCACCAACCACACTCACGACGGGCATCAGCGCGCACGTGATGAGAAAGGAGGGCAGAGTGTCGCGCGCGATACACGCATCGAACCAGACACAATGGTGGTCGAACTGTGCGCGGTCGCGGCGGCATACGGAGCAGTGGCGCGTGCGCGGCGCCTTCACGCGTCCTCCGCACGCATCGCGGTGGCAGCGCCGCGCCTGTCCGTCGGCCAGACAGGGCGTGTAGCGAGAGTTGTAGACGGCGCAAGTGGGAGTGGGAGTGTCGCTCGAGTGGCCCGCACGCTTCAGCACCGTCGCGTAGTAGTGCCACAGGAGCGCGGCATAGAGGAGGTGGAACGCGCCGCCGTATACACATCGCTTGAGGTTTTGCAGTGTGGGTAGTATCTCGAGCATACAGATTCGGTATCCCTTTCTAACATGTCGGGCTAGTTAGATATACAGCACATGATGCACACAGTTACACACTCACACAGCCAACAGCGTCAGCAAGCACACCGAGCACTTGCCGAGTAGCCACGCACTTGGCATTGAAGCTGTTGAACGGTGACGTCGACGGCGCGATGAGTGCTAATAACACGACCATTGGCAGAGAGAAATTCGACATGGATCACTTGCGCCCAGTCATGCGCAGAGTATTGAATGCGTCACTCACCAACGCCAAATACCAAGACTTGGACAGCGACGCAACGGCAGCGATAGCGCATAAGATCAAGCAGCACATGCTGGAGCAGTCTGGCCAAGGTTTCAAATACATAGTCTTTGTAAACGCCTCCAAAAATAATAATCAGGGTCTCAGAGCGGATGCGAGCATGCATTGGGAGATGGATGCTGACGCCTTTGTACAAGATGTTTATCAGTCTGTGAGTTGTGGAGTTGAAATATTGAAAATGGCTGAGTGCGTCTTGCAGGAACATATCATTTGTATCTGCGTAGCATATGCGATTAGAATATGATGTTGATGTTTATTTGAGATATGAGATTTGATACGAGATATTACCATGATATTTCTTACGTCTGTGTTATTGTGTTTGGTCGCCCATCTCAGCCTCGCGCAACACGCCGTCCAACTTGGGATCGTTAGGCCACCACTCTGGGATACGAGCTTGGACATGCCAGTGAGGGTCGTTGCCGCTGTCGCCCCTAATGAACAGGCCATCTGGGGCACGCACGAGCATTTCCAATCTGAGGAGGGCGATACCGCTGATACTTCCATCGGGGTTGGGCAAGGTTCCGCAGAGTTTGCCCACCTGTTTCGGTGTTTTGAGGGATGGCAGTTGAGCGTAAATGTTAGTCATAGGTGGAGGTGTGGGAGTGTCTCCTTCATTCTGCCTCCGTTGCAGCGTGATTGGGAGAATGCGCTTTCTCACTACTCCCGTGTGCTGGGTGCGTATAGTAAGCTCCTGCCCCACGTAGCAGCCTTTGCGGAAGTTGACGCCGTTCATGTAGTCGATGTTGGACTCGAGCGGCAGGCTCTTTTCTGGCCATAGATCGTCTATGCCCTCGGGCACACCTAGGGAGTATCTCCTGCGGGAGTATTCGGGGTGTGTGGAGTGTGCAGAGTGTTCATCGCGTGCATCGCGTGCATCGCGTGACTCAGCAAGAATCCTTCGTCCCATTCCTGGCGCGCGAGGATCGATCATGGAAGCGATTGAAGCGATTTGGTGGTGCTCCTGCTCCTGTTCCTGCTCCTGTTCACCCACACCACCTTCATCCTTCCAATACACACCAACACCCTCTACGCCTTCCACCTTCACTTTGGAGCGCAGCTTGTATTTGTTGCACAGCGCCACGACGCCCGCACTGACTCGGCTATCGACATCGAGATAAAAACAATCCGCGCTAGTCGGGTAGATGAAGGTATCGTAGAGCATGCGGCCTGGCGGGCTGAGGATGGCAGCGTATCGCCCGCCGTCTTGCGGAGTAGGGATGGTTTGTGTACACAGTCCGTTGAGGAATTTGGCACTATCTCTACCATGCACGCTAATAACTGAGCGTGAGTGTAGCTGTAGCTGTAGCGACTTGAATAATTGCTGTGCGATTTGCGTTGCTTTCATATTCCTGTGATTCTGTGCTCGCGTCGTCCTTGACTGTCGGCGACTACGAACTACAAATCAAGATCAATCCATGGGCGCTTGTGGCAAACTCCGCTCTCAACTCGCAGAATGCCTTAGCAAGTCGGAGTGTCTGCAGAGCGGGAAATCGGCTCAGGAATGCCTCCGAGAAGACCAAGTGCCGCGCGAATGCCAGCAGCTGCGATTGGCGTTTATGGAATGCAAGCGTGATTTGGTGTGTATGATTTGCAGTGCAGTTACATAAATAGGCTTATACGTCGTTTAGCTCGATGCCAGGAAGCGGTTTAGAGGTGTTTCTGGGGGTGGCAATTAGACGGCTAGACGGCTAACCGGCTAAAAAACTAAAACTCCTCGCCAAAATCACCCTCATCAAGATCCTATTTGTATTATTAGTATTGAGGATTATTTGTAAACAGAACAACGCACGGCTGGCTCATTGGGCTCCTCATCCTCACCGAATTGGATCGAGTTGTCGATGTGCGAGAGGAGATTGTCAATGCTATCCTCATCTGTGACATCGAGTGGAATGAATTGGATCAAGTTGTGGTCTTCTATCAGACCGACTATAGCCTGGTTGAGGGAATGAAATTTTGGGTTAGTGTCTCGGTTGATTTCATCGAGAATGAGTGTAGGATCTGGGTCAAGATATCTCTCGAGATCCTTCTTCTTCCTGCCAGTGCTGATGACGCTCTCGGGTTCATTTCCCACCAAATCCATCTTAGTCATGACGTTTATATGCGGTACTTCTAAGTTGATCATTGCTGAAGTAGCGCTGAGGACCCCAGCGAAGAACTTGGAGCGATCATCCATGAACTGAGCCTCGAGGAGGTATGTCGCAGCCACCTTAACGTCGAGTTTGTGGAGGCTGTCGACCAGCATCTGCATGAGGGGAAAGTGGGTGTAGAGTTCAATCTGACCTGGGCAGTCAATAACCAAGTAATCATCCTCGTAAGTTCCTATTTGCTCTTCTAACCAGTCCAGATTCTGCATTAGATATTCAAAGCAGTAGATCAGAGCGCCATTCGGACCAAGGCTAAGCTCATCCATAACATCCTCCAGACTAATCAAATCGCGGATATCAATCTCAGGCTGCACATCGAAATTCTCAGCTGCAGGATCGAGATTGAATAGGTGCATTTTGCGATGGGTAGCATGGGCATGCTGGATTAGAGCTGAACTGAACGTCGATTTGCCCGCTCCCGCAGGACCAGAGACGAGTAGAGCGTATTTGCCCCTGTGTTGTATGAATTAGATATGTGGATGTTGATAACGCGTGTAGAAATTACATTACGTAGTTGTTTGAGTGGAAGAAGGTTGTTGATCGAGAACGACGACGACGACGACCAAGACAACAACGACAAGAACAAGAATACAATATCATGCAAACACCTGGAGTAACAATCGATGGTAGCGATACAGTGGCCCAACCAGAATCACTACTCAATCCAGCCACTTTCACACCACCTAATCACAACTACCCAAATATACGCATAGAGTATTGCGATAGGTGTAGATGGTCTCCTCGTGCTCAATGGCTTATGACTGAATTGCTCCTGACTTTCCCTCCACCGGCCATCGAAGCCATCACACTCATCCCGCGCAACGACGAATCTTCTGCGGGGAGATTCAGAGTGTGGCTCTATGACGCGTCCTCTAGCCCACCAAAGCTTCTATGGGACAGGAAAGTCGAAGGCGCTTTCCCCGAAGCTAAACAGCTCAAACAAAGAGTTAGGGATAGCATCGCGCCAGGTATGTCGTTAGGGCACAGCGATAAGAAGTAGCTTTCTTTCCCAACAAACTCCATCGATAAGAAAGGAAAGTGAAAATATTCATTACACTGTCTCTACCACGAAGCTTTATGTACACCTTCCAATTCATCTCTCAACGCCTGTAATCTGAATTGGAAACGCGTAAGTCCCTGCTGCAAACCCGCGCCTCTACCTGTGACTTTGCACCTGTTACGAATCATGGTTGGCCTTGAAGCAGATTCAAATGAGTTTAGAGTGAGTTGTGCTTGGTGGCGTACTTGAGAGGGTAAGGTGGTATTCCTAGCGACGTAGAGGAAAGACCTTCTGTGGTAGATGTTAGTCGTGCTATCGCTGCAGCTACAGCCACACAAGCCACATACCTCTGTACCTCCCGCTTAGCTACCATCTCACGTCTATGTATATCCCTAAGCACTCTACTTGAAGGTCCTGTTGGCATTTTTCAAGGTGGATTGGTCGTCGTTATCCAACCTTCTTTTTCCACTGCCACCACTACCCCACACGCTTATGAAAAATTACCTTCCTACTCCCCGCTCAGCAGCTACATCGGCGATATTCTGCCTCACTTTCTCAGCCGCTTTGATTTCGACGCTGGTGAGCGGGAGTAGTGGGAGTAGTCCACGCACTTCTATACCCCCTTGCCCTGGCCAGAAAGCACGCAAAAGAGAATTTGATGAGCTCGACAAACCTCCTCGATTCAGCCTCTACGATCATTTGAAGACGTTTACAGGTTTTGGATCAAGTAGGAAACATGATTTTATACGAGAAGTCTAGAGGAGGGGTTTAGAGAGGCGTGGGGTGATCAAATAGCTTTAATAAGACTCAATGTGTTTGAAATGGACATGGAAATGATGGAGAAGACCAATTTTCACTGGTTTATACTAGTCGTTTAGCTCAGTGAAGCGTGGAAAATGGCAGTGATTAGATTTGAAATACTCGCAAGATCCAACGGAATACTCAAAGCAATATTCAACGTAGTATTCAAGTTGGGTTTGAAATAGAAGACATGGTAAACAAAACAATCTTGTATTTGCCTTATAATAGAATGTTAGAAGTAATTTAGCTTATGTATATTCATATAAAGGGATATTGATATGCTTATCCACCCTTTAATCCCCTCAATGGACACCAATAACTTCAAAGTGACCAGTTCACGCTACAAAATACACACGGCGGAAGAATTCCCAGAGTTACGCAATGATCTTATTCTTCAAGCTGCTAGGGGTGAGTGGAGTGTAGGTATCCACACACACGCACTCACACACACCCAGGCAAGAAGACAGCCCGAGCCCCAACATGGATAATGAGGCAAGCGGGGCGTTATTTACCTGGTGAATACATGATTATATACACCACTGACACCTCTAAATCCCCTCAGAATTCAGAAAACTGCGCGAAAGCCACTCATTCTTTGAAATCTGTCAAACGCCTCAACTAGCATGCGAGATAACGATGCAGCCGATATTGCGTTATGAGGGATTATTAGATGCGTCAATAATCTTCTCGGACATACTAGTAATTCCACAGGCATTAGGTATGGAAGTGCAGATGTTACCAGCCCAAGGGCCTCATTTCCCCGCGCCGCTAGAGTCGCCTGAAGACATAGGGCGATTGCACAAACACGTCGACGTTGACGAGGAGCTATCGTATGTATTCCGTGCGATAACGCTGACGCGCCACGCTCTATCTGGCCGCGTCCCACTGATCGGGTTTGCCGGTGCGCCGTGGACGCTATTTGCATATATGGTAGAAGGCGGCGGAAGTAAGACGTTTGCGCGTGCCAAGCGGTGGTTGTTCGACTGGCCCGAGGCGAGCGATGGTGTGCTCGAGCGCATAACGGCCGTGCTCATCCCCTATCTCGTCGGGCAGGTGCGTGCGGGTGCGCAGCTCCTGCAGGTGTTCGATAGCTGGGCTAGTGAGCTGTCTCACCACCACTACGTCCGCTTTGCTCTGCCCGCTCTGCGTAGAGTTAAGGAGGGCGTACATGCACAGTGTAACGCTGAAGGTATTACCACTCCCCCGCTCATCGTCTTCGCGAAGAACGTCACTCATACTGTCCTCCCACTCCTCGAAGAAATCGGCTTCGACGTCGTCGGGCTCGATTGGACTACAGCGCCAAGCGAAGTCAGCAACCGCACTAGCGCTGTACAGGGCAATTTCGATCCAAGTATTCTATACGCCTCCGATGAGGCTATTAGGAGCGAAGTTAAAACTGTCGCTAATATGTTCAAACATAGGAACACCCCCGGTTGGATATCTAATCTTGGTCACGGCATCACGCCAGGCGTCAAGCCAGAGAGTGTGAGAGTGTTCCTTGAGGCTGTACAGGAGTGTAGCAGGGAATGAATATTTTAATTTGTATCAAGTTTAATGTCAAGTATACATCATCATAACGAATATAACGTAATATGGTCGTATATGCGCTTTATATATTTAACAAGTGGGTGCGTCGTGTGTGAGAGAAATTAATGGCTAATTGTAATTTGTTAACTCTTCAGACACTCGCGCTGCGTGCACAGGCAGAAATGGGAGCACAACCGGCAGCCAGCCAAGGAGCTGAGTGAGGAAGAGGAGGAGAAGCTAATATACGGGGTAGTGTTCTCGCTCAAGGGGCTAGTAAAGAAGGTGGCTGGGAAGTGAGTTTGAATAACATTCCAATTGGCCAGCCAGCCAGCTCACACAGCTACAGCGACAGTGAACAATTCCAAAGCATAAAAACGAGTAAATACAGACTACACGTGTTTGAATCACAGAGTAATTTCAAATTTATTCTGATGACTGATCAAAATACGACGGGAATGGCTAGCCACCTTCACGCTATCTACGCGGGGCCATTCAACGGCGCAGTCGTGCGTAATCCACTTGTAGGGGTGGATGGAGTGGTGACGAATGATAAGCTGTGCAAGGGAATCGAGGGGGTGCTAAGGGGTTTAAAGTAGATGAATGAATACATGATAATACACACTACAAACGCCTCTTGAGTTGCATTTCGTGGTGGATATCGAGTGTAGGCGTGGATGGCTTATCGACGACTGAGTGTACATCAGCGAAAGTGATTTGCTCGTCGACGCCGTCAAGAACGTCTTTCTGGAGGTTACGTGGCTGCTGCAACGCAGGCATGCTCACATCCTCAGAAACCAGCTTCCTCTCCATCATTTTACGCATTGGTGTGCCTAAACCGTAAGTGTTTCTCTCGAGCTTGAGTTTGAGCATGGATTGGTGGTTATACCAGCCATCGAGACGCGATTCGAGGGGATGCTTAGGTGGCGAGTGTACCTGCGACCACTCCAAGCCATTCCTAAGCTTGTCTGGTATATTGTACTCAGCGTGTAGCTTGTCTGCAGGGATGGCTGTGGCATGCGATTGAGGTGGAATTAATTGAATGTTATTTGACTGTGGATTGTAAATAATAGCACTCCCCTAATCCTACTCCCTCACCATTTCAAATTTAAATTTCTTTTGAGCGTCGCTGAATGACGAAAGCGCCTGCAACTTTGCTCGTTTATCTCGAACAACGACATTCAAAATGGACAAGGCGGGGATTATCCAGCTAGAGAAGAAGCGCAAGAGGAATCAGAAGAGGCAGGATGATCACAAGGAGGATCACAAGGAGGAACACAAGGAAGAACACAAGGAAGAAGACATGGAAGACATGGAAAACACCTCCACAACTCTCCCTGATCTCCCCCCTACATCCTCCGACTACCAGGAACTCTCCCCCGAGCAATTCCACTTCGACTCGCTCGATCTCACTCCCGGCACTCGCAACGCAATCAACGACCTCGGCTTCAAATCCATGACTCAGGTACAGGCAAAGACTATCCCTCCCCTTATGGCTGGTAGGGATGTCCTTGGTGCTGCCCACACCGGTTCTGGCAAAACTTTAGCCTTCCTCATCCCCGCTATTGAAATGTTATCAAGACTTCACTTTAAACCGAGAAATGGTGGGTGATGAATGCTTCATATACCCTCTACTAATACCACACAGGCACCGGCGCTATCGTCATCTCTCCTACTCGCGAATTGGCCCTGCAGATCTTCGGTGTCGCAAAAGAAATAATGAAAAATCACAACCAAACGTTTGGTATTATCATGGGTGGCGCTAACCGCAAAGCTGAGGCCGACAAGCTCCAGAAAGGTGTAAATCTTATCATCGCTACCCCCGGTCGTCTCCTCGATCACCTTCAAAACACTAAAGGTTTCGTCTTCTCTAACATGAAATCTCTCATCATAGATGAGGCTGACAGAATTTTGGAAATTGGTTTCGAAGAAGAAATGAGACAGATTGTTAAAATTCTCCCAACTGAAAACAGACAGACTATGCTCTTCTCTGCTACGCAAACTACTAAAGTTACTGATCTCGCTAGAGTCTCCCTTAGACAGGGTCCTCTTTATATCAACGTTCATGAGGAGAAATCGGCTGCAACCAACGAGCAGCTTGAACAGGGCTATGTTGTTTGTGAATCTGATGCGAGATTCCTCCTTTTATTCACCTTTTTAAAGAAGAATCTCAAGAAAAAGGTTATTGTCTTCTTTAGTAGCTGCAACAGCGTTAAGTATCATGGAGAATTGCTCAACTACATTGACATTCCAGTACTAGATTTGCACGGCAAACAAAAACAACAAAAGCGCACAAACACATTTTTCGAATTCTGCAACGCTCCAACTGGTATTTTGCTATGCACAGATGTCGCAGCGCGTGGATTAGATATACCTGCCGTTGATTGGATTATTCAATTCGATCCACCAGACGATCCAAGAGATTACATTCACAGAGTTGGTAGAACTGCTAGAGCAGGCAAGGCTGGTAAATCTCTCCTATTCCTTCTGCCCACTGAGCTTGGCTTTTTGAGATTCCTGAAAACAGCAAAGGTCCCTCTCAATGAGTATAGCTTCCCTAAGGAGAAGATAGCCAATGTACAAACGCAGTTGGAGAAACTGATCAACAAGAATTACTACTTGCATCAGTCGGCTAAAGATGGTTATAGGTCGTATCTTCAATCATACGCTTCGTACTCACTCAAGAAGATATTCGATGTGAATAAGTTGGACCTCAACAAGGTGGCTAAAGCTTTCGGATTCTCTGTACCACCAAAGGTGAATGTATCGATTGGAACCAACCTCAAGTCGTCCAAGGAGAGCGTAGGCAAGAAGGGCAAGGGTATGGATAGATTGGATGACTCAGAGTTGGCCGCTATACAGGATGCACAATCTGACAATCCAGACCAAGATGATCAAGAGGATGAAAAACCAAAGAAGAGGAGATCAAACAAGACTGGCGAGTATAATAAGCAGGGCGTTGATAAAGGTGCATACAGACAGAAACAACACAGCAAGAATGGATCGCAGTGGAGTCGCTAATTGAGGAGCTTTATGAGTCTATACAAGTAGGCTATAAAAATATTACAAAGCAAAAATGCAAACATGGCAAACAAATAAAACCTCAGAAAGCAAATGAAACTGCCTTCTTCTTCTTGGGTACCTCGTTCTGATTGATAGATTTGTTATTATTACTTATATTTATATTCTTGTTCATTTTATTGAGACGCTTCTTAGTCTTGCGTAGTTTGGCACGCTGTTCGAGTTCCTGAGTCTTGTCAAGCACTGCACGACTGTGGCTCGAGTTGTGCGAGGCTGAAGACTTTTCTTTTTTATTATGTTCTTGCTTTTGTTGTGTATCTTGTGCTTTCTTTTTCTGATATGTGTGTTAGAGAGCTGTAGGTAGTATACGCCACACTAAGCACACACAGCTTTCAAGAATTTATCCGAAGACGCTTTATCAGATTGATTGGATACCAATGCAGCCAAGTCATTCAACGCAGATGCGTCCTTGACGAATTTCTTTTTCGACACCATCGCCGTCGTGTTGGAGAAGCCACCACGAATTATGTCACGTAGTATACCATTAACGTGTTCTGGACAGTGCGTGTATCTGTATCATACAACGCCCAGCCCGACTCACCCACGCAGCACGCGTCCAGTTGTCCAATTGCAATTCTCCGCACTTCAGCCAGACAATACATTTTGTCTGATAAGTTCGTGTAAAGAGTGCGTCAGCGTGTTTTCATGTTAGAATTCTCCGTTTAAGCGTATTCACAGCGGCAATCCGATGCTTCGCGACGGGGGCACTGGTGACTGGATAGGTACATTCTTAGGACACAAAGGGGCAGTGTGGTCAGCCAAACTAAGTCTCGACACCGCGCTCGCTGTCACTGCGTCTGCAGATTTCAGCGCCAAGGTCTGGGACAGCTATACAGGGACGTGCTTGCACACTCTCCCGCACAACCACATCGTACGCTCTGCGGCTATCTCGCCAGATGGGCTGCGCGTGCTTACCGGGGGCAATGAACGTCTATTGAGGCTATTTCATTTGGGTGATATCGATAACGTCACCACGCTGGAATCTAGTACGGGCGACGTGCACGCGCATTCAACCACCATAAAATCGGTTCTATGGCAAGATACAGCGCATGCCATCAGTGGGTCTGAAGATGGCGAGATAAAGTGGTGGACGCTTTCCAACTCGGACAAGGACTACACAGAATGCACAAAGACAATCCAACTCGATCATCCACTCAGCTTCTTGGAGTGGTCGGCCAATGGCCATATAATGATCGCTATTGCAGCTAACGACGTCTATTTCTTCGACACACACTCTCCAGGCAGCTTGCTTAAATGTCTCACTCTCCCTCATAAACCATCCTGCGCATCTATCCACCCAATAACCCGCGATAGGTTCGTCGTCGGCTTGGCTGACGATACCTGGGTGAGGATTTACGATTACAACAGCGCCCAGGAACTCGACTGCTTCAAGGGCCATCATGGCCCCGTTCACGCTGTCGAGTTTAGTCCTGATGGAGAATACTTTGCGTCTGGCTCCGAAGACGGCACTATAAGAATGTGGCAGAATACCCCCGGTCGTGCGTATGGTTTGTGGAATGGATGCTGATTTAAAGTGTTATTTTATACTGTGTATCTCATATCTTACATGACATTTGATATCTTATTCCCCTTTTGCGTCCTCCGCTATTCTTGTTCCCAAACTTCCAACTGATGCTACGCCGATTTCCATTGCGCGTACAACCACGCACACTCACACCACTTACACACAATTTGGCCCTCCGTGGCAGCTTGGTTGCGTCTCGCTCAGCGCCTCCTCTCTCGCTGCTCAAACAACAGCCACTGTCCACGCCTGCAACCGCACTGAGGCTCTACTCCACCAACAGCACAGAGAAAGAGAAGAAGCATAAGGACGATAAGGACTCGAAAGCAATCACCACTGATCCTCTCTCCACGAGAGTTTGGTCGAAAGTTAAGCACGAAGCTCAGCATTACTGGCATGGCTCCAAGTTGTTAGCCAAGGAAATCAGAATTTCCGCTAGATTGCAGATTAGATTGCTTAGGGGAAAGAAACTCACACGTAGAGAAAGACGCCAGTTGAAACGCACGACTTCAGACCTTCTCAGGTTAATCCCATTCGTACCATTCGTTCTTATCCCTTTCATGGAACTCTTCCTCCCCGTTGCTCTCAAGCTCTTCCCTAATATGCTCCCATCTACTTTCGAAGACAAGTTCGCTGCTGATGAGAAGAAGAGGAAGTTGTTGAGAGTGCGTCTCGAAATGGCAAAGTTCTTGCAGGAAACTATCAAAGAGTCTGGTATTAGAGCTTCTGAATCCGTTACTGGTAGTGATGAGTTTAAGGAGTTCTTTAGGAAGGTTGGTGTCGAGGTATTATACACTATTTCACTCATTTACACACATGGTGCAGATTAGAACTACCGGTGAACACCCTTCTCATAGCGATGTAGTAAAGGTAGCTAGACTGTTCAATAACGATCTCACCTTGGACAACCTCAGTCGACCACAGCTCGTCTCAATGTGTCGTTACATGAATATTAACGCTTTTGGTACCGACAACTACCTCAGAGGTCACATTAGAAGGCGATTAGAACACCTCAAGAGAGATGATGTTCTCATTAAATCTGAAAATGTTGACTCACTTTCTACTTCAGAGTTGCAACATGCTTGTCAATCGAGAGGTATCAGAGTTGCAACGCACTCAAATGCAAGATTACGTGATGATTTAAGTCAATGGGTTGAGTTGCACACTACACAAGAAATATCTGGTGTTCTTTTGGTCCTATCCAAGGCATTCAACTTTGCTCATTTAGAAGACTCTGTTATCGCTTCTTTGGAAGCAACGCTCTGTAGTCTTCCAGATGTTCTTCTCAATGAAGCTGAATTAGAAGTGAGTGACGAAGCAACGTACAAGCAGAAGCTGGATGTGTTGCAAGAACAAGAAGAACTCATTGAAGATGAAGCTGAGCAAGAGCAGAAGGAAGTTGAAGCTAGACAGGCTCAAAAGGAAGCTGAGAAGGCTAAGAAAGGTGAGGAGTTAGAGAAAGCTAGAAATCTCCTACCTGATCAAGAAACCGATAAACAACACGAGGATGACATTCGCATGACGCCTGAACAGCTCGGGGAATTGGGTCAGGCTCTTAACATTCTTTCTGCTAAATCATCAGTTCTCAAGGAAAGAGTTGAGTTAGAAACCCTAGTTGAACAAACTCGCGACGCTGAAAGACAGGCTGAGGAAGCTCAAGCTGGTTTACCTCAAGAGGAGAAGAAGGTAGATAAGACGAATGAGAATGTTAAGAAACAAGTCAAATCCATGATCAATAAGATTGATAGTCAATTATCAGATTACGACGAAAAAGTCGGTACACAACTCAATCTAATTCAAGTGAACAACCTTGGTCAGATTTCTATTCACGATTTGAAGCAAGCATTGAGAGTGATTAAGCACTCACCAGATGAAGAACATATCGATACAATAGTGCACAAATTAGACGTAGACAAGGATGGACTCGTTATGCTCGACGATGTCGTTGAATTGGCTCAAGAGGAAGGTCTTGGTACTGTGCTTGACGACTCTTCCCAAAAGATTGTCGATCAAGGTAGCGAAATTAGAGGTAATGACAAAAATAATGAGTCTTCAAAGAAGATCAAGAAGGAGGAAATTGTGCAGCATTAACGAATAATTTAATGATTTGATGCATAGGAAAAGGAAGTCGACGCTCGTTATTTACTTTTTTATTATTACAAGTATCAATAAACAACTATAAGTATAACACGTGGTACATCTTTAACTTAGATAGATTGCGCGAGTTGTGCAAATGCGAGAAATTGAAATTGAAATCACAGCATTCTCTTGCTTGCTAATTGCGAAGATCCAGATGTTAAATCATCATCATGAGAGAAGCTGCTCTTCCTATCATCGCTATGATTCGACACGCCCGAGATAGCATCAGCTTTGTTAAAACCACTTCTCGTAACCCTGGACGGTGCCCTGCTGATACTTTTGGCTATATCTTTGGCCTTTTGAGATGCTTTCGATTTTGACGATTTGTTTGACTTGATACTAGGCGCTGTCTCGGATGTATGAACTTGCGTTAGCGTTTGTGTAGCTGGTAAAATTTCACTCTCTAGCTTCGTGTGCAGATGCGCTTGTGGTGATCTGCTAGAAGTACCGTTTTCTTTAGCTGTGTGCGGAGATGTTTGCAACTTTGATGCCTTGCCAACATGATCATCCTCCACTTTTTGCTTATACATCGCCGATGCTTCCGTATTGTCAATATCAACTCGATCAACTACTATTCCTTCCACGGCAGGGACTTTAGTTGTCTCAAAGTGTAATTGTTCACCTTGAGGACTAATTTCATTCAAAAATAATTGTTCATTTGGAAGAATGGATTTCTCCATGTGCACCTCCCCAGCTAGAAGCTTAGTTGTCTTGAGGTGCACTTGCTCATCTGGAAGACTCGATCTCTCTTTGCAGATCTCCTCATCTAAAAGAACCATGTTGTCGCTGGCTGGAGTATTAAACTCATCCTGTCCATCTTGATCAGCACCAAATGAAGCTTCTGCTAAATGAGATTTGGTGATTGTGGATTGCACAGGCCTGAATAGTAAAAACGAAAGTTATAAATCGCGGTATTAATTAGAGCTGTTTATCTTACAATTCGCTTTTATCAATATCCAAACCAAGAGCATTGTCTTGCTGGTTGAGGGGAGATCTAGGGCTCGATTTTGCTGAACGTACTGAGGATTTATTAGATGTCGTACCTGTATTAGATTCAGGTACAAGTAATTTGGAGTAATCGGTCTGAAGTTGATTTAGAGGGTGAGGGTGAGATGATAGGCGGAACTTACGGATTTGTTGTCTAATTGCCATTCCGATGGATTAGTGGATTGCATATCCACGTTAGTCGTTGAGATTGGTTTATTTAACATGTGAAAGAGGAACCCAGCAGTGGAAAGTAGCCATAGCAACGCTGAGACTAGGAGTACGTGCTGAAATCTAGTTTTTTGGAGTAAATCACCCAACTTATCTTGATTTTGTTGATATAACAGGCTAACCAAGTTGTACTTGTATATTCTAGCGTAATAATATCCAACTCTAACCAAATCAATCAGTAAGGTTGCACTGTTTGCTTCCTTAATTGATACCGAAGGTGGTGATTCTAATATTGGTGTTGTTGATGCTGATATCAACTTTCTGAGGTGATCAACTGAGCTGCCGATGTTGTACTGGAATCGATCATCCAAAACTTGAACCAATGGGATTGTCTGGTTCGTATTAGAGTCTGGAGCTACGTAACATCCATCAAACTCACTCCGAATCCTAGAAGCAACGCCAGCAACGAAACTGCAATGCCGGTCAAAATCATCGTTCAGAAAGAGAGAGTGGAGCATCGGAGAATGAATCGTGTGGGAATGAATTCAAATTAATATAAAATGTCAATAAACTCGCGTTTATATTCAAATTCGCGTGTATTTTTGAGAACATCTTGTCGAAATCCCCTGAACAGGCTTTGCTCATTTCTCCACCTATCCGCTGCTCTTTGAATGTGCGGTATTTTTTCATACAAACACAACTGCGTGTACGAAAGAATACCAGATTCTGAATAGTTTATTTCCACAACCTTCGAGAACCTCCGATTGGATTGATATAGATGACGGCACCTTCTTCAATCTTACCATTCAAATGTTATCAAGGAGATTAAATTTGAGATTTTCACGGCAATTCACTAGGCGTACACTATCAAATCTATCAAAACCTCTTCCTCGCCTCACTCCCACACCTTCCCTACCGCAATATGCCCTTATCCAGCGGCGCGGGATGCAAATGAAGATGGGTGGCGCACCTTCCCAAGGCGACACTCTAAAGCAATTCAGTGTCGACCTCACAGAACTCGCAAAATCCGGCAAACTAGATCCAGTCCTAGGGCGAGATGACGAGATTAGACGAACTATCCAAATATTATCCCGTAGAACAAAATCCAATCCTGTCCTCCTCGGTAATCCCGGTGTTGGTAAGACTGCAATTCTTGAAGGACTAGCTCAGCGAATTGTGAACAATGAGGTGCCTGAATCACTCCAAGGCCGTCGAGTACTCAGTCTAGATCTAGCGGGTATGATCGCAGGTGCTTCTTTCAGAGGCTCTTTTGAAGAACGCTTCAAAGGTCTTCTCGCAGATATCGAAGCTGAACAGGGCAAGATTGTTGTTTTCATCGATGAGCTCCACACTCTACTCAACCTTGGTAAAGCGGAGGGTAGCATCGATGGCGGTAACCTTATCAAACCTCAACTGGCGCGTGGATTGCAGCTCGTTGGTGCAACTACCCTCGATGAATATCGCAAAACTATTGAGAAAGATGGCGCTCTCGCTAGACGCTTCCAGCCTATACAGGTCGAAGAACCTAGCCTTGCTGCTACCATATCCATACTCAGAGGCTTGAAAAGTCGATACGAGACTCATCATGGTGTCATAATTGGTGACGACGCCCTCGTAGCTGCTGCAAAGCATAGCGATAGGTATATTAGCGATCGATTCTTGCCAGACAAAGCCATCGATCTTGTAGACGAAGCTGCTTCCACGCTCAGATTAGCACAAGAGAGCAAACCAGAGTCATTGGCCAAGCTAGACCGAGATATTCTTGAGATACAGGTGCGCAAATTTTAATCTTCTTGGTGAAACCACTTTAACTCTTACGGTAGATTGAGCTACAATCCTTACAAAACGACGACAATACACTGTCTATAGAACGCAGAGATACACTAGAGAAATTAGTCAACGAATACAAAGAGGAGTCAGAGAGACTGACCAAGATCTGGAATGAAGAAAGAGCCAAGATTTCTGACGCTAAGGTCGCCAAAGAGGAGCTCGAGAGAGCGTACATAGACTTAGAAATATCGCAAAGGCATGGCGATCTCGAGCGAGCATCTAGACTGCGCTACGAAAGTATACCATCGCTTCAACGTGATATTGAGATAGCGGAGAAGCAAGCTGAAGAAGGAACTACAATGCTCCTCGTCAAGGACAGAGTGGCGAGCGATGACATTGCGAGAGTCATCTCGCGCATGACTGGAATACCAATCAGCAACCTCCTTCAAGGCGAAATTGAGAAATTGCTTCATGTATGTGTGTTGGTTTTCGCTGTCGTGTTTATACTAACAAACACACCCAGCTTGAAGATAAGTTGACTGAGAGAGTTCTTGGACAGGACCACATTATCAAAGCAGTTGCAGATGCCGTGCGATTGTCGAGAGCTGGTTTGCAATCAGACAACAGACCCATAGCGTCATTCCTCTTCCTCGGTCCAACCGGTACCGGTAAGACGGAGCTATCGAAAGCGCTCTCCGGGGCATTGTTCAATGATGAAAAGCGAGCATTGATCAACATCAACATGTCGGAATATCAAGAAAAGCATACAGTATCGCGTCTGGTCGGTGCACCACCTGGCTATGTAGGATACGAGGAATCAGGACAGTTAACAGAAGCGGTGAGACGTAGACCATACTCGGTCGTTCTGCTTGATGAGTTCGAGAAGGCACATCCAGATGTATCAAATATCATGTTACAACTACTCGATGAAGGCACCTTGACAGATAGCCAAGGTCGTAAGGTTGATTTCAGGAACACGATAATTATAGCCACCTCTAATCTCGGTTCTGATATACTCTCAAGACCCGAGAGCACAGGTCCTGATGAGAATGTGACCGAGGAAGCTACCAAAGAGGTGCTAGAACGGGTTGAAAAAGTGTACCCACCAGAGCTTCTCAATCGACTTGATCATATGTTAGTGTTCAACAAACTTAACCACAGGTCAATCAAAGACATTGCTAGATTGCGTATCACTGAAGTCAACAAGATGCTTGGGGAAAAGAAGATGCGTTTGGATGTCAGTGATGAGGTTATCGATCATTTGGCGGAGATTGGATACTCGTCAACATATGGCGCTAGAGCTATTCTGAGAACTGTTAGAGCTAGTATCGCAAACCCCCTCGCGAGGAAGATCATACAGGGATCGGTTCGCGATGGTGAGGCAGTGAGAGTCACTATGGAGGATGGCAAGGTAGTGATTGCGGACAATCACACACCACAGCCTCTTGATGAAACATTACCCAATCATGTCAAGGAGGAGGAGCAAGCATTGAGAGATGATGATCATGATGATCCGGATCAATACAAGTAAAAGTCAACATACTAAATGCATCCACACCACTTAAGATATTAATGTTCACATAAATTATAATAATCACGTTATATATATTACAGATTAATCTTGGTATCTGAATTGTTCTACACTCGGTTGAAGTAGTTCTCTATGGAAGACTCAGATCTCACTCTGGGTTTCTTTTTCGTGGCACCACTTGAGGATGAACCACTTGACTTGCGTCTCATTACTCTACTTTTAGGTATATCTATGTTAAGTTCGGAGGGCGTGCGCACCCTTCCGATTCCTAATTCCGGCGGGGGCATTGATGAATTCTTTTTGATTGTAAGTGTATCGTTACTGTTTTTCGTAGCAAGTGGCGGTTGCTCCGAGTGGGATCGGTGCATGATTGCATTCTGATTCTGTTTGATCGTCTGCTCTGATTCAGATCTCTTCATCTGCGCAACGGGTCCAGGCGTGGCAGGTTTAGTTGGTAAATCTGGTACGCTTTTTCGCTTTCTGGGTGGTCTGTTGATAATTTTTACCTCGTCATCCTCATTTTCGAGCGTATTCGAAGCGACTACATGACATAGATCTACTTCGCACTGTGTTGAGAGGAGCACGTCATTCCACACCTGCACATGTTTTTAGCGCGGGTAGGCAATGGAGCTCAAAACCCACCTTTTGTGTCTCTGAAAGTGTATCACCCGGTCCTTTCACCTCTGCAAACTTGGCAGTATGCGTGTCTGTGCGCCACAGCCTGATGAAGTCTTAATGAGCGTTCAAGGATAAAACTTTAACTCACACTAGATCTGGCATTCCACCCGTACGATGATCCCAGTCCTGACACAATACTCTGAAGATCTGTGCCAGACAACGTCCACCAAGACACTATAAATGTTAGCAAATCCAGCTCAAGTAATTCAGCGTACCTCAGCCAGTCCCACCAACTGCCCCCGTTCATAGTCCCAATTCACAGCTATCGCCCAAGTGCGTTTCTCCATCTCTGCATCGTACCTCTCAGCGACGAGATCAGCTGCGCCAATCTCGCAGATTTCACCCAGACGCGACTCAATAGCATCTCTGCGCAGTTCGTAAAAGTCGCCATCGTGAAGGTCGAGTGGAGCGATTTGGAAAGGCGTCTCGAAGGCGCCCTCGGCAGGATCGAAAATGATATCCCAGAGCGCGAGGACGAAGATAGTGCGAACGATGCGTCCTTCTGTATGTAAGCCCTGCCAGCCTTCGATATTATACGCCTGCAGTGCAATATCTTCGACTCGGACTACGTCCATACTTTCGCTCGTACTGCCATCTTCTTCTTGGATCACAACAGGAAAGAAAGGCTTCCAAAGCGAGTGTGTCGTCATAGCCGTGTAGTCTCGCACAGCATAGACGTACTTTTTGGTAGGATTGCGCAGCGTTATCGCGGGCGTGCGGTCTTCAGGTGCCACATTGAGAACTTTAGATTTTTCAAGTCTAGCAACGCGTCTATAAAGATCCGGTTTGTAGATTTCGTGCGTGTCGTGATCCATCAGAGCATCTGCACATATGTTGAGTGCCTCGGTATAGGAAGAGAGGCGATCATCTTTGTAGTGCGTCATGAGAACGAGCGCGAGACGAGAATACCAAGCACCGCGTCTAGCTGTACGCCAAACTCTCTGTTGCAGTAATTCTTTCAGCAGACGAACCTCAGCTTGATAGTCCTTGTTGCGCGAGTAGATGGCTGATAGTTTGTGCACTAGACGTGTGTAGACATGGCCAGGTGAATAGCGCGCGCGCCAGTTACGTATTGTCGTATGCGACGCGGATATCTGTTCCCACCTGCCCACTACACTCTCAGCTAACCCTTGCGCTTCAGGGTATTCGCGCGCATCTAATGCATTATCAAACTCTGCTTCGAGGTTGAGCGCGTGTATGAATTCAATCAGCGTGCTGCGACTATCGAATGCTATTGTGCGTGTGTGTGTGGGCTGCGGATAGTGCCGTTTGTTAAAGGATGAGAGTAATTGGTGGGGAGGCGAAAATAAAGTTGATTGGCGCGAATAAACGAATGCAAGTCTGTTGAATAGATTGTGTATCGGGGGATTTACGCGTATGACTTTACCCATTTGGTTGAGTATTGTGGATTTCAGTGAGAAGGATTGGTTAAGTAGATTGCCGCTGAGGTTGAAAGACAAACCGCCACTGTTAGTTAGTGTAGATTGAGTGGTTGAGGTATTGAGTATGGCATGAATCATGTTTGTGCGTGTCTGTTGCTTCGGAAGGCAATTAAACTTGGTAGAAATTGCCACCAAGTCTTGATTGTTGCAAATATTGAGCAAGTACTCGATGGAAATTGTTTGTAGGTTCAAGTATTCAGTTGATTGAATGAAGTTGAGATCTTTCCACGCGTCTTGATCGCCTTGAACGCGAGCAGTATCTAGTGACTGATTGATAGCTATAGCCAGATCAGCGTCGTCTACAGTCTCATGATATGGATGAATAATGAGGTCATCAAGGATCTCGTCCAAATCAAAATTTAAATCAAAAGTCGATAGCTTGTGCCACTTGGAAGGCTGACGGTTGAGTAATTTGGTTAAGAATATTCTGTGATTATAGTAGAGATTGCTGAAGGCATGGAAGTACTTGAGTTCCTGTGGGGTGAATAGATAGCTCTCCTTATCCAAAACCGTGGATATGCCAGTTTCAATTAATTCTACGTATTTGTCCATGTAGATCGAGCCAGATTGAGCCAGATTGATGCAGATGATGGATGTTGAGCCACAGCCACAAAACAAGATCCAGTACCTTTAAAATCAATTCAAACGATATCCGGTACCTTCCTAACTAATAGTTTTAATTAACTCGTCTTCAATTCGCCACTCTTATCATTTTTATCGACGCGTCGCTGGTTGAATTCAAACGGCGACAGTAAGGAAAATGAGGGAGCTGCTATGTAATAACAGGGAGGGCTACTCCCTGTATTCAACAGAGCGCGACTTCGATAGTACAATATGCTTCGAGAATTTCAATTTGATCACGTTGCCATCGCTGCTATTCATATTAATAAGCATCAGCGATATCTGGAGGAGTTTAAAGCACCCAATAAGGACTGATACGAATTCAAGGCTTAGATTTGGTGTTAAGATTGCTGGTTATATTTCACTCAACCTTCTACTGCTTGTTCAGCTATTCGATAGGCTCGATTATAGCATAGAAACTATAAGCCAGGCATCAGTGCAAATCTCCATTACACTAGCCTTATTCCTTTCAATCATCCATCACAACAGATTCAACAAACCTTCGAGTCTTCTCCTCTTATTTTACCCAACCATCATTCTATCCAACTTGATCAAGCTTAGAACTGTAATTATCAGCGATTACACCTCTATTAACCCTCATTTACTTATTCCTACCATCCTCATTCTCGCTTTCATCTGGCTAGTTGAGTCTAGTGGCCCTGGTTATCCTCCTTCAAATGATCCTTTGAAAGACGCTTCCATTTACTCGTTGTGAGTATTTTTTATCCTTTAAAACTTACACTCACTATCTTCACAGATGTTCTTTCTCTTGGCTCACCCCTCTTCTCAAATTAGGTAGACAACGCTTCATAAACGAAGAAGATCTCTGGGATTTACCCGAGAAAGATCACTCTGAGCACGTAGGCCGCAAACTACAGAAGAAGTGGCACTATCAAACTACTAAATCATCCAACAAACCCTCTCTATGGCTCGCCTTATGTAAAGCTTACGGAAAGGACTACCTCATTTACGCGTCCTTCTTCAAAATGCTACAAGATTCTCTAACTTTTGTTCAACCTCAATTACTCAAGAGCCTCTTGCAATTCGTCAATTCTCAACGCTCAGATAGCCCTGAACCTCTAATCAAAGGTTACTGTTTAGCTATCGTCATGTTTGTCTCAGCCGTCTCCCAATCTACTTTCCTTCACCAATACTTCCAATTAGTTTTCATGACTGGTTTGAGAGTCAGAGCTGGTTTGGTCAATCTCCTTTACGACAAATCACTTCACTTGAACAACAACGAAAAAGCTCAAAGACCAACAGGCGACGTTGTCAATTTGATGTCCGTAGATACCAACAGACTGACTGATCTTTGCACTTATGGTCATATCCTCTGGTCAGGTCCTCTCCAGATTTTATTGGCCTTCATCTCTCTCTACAACCTCTTAGGATGGCAATCATTTGTTGGTGTAGGCGTTATGATTGTTTCCATCCCAATCACTACCGTTATTGCCAGATATGTTAAGAAGCTATCGTTAGAGCAAATGAAAATCAAAGACAAGCGTACGCATGTCATGAATGAGCTGCTCACCAACATGAAGTCAATCAAGCTTTTTGCTTGGGAGGACTCTTTCGCACAGAAGCTCTTACATATTCGCAACAACGAAGAGCTGCACATTCTCAGGAAGATTGGTGTTGTAAATGGCATAAGTAACTTTGTCTGGATGCTGACACCATTCCTTGTCTCATTTACCACATTCTGGGTTTATTCTGTCACATCTAAAGAGCCGCTAACCTCAGACAAGATTTTCCCTGGTCTGGCCATCTTCCAACTCCTCTCATTTCCACTCTTTATGATCTCGAACATCATTACCTCCACCATCGAATCAGCAGTTTCGGTGGACAGGCTCAAAGACTTCCTACTCGCTGGTGAACTGGACCCTGAAGCCAAATTACAGGTCATCCCCAATGATATTAACGTTGGTGAAGAGGTTGTTCGTATCAGCCATGGTGATTTCGCGTGGAGTGAAGATGCGCATATGCCAATATTACAAGATATAAATCTGAGCGTTAAGATGGGTGAGTTGGTCGCCCTCGTCGGAAGAGTCGGTGATGGTAAATCATCAATGGTCCAAGCAATTCTTGGTGAAATGCACAAATTCGAAGGTACTGTCAACGTCAAAGGCTCTATTGCATACTATGGCCAATCCCCTTGGATTATGGGTGCGACAGTAAAAGAGAACATACTTTTTGGTCACAAATTCGATCAAGACTTTTATAACCTTGTCATCGAATCTTGTGCGTTGAGAAGCGATTTAGAGTTGCTACCACAGGGTGATATGACAGAGGTTGGCGAGAAAGGTATTACTTTGTCAGGTGGTCAAAAAGCTAGAGTTGCTCTTGCTAGGGCTGTTTACTCACGTGCTGATATTTATCTCCTTGACGATCCGCTGTGCGCTGTGGATGCTCACGTTGGTAGACATCTCTGGAATAATGTCATAGGTCATAGCGGTATACTCAAGAATAAGACTAGAATAATCTCAACCAACAATGCTGGATACTTTGATCAGGTCGATGCACTCGTCATGCTCAAGAGAGGTGTTATACTTGAGAAGGATTCCTACTTGTCGGCTATACAACGTCAAGGTCAGTTGTGGCAGCTTATGATGAAATTAGGTTGGTATCGTTAATGGAGAAGCTCTGCCTATTTCTTACACTCTTCCAGGTAAAGGTGGTGGTCATTCAACAACCAATTCCTCCGGCACCTCGCTCAATGAACTTAACAACTCTAATGGCAAAGGCACACCACCAACTGACGGTGAAAATACACTCGTGAATGGAGAATTAGATAAACAATCACATACTATCTTTGTCGATGAACAGAGTGAAGGTCCAAAAGTGGATGTTGTTAATGGTGTATGCACTGAAGAAACTAAGCCTAGAGAGAAGAGAATGTCAATGAGTATGCGTCGGGCTTCTGTCGTCTCACTAGATAAAGCCAAAGCTATCGCTTTGGATGCTATGCGCAATTCATCCCAGCCTAAGGAACAAATGGGTAGAGGCAACATCAAGACTGAAGTATATAAGAGTGAGTTGGGATTTTTTTACGAGACAATTTCTAACGATACTTAAGAATACGCCGAATCAAGCTCTTATTGGGGTGTTATCGCTTTCTTGATCACAGCTTGTCTTATTCAAGTGTTCTCGGTCGCTGGGTCTGTTGTACTCAAGAATTGGGGTGAAGCCAACAACAATGGCGAAGCTAATGACATCAAGTGTGAGTGTTTACTTGTTGGGTTATTTCTCGTTTGACATACCGCAGATCTCCTCGAATACTTTGCTTGCGGTTTGCTTTCGGCCATCTTCATGTTCATCACTGCATTTTTACTGTAAGCTCGGCGCTGTAATGGAGTGTTATGCTAACTGAAAACAACCAGCTGGGCTGTCTGCTCAATTAAATGTTCAAAACATCTCCATGATGACATGTTCCATGCCGTAATGAGAGCACCATTAGGCTACTTTGAGAGAACGCCAGTCGGTGTTATCCTCAATAGATTCTCTCGCGATGTCCAAGTTATTGACGAGGTACTGGTCAGAGTTATTTCCGGATTTTTTAGAACGTTAATCGTTGTTATTTCAATAGTTTTCGTTATTGGTGGAGCTTTACCACCATTCTTACTGATGATTATCCCACTTTCCATATTCTATCAATGGATCATGAAGCTCTACCTCTCAACCTCACGTGAAATTAAACGTTTAGATGCAGTTTCAAGATCGCCAGTCTTCAGCTGGTTCCAAGAATCATTAGGTGGACTACCAACTATCAGGGCATTTAGGCAACAATCCAGATTTATTGCTTCAGAGACACTAAGGATGGATAGAAATCTAATGGCATCTCTTCCTGCCATGTCTATCAACAGATGGTTGGCCATGAGATTAGAAGTGTTGGGTTCGTCCGTTATACTTGCTACAGCATTATTTGCTGTAACTAGCGTCAAGAGATTCAATCTCGATGCCGGTTTAGTTGGTTTGTGTATTTCATACGCACTGCAAATCACAGGTGGATTGAACTGGTTCGTCAGATGCGCTGGTGAAGTTGAGCAAAATATCGTTTCAGTTGAGAGAGTTTATGAGTTGGCTCAATTAGAACCTGAAGCGCTGCCAATTGTCGAAGATAACAGGCCTTCGGCTGAATGGCCAGACAGGGGTTCAGTAGTGTTCAACAATTTCTCGGCCAAGTATAGACCAGAGCTTTCGCCAGTGTTGAAGGATATTAATCTCAACATCAACCCTTCAGAGAAGATTGGTGTCGTTGGTAGAACAGGAGCTGGTAAATCATCATTAACGCTATGCTTGTTCAGAATCCTTGAAGCATTTAAAGGTGAAATCAAGATTGATGGAATTGATATCTCCACCATAGGATTGAAAGACTTGAGATCAAGATTGGCAATTATACCACAAGATGCTCAGCTTTTCGATGCAACGGTGAGAGAAAACCTTGATCCAGAAGCTGCACATTCAGATGACGAGATATGGCGTGCATTGGAGTCGACAGATTTATCCGAACATATTACGGAGTTAGGTGGATTAAACTCTCAGGTAGCTGAAGGTGGAAGTAATCTATCGAATGGACAAAGACAACTCGTAGCTATCGCTAGAGCTCTATTAACTAATTCCAGAATATTAATTCTTGATGAAGCTACATCTGCTATCGATTCAATGACGGATAATTACATACAAAATACTATTCGTAAACAATTCAAAGATATGACTATTATCACTATCGCTCACAGATTGAGAACAATCATTGATTACGACAAGATTCTCGTGCTTGATAAGGGTACGATAGGCGAGTTTGATACTCCGTATAATCTGCTTCTAAAGAAAGACGGTATTTTCTCGTCAATGGTCAAGCAATCAGGTGAAGAAGATGAATTGAGATCTGTAATTGGTTGTTAATCGTCGTTTGAAGTTCAAACTCTTTATATCTATCTGCATATTTGTTACATTAATTATTGATTAGTTATTTAAAAGAAAGTACATGGCTCTGATAATAAGAGTAAGCAGGATTAGAAAGCAAGGGGTGCGACTGCGTGTTTTGAAATAATAATACTATAATAGCGCTGCTACTCTTATCATTCTGTAGACTGTTGTATGGAAGGGAACTTAATTGGTGGTAGGTTAAGACTGAATGGATTCATCAAAGGTGGTTGTGAGGGTTCGTTATGCTTTCTTCTCTTGATTGGTAGTGGATCAGACACTGGTAGTGATCGATACTTTTCAACATCAGGATCTTTCGAAGGTTCGCTTGTGATTTGTTGAATTTGAGAAAATTTCGGTATCGATGGCAAATGAGGTGGTGATATTGCTTGATAGTGCATAGGGGAAAGGTTTGACTGATACTGTTGAAATTGATAGTATTTTTGCTGTTTAGCTTCGTGTTGATTGAGGTCACTCAATTGAGATTGAGCTTGTTGTAACGATATGGTAATAGAATTCAAGTGACCTTGATATGCTTGCTTTTGTTGTTCCAAATTCGAACAATGCTGCTCTAATTGCAATTTGCTCAAATTTGGTGGTTGTGGTGATTTCATTGTCTTGTACGTACCACCAAACTCAGGTTCGTCTGATGAAGCGGAAGATGTCGATTGTCGTTTGAGTGGATTGGGATGAATGCTAAGTTCTTTAGTTGATGATGCTGGCACACCTCCATCTTGTATACCCATTAAAGTTACGGCTGCTTCGTGCTCATTTTGAGGGATTGAGTGTTGATTTTGGGGTGTAAGGTTGTTGAGTGGTGAATTAACTTGAGGGAGAGGAACAGATGAAGTTGGAACAGATGAAGGCATTCTCTTTCTTCTCTTTATGATAGTCTTTTTCATATGTACGGGCCTGGGAGCGTTATGAAGTTTCTGATAAAGACCACAGGCGTTACATTGAGGTTTGCCATCATCAGTTCTTCTCCAAAGAGGGGTAGTAGTGGTGTTGCAATTTGCACACTGTAAGCCACCTAACTGTTGTGCGTGGTGTTGTTGCTGTTCGGGATTTAGAGTGTTGGGTGGGGAGGGTGCGGGAGCGGGCGCAGGAACGGGAGGTTGCGGGACCGAAGAACTGGATTGAGACATCTCTTGAGATTTTTGTAGTTGATGCCTTTGAGCGTTGTTATATGCGGGACAACCAGTGCAAGAGCTAGTACCACCTGTACCGTTGCAATAACCGCCACCGGGACAACTGCCAGAGGTCTTCAGAACTTCGGATTGATTTATACAAGTAGATTGTAATGTGGTTGGCCTTGGAGTGTTTCTATTCTTTTCGTACAATCCTTATCAGATATCGTTATCAGCGGATAGTAATTGAGATAAGAGATTCTACTCACCACACGCATTACATAAATTCTGATCATTAAGGCCACGCCTCCATAGGGGAGTATTCCAAGTACCGCAATTTGAGCATGTGGTTTTGATCGCTGCATCACTTGTACTGCTTTGTGATATTGCAGCGCTTGTACTTGGTACTGGTTGCTCAATTCTCTCTATCTGTGCCGTGGACATGAATTATTGTGGTGGTAAGGAACAACGACGTCTCGACGAATGAGATGCGAGATATTATAAAGATTTACAATTATTTTCTATTTTATTGCTTTGATCTTAAGCGATTAGACTATTTCACTTTCATAGCCTCATCCGGGTTTGCTTAACTGTTTTCATTCAATGTGAAGTTTTTCACCACCTAGATTGTGTGGATCATCATCAGATAAATAAACGATTTCATCCGTTGTGGAGGCTGGTGAGATGGGTATTTTAACACTGTTAACACACAACAACCATGACGATCAAGTTGTTGATTGTAGATCATCACGATTCTTATACGAATAATATACTCAGTCTGTTAGCTGGGATTGAAGGTATATACACATTGGTCATAAATCATGATAAATTGTTTGATTACAAGTCAATCGATTCATTCGACGGCATAATTATCAGCCCAGGTCCAGGAAGATCTGATTATGATAGCGATTTCGGGATAAGCGCGAGTATAATCAAATATGCTTTAACCATAAATAAACCTTTATTAGGTATTTGCTTGGGTCATCAAGGCATAGCAACCACTCTATCACCTCAGTCCCGGTTGATCCCTGTGAATAGCTTGAAACACGGCCATATCACTCCTATATCATTAAGCGAAAGCCCTTTGTTTAGAAATATTCAATCCATTATTAATGTTGTCACTTACAACTCACTCACTATCAATCCACCCCTTTTCAACCATTTCAACATAATTGCGACTGAATTACATGACAGGAGCTCTATCATGGCTTTAGAACACTCCTACGCTCCTCTTTACGGCTTACAATTCCATCCTGAATCCATTCAATCTCAACATGGTTCACTTATCATGAACAATTTCTTAGATATTTGCCATAAATTCAAGAATGTCACTCTAGAAATACCAACCCATCTCATAGAAAGCTCTTCTATTGCAATTCCATCTCAATCAACGCCCTGCGTCCAGGAATCTGCATTTAAAGTGACGCAGCGACCACTTGATCTACCAGATGATCCTCAACAAGTCTTCAATTATAGCGTCAGACAATTAACAGGACTAGGAAGTGTCTGGCTAGACTCTGCGAGACTCATTCAAGGTGTTGAATCCATGTCTTATCTCGCAAAACCTGCTATTGCAATATCATTCAAGCTATCAGATCATTCTTTGAGCATAAAAACGGAGCATGAGGGATTTCAAGTAACTATAAATAGCTCATTTTGGAGCTGGTTTGATAAACTGCAGAATTTGATAGAGAGTTTAATAGATAAATCCCACATCAACTGCTTTTCAGTAGGATGGGTTACTGCATTGGGGTATGAACTCGGCAAAGAGTCGTTAGAAGGATATAACACGTGCCAGACGAAGCTCGACACCGATCATAATCAACGAAATCAACATAATCAAGTCGATGCCCTTCTGCTCTTCTGCAACAAAGTGCTTGCTTTCAACCACATCGAAAAAGCTTGGACGGAGTATGGGTTGGAGCAGACAGACAGGATTGACTACGACAGTCTACCGCTAGAAGATGGCATGCGATTCATCCTCGATCGATTGCTCACCCCGCTACACACCGCACCACAATCTCAGACTACACATCCTCCCCCACAACACCAATTCAAATGCACACACACACCCGAATCATACATCCGCGCGATAGAAGAAGCACGTCACCAAATAGCCCTAGGTGAAAGTTACGAATTGTGCCTAACGACGCGGTTCACAGCCGATGCCAGCGACATGGACCAGGAAGGTTGCTGGGAAGTATATAAGCAGCTGCGAGCGTCAAATCCAGCCCCATACGCAGCGTTTATCAACACACCCTGTCTGAATTTCGCAATACTAAGCAGCTCCCCGGAGCGTTTCATGAGGATGGATCGCGACAGAGCAGTGGAAATGAAACCCATCAAGGGCACAGTAGGCAGGGACAAGAATGATGTCCTGCGTGATGAGCAGCTAGCTGTTCATCTCCGCGATGACGTTAAGGAAAGGGCTGAGAATCTCATGATTGTTGATCTGATTAGATCCGATCTAATGTCTTTCTGCGAGCCGGCGTCAGTGTATGTGCCACACTTGATGTGTATAGAAACTTTCGAGCTGGTTCATCAGCTTGTGAGTACCATCAGAGGTAGACGCACTCCCAACGTCGGCGTTGTGGATGGTATCAGACGTTCGTTCCCGCCTGGCAGTATGACCGGAAGTCCGAAATTACGCTCTGTCAGGATATTGGAAAGACTTGAGGGAACTAATAGAGGTTTCTACTCGGGTTGTATTGGCTACATAGGCGTAAACGGTTGCACGGATCTATCTGTCGTGATACGGACAATCGTATATGCTGATCAGGGTGAGCATACTACCTAAGCACTATTCAAACCCACTCATCACGCATTAGAATTCAATATTGGTGCTGGGGGTGCAATCACATACCCTTCCATCCCTCAAAAAGAGTGGCAGGAAGTCCTCACCAAAGCCCGCTCTGTAGTGGGCACACTTATAGATTATTAGTTTACTTGGATACTGTTGTTGTATTGCATTTTTTGGTATGAATCAAAGTAATTTTACGTGAACAAGACTTAAAAAAAGAACACCTTTAGCTATCCACTAGAGATGCAAATGACTGTGAGAGCTTAACAGAGATTTCATCTGCTAGTTGAACATAGTTCAGGTTGATCAATTTTAATGAGCTTTTTATCGAATTGGCCTGATTTATACTGACGAAGAATTCTCGCCAAAAGATCAGAAGTTGATATTCCATTTGTTCGTCTGGTTGGTATAAACCTTCCTTGAGCTTTGACGAAAGTGTAGACATCTTCGTGTCCCTGTGCAACATATGGTTCGCCATCATGAGCAACGAAATCTATCTTGTGATGATCCAAGAAGGCCTGGTTGATAACCCAAGGTGCATCCTCAATAACCTCATCGACCCATCTGCTATTTCTCACTGACTCTGCTCTCTCGAAATCGCTCATAACAGGCTTGGATTTGTGTGACTGACAAGTCTGCGCCGAGCAAACACCAACGATCAGCTCTACGTTCTCGAAAGACAGTTTAGCCTGTCGGAGTTGGAGAGAGTGGCCGACGTGGAACAAGTCGTAAACGCCATCTGCATATATTCTAATAGGACGATCGCTTGGCGGGTCAATTGTAAGAAAAGACTTGACGTAGCTTTGAATAGATTGAGGGGTGAAATTGGATGTCGATTGGTCTGCGAACTGGTCGACGTGCTTCGTTAAAGGAGCAGCTGGAGGTGTTCCACTGTCGATATTCGCAGTGGCAGAAGACTCGACGTCTCCATCGTAAGTCTGTGAATCTGTAGCCTTCTTCGACTGCGATTGTACATTCTTGAACTGCTCGTGCTCGTCTGTCTTAAGCTGCTGTTGCTGGTGCTGTTTAGGCAGCGCCTCGTAGTCCGAGCTCGACAGTGGATCGAGATCATTATCCTCCTCGCTGCCATCCCTCGAGCTGGAAATGATCGCTTCTGGTTCTCCACGTTTTCTGTTTATGTTCATCCTCGACGTCAAGTCCTAACAAGCAATTTCAAGTAAAAACGATCATCATCTGAATATATGCTTGATAAATGCACGGCGATCTAATTTCACTAGACGAATCAGCGCCTATCATCAATAATCTATCCAATCAATTTCACGGCGTTGACGGTGTACTCGTTCTCGATAAATCTCAATTCTGTATCGGCGGTGAGCGATCACTGTGTTTCTATCCAAACGCTTTATCTGACTCTATCACAGCCAGTGGCTCTCTCAAGCAGTCTGATGCCTCTGTCGTCGCTGAGTTGACCGATAACGTGTGCACAACCTTCAACAACGTCTACAAAATCCATCTTAGCGATAATCGTGGGTATGTACTGGATTTGTTGCTTTATACAGCTATTCTCAACCTCCTCAGCTACTTATACCTCCTCAACAACCAACGAATCACTTTAGCCATCTTGAAGTCACAATGACCCATTTGTACATTATTACATATTTAATCAGTATCCGCAGTAGCCTTTGACAGCTCCTTACGTATCTGTGTCGAACTCAACTTCAATTCCGCGCTCTGATCTACCAAGTCGATGACAAACACATCCAGTTCCTTGATCTTGTTCTCCTGCCTCTTGGCGTTGACTAAACGGAGTGGAGTGTTAGGCGGAAGACAGACCATATAAAGTGCAACCCACTCGCATCAGATCCTGACAGCGTCTCTGTCGACACCACGATACCGTCGATGTCACTATCCGTGGCCGTCGGTCCGTAGACATCATCGAGTGTGAATATATCGCATTCCAATTGTGGTGCTAGTCGTCTGACAAATGCATCCACAGTCGCCTTGCGTGTGTGTATTGATTCCAATATCTCTGCGTTGTTCTTGCGCGTGAGCAGCGCCGGTCCTGACTTCTTAGCAAGGAATACGACGCGGAAGAAGAAATGCTCACCTGTAACCCCAACAACTACCCTCCTTATGCTGAGATAGACAGCTAGCGTTAACAATACTTTGTGTCCCGCGTGTAGATGGTCGAAAGTACCCCCGAGGGCGACAGTCTGGTGAACACCGACATGTACCCGCTCACTGCCAACTGTTTGTGTACCTCCTAAACTATCCACAACACGCTTATAAGGCACGTCATCCACGTTTGCACCTTTGAGAGAATCAAAGACTATTTCACTTGGTTAGAGGGCGGAATTGAAACATAGACTAGCTTACCAGATGGAGTGGAGAAAATTATATCCCAACCGCTCATTCTCGCCTTGTGGATCCAATCAGGCTGCCAGAATGCATCGAACCACACGTCAATGTTACCACCCCACCAGTTACATTTATTTTGTCTGCTCTCCAATAATAGGCTATATACTTCAATTAAAAATGACTGGAATTCCTTGCATCGCTGCTCGGGCTCGGGCTGCGAAGGCAGCTGTCCTATAAATATCAATCCGATATCGCTGGCCTCCTCAGCTGCCTCTTTCAATACGCCAATCAGTTCCGGGTATAAGATTAATTTTGCTGGTAAAGGAAGTATAGCGACCGTTCTCATTATCTAGTGATGACAGTGAAAAAGTGACATATTACGACATATGATCATCTTTGTATCGATATCTCTATAATAACTCTGCTTCTCATCGTCTACTGATCACTCGTATGATATTCGTCTCATCTCAAATTATTTGTCTGTTTTGTATACCCATTTGAATTATAATATCCAAGTGAGAATTATCCACTAGCTCTTTCAGAAATCTCCCCCTATTTCTGACCAGCAGCTGCGATGAACCAAGACATAATGTGCTTCTCGTTGTTTCTCATAAGCTTGTACTTCTAGCCGTTAGCAAACACTGTGAGAGCACATTATACGAGTGTTGAGATGATTCAGTGAAGAGATAAATCGCGCTTGAAATGCAAAGATTCGAGAATCTTTCCTATGAACCGAGTGTTTGACGTCACTCGTTCAACTACGTGTATATCTGGCAGTACCTTTGAAATGTAATGAGGTGGATATTTGGATGTGGCTCTTTCTAATCGTATTATTATTCACAACTTTTCAATGGAGTTGGCATATCTACATTTTTGTCCTTACAAGTGAATCCTACTTGTACAGCGACGGCAATATGTGTATGCGGAAGAAACTTTTTGTCGCTAGAGTTTTGAAAGTATATTTATCCATTGCGCATACAGATATAGAACGATTATCAAGGAACAGTGCGATGTCATTGCATCGTCGGAAGTTTTTCACGACCAAGCTCACACCACGCAGTCTGCTTTCGCAAATTAATACATCGCCTTCATCCGCAGCAGCAATATTATCCACTGACATCTTCATGATCCCTGCAATGAATGCGATATTTATAGAAAATACAGCTCAATCTTCTAGAGTGATCGATATTCCTCCATCAGTGGAGGACACCGTATTAAAAATACAATATTGATTACAGAGAGAAATGATCACTTACACAAAAAATGAAAGTTACCGAAAATGTCTATCATGTATGTGAAGAGAATGAAAAATCACATGAAACAATTGTCTCCCATGATGAGTATAGTTAATCCCGAAAAATATGGTGCCTGAGAGTTTAATTGTACGTCCTATCTTTTTTCGTGCAAATGTAAAAACGTAAAAACGTAAGAGTGATAAATAAAAATGACAAAAGTTGATCCTCAACTCCGTGTATATAATCCATTGTATTGAAATTGAAACCAGTATCCCACTGGTGATATATATTCAACACACCTTAAATCAATTCAGCCTACTCTTTAGAGAGCGAAAGTGACGAATGCAGTAGAAAGCATCAATGCAGCGCCAGAAGCAAGTGAGAAGGAACCACCGAATGAGAAAGCGCTGGAATCACCGTCTTCGTCGCCGTCACCGTCACCGTCGGTATTATCGTTGCTGTTCGTGCTTGCTGCTTGTGCTTTAATAATATCTGTAGCTGAGGCACCTTCAATTGAAGCGACGGTTGGGTTAGCTACGGTGGCCAATGCTCCGTTGGTACCGGTAACGGTTGCTGGAGGGTGTTCATTTGAATTGGTCGAGGTGGCAGCTTCTACCGAGGTGCCATTGTAGACATCTGAAACATACTCAGCAAAAGTCTCCCCGGTATTTTCGTCATCATCTCCGACATAGAGGTTGGTGATGTTTCTAGCAGCGTAGAATGGAACAACGTATTCAAACGCGTCTCTGATCTTTGGGAACATCTTCATAAACATGTCCATTGTTGGACCAGTGATTTCGTGGGTGAGGACAATGGTTCCAGCATCATCAAATGTACCATTTTTAGCAGCATCAATAACATCTTGATAATTTTGTTCAACTTTGTCTGGGGTAACCTCTGTACCTATCTTCCAATCGTTAGTGTCATATTCCCAAAGTGCTGTTCTGAGACCGAGGCCCTCAGCGATGATACGGATACGGTCGTCAACGTCACCGAATGGTGGTCTCCAGCAAGTTGGGGTGACACCGGTGATTGCTTTGATAGCCTGTGGAGCGCGTTAGATTTGATCGCTCTAAGTAGTCATATCGTAAACTCACCTTGATTGGGTAATAAAGCTCGGCAAAGGCACCCTCATCGTCAAATGATGTCATGTAGTGGTGTGACCAAGTATGCAAGCAAATCTGGTGCCCATCTTCAACACCGCGTTGTGCTTGGTAAGGCCAATTCATTACGTTTGAGCCGATATAGAACATTGTTGCAGTAAGGTCGTTGTCACTGAGGAAGTTGTAGAATGTATTGTGACTGCAATTTGGACCGTCGTCAAAGCCCAGACTCCAAGTGTTTGGCTGTTTGCTGTGTGAGTTGTTGATAGGGAGAAAAATTTCAGCGAACGAACGCCACACTTACCTCCGGAGCTTTCCAGAAATCTTCAGCAAGTCCGTCTATCTTAGGAGAGGTGCACTTGTCATAGGTAAACCAGCAGTCAGGATCCGAGGCATCGTAGTCAGGCGTAGTGTTGGAGAAATCACCATCATGTGTACCCTTTGGCTGGATGTTGGACGGGATGACCTGCTTAATTTCGTTGTACTTTTGCTGTGCATCGTCATCACCATCGACAATAGTGGCTGGCTTCCAAATTTCAGGGAATTGGTCTTTGATGTTGTTAACGATATCTGCACTGTAAGGTTGACATTCTTCGGTAGGATCTGCAATGAACGAGAATAATTAGAAAAGTCAATCATCCAAGGGCTTTACTCCTCACCAGTGCTTTGGGCAGCTGAAGCCATATCGGTAACACTAGCAGACTGAGCACTTGCTAATCCCAGCAGGCTCAAGTAAGCAAAGTTTTTGAGTATCATTGATGGTGGTGGTGTACTTTGAACGAAATATTAGGCCTGAGGGTCTACTCCACTTTGTGTACCTTGCTGCGATATAAAAATTCTTATTTGTGTCTAAGACCAGTGCATGTCTGAGGGCTTATAGATCTCGATAAAGCCGTAAAACAACTATAAATTTTTCGCAGAGCCCTGATAACACTCTGTCCGCCTTATTGTGCAAGGCTATCGCATTTTCTTTGCCGAGCTTAGAATCGACGCACGGGCCAGCTAGGCGTACGAGGTTCGACATCCCAGAATAACACAGAGGATCAGTAACATCGAAGGTTGCAGAAAAGTGTTACTATTTTAACCTGTGTCTTCCTGGATTTTTCCTGTGGCTTTTTTTGGAGGCAGCTAGCGGGATTTTTTGGGTGTTTGTAGTGGACGCAGCGATAACTAGAAAGAGAATGCTGTAGATGCCACAGACAACTTCTCCACTTCACACGTCAAATAAGCCTCCACAGGGCAAGCGTTGTAAAATCACGATTCCCACCACTCCCGAAGCCACCAGAACGCAGAAGCGCTGCACGAGAGTTGAGGCACCGTTTTCTCGCTTGTAAAATATACATCTTTGCACTCTTTACACACAAATTTTGCCCGGTTGATTACGCCCTCATTGGTTACGTCTGGTCACGTTTCCCCAACGACAAAATGGAAAGAGAGGGGAGCTATATTGGAGACGGCGAGCACATTAGCCACAATCCAAGGCTTTCTAGGCTACTGCAGAATTCACCATCCATGTCAACTTCACCGACGAGTTCGCTGGTGTCTTCCTCTGCGGCGTCTATATTTGAGCGCGGTGAGTGGATTAAAGGCGTGCGCGAAGCACACTAAGACGAACACAGATATCGAGCCAGCCCATCCAATTCACACTGGCTTCCTTGGATCGAGAGAGGCCACAGACTTATCAACAGCGCCGGCACTGACAGAAGCATTTGAGGCTTTCGTCGGCAGCAATCCACAAGACTCAATCGGTGTTGAAATGACTTCAAACGTCGACTGGGGCAGCAACAACTTACAATCGAGTATGATCAACAGTCCGTCGCAATCACTTATTCTTCCACCGCCTTCTCCTCCAACGCAAGACTCAGCGCTAGCTCCTGGCATACAATCATCTATCTTACCAGCATCGCCACCAAATTCACCACCGCCACCGACACACCAACCACAGACATCATCACCACTAAACCCACTCGCGAATCAATCACCAAGACTAGCATCACAGTCGCAATCCCTCGGCAGCACTTCCCCATCGCCCAATCTCTTAGAAAGTCCCGGCGCGTGTCACAGGATCAGCCTGCTCAGTTACGGGGACGTTATAACCGAGAGACCTACATCAGCTGTACCGCTGCAGACTGCGCTAAACCAACAGTCGCCACCGCAGTCCCATCTTCTCAATGAGGGCAACGAGGGCGCTGAAAGCAGTGCATCTCCTGCTGCGAATTACGTTGAAGAGCGTAACAGGGAAGTTGAGAGAGCGGCTTTGAGTAAAGGTTTGGAAGCGCGTCTGGAGGCACTTTCGTTCCCTGAACCAGCTCTCACGCAAAATTTACCTCCAATGCGGCCCTCTTCAAGGAATGTTTCGCCGGTTCCGCCAGTCGCGTCTGATTTACCAGCTCCTGCGCCATCTGAAGAGCGTTACATTGAAGAGAAGGAGACAGTAACAGAGAGAGGTGCTGAGAGATTGTCACATCGTATTCAATCATTGGCTGTTTGAACGTGAGGTAGTGAATTAGTGAGGCAGTGAGGCAGCGAATCAGAGAATCAATAAATTAGGCTACTAATAAATATTAAAACGCACCAAACCACGCAAACAATCTTAAGTAATCAAAACACTTTCGATTCAAGATTTAGGATCAAATATTTTTAGGTTTTTAAATGTAAGCAGTACATATGTAATTTTGATGTATAGAAGATTAGTCATAAGTCAGGAACATATTTAGTAACGTGTTTAAACGCATTCTTGTTACAATGGAATTTGCCTAAAGTGAAGTGCAAGAGTTGTGTGCCACTGAAAGATAAAGTTGCAAATAAACAATAAAATTTGCTGATGACATCGAGAGTTAGCTGGCTTTTACGTTCATCACCGCCGAGGAAGCCGTGTATGGCCATTTGTAAGAAGCTTTAGTCAATATTATTGACGTCAGTGTCGCGAGATATTCAGTGAGGAGGTGATATTGGATCAATTAAGAATCATTAGAGTAGTTTTGTCATTATTTTCAGAGGCATTTCTATCAAGCTTGAGAAACTTCAAAAAAAGTGTAAAAGAAATACAGATTTTGCTTAGTTTGGAGAGACACAGACGTAAAGTCATATATGAAATATACAATGATTACAATAGACCATCCGTAGCCATAGATTAGAATCCATCGAATCACTCAATCACATCCTATGCACGTATCCATTTGGAGTGATGACGTTACACAATCTTAAACTTGAATCTCACTCTCTTGAACACTTACATCCAAGTAATACAAAATGATTAACACCGCAGGCCAAAGACGTCGTTCTTCCATCGATCCAAGCAAGCTCCAGCCTATGGTTAGTTGCGAATGTTAGCGTGTAAGCGCATGAGCATACGAGCACTCCCTTACGCCCCTCACAGTACAAGGTTCAGCACAAGCCAGGACCACAATTCAACGTCATGTTCATCGGCGCCGGAAATATCAACTTCGGCTCCGATGAAGGTCCTTGGAACCACAGTGCTCGTATTGAGAACAAGTGGGGCACAAGGCTTCGTGTTACAGCACTTGTAGATCCTTCAAAGGGTAGAGCGGATCAGGAGCTCGAGAAGAAGAGATCTTCATTCGTTGCGATTGCTTACAACGACACCAAATGGTTCTCAAACCTCAATGATGCCGTCGCTGGTTTGAGACCTGATGAGCTTCCAGATGCGATCATTGTTGGTGCACCACCACAATTCAGAGGTGGTTTGAACCCACCAGCCAACCTCGAGTTGGATTTGATCGACAAATTCCCAAATGCTGCTCTCTTCTTGGAGAAGCCAGTGACAACTGGTCCAGCTAAAGAAGCCGTTGAGGTCGGTAAGAAGATTGCTGCAGCAGGGAACGTTACATCAGTTGGATATATGCTGCGTTATTCACGTGCTGTTCAAACCATGATCAAGATTATTGAAGAGAACAACTTGACTGTTATTGGCACAGTTGCCAGATACATAGCAGCTTATGAGAAGATTGCAAAGGAAGACTGGTGGGACAAGGCACGCTCATGTGGTCCAATTGTCGAACAAGCCACTCACTTCTGTGATCTCTCAAGATACTTTGGTGGTGACGTCAGTTTGGACACTGTTCAAGCTCACTCAGTTGAGTGGAACGAGGAGCCAGGAAAGTTATCCAAGATGCCAATCAACGAGGAGAATATCAAAATGGAAGATCGTATCCCAAGATTTACCACCGCCAACTGGAAGTATGACACAGGAGCTGTAGGTACACTTGTACACGGAGTTGCGTTGCACGACACAGACTATTACACTGAACTTACAGTGTACACGGATGGACATCAATTGCGTTTAGTTGATCCATACAATAACCCAGCATTGTACATTAGGAAGCCAGGCTCGAATGCCGAGTCACACATGAGCTTTAGCAACGACGATTGTTTCTACTCAGAGATATCAAACTGGGGAGATGAGATTGAGAAGCACGCAGAGCACGTCACCGAAGAGGACCTTGACACGAGAATCCTTTCAACATATGAAGATGCTGTACAATCATACGAGTTAACATGGGCAATTCGTCACGCTGCTGAAGCAGGTAGAAAATTCCCTGCTCAAAAGTAAGCACGGTCGATCAACCGAACCGCAGCGGGAAAAACGGAGAAAGCAAAGCAAAGCACGTAAAGGAATGATTAAAGAGATAATGAGATGATGTAAAAGATAAATAATTAAAATAAAAATTCTTTGTCGATTTTAGTGATTGATTCCTATCTCATGGCTTCATAGCAGCTGCCATGAGATTGAAGCCGCAACTGAAAAAGCTGGAAACGTCGCATGGGGAAATAAACCGATTGGACATTAAATCTGCGCCTTCAATACAATCAATAACTTCATTCGATCCAACAGTTTTAATATCGAATAGTGTTATAATTGGGCCAGAGCCGGCGTGCAAGACAGACGTGGATTGTTTAAAGCGTATGGGGATTAAGCAGATACTCAATACAGCTAGAGAGTGCGATGATCCTTTAAAACTCTCAAATGAGTTCAAATACTTGAAATTGGACATGATTGATAACCCAGGTGCCATCAACGTACAGGATTTCTTAAATAAGGGAAGCGATTTCATTGACGATGCTAAATTACATTCAAGGCCTATATATGTGCGTTGTTTAGCGTTAATAATGTATCCCTCACTAATATCCCTTGAACAGGTACACTGTAAAGCTGGTAAATCAAGATCGGTAGCAATAGTCATCGCACATCTCATCAGAGCCAATAGATGGGATATTAATAGAGCTTACGACTATGTTAAGCAAAGAAGGGAATCAGCCTCTCCTAATATCGGTTTTATTGCCGAGTTAATGCTGTTTCAGAAAGACATGAATATCCTCGATTACAGTGAGAACAACGACGCTTCTACTTCTTCTACTACTACTCCTCATTCTCCTGATAAAAAGTTGAAATCTAACTTTGACGGCTTGACTGGCTGTCGAACACCTTCTTCAAGGCCACTGTCTGCAGGTCCAGGCGTACTCACCAAGGTCAAACAATCAAAACCTTCCCTTGAACATCGTGTAGAGGATGATTTAAAGAACAGACTCCACATTCAAGAGACACTAGGTAACCACTCTGAAGTTGAAAAGAAGGATAGGTCGGGAAGATATATACATCCTAAGAGGGCTCCCCTAGACAATCGCTTACAACCTCTGAGGAGGGTTTCTAAAGCTGGTCTTGAGTCTGCCACCCTTGACTTTCTTAAAGAGTTTGATTACGAGAAGGATGACCCGAGGAAGGAGAGTATACGAGAGCAGCCGAACGTCGAGAGCGGTAGTACAGGCGCAGATACGAGTATATCAGAAGCAGTGGCAGAGACAGAGATAGAAGCAGAAGCAGAAGCAGAAAGAAATCCAAAAAGCGATCATCCAAATAACAATACCAACATAGCACCATCTCTAGAGCAATCTTGATCAAGGCTTCTATTGAATCTTATTTTCTTCCCTCAACTTTCTCAGTTTTATCATCTACAGTTTTACGAACACTCATACTCTCACCCTCACTACGTTATCAACACACTCAATGTCATAATCGAAACATTCAATTCTAGATATCAGTTCGACGCGCTTATTTTATATCTCGCCCATTTATTCAAATTGAAAGAATCGGATCAAATAATTATTTTCCTTGTCATCAGCTTGTCACGAACGCTACTTCATCAGTCAATCTATTACGTCGAGTGTGATAAATATGATGCATTAAATATAAACCAAGCAATACAAATTAAGGAAAATGCTGTCCGTTGCGCATGTCTATAAGAGTATGAGTTGGGGTGTAGTGTGTGTGTGTGTGTGTGCATGAATTAAGAGAAGAAATATGGTGAGTTGACAACACCGCGTACATCGAAAGGTCCCTTAGAAGGTAAATCTGGGAGGGCGTCTTCCAATTTAATGTATTTACTCTTGATAAAGTCAGACAGTTGTTCGTCTTGTGAGAGTTGATCGATGTCTGTGTTTTGTTTTGATTTAATCAGTTCAATGGCTTCCAGGTCCTCTTTTGAGATGGATGCTGAGTGATCGTTTTCGTTATCGCTCTCACTCTCATTTTCCATTTCATTCTCACTCTCCATCTCTTCACTCTCCTTCGCACTCTTCCTTCCCTTCTTTTTAGTCGGGAGGACAGAGTTTAGTTTCGGATTTTCCTTATCAATTTTAGCGCCAAGAGATGACATAGGAATTCTGTAACCCTTGTAGCGTTCAACAACCTGTGCATCATGTGTCAGTAACTGGATCCACAAAGTTGCTCATACTAACTTCATCCCTCAGTCTTTTCAATATCTCTTCGCAATGCAGTTTGACGAAAGTATCTCTGATGATCTCCGACATGTGATCAACCGTGCTAGCGTGAGTCCAGTAACTGTCGTGCACGCTCGCGTATGTGATGCCGATCTGGCAGCACTGGAGTGCGGTGAGGATCATGTGGGTAGCATCGAGCGAGTGAATGAAATTAGGAGGGAATGCGCTTGCCTGTTTGATAGGGTTGACTGTGATGGGGGTGGAACAGGTAAGTGAAGGCAGGACACATAATAATTACTACTCACCTTCCGTTGGCAGATTAGGATCGGCAAGATAAACACTCTGGAGGAGCGTCGCTATCTGTTTCTTCTTAGCCTTACGATAAGGTTGCACGATAGGCAGACCGAGGGGAGTAGTCCAAATAACTGATGTCATTTGCTCCTTACTCGTACGCGAGGCTGTGCTCTTCCCGCTTGCGCTGCGTCCCTCAGCCGGTTCGAGAGCCTTGACTAGACGTTCTGGGGGGATGCTCTTACTGACGTATCGCGCGCTCATGCTGAGCCATTTCTGTATAGCATTCGCGCCTGAGAAGAGATCACCAATACTGCGCAGAACCTTCTTAGCGAGGTAGCTAGCAGTGGAGTATATAAGTTCTCGTGGAATGTCACCTCTATCTTGTAGCTGCTTATCAATTTGGTCTCGCGCCCCAATAAACGTAACGCCATACACAGTCGTCATTACCGTCTGCTTTACCACCTTACGCGTGATTTTGCCTTCGAGGAGCTTAGCGAAGGCGTTGTCATCGGTCTGTGCATCGCGTCGGATATCAGCTATAACTAAATCAGCTACCGCTGTATACACGTCGGAGGGACGGTCCGCTTGCTCAAGGTTAACTTGCTTCGCTCCCATCGGATCACCACCGAGAGCGGCATAGTGCTGCAGCCCATTACAAGTGCCGTCTTGGTGCACTGGTAAAGAACTTTCGTAGGCTAGTGGGTTGCTCGATTCAAGTGCTGCTTGTATCTCATAGCACGCCGCTAGACATTGCCATGGATCATCTGCTTTGAGCCACCAACCTCTGCCGTCCAGTGGTCGATCAGCTGAGTCGTAGATATCGGCAAGATGCTCATCTGCGAAATTCTCCCTTTCGTTGAATGACGCCTTGTCGTATCCGTATACATTCGCAAGATGGATTTTGAGCCACCGCATTCCTTTCTCGCCAAGTGGTCGAGTTTCGGCAAATTTTAGCAGCCCTCTACTAAGATCGTCGCCGATGTGGTTCAAATGCGGAGGAATTGGGTAAGCCCTACCACGGAAATCGAGAGTGTGGGGGAAATAGAACGTTTCATTGAGGAACGCCTTTGCTATTTCAAGTTTGTAATTGGTGTCGCATCGTATAGAGTGGTTGTTGCGTCTTTCGTTAACAACAGCCTTCATACTGATGAGGTAGTTAGAGCGTTGCTTCGGATCGCTCTCGTAGTTGGAGGGTTTGATAGGATCTGGTGTGTGAGTTGTCGCTGGTGGGATCTTAGCTACACCTTCTCCACTATTCCACGCCTGCTTCACTACTGCAAACACTTTCTGATTGACATTCCAGGGAGTCTGCCCCAAGACATCCAGTCCAGCCAACACAGGCTCCATCGTACCCTCGTTCGAAGCTTTAGCGATATAAGACTGCTGCTCGTTGGAGTCCTTGAACCTCATTGCGAAGTTCTTGTGAAAGAGATAGCCGCCATTATCGTACCTCAGCCAAGGTTTTGGTTTGACGAGCATGGGGAGATGGCGCGGGTGAATAGTACTACCGAGTGGGTCCTTATCTAGGCGATCAGCAACGACTGTATTCACTTTGATAACACCCAGCTTGCGTCCGCGTACGTACTGGTATGACTGTGAAAATGCCGGTTGTGTCTCCTTGATCTCCTCGCCGTCTCTGTCCGCAATGCGAGTGATTGTGGCGCATTCCATTAGCGAATCGACGAGGAAACTGCCCACTTTTATGCGTATCATCTGCGACCAATTCGGCGTCCATGCTCTGTTCATGCGTTCTTCGTGTACACGGGCGAGCGCACGCTCTGAGGCTATATCGTGCGGATATGCGAAATGTTCGTCGGGAGTGGATGTTCCCATCGCTTCATCAATCAGACCTGTAAACTCGGGCGATTTGAGATCGAGTTCTTTCTCAGCCTTCTTGTGATCAAAGTAGCGCAGCTTGCGCTTGACTTGCTTAGCGTCTGCTTCGACACCTTTAAGCGAGACACCGTGCTTGGATTTGAGTATTTCCGCGTGGTGCTCATTTTCGACTGCCTTTCCGACAGAAAGAAGTGCGCGCGTCGTCTTCATCCCTTCTGCTATCCCGCCTGTGCCGCTCAGACGAAGTATTTCGAGTACAGTGATCAGCGCCATCTTCTCCGAAGATAGGAGCGAGAGGAACGGAGAAATCTCATCTGGTGTAATGTGTAAGCTTGAAACAAGAAATTCACATAAACTTACTGATAAACTTGTCCTCTTTCGTCTTGTGTGTTTCGAGATGCATGTTCCTGTCTAACTTTTCTCCAATCAATACCGAAAGCTTCTTCCACCATTCCCACATGAGTTTCTGAAGTGGCTGGCCAGAGAGCGCGGTGGCTACACCAGCTTTCTCGAGCTCATTCATCTCATGCTCAAAACGCGCTTTGGCAGTTTCATAGGCGGATTCTTCGAGGAGGCGTTGACGTGCTGCTGGATCGGCAGCGAGTGTTTTAGAGGTGTGCCCGAGTGGCTTGAGTGACTGACGAAGTGAGTAAAGATTGTAAGGAGTTTCAGATGTCGACGGGCTCTTGACACCCATTATGTCTTGTTCCTCTTGAGTTGGCGTAGGGGTGTCTTGGTTGTCAGGCTCCATATTGTCTTCACTGTGGCCGTTGAGTGACCTCTCCAGCTCTGAGTGAATTTCTGCGAGCTCCTCAATAAGCGGAACATTTCCAGCGGTAGCGGCAGCTCTAGTCAGAACAGCGACAGCAGCGAATGATTCAGAGAGACTTGTAAAGTGATCATACTTTACGATAACGTCTCTGAGAGAAGGTTTGCCAGGGAGGTCTTTGACAGCATCGAGGAGTGGTTTGGAGCTGTACGTAGACTCCAAATGCCTGGCCATACCCTTCAACATGAGAGTCCAAGTCTCAAGCTCCCACTTCACGCCCTCTTTATCGCCACAAAGGGCATTCCAGAGCTTGAAAGCCTCACCAATGAACTTGTCGTTTCTCGAGTTATCAGCCTCTTGGAAGTAGCGTTCGATAAATTTGTTATAAATGGTCACATCGAGAGTGGAGTAGTTATTATCAGCATAATTGCGTATTTGCTTATCGCGTAGATTTTGAAAAACACCCTGGGCTCTGTCGAGAAGGAAGGGAGAAGACAAACAGGCTTCGAGGATAGCGAAGAGTTCCTGGTTATCGGATGTGGGGTAGATGGAAGAGTGCTGATCGTTGATATCGTCATTGGGACGTGGAGTTGGGAGGAGAGTGCGCTTATTGTAGTTGTAGATGAGATCTGTTGAGTGGTGTGGCTGTGTGGATTGTAACTTTGATTGAATCTTAAGCAATTTTGGTGTATGTTGTAGTGCTGATACACCCCGTAGCCTTCTCAGGCTTCTTCCTGGGGCAGATCTGCTCAGCATTTCCTCGTGGTATGGGAGCAAGAGATGAGCACGATGGATAAGCACGATAAGCACTTGTAAATTCAAATATACATTCACATTAAATCATTATAATAATTCATTTGCATATTACTTTTTCTCTGCCTTGTTGATCTCATTTTGAGTGTCTGAGAGATCCTTCTGTTGCTGCTCAGCCTTCGCCTTTAACTCTTTAAGCTTTGCTTGCTCTTGTTGCTTGACGTAGACAGCCTCCTCGCCTTGCTCCTTTTCGCTGAATTTGTCAGAAGTGGCATATGAGCGCATGGCTTGTGGCTGCAAGATCAATTAGCAGGGCACACGACAATTAGAGCACTAAGTACTAACGAATCTAGCAGCAGATAAGCGTTGGACTGGTTGGAATTGTCTGGCGGCGAACATGGACGTTGTGGACTAAGATGGATAGACGCCGTGGAGTAGAGATATGACATTTTGAAAGAAGTAGGAGTAGTGAAGAAAATACGCTGAGTGCGAATAACTCAACCATCTCTAATTTTAAAGAATTTACGAATGGAGATGGGTGTCCATCTCTGTTGGAAGCTTACCATCATCGAGATTATGTTCATTAGAGGTGCAGTGAGTGGGTGGTTAAAAAAGAAGGAAAGATTTAATATGAATATAGTCACGTGCTATTCCAAGCGTTAGACAATTCTCTAGCTCAGCGGTTGCAGGCAAGGGTGAGTGGTGTGAGCTACAAGCCAAAGGATTATACTGAGAAATATACAGACTTGGTACAAGAATTGTACATGTCACAGCTCAAGTCATACAAAGCACCAGCTCAGCCAGCAGATGCGCACGTTGGACACGTAAAAGCGTTCAAGCAGCCAGCAGCACCATCTGCACCATCTGCACCTTCAGATTTGGCAGGTGAATTAAGCACATACGAATCAGCTCAACCTTCATTCACCCAACAAACTCAAGCCACCGGAGAAGCACCAAAGGCGGAGGAGAGTGCAGATGAATTCCTCAGCTTACTTGAGGCTGACTTGCCAAAGCCAGAGGTCCACCACTAGAAATGAATTTGTAAATGAATCTACAAATTTACATTAAATTGTCTTATTTACTTGAATTTTAGTCGTTTGCTTGTAAAATTCAAGCAAATGTCATTTTTCATTAGAAGCACCCATGGACAACAAGGATTTTGAAGTGTCTGCGCCGCCAACAGACAGCGTATCGTGCTTGTCGTTCTCACCGAATGCAGATATTTTAGCAGTAGGCAGCTGGGACAACAATGTGGGTGTGATACACTTGGAGATGCCGTTCTAACGCGTGTTTGCTGGTAGGTGAGGATATACGAAGTAGCTCCAACTGGACAGACAATACCAAAATTCATGTACTCGCATCAACAGCCAGTGTTATCGATATGCTGGTCGAAGGATGCCTCCAAGTTGTTCAGTGGAGGTGCAGACAACGCGGCGAGAATGTTTGACTTAGGAAATCCAGTCAACAACCAATCCACCCAAGTTGCTCAACACGATAAACCAATTAAATGCGTAAAATGGATCGAAACTCCGACAGGCGGTATTCTAGCAACCGGCAGCTGGGACAAGACTATTAAATACTGGTCAATTGGGAATCCCACTCCTGTAGGAACCGTGCAGCTCCCTTTCCAACTCTACTCAATGGACGTCGTCTATCCCCTACTCGTTGCTGCGACTGCTGAACGTCGCATCGTCATTATCAACCTCACACAACCGACAACCATCTTCAGGGAGCTCGAGAGCCCCCTCAAGTGGCAGACTAGAGTCGTTGCTTGCTTCCCCGCAGGCGATGGCTATGCTGTCGGTAGCATTGAGGGCAGAGTCGCTATTCAATACGTAAACGAGAAGGACCAGGCGCAGAACTTCTCGTATAAATGCCATAGATCCAAAGATGGCAAGGAAATATATGCCGTGAATGATATTACTTTCCATCAGCATCACGGGACGTATTCTACATGCGGTACGTGCGCAGTGCATCTTTTATCAATACTCACGACACTTCCACAGGCTCTGATGGTACAATTTCATTCTGGGACAAAGATACCAAAACGAGGCTCAAGAGTGGGTTTGATTGATTATGCACGCTAATCGCCACTAACGACGCGCATAGATCTCGAAATCAACCAGGGTCCTATCCCATGCAGCGCGTTCAACTCAGCTGGCACTATCTTCGCTTATGCCCTCTCATACGACTGGAGTAAAGGTTTCTCAAAGCAGCCTCCGACACCAATTGTGAAAATAATGCTGCATGCAACTACAGACGAGGAAGTCAAGCGCCGTCCACCAAAGAAGTAGGGAGTGTAAAGATTATGTATTTATTGAAAATAGAAAATTAAGAAGGAATCCATACAAGTGAGAGGTGAAAAGCGAGTTGAGATTAGCTAAATGAGCAATGGGTATATAAAATATCACCTTCTCGCCGCGATTTTCTTGCTCATGACATAAATCTCATAAAGATATCTCCTATCGTCGACGATGCCACCGCGAGGCACCCAGCCGTGAACGGCGTATTTATGAGTCTCCTCTGAGTGATCCGACTCCTCTATAAGTTGTGGGGGTATAATAGCCTTTATGTTTTTACGTTGGGTGTCAAAGGAGGGAGTGTGTGGGGTGTGTGGGGTGTTAGGAGTCGGAGTGGTGGAGGCAGTTGAACAAGTTGTAGGAGCAGCTTGTCCATTTGCAGCATCCACTTCACCCTCACGATGCAAAACCGTCATAGCAGTCTGATCGCGCACCTGCTGCGATCCGCGCGAGCTGCTAGACGAGCTGCTGAGATTGGCGAAGACATCCTCGTCGTCATGCGCATTAGTGAGCCAGCACATACGCACCGGATCAAACACCATATCGCCGACGACTTTGGTCGGTTGGTTGAGATAGCTGGTGGAGTGGGGTTTTGAATGTGAGGTGTTGAGGGGGGTGTCGCTAGTAGTGCTTTTACCATCAATGGAGTGCGCATTATCGTGTACGTTGTTTGTATTGCTGGTATTATTGGTATTGCTCCTACTTCTATTTGCACCAAAGTGAGTTATTAGCGCTGGACGCACACTTACTCCCTCGCTACCACCCTTACTCCCACCGCCACTCTCCCTTTCCTTTGCCCTCTCTAGCTCCCTGAGGGCAGGCTCGTAGTGGTTGCCATCCCACTTGCGCGTCAGCGGATCATACTTCATGTCGCCTACTATGCGCACCTCTTCCTTGCCCAGCTGCTTGATCAGCGTCGGTCGATGGCTTTTGCGGAGGGTTTTCCTGGTGCGTGGTGCGTGTGCGTGTGTATTTGTGTTGTTACGGCTTTTGCTGTTACTGTTTGGCGAAAGGGAGCGCTGTTGCTGTTGATGTTGCTGCATCTGCACCTGTATGTGCGCATAGGACGGCGATAGCACACGCTCACGCCGCTTGGCTTCTGACGATAGTGTTGGGGCCGTGGCTGTGGAGTGGGAGTGGAGGTTGGGTATAGTTGTGGGTGAGTTGGAGCGTGAGTGTGAGTGCGAGTCAATTGCTTGAGTGTGTGTGTGCCGCTGCAACAGTGATATAGTTGGTGGTGGTTGAGGTTGAGGTTTTGTGGTTCTATGGGCATGTGCATCTGTCTGCGTCTGTGTACTCGTAATCGACTCGCGTGTATCTCGTGTATCTGCAAAAGTGTTGAACACTGCAGCGAGTTAGTAAGACAAAACAAGCCAGCATCACACACCACAACTCACACGATGGGCGTTGTCTCACTGTCGCAGGTCTGTGCATCTGCACCTGCATCCGCTGTCCTCTGATCGAACTAGTTGAGCTGGGTGAGGAGGATCGTGTAAGCGTGTTGGGAGGCTGCGCTTTGATGGTGCTGTATTCATCCCCACTGCCATTTACACGCTCACGCTCCTGTTCGTTCTCCAAATCGGCAAAAAGCTCCAGCTCACTGCCGTCGCCCCAGATTGAATTCGAGTGGGAGTTGGAGTTGGATTGCGAGTGCGCATTAGAGTTGAGCTTGAGGTTCTTCAAATTCTTGGGTCGTGTGAGGAGCTTTGCGGTGGATGGCATAGCAACGCGGGCAGCAGGGATAGAAAAGCTGGGTGCGCGTGTCTTGGGTGCGCGTGTCTTGGGTGGCTTAGATTTGGCGAGTGAAGAAGCAGTAGGCGCAGTCAGTCTGGATTGAGAGAGGTTGTAGGTAGATTTAGCGTTGCGGAGAGTTGGTTGGGTGTTTTTTGACGGAGACTGTGGAGGCTCGCATGGAATCGAAGAGAGAGAACCTCTTCTGTGTACAGAGCGGATTGGTGGTGCAGGGGTAAACTTTGCAGGTGCAGAAGAGCGCGGTTTCTTGGCAGAAGCTCGTTTGAGCAGGGAATTCTGAATTCTACTCGGTGATAGCTTTATGTCTTGAGATAAATCCAAATCCTCGGAAGCATCCAAATCGTCAGGTTTGTTTAGATTTTGGAGGAGTCTTGAGTGGAGGTTTATGTTCTGAGGAAGGTGGATGTCTTGGAAGAAATCGTCGTCGTCGTCGTCCACAACGTGTGCACCACGGCCATCGTCATCGATTGAAGTCGTCGGTGAGCTGTAACAGTGGTTGAAAGAGGAAGAGGAAGAAGAGTGGAGAGAGGACTCGATGCTGTTACGCGGCTTTAGGCTTAATTTTCTATCAAGGGTGAGGATATCGTGGTGATCGAGGTCATCGAGCTGATTGAGGTCATCGTGGGGATCATCATCATCATCGTCGTCGTCATCGCCGTCTAAAATATCTCGATTACTGAAAATGAAATCATCCTCCCAATCCTCTTGATCCATTGCTCACTTCACTCAGTTATCTTTATGAAGAACCAGCCACGCAATGGAGATGGAATAAAAAATCGAAAAATGATTTCAAAAATTAATTTTATTCTCTTGATATTTATATTAAGGCTAGATTGTTACACCAGATTCAACGCGTTTTTAAACATTATTATCGGTTTGGTGGAGTGGCTAGGTGATAACAACAGAACACCGCTACCAAACACTCTACTGCTTTTTATTATATCTCCCTTGCTGAACAAGCTCACAACATCTTACATAACTCTTTTGCACGCGCTCCTTTGGCTTTTTCACGCGAATTATATCTTACTGGCCATGACTTGTACTCTTCACTACAACCACTCATCATATCTAAACACATTTGCTCAACTGTCTTCAAAGCTGTTCTTATTCAAGTTACTTCGCAAATTTGATCACACTCTACACTACCCTTGGGTTTCCTTATTATCATTGTCAACCACATTCACTTCCATTCACCACTGCTGCCCTCAATACACTCTACACTTTTTGGCCATTAACTCTTTCTTCTTCCTGCTCCTCCATCACATTCAAATCTACTACCAACAATTCAAACTCAACCTCACTGGTTCTTGGGATTTAAAGCCTCCAAAAATTTCTTCCAGCCTGTCGACACATTCACCCTCCTGATCTTGACCAATTGACTTGTAATTATGCTTTTGAAAGGAATGTTGTTAAATTTTAGTGGAACATTTTGATTGATATTGTTATAATTATCAAGCCACATCATAAGCTTCGGTAGTATAACGGTTAGTACATGGGTCTCATAGTTCAGTCTATGAGCCGGTCAAGCCGGCGAAATCCCGAAATGGTGGTTCGATTCCGCCCCGAAGCATTTTTGACATTTGCAGATGGTACTTTTTACTTATGGTTTTTTATGAAGTATACCGTCTGGGATAATATTATTTGGAGTAGGCTTTTTGTTGCTGTCTTATCCGTTTCTGGAGGTAGGGGTATGTGGCGATATAACGTTACAAGTCGTGCGATGAGAGGAGCTAGAGCTAACTGTTGAAATAGATATACAAGCGTGTCATTTGAAATACACTCATACATGTATATGAATAAATATTCTCGTGACGAAACAAGTAATCCTCGCGAATCTCAGCTTGGATTTGAACAGTGATGGCACAGCGAAAGTTATTGACAGAAGTAGACCGGACATTGAAGAAGGTATCAGAGGGAGTTGAGTTGTTTGAGAGCATGTATGATAAGCTCCAGGTTTGTTTGAATCACTTGAAATTACAAGCATATTGACCAACTTACAAGACGTCAAACAATCAAACCCAGAAGGAGAAGCTAGAAGTTGATTTGAAGACTCAGATGTGTGTTATCAGCTTATTGAGCTAGTGACCGACTCACATACTCAACTCATAGCAAAAAGCTTCAGCGAATGCGTGATTCTATTAAGACTTGGATAAGCTCGAGCGATATCAAGGACAAATCTGAATTGATGTCTTCGAGGAAATTGATAGAGACGGTGCGTTGGTGTGCTCAACAGAGAAATCCCTCTAATCAAACCGATTCCAGCAAATGGAACGCTTTAAAGCATGCGAGAAGGAAATTAAAACTAAGGCTTTTTCTAAAGAAGGTCTAATAGCTGCTACAAGGCTAGATCCTAAAGATCAAGTTAAGCATGAGTGTTCCAATTGGTTGGGTCAATTTGTCGATGAGCTCAGTCGGCAGATTGAAACAACTGAAGCAGAAATTGAACATATATCTGGTGCGACATCAAAAAGAAGTAAAAAGTCAAGTGGTACGCAAGAACGTGTCTCAGAATTAGAGAACTTGAATGAACGTCGAAATTGGCATATTTCTAGACTTGAATTAACACTTCGATTACTCGAAAATGATCAACTCAGTGTTGATCAGATAAACAACATTAAAGACGACATTCAATACTTTGTTGAATCAAACGCAGAGGAGGAGTTCGAGGAGGATGAAGGTATCTACGATGAGCTTAACCTCGATGAAGAGGAACAAATGTATGGTATGGGTGCAGCTAACAGTCAAGGAATCGACGAGCAAGCATCCTCTCATGATTCCATTTCAATCACAGACGAGCCTGTACAGCCACCATCCAAGCCATCAAAGAAGTCTTCCATCGATGAAGATATCGCTACACCCAAGAAGATCAAAAAGTCATCCTTTACTTCCCCAGACAGCAGTAATAGTGGTGCTATTCCAGCACCTAATTTCAACCAGGAACCTGTTGCTAGGACGACACAGTCGCCTGCTTCTCTCCAAGCTAAGCCTGCCCCAGCTCCACCGACGATCAAATATGCAACAGCCGCTGCAAATGCAGTCGCCAATACAGCAGTACCAACGACAAGTGAAGGTGAAGAGCAAATCAAGGAATCTTTACAGGGAGAAGATGGAGTTGGAGCTGGAGTCGGAGTCATTGAGGGTGATGAATTGGACACACCACAACAGGATACACAAGTACCACATTCTCCACCTCAACTGCAGAGTACAACATTTGAAGAGCCAACAACGCAAATACAATCGCACCCTCAATCACACACCCAACCACAGACATCACAATCAGCAGCATCTTCAAATGGATTACCGTATGTCTTGTCAGATTTAGCAACTTCATTCGAAACTGCTAAACAGAAGTCGACAAGTAATACCGCTGACAGACTTCACCAAGCGCTTGAATCGAGTGTGGATGGAATACCAGATGCGGCCGATGCCGAACGTCCACGTTACTACGTACCAAAGAATCTGTGGACGTCGCCATCGTATTACCCACAAGTTCCAAAGAAGGATCTTGAGCACCCAAGTCTGTTTTCAAGGCTGGAGACTGATACACTTTTCTACATATTCTACTACATGCAAGGCACATATCAGCAGTAAGTTGGACGTTGTGTAGTGTTTAGTTGTCAGCTAATACTCTCTTCAGATACCTGGCTGCTCGTGAACTCAAGAAACAGAGTTGGAGATTCCATAAGCAATATTTGACGTGGTTCCAACGACACTCAGAGCCCAGTCAAATAACCGATGACTATGAGCAAGGTGCTTACATATACTTTGACTGGGAGGGTACTTGGTGCGAGCGCAAGAAGAATGACTTTAAGTTTGACTATGTTTACTTGGAGGATACTCTTCAATGAGCTAGTTAATATTGTTATCATAATCATTTCACTACTACACAAGCAAATGTTTATACTTTATTTTCTCATTTCTTGTCTTGTGTCTTGTTTCTGGTGAAGCCATCGATGATAACGAGGATAAACAGCAGGAAAAGTAGCGGAAGGATTGCACTGGGCAACATACACCGACTGAGCCAGATGATTCAGACCAGTAGTTTTAATAGAAGCTACTCGAGTGATGCTAGCAACAGGCATAAGGCAGTGTATCGAGAAATATACCCAGCGATGCTGCGCATAGGCGTCGTAGCGATGATAGTGTATTATGTGAGGTACTTGTGGAGTGTAAGATGCATTCTAACATGCGTAGGGATTGCAATTAACTTGGTCGCATCTCTACAAGCAGCGCCTAGAATCGGAGCTACAGGAGCGGGTCAACGAGCTCAACGGCAAGGTGGATGATAAGCTGAATGCGATGAGCCAGCCCTCGCAGCCTTCCGGCGTCGCGATTGCATCGAAATCATGGCTCAAATCGTGGATTGGATAATTTTGTACAAAACTGTTATAATACACTCATTCAACTAGATCCATACCTCCGCTTCATCTCTCTGTACTTGGCTAGCGATATCAGCGACAGCGTTTCCTTCTTGATGTACTCCAGGAATTTCAATTTGTCCGATATCTGCTGTGGGTCTGTAAGGTGTCTGTTTTCTAAATATTAGGGTAGTGTAAGCTAAATTACGAACGCGTGACATCAACTAACTCTCAAACATCCCTCTCAATTTGTGATGGAATTCATACCTCGGATTCGGATCTATTCGCTGTCAGTGGCCATATGGGCAAAACACACGCACACTCACAGTCTCTACCAATCCTATGCAGCTCTTTGTACAGCCTGATTGCAGCATGCCGCTGATTCTGATTCGTCATGGCGGATGAGTGATAAAGATGTTCAAATGAGGTCACAACACAAGGAGAATGGAAATTATCATAAATAGGCTGATAAGAAGGGGTATAGCTACACGCACATCCACATCACATTGAAGGTGGCTTGGCTAGACTATTGTAGTGTTTGTCCCACAACTTCAATGAACTGAGCAGACCAGCTGTGAGTCCGACAATTGCTTGTGTGCCCTCCTTGCCTTTCTTAAATCCGAATACATCGTAGGCTAGTCGGTGAGTGAGTCACTGCCCTCTAAATAAGAATCCAAACCCACAAACGAAAACAAAGTCACACATCAACTTGAATGCAGACAGTCTCGCCCACGACTGACCCGTTTGAACCTTACGAATATCGGCATCAGTGCGCAAAAATGCGCCTAGAGTATCGTCACTGATTGCATATTCCGGCTTGAGGGTGTCACCGTGAGTGAGATCATCAAGACATTGCTGCAAATATTCCTGCCTTGATTGCAGCTTTTTAAGCTGAGCTCTATTGTGAGATTCACTGATAGCACTGACGTTGAGCTGGAGGAACGTATCAGTCCACCACAACATAGCACCGTATTTCTCAGCAACGGCGCCCATCTTGGTACCGACTAGACCCAGACGCGATGCGCAGTACAAGTCGTCAGAGATTGAGTTGGGGATTTGTATCACTGCTGAAAACAACGTGAGTCGACGTCTAACGCCTTCAAGCAAATTTGGTGATGGCTGCTTGGGTTCTCTGAGCATCGTGTAGAGATCTGGGATGGCTCTCCTCCATGCGAAGAGAATAAGACACTTTCTAAGCGGCATGTAATAAGCTCGTGTGCAGCGTTCACGCACAACCCCACCCACCTCGTCGTTGATAGCCCCGATGCACAGTTCTTGAGGTACGGCAACCATTCTTTTGCCTGGCTGCTTATGTATGGATTGCTTTTACTACGCCATAAGTACAGTTTGATGGAGTACTGAATGATTTTCTGCGTTCTCGTCAAAACCCATCGCCATAACCTAAACACCAGCGCACAAAGATCTTATCTCTACCGGAATCTGTTGCTAAGAGTCTATCGATGACTAGAAACCGAGATAAGAACGCGATAACTCCTTCTCAAGCAGGCAACCCACTCTGACTCGTAGACACGCGCATACGCTTCGGCATAGCGGCCTGTAACAGTTTACCTGAATTGGAGAGAGGGATGCCGTGTCTCTGTGCCTGCTCGATCCACGGATTGGCTGGTAAGTAGCTAGGTGTGCGCACCATGGTGGTTTTCTCAAGAAGAAACTCCCATGGTGAGTAGCGCGGATTGGGCTATTCACGATATACACGACGTCTAATTGTGTTGTTATCCTCTCGCAGGCAAACGCGTCGCAAAAGAAGATTACAGCCGGTAACCAGAAATCCATTCGCATCCTTCAATTGGCAAACGCTGCTTTTATCCTCCTGCATGTGATAAGCAATCATTTCTTAGGAAGGAGGCATTTCTCGTTCACTGCGCTTGCGCTCACATTACCTGGCCTCGTCTGCTCACTCGTTCTTGCTAGATGGGGCAAACCGGTTTTTTCTGAGAATGGACAGGTGGTGTCTTCCGGAGAAGACCTGAGTGGTGAGGGTGGATTGATAGAGCATATGTGGGATATCGTGTACGTTACCTGGATGTGTCTCACTATGACGGGATTTTTCGGCGGGATTATGTGGTGGATGTTCATCATTGTGGGTATATGGGCACAATCACTGCAACGCTGACACTCTACAGGTGCCAGGCTTTGCAATCTTCAAGGCTGCCAGCTTTGCAATGCCATTTCTCATGCCAGCAGCTGGTAGAATGCGCGACGCCATATCCTCCCAACCAAACACCGCTGAGCCGGGCGAAAGCAAAAGACAGCAAAAGCTGAAACAGCGGCAACAGAAAGGACAGCCAGGAAAGAGACATCAGCAGCAACAACGTTGAGAGAGTGAATGGGAGGTGCAAGTGATGCATGTAACTTAAAAATCAACAAATCAACCTATATCTATATCTACTTATTGCGTGATTGAATACCACTAGCCATCTTCTGTAAAGCCTTAGGCTGATCTCTGACCCAGTATATCTTAGATCTGTGCATCTTGCCCCTCTTCAACACCTGGATATCCTTAATCAAACCACTGCCGAGGCTGAATATCTGCTCAACGCCCAATCGCATGATAACATTCCTCAATCTAATAGATATATCGTTGTTGCGTCTCCTTACGCCAATCAGAACTCCTGCAAATGTCGCAGTGTGAGTTTTCTCTGGGTTGGTGTAGTAAGTGACGGAAATGACAGAGCTTGGAGGAATTCTAGATTTGATAGGACCTCTGCGACTGAATAACGGGTAGAACTTCCTCGATTCTGAGCTGAATTTGAGCTGGTGGTTTAGTCTTCCAAGTAAATTGAGAGGAGCTTCTTTCGGAGGAATTGAGGAGGGTTCTACGTGTGGTACAATGACTTGCTTAGAGAATGGATAAGCTTTTGAGTCTTTTGCAGGCGTTAGACGGGGGTAATGATGGCTTTGAATCCAACTAACCTGCTAATGGCTGATATGAGGCGAATCTAACGCCGTTTCTAGCTGTAGATACTCTGCAGGACCTCGAAAATGCTTTCGATAGTAAATTCAACGACATTTCTTTTTTTCAGTGATGGCTGTGTGCAGGAAGGGGCTGTCTTCCTCACAGCGACGACGACGACGATGAGAGCGTGTATAGTAAAACTTCAGAGGATTTCGAATACAACATCTGTAGCTCCACTGAGCAAGGATATCAAGCGGAATTTGATCACACTGTTCAACCAATCAGGCAACTTCTTGAGTAGCTCAGAAATACCAGAAGCCATAAACGCAACGCTCACTCGGAGCAACCCGGATTTTCCACAGCATCTCACCAAGGTTAGTTTCGAAAAAGAGGGCAACACCTCAAACAGCAAGCCACTGGCCAAATCTGTGAGCTCGTACGTGACAGAGGATATTCCAAGAGGTCAGATTAGAGATGAATTCGATGCTGCTGTGCAATGGCCGATGCCAGGCATCGAAAATCTCAGCGAAAGAGAGAAGATAGTGAGAGATGCACTCTACGGGACAGACAGCAGCAACGCGCCAGGACTGGAGATTGTCGAGGAGGCTGAGAGGCAGCTGGAGGAGGAGAAATAGATATATTTGTGTACTTGTATTTTACAATTCTTAATTCCTCGTTTAGCACTTGACTACGATGATTGCTGGTATTTCGAAGCAGTCAATTCTGACTTGTACGACGCGTTCTTATACACGTACCTGCCCTCTAACTTTCTTATCAAGTCGCTGTCCTCGTTCTTCCCGCACTCGCGCCCAAGCTGATGGCAGCGTGCAGGAGACTATCAGAATTCCACAGCATAGAGACTTTTAAAGTGAGTTTTAATGGCTTTCAAATGCCTCACCACCTAACACCCCTGAAGCGTCTTGAAACTAACAAAAAATCCCTCAAGTCACTCGCAATAGTCGCGTCGATAATCCTATTCAACCTCTTGAAGGCTATCAAATCAGCTCTCACATCCGACAACATCTTCGCAAAGCTTCCTATAAACGTATCACAGCCACTCCTCGAAAATGTTTACAACCCGAACAATGACGTTAGTTTATCGACTTTCTTTTCCCGTCTAAATAGCTTCGATTTGCGTTTGCAGTATGTCAGATGGGGCGATAGGGCAGCGCGACAATGCACGTGGTGCTCTCCTCAAAGTGGTCTTGATTTTGCCTTGGAATCATTTAGTGGTACTTTTGCACCATACGTGATCACATTCACTGCCCTTTTATTCTACATAGAGCTTCAACACAAGCTGCACCTTGGTAAACCACTTTTCATGCTGCTTTCGGGGGCCTTCCTTGCTCATTTCATCGCTTTGGTGGCGTACGACACCCGTCCAAACCCCAATTTTCCTCCGACTATAGTGGGTTGACGGGTAAATCTCAAAAACGCTCTATCTGACACTAACCCCAGTTAGCTGACGTGTTGAAAGTACTCAGCTATGTTTTCTTGACTGCTATGTCCTCTTACACGCTATCAGTCAAGCCCAACAAGTACTACTCGTCTCCTCCAGATGCAATAAATCTCCTCAAACCAATAGTAGTTCCCCAAAAAGCTCTCCTCACATCCATCAAAGCACTCAATATAACCAATGAAGCCAGAAGAACACTCAACCTGAACCGCAAAGTACCCACTGAGAGGATCAAGAAGAGCTCAGATGTAGCGACATACCAAGTCATTGAAAATGAGGCTGATCGGCTTATTGATGCATTTGGTTTGTGAGTAAAGTAGTAGTCGAAATCTGTAATATATTGTACTTAGAATTACACACTAAAAATACATCTTGTATAACACTATCAATGGTCATCCTCGTCAAATCCAGGACAGTTTTCATTCATGTCTTGTTTTGACTGATATTTGCAGCCGCTGTGAGATGTTATTGTGAAGTATGATCCGAAAAATTACCTACTCACCACCAAAAGCAGTAGGAGTGCACTTCTCTGGCGTATTCTTGGGTGAATCTCAATCTGACAATAGGCTGAGTTTGTTAGCTTGATTGATGTGGACAATTTCACCTCACATCCAGCTTTATAAAGTCTTTGCATTGCTGAACCACCTCCGGATCTACGTCGCTAATGTTTTCGACACTGTTATCGTTCACGTCTTCATCAATGTCCTCATTGCGCAGTTTATCATGCTGCATCTGCTCCTTCAGTTGTTTGGCTAGTGACTCGTTGTTGTAGGTATGCTGGACCGGCTGTACATCTTCCGAGAGAATGAAAGGTGGATAGGTGTCTACGTCGTATGGATTGATCCAAAACACGTTGAACTAGTGAGCATGAGCGTGAGAGGTGAGATGTGAGTATAACAATCGTACAATCACACACACCTTAATCTCTAAATCCTCGTCTGCATTCTTGATTGTAGTTCTCAGTTGTCTCAGCACGCCTTCTGATTTACGTGCGTTAGCTTCGAATGTCTTGCGGACTCTGAAATCCTGCTGGTTCTCCATAAGCGCGCTGCTAGCTGCAGCTGCCTCGGAAATCTGCTTTGATGACACCACCCTCTGCACCCCAATACCCGATCTGCCGTCCAAGAAGTAAGGTTTAACGGGTTCTACGTGAGCTTTTTTCTGTGGGTGAGTGTGTTCTCCCGCGTGCTCAGGCCCATTCTCAGACTCATTCCCAACCTCATCAACGACATCATGCTCCCGTTTACCCAGTGATTGACCAGGCTTAAAGCCCATTTTGATCATCATGTTTAGCGCCTTGTTCGAACTATCCCCTTCTTCACCCGCCTCTTTGATTATATTCCGTTCGAGACCTTCCTCTATGGTTTCACGCTCGCGTTGCTTTTTCGACACGATGCGCCCGGCCATGTTCTTATCCTCGCTCTGCTTGAGCGCCTGTAGACGCATTTCGCCATACGTTTGGTCCTTGCCCTTTCCATCCTTCTTCTCGAGCTCTGCTGCCTGGGTGAGGAAAGCGTCATCCATGAAATCGACCTCGTCGTCACCTGCAAGCTGGTTAGGGTGGGTGGAGTGAATAGAGAACACCTGCTCATGGTCGTTGTCGTCGTCGTTGTGGTGAAGAAAGCCGACTTACTCTCAACTCCCAACTCCCAACTCCTACGGCTATGTCAGATGACGAGGACTATCAGCAGGCGGCTCTGAAAGCCCTAGAAGCTCACCAGAAAGCTTTCGAGAATCAGTTCGCTCCTCCTCCCTCCAAGTCTGCGAGGGAAGACCAATCCAGCGACGATAGCCACGATAGCGACAATAGCGATGATGGCAAGAGCAGCGACGACAACAACGACAACGACGATGGCAGCATACAGAGTTTCGACAGTGACGACGATATCATCGGCTCGGATACCGCCGCTCAAGTCGACGATCTGTTTAATGTCGGAAAGCGTAAGTCAGCACTATGCCCACAGTCACACTCACTCACACCTGCCAGTGAAAGGAAAAGGCAAGCAGAAAGAGGATAGCGCACCACGCAACGCTCCAAATGAGCCGCAGGTCGTGGTTTTCGGTGAGCAGGCTGGCGCGTCTGCACCTTCCACCCGAGACAGGGACAGCAAGAGGGCGCAGAAAGCATTCATGGTGAGCGTGTCTGTCTGCACTCTCGAGTACTCCCCCCTGACCCTCCAACGCAGTCTTCGAAGGTTAACAAAGTCCAGCAAGGTCCTTCCGAAGGCACAAAAAGCAAGCAGCGCAAACCATCTCAAATGAGCGACGCAGATAGATCCAATATAGAGAATGATAAAGAATTAGAACAGCTCCTGCACTCGCAACTCTTCACTGCGCGTGAAAACACAAAAAACATGAAAGCTGGCGATAAGATGAGGATGTATGAAGGCCGTTTGCTTGAAATAGCAGGTAAAGCAGATGTCGGACGTGGCGCTGCCAAGTTGAAGAAAGCGGAGCATAAGAAAGCATCTGGTGTCGTGCGTACCGGCTTAGAGAAACATGATAAGGAGATGAAGGTGAATGAACTCCAGCACGCTAAGGATCTAGGCGTCTACGACAAATCTCTCAAGCATCTCTACGAAGGCGCTGAAGGAAAATCCAAAGCTACGAAACGGTCTTTCGGTAGTCTCAACGCTGATCGCGATAATAAGAGACAAAAGGGTCTGAGTATGGGTGTTGGTAAATTCAAGAATGGCATGCTGTCTATATCTAAAGCTGAGATCGATTCCGTCAATTCCCAACCGAAAAGGAGGGGTAAGTAGTGTGATATTACGGATTTTTATATTGTATTGACTTATTAATCGTAATTTTTATTATAAGGTGTTTCTGGGGCGTTCTGACGGGGATCTTGAGGTGTTTTGAGAAGCGACGATATACATTACGTTGTAACTCAGTATTTATGGAGCGCTATATAGAGTGAAAAAACAGAGCCATAAGTAGAGATAAATTAGACTCAAATACGTCCCACATATACATTTATCTTTGTTAAATTTGAATTGTTTGATAGACGTTACAACAAAACATAGAAGAATCATCGAGCAATAGCCCAACGGCACGCATCGGATAGTGGTATTCCGTCACGTTCAGGCTTCTAAGTACATCGTGATGCCTCAGGCGTCCTGGGTTCGAATCCCAGTGCGTGCAAAAACTTTTGTTTTTGACGACTCTGATATTAACCCTAATAATCTCATCTTTTGTCGGACTTATTTGTTGTTGTCTTTACATGAATCATTTTAATCATTATGTATAAACAGACCGATGTAGGGAGGAATGCTGCTTCTGATTCGTGTCTTAGTTGATGTCATTCGAATATTGAAAGATGTTTATGAAACGTAAATGCAACGACGACTGGTTTATTTATTTTTAAGTGTAAATTTTGAGTGATGTTATGTTTATTATTTTGAGTGGCAACTTAGCTTTCATTTACTCCTGGTACATCATATAGCAGTTAGCTAGAGTGATTAAGCAGCAGAAGCAACCATAAATCCATTCTAAATCACTTTTGAATTGCACTCAAACTGTTTATAAAGAATATTCGATAAAAATATATTGTTTTCTTTTCCTAAAAGGGAAGGTTTTTCGAAAATCAAGACCAACATTTCCTATCCCAAATTCGGGCTATGGATGCTTTAAAGTAGATTCTAGGTTGATCCCTAACCGTGAACATATCTCGAATCTAACCATAAACCACTACATCAGTGCAATAATGGTTCAAACAAGATCTAAGGGTAAATCTGCAGCCAAAAAAAGCAGCTCAGTCAGGACCAGAGCAGTCTCAAGGAAACCAAACGCCTCAATTCCGTCAAAGCGCAATTGCCCACCCCAATTCAGGCGTTTGGTTGATCCTCAATTCGCAGGCCCATCAACGCCCACGTATAAACAGTCAAATACAAGTGACATGGCACCAGAGGAAATTGACATGCTACTTTATGACATAAAGCCGAACTTCGATCACATTCGCAAAACTATGGGTTTAGTGAGTGGTGAAGTAAAATCTTGACTCCTGACTGAACCCCCATCCCAGCACAAAGCGAACTTCACCCTCAAAGTATTAATGTGAGAGGTTAACATATATCTCGAACATAAATCCTAACACCATCACAGGCTTACCACCATTCCTGACTCGGGTATTCGATTCTGTTGCCATGAGAAACACGGTTTCGTAATTTACGACAAGAAGCTAGTGAGAAACCTTAGATGACTTTGAATGTTCTAACTTCAACCAGCTCGTCCCGATGCTGGAAATATATGCCCGTCTGAGCTCAAAAATTTCAGCATGCCTAAACTCATTTATGAGAAGTAGTCAGAGTAACTTCACTGTCAAATGTCAGTGTCCGAACATGGTTGATCAGAATTCTTTGTGCCTAAGTAAACGCATGCTGTTTTACAAGTTCCGCCAACCCTTCAATGGCAATTACAATGTAAGATTTTATGGCGCTTTTGCAGGTGTGAGTCAGCTGACATCTAGATTTAGGACTTCTTCGAACAGGACCTAGTAAGAAGTGCTGTTGAGGAAAGAAATAGCATAAAGCCGGCATCATGGATTTTTAAGGAAGCGTATAAGGACATTGCGAAGAAGCAAGGTTTTGTCTTTGAAATGAAAAGTGAAGACGAGACTAGTAGTACTAGCAGCGACGAAATTATTCCAAAGCGTAAGATATCCGCAAACTTTCCAATTGGAACATCGCAGATAATGTTGAAGTTATACAAGGTTTAGTGCAAATTGGTGAAAAGAATCAGCAGCGAATTTTGTGAGGCTTAGCAAGACCTCATCGAGGTAGTGTGAAGGTTGGTGAATGCGTTGAAACGGCGCTCAAAGAGCAATTTATTACATATGGCTATATAATATATAATATATTACTTCTGTAACATTTCTTATTCTTATTCCATGTTAAATACGTGCTTTTTATTTAGTAATGTTGATTGTAGCAGCGATTAAGGACAAATCTCGAAAGAAACTTTTGCTTGAAGTGAGCTTCAGTGTAATCCATCAAAATGGAAGTTGTGAATTCTCTAGTTCTTACATGCAAGTTCGAGGACAGCTGGCAAAATATCGTCCTAAACGTCACATATTGATCCCGAATTTGATTGAAAAAGTCAAGTCGTAGGTTAAGAAAGTGAAGCATTCTGCATCTTTTTTGAACCAATAGTTTACGAGCAATTATAGAACTTACTAGGCGGGAAATATCGCAGGCCTGGCAATAACCTTAATATATCTGATGCGTAACGCAAAACCATTTGATGTCCTTTAAACAGCAGAGTCTGATGCGAACAGAGAATACGCTCTGAACAACGTTAAAAACTATCACTTCGATTTGTTGGAGGAAAAAAGTAACTCTCCGAGGTGGGCTCGAACCACCAACCTCCCGATTAACAGTCGGACGCGCTAGCCAATTGCGCCATCGGAGATGTTTTTGAATGATTCTGGCTAAATATAATATTAAGAAATTCTAGATGAAATCTTAATAAAAAGTAAAAACTCATTTTCGTCCCACGACTAAATATTACCGTTACCGCTTCCGACTGATTGATTTACCTTAATGCAGTGCGTGTGGCTCAGAGGACACCATCTCACATAGAATCTTCCTCTGCAAAAGACATATAATGTCCAGAATCACATTGAGAAGAAAGATTACCAACATCAATATTCAGTTCGAATTAGGTCCAATACTCAGAAACGCACACTCTCTACAAGTCCTTTGCGAGTTCTTCAAACCGCAATTGACTACATACTAAAGATACTCCGCTGGTACAAAATAATTAAGAACCACTAACAATATATAATTTACGACGCTAGTCAAGAAACGCTTCCAGTAAGTTCAGCACTCCCTTTGACTCCTCATGCTTTAAGAAGTATTATTGGTAAACGCAGTTTAAACAATTTATCGTCTAAACAATGTATTCAGATTTCATCATCATCATCATAAAATTATTTTTGAGGATGCAATAAAAGAAAATCTTTACACTGATGGTCTTCAAGAGCTCTTCATCAGACAACGTAAATACAAAACACGTGCATACTGTGGAAAGAGTCCTCCTAGTGACGTCATAGGTGAAATTCATTCATGATGCAATTTGAAAGCCATTGGAGTGAGAAACCTAGCTCTCTACAACTCACACAATCACCAACATTATGGCAAAACTAACTCCTTCATCAACTATCAAGCTGAATAATGGTGCTCAGCATCCCGTTATCGGACTAGGGACATATTTACTCAAAGACAGTGCATCTATAGCACAAGCGATAAACACAGGCTACAAGGCACTAGATACGGCCTGCTTTTACCACAATCACAAGGAATTTGGCAAAGGAGTGCGTGATTCTGGAGTACCACGTGAGAGTCTATACCTCATTTCCAAAGTAGATCCATGGACTGGGACAGTGCGCAATGCACGACAATCTATCCTGCAGTCGCTACAAGATGCGCAGGTCGGCTATTGGGACCTAGTTTTGGTCCACTCGCCAAGCGGCGGGAAGAGTGTGAGAATGGGTGCGTATCAGGAGCTTTCGACATTAGTGGAAGAGGGCAAAATACGCTCATTGGGAGTGTCAAATTATGGAGTTAAACACATCGAGGAGTTGCTCAACTCGAAACCTAAATACACACCGGTGGTTAATCAGGTAGAGGTCCACACTATGCATTCTAACAGTGAGGTCGTGGAGTGGTGTAAGAAGCAGGGTATCCTCGTACAGGCTTACTGTCCACTAGCGAGATGTAGGTCGTTGAAAGATGAGAGGATTGGGAGCGTCGCTGAGAAGCACGGCGCTACGAATGCACAAGTGATGCTGGCGTGGTTGATCGGTAGGGGTTTGGTGCCCCTGCCAAAATCAGGCAACAAAGAAAGACAACAAGACAATTTACAGAGCTTAAAAGTGGAATTAAGCGATGAGGATAATGCGCTACTAAACGGCTTAGACATGGAAATGGACGTAGATGGGCAATTTATGATACAAAGTATGTGACAAACGATGCAAATAGGTATAAAGTAAAATTATCAGAGTCAGTCTATAGATGTCTCAAGTAGCTTTTTCGTGTAAGAGTCTAATTCGGATTGATTGATGACGAGATTAAAGTCGTTGAGGAGGAGGAAGTGTAGTTCTAGTTGATTGAGTTCAGAGAGCGGGAGACCACCGACCTGTGTTATGAGTGAGTGAGTGTATGATCAAGAGAAGGATACCCACCTTTGCATACCTCGAGTTGGTGTAAAATATGTCAGAGAAGAATTTGGAGGACACGGTGATCCCAGCAATAATCAGCCTGTGGATATTGTAGCTGTTGATTGTGAAAAGAGAAGACAGCAATTTCATTCTATCAAAGTATATGATGAGGCTGATAAATACTTCATTCGTAGAAGGGCAGTACCTGAGTATTCTAACGAGGTAATTATGTATGCTGATCGAAGGAATGGATTTTGCTTGGAAGAGTTGGAGAGTGGACGGATTGTTGAGTGAGGAAGAGCATGCTTGGGTGTGTGGGTGGTGGTGTTGTGTTTGTGTTTGTACTGGTGGCTGTGGTTGCTCCTGCTGAGCCTGCCCCCGCTGTCCCCGCTGTTGTCCCCGCTGAGGCTGAAATTGAGAGTGAAAACCCCGCTCATCTTCCTGTTCCTCATCCAGTACCTGATCGCCAATGCCATTTAAAATGAATTTCGAAATGAATAAAATCAAATTATTGGTGTCCATATCCATCGTAACGACGTTGAGTGAGGGACTCAAAGGGAGCAAACTCGCAAACTCGAATACGCGGTGAAATAGGAAATCGAGTAAATGAATGAATTTTAAAAATTTATTCTATTTGAAGGGTGAGATATTATTGGAGATATGCGTACCCAGCTCTAATCAAATCCAACTAGACAAATCTCCATCGGCGTTGCAGACTAAATTATATTTCTATAGCGTGATTAATAATCTTAGCAATATCAGGACACCCTTACACGCGTTACAAGCCATAAATCACAATCATCTCAACAACTTTGAACGAAGAAGACTGTTCAAGGCGTCTACCAAGCTTAGACCTATAAACTCGCACTGTATTCAACTAAGTACAAAGCTATATAACAATTTAGAGAACCCCAATAGAAAGGATTTAAACGATTTGATTACTCAGAGAAGCTTTGGGTGTGTTGATCACCCTGTTGACCTCTTTGATAACTCTTCACCGAGTAATTTGATTGAATTGCTTAAATTGGCTGAAAAGTTACCCAATAAGACACTCTACAATCAAGTATACGCAAAGTTACAACACTTGGGCTTGGAATTTGATTATAACGTCGTCGTCATACACTTGTTTCACTCTTCAAACAAGTTTGGCTACTTAAATAGGTTATTTAAGCATATAAACTATGCTCACTACGATGATGGTCAACTACGGCACATATTGTTCAAGCTTATTTCCTTATTACTTGATGGTCAGTTGTCTTCTCACGGCAACAACCTCTATGACGCTATAGCTTTACTTGATGAGTGGAATAGAGCTTTCTTTGGCTTATTAGGTGTGACGAAGAACACTACCCATCCCATTTTCTCTCTTTCCAATTACAACGGCCTCCCTCAACTCAACAGACCACTCGCCCCTGCTTACCTCGTTATTATGCAAAGAGCAGCTCAATTAGGTTATCTTTCCTTATGTTTCGAAATGTTGCACCATCTAGTAGACCAGAACGCCCTAATAGACAAGTTGGCTAGTGAGGAGAGTGAAAGATCGCGAATGCGAGCCCGCCTGTCCACGTTCCAACCGCTCGCTGTACCCCTCAATACCTACATCACCCTCTATCAAGCATGCAAGACTACGACTGACCAAACTATTGACCAGCGGCGGCATCTTCTCCAGCAGTTGCACACATACTTCATCGCCCAGCCCTCGTTCGCAGTCATAAAAGGGCGCGATACCGTGCTCCTCCACACCAAGTCGGCTGCGGCACCGTCTCCAAATCAAGTCCTACTCATTTTGTCCACCTTTCTCACCGTCACTGAGGACATCGGCAAAGTGCTGCGCGTGTGGCAGGAGCTGCGCGTCAAGTTCCGCAAGTGCAGTGGGTGGAATAGAGTGGAGCGATTCAGTGCCATCAGGAAGGTCATTTTCGACTGCAGGGATGAGCTACAGAAGGAGAGTAAGAAAAGCAAAGATGGAATAGACAGTAAGGACAGCAAGGATAATGCTTGGAGTGATATTGATCACGAGCAGGCTATACAAAGACGGAAACACCCGGAAATACCCAAAACACACCCACAACACATCACACCCAACCAACCAATATAAAAAGCAGCATTTACTAGACCATCCAAGTTAACTCCACCACGTGTATTTATACATGCTGTACCACTAATTTATATATTTTGCATCCATCCACAAAGCCCATAAGCGCGTATGTTATCTCCGCTCCAACCACCACCACCCAAAAACGGAAAATGAGCACGTATCTCAGCGTAAGGTCGCCCATGAAGAATCCCGCACATACATTCAAGCCGCGTCGGGCGGTAGAAGGCACGAAGCAGTTCCAGGTGTGTCTGGAGTAATAGTGAGGCAATAGCGACGACACTCACACCGACACGCAACAGCTCAAGAAATACGCAGAGGCTACGCTCGGTTCCGGAAATCTCCGAGAGGCCGTCAAGCTCCCTTCTGGCGAAGACAGCGATGAGTGGATAGCAGTGCACTCTGTCGATTTCTTCAACCACCTCAACATGCTGTATGGCTGTGTGAGCGATTTCTGCACAGTCAAGAATGTGAGGCATCTTTTTCTAGTCGTGGCGTTTTGCTCACTGCCCTACTCTACACTTCAGTGTCCTATCATGTCCGCGGGTCCGCGCTACGAATACCAGTGGGCTCAGCCTAGCTATGGCGCTGGAGCTCAGACAGGCGCACCTAAACGCCTCACTCGTCTCTCTGCTCCGGAGTACGTCGATAATTTGCTCGGTTGGATCCAGAGCATCATCGATCACGAAGCCTACTTCCCTTCGAAGCTCGGCGTGCCTTTCCCTCGTAACTTCTCGAGCGTTGCGAAGGATGTTTTCAGGAGGCTTTTCAGAGTCTATGCGCATATATACAACTCTCACTTTGAAATTATGGTCGCTCTGGGGATTGAAGGTGTGTTTGAGTATCCTAGATAGAGGGAGCGCTGACGCGTGGTATATACTAGCCCACCTCAATACCAACTATAGACATTTTCTGCTATTCATTAATGAGGTAAGCGCGTGGTTTCGCATGTGTCTCACTTAAACTCACTCCCACTCCAGTTCAGACTCGTAGACGCAAAAGAGCTCGCCCCGCTGGCTGACTTTAACCAGTCTATTCTTAAGTAGGTTAGGTGCTTTGAGCCGCTCCCTGTCCAAGTTGACCATTATATTGCAGCGATTGATCATAGCAACCTTGTTCGTATATCACACTATCTCACATGGATCATATCGCACGCTCTAGCTCACACAGTCCTGGCTTAATATTCACTCTCATTCTCCTACATTAACTCAGCGCTATTTATTTGTTCATATATACACCATTCATCTGTAATCAACACTGAAAATGCAATACAAGAAAGAACTTGTAGTCTCTAGCAAGAAAAAGTGGAGCTGTCACAATTTCTTCAACATATGTGATAAATCAATCTATTAACTTAAAGAAAATCACAAATACTGAGACATTAAAATTAGTCTTTCACCCGTGATATCATTTCATACCATGGTATCATAGTCCTTGAAAACGTCATGAGAAGGCTGTGCTGTGGAGTGTAGCCGTTGTCTTCGTTTGTTATCGTTTTCGTCGTAACCATAGTTGAGGGTGGTGTCTTCAAGTGTGGAGAGTATGAGATTGTTGATGTGTTTGTGAATTTCCCAAAGCCCTAATACCTGCTATAGTCTAGTGCGTTGAATAGAACGTTAGGGGGCTTGCTTTGCGTGTCGTCGTGGGCCCTGTTTCGGGGTCAAAAATGAAAGTCTATTGGAGAAATGTTGGCAGGGGCAGATGTAAATCTATGTGAGATAGAGATGCTATTGTAGATACTGTAGGTGAAAGAGCCGTTTCGTATGGATTGAAGTTGCTGAGTTGAAAGTCTATGAGATCCGAGGCAGTGGCAGTGGCAGTAGCAGTAGTTTCAGTAGTATTTGTAGAGGCGAACGAGGCTTGTTAATTTGAAAGCTTTTATGAGCGCTGGCATAGTTTTGAAACCACGGATGCAATTAGCCAAGTTAGTTACGGTGTAAAAGCCTATTCACCACGCTTATTAAAGGCATTGACAAGCAAGAGTCCGGCAATAATAGTGAATAGCGTTGTCTATACAAAAAGATTGGAGATGTGAGGTCTAGAGGAGATCGAGCCAAGTTACATAAAAAGAAAGATATGATGGGATATGTTGTGACGAGGTCTCTCCTACTTCCATCCTCAAATTTGCGCTAAGATGAAGATCAAGCGCGCGGATAGATAAGGAGATTGGCGCGGGTAATGTTCGACATTTGTAACCTGCGAAGTGTGAGATGGGTTGAGAGGGCACAAGCTGTGGTAATAAATAAGCTGGAATCATTGGGCACGTATTTAGCTATTTTAAGACTGAGTACTTTCCAGCTGCTTGAAAATTTACATTTAAAGCGGCATCAAAGGATCACAACTCATCAAACTTTACCCCAAATGTATTCTAAAAAGTATAACCGCATTTCATTGTAACTGGTGGTGCAGGTTTGGTTGGGTTGGGTTTCATGTCTGAGGCATTTTACAGACGCCAACAAATACTCGGACGCGGCAGCCTTGACGAAGAGAATCAGTTAATACGCTTAAAAAAAGCCTGCGTGATTCATGCAGAATCACACAAATCCCTTTGTAAACATTCCTCCTGATTCTTATTTTCACACATGATACACGCCACTATCACCTACATATTGAACTATTTCCAGCATAAAATTTCAAATCAAAGGCGTCTCGCTGCTTTTTGCTGCTTTAGCAGGTGTTTGAACTACACGGTAAACGATATGGACGGATGGCGAATGGCAATTTAGAACCCACAAACGCCGCAGAGTCCGAATAAGATACATTGTAATTAAATCCCTCAATTTGTCTTAATATCGATGCATTATGTAGTATACAACGAGAGCTCTTTGAGTCAGTATGACAGGCCAATTTTTCTCTAGTGGTGCGGAATAAAAGGCAATCAGTGTTATTACGGGTACATAATAGTAATTAATACCACTTTTCCAGCCATTGAATTGAACAAACGCATATCATGGTGATAGCTTGGTGAAACCGTCCGATGCGCGGCTATACAGTCATCGTAGTTCTTCGACTCATTGGACCTATAATAAGTCACGTAGTCTTGATGGCATTACTAAAATACCCCGCCAATTGCTACCGTTGAAAGTTACAGTCTTTTTGAAAGAAGAGTGCCTCATTGATTACCAATCCCTCTTCAAAGCAATTGTTATATGGTCAGTGAGTAAAATACATGATGGCAAATGATATCTGCTTCGACCCTGGCATCGATTGTGTAATGTAGGTCAGTATGGTGAGGTATATATGTCCAAAGAACGCTGATCGAAGAGTGTGGGGAATGACATTTGAGGCCGCAGCTACCCACATCAAACGGGTCCAATGAAGCACCAACAATCTCCAACAAATTTTTGCCGAAAAATTCCGGTTTTAGTAAGCGAGGCCAAAACGAGGGTGCTACTGAGTGAAAATGGGGTGCTGCACGAAATTACTGCGCGAATGAGCTTTATTCCTTTCAAACCAACGCTGACAATCTAATGTACAAATATCTCAAATCTTAATGAAACCAACAAGTTCAAAACACAGGCTAGACATGTAAAAACAGCGGACTATCTTGATTTGAAAAGACTTGATAGGCTTCCTGACAGAAAAGCGGGATTTGAATCGGAATTTTACATAATTCTTTCATACACATCGGCACTAGAATCTTTCTTAGCCTTCAACTTTCATGATTCCAACGACTGTGAACCCGTCGGGAACCTATCTCTTTCATCCGCATGGCGACGATGATTATGAGATATTCGTTATTAAGCCCGGTGAGGAGAGCAGTGCTAGTTTGGTAGACAGGTTTCCCGTCATCCGCACCAACATCGGTTTCGTTAGTAGCAAGATAGAGGTGTATTCCAACGTAGAGGGCAAAGTGATCAGCTCGACTAAAAGGGGAAAGCGCTTCACTGGCAAATCCTCAGTTGAAATCACTGTTCAGGGACTTACAAGTTCTCTTGACAGAGAGAGCAGATGGGGCACAGCTAACCGTTTATTTGTCCTCTACAATGGCACTTGCTGTCGCGCTATCACAGAAGGGAAGAACGTAAGCATTGTCAGCATGGCCACGGGCAGAGTGTTGGCTGCGTATCGTAACAGCAGCAGGTCTTCAAAGAAAGACGGTATACTGACAATGCACGCGCTCGGTGTTGACAACAAATCCTGCAATCTGATTATCACAGTCGTCCTGCTGGTAAGTCGTAGCTCTTTATACTGAACGCTGCTAACTCAATACAGATGGTTAAGTTCATCCGCGATGCCGGGGACTATGAAGAGGATTATAGGAGCGATTAAAAGCCGCAGAGAGGCAAAATCTCAGCGATTTCAAAACGGAATCTGTATCATATTGTATTTGAGAATCCGAATAAACTAGAGCCCAATTAATAATTCTATTCCCTGCTTTAAATACTCTTGTTCCAACACCGCCAACATTGAATGGCAAGCGTTGTACCTCAAAGCGGTACAGAGAAGGCAGTTTTAGATGCCAACACGGAGCCCGGCAACGCCACAGAATCTAGCAAACCGGAGAATACTGATGATGATATCATTATATCACAGGACTGCAACGCTCCGACTGGCGTCTCCATTTTACAGCTCTGGAAATACTCGACAAAACTCGAGGCTTTTCTTATCATAATTGGGTTGATCAGCGCTGCTGGTGCCGGCGCCATCCAGCCATCCCTCGCGATCATGTTTGGAAATTTAGTGGATGTTATGAACGACTTTTATTCTTACGTGCCAACGTATCAGTCAGATCCCACGAACCCCGTCCTTAGATTGGAGTTTGAGAGTAGAAAAACTACCTTCAAGGATGGCGTGGACTACAACTGCTTAATGCTTCTCGTTATCACTATCTGCATGTTTATAGCCGTCTATGGCTTCTTTTACATCAGCCAGTATACTTCTGAAACCATCTCTCGTCGACTTCGCCTCTTATATCTTCGCTCAGTCTTGCGTCAGGACATTGCTTTCTTCGATAGGATAGGAGCCGGCGAGATAGCCACCAGGATTGAGACGGACATGGCCTTGATCCAGAGCGCCATTTCTGAAAAATCAAACTTGGCAGTTATGTTCCTGTCTAGTTTCGTAGTGGCTTTCATCATAGCATTCAGTATACAAGCGCGTCTGGCTGGTATCTTATTCATCGTAGTCCCGTGCATTGCGATTGCTATGGTGGTTATTATAATTTTCATTACAAAGTATGAAGAGAAAGGTCTCCAGAACATCGCTGATTCAGGTACACTAGCCGAGGAAGTTATTTCTACAATACGCACAGCGAAGGCTTTCAGTATACAGACTGCATTGGGTTTATTGTATGATGATCATCTCAAGGCAGCTCGCAGAGAAGGGTTCAAGCTGGCCACCGTCACGGCTGTTGGATTCTCGTCCTTCGATTTCATGGCTTACTCAGCATATGCTCTGGCTTTTGTGGTATTCGCGCATTTACTTCTGAATGGTGGGCTGTCAGACTCGCTATCAGCTCCTCTAACACAGCTCAATAGGCACGTCCGTCGGCCAATTGATATCAGTAGTTGAGGCAATCATAGTTGGTGCGTTTGGACTAGGCATGGTTGCCCCACAATTACAGATCATCGCTAAAGGACAAGCTGCCGCGGCCAAGATCTACGAAACGATTGATAGGGTGCCGTCGATCGACAGTGAATCGGAAGATGGCATCAAACCTGCGTCTGTGAACGGAAGTATTACATTTCACCATATTAATTTCGCGTATCCTTCACGACCAGGTGTACAAGTGATGAAGGATTTTAACGCTACTTTTCCTCCGGGACAGTTTACAGCACTTGTTGGTGCGTCTGGAAGTGGAAAAAGTACATCAGTAAACCTCATTGAGCGCTTCTACGATCCCCTTTCCGGCACCGTCAAGCTCGATGGTCACGATTTAAAGGACCTCAATGTCAAGTGGCTTCGCAGCAAGATCGGTCTGGTTGGCCAGGAGCCTGTTCTTTTCAACGATACCGTACGCGCTAATGTTGAACATGGCCTGATCGGTACAGATATGGAGTACTTCTCGGATCAACAGCGACTGGAATTGGTTGTTAGAGCCTGTCAAACAGCTAATGCAGACAACTTTATTCAAACTCTACCCTCCAAGTACAATAACACGGTCGGTGAGCGCGGTATGCTCTTGTCGGGAGGACAAAAGCAGCGACTTGCCATTGCTCGTGCTATCGTATCAAATCCCCCTATTCTACTGCTGGATGAGGCTACTGCTGCTCTTGATTCGGCTTCTGAATCCATCGTCCAAAAGGCACTCGATCAGGCTTCCCAGAACCGTACGACGGTGGCCATTGCACACCGTCTCTCGACTATCAAGAATGCGCATCAGATTATCGTGATGGGTAGTGGCAAAATCCTGGAAGTTGGCAATCACTATTCCCTCACTTCTAATCCGCAAAGTGCATACCTGCAGCTTGTCAACGCTCAGCAACTCGCAGAGAGCACTGAGGATAGTGAAGCAGGGGTAGCTGAGCATGTAGAGGTGCCTACAAAAGATGAAAATAGGAGTGTTAAATCCAAACAACTTTCGATCGCCTCGGAAATTTTACGCGATGGCGAAAGCGTCCCTGAGAAGGTAATCAATAAGTACTCATGGACGCACGTCCTCAGTTCCCTTGTTAAGATAAATCGGAGTGCTTGGCCGCTATATGTGATTGGCACATCAGCTGCGATCTGCAGTGGCGCTGCCTTTCCTTGCTTCGGTATAATATTTGGTAAAACCCTACAAGAGATTAGTGAAAGAACACCTGGCGACCCGGACTATCAATCCTACATCAAGTCCCATTTAGATCGTGATGCTCTATGGTTCTTTGTAAGTTATATCGAGTGTGTAAACCACCTTCTAACATCCAATCAGGTCATCGCTCTGGGTGCTGGTGTTGCTCTCGTAATTCAGACTTACTGCATGCAAAGGTCCGGAGAAATGCTCACTTTCATCCTGCGACATGAGTCGTTCAAGAAGCTTCTGCACATCGATGTTGATTATTTTGATCGTAAAGAAAATAACACGGGTGTGTTGTGTTCTGGTTTAGCAAGTAACGCTAAGTCAGTGAATGGTTTGGCTGGTATTTCAAGTGGTAGTATTCTTCAATGTCTCGCAACAGTTATAATAGGCGCTGCTGTCGGCATCGGTTACTCATACAAAATTGGGTTGGTGGGCGTAGCTTGCCTGCCTCTCACATTTGCCGCCGGTCTCACCGAGCTGAAAATAGTCACTCTGAAAGATAAGCATTCAAGAGAGAGCTACGAAGAGTCTTCGAATATGGCTTGCGAGTCTGCTGGTGCAATAAGAACCGTAGCCGCACTCACAAGAGAGGATCAGATTGTGAGCCACTACGGTAATCTCCTCCTCAAGCCATACAATACGGCAATAAGATCTGCGCTATGGAGAAGCGCCGTTTTTGCACTTGGACAGGCATTGAGTTACGGTTCTATCGCACTTATCTTCTATTGCGGCTCGCTTTGGCTTATGGACCTCACTCTTGATCTTCAATCATTTTACGTAAGTCTGGAAAGTATAATTTTCGCAGCCATTTTGTCTTCACGTATATTCACGTACGTACCGGATTTAAGTAGTGCTAGAGGAGGTGCGACTCGCATTCTGAGGCTGTTGAAACATCAAGACAAGATAGAAATTGATAGTGCCAATTATAGCGGCAAGCACCTCGATACTGTTGAAGGTCACGTCACATTTGATGATGTGCATTTCAGGTATCCAACTCGCCCAGATGTACCGGTCTTACGTTCACTCGATCTGGACATCAAGCCGGGCAGTTATGTGGCATTGGTGGGGCCTAGTGGATGTGGAAAGAGTACTACCATACAGCTCATCGAGCGCTTTTACGATCCAACATACGGCTCTGTCAAGCTAGATGGACTAGAATTGCGCGACATCAATCTCAACAATCTCAGATCTCACATGGCACTCGTCTCTCAGGAGCCTACGCTCTACGGAGGCACTGTCAAATACAATATTGCAATGGGAGCAACCAAACCACATGAGGAGGTCACACAAGAGGAGCTGAAAGAAGCCTGTGCAGATGCCAACATTCTCGACTTTGTACAAGGTTTGCCGGATGGATTCGAGACGCAGGTCGGTGGTAAAGGTACGCAACTATCGGGAGGTCAAAAGCAGCGTATCGCTATCGCCAGAGCTCTCATACGAAAACCAAAGATCCTCCTGCTCGACGAGGCTACGAGTGCACTCGACCAGAATAGTGAGGCGGTTGTACAGGCCGCGTTGGATAAGGTGGCGTCGGGTAGGACTACGATAGCTATCGCTCATCGTCTCTCAACTATCCAGAAGGCGGATAGGATATACGTCTTCAAGGATGGGATGGTCAGTCAAGCTGGAACCCATAAGGAGCTGATCGAGGAGAGGGGTGGACTTTATGCAGAGCTCGTCGCTCTTCAAACGCTTTCCAAGCGTAGTGAGTAAATTGCTGGCATTCAACACACAAATCTGCATTTTTTCAATCTAAAAGCACTTCTCATTAAGAAAGAAAATCACTTGTAAATCTATGTATTTGGTATTTATTGCATTGCGAAAATAACTATTAAACGTACTACTTTGATTTGGCGGTCTCAAGCTGCGGTGTGTGAGTTGATTATACGGGTTTGGCAATGCTTCACTCACGAAAGACACAACGGCATCAAAGTCACCTTCTTCACCTACAGCGGGTGTACTACCACCGCTTTCATCACTTCTAGATACAGGCTGCGATTCCTCGCCGGCCTTTTTTGAGGCAGACCAGCCGAATAGCATCTCGTCGAGCCATTGAAACGTGGACAGGTTGGATTGCTGTTCTGACGAAATCAATGAGGGTTGCTCTTTTGCGACTACACGCTTGCTTTCGAAGTTCTCTATCTGCTTAGGGCCGTACTCCTCGACTAAGGGAAGCGTTAGCATTAGCCAAACCACAACTACACTACACCCACTTATATCGTTCAGCTCCTTCGATAAGCTTGCCCGTGTGCTCTTTAGCTTCTGAATCTCATTCTCGTTTCCAGGGATCAGCGAGAGGAACAATGGTGGAAGGCTTTTATAAATATCCATACCAACTTCACCGAATTTGAGCGCAGACATACCCAAGCACGGCAGCAGGGCGAGGGTCCACAGCGGTGTCCACGTGATAGTACTACTGCTAAGCTGCCAAGACTCTCCATAACGCCTCGCAGCCAAAGTGGCGGAAGTGATATAAAAACAGTAGAGAAGCGGTATAAGTGCGAGCGACACAAGTACTTTCCAAGTACCTATTACATCACGCGCTTTAACTTTAACTGTGGAGGCTGCCAATGCTTCTTTTGCTTTGGCTTTGGATATTGACTTGGCAACGAAAAAGACAGGTAAATGGAGCACAGCGCCAGGGAGGGCCAGAGCGCCCCAAACCATGAGTAGCTCAATGCGATAGAATAGTAACGTAGCAGATTTCAATGGCGATCTTGCAGCAGAGTCAACCTGGATTACGTGTAAGATAAGTCTAATCATGCGATCGTACCCACCTGATGGTCTCTAATTCCAAGATCCTTTAATCTCCTGTTGTACCTCAAAACCTTTGCCTTAAGTTGTTGTATCTTAGGCTCATCTTTGTAATCCAAGTAGCCTGCGATAAGCCTTCTGTTTAGCTCTACGACTTCTCCGAGCGGCGGATGATAACCTGGAGGGCTGTAAAGTCTCCTCCCGGCTTGTATAAGCATCAAAGTTTCATAGTCTGGCGCACGCACGGTGACAGTTTTGAGACCGTCGTAGATAATGTTGAGGAGGCTTGAACATGCCAACCGCTTGTCGCTTCCACCTTTGCTAAAGAGATGTACAAGATCACGTGGTACGGTTCTTGGAGTACCAAACTCGATCACAGCTCTCGAGCGGAACTTATGGGCATTGAAGTACGACATGCCAACGGGAACAATTTTGACCTCTAGATTGGGGTTCTTGGACATGGCGCCAAGAGCCATGATGCTGACACCAGCCTTTAATGGCAGGAGATCGGTCTTGTCGTGTGAGCCGCCTTCTGGGAATATACCAATGCAACCACCATCTTCCAAACGATCATAAACAGCTTTGTACATGGAGTGTTGATCGATGTGGGGCATGACTTTATATTTGATGGCCTGGGTGGTGGTGGTGGGATTGATAGCTTTGAGAGCACTTATGGCTTGTGGTTTGCTGAGATCCTTTTTCAAGATAAGGTGGGAGTCGTTGAGGATGTCCACCACCTCGGCAGAAGCTCCACCAAGGGAGGAAGGGAGGGCTATAGACATGTTTGGGGAGAGCTGGCGAGTGAATTGAGTGCCGATGCCGAATATGTGGGTTGTGGGGGCAGAATGAGACATGTAGATAGAGCCAATGCCGGATTTTGCAGCGTCTGCAGCGCGCTTTACGGGGATAGATTCCATTGCTCTAGCCATGTCACCTATAAAGAATCTGTGCATGCTCTTACTCGCAACCAAGAAGGACAGCTTCCTGTTGGACGCTCTGAGGACTTCTGAGCAGAGGATAATACCATCTAAGAATTGATTGTGATGTGGGCCAGCGACGAAGATAACAGGCGTTGGCTGTGGAGGAATGTTGTAAATGCCTCGGCTGACGACCTCTCTAAAGAATATGTATATGATAGTTCTCCAAAGTTTGGTTGCAAGGTTGTAGCCATCCAGCTGCTTAATGAGGAATACGATTATTATTATCAATCCCACGACAATACTCATCATACTGACGCAAGTAGATAAGAACGTCAGCAATATTATTTATAAGAAAATTTTCAAGATAAATAATTAATATTCACATTAATTTATTTATTTAAAATTTATGTTCACACTTTCCACGTCTTCTTCATCCAAATCAGCTCTTGCCCAGCTAATAGAAATTTCTCTGAGTCTACTACGTAACCAAAGCGTAAATACATTTTATGGGCTTTGTAGTTCGCTCTAATTCTCATGTACGCCGTGCTGCTATGCTTTCTCACCATTTCTGCTGTGTATTCTTCGCAGTACTTGATTAGCCCACCAGCAACCCCTCGTCCTCTGCCCGCAGGACTAACCGCGAGCCACCAAAATCTGCCTCCTTGAGAATCTTTGAAGAGCTCCCTTGCCGAATTCTCGGTTTGAGGATTGAGTGTTGATGAAGGTGGCAGATTGTCCAAGTCCTGGGGGAGTGGTGTAAATCTGCAAGATCCAACTGGCGTGCCACTATAATCAGTTGCTAATATCTGTAATGCTTGATTGTCAAGCCTGAGATCACTCTAAGTACCTCATCAAGTGCTCTTACCCACAAACTCACGGATAAAGGACTAATTCTTCCTTTGAATATCCATACTCTTCCACGAATGCTGATTCCCTCACTTTGATTGCGTCCTGCAATTCCTCCTGCTTCGTGCAGATTTTTATGTTTAATCGACGAGACATTACAAACACAAGTCTACAATCAACCAAATCTTCTCACTCCTCGGCCCTTCGGCTCCTTGCCGATCACAGGTCTCGCAGTCAGGGCAGCACACCTTATGACGCTATTAGTATGTCTTAGATTACATGTCAAAACACCCCTCAAAAGGCTTCTTCATTCTCATCGGGTTGGCGATACCCTTCTGTTTGTGAGAATACTGTTGGCGTTTCCGCTTCCATTTCCACTTCACCTTCTCCTGCTCCTGCTTCTCCTTCTCCTGGTGCATACAGTGACTGAGGCTTCGAACCGAACAGCGTGCTTATCCTGTTCAAACTCTTTTCATCTAGCGATGTTCTACGTTCATTCTGCGCCGATGACATTGATGATCTTGATCGCGGTGCAGCAGGCGATGGTGATACAGCAGCTGAGTGTGCTGAGACTAGTTAGTATATCCCTCTCAACCACCCATTAATATCACTCACTCGTTTTAGGTGGTGCAGGTGAAGTCACACTCGCTCGCTCCTCTTCCTCCATGCTAAGCCTCCGCCACACCCTTTTGATGTACGAGTTGAATACATCCCCTAAATCTCCCAGCTGCTTGTCAATACGCGCTTGTTTTTCTGGATGCTCCTTTTGAAACACGTAGAGATCAGTAATCCCTTCCTTGTTCGTCGTTGATTCCGATATTTTATCGAATATCTTCCGCAGACGCTCATTCACTCCGTAATCTTCTACAGAAATTTGCGAGTCTCTGAAATTGTTTGCAGTGGACGATACCTGCGGAACGTTCTTAATACCTAATCCCATACCACCCTCGACTGCACTTGGTGGACCTCTATTGAGCAGTCTGTATAGGTAAGTGTATACAATTGAGTCTTCTGGATTAGATACCAGATCTAACTTCTCATACACCTTGTCATCGTACACAGCTTGATTTAAGTCAGCTCGATTAGCACTATGTACCACGAAAATTGCACTCACCAACCAAACTCTGTATAATAGTCTTGACAGTGCGCAGAGGCATGTCTCCAAGAGCAATCTCGTCACTGGCTCTACTACGCCACTCAGCTGGTGGTATCTTCTGCAAGAACTGTTCGAGTGTGTAAAGTAACACGCTGGGATCAAGACGAGCAGCCTCCAAGTCATCTTTGACATTTCTTGCCGTCTTCCATACACACTTGAGAACCAATTCAGGCAGCTTCGCTTCGGCACTCTCGTTGCGCACCTTCAAGTTGTGAAGGTTGATCGTGGCAGCTGACAGAAGATCAAATAGAGCGCTGAATATGGCTGTGAGATCGCCATGAGTGAATAACCTGAGTAAAAGCATGTTGATGAATCTAGATAAGTCTTTCAGTGAAGAGCTTTCCGCTGTTTGCAATAATCTAGTCGTCAGCTCCTCCAACAGCAGTCTTATCGAATCACTCGAAAGTGTGGCAGCTATCGTGGGCGAGTCAACCGTTGCATTAAGCGTCTGTATAAGGTGTTTTGCCAATCTGAAGACGTTCGGCACCATCTCCTCTCTAAGCGTTTCAAACGTGTTAAACATCTGTTCAGACTTCATGTCAGCAATCATTCATTTTCACTCCAAACACTCACCTGTGTTGTGATATTCGTTACCAATCGGTCAGCTTGCCTGACTAGCTCATCGGATGGACTTTCCAACTTGCGCTGAATAACCTTGAGCGAGTCGACACTCCTCTCTGGTTCATTTGACAATATCCCGGCGATTGGATCGGCTGGAGGCTGGTTACTTGATTGTATTGACTGTGCAGACTTGTTTGAACTGAGGGATGTAGGCCTTGATGGTGCTTCCTTCCCCACTTGACCGCTCGAACTAGAACTAGAACTAGGCTGAGGTAATCCAAACGAAGGTTGAGGAAGCGCGGATGTTCTACCGAGCTGCGAAGGGGGACGAATACCTCTAGTGCCCGCGCCAATTTTGGATGTAGGGATGCTTTTGCGAGGCGACTCAACTGCTGGGGACTGTGACCGGTTAACGGTGCGGGAGGAAACTCCAGCTGAGCTCCTTGACTCTGGACGACTTGGGGACTCAGAGCGCAGTGTATTTGGTTGAGATATCCTACTATGTGCTGAAGATGGACGTTGGGCAATGCGTGACCCAGGAGCAGGTTTGCCTGTAACAGATGTACCCCTCTCAGGCTGTCTTTTAAGTCTTTCCTCAAGCATACTGAACTCCTTCGGTTGCAGTTCGCCAACCATTGACCAGACTTGCTCGCCAACTATTTTGTAAACTTCTACTAGTGTGTTGAGAACCGAATTCCTCACAGCACTATCTCTGTCACTGAGACTAGCCCCGATCGTCCTCAGTGCTTTGCCAGAGCTCAGCACACCCATGCCGTGTCTATTGATGATACTCCCAAGCTCGTCAATGGACTCAGATCTTGCGCGCGAGTTCTTACAAGTCGTACCATGGTCGAGAAGATGACCAAAGACTTTGCTTGGTGGGTACGAACGGCCAAGCAGCTTGAGAATAGCTCTGATGCGCACTCTGACTGGCTCCTTATTGTCACCCGACTAGACGTATTATTAGTTTTTACCATCTGCATCAAACGCACACACCCACCTTAATGATCAACGACGGCAAAAAAGCATTGGCTTCGTAGTCCGTAAGTTGAGCATTCACCTCATCCAAAACCCTCAAAGTCAGCTCAATCACCTCCAATGTGCGCAGTATGATACTCGTGTTGTTATCGAACAATCTCAAAGTAACGTACTTGAGGATGATGTCTACGTTGGCCAAGATATACTGGCGGGACTTGTCGACGCCCAATCCAAACTTGTCAATGTCACCTAAAGCCTCTTGGACGGCGTCATTGATAACAGCCAGACCAGACAGATAGTCGGACTCGGCGTGGCGATCAGTGCTAAAGAGCAGGCTATGAAGGCGTGCACTTAAAAATGGTTGGGTTTGATGCTCCATGTAGTCAATCTGCTCCGGTCTGACACCACCTTCTCCACCAAGTGTGAATCTTGAACTACCATCCTTGACTGCTCTTTGGCGTTTGCTCATCAAGTCCGACGAGTTGAAGGGATAGCTAGTATCTGATGATGGAGTTTGTGCAGATGAGGTGCTTGCTATCGACCCGCTAGATGGTTTCTTTGATGGAATCCTGGCCTTCATCCCAGAAGCACTTTCTTCCTCATCATAAGCCGGAGCAGCTGTCGATTTCGAAAGTGCACCGAAGCGACTACGCAAACCGGTTGGTCTGGCTATAGGTGTACCAGCTGTCGGTGCATGTGGTGCAGTGAATGTTGGCTTGGCCTTAACGGGCGTGCCAGATGCTGGTGGCGGACGAACAGCGCTAGGGACCTTTGGACGACTTGATGCAGGTGCTGGCTCCACCTGTGCTGGTTTAGATGGTGCAGCCGCTGCAGGTGCTGGCTTAGCGGCTCCTCTCGCACCCTGCAGAATGGGCAAAACAGTGTTTTTAGCAGCCGGTTTCAATTTTTCCGTCTTGCTTTCAACAAATCCATATCCTGCACTAGCAATAATGTGCGGGAGGAGAGCCTGTGCGTTCTTCCTTACATCTCCATTTCTATCCTCCAAACTACTGACAATTGGCGATGCAAGAGGAGCCAAATCCGTGGAACCAGTCGGCGGAATTTTTTCACCCATAAACAAATTCAGCCACTCTAGCACATTCGAACGAAGCGTTGGGTTGGATGATTCAAGAGCAATAGCTAATGAGGAAACGAGTGAATCAACACCCTCGCAAGCAGTAGCCATCGCATCAAGCGTAGCAATAGCGGAGGCTCTAACATTCGCCTTCTGGTCACTAGCTATACCGGCAACACCTGCTACGAAAGCCTTGACGTACTTTTCAAACGGCTTACCCATAGCGAGAGCGATTTTTTGGATAATGTTAAGCGCCAAGCCCTGCACGATTTTGTTCTGGTCACCAAGTCTGCCTTTCAGAGCGCCTACTAGGTCGGCGTTCATATTCGGTTGTAGTCTGGAATTCTGCTTCACTTCCAGAACCGCAAATAAACCTTCGAGTGCCTCTTTACGCGTTTTCCATGCGTCACTCTTAGAGCTTGCTACCGTGCCAGATGGAATCAACTTGTCGAGATTCTGACGGGGTAAGAGATCATCCATCGCATCCCCCCCAGCAGCTGCTCCATCCTTTGGTGCCCCTCCTGCTGGCGGTTTGGCTGCATCAGCGCAAGACCTAGAGGGTTCTGGCGGCTCCTGCCCTTCGACTTTGGCGAACTCTGAGTCGATCGTCGTTAGCAGTTGAGGGTTGAGATCGTCCAAGAATCCTCTGATATCAGATCCGACGAACAATTTCAACGTAACTAGTGTCTTGGTGGCATTTGTTCTTACCATAGCATTAGCAGACTTTAAACCGGTCTTGAGAAACTCGATGAGATCTTTCAAAGCCAAACCAGCGATACCAAACTCGTTGAGCAGCTGCTGAACAAACAACATGGCGTCAGCTTGGGCTTTTGGTGCTTTGATCTTGCTTATAGCTTCGTAGCCCTGACTTAAGACAAACTGGTGCGACGTCTTCTCAGAGAAAATAATAAGAGTATCTCCAGCTGGTTTCTTAAGCTTCATATCACCAATTTTCTCCACCAACGGACCCACAGCCAAGCTTGCGCAAGCTCTGTTGAAAGATTCTGAAGTATCAGCCAACACGCCGAGCAAGGAAAACTGCTTGGCAGATACTTGAAAGTTCTTTTCAGCCCATCCTGGTTTCTTGCTGAGGAATCTGAAGAGCACTTCGCATGATAGCTGTTGGTGGTTCTCCTCATCTATGCACCATTTGTGAAGATCTTCTATACCCTGCAATCTTTCCTTCCAGTTGCTGTCACTGAGCTGCGAGACTAGCTTTTCTGGTATGAGCTCAGCAGCTTTGGCTTCTGCATCTTCAGCTGACATTGACAACTTCGGCTGCTCAGATGGCGCAACACCACCAGTCGACTTGGGTTTGCTGGCACTAGCAGCTGGAGCTGACGCGGGTGCTGCTTTTGCTGCTGCTGGAGCAGGAGCAGAAGCTACAGCAGGTTTTTTGTTGAGCAGACGCGATGGAGGGGCTCTGGTTGGTGGCTTCACTGGTGAGGGTGGCTTGGGTGGTTGAGCTGACTCATCGAAACCATTTATGGGATCAGATTGTGGCGTTGGTGGTTTGGCTGGAGCTGCTGCTGGTTTCTGAGATGATCAATTAGTGTAAAGCGGCTTCGAAGGACGACCTACTCTGGGTGGTGCAGCTGCGGGCTGTTTAGGTGGTGCAGCCTTAAGAGCTGGCGCTGATACTGCCGCCGCTTTTGGTTTAAACCCGGGCTTAGCCTTCACTTCAGCCTTCTCGTAGAACTCCATCACCTTCCCCTTACGCTGACCATCGAGACTTTCAACGATGGGGTTCATGGCACGCTCGCCGACGATCTTCATGAGCGTACCGAGCGACTCTGCAGACGCTGCACGTACTGGCTCGAAACTGTCCTCCAAGGTAGCTGTACACACGGCGCCGATGTCCTTCTGCTCGGATTGTGTGGGTGGTGCTTTCGTGCTTTTCAAAGCCCGAACGAGGAACTGTAGTGTACCTTGTTTTACCTGTGGATTCTTGTGCTTGGCGTAGGTTGTAATGTCATCCATAAAGTCACTAAAGCTAGTGGCGGCGAAGATGGCATCCAAGGCGCCACCAAGCGCATCAGCGACAGTTGCTTTGCGCTCTTTTAGACGTTCGAAGAGGGGTTTGGAAATGGTGTTTTTGAATCCAGCAAAAGTCGAAGACGGCAGACCCCTTCCGAGCTTCTCTAGCGCCTGAGCAGCGCCAATAACAACATTAATGTTAAGCTCTGATATGCGCCTTGCTAAGGCGTTGATGAGGTCAGAGTAGTCGGATGAGGCTTCAATTTTGGGTGCCTTGTTGAGAGTTTCTAGGAGCTGATCAATCACTTCTTTCCTCTCCTGCCACTTCTTGCTTTCGATTAAGGTATAAAATTCTGGGTTGAGTGTCTTGATCAAGTCGACTGGCGGAATATCTTCATTTGGATCGAAGCCTAAATCCATAGCGCCGTCATCTTGGTTTGATTCAGCGACACCTTCTTCTTCACCGCCAGCTTGAGCAGCCTCAGCTTCAGCTTGAGCTTGCCTGGTAAGCCGCGATGCTTTGCCAGATCCTGCACCCTTTCCGTCGCTTTCAAGGTTCTCGAAGCTCTCCTTGAGTTCTTTAACCTGAACAGGCTTAAGTTCTTCTAGTAGCGGGAATAGAGATTGTCCTAGATAGGTATAAATTGATTGAGCGAGCAGCGTACCTTCAGATCTGACGTTTTTATCTGAATGAGCGAATATTCTGGTCAGTGATTTGAGGAGTGGCTTGGTGTTTGTGATTGGCTTGAAGCCAAATTGCGACACCAACTCCTTCAGCGCGGTGACACAAGTTGCGACCAGCTTTGGCTGTTTAGCAGCGAGTGAGTCGATGACGTTTGCGATGACCGTATCTGCTGTGCCATCCACCTCAACAAAGGACAAACACAACTCGATTGCCTTAACTTTGGTCGCTGGTCTCGATGCATTGAACGCCTTTTCAATCGTTGGCTTGCACAGCTCGCCTGAAAGACTCGCTGCATTCTGGCCAGATTGCTTGAGCAACTCAGTCAACGCCTCGATACCCTTGTCTTGGGCGGCAGCGTTGGAGTCTGTGACAAATTTACTTAGTGTGTCTGGGCTGCTGAGCCATGGCTTCAACACTGGATCGTCATCTGAAGCGCTCTTCTTGAATTGGTCGATGAGTTCCGCGTAGGCGCTCAATCTGGCTTTCCAGGACTACTGAGCATGTCAATGGGTGTCTACACGGCTGTATTTTTCCCCACCGCATGTTTAACGCGTTCCGTCAGCGCTATTTGGCTGAAATCTTCTTCCGGCGGCGGCTGGCCGTCCCTGAAGATAAATAAGTCTGGAGATCTCCGTGCATTACTAGTAATCTCCTACATTTTCTTCTTTTCTGTGGTTGCGTGAGTGATCGTGTCCAAGATGGAACCACGCGGTGGAAATCAAAAGTAAAAACAGTAAGTAAAAAGCGTCATTGGTAAATTATTTAAAGTACAAGAGTACATTGACGAACTAAAGCATCTGCTGCGCTTTACGGTATCTCTCCAACACGCCTCACGACACCACACCTTCCGACTGCTCGCCACCGTGTATGACTTGATCGTCGAGTGTCTCTGTATAACCCACGTGCTGCACATACTCCTGGTCATCTGTTTCCCATTCGATATCCGAATTGGTGGATTTAACTGGCTTGATATGTCTGCCTGGTGCGGCTGGAAACGCATCACTGAACAGCTCATCAACTATCCGCGCAATTGGCTTTGAAATCCAGCGTCGTGGCGGTGGATACGCGTCCGTGTATTTGGGACCTTTCCTGAAGGTGCTCAGTGGGTGCCCACCGCTAAACCACGCGAGATGTCCGCCGTGTTTTGTATGGTAAATGTGCACGTTTGGGTTGGCTTTGCATTTGTATAGATTGGAGGGAGATGATTTACACTCCTCTGCGGGCTCTGGCCAGGCTTCTGGCATTACTATTGGATCATCTTCCGCGTTCACCCCGAGAAGAGGTATTTTTACGTTATGGAGGAAGGCACTGGATGATGCGTAGGCATAGAAGGCTTCTGCAGATGGGAACGGGAAGTGTGGAGGGTGTCCTCCCAACTTTCTTGTGATTGTGTTATCGAAATCCTTCACTGTGGGCCATCTTAGCGCGTCTAAATGAGCCAGCTCCTGGGGATGCGTATTTTTGATAGCGTGACTGTGCTTTCTGAGTATATTCTTCAAATTGTTTCCCATTGCGCGGTTATAGAGGTAGTGGCCGAGAAAAGTGCTTTCGAGCTGTTCACTAGACTTGACAAGATCCCAAGGGTTGCCTAGAGCAATAGCAGCCTTGAATGGACATCTATCGCCTTCTTCACCAACGAATTTTGTCAAAACATTTGCGCCTAAACTGAAACCCACTCCGATAAACTGCGCTGAGGGGTAAGTGTTGGAGAGGTAGAGCATCGCGCAACGCAGATCATTTGTTTGTCCTCCGCTGTAGAATAACGGGCTATCCACGCTTGTATTCGCGCATCCTCGGAAATTCATCACGACTGAGGTGGTGTTCGCGGATAACTGTGCAATGAGCGATCTGATATACGACTCGTGTGAGCCACCAGTGAGCCCGTGGCAGAATACAACCACATTCAGCTTCCCCGGGTTGTGAATATCGAGTGAAAGTGATCCGCCGTCTTTGAGAGATAGAGTATGCCTCCGATATTCGACGGAATCAATCTGAGTGGTGTCGAGGAGAGTGGCGAATATAGTCTGTAAATGGCCACCAGGCAGCCACGCCGATGGAATAAAATTTTGACTAAACGCGTCTTTAACCAGTGCGTCCATGATGTCAAGGGACAAAAGCAAATTGCTGTTCGATCCCAAGCGACATGATCCAGTAAAATTCAGTAATAATCATTTAAATAAAAAGAAGTCAAGCGATGGCCATTCGCTGGGCCAGTCCATCTCCACCACCTCCTCCACCGTCGACGACTCCTTCTCCAGAGATCACTACAAGGATAAAGAAAAGCAGCGTAAGAAGCGTAGGGATGCTCGTTCGCAGAGCAGCCACGAGTCGAGATCTTCAAACAATTCAAACTCAAATTCAAAGAAATCAAAGGATGAGCCGGCGTCGGCGTTTTTAGTCCAGTTGAAGCGCGCTTATAGAGACATAATGGATACAGAGAACAAGCTAATCGATGAACGTAGAATGGCGATCACTTCCTCTACCAAAATATCCCTTTTCGGCCAAAACCCGGGGAAATCGAACGACGACTTGAATTGGATACGCTTGGTTAACAAGCACAAATCTCTTGCCGACGCTTATCACAGCTTTCTTGCTACTTCTCTCGCTCCCCACACCCCAACTTCCCTGCACGCCCTGCCCCAGAAGTACAACATCCCCACAAGACTCTGGCAGAATGCTTTCCATGGCCTGCTCGAGAAAATGAGGAGTGGGCTGAATCCAAAAAACCCCAGCTCTATTCTAGACCATCTCAGCGACTTTGTCTATCACGCGTACGCCTTCTATACCAACCTACTAGAAGAACCGGTTCTGTCGCCATTCAAAGCAAGCTGGATTGAGGCTCTCGGAGATCTAGCGAGGTATAGAATGGCTGTAGCATCCATCGAGTCCACAGTTTCCACCGGTAACGGTAGTAGTAGCAGCCCGTATTCGCTACCTACCACTTTTGCCACTCCAGCGCCACCCACACCTTTCCAGGCACGCGTAGATGACTCGCAGCCAGAGATGCCACCTCATGCCGATGTTGCCAGCGTTGGTTTGCCAGCGTTGATGTCTGGTGGTTTTGATGTTGAGGACAGACACCTATGGAGGCAGGTTGCGCGCGACTGGTATGGCCAAGGGCTTCGAGATATGCCAGGTTGGTTGCTTCTACCACGCTAACACTCGCACTCATTCAACTACAGGCACTGGTCGACTGCAACACCACCTGGGTGTCCTTTGCAGGAATTCGCAGGACCCCGATGAGGGATTGCGAGCGCTATACCATCTCTGTAAAGCACTCACAACCTCCCACCCCTACCCCACTGCTCGAGAGACATTGCTTGGTCTGTTCGACCCCGAGCTGCAGAGTGCGCGAAAGAGGGAGGAGAGTGTAACTGAGCTCTTTACACACGCACACGGACTGCTCTTCACGCGTGTCGAGCTGGATAGCTTTCCTCAAGCGCACGAGCGTCTCGTTGCACATCTCCAAGCTAAGCGCGCATCATTGCCCGATTCGGTGTGGATCATGATGGGCGTGGTGAACATAGCAAGTTTGCTGCAATACGGGCAGGATGACAGTGTTCTAAAACGTACCGCGGCTGCGACAGATGACGGAGCGAAGCGACAGAAACAGCTTCACACATCGACTTCAAACCCTTCTCTCAACTCGGGCGGCGCTTTCAGTGCGCTTAGCTCCCCAGTCCCACCCGTGCCAGCATTACCGCAGGCGATCATGATGCATTCGAATAACAGGACAGGCAGTAACCCCAATCTCAATCTCATGTCGAGCAGTCCCAAATCAAGTCACTCGTTGGAGAATCTCAACAACTTCAATAACAGACCAGCCTCCAGCGCCAGCACGCGATCAGGTGGTGGCGACGACGATGTGCTCCTCGCGCTGAATAAGGAGGGCGTCAGCGAGGAGTATAGCACATCCAATACGGTTTTCGAGCATGCGCAGGAGATGACGTTCAGTATATTCGCTCTCCTCCTCCAGAAGCCTACTACGACTAGAGAGGGAGGTGAAGGAGGGGCACCACTTAACCCATACATCACGATCGTGATGACGTATCTGACGACGATCCTTAAGCAGCCGACTGCGCTTTCGCTGCTCGAGAAGAAAATTCCGTGGGTTGAGTTAGCGATGTGTCTATCGCGCACCTTCCCCGATCGCACATCGCTAGAAAAGGGGGCCAAGACAGGCAACTTGAACGGTAGTGGTAGTAGTGGTAGTGTTGCGAATGGGCTGCCACAGGGACCGCAGCTGTCGCGCCTCGTCGCCGGCACGCCTCTCCCCGAAGATTGGTGTTTACGAGGCATGGAGTGGGTGGGGCGAAGAGTGTACGAGCGAGGGTTCTGGAAGACGCGTACGGGCGCATCAAGCACCGGTGCCAGCTACTCTGGTGCACCTCCGCCTGTATCTGGATCTGCCATCCAGTCCGAAATGGACGTTCTATCCACTCACATGAGCGGGGTGCCCAGCGGTGCAAACGCTTCCGCACAGGATGGTCTCGACGGCGTGATCGAGAGTGACGACGATGACGATATCGATAGTATTGCTCGTCTGCGTCTCGATGGTGACGATGGAGCTTGCGCATCTTCCGATTTGGACTCACCGCTCAAACTCGCTGAGAGACGTCTGGCGCGGCTGGCATTCACCAGTACTGTGCTGGCGCGATTGGTGCAAGGCTTCGATATAGTCAGCTTAGATAAGGAGCTCGGCCACTCTGACGCTGTCGAGTTTACCATCACGGGCGAACTGCAAGCCAAGATGAAGCGGTGGAGACTCGCCGAGGAGAGAAAGCGCGAGGATGAACTTCGCAGGTTGGAGGAAATCTACCAACATAACAGCGACAGTGCTAGCGATGTCGATTCCGATGCTTTCTCTGATATTTCCTCGCTCAGCGAGGCGATTAGTGGCGGTGAGAATGAGGATGAGGATGAGGAGCTGCGCCAGCTCAAATTGCGCAGGAGGGAGCTCAAGTCTCTAGTCAGAGAGCAAAAGGAGAAGGAGAGGGAGGCGCAAGCGAATGTGAACACCTCCAATAATCTCAACACCCTCAATATGCTCAATACCATACAACCGTCACTGACTACACTCATTTTCGACACCAACGTCATGCTCTCTTCGATTGAGTATGTGCAGGCATTCGTCGAGAGCGGCGCTTGGGTGTGTGTGGTTCCGCTAGCTGGTAAGTTTGCTTGTGTTGCGGTAATCCTCTTACACTCCCCCCAGTCATCACGGAGCTGGATGGTATATCTAGAACAGATAACGCCCTCGGCAACGCTGCTATAGTCGCGACGTCGTACTTAGATGGAGCAGTTGAGCGCAGCAACTCACTCAAGGTGCGATAGGGCATTTGCTCTGTATTTCTTTCTCACGCTCATCCTCGCAGATCCAGACATCGAAGAACAACTTCCTGAAAGACCTCACGATGAGGTACGAGGATTACGGCAGTGGTGGCGACATGGATGGGTTTGAGGAGAGGAAGACGCTCGATGATGTAATTCTCGACGCTGCCAAGTGGCACAAGGAGAATTGGATGGAGCGGGAGAGACACTGGGAGATGCGTGAGCGTGAGCCTAAGGTTGAAGGCCAGGTGAATGCGTTCAGCCTCAACTCACCACCTACCTCACCACAGTTATCCGCTAAGCCAGCTATCCCAACCAAGTCTACTTCAAAGGTCGCGCTTATAACCTACGATCGCAATTTGCGTCTCAAGAGTCATGCAGCAGGCGTGACTTCGGTGGACGAGAGTGCCTTCGCAAGGCTGTACAAGAACCATTACGGGAATAGCTGATGGGGAATAGCTGATAATAGCCTAGCTCAGGTACACATTACAAAAGGGGTTTTTTAATCATCTTTTTGAGAAAAAAGAAAGTCAGTTGATATCGTCAAGTGCCTTGTGCGTTAAGGCGTACAAGTGAGGAGGTGGGTTAGTTGGTTGGTTGATATCATTGATATCATTGATGTCGTTGATGTCGTTGGTGTGGCAGATTTGGCCATTTATACCACTCATCATCTCGTGCTCTTGCTGTTGCTTTTGCTCTTACTCTTCCTCTTACACCTACTGTCGCTCTTATTCATGCTTACTCTCGCTCTCGCTTTTTTCTTACTCCTGCTTACTCTCACATCGCATCACTGATATTTATCTCGTTTGCTGCAAATGTAAATAAATTAAACTAATTTCCAATATTCTTATAAGCATCAATATATTTTAAGTTGGCAGGGTCGTTAGGGAGGGATTCGAGATGTTGTTTTGTGAGGGAGTCCAAATGCAGCGCCGACTTGATAGCGCGTTCGAAGCAGCCGAGGGCTCTTTGGTTATCGTTTACGGACTGATGGAGGACACCCATCAAGTAAGCGCATTCGGAGGCTGTTTTGTTAGATGAGGCTGTGAGTTTAAGTGCCTGTCTCTTGGCGTATGTATCGGAGGCAAAAGAGCCATCGACGGCTTTGTGGGTAGTTTGCGAGAGATGTTCGGCATTCTGCAGCCATCCTAAAGATTCTTCGAGGTTGGATTTATTCAATGCGTAGCGCACCTCGGCGTAATGAACCTGGGATAATGCGAGGGAGTGTCTCAGCCAGAGAGCCTGAAGACAGTGGGGGGTGTTGTGGGGATCAGTCGACCTATGCAGAACGTCGATGAGGGTTTTCTGAATGGATGAAGCTTCGGTGAGTCTAGTGGTGGTGGAGTAAAGTTTGGAGAGAGAGAGGAGGGTTTCGATGTATGCTCTGAGCTGGGCGGGGGAGAGAGAGGCGATGTTTACATCCAAGCGTGGGTGGGTATGTGTGGTGTTTCTAGTGAGAGTGAGCCAGCTTGGCCAGCGCGAGGAATGCGATTGGGGTGTGTCGTGATGGGGCAGTCTGCGCAAGGCGGTGTGGTACCAAGACTCGCTTTCTTTGTGTAATCCTAACGCTCTGCAAACATTACCGGCACTATTCTCGACCTTTATCAGCGCAGTGGGTGGTGCACCACTCGCAACGAGGAAGGAAACCACCTTCTCGTAGCCGTCGAGGGCGTTGTGAAGGGAGACGCGGGTGTGGATTCTACTGCGTATATCAGCTAGACGCAAGGAGAGTGTGTTGAGGATGTAGTCTTTGTGGATTGTAGCGGGTGCAGCTTGGATATGGGTGATAGCCGATAACAGATAAGACTGGGCCATGTCGAGGGAGGGGTTGAGGGAGGTGATGTTGGTAGCAGTGCCTACGCCCCATTCCAACGCAATCCACGCAGATCTAACCAAGTGAGCTGGCTTGTAAGGGATTGAAGGGTGTGTACCGCCGTTGAGACCACCAGACCAATCGTCGTTTTCGAGTGACCATTCATCAGTGTCGTTTGGAGGCGGGTGGTTGTATAGCGCAGCACCTTCTAGCCTCTTGTACTCCACAAACTGGTTTACTCCTTCGAAAGTGGCTAGCGTGCCCAGCAACCCAGCCAGGCTAAAGACAGCGGACCACTTGAAAATATTCTTAAACACGGCAAACGTCTCAAGCGTAGGCTTAACGAAATTCTGATGCTTTAAATTTAAATTTGAGTATTTGAGTATTCGCGATTGGCGCATAATGGTGGTTCCAGTCAACGGTGAGGAAGCGTAAAAGAGATAAGCTTAATGAGCGTGCTGGGTGGGTGTATTAATTGAGTGCCGGGAGCAATCCAATCTCATTATAAATCCAGATTACGCAGGTGGGTGGTGTAGAGTAGATAGTAGAATCATCACTCAACATCACGGCACAATCATTAGATCGGAGTGGGTTGGGGTTTTAACGCGTATTAATCCCATCTAACGCGCCTAGTAATCTACTCTGATCGATACTCAGACGATTTCTTCGAATACAGACACGTTATCCTTCCCAAGCAAGTTCTGCGCCTTCTCCCGAGGCAGTACTTTGAAGCGGACGACAGCGGCGTATTGCGCATACTCACAGAGGCTGAGTGGAGAGGCATGGGCATAACCCAGTCACTGGGTTGGGAGATGTACGCGACTCACGGTGAGTGGAAACGTCTGGCTACTCAACACACACGTAATTTGCTTTTACAGCCCCAGAACCGCACATACTGCTGTTTAGAAGGGAGAAGGATTATCAAGGAAAAGTATGTCGTCTACTACAGCCACGAACGCCTCTCTAACCCTCATTCTCAGTATGGTATCGAAGGCAAACCCCTTCACACTAGAAAAAAGTAATTGTATCTCGTCTCGCATTTAACAAAATTTTCATCCTTTCAGACATTATCAGATTATCAGACATATATACATATCTCTAGATATACAAAGATAAGACATGTAAGATATTTGAAACATTCCCGGTTATCACACGCCAGCGACACGCCCGCACGCGTAACACGTAAATACCATTCATTCCCATCCACCTCCCATCATGACAGACGTCGGTGGAATGACAGATTTGAACAGACTGAATTTGAGGCTCAAGTGTCTCGATCTCTGTCACTTGAACAGATCGATCAATAGCGCTGTCCTAACTCCCCGCGGCTTCATTCTTCTCGCTGCGTCTGACACGCTATTCTGTCTCCCACTGAAATCGATTGGGCAGCCTCCACGCGTCTTGATCAAGCGACTTAAATCTGCTCACTCTATTTCCATTCTCCCCCTCACCAGCGTTATATTGATTTCCACCGATAATGCAACGCGATACTACGATTTGCGTCAAGTTGAAAAATCTTGTTTGCAGCTGTGGGACATGTCTACGGGGCAGGTGAACGTGTTGCCTGATCTGCGCACTCCTGCTCCACCCGCGCTGCAAGACGGCGAACTCAACCATCTAACACACCTGCCGCCACCCACTCCAACTAGTCCCCCTTTCTCCATTTCCCCTAGTATGCCCGATATCTCAGCCTCTACAAATTCTCCAGCGCTGCCCCCTTTACCCTTTCAAATTGAGGAGAATAGCAGTTTGTTTGGTGGTGCTGATGGTGGTGCTGATGTTGGTGCTGATAGTGCTGCCACTAGCCCTGCTCCTAGTCCTGCTATCAGTGCTGCTCCCTCGCCGTTCCACCCAGACACCCAAACTACGCCCATCCACCAGCGCAGAAAAGCAAGACAGCCACCGACACTCAACACAGTCAACACACCACACGCTCAATCCACTCAGCCCCACGTAGACGGGCATGCACGCTCACGCAGCGAGGACTTAACGCCGCTGACCAGCGACGTAGTGAAGCGGGAGTTAGAGCGTGTGCATATTCGGAACAATCGAAGCAAAAAAAGCGCTGCGAAGCTAACACACAAGAATCTCAACGACATAATCCACCCAACCATTCTACGCGTAGGCGAGACGAGTGAGCTGAGCTACTTGGCAGTCCTTTCGCTCACGCTACCTGACAACGACACGCGACAACCCGCAGACCAAACGACAGTGTCGTTGTTTGCGGGCACGCAGCATGCCCCTCTATCCCTCGTCAAGGCTTTCATCCTCCCCGATCGCCCTGTCGATTTGCAGCTGTCGATCAAGGGCGACGACATGTCGGAGATTATCCTCGTCTACGACAGAAGTATTTTCGCTCTCAACCCGTTTTCGATTAACGTGCGCGAAATCAAAGTTGGCAGGGGTGGTAGACGGCGGAGGAACCAAAACGGGCATAGCAACGGTGAGAGGGACGGAGAGACGCAGGGCGGAGGAGCACATGGCGATAGCACACGCTGGTCAACTGAGTTAGCTAATCAAGGAGGGGTGCAAGATACGCGCGTAGTGGATATGGGTGTTGGTGTGGGCGAGACGGCACCGACGCGCGTGTCAATGTCAGTGCACGGAGGACAGAACGATCCTATACCTACAGAGCACTCTTCCAACTCACTCGCATCGACCATCCTCGCTAACAACTCTTATACCAACTTCACGCCTCCGTTGATCGATACGAATGGAGCCAACTTGAGCAACACGACGCACCCAACAAACTCAAACTCAACACACTCAACGCCCACGCGACGCACATCAAGCAGATTCGGCGGACTGAGCAGGTGGACGAGTATGCTACAGCGGCCATTCCAGCCGCGCACATCAAGCAATGTGCTAGGGAGCCAAAGCCAGAGTGATACAGTACAGGAAGACGCAACGACACCAACAGTCTCACCTGAGACGCGCAAGACCACCATTAACCCCCACTACACCACCCTCGTCCAACTGCACCAAACGCCGCCTCTTCCACCCGCTGCCCTCGAGAAGATGTTTACCATCCCTCCCCGCTATGACGAGCTAGAAGCTCAGCGCAGTCGGAGTGTTTTTATGAACAAGACAGCGTCGCAGCTTTCGGCGCGCAGCCACCACCATGATGATCTGCGCAAGTGCTGGCACTACCTCGATCCACGCGGCACTGAGCATGGTTAGTTGATTTTTGAGTTTGGGTTTACCGAGCTAACACATTCGTAGGCCCATGGAGTACGAAAACAATGCAAAACTGGTACACGAGCCGACGCTTTCTCAGCAATCTTCCTATTAGACATGAGCGAATGCGTTATCACAAAACGCTAACTGAGCTAATAGCGCAGTTCGGTGCAGAAAACCCATTTGTAGTGGCACTAGGAGCTGTACTGCAGTACTCACCAGCGGACTCACTCAAGAGCCTCGATCCTCCTACTCCCCTCCTACCCCCCATTTCCCTCATCAGCGATCCTGCTCTACCGCGTACTGGCGCACAGAGCATCTATCTCGCCGCTCGCCGTTACCTACCCACTATGCTAATCGACCACAACGGCAGATCTATCGTGCGCGGCAGTGGTATACGCTGGGTTGGGAGTGGGTACAGTGATGGAGGTGAACACACAGACGCAGAAACGAATTCCGATGACGATATCAAACACTTTGAAATGATTTCTACTTCAGACGATAACACCACCGCCGCACTCGTCGCTATTCGCCAGCGCAGCTTCGAGGTGATCGATATTGCTGACGCCCTCCTCGGCCACCCCTCCGAGAGGGAGAAGGCATTGCCGGGGTGGGAGCGGCATATGTGTCGGGCGGGTGTGAGTCGGCCGTACGTTCACAAGCTGCACAAGCACCGTAGAGACAGACGCGATCTAAATGCGGAGACGGCGCGCGGACGCAGTTATTCACACCCGCGTTATGTGAATAACGGAGTGAGTTCGAGTGCGAATGGAAGTCGCGCAGATCTGAGAAGCACATTATTGGATTCGCAGCTTCAACTCCCCTCAGAGTCACACAGTCGCGCCCATCTCCCCCACTCAAACTCAAATTCAGACGGCGACGCTGTCCGCCTCATCTACATCGGCAGACAGGCACAGGCACACAGCGAGACGGTGTACTTGCTCGAATCGTACAGCGACGGGAATGTGCGGATAGTTATATTGTGTAGAAAGTAAAAGAAAAAAATGAATAATTTTCTCTGAATTTGTTTTGCTTTTCTTCGTCGATGGCCATGACGTGGAGCAAGGAAGATAAAAGGGGAGCAGGGGAAGCGGTGAAAGCAGCAGGATTTGTAGGGATAGGTGTAGCCAGTGCGTTTCTAGGAATACTCGCGCACAAGGTGTTTATACGGCGGGTGCGCAATGTAGACATGATCACCGCGTCTATGATCGACAAACAGGCGAGGGTGCGTGGGTTGGTTACGCGTGTAGGGGACGGCGACAACTTCCGCTTGTACCACACTCCCCTACTCAGCTTCACACAGCGACGGGCTATTCTCGGCAGGAAGATGACGGCGAACGACACCATACACGTACGTCTGGCTGGCGTGGATGCACCGGAGGTGGGTTTGCTTGCTCATGTGAATGTGCATGAGCGTGCGCGCAACTACAACTCAATCGCTAAGCCCGCACTAGACGGCTCATTTCGGTAAACCTGCCCAACCATACGCCAACGAAGCGCTCGAGTGGCTCAGGAAGACGATCACGGGCGAGAAAGTATCAGTAAAGCTGCTGCGTAAGGATAGATATGGTAGAGTTGTAGGTTGAAGAGTGTAGAGCGTGTAGAGCGTGTAGAGCGTCGAGTGTGCTCATATCACACCATTCAGGTTGGCAACGCGCAGCTACTCGCGAAATGGTACAGACCGTGGCGGAAGAACGTCTCGATGGAGCTGACTAAAGGTAAATTGCTGCATTGGCGTTGACACACCGTCTCACTCCCCAACGCAGCTGGGTATGGATCCATCTATGCGCAAGATGACGCAGAGTGGGTTGGTGCGCGCGTTAAGGCTTCTTACTCATCCTTTTCTTCTTCTAGATACGACGGAATGCTCGATAGGCTGCGCAAGGTTGAGAGTGACGCGAGGTGCGTAGCGCGTATCAAATGCTTATCACCACTCACATCCCGCAGACGCAAGAAGAGAGGGATGTGGAAGCAGAAGAAGGTTGAGCTGCCAGCAGATTACAAAAGCAAGTATAGAGGCTGATTGTATCGAGTGTGTCAAATGTATCATCTGTTTGTTGGATAATTGTGGATATAAATACAAAGAAAGTGAATATGTACCGGCAAGTACACCAGCCGCATTACATACTCCAGCCATATTACAAGCCACTCCACACAAATCCACCAGCTTGGTTTAGTAATCTGCCACATCACCGATAACAATCGCGACTAGAACGTCGATAAGCGTACCATAATACATTTCTCAGGCTTATACATTACAACACCCTTTCTGCACGTCCTTGTTCGCATCCCGTGGATAGCCGACATTGGGCTGAAGGGAAAATACCTTGAAAGGGGCGCAGTGTAGAGTGAGATTATACCACACACACCACCCACTCCCCTCCCTCAAAATACAAAATTTGATTTTAAATTTTCACCCAGATTTTGATGATTTTCGCGGTGATTTCCTCTTTTCTCCAGACCACTTAAAGTTCGGTGAGTGGATAACACGTGTATAAAGCACTATCAGCCGCTCTAACACCGCCTATAGCCACCGTCTACCATGTCTGTCGCAACTCAACCACCAAAGACCAAGGACACAAAGGCCTTCCTTACTGATTTCATGATGGGTGGTGTCTCCGCCGCTGTCTCTAAGACCGCAGCAGCACCAATCGAGCGTATCAAGCTCCTCGTCCAAAACCAAGACGAGATGATCAAGCAAGGCCGTCTCTCTTCCCCTTACAAGGGTATTGGTGACTGCTTCGGACGTACCTACAAGGATGAGGGTCTTGTATCCTTCTGGAGAGGTAACACCGCCAACGTTATCCGTTACTTCCCAACCCAGGCACTCAACTTTGCCTTCAAGGATTACTTCAAGTCCCTCTTCGGTGCTAAGAAGTCTGACGGATACTGGACCTGGATGGCTGGTAACCTTGCATCAGGTGCTGGTGCTGGTGCTTCATCCCTCTTGTTCGTCTACTCTCTTGACTTTGCTCGTACTCGTCTCGCAAATGACGCTAAGTCCGCTGCCAAGGGCGGTGAGCGTCAATTCAACGGTTTAGTCGATGTCTACAAGAAGACCCTCGCTTCCGATGGTCTCGCTGGTCTCTACAGAGGTTTCGGTCCATCAGTTGTCGGTATTGTTGTTTACAGAGGTCTCTACTTCGGTATGTTCGACTCTTTGAAGCCAGTTTTGCTTCAAGGTTCATTGTCAAACTCTTTCCTCGCTTCCTTCTTGCTCGGTTGGGGTGTCACTACTGGTGCTGGTTTGGCTTCATACCCACTTGACACCATCCGTCGTCGTATGATGATGACCTCAGGTGGTACTGGTCCTCACTACAGATCTATGATGCACGCTGCTGCTGAAATCACCAAGACTGAAGGTACCTCTTCCTTGTTCAAGGGTGCTGGTGCCAACATTCTTCGTGGTGTCGCAGGTGCTGGTGTTCTTTCCATGTACGACAAGCTCCAAGAAATCCTCTTCGGTACCGTTTACAAGTAAAAAGTAAACAAAATGATTTGATTAATGTTCCACATAATCTAAAATTTGATTCTTTCTAGAAAAAACATAAATACTCTTTTAGTTTACAATGGCTTGCTTGGATTGCTAGCTTGCTTTTTGAAATCTTCTACCCACTTCTTCTCCTTATCGTTCTTTGGCAAGACAATAAAGTTGAGTGCACCTTCATTCAATGGAACACCATCCTGTTGAGCTGACTTGCCTTTGCTTGCAGCGGCTAAAACTTTTGAAAGTGTCAAACCCATACCCACCTTTAACAACTTTGCTTGGTTGGTTGCAACATAAACTGAGACAGCTGCCTGACCAGAGTATTCACCAGTTTGATCCCATGGAGGTGGTGGGTTCAGCATAGGATGGAGTTGGTCATTAAAAGTTGATAGCGTGGAGAAACCTGCAATATGTTCAGCCATTGGACCCACAGGTGAGACTGGGTAGAGAATATTTGCAGGGAATTCAATTGGAGTTGTTGGTGATGGAGCTGACCAGATATTTGGAGGGAACAAAGGAATGGAATCTTTAGAAGATTCTGGGAGGTAGTTTTTATCAAATTTAACTGGATGGTCACGTTTGAATATGTCGCCCTTGATGACGACACCAGAGAGCTGTTTGAGGGTGTTAAAGGGGGGAATATTAAGTAAGATCAAGACCTACCTCAATCGCATCCCTTAATGCATTCACAGACTCATGCTTTCTTCTTTGAGATTCGGATATCTCAATTTTACGCCTAAGTTGAGATTGATGCTTTGTGTTGATATGCTGGAGAAGGACTTGAGCTTGTTTATTTTCAGAGTCAAGGAGAAGAACGTGATTGGCAGCATCTGTTGCCTCATCGAACCTCTCTAAAGCGTTCAAAGCCCTAGCAGCTCTGTATAAAGCTTTTGTGTTGCGTGGATTAATTTGAAGTACTTGAGCGGTGTCTTTGAGAGTCTGACCGAAGTTTTCTGTGTGTTTTGTTTAGAATTGAAAAAGAGAAGACATGAGACACCTACGCAATTCGAGGTTTGAAGCAGCTCTATTCGAGTAGAGTGATTCAAGTAGCGATTTATCGGATGGATTAGCATTGATAGACTGAGTATAGAACTGAATAGCCTCTTTAAACCTCTTTCCCTTGAAATAATCGTTGGCTTGCTCTTTGAATTGTAAAGCGACTTCATCAGGAGAGCCATCAAAAGTGAGTGATTGCAATGCCTGTATCGTATCATTGTCTTGATAGTTTTCAGGCAGCGACTTCATGAACAAAGGTGTCTCGTTCAGTTCTTTCTCAGTTGGTGCCCTCCTTGGCTCTGCTAGCGATGGCTTTACACCTGTTTGACCAATTTCTGCGAGCTTAGCAACGGCGTCATCGACTTCCAGCTTGGACATTTCCAGTATTTTAGAATTTTAAACTCGTTGCAGCGAAACAACCATGGCAGCGACTACAGAGGAATACAAATTCACTTGCCAGGGATGTGGATTAGCGTTTAACTTAGCAGAGGATCAGAGAACACACTTTAAATCAGATTTACATCGTTATAATATGAAGAGAAGGGTAACCGCACTTCCTCCAATTTCTGCAGAACAATTCAAGCAAAAGTTCGTAGATAATACATCATCAAAGCCAACAACTGTACAAGTAAAGCCAAATCACGTTAAAGAGAAGAATTATAAACCTGCAAAGCCAGCTAAAGATGTTCAAATGGTGGATGATAACCCTCAACTCAGTGAAGAAGAAATTTATCAACAAAGATTAAAATCTAGATTGAGCTCTTTAGATTGCTTATTCTCTAATGAGAAATTTGATTCTGTTCAGGATAACGTGAGGCATATGGAACACAATTTCAGCTTTTACATCCCAGATAGGGAGTTTATTGACAATTTGGATGGTTTAATACAGTATTTGGCTGATAAGGTTTCTATTGGTCACACTTGTTTATTCTGCAACAGATCTTTCACCTCTCTCGACTCGATAAGGAAGCACATGCTCGATAAATCTCACAATAAGATTGCCTATGATCTTCCTGAAGAGAAGGATGAAATTTCTGACTACTACAACTTCGATGTTGACCACTCTTCTACCCAGAATGACGAGGGCTGGGAGGATGATGAAGATATTCAGTCAGGCGACGAGGATGAAGTGGTCCACCAGGATGAAACTAAGGAAGAGGGTGATGTTCACTATGGTGACACTCCTTTCGAATTGGTCTTACCTTCTGGAAGGAGAATTGGACACAGATCGATGCAACTTTACTACAAACAAAGACCAATACAGACTGAACTGACGGAGAAGAAACACGATAAGCAGGCTGTGACGCATAAAATGTCAGACGACAACGCACTCATTCCTGCTAAAGGTTCTGGCTTCGGTGCGTTCGGCCAGGGCCAACAAATTATTCAGGCTCCTCACAAGGGTGATGCCAAGCTTGCGAAGAAGGCCACAAGACAGGCTAGGGATGTGCAGAAGAGAGAGCAGTTCAAGACAAAGGTTGGATACAAACACAACAACCAGAAACAGTGAGTCCGATAAAATTTTCCACTTTTCCACCACACCCCACTAACCACACACCTACACAGCTTCCGTGATCAACTGCTTCAATAGATTTGCCCTTCTTGTATACGACATTACGCATCGGTTAAATTTCACATACGTCATACCAGAGTGATTCCTGAATCGAACGCTGAAGCTTCTTTTTAAGATGCTAAGTGTCAATACCAACACAAGATCGTACCACCTTCCTGGACGATCACATTCACCATCCAACTCAATGTCGAATATCAACGAGAGAGACAGCCTTCTACCAGGCCAGCCCCGCAAAACGCACGCAGAGTCATTCAAGTGGCTGATTAAATCTGGCTGGCAGATAAATTTGCTGCTGGTCTTCGTACCGCTCAGCTTCCTTTCACATTTCCTGCAATTAAATGACAAGCTCATTTTCATTTCCTCTTTCCTCGCTATTATCCCACTAGCAAAGCTTCTCGGGGATGCCACCGAGCAAGTCGCGCTTAAGCTCGGCGATACGCTTGGTGGGCTTCTCAACGCGTCATTTGGAAATGCCGTTGAGTTGATTGTCGGTATCGTCGCACTCAATCAGGGACAGTTGAGAATTGTGCAAACGTCAATGCTTGGTAGTATTCTCTCTAATCTTTTACTCGTCCTTGGAATGTCCTTCTTCGCTGGTGGTATTGCGTACAACGAATCCGAGTTCCAGCAAACTGCTGCACAAGCATCAGCATCAGTTATGACCCTCAGTTGCATTACGTTGATTATACCTGCTGCTTATGAATCCTCATTCGGGAGGACATTCGAAGGCGAGCATGACGGACTGCTTATCATCTCCAGAGGCACTGCTCTCCTTCTCCTGCTTATCTACGGCGCTTACCTTTATTTCCAACTAAAGACGCACGCTCATTTGTTTGATACTACATCAGAAGAGGAAGATGAGGAGCCTGAAATGAACACGACGGCAGCATGCGTCGCACTGCTTGTCATTACTGTTATTACGTCATTCTGCGCTGATTACTTGGTAGGCACTATCGACACAGTAGCGCAGGAGTGGCATCTACCAAAGCCATTCATCGGTCTCATTCTCCTTCCACTCGTCGCTAATGCCGCAGAGCATGTAACGTCAGTGTGGATGGCATCTAAGGGCAAAATGCCGCTGGCTATTGGTGTATCGATTGGTTCATCGATTGTGGGTGAATTGTATTTTATAGGTGCAAATTACTAACAAACCTTTCAAAGCAAATCGCTGTATGTCTTCTGCCACTCCTTCTGGTCATTGGATGGATCATAGGTCAGCCTCTCACCCTTTTCTTCAACAACTTTGAAACTGTTTCGCTATTCGTTAGTGTCCTCCTCGTCGCGCTCATTGTCCAAGATGGAAAATCCAATTGGTTGGAAGGTGCCATGTTGGTTGTGTTGTACATTGTCCTAGCATTAGCATTCTACGTAACACCGTAGACGCAGATGCAGATGCAAATGCACATGCACATTATATTTGTATAATTTTACATAATTCCTCACATAACATGTCCTTTTACATTCTTCACGCTTCTCAATCACAAACACACAAAACAGAAAATGGTGAATAGCCATAGAGACGCATTCTTCAAGAATCCATCAGAGTTTATACAATCCATCTACGACAAACACGGGGCTGAGGGTATTGAGGAGAGGATAAAGGATGAGTTCCACAGCCTTGTTCTTCTCCCCGGCGATATGGACTCTATTGCACGCTTAGACGAACCATCTAGCGATAATCACTACAACACTCTCGTCAGATGGACTGCTATGGTCCAGGATACTGGCTACGGCACTGAGATGTACCTGTCGACATCAGCCACCAACAAATGTCTTGTCTACGGCGCAAATGAGGATGAGGTGGGTGCGAGTCCCTAAACGCGAGTAAAACACGTTCTCAGACGTGACAAAAGGAAGTGCAATACGTAAACGATTCTGATGCTCTATCGCGGATACGCGAACGTACGAATGTCTACGCTGTCGAAATTCCCGGTGACAATCGCAGTCGTAGTCGCAGTCAAAGACGCGACCTGCCAACAGGACCAAAGCACAAGTTCCCTTTGGATGGCGTCGACGACTCTCTAGGGGTGCTATTGAAGGTGCGTTACGTTGCGTGTCTTGTTAATTCTCACCCGGCTCACAACTTTCATTTCACAACTCAGATATACGACAATGATCTCGCCAGCTCACTGCGTCCAGCCACCAACTACGAATTTGTCGGCATCCTCGGCAAATCCGCCCTTCCACGGACACTCGACTCTATCGAGGATGACGGTGCGCAGGAGTATATTGTACCGTCTCTACACGTCGTATACGCGCAACCGTGCTTCAATAAGCAGACCAAAAGGGTTGAAAACAGGGGTGTTTGTGAGAGTCTACTGAATTGGCTCAAAGATGAGGTGTTCGACGGTGATGAACTTGCCGCTTACTACCTCCTGCTCGCTCTGGTGTCTCAGACGCAGAACCGCAAGGCTGGCTCACCAATTGGAACATTACCCATAACGCTTTCGTATCCCGAGAGTGAAAGCCACAGCAACGCCAGCAAGGCACCGCCCAAGATCCTCAAAGCTGTTCAAATACTATCTAACCTTTCAGCACACATCCCACTTTCTATCGAGAACCTCAACAGTCGCCGTCTGTATCCTTTCTCAAATGGGGATGACCTCCACAGTGGAAGTCTTCAACTCTCACCCTCCACAGTGCTAATTCTCGACGAAAGATTCTTGGGCCAAGGTACACTGCAAGATACCGGAGTTCGGAATGTCCATTCTATACAGAACGTGATCCAGTCGCAGAAATTGGAATATGGTTTCCCCTTCTCGTCTTTTGCATTTGATACTGATCTCATAGGCGTAGTGTTGACAGACCACTCCAAGTCTATTATACCAGGCACAGTGCATATTAAGCTGCGCGGCACACCTGAGCAGCTGTGTGGAGAGTTGGCTATACCGGACGATGCAGAGTTGTGGAGGGAGTTCATCCTCCAATCGAGATGCAAGAGTGTTGCCATTCCTGACAACATATCCAACCTCATCCAGCAGTCTTTCGTCGATGAGCGACAAACTCACAAACAGGCTGGTCTTTCCGGAGAAGGTACATCTTCAGATGACTTGGGCAGGAGGATCACCATGGCCAGATTGCTCACGTCGCTCGATGATTTCGATAAGAGTGACATGAACGAGCGTCATTGGGGGTTGATTACAAGGCTAGAAAAAGATAGAGAATCTAGAGGTGTTTGAGGATGTTTAATTGTATTGCATTGCTATACCAATTTATCATATTTTTAATCCATACTGCGCCTTATTTCAGCATTCCAGAAAGTAAATATGTCCATTTCGTGTGGCATTTCTAGCCACTCGCTCACCCACTTATAGAATCGGTCGACGTCGGCGGATTTATTGAACGAATCAAGTGCAAACAACTGACTATGATGGTCGACGGATTTAGATGACGATGATGCCCCGATGATGCGCTTGATATCAGATATGAACATGGGCGATATGCTCTCATTGAGCGCTATTATGCATCTGAATAGCGTAGGTTTAGAAGGAGCCATGCCCAGCTCTCGCATCCAACTCAAAGCTTGAAGGATGAGGTTGGTGTTTTCGTACGACCCGCCAGAAGATCGTCTCTCGAATAACATCTTGACATATGCATCAAAATGCTCACTCTTGATTGAAACGCTCGTTAAATCAATCTCTGGTGTAGATTTGGTGAGGAGATTATCCCAATTTCCAGCACTGTACGTTAGCGTGACTGGCGCATTGACAGAGTGTAAATGAGGAAATTGACTCAAGAGAAGTCCTCTGAAAACACCTTCGATCCTCCTCCAAAACATCTCCGAGTGCTCAAGAACATCACTGTGATGACCAAGTGTCAAATCGCGCAGCTCCGCCCTAAACCCTCTTCCAAGTTCTTTGATGTGATATTTGAGTGAATTGTTGTGATAAGCTTCTACTATGAAATATTTGCACGGATATAGTCCCCCAATACCCCCCTTAAACTTGCTGTGCTGGTTAAAGGATGCCTTCAACGTTATTTCAAACGTCGACGAATTCGGCGCTACTTTCCACCTTCCGCGCAGTAAAGCACTCCAAACCCACCACACACCGTATTTTTCACGCCTGAATGCCAGACTGTTGAGAAGGGGATGTACAACGCCTATTGCGTATTTACCTGCGTACTCATCTAGTAACTCGACGGCCTCGTTGTACAAACCTAGCTGTGAGTAGGATTGTATTACTGGTTTGAGCATTCCATTTAAATGCTGCTGGTTGTGAAAGTGATATTGAGGTTGGATGAGCTTGTATATACCAATCACATCATAGTACAACCTCCTCAACGCTAAACCACGCATTATAGACGCATATCCTATACTTTTTGATGAATCTGGCAGTGAATTGAGCATTTCGAGCAATCTGCTAGGCGTGAATTGGTTCGATTTGGCCATTATACCGAGTATAGACAGCTTGGCTTTGTCCGAGTAGCTGTTTGTGTCTAGACTGTTATAATAAGCTTCTGCTGCCATAACATCATCTTCCAGCGCTGATATGAAAGTCGATTGTGCACATTTCCACTGATAGGTGGAAACGTTTGGAATTTTCCCGATCTGTTCCAAATACACCTGCGATTCATTCACACTGCCTCTTTTCGCGGAAACCTTCAAAGCCTGATAGAGGATATCGAAGTCAGGTGAGATACCAGCATCGTACATCCTCTGCCACAATTTGATCGTGAAAGATGAATCACGCCATTGCATCTTTTTCGACCAAATGACAGTGAGGATTGAGTGATTGAATTTAACGCCCTGCTCAATCATTCTGTCGACGACATCCAACAGCAGCGTCTGTCGTAGTTTGTCGTCCATGTTATGTGGTCTGTGGATGAATCTAATAAGTTTGTAGTACTCCTTGGTATTTAAATTGGGCTGTGAAAGCAGCATATGTACGGCTTGCTTCCAAACGCCCTCTCGACTGATGTCGTTGTACGAGATATATCTCAGGTTTTGGAGTCCAATTGATAACCGTGAATGCGATGGGAGTGATGGCCACCTCTGTAGCAAGTCATGGTGGAATTTAATAGCTTCGTTTGGATTCTCATACGCTGTTTTCGTGTACTGGAGGAGATCTCGCGGCCAGTGTGCTTTGTAGATATCAATGTCGCTATTATTGATGTTGGGTATTTCAGTAGTGTAGTAGCATACGCTACTCGCTCGCAGTCGTAGCGCGTAGCGCGTGCATTGTAGCATTGAGATGATGGTTGTAAGAAGAGAAGACAGAACGGAGAAGCTCGTGTAATAAATATTCTATGTATAATTAACCATGAATACAAAACAAAATAACGCTTTCTACTCTTCATCCTCGTCCATTTCAACCTCCTCGTCGTCCTCATCGCCATCCTCCTCCTCAGCATCAGGCGCAGCCTCGAGATCGCTGTCATCATCCTTAATCTCCACCGACTGCGTGCGTTTCTGCTCTCTCGCCTTCCTCAATATCTTAACAAAAGCGCCGAGAGTGGTTGATTCAACTGAAGTGCTTTCCAAAAATCGATCAATCTGTCCTCTTTCACCGGGACTGAAGTCTATCTTGACTCTCTCATTCTCGATAAACTTAGCCTGTGCCTCCAGTCTCTCGACCAGTGACTTGAATTGACCGACAACTTTCTGTCCAGAAGGGCACTTTTTCATCGTTTTTCTGAGTATATGCACGACAGGTACGATCGATTCTGGGAACGCGATACTCGTGCCTATTGTCATGAATGCTTCTGCGAGAATATATATGAGTTCATCCGCCAATTCCTCGACATAGACGCGAGTGCGACTGTACGACGTTGGTACTCTAATATAAAATTCAAAGTCTATAGGCTTCAAGGTGGACTTTTTAGGCGCGCGTTTGAATTCTGCAGATGAAAGTATCTCTAATAGCGGCGCTGAGATTGGTATGTACGCTCCGGTGCGCTGCTCCAGTCTCAGCAACGATCTCAGCATGTGGAAGCGCAGTGGGAAGTATCTCGAAGTTGGCACGAGACGCACAGCACCCAAACTAACCTGCACCAAAGGATAGATTAACGCTTGGAGTTCAGACTCAGGTGCTGTCTTGTCGTTCGCTAAGCTCAATACTAAGCTCCAGAAATCGACACAATGAACATATTGCCAATTGTATACCTGTTTAAAAGATTCTTTAATTTTAGTTTTCATTGATCCTCTGAGCAGTATCGCAAGTTGTCTTATGTAACCAAATGCTTGCTGATAGGATGCACCGTGGTCGAGTGTGTACAATTCCACAGCCGTGTTTTTCATGAGATTAATCTGTGGCAGGGTGTGAATGCTAGTTTGTTTGCATGCTCTGACGAATGTGAGGTATGTTGACTGGGAGGAGGTTTAATGAGACTTTTGTTGTAAGCAGTGTGCTCACCTTCAAAACTAGATCTACTACACTGGCATCACCAGCCAAGGCAATCTTGCGTACGGACATATACGCTGCGATACGAACACTATCGGTGGCGGAAGACCACAAATCGAGGAGAGTCTTGAGCAGAGACTTTATACCTTTCCTCCCACCGACTATGTATGGAATAATCTTACCAACCTCACTAACGGCGACTTTGAGAATACCGCCGTCATCTTCACTCTCCTCGTCGAGGTTGTCAGACGTAGCAGGGAAATGTGATATCAAGTATAGGGCGCTGTTGACGTAGGTTGAGAGTAGCTTAGGGAGGATAGAGTTAGGGGATGGTGAGATTTTAAATCTACCATTATCGAGCTCCTTACACGGCCAATGGTGGTTAAGGACTATGGGGGTGAATTTGAAAGTAGTGAGAATGACTTTATTGAAAAGATCAGCCGACTCGATGTCGTAAGTAAAGTTTTGAGATTGCTTTTTAGGCATGTCTTCAAAGTCAGTTGAGAAGGCGGCAGATCTGAAGGCAAGGATGAGCTTTTTGAAGGACCTCAAGCTACGATGGTGGATGATAGCCCTTTGCCAATCTCTGAGCATCTTTTTGGTAAGCTTTGTCGTAGATCTCTTCTTCTCGCCGTCAAATTCAGCTAAAGCAGCGGCCTCCTCGTCATCAGAATCCTCGGGTACGGACTTTTCATTCAGGTCATCCTGGTCATCGTCAGAGCCATTGAATTGTAACAATTCATTATCATTCTCCTTTAAGAATTTGTAGAATTCTGGATCAGTTTTGCTGAGGTTTTTGATTGCTTCGGTGTGAGACTTTTCATCGAGTTCAGCGTCAGAGTTTTCAGCCTCAGCGTCTGAGACGTTAACGCCTTCGGAGCCATCGGAGTCATCGGCGTCATCATCATTGTCATCACCACTAAGTTGCATATTGAGTACGTCGTCAACGTTTTGAGAGTGAGAGTGATCAGGGAGATCGTCATCCTCGCTTTCTTCAGCGTTTGAGTCAATCTCAGGTTGATTTGCAGAATCATTTGATTGGTCAGGGTTATTCTTATTCTTTGGCTTATGATCCTTCTTTGCCTGGGCCTTCTTCTGTCTAACATCACGCTTATCCTTGACAGCTTTTACTTTCTTACGATTATCAAGCTGATTCTTTAATTTACCCGATTGAGAGAATTTCTTTGTCTGTTTGCCCAATTTAGCCATGGTGGTTGGTGAATACGAGTATGAAATGATAAATTTTGGTATAAAGAGTTACACGAGTTGTAATATCACTTTATCTTTACGTATTAGCTACTGTATTTTTATTCTCTTTACCGGATTCAGTCTCCACAGCTTGACCACTCTTACCCTCAATCTTATCAGCAGCTTCTTCGGCTTGTAGCGCAACATCGTTAAGCTCTTCGAAAGTAGCTGGTGCAGGTACAGGTGGCAATTGTGAACCGCTTGCGACTGTACCTTTAGTTTCTGTGCCCCTGTAATGATTTATGAGTTAGAGGATAAATTTTCACCTTTACGAAGTGATGAAACCCACCAATCAATAGCAACACGCGTAACACGAGGTTTGTCAACAAGAATACTTCTATTCAAGTGATCAAAATCGATTTCCGCAGGTGGATTCTCCTTTAATTCATCTGAATCATACTCATTGTGAACGTAGTAACCAACGCGTACAAACTCTTGATCACGATAGCTTGCAGTGAGTAAGAGAACAGTAACGCCTAGAATCTCTTCTTTTGGAATTTTATCGACACTTGGTGGATTCGCTTCGAAAGTGAAAGAGTTTACACCAACAGGGACAGGGCCAACGAGGCAGCTATCCAATTCTTGATCAAAATTTACACTAGATGAGGATCCAACATAGATTAGCTTCCATTCCAAATCCTCTGGGAGATGAGAAATGCACTCAAATGTAACAGTGAATTTGAATGGATCTGACCAGCGTGCGTTTGGATTTCCAACTTGAACGTCTCTGTCGGTTATGATTGAGTTAAAATCCTATAAACACGCGTAATTACCCACCTAATTGAAATAATCGACATGACTGATTCCTTTCAAACGCCTTCAAGATTCCTTAGTTCTCAACAACGAATATGACGTTGAAAGTTAGTTGGAATTTAAAATAAATAAAAATCTAATTTATTCTTTAAGCCTTCTATTTACGATAATCCTAATAGCCAAGTTATTGTGACGGAAACTTCAAATGATTTGGTACACGTTATAGGTCAAGGTAGAGAGCTTTTACAGGATAAGCTAGGTAGTTGCAATGAATTTATAAGAAGTGGCGTTGATGGATTCATACGCTTCGAAGATTGCGTTAAAAGTGGGTGATTCGCAGTTGTTTACCATTTACACCCATTTAACCCTCCAAGTACAGCCCAATCTAATCAAATTTTGGATAAGAATGAGCAGTTATCACCAAATATCTTTTATATCGCAGTCGCCGGTCTCGGTGGTTCTATTTTAGCCAGAAACTCGAACATACTGATGAGATTATCATTACCACCTACAGCTGCTTTAGCTACGTCATATCAATTACTCCCACAATCAACTTCAAACGGTTTCAACAAGCTAACTTCCATCGAGGAATCTAAATTCCCTCAACTACACAATCAAAGACTTGAACTGAAAAAGTTCATCTCAAATAGCTTTATTGACACCAAAAACACTTTCAGCGGTTGGAATGACCTTGTTCAACAAAACACAAACAAAGGGTTTGATAAGATTCAAGAAATGACTGGATTTAGAGTTGGTAATTAGATATTTTGATAGCTAGAATGATATATTGTCTTTGACACTTTGTTGGATTGCTGAGGTTGTTGAGTGTACATTTTCCCATATCACCCTCACCGCATAATCTGGTTTGTTCTCTTGAATTTTTTCATCTGAGACTTTGTTAAGGTGGCAGCATAAATCGGCTAAACTTGAACGCATTTGATTTTCATTAGAATCGCTAACCGATTCCTTCTGATAGCCAGCAACCTTGCACCACTCACCCTCCTCTTCACGTGACAGACACGCCATTCTTAGCGCCATCAGCGTCCTCTGCGATGGCCACGCAGGTGCAGGATACAGATGTAGAGTGTAGTCATCCCACAAATCATTCTCTTGCAACTGGTCTCTCTTCCAATCCTCTTTAATCAATTGTTTCACCAAATCACTAATGTTCACCTCTGTGAAAGCGTTCTTCTCCCACCCCAGCACAAAACCATACTCTGCGAGAAGAAAGTCATCACTATGAGGGCCATACATGAAACATATCTCTGTATCTGGTGGTATAGTATGAGTTGAGTTATTAACAAGTTCATAACCGCCTTCGCGCAAAGGAATTTCAGGTTTTGGGAGGGCGTTGAAGAGGTTTGTAGTGTTGGGCGAGGGCGAGGAGTGATTGAGAAGGTCGAGATAGGGGCACAGAGAGAGCTGCGAATCTTTCTCCACGTCCTGGATTGGATAGTAGAGGCAGCGGGTGTTGACGACGAGCCACGCCCATTTGAACACCTCTGCGATTGGCTGTGTGTGTTTCTGTATCAGTAACTTTGACGCCTCGAAATGACTCCTAAAAGCCGCGAAATCACTCTCAAACCGGTGTGAGACATGTTCAACCAATTTTCGAACGTGGATGGGCAGCCTGTCTAGCTTCTCCTGTGGCCAGCACAATGGATGGAACGAGAAATCGGCTGGGAGTGTATCGAGATAGGGCGATTCGAGACGCGTGCACTCCAAATCGCCCATTCTAAGCCGTGTGAGGTGAGAAGAGAGGATTTGGAAACTGGTGAGAGAGCGCGGATAGCGTTGTCGGATGGATTCAGACTCCACATTCAGCAAACACTGCTTGGGGATAAATAGAAAGACTTCCGCTGGCTTGTCGCGTGTAAGTGGGCATCAGCACAGCCAAACTAAACCAACGTGTACGTGGGTGCTGGTGAGGAGAGAGTATCCGCCGTGGCTTGTGAATTGCGGCCGTAGTGCAGTCACTGCACCGTAATCGGCCACTAAACTATCTTGGAATCGATCCACCATCGTCGAGTGAGATAAAGCGGGTTTTCTGGGTATTTGAATAGCAAATTATAATTCAATTTATATTACGAATTAACTTTAATCTTCCCATGTCCAATTCTCTCGAAACTGAAATCATGCCCGCGCCGCCGCCGCCGCCTGGGAAGCAGGGCAGCAATCTATACCACAAACTAGAGAAGTTAGAGGAAGCAAAGTGGGTTAAGGGGGATGATGAAGACGCCGCACCAGCTTACGCGCCACACAGTCCATCTCCCCCTCCCGAAGCGCGTGCGGGAGAAGGTCAAGGGGAAGGTGAGCGAGAGCGGGAGATGGAGCAGAAGCAGAAGCAGCAGCAGCGAGAAGGGGAACAAGGAGAAGCGATGCCATACAACGCCAGCGCTGTGATGCCGCAAGCGTATCCGGCGCGATATACCAAACCGAGCACATCGCTAGCTCCGCATGTGAAGAAGAGCGCGCGCAAGCAAACTCAAACTAACGCGCACACTCTCAACAACAATCATGAGTGGTGTGACGCGTGTGGAGGTGAAGGGCGCGTTATCATGTGCGATGGTTGCGACAGCTCCTTCCATGCTAGCTGCTTCGATCCTCCGATGGATATGGGCGAGGTGGAACTAGGCGAAGATGCAGCGTGGTATTGCCGCACTTGTGCACATGCCAAAAGTCAATCTCACCCTCACTCCAACTCCAACTCCACCCAGCCATCCCATTGGGTTGGCCAGCTTTGCCATGCGCGCGATACATCCAACCCTACGTCATTCAGTCTACCGGTGGGTATACGCAACTATTTCGTCGGCGGTAGGTGCCTCGATTGGGTTGCGATAACGCGCTAACTGTAAACACCACGCACAGTCGAAACAGCCCATGATGGGTCTTACTCCACTTCGAACGACTCGAAACCGGTGAAAACGGATCGTTTCGGCGCAGCGCTGACGGAACGCGAAGCATACCCAACGCGAGACAAGAATGGTGGGGTAGTGAGGTGTTACAGGTGTCAAGGCACAGCAGCGCCAGCGTTGAGTGAGAGTGGGGATGTTGAGAGTGGCGGGAGTGTTAATAGCAATAGCAAAAGCAATAGCAAAGACACCCCCAATAATACCAGCAAACACAACACTCACCCACTCATCACCACACCATCTTCTACAAACGCAGCACACACGCAATGGCGTAAAATGGTCAGCTGCGATTACTGCAACTGCTACTGGCATCTCGATTGCCTTTCGCCACCTATCACTCACATACCGTCGCTCGCTCGTATGTGGATGTGCCCTTTGCATGCCGAACATGCAAAATCGATGCATATGGAGGTGAGTATTTTTCTGGTCGCTCTTTCAGCAGACCTCAACTCACACTCACACTCACAATCCCACTCCTACTTACACCACCAAGATGAAAAACAGAATACCGAAGGAGCACGTAAAAGAGGTAAACAAGAAGTTGGAGAGAAGTGATAGCGTTACTTTTATAGGCAATAAAAGTAAACGCTCGAAAAAGTTGGATGACCGGCTTGATAAGGAGAAGTTTCACATACCGGAAAGGTCGATACAGCTGGCATTTTGGGATAAGCTTTATGACAAGAGTGGGAGAAGGTCTAGGTAGGGGTGGTATTCTTGGTGGATATGAGTATGAGTGCTGATATAACAATACAGACTGAGCTACTCGAAATCATTCTTGGATGATGAACCAACTATCAACGCAGTAGATGGACTGATGGCGTTATCGAAGCCTACAGCGAGCGAGACACGGAAATTAGTGAGACGGGTAATGACGGGGAGAAGGGCGACATTGAAGGAGGTGAGTTGGTGGAGTGAATTGATACAGTTGATATTGACAATGAGCACAGGAAAAGAAGAGGAACCAAGAGGAGACAAAGAAAGAGATGAATACGATGAACATGCCTAATGCGACGAATACGACGAATAAGATGAATAACAAAGAAAGGGAAAGAGAGGGAGAAGGACAAGAGATATCAGATAGTAGCTCACTCAGTTCAGTGCCGATGAGTGATGATGAAAAAGAAAAGCCACCTCACTATGTGGATCATGCTCGGTATAACAAGCTGAGTACGATAGAGAGGCTTTTGCATTTAAAAGGGGAGAAGGAGACAATAGAGTTTTTAAGTCAGTGAATCGATTGTAATTATCTTGGTTGTTGACTGCGATGAGTGGTACACAGCCATTCAAATGGAATCAAAGTAGTAATATACCAAAGCTTAAGCCAACAAACACTAAGAGCCCCAAGTACGTGGACCATATTAGCGTCGGGAGCTGTGTGGCTATACCAGAGGATTTCGTTGTAAATCACCGCACACAGGCCAAGCAGACGGATATAAAGGAAATAAAAAAAATAAAACCAATAAAACCAAATTTCAGTCAAAGGACTTCTAGTTTGCAGTGTAATACGCACACACACTCACGCTATCCTAGCAATCTAATCCCAGTGGAGATGAAGGAGGAATTGAAGTTGGATAAGGATTGGGCAACGAATTTGCTGAATAATGCTTTCAATATGTAGTAGGCATGGTAAAGCACAATGCAGATGGCAATCAGCAAACAGCAGACAGCAGACAGCACACAGATATTTATATTTACATTTTATACCCTGGAATTTACTTGATAATATTTTATTTTTATTGATTTGTATTTTACTTGTTTGATCTCTACTTCCATCTCTAACATACGCCGCATACTCAACATGTCTTCGTGCGCGGGTTTAAACTGCGTGTCTACAAGCGCAACGATGCAATGTCCTAAGTGTAAGGATCTCAACATTTCTTCCTTCTTCTGCGGCCAAGACTGCTTTAGGAAAAGCTGGTCGAGCCACAAGACGGTGCACACACAGAACCAGCCCAGCCAACCCAGCCAAACTACAAACGATCCACATCTCCTCAAACTTGCGGCTGCTCTCCAGCAATCTGGCACCACCGGTATCGGCAAAGGCGAGCCTATCGAACAAGGCGCATACGACCCAAATCCAAATCATCCATACACAGGCACACTTAGACCCCACTATCCTCTTTCTCCGAGGTCTGCTGTCCCTCAATCTGTTGCCCTCCCTGACTACGCTAAAGACGGTACGCTCAACCTCCTCAAAGCCACTTACGGGTGAGTGTTGACTGTCTTCCCTATGCAGGTTACCCACGCGGTGAAACTAGATTGGCCAAAGGTCTCGCTTCTGTAAAGAGGCTGTCCGAGGTGGAGATTGATACCATGAGACGCGTTTGCAGGGTGCGTGGTTCTTTGTCTCACTCTTTTTTTACATCCAAATCTAATTTTCTCTTCAGCTCGGCCGATACGTCCTTAATCAGACTGGAAACCAAATCAAGCCAGGTGTCTCCACAGACCAGCTCGATAAATACGTTCATTCGCTCTGCATGGCCAACAACGCCTACCCGTCTCCGCTCAACTACCATGGTTTTCCAAAATCAGTTTGCACCAGTGTAAATGAAGTCATCTGCCACGGCATACCCGACAAGCGCAGACTGAAGCAGGGCGACATTATTAACCTTGACATAAGTCTGTTCAAGAATGGCTTCCACACGGATCTCAATGCTACTTTCGCTGTTGGGGAGATAGATGGCGAGAGTCAGCGGCTGATCGACACTACGCGTAGAGCGCTCGATAACGCAATCGCCATCTGCAAACCAGGCACACCATACAGGAACATTGGCGGGGAGATACAGCCGACTTGCGACGAGCAGGGCTTCTCAGTCGTCAAGACTTACACAGGTCATGGCGTTGGCAGAGAGTTCCATCAGGCGCCAACTATCCTCCATCACTCCAATCTGCGCAGCAAGGGCGAGATGAAAGTGGGGCAGATATTCACTATCGAACCTATGGTAAATGCTAGCAAGAGCTACCATGTTGAACATTGGAATGATAATTGGACTGCTGTTACTCGCGATGGCGTTAGGAGTGCGCAGTTTGAAGAAGCTATTCTCATCACTGAGGGTGGTTGCGAGGTTCTCACTGCGGATGACGATTATTCTCCACCTGCTGACCATATCTCCATTCCCCATGTAAAGGCTGATGAGGGTGTTGTCACGATCAGTGATATATAGACATTGACATGATTTTAGGGATTTGCGTATATAGATTTGTATATAGATGGATATTTCTGTGTATATAGACAGATGCATAGTTTTGTCATACCTCACTCCCTATGTAGGTATTCTCCACTCTCTCGAAATAGGGCTTGGCTAAGCGTATGTTCATCTGTATAGCAGATGGTGCTGTAAAGTAGAGTTAAATTAGTTTGTGCAACACGCACATACCCACGTATATCGATATTCTCCGTTATCACTAGTATGTATGTGTTGATAGTGAGCGGTTCGAGTACCGCGTTGTAGTCCATCTCCGTCAGTTGCATTGAGTTGAATTGGTTGTTGAGCTTGGCGCACGACTGCTTGAATGCCTTGATAAGTTGCGATATCTGCTCGAATCTGTGCCTGGATATTGTGAGATTCCGGGTGGGTATGTGAGTGTATTGGTTGGGGTGGGAGTGGTGATGCTGGTGATGCTCCTGCTCTCGCTCCTGCTCACAATCGCAATCGCACTCACATTCACACTCCCACTCATCACCACCCTCTAAATCCCACTCCTCGCCGTCCTTGCGCAGTGTCGTCTTCCCAATGACGAGAAAAGTGCTCCTCTCAAACAGCACCACCTCAGCAGCGTGTGTGGTACTAGCGAAGTGCGCCAATGCACTGCTCATCTTGCCCGACGACGGCAGCAACTTGGTAACTATCTTAGACCACGCCTTGTACAGCGACTGATCCCATATGCTAGTCATGTAGCATTCCGTGTGTATGCCCGGTGTACCTCTTCCTGTGTCGAAGAGTGGCTGAAGGGAGTGAAGAATTTCAGCCTTGCGTCTGCTATACACTAAACAAGCGTCGTGTTTGGCGATAAGATCTGTTTTGTTAATGAGGATGAACAATCTGAGCGGGGTGTCGGAATTGGTGTCGCTGTCTTTCAAACACTGTAGACTTTGTATAAACCAGTCGAGCTCTTGGGATGCAGCGGATGGGGGAGTGGTGATGTCGAATACGTAGATGAGAACACTGACGTTATGGTACAGGTGTGTGTCACTCCCACTCCCGCTTCCCCCTGAATCACAGATAAGCAGACTGAGTGAGTTGAGCAGCTCGAGTGGGTGGGAGTGTGACTGCGCATGCGACTGCGATGGAGATGGCGATGCGATAGAAGGGGATGCTTGAATATTTGAAGGGTGTTTGTTGCTAAGTGGGTGTCAGTGTGAGTTTGTGCGCCACCATTCAACACCAGACTAACAAAATAATAGACCTCATCGAAGCTTTACCAGCGCCTATTAAAAATTAGAGTTGGTCTATTGAATTTATAGCAACGATCCACCCACCACTCTTTCCCATCAGCAGCACTTTCTTCATCTTCTTCATCTTCACCGTCGATGAACAACGACGACAACAGCGACTACTGGGCGTATATCGCAGGCATAAGAGATCTGGGCGTGGGCGGGAGCACATCCACTCACCCGACCCAACACATCACCCAGAGCAGCACCAGTAAACAAGATAACTCTGAAAGCGATGCTTCTGGTGAAGATGACGTTGAATTGGATTTGGATTTAGATTTAGATTATACGCGTGTGACCCAGCAGCCAGCTCACTTGGCTCATCCACATCATCCACCCACCCAAATGAGCCACAACGACGTAGAATCGCGCAACCAGCGTGAAAGTCGCATCAGAAGCGATCTCACCACCGCCAGTGCCTCTTACATAAACGAAACGCTCAACCAGCGCACCAAACGCGACAAACAGGGCTCGAATCCGAAACGCGATGCAGGTAGTTCGGGCGACGCGGATAACGGAGTTGATAACGCAGGTAACAACAGAAATACTAGCACAAACAGTGGACACAGTCTACGCTGTGCTTATTGCTTGGGCGACTACGCGTATAATAACAAGACGCAGAGACAAGAAGCTATGGTGACATGTGCACGCTGTGCGAGTAGTGGTGGGTAGCACCGTAGTTGATATCACCCGATTTCTAACAACCCCCAAAAACAGCTCACCCTACCTGTTTGCACTTCACACCTACCCTCACACAAAACGCTCAGGCATACGACTGGTGTTGCGTCGATTGCAAAGGGTGCGAGGTTTGCAGACATAAAGGAAACGAGGATGATATCATCTTCTGCGACTTATGCGATCGTGGTTGGCACATGCATTGCTTGAGTCCTGCCATCACTCAACCCCCACCGGGTGATTTTGCCTGTCCTGTGTGTAGAGGTGTGTCTTATCAGCAGCGGGTTGAGGAAGAGGAAGATAAAAGGAGAGAGGAAGAGAAGGAGAAGGATAAAGAGAAAGAGACATTGATAGCACAGTCTACTTCCCCTACAAACACCAATCACACAACGAAACATACCACTACAAACCCAAGTCTCCCACACCACACCTCACAATCACCTCTAGCTCTACAACTCCAAATGCAGCTGCAGAATCCAACGCTCGCCCCAACTTTCCAACCTCCGCCGCCAATGCACGACAACCAACCAACACCGCGACAATCAGCAACCATCCTCAACGCTAGTAAAGCAATGCTGATGGGAAGACAGACACTGCCGCACTCACTTCTCCCTCAAACGCCCGATTTAAGCACTGTGGTTCCCACTGAGACACCACTCAAAAGAGGCAGAGGTAGACCACCAAAGAAAGTGCAGGATGGCCCATTAGGTACTCCTCACTTATTCAAGGATAAGCCTGATAAACCTAAAAATCCGGTTGGGAGGCCACCAGGACCGAGAGCGTCACTAAGTGCTCCCAAGAGAATAAACACTTTTGTCGTTATCGATAATGATGAAGATAAGCTTGTGGAGAAGGAAAAGAAAGAGAGGGATGAGAGAGAGGAGAAGGAGAAGGAGGAGAAAATTGATATGGGAAAAAAGAAACATGCTGAGAATATGCAGGTGGATGGCCAACCACATAAGCAAGAACATCGACAATCACCTTATCCAGAGACTCGGGACGACTCAGGGCAGCAGCCGATGGAGGGTGTGGATACTGCTGAGAGTGCTGCTCCATCTGCACCTGTTGAACAGTCTTATAGGGAAATGCAGCAACTCCAGCAAATCTCCCAAAAAACCCTCCAACAACCTCCTCATCCACACCATATTAACAGTGAAGACAAGGAGAATGAGCACGACACAGAGGATAATGACCCATTTGGTGGTGTGCTCAAACCCGATGAAGCCCAAGTGCTACATACGACCCCACATGCGGAAGAGAAGAACAAATTTGAAATTACACGCAGAAGAGCTGAGGTAGGTTTCCAGTTTGCTTTAGCTTTCCCTTACATCCCGACTAACAACCACCAATTAGATCGAACTGCAGCAGAAAGCAAAACGACCAGCCCAAGTACTACAAACAGTGCCATCAACCTCACACACGGACGAGCACAAGTCAAAATCGCAGCCCATCAAATCGCTCCTCTTTGGCGACTACGAGATACAAACTTGGTACGCCGCTCCGTATCCTGAAGAATACACCAATCTACCCAACGGCAGAATGTATCTGTGCGAGTGGTGCTTGAGTTATCGTAAATCTGAATTTCAAATGAAGAGGCACCATCGCAAGTGCAAATACCACTCTCCACCAGGCGATGAAATATACCGGAGTGGAAATGTAAAGATATTTGAAGTTGATGGTCGCAAGAATAGAATATACTGTCAGAATCTCTGTCTCCTCGCAAAGATGTTCCTTGATCACAAGACGCTTTATTACGACGTAGAGCCTTTCCTCTTCTACGTAATCACTCAGCATACACCGCTAGGGGAGGAATTTGTTGGATATTTCAGCAAAGAGAAACGCTCGGGTATGGGATACAACCTAAGTTGCATCATGACGCTCCCTATTCGACAAAGGAAGGGATGGGGCATGTTTGCGATAGATTTCAGCTATCTGTTATCGCGCAAGGAGGACAAGATCGGTACACCCGAACGACCACTGTCGAAACTTGGTTTGCTGTCGTATAAGAGATACTGGACGACGGCTATTTACAAGGCTTTGCTTAATACACCCGAACCACACACTCTAGGACAATTGAGTGATGTTACAGGAATGACAATTCCAGATGTTACTTACACCCTCCGACTCAATCATCTCATTCATGGCGTCAACACGGGCGATGGGGAAAATCACTACGTCAACGAATCTAACACTTACAGAACTCGAACGAATAAGCCAGTGCTTGAGGAACACCCAGAAAGAGTGAAGAATGACGACCCTACTAGTGTGCCAGTACCGCCACCAAATAGTTACAGAATTAGCTTTAATAGAAATACACTGGAAGCTTACCTAGCAAAAGATGCTATAAAGGGTTATGTTAGACTTGATAAGGATCAGCTGAGGTGGCAGCCATTCATTACTCATCATACACAATTGTTCAAATCTGATGACAAGGAGAAGAAGGTTGATGAGGAAGGGAAAAAGGAGAGTAGTGATAATGTAGAACAGCGTATAGCGCAACAAACAGACCAGCAAATAGAAGAGCATAATGACGAACCATCTTCACAGCAGACACAACCCCCACAAGATACCCCAATGACATGCTAAGTTAATCACACTACTAATCAAGAGAGTATCAAATAAACAAATATTCTTGTACAAGTACTACAATATTTAAACAAAGAGTGTTTTCCTTAAAAGTTGAAAAAATTGAAGAGGTTGAAGAGATAGAAGGGATTGGTAGGATAATACAGCGTGAGATTTGGTGATAAGCGTAAGTGTCGTTAGTCTATAAGTTCTTCAAATCTGCCCCTCTTTCTATGGATATGTGATTCAACGCTGTCGTCGTCCATGGCACGTTTAGCAGCAGCAGTAGCTATAGCCACTGGTGACGCTCTTCCTTGATAGTTGCTAGAGCCATCCATAGCACCCGAAGCTAATATACCTTGCAACATATTAACATAATTCTCATCTGACATTCCCATTGAAGCTAATGGATTAACAGTTTCACCATCATCGCTCGTCATTGCTTGGGCAGCTAGAGTTGCAGGGTTGAAGTGAGAATGAGAATCCTGATCTTGATGATTTGGTTGTGGTTGTGGTTGTGGTTGTGCCTGTGGTTGTGGTTGTGCAGGCTGCTCTGTTTGCTCTGGTTGCTCCGACTGACTTTGTTGATTAGGTATAACTGCTTGAGCTGTCGATTGTAAGGCTTCAGATATGGATTGGTCATTGAGTGGTGGTAAACCTAGCGCACGTGGCACTTCACATAATTGTTGCATCGTCTTGAGATGTAATAAGTGCTTCTCTACCATACCAAATAAACCTTCTTTGGTAAATGGTTTTGGTAGAATATCATTCATTCCGTGGCTAAAGTAGTTGAGAATGTCATTTGGATTGCTATTAGAAGTCATTGATATAATTGGTGTCATTGGGTCAAATTGTCTGATAAGATTTGTCGCTGCAACTCCATCGAGATTTGGCATGACAATATCCATCAACACTAAATCATACTTGGTGTAATTCATTTTGTTTACCGCTGACACTCCATCGTCCGCAACATCTATAGTGCATCCGAATATTTGTAGAAACTTGGATGAAAGCTTCCTACACACTGCATCATCTTCAACTAGCAATACCCTCGGTGGTACTGTCCAATGAGCTTCAGGTTTTTGAAGACTTTGTAAGCTTATGGGGGGATCTTGGGGTTCTTGTTTAACAATCGATGTAGATGCACCGAGATTTGAAGTTTGTGCGGCTGGTTGTTGTTGATAAACGTTGTTTTCACCGTCTCGTTGTCTGAGCTGACCCAATGTGAAGACTTTCAAACCTTGAGTTGAGGGAGTTGCAGATGTGGGGGCTGACTGAGCTGTGGATTGAGATGCTGACTGAGATGCTGATTGAGATGTTGAAGTCACTGATTGAGGCTGAGGGCCATGCACCATTGGTGGTGTGGGTTGTACTTGGGAGGAAGATCTCTTTCGTTGAGAAAACTGAGTGATTCTGCCATTCAAATCGTTTAAGAGGTTAAAGGAACTTAAAGAAGCATCTTTGTAGTTGGATATAAGTCTATTAACGTTATCGCTGTCAAGGTAATTGTTATTACTTGAGATATTCTGTTGGATGAGGTGATGTAAGATACTTTGCATATGTTGATCCTGGTTGATAAGAGAGCGCTGAAAAGACATGATACCATTTACTACGTGATTATAATTGGATTGTAAGTTGTTCAGCTGAAAATTCGATTCCTGTTGATTTTTGGTCAAGTTTTCAATTTGTTGTTGAATGTTAGTAATCTCGTTTACAGTTGTCTGGTTTTGTAATTCTTGCGCAGCGTTTGTATTCTGTTGTTGAGCAGTTGGTTTACCTTTACCAGTAGGAGCTTTTCTTTTGATATTTTCAAGGGAATGACGACAGTTAGCTTTGAATTCGGGATGTTTAAATTCCCAAGTCTGATCACCCCAAGGTTTCTCTTCACCTTCCTCCCTCTTTACTTTGTGAAAATCGTATTTGTTTAGTTGTCTAACGAAAGAAGCAAAGTTTGAGTGTTTGAAGTGGCGTGGAAGTATTTGTTTAGTGAACTCGTTCATTTCCTGTGTAATGTCAGATGTGAGTTTATATAACATCAGATAACACACCTTCACAACAAATGATTCACCTGAAGGGGACCAACAAACAACAGAAGAGTACTGCGAATCTTCAAGCATCCTTGATTAAGAAATATAAGTCGTTTACTTGATAAATCTTAGTCAACCACTCACATGAACAATTTCTTTACGAAATCTGAAGGACCAGAAGAATTGTTATTCATTGGTTGAAATGAAGGTTGAATAGAATTATCACTCTGTATAACTGATTGCCATTGATCTTGTGGTTGTGCTGTGGTTGTGGGTACAGTACTAGCAGTACTAGGAATACTTCCTGAGCTCCCAGCACCACTAGAATTCCATCCGGAATTCCAATTATTTGTTGAATAATATAAATTATTATTGAATTCCATATCCTTGACGTTTATTTGATAGGTTTGCTGATATGATTTATTTGGTTTAAATTACAAGATAATCTTTAGAAAAATTTCAACAGCAATGCATAATCCTTTTTATAAAGGTAATTGACTTAATAATCTCCTCTCAATCTCATAATAGTCTGCGTCTTGATCAAGTTCCATTGATTGATATGGTTCAATGCAACTTGATCTTCTACTATTCCCCTTACCTGCTATTTGTGCATATGACCAAGGTGATGTTGATCCAACGCTTGAATTCGATTGAGGTGGTGATGAAATGGTTTTGAATGTGTTGTTTATAGTATTCATCGTATTCATAGCATTCATTTGCTGAATCCTTTCATTCTTCTCTTCTTCTCTTGTCTCCCTCCTTGTTGTTGGACTAACTGACAAGTTCAATTTCAAATCTGGGTATTGCTCCAATGACGCAGCAGCAATCGCTTTAGCGTTAGTATCATGAACATGTGCAACTGACTTTGAAGGAGGCTTTGGTGCTCTTCCTGATGATTTATCCCAGCAAGATTCACCAGAAACTACGAAAACTGGAATCTTTAGCGTCATTGCAGTCTTGATTTCATCAAAGCAGAGTGCTTTACTAGTTTCAATGCGTGTTGGCGGACGTGGACCACCTCTAGTCAAACATTTTGGTCCATTCTTGCAACTATTACGCTCTGCCCAATTAGTGAGGCCACATTGAGCGCAAACCCAATCGCCGAACTGCGAATAATAAGCCAATAAAACACCCAACCAAATCAAATCTCACCTTCCAAAAGTAATCAATGGTAATATCATTTCTACCAATTTGTGCAAGGTGCCTGATAAGCAATGGTGATGTTTGGTGTGCCTTACTGCCGACACCGGGTAACTTTAATTGAGCGGGTGTAAGGTGCTGAGGAATATCGCAGTAAATGGGTAAATAAGCGATGGTTGATCTATCCTTTCCAACTCCTTTAAGCTTCAAAAGATCCTGTGTGCTTCTAACTTGCAACGATCCCAATGAAGGACCAAGCCATTGGACTAAAACTAAGACAATCTTCCTATCATCAGATCTTGCAAGTGGTGGAGCTGGTAGTCCAGAAACACTGACAGGTGGACTCAGTGGCGGTGAATTGTAATTCTGTGAAAGTGTGATATCATCTAAGCTCGTCTTTGGGTTGAGTACGCGCTCCCTGATCCTATCGTAGTAGCTGTCCATATTTACAATATATTCACAGAAACTTGATCGTCCGTGTGATAGTGTTGGCTACGATGGCTGTTTGTCACCCCATCTCCTTATCCGCCAAGACTCTTCTAGAATTTCATGAGGCTTTTATTGTTTCGTATCTCGTTTATTCATTTATTGTAAATTATATCACGCTCACGGTTATTCCCGGGTTTATTTGAGTGTGTGAATATTTTGAGGTATACGTTATCAGCCTGTATTTCGAGATTGAGTTAACAGCTTTGTTGTACAACTCTAAACACCACTAGACCACCAAATATCTCTCAATATCTCTCAAATTGTTATTTGTCCTTCTTCTTCTCAACGTCGATGATCAAATCGATTTACTCTCGACAGCACAGCTCAACGACGCGTACGCATTCTTCTCTACACACCTCAACTCCCCACTTATCTTACTCTCAGCTCCAAATACGCCTCCTGTCCCTCAATTGAAGAAATCTATTCTCAAGGAGAACGGTACACCTGCGAAAGGCAACTCAGTTCGATTCTTTAGCAGGGATGCTAACTCTTCAACGCCTTCATTCGAAAAACCAAAAGAAAGCGATAATCACAACCTTCCTAGTCTAGATATCATCTCTAATTCCCCAAATCCCTTTTCAAGGCCAATGCCTGCTAATCACCCAGCTTCTATACAAGATGATAGCTTGGTTGATGAACAAGTAAAGGATATCCCGCGTTCTTCCCCTCCAAAATTGGAATCTGATGGTGCAGATAGCCTCGTTGATAGTGCTGTGGACTTGGAGAGATTACGATTGCTTGAAGACGTCGTTGACGCTCTCAAGAATGAGCTCGACGTTGAGAGACAGCGTCACCAATCCGCACAAAATGAAGTTGAGCGTATCTCAAATGTATTGGATAATAATCATGTTGAAGATCAATTGAAATCAATGCAGACTTCGTATCAAACGTTGAAAGATAAGATTACTGATAAGATCAAGCATTATGAAACGGAAATTTCTGTGTACAATACACGCATCGAGCACTTGGAATCGTCTAATCAATCACTCGAATCCACAAACAGCTCACTGAGCAACACCAATACAACACTCGAATCTGAAAATATATCCTACAAGAATACGCTCACTGAATTACAATCAACCAGGCAAGAATTAGAAAGAGCATTAGATATCACACGTGAGGAACACAACAGCGCGCTGACAGCGAGGGATGAAGAGCGTGCACATTCGGACTCTTTAGCGGTAAAGCTCAGTGAGCTACACAAAAAGTTGGAAGGTTTACAGAAAATAATTGCTAATAGATCGAATGAGCAGATGCTATCGCAGTTAAAACAACTCCGAGACAATTCAATGGAGCAGTTGGCAGAAATGCACGACGAGCTAGCGAATCAAAGAGACAAATACGAGGCACAGATTCACACACTTCAAACCCAACTAAATGAATCCCTAGACGAGCGTATCAAACAGGAGCACAAGTCTAGCACTCTCAGTCATCAAGTTGAAACTATGGAAGCTGAACTGCGTAGCGCTGATGAAGAAATGGCTAATTCCTTCAACTCTCATCAAGTAGAACTGAACGCTTTGCGCAGTCGTATTGAAGAGCTCTCAGATATGCAGCGACAACACGAAATCGAAAATCAAAATCAAGCTCCAACCATGGAGATGCAGCAAGAGATGCAACAACTCAACATTTCGATGGAACAATTCAAGGAACATACTGCTGCTTTAGAGAAGGAGTTAAGTGATTCACAGCGGATATTGCATAACGAGAGATCGCAGTCGGAGAATGTCTTTGAACGACTTTCTGCGCTACAGGCAGAATATGACGACTTGAGCGAGATGAACATGGAGCTTGAAAAATCGCAGATAAGGTTACAGAAAGAGATTACGAGTTCAGGCAAATATCATGACCAGTCGCATGTCATCGAGAAACTTACAAGGGATATGGAGAGATACAAGCAGGCACACAACAACGATGAGCTTGTGATTGACAAACTTCAAGGCGAAAACGCGAGACTTGTTGAAGATTTCGAAAATATCAAGATTGCTTTGCAGGCAAAGCAGCAAGAGGTACACTCTGTAAGTCTTCAGATGAATAGTTTAACAAAGACTAACTTGATTAGGTGCGACGGATATCAGGTGTGCAGAAATTACTAACATCCGACGACACAACCATGAACAGTTCAAGACGCACATCCAGGCGCTCATCAGGGTTTGAAGGTAAATTGCCATCGCGACCTGCGATGCTAAGACGAGAAAGTAATCCTCCCAGAGACGACAGGCCATCAGAGGTACTAAGACGGTCTGCGACTACGCCATCCACCGATGTTCCTCCCCGTCCTCCTACTTTGCAAGGTAGCAGACGGAGAAAATCAGAGGCTATGCGCACCTTCCTGGGATCTTCCACATCCACTGTGAAGCCACTATCTAATCGTACGGGGATTCTCGAACGGTCGCCGTCGCCACCACCATCAAACACTACCCACAGCTCTATCAACGTGTCTCACGGCCAAAATCAGGACATACGTTCACCCTCGTTCATAAATGGTGTTCAGGACCAACACCACGATGCACATGCTCAACTAGAAAGAATGGCGACCTCGGAATTGAGCTTTGACAGCTCTACGCCATCACTCCCCGAGCTATCTGGACAATTATCATTTGAAGTGTAATGTTTATAAGAAAAATGCAAACGAGGAAGCTGCTTATTTATAATTTAAATTCATAACAACAGTTTGTATTAATAATATTACCAACTAGACTATTTACTCCTTTCCAAGAGCCTTCTTGTAGCGTGAGAGTGCTCTATCACGCGCGAACTTGTGATCGACAAGTGGCTTAGGATAGTTAAGTTTTTGAAATTCGTTCTTTGAGAGGTGCTTGGATGGTTCAAAAAGAGCAGGTGGTTTGATATCTCTCAATTCAGGTAGCCAATGGTGAATGTACTCGCCACTAGGATCTGCCTTCTGCGATTGCGAGATAGGATTAAATATTCTGAAGTAGGGTTGAGCGTCTGTGCCTGTACCTGCAGACCACTGCCATCCCCCATTATTCGATCCGAGATCGTGGTCAATGAGCTCCTTTGCGAATATCCTTTCACCTTCTCTCCAGTCTAACATGAGGTCCTTGCAGAGATACGAGGCGACTGTCATTCTCATCCTGTTGTGCATCCAGCCCGTTGTTGTGAGCTGGCGCATCGCAGCATCGACTATTGGCCAGCCTGTCTTGCCTTGATGCCATGCATCGAGGTGCTCTTGGTTGTATTCCCACTCAACGAATCTGTACTGTCTCAAGAATGGGTGACCCATTGATACGCGAGGCTGTACACACAGTACCTGAGACAATTTAAAGGCGTGTCATTTTACTGCTGCAAACACTCACATTTTGATAGAAATCTTTCCAGATGACCTCCTGTGACCACATCCCAACACCAGATTCTCTAGTAATGTCCATGTTATATCCGCTCTTCAGCTTCTGGGCTCTATTGAAACACTGTCTAACGCTGATCTGTCCAGAGGCGAGATAAGGTGAAATTTTGGAAGTCGTCTCACCAGTGGTGATGTTACGCCCATCAGCATATTGTTTGATTCGCGAATTTCTGTCATCCTTCTCTGCACCTTCGCCTAATGGCGTCGACTCAGTCGCTTCTTCACGATTCTTGTAGTGGAGGAACCGGTCCAAGATTTCACTGGCAGTTGTGCGCCCAACTGGCCAGAGTTCTCTCATTTTATCCTTGTCGTGACATTCAAAGCCTGCAATCTCGTCAGGTACTTGTTTTTCAAACAGTGCCTTGTAGTCTTCTTTCGCTGATATATTGTTAGCACCAATACGCTCAGTTTCATCGCGATGTGTAGGGTCCTCAAGCACGATCTTTTGCCATCCCTTGCGGAAATGTGAGTATTTGTTTGAGTTATAATATCAAACACACCTTCAAGTACGCGGTGAAAGTCATTGGAGGCTTAGAAGTAGTCTTCGTGAGTACCTTGAAAGGTGGGACGACCATGTTATCATGCTCCAGCTGCACCTCTACCTCCTGCTCATTTGCAAGATTAATAAGCTGCATGTCTCTGAACAGCTCATCGATCTCGTACTCGATATTGCCGTAAAGATGTTTAGAATTGTATTGCTTGACGAAATCGATGACTTTCTGTGGAATATGCTGACGCTGCTCTACTGTGAAGGTGTATAGCGGTATGTTCATCTCCTCGAGCTCCTCCTTGAGACTTTTCAATTTGCGGAGCACGAAATCGATTCGTCTGCACGATCTGTCGTGCGCTTCGTAATCCTGTGGGGAGAAAACGTGTATTATGATGAGGGGAATGTTATGCTCCTTAGCGTATTCATATGCAATTGTCAGTCCACGGGAGTCAACTATTCTCAAATCATGCATACGCATCCAGAACACGACACTCTTTTCATCATCACTGTGAGCTTGCTTTGTGCGTTCTTGTATAGCTTTATTCAGACGTAATACCGGTGGATTCTCATCTATCCTGTCCGCTTTCGCTATCGAGCAGGCCTTGACGCGACCATATGACGGATACCCACCGAGGTTCTCTTCTTTCTTGATCTTTTCCTGCGTTTGCTTCTTGTTCTCGTGGAGGTGAGGGCTAGGTGAGCGTGTGGCTGCTCGCTTTACGCCTGCTTCCTGTATTGGCGACGACGGCTCTTTCTTTAGATTTCCCATTGTCGGTTTAGCGTTGCGTATTAATGAGCGAAGAATACTGGAGTTACTGAAGAGAGCGGACGCGTTTCAGGACATTCTTGGAGCAAGGTTCAGTGACGTCAACTGAAGCCGAAAATATTAGCAATCACGATACAAAAATAAATCAAAAAAAAGTCATAAAAATAGCAAAATAGATCTCAAATATTGGCTTTGGATGAGCTGCCGACGGCATCTCCGTACTCTTGCGTGTTCTCGAGCTGAGCCTCAACATACTCTTAATGTTTGTCAAGAGTGTCTTGGTAGAATTCTTGGTTGAAAAGCTTCGATTTGTTGAAATCATCAACACTCTTATCATGCTCTATGTCAGAGCTGTCTTAATTGCCACCAGTTTCCTTTGGAGCGTACCAGAGAGTTAGACGTGTACTTTCCCCAACACCATGATCTTACCACCCTACTCGGTGTCAGTAGGATAAGCCTTGTAACAAATAACGGTGCTTAAATATTAGTCAGTCCTATACTGCGCTCTATTGGTAGAGAGCTTGATGTCCGTTTGCCATCACTGTAAGTAGGATAGTCTGGGGTCGCTAGAAGCTGGCCTTACACTGGTTGAGCTTGAGCTTGGCATCAACTGGCCGTCGTTGTGCATCGTAGGAGGATCGACATCGCTGTCTCGTGCGATTGCAGAGTATGCGACATGCGCAAGACCAATTGACATTGTGGACACAGTGAATAGACTATTGAAGACTTGAGTAAGGAGCATGGCGATTGTGTTGTGAAAAAGGAAGAAGACGCTAGAGCGCGTTTTGAAAACCCTTCCGAACAACTAGAAGCAATGTGAAATATTTCACCGCGCTCATGAGAATGGCTTTCCTTGAAGCTATGGGCTGAGTCATGAAAACATTGTGTGAAAGAAGCCAATGTCAGAGTGGAAGGATGTCAAAACGCCACCTCCATCATCGCAGTCTTGCCTTTAAAATACTCACTTTCCACACCACTCACCGCTCACACTGCCAAGTTTAAATGTATTGCATCTATGCATCCGCTAAGAGACTATCCAACAAAGCATCCTGTTCAGCAGTCTTGAGGTGATCCACAAACCAACTCAGCCCCACTCCGCTTTCGAAGAAAGACTGGAGGTCGCTGAGCGAGAGGTTAACTCTATGATCAGTAATGCGAGATTGTGGGTAATTATAAGTTCTAATTTTATCGCTTCTATCCATATTCCCAATCTGACTAATGCGACCCTTCTTCCTCTCATCGATCTCATCCTGCATTCTCTTACTGAGTAATCTCGACGAAAGGACCTGATAAGCGCGCTGACGATTCTGCTGCTGTGAGCGAGTATCCTGCATACTGACTTGTATGCCTGTGGGTATATGTGTCAATCGCACTGCGCTTTCTGTCTTATTGACATGCTGTCCACCTGCACCCCTCGCTCTCATCACCTCGAGCCGGACATCTTTCTCGTCGTAGAGGGCTTTCTCGGCCATCTTGTCCACTACAGGCATAACAAGGACGCCTATAGTGGAAGTATGCACGCGACCCTGCGTTTCTGTAAGAGGAACTCTCTGCACTCTATGGACGCCTTTCTCGAAACGGAGCAAGGGCCATGTATCAGTCCCTTTTATTTCCAAAATCGCCTCTTTGATAGCGCCGCTGACCTCATTGTTGACATACGTCGTGCTGAGCAGGGAGCTTGACCAGCGTTGCGAGTCGCTGAATGCTGTATACATCTTGAGCATATCCTGTACGAATAGAGCGGATTCAGAACCACCTACACCCGCCTTCAATTCTAGTAGGATTCCCTTGGGTGATAGCTGGCTGTGAGCGTTGGAGGCTAGAATGGCCTCAGTGAGGCTATTGTAGTTGGATTGAAGCACTGCGCTACACTCTTCCATCTCGGCTGCAGCCATCTCGCGCAAAATATCGTCCGGCTCGTCAGAAGCCATCTTCTCGGTTGTGTGGAGCGTATCCATCGACTGCTGGTAGCTGCTGTATAAATCTGGCAGCGTATCAAGCTCCTTGAGTCTGCGAGATCGAACTGCTAGCGTCTTGTTGTCGAGATCGGATGACTTCTCAACCAACGACAGCCGCTCATCGAGGTACTTGTTCGCTAGCTTGAGTAGTTTATCGTGTCGTGTGTTTGCGCTGAGTGGACGCGCCCATCTGCATAAACTCAATCTCATCCCAAGCTCAAGCTGATGATCGCAATTACGAATAGAATATGATTACATTGGAATTAAAGTATTTAGATAATTCAGTTTCTTTAAAAATTCTCAAGAGTTTTGAAACTCTCACTCTCCTCTCATCTCCTTCCCTTGGCTCACCTTGCTATCATTCTTAGACAACTTCCCAAACAAAATTTTCACATCCCCTTTGATACGCTGGCTGAAGCTGCGTTTCGGTGTGACTTTGCTGCTCTTTTGGCTGCTCACTTGGCTGCTGTCGTGGCTGTTCTCTTGCGCATTCGCTTTTTCATTTTCTTGTGCACTTTCACGCGCATTCTCCTCGGTATTTTTCACTAGGTTAGCAGAAGAGGATGGAGGAGATACATTGTGGGCTGTCTTGTCAGTCGCTATGGTATTAGCCTGTTCAGACTTAGTCGACTTGGCCCCATCTGCGCTCTTACGTTGGGCATATTTGTTGGCTACAACAGCTGATGCAGCGCCGGCACCACCAACACCCGCAGTAACACCTGCCAATGCTTCTGTAGCTTTATTACTTTCTTGTTGCTTCTTTTCTTCTGTCTTCTTCTCGTTAAAGGTATTCTCAACACGCGCAGCTGTTACGCCTTCAATGTGTGGTATCGTCGATGGCTCCGTCTGCAATTTCTCCAGAGTAGGGAATGTACCACTGGGAAATTCCATTGGATTTGATAAAGTGGAGAATTTGGTGTGTTCATCTTGTGCTCTACTTGCCTTGGTTGACTCATTTGCTGCAAGACCTGCAGCCACACCCGTACCTGCGCCGACACTTGCGCCTGTCAAACCAGCAACAGCAGCAGCAGCTTTCTCTGAGTATTCTCCAAGCACACCTGGCTGAGTGTCATTTGCGAGGTCTTTCACGGGTATGGATGGATCATGATCGTCTTGTTTGAGCTTCTCAGCAACTTCATGCAGATTGCTCGCTTCTTGATCGTTGGCTGATTTCGCAATATGATCTGCGTATGCGTCTACTTTCTGAGATGCTGTGTCGTACGCTCTCGCTGCTGCGTCTTTAGCCTGACCAGGGGCGTCTTTGAGGGACGCAGCGGATGCACCCGCGCCTGCTGTACCCGCTGAAGCGTATCCACCGGGCATTTTGGTGCTCAAGTCAGGGGTACTAGATTGCTTATGTTCATTCTGCTCCTTATCAGCGTTGGTAATTGGATTTGAGAGGTTGGCGGTGGTGTTTGTGGTGCTTTCAACGCCCTCCGCACCATTTTCACCGCCAGTATCCCCAGCAACTCCAAGTGCGTCTAGGGAGTGTGAGAAATGTGATGATATGCGTGCGTATTCAGCCTACTCTGTACATCGTTAGCCCAATCATCAGAATTTTCTGGTGGCGTGTTTATTGCTGGTTTTTGGTTCATCTTCGGTGTTATGATGGAAGCGTCAGCGCCTGCGTCTACGTCACTGGAAATTAAGACGCGTATTTGGAATTGAGGACGATGGAAATGGTTTAAATTTTATTTTAACATTTCTACTTAAATTTAAGTTTATAATACATTTTTATCTAATTCACGTGTTATCACCATCCTCACCTCACGCAAAGTCATTGCCGATTTCCGCTTCGAAGGGCTGTCAACTTCTGTGCCTGTGAGCGGTGATTTGGGTGATTTGGGTGACTTTGGTGGGTGTGTTGTGCCACTACTAGCATTGTTTGGTGTGGTAGCGGCAAGCAGTGGGTGTGCACTTGGTGACGGTGGCACTATCGCGTGTCCAGCAGAGCCACTTAAACCGCTTAAACTTGTTGGCATCTCCAGATACTCCACCCTATCTACCAACTTGAGGAAAACAAAATCCGGGCAAAGATTGCATAGCATCTTCAGCGAATCGCATGCTTCAGCTGTTTGTAGTTGTACTGATCAGCACAGCACACTGTGATAAATTACTTCAAAACTCACCAGCTGACATTGCAACCTTGCTTGATTTGACAATCACAGTCGCAACCTCCTGCAATGGCCTCGCTCTTCTTTTGCGCGATGTTGGCGTCGGCAGACTGGCAGAAGGCGACGAAGGCACGTTTGAGACATTCGGGGCGAATAGCCTGTTATATAGTGTGATGAGAAAGAGTGCTTTAAATGGTCGCAAACCCAAATTAAACCCACAAATAAACAGCTTCAGCAACAGCTGGTAATCTAGACAATCTACTGCGACGTTGGAACACCTCCGACTTGACAGCGTGTGATTGTTTGTTGAACTCACTGCCTCCACCCAACTGCTCCTCTTTTGCCTTACGCTTTAGTTCCATCTTGGCTCGGACGCTGGCTTCGAGGTTCTTCTTGCGCTCCGCCATGGTCATAGTTGACGGAGCCTTGGTGGGCGTTGCCGGTGCTTCTTTGGATGGCGTTCTGAACACATCATTCACATTACTCTCATCTTCCTCCGCCATCATTGTTTTGGCTTTCTTGAGCGAACGCGGTGGCGGTGAGGGTGACTTGACGCGTGCACGCTTGACTGGAGCAGTCTGCATCAATTTCTCAGCATTATTGTATGAAGCCATTCTCTTCAGTGCATCTGACGGTGTCTTCGGTCTGGTTTTCATAGGCAGCTGCGGTAATTGCTTTGAAGGCGTGTTTGTGACACTGCGCAGGAAGTCTCCCGGGTATACTTTTCTCTCAGAAGGCGACTGAGGCGTGCTGTCCTCTTTCTTGGCTTTCCCTTTAGATGCGGTGGATGGGGGTGTGAGGAGACCTGATCTGGTTATAGAGGAGGACAGTTGATTGGAGTGTGATTTGGGTGTTTTGGTGACATCTTCGAGCTGGCTATTCATCCATGTCTCGAACTGCTCATTAACCCAAGCTTTAGCCCTCTCTGTCACAATCTCTCTCCTCCTGTCTGTCTGTCGGAACCACTCATCTTTGGCTCTGGCAAAGTCTCTCATGACCCCAATCGCACCTTTTGCAGTCTTCTCCTCTTCGATAGCCACTTCCATACCAATAGAGTACTCTTTGACGCGTGTGGTGGCGATGATAAAGCCAATATCGTCGTTCCAGAGATATTTGAGTTTAGATAGAGTAGCTGGATTAAGGTTTTTGGAGCTAGCTGATGCGACGAGCTTCGACAGCGTATCAAGATCGATGAGGGTATCAAAACGGAGGATGTGTAAACCTTGTTTGTAAGTCTTGAGTGAGGAATGCCCAGCTCTGTGAGATTCCGAAAAAGGCATGATTAGTGGAGGAGGCAAGGCTGAGGAAGTTGATAAGTGAATTCTGAACGCGTTCTCAACGGCATTGTGTAGATCGATAAGGCTCTCTACAGCAACAGGCAGGCGTGAGTTGAGTTTTGAGCGCGTAGGGCGTGCAGGCGGTGCGTTGAGAGAGTATGAAGGGCAATGAGAGGATGAAGTGGTGGGTTGTGGCTCATTAAAATCCTCTTCATCAGATGAAGGCAAATCCTCATCTAATAACCTGCGTTTGCCCTTGTTGGCGGGAGTGTTACGCGTTTGTTGAGCGAGTTTGAAGAATGGGCTGTCTTGCAAGTCGATATGGGCATTTCTAGGCGTTGGCATTGTAGAATAACGCGTAATTATAATAAATTGATTTCACTTGTGTGACGAGACGACGAATGAGTTGGATGCGCTTGAACAAGAACCCAATCGACGACGATATCAACGATATTTAAAAATGACTGAAAAGATTGACGATCAAGAGCTGCAGACATCTACAACGCCTGGATATAACCCTGGAGAGAAGAAGACGCTGGATGAGTACGCGCAGTTAGACTCAAACGATGAGTCATTGAACAAGTTTGTCTGGCTTTTGAAGCTTTATACATTCTAATCCACCCGCCTCAGATGGAAAGCTTCCCTTGGTATTGGTGCAGGCGCTGCGAATGAAAATGGCCCAAAGGTTGGTGTCATTGGTATCCATTTGACATATCCCCCTCACAACACACAACACACAGATTGAATTCATCAGCCTCTCGCTCGAATCAGCTACTCGCCCTGAACCAATCGTATTCAACTTTGCAGAATTAGAAGGCAAAAAGGAACATATCAAGAAGAATCCTGTCTCTATAAAGGAAGGCACTGAGTACAACGTTAAATTAGACTTTAAGGTCAACCACGACGTCATCTCTGGCTTGAGATACGTTCAGGTCGTCAAAAGAACTGGCATGACTGTCGACAAAATGGAAGAAATGGTTGGGTCGTACGGTCCTAGCCAAAATCCTTATGAGAAGAGATTTGCTACTGAGGAATCTCCTTCAGGAATGCTTGCTAGGGGTACTTACAGTGTCAGATCGCGTATCGTCGATGACGATGGCCATATCTACGTCGATTTCGACTGGGCATTCAAAATTTCTAAGGAGTGGTAATGGTTTATTATTCGATACTGCTCTATTACTCTCCTCGCTTTCTCACTTTCCACACTTTTCTCTCTTCACTTCTCCCACTTATATCACACCAATAACAAACACCCAGTTCTATGGAATATCAATACGAATATCTCCCTCTTTTTACTTTGAAATATCAAACGTATATCAAAATACATGTTAGATTTACAAAAAGCTGAATGAAAAATCTGACTTGATGGGAGTGATACAGTTGTGGAATGGTTTTGTCGATACATCCGGGTACAGCTAGCAAAACAACTTCACTTCAAGTGCCCACATTTATTGATAGTTCTGCGCGTTGTAGGCATCCATGGCAGCTTGGTTCTTGATTGTACCGCTTGATTGAGTTGGTGTAGCGTGAGCCTGGTAGATGTTTACCTAGTTATTGAGTTATTAAGGCATCTTACTTCCATGGCCAACTCACAGAACGTGCTTTGTGCATGTTTGTAGGCGTTGGTACGGCAATTGCGATAGCAGCGATTGATAAGACAGCGTATCCGAATAATTTCATTTTTAGGTTGTGAGGTGGGGGTTGTAGTTTTGGTTGCGATAGAAGAAAGAAACTATTCCATTATGGGCCTAATCTTTACCCAAATTTAAAATTTTCTTTGTGACTGCGGATAGTGAAACGAAACAGAGTTGTGCTACTTGTGAGTGTTTGTGGATTTGAAACTGGTTAGGTTTGGTTAGCCAGCAACTCTTAACTCAGCCTTAGCTTCACATATCCATATTGGGTTTAATTGATCACTTCCTTTTCAGTCTGAGAAGATAGCTCGGATAGACATCAGCTGCAGATCATCAAATGCTGCTGAAAATATGCAGAGGAAGAAGCTGTCGATTAAAACTTACTGCAATCCTCACTTTCAAGACAATTTGCACACATCAACTCATCAAATCAAATCAAGTCGTAATTCATGTAATCGTTATTTGCTATCACATCTGAAAAGTGGGCTAATCACGCTGCGAAATGTTCAATTCAATCTACTTCTGCAGTTGTTCGTCCACTTTGCCCAGCTTACCCATGTGGGAAGAAGGGCGAGAGCTTTCGAGGACTGCTGGATCGTTGGTGAACACGCGATCATCCTGTGTGTTGAGATTAGCAGGCTATCAACGACGTTGGCTGTTACCCACCACGTTCAGAGTCTCTGCACCATCACCGCGAGAATTAGTCGTCGCTGTCGTTGTGTCTTTCTTCATTTCTCCTTCCTCGTTGCTGTTCTTAAGCTTGTTGAGCATATCCTTTGTAGTTTGCATCTGCGTAGTGTGGCGTTAATTTAGCTCAATTGCGTCGAAACACAATCACATACTGTTTAGATGTTCGTTGTGAGATATTAACCGTGGAAAGTCGTCTACGATTGTTCTCACCCTCTCTACACATGACATTACGCACTTGAGACATATGACGTTTTCATTTCTTTTCACACACTTATCTTGTTCCATTGAATGTTTACAAGCGCGGTCAACGAGAGTATTTGCTACTGATGCTGAGCTTGTTTAATGCATAGCAAATGCATCCGTTGCTAGTCTGGTGATGATGCAACTGAATGTTGAATAGCTAGACTGGAAAGTAGCGGAATTTTACAAGGCTGGTAATTACTCAGCATCATACGGCTACTTAAGGAGTCAAAAGTGATGAAGATTTTCACCTGCTTATGGATTTGGTAAAAATAACTCTCCGAGGTGGGCTCGAACCACCAACCTCCCGATTAACAGTCGGACGCGCTAGCCAATTGCGCCATCGGAGATTTTTTACCTGTGCTAAAGCTATAGCCTAATTACACTGATTTTGTATTTCCCGCTCAAATTTTCATCGATTGTATGCTTTTCCAACCGTTTTCGACTAATCGATTCATCTACACGCATTGCGCGTGGCACTGACGACAACATATCTCATAGAATTTCTTATGTAAAAGACACATAATGACCAGAATCACATTAAAAAGAAAGATTACCAAGATCAATATTCAGTTTGAATTAGGTCCAATACTCAGAAATTTACACTCTATACAAGCCCTTTACGAGGTCTTCAAACCGCAATTGACTACGTACCAAAGATTCTCCGGTAATTTAGCGTAACTGAGAACCACCAACAATTTACAATTTACGACAATAGTCGAGAAACGCTTCCAGCAAATTTGGTACCCCCTTGAGTCCTCATGCTTTAAGAAATATTGATGGACGCAATTTTAAACATGTATGGTCTTAACAATATCTTCAGATCTCATCATCATCATCATGTTTTTGCAAGCTCGTATGGTAATTCATCAGATTCCGAAATCTTCAAAAACACGCACATCATCTTTAAACTCTCAATTTGTTCCGGTCGTACGTCGATGCTATTCGCTGTCACTGTGATGATACCTGGCTATCGCCAGACGGGCCTAGCACCGTCCACCCTTAGATAAAGACCCTATAATGTAGCTGCCATGCTTTACTTTTGTTCAATGCTACCTTTGCCGCTGCTAAAGACCACATCCACACGTCCTCAGGCCTAACCTCGTCTCACAAGAATGGTCACGTTCCAAATATCTGCAGTACGCTGCGCAATATACAGTATCCTGTCAGCAGTAGTGATAGCTTATTTTATACCTAATAAATTCATTACCAATCTCAAAAGTATAGCTGCAACGGTAGTAGCTGCGTCACTTTTCCAACACCTAAGTAAATACAGCCTAGCAGCGGATAGTCGATGGTATTCACCCCCGGATCATAACAAAGTGCCTTGAATTACCGCCAGCATCCTCTTAACGACTCTTATACTTCGAGATATTATCTTTAGTCGGACGTCAAACACACCTAGGCCACAAATGAAGAGTAAAATAATAACGCTAATGGTTAAATTTCTGATGGAATGCTTTTATAGGAGTTTCTTTGTGTGTTTCCCATCTTGGTTTGTCACATTGTATGTGAGAGATCGGCTGCTAATGGAAACGTATGCTTATCTTATTGCTTTATTATCGGTTGCATGGGTTGGATTGCGCGGTTTTATAGCTCTACTAGAGACTTACAGGGAAGGAAAGCAAGGGACAACAGCGGCAGACGAGAATGCCATATCATTAGAGAATAACGGCGATTTCGAGAAGGTTAGTAAGCTCGCTGTTTATAACTGAATATCACACCGTGCATCAAGTGTAATCCCTCTAGATGTCGCTATAAATGTCTCTAAATTAAAGCATAATGAGACCTTGATACATGTTAAAACAGCATAATGAAATCCTAATACCTAACATTAGGGCGCAGACATTAAGCATTGCATTTATCAGCGCCGCGTCGACTTGCTTTTGACCGATTTGGAAACCTTATGGTGTTGACAAATAAAGTACTTGGCAGCAAATACAAGCACTAAGTATTACCAACGCACTCTTTTGTGTTTCAAACGCATCTGTACTCGCCTGGATTCTTTACTTTTAAATGAGTCCATATCGATAAAATTCGAAGCTCGCCCGAGCCCCGCGCGCATCCAGGCCGGCTAAAATCTCGTTCTTTTCTATGATGTCGTTCTTTTCTATGATCGTAACTCGTATTATAGTGGAACTTTTTTCATTTATACTTCTCATTTCACTGCAAATTTATGGATTAAGGAAGCTCCTACCCATTTCATTAGAACATGATATAAAGAGCCAATTTATCTACGCAATAATCCCAGGGCTCTACGGAGTCCTCAACGATTATAATCTATTACCAGATTTCAGATGGTACGATATACCTGACTACTGCGTATTGCCTTGTACAATCGCTGGAGCGCTTTTCCTGGCTGTCGTTATGCCAGAGAAAATGTTTGCTTACCATCCTTCGTTCAAAGGCGCTCCACCACACAAGAACAGTTTCACTCCACTCTTAGCATACATTATGACGTTTTCAGACACAAGCTTCTTTCTCACTTCTCCACTCTTCTTATGTATGGTTTTGGCGTCCTTCTTTTTGGAGGATAAAAAGCCTTTAAGAAGAATGTTTGGAAACGCGGTAGGTCTCTATGCGATTATGGCGGTTATGTCACGTGGGATGGTTGAAGTGATAGAGGCGTGCAGCGAGGAGAAGCCGTAGAAAGCAACAGCCGAGAAGAGGGTTCTACCAGAGGAAGAAAAGGGGAGAAATGAGATGACAGGCGAAGCAGCGGAATCTGCAGGCGAGAAGGGGTTGTTGAAGAAGGAAGAAATAGAAGTTGATGGAAGCTGAGACAATGAAATACCAATGACGAGACATTCATAGACAAACGAAGAGCTTATATGCATGATGAAGAAATTGAGATAAAACTTACTTATTGATATAGATGAACTAACGATAGAGTGATATAGAGTGCAATAGTGATATTTTCAGTGTGTTTTGATGTCTTGAAGTGAGAGAAAGCTGAAATACGAGACACTATAAATAGGTAAAAGGAATCAGTGATAGGCTAAAAGCATGTTGCGAAATTATACATGACATCGATCAGGGAGAGAAAGCCTTTACTGTCACGACAGTAAACCCTTTTGTTTAGAGTATCGGAATATTCGAAACCTAGATTGAAGGAATAGCGGAGCATGTACCAAAGTGACTTGTTCGTATTGCAGACACAAGCAAATGTCGTCGTACTGAGCGAACAGCTCTTAATCTTGATCAGTTAGACCGACATGAACGAATTAGAGATGTTGAAGTGTCGGAAAGACGTCTGTGAGTTCAGCGAGGCTGAGATAATTCAAGGGGGCGATGGAAGACATGTCCTAAAGATGCTGGAGAAAGTGAGGAATTGGGAGCACTGCGCGGTGAGCTCGTTGAGTGTGTCGGAGGAAGGGACCATGCTCACGGCGTCTTCTGGCAATGTTACCCGGTTGAGCTTGGAATAGTCTGTGTTAGTTAGTCCGCATGTGTATCTTGGGGAGTTATCCATGCGCATGTCGAGAGTGAGTGTGGAGAGGTGCGGGAGGCGTGAGATGCCATGTGAAAGGTCAATTAGAGCACCTATTTGGGCATTTATGAAGAAATTGAATCCTCTTTTAACTTGTGCTTGAAAGTGACACTTGCGCCAATTGTATGTTTTAGATACTTAACTGTCTTTTCAGAGCTGAGAAAGTCGATCAGGTTGTCAATCTAACCAATATTTCCAGTCGATATAAATGTTTCATGGTCAAATTAAATTAAGGCGCAGTGAATGTGTACCAGAGGATAGACTGGCAGATCTGTTGAGTCTTCTGGGAGTTGCGGGAGGTTGCTGAGCTTAAATGTGTGAATTTTATGGTTATTCTTGTCCAGAGTGGATGTCTGCTGAGCCCAGCGAACTTTTGCCTTCACTTTAGACATTCTAGGTGCAAGTAAACAAAGGGAGCGATGCAATGTAGAATTGCGATATAGTAATACAATCTAGCAATACATAAGTCTATAAAAAGGCATTGTTACTTAACCAAGGATCGTGATTTGCTGATAAACCAAAGAAGGCAGGCTTGTTCTGAGTTCATCGCCCAGATCACAGACTTGGTCGTATAGATGGTGCAGTTGCTGCTTATCGTGTGTATCTAGCTTCTGTCCAAGCTTTTTATCAACGACCGGCACAACAATCTTCTTTGTCTTCTGTTCAGTGTATCTGATGAGGTTATTGATCTCACTGTAATTGAAAATTGTAGTGTTCTTCATGTTGAATCTGCTCAATTCGCCACTAGCACTTTCAATTACGCTATTCAGCTGCTCCAGTAGGCTATTCATCACTCTAACATCTCCAGACGCGCTAATATCCTCAAGTTCGCTCAACGCCTGCGTGTAGTTGTTATTCAGATCGATATTTCTCACTATCTCCGCTATCGATAGTTCCCGTGGAGGCGTTGTTGTGGTATTGGTGGCGGTATTATTGAGAGCGATTGGTGTAATAGTTGTACCCTGTTTTTCACCCTGAATACCCTCTGTATTTCCCATTACTTCTTTAACCAAAGGCTGAGCAAAAGCAGTGGCTATTTGAGTATCAGCAATTAGGCATTACGGCACCACTGATCCACCCACCTGCAATTGCAATCGCAAATGCACTAAAAATTAACCCTATTTTATTCAGCAACATGGTTGTACTTGTGTAAGATACTAAACATTGTTTCCGAATTTGGGCGCAGTGAGGCTGCGGAATTTAGCAAAATGACGTGATGGGTGTAGAGGTATAAAACACACCAAATAATACTTCCACTCCCAATCCCACTCAGTGACATATATTTTTCTGTTCCTCGCCACTCCAATCTGTCAGTCTTATTTTTATTCGTACCTGGTGCTATTTATACCATGGCCAAGATGATCTTCATATATCGTCATACAACACTAATCCAATCTCGGCTGCTTGTTTTGCTGCTTAATCTCTCCAGTGTCGCTCTTGCGCTTCCCGAATGTTATCTTGCCACCGAGTTTGAGTCCACCGGCTTGTGCGCCTGCGCCTGTGCCTGTGCTTGTGCTTGCACCTAAACTACCAATGGGTGCGAATGTCGACTTGGCGGGCTGCTCTTGCTGCTCCGGTGCCGGACTGCTGCCGACGGGGACGAAAGAGGAGGTGCCATTAGCTTGCGTGTGTTGATTATCTTCTGGAGGAGCAAGTGTACTAGTGCTAGTGCTTGCAGTTGTATCATCACCTGCCCTATTACCAACACTTTCAACTGCATTCCCACTCCCACCGCTCCTCTTCTCGAGTCGAGAACCAGCGTCGAACAAAGAATCACTCTGAGGAGCAGCACCTCTATTACCAACAGAGAGCACCATATGTGCTGAACCAGTGGCTTCTCTCCTAGACTGAAATGCCCCCATGACATTGAGCGGAGTTTCGCCACTAGTCATAGCCATCTGCCTACGTTCCATCTCAATTTGTCTAAGTTTCTTCTCCTGCCCCTTGGTACCCTGACCTCTACCATGAAATTTATAATTGAGGTATTTCCACGCCTCCTTAGCTGTCTGCGCGCGCCCAGTCTCGTCATGGTACTTGATATCGACCGACGGTTTATAATTGCGCTCGAATGCTTCTTTGTCTTCCTGGGCAGAACGTGCGTCGCGCGAGCGCAATTCACGATCACGATCCTGCTGCGACTTGGTCTCGTCGAGACGGATGCGTTGGCGGTGCTCCTCGCGTACTACCTCTCGCGCGCGCTGGTCAGCGAGGAAATGTAGACTTTCACTCTGCACACGCTCTCGCTCTCGCTGTTCTGGCGTTAGTGCTTCTATCTGGCCCTGCTGCTTGAGCGACGCGAGGAGTGATCCGAGCCCTTTAGCGTGTGTGGTGTGTGTGGGGGGATTTGTGGGTGTGTTTGCGGTGGATTCCTTTTCGAAACCTCCGTCTCCTTGGTAACTTTGTTCTCCTTTCTCCTCCTCCTTCTTTATCCCATCCACATCCTCAATCGTTACATCCATATCGGCAGCCACGTCGAGGGGTTGGTCACCATCTACACTTAGATCAGGCTCCTTCTTCACACTCACACTCTCATGTACCTCTTGCGCCTCTTGTTGCGGTGCCATTTGGACAGTACGTATGAATTCACTAGTATCGTCCAACACCAGCGACTTTGCCTTTCCATCGAACTCTTTTTCCGTCTCTTCACCATTTCTGCGCATATCAATCTCATCCAGCTCGCCAATCTCAGCTGCTATTTCTTCAGGCTTCTTCTGGCGCACCGCCTTGCTCCGCCGCTGCTTATCTCGCCTCTGCTTCGCCAGGGCTATTTGGAGATCATCGTCATCTATCATGTTGGTGTGTTCAAGGTTGGCACGTTCACGTGGAGCGGGTGGTTTCATTTCTACATGTGTACTTGTACTTGTGTCTATCTGCATATCGCCATCGACCACTTCAGCCTTGCGTGTGCTCCTCTTCTTAGTCTTTTTGGTCTTTGGTTTCTTGAATCCTACATCACCCTCTTTGAGGAAATCGCTAGGCTGCTCATTCTTCAGATAGTCAAGACTGAGAAGAGTTTTGTTAAGTTTTTCGGTAGGCTGAGTGAGGGTGGAGTTGTCATGATTATCTGTGGTATTTTTAGAGGTGTGCGCGGTTGCATCACCTAGTCTGAATCCACTATCTGCACCAGCGAGCTCCTCATCATATTTACTAAGTAGGGCTGGCTTTTTAGCTGCACCATCAGCTCCAAACTCCTCATCATCTAGACCTGTATACTGACGCGCTTTCACGCCTTTACTCAGCTCCGCTCTCTCTCTACCCCGTTCATCCTCTGCTAGGTCAAGATTTTGTAGCTCGTCATCGGCGTCGTCGAGCACAGCGCCGTCTTTGAGAGTAAGGATGTGGTCTTTACCCTCAGCGAAATCATCGACATTGTGACCCACTCTCAGTCCGGAGAGGTGGGATTCGTTGTAGTTGGAATCATCCTGAGTGTACAGGTTGTCTTGCTCCAATTGCGCCCGCGCTACTCGCTCAGCAGCCTCTTTCTGCTTACGTTTAAGTCGTTTGGCCCATTTCTTTGCATCATCTTCTCCGGTATCCTCACCAAGCGTTTTACCTTTAAGGCGTTTATTCAGTTGTAGTTTGTTGCGGGTACGCTCGATATTCACTCGCTGCTCTTCACTCTCGCGCTGCTTCTGCTCATCTGCTTTGAGAGTGGCGTAGTTGGATTCTGCTGACTGTGGGGGTTTTTAGAGGGGGTAAAATATATATAAATAAAAATACGCGCACCTTTTCATTGTTCTGTGAGCTATTGTCATCTTGAATTGGCTGTGAGAGATGTGAGATGGGAGATGGAGATGAGATGGAGATGCGTCACCTTCAAACCAAGCTTGACACGCATAGCGTTGGTGTCCTCGAGGGACATTGATTCCGTGGCTTGCGACATGCCCTATATACACAGATGATGGACGTAAGAGATAAACAAGTAAATCGTCATGAGTAAAGGAAGAATACAAAATAAAGATAAATCAGACAACGCCAGGCTTTGGGTCAGCGGTAGTTTCACCAGTGCTGACGGATTGAGCAACATCAATCGAGCCAGTGAAGGAGCCACCACGCTCTTGGGCCTTTGACTTGTAGTTTCTAATAGCAGAGCGAATAGCGTCTTCAGCGAGCATGGAGCAGTGGAGCTTGACAGGTGGGAGGGAGAGTTCGCGTGCAATGTCGGTGTTCTTGATAGCACCTGCTTCGTCGAGGGTCAAGCCTCTCACTCTCTCAGTCATGAATGAAGAGGAAGCGATGGCAGAACCACAACCGAAAGTCTTGAACTTTACATCAGAGATGAGTCCCTTATCGTCGACCATTATCTGCAGCTTCATAACATCACCGCATGCAGGTGCACCAACGACACCAGTACCGACATCCATATCGTTCTTGTTGAGTGAACCGACCTGCCAAGTGTTTTAGTAGATATTCTCATCTTTTACCAGCCAACGCCACTCACGTTACGTGGGTTTGAATAATGGTCCATTACGCGTTCATGGTAGAGACGAGCAGTGGATGGTGCAGCCAATGTGCGTGGCTGTAGCTGAATAGCTGGCCTGGCCACGCTGGCAATTCTTGTCGAGCTTCTTAATACGTTTGTAAACATGTTGATTGTTTATGTTGAAGAAGTCACGGGCTACGTCACAGAGTCATATTTTTTGAAAATTTTAATCAATTTCATTATAGAGATCAGCTTGTCCAAATCCGCCGATTACACACATGAGAACCATCCATGTGTTTTTGGTCGTCGGTGGGTTGTTGATATTGATCAATGACATAACACCCCTAGCCAATACTCTCAAATTACTAACGAGATTTCCACTAAAATCTTCAGGTCGGCTAGCCATCAAGAAGACTAACCAACGCGTTTGCAGATCACCGAGATTCTGGTTTTGTTGTGCATCCTCCACTAAGAAGGTCATTAGAGTGATAGCGGAGACGCAAGTTAGTGATTTTAAAATAGAAATCTTTGGTTCATGCGATTGATTGTTGATGTAATTGATCCACCCGGATCTATCCTTTTTACCTGGGAACGGCATGTACCCGTGTGGCAAATGGGATAGTGGGGGTGGCTTAATAGTGGCTATCAGACTCCGGAGTTTCTTGAAGTTTGCTGAATAAGATTGCTGCCATTCTGAGTGAGTGAATGAGTGGCTGCTTGATTGGGTATTTGAACCAGCCACTTGGACTCCCTCATACGGATTCAACACGCGTTTCTGATTCGGTATTCTGGCTGCCTCGCGTCTTTTCTGGCGTTGAGCGTATCACACTCATAATCCCATCACCCACCTCACTGTAAACAGATACTGGGCTCCATCGGCCACCTCTCCACTGAAATCCATTGGCAATTCAGCCACAGGAAGTACTTGTGCGCCAGTTGAGATATCCTTGCTCTCATCCCGATCACTGCTCATCGCCGTGTCTGTTGAACAACGTCCACCACCATCCACCACCATATCATGTCTTTGTTCAGGCCATTTAGAAATTCAATTCCCTTTAGGAGTTTATCCACCAACGCCGCCGCCTATATCCACCCCACACACCCAGACTCCCCCCAACCCCAGGCCACGCACGACAAACTCGCGCGCTACTCTCGCAGTGTTCTCAACACATACGCACGCCCACCAATAATCTTCACCCGCGGAAGTGGTCTCTACCTCTACGACTCCCAGCACCGATCCTACCTCGACATGAGCGGCGGTATTGCCGTCAACGCGCTCGGGCACGCTGACGAGGGCGTGGCGAGGGTGATGGGCGAGCAGGCTGCCAAGCTCGTGCACAACAGCAACCTCTACCACAACGAGTGGTCGGGTGAGCTGGCCCACTTGCTCACCACCCTCACCAAGCTCCATGGCGGTATGGGCTACCAGCCCAATTCCGCCGACTCGTCCGGCCTCAAAGTCTTCTTGGCCAATTCAGGCACCGAAGCCAACGAGGGTGCCTTGAAGTTCGCCCGTGTCTCCGGCAAAGCCAGGGCAGAGAAGGTGGGTGTGGATGCCGCGGACAAGAGCGAGCTCGTCTGCTTCCGCAACGCCTTCCACGGCAGAAGTATGGGTGGTTTGTCCGTCACACCCAACCCCAAATACCAAGACCCTTTCGCACCTCTCATCCCAGGCGTGCGCGTCGGCGATATCAACGACATCCACTCCCTCACCTCCCTCGTTACCGAGAAGACATGCGGCGTCATCATCGAACCTGTCCAAGGTGAGGGCGGGATACACAATGTGGATGTGGAATTCCTGCAGGCTCTCCGCAGACGCTGCGACGAGGTCGGTGCTGTGCTCATCTACGACGAGATTCAGGTGTGTGCCGTTTGTGTAGGTGGATAATGACCCTTCTAACTTTGCCTCCAGTGCGGTCTCTTCAGAAGCACCGACCTCTGGGCCCACTCCGCTCTTCCACCTAACGCACACCCCGATCTCATCACCATGGCGAAGCCACTCGCAAATGGGTTCCCTATCGGTGCAGTGATGATGCGTGATAGTGTAGCTGAGCATGTGTCGCCTGGTGAGTGGTTGATTTCTTTGCCACACGCGCCATTTAACTCTCTTCAGGCTCCCACGGCACCACTTTCGGCGGGTCACCACTATCCACGTGCGTGGCACACCACGTACTCACACGTCTGGCGCAGATGCCCGACTTGAAGGCGCGCGCGGGAGTTCTGCGCGAGAGGCTCGACGGTCTCGCTGCTGCATACCCCGATGTGGTAAAGTCGCCGGTGCGCGGGAGGGGCTTCCTCCTCGGCCTGCCTTTCCTCAACTCGGCTCACCCCGCACGCGCACTCACCCTCGCACGCCAACGCGGCCTCCTCATCCTCGTTGCGGGATCAGACGCCGTGCGTATCGTGCCCAGTCTGACCATCGCTGAGAGCGAGATACATGAAGCTTGCCATGTTCTCGAAGCTGTTCTCGAGGTACTGAGGAGGGAGAGTGAGCATGGCGTGTAGTTGCGTGAGTGGGAATGTGAATGCGCAATCCACTGCCCGTTTATATGCTTGTTTGTAATCCATTTTAAAGATAGATTTCGTTTATTTAAACCCACATCACTCTTATCAGCCACAGCCACACACACACAATGCGCGGTCTGGAACGAGAGAGAAGAGCGAGCGAGCAACGCATGGCGCCAGCCGAGGCAGTCGATCCCGCTATGCCCGTCCACGAGGGCTACAAGAGCCAATGGGCGCGTTACCGCAACATATATCGTGGCGAGCTCGCGGAGTTTCTCGCGACATTGGTCCTCATAGTAATAGGCGCAGGTGTAAATTGCCAGTATACACTACAGAACAGCGGTGTCGCCCTTAGTGTTCCTCTCACCTGGGCGTTTGGTGTGGCTGGCGCAGTCTGGGTGAGTGGCGGCGTCAGCGGTGGGCATCTCAACCCAGTCATCACCATCTCTCTGGCACTCTTCCGCGGATTTCCTTGGAGGAAAGTCCCCACCTACGTTGTGGCGCAGGTTGTGGGATGTTTCACTGGTGCTTGCGTAGCATATGCCAACTACTACTATTCTGTAGATCAGTATGAGCATGGCTTACGCACTATTCACGGTCACACCGCCACAGCTGGCCTATTCTTCACAATGCCCCAACCATATCTGCCCGCTTTCAACTGCTTTTTCGACGAATTCTTAGGCACCGCTGTGCTCGTTGGTATAGTCTTTGCCCTCTCTGATAGATCAAACCTCAGCCCTCCACATGGCACAATGCCTTTCGCGCTCTTTCTCACCATCTTTGGTTTGGGTGCTGCCCTAGGCGGTAACACAGCGGGTGGGTTTAATCCAGCGCGTGACTTGGGTCCTAGACTCATGTGTTGGCTTGTCGGATATGGCGATGAAGTGTGGTCTTTCTTCGGTCAGTATTGGCTTTGGTGTGGTTGGCTTGCCCCGCTTAGTGGGGGTATCGCTGGGGCTTTAGTTTATGATGTCTTCATTTACTCTGGTACTGATTCACCGATTAACACGTGAGTCGGCAGTTGTCTCACTTCCACTCTCCCCATTCTCACACACCCACAGCAGCAAACACCCGGATACTCTCGAATCCAGCCACGCTTAGACTGTTGGCTGTTCAAAACGGAATTATGTTGCTTGCCAATACCACATTCATGCACAAATGCACATGCACATATCTTCACTATAAACTGCATTTATCAAAGAGTACGAGACAAGTGAGCTACGATGAGGGTATTTGTGTAGGTTATTAGAATATTCCGTTGGTACCAAGAAAAGTGAAAAAGAGTGATGAAACGAGGGGCTTTCTGAATTTCGTCTTTCGTCATTCGTTCTGAGGTGGGAGTGAGCGTGTCAAACCAACACCACAGAAACTCCCCACTCACACTAATATGCTGCTGCTGATTTCGTTGTCGTGATTATCGTATCAATCAAAATCCAAATGTGTTCTCTCCTGAGTCTGGCGTGTGTGTGAGCTGCGTCTGTATTATACCCCACACTCCACTCACAAGTAACGTATAAGAAGCCGTCCTCATCTTTGTGCTCATTGTATATTGCACTCATTAGCGCTGCAGTTGGTGGAAGCTCTTCATTAACGAATATGAATATGGCCTGGTGTGGTAAGTTAGAAGATACACACACACACACCATTCTCACCTTCTCTGGTGCCAGCTTTATTCTCTTTCTGATTACGTAGACGAATTGGCCGACGGTGAGGTCCTTTGAGGCTGCATGAGCTGTGCAAGCTTTTATACCACAACCAAACCCACAGAAGGTACCAAATATTTTTTCTTATCGATTGTTGGAATGTCTGTTTTATCTCCTTTCTCGCAAATTACCTGGCGTCATCGTTGAGTCGAGCCGGGTGGATGAATGAGCGCAACACCCACAGGTATTCTGTCTGGATACTTGGATCTAATCCTCTCAGCTTCAGCTTTGCGTTTCTCTGGAGATGGTTAGTTGTGTAAGTGGTTGTGATTGGTGGCTGCGTATGGTGGATGCGTACCAAATGGATGCTCGTCCTTGTAGCTTGTTAGCAGTAGCTCATATCACTCACATCACTCCCTCCTCACCTTGAATTTAGATCTCATGACTGTGCGTTATCAACAAAGCGCGGCGTTGCGAAACGCCTTAGACAATTTATAATAAATACAAAAACTGTGAAATTCAAGTGAAATTATTATGCAACCCCACTCTGTTTATATAATAAGTTAGTATCCCTTTCTTCGTTTCTGGTATTCTACCCAATTCAAACAGTTTGTTTTCATCACGCAGTACTGATTGTGCAGCAACAATCACTTTCACTGCTGACTGCCTCACTAAGCCATTCTCATCGTTGAGTCCCTGTCATTTGTAAGTTTGATTTAAACGCGTCAAGTCCCCCCACACACATTGATCAAAACATCCTGCACACGAGGTATTTCCTCTTCAAGTACTTCAGCTGGTAATCTGAGAAACAGCCTTCCGAGAGCCTTCAAAGCTAGCGAAAATGACATGGCTTCTTTCGCCCCTTTGCTGTCGCTCTGTGCGCTTATCTCTATCGCACTTTCCAGCGCCCCCACTCCACAAATTGGATCAATACTATCTGTAAACAACTCCATCAGCGCATCTGATGCGTCGTAGTTCTCTTTTCGCGTTGATAAACGCAGCTTTATTAAGCTGTTGAACACACTCATTTCACTACCCATTAACATATCAGCCTGTTTCTCAATCAGGTTGCGCAGTAGTCTGAGCGTAGCGTCCTGCTGATCACTGTCGTGCTAGTGATTGTGTTAGTGTTGTGTAAATCTTAGTAAACTTAATTCCTAACTCACACTCGCATCATCAAGCATAAGCAAAGATCCTTCGAGAATAATAGTGAATAAACCGCCCTCATTCCAAATACTCCCCTCCTCGTTCAACTTATTCATCTCATTCTCCTTCTCCTTCTCCTTGCCTGAAATAGTTGGATACATAACACTGATACTGCTAAGTTGGTCTAGTTCAATGGGCGTGAGCGACTCTCCCGCAACCAGTTTATCTTTAAGTTGTCTCAGTACATCTATATGATGTCCATACTTCGAGTCACGTAGACTGGTGTCTTTGTTCTCATCTGCTCATCGTTAGCTGTACACACCCGCACACACCTCCCACTTACAAGCATCCACTCTATTCAACCACCACTGGTTACTTCCACCGACTTTGCGCATATCGTGCACCACTCTCGGCGTACCCGCTTTGTTCATTGGTGAGTCGACGACTTGCTGAGCCTGCTGAAGTATCTTTCTCATCTTGGACGGTGGGGTGGCTACTGAGCTTCTGACAGAAGGGTTGACGACAGCTGGTGCTGGTGAAGGTGCTGGTGAGGGTGCTGGCGATGGTGCACTCCTCCTCACCGGCGTGCCCTCGTTAGTGCCTTCTTGGTTGGAGATACTCGTCGATGCAAGCTCCTCATTCACCTCTAACAAGTGGTTCGCTGTGCTCTCCGCAATCTTCGAAATGGATTGAGGTGACGCATCCGTCTGTGCATTCTTTTGCTTGGGTGTGTCGTTTGAGCTTGTACTGTGTGAAAGTGGACGCTTGTTCGTTGACTTCTGCAATTTTAGTGGGGAGTCGTCAAACTTCATTAATTCTTCCTGCTCTTCTTCCTCTTCATCCCCTTCTGTGTTCCCGTCGCCTCGCTTATTTGCCAGAAGGAAGGTATCTTCCATGGTAGTGTGGTTATTCCAATCGTCAGGCTGACTCTCCTGCATCAGGCTGCCCAATGGTGTGCTCGAGCCCATCATCGCAACACTGAGCCTCTCACTTGGGCGACGTCCTTGCACTGCCTGTGGCTGTGTATTTGACTGTGGTTGACCCAGTGGTGATGGTCGGTTTGGTGGTGAGCCGTACGCCTTGTCTGATGTATCTGCCGCGGTTGAGCTGCTAAATGACTGACGCAGAGGTGATGATTCTTTGGGTGATGTTGAAGTAGATTTTGTGGTTGCGCGGTTCGACGTGCGCAATGGTGTTGGCGATCTCTGACTCATTTCCTCGTCTGCTGTAGGTTTGGATGGTGGTGAGTTTATCTGCATTGGTGAGGTTGGTGGTGCTCTATCTTCTACAGACCGTTCACTTGGCTCAGGTCCTTCGGATGCTTCCACCTCAACCTCAACCTCTTCCACATTTTGCTCCTCTTGTTCCAACTCTGCAGATGGTGTTCTCTTGTTTGTCGGAGTAGCAGCATTCTGTTGCGGAGGCGTTCTGTTAACCGGCGTAGCATTTCTGCTGGATGGTGGAGATGGTGATCTGCCTCGTGTCGGTGTATCACTTCTGCTCTCTGCCGCACCCCTCTTAATTGGCGTATCAGGTAGAGGTATGACAGATTCTGGAGGAGGCTCCGTCCTATTCTTTGCTATGAAGGCCGCCTTGGCTTCCCTGAATTGCTGACTCTTGGACGCTAGACCTTTTTTAGCATTCTGAGGAGCCGAATTCGACGCAATCTTAGCCTTCTCGAGCTGTTTGCGAGCAGTTGGATCGAGAGTGTCGATCAGCTTCGCAGATTGTCCTGGCCACACAGCTTGGAACGCCCAATAAGTAGTACGACCCTGCTCACGCACTCCCGGGTTGGCATCTGCTAAAGCCTTCTTTATACACCATTCCAAAACACTCACCCCACCCGTCTGTTCGATGGCGTGTTTATGTGCACTGTGCGTCTCCACTACAATCCTCAGATGCGTTATAGAGAACTGACGCGGTGCTGGTGCTTTCTCATTAATACCGGAGTGCAAAACATTGAGTATGCGCGAGCTGTATGAGATATTACGCAAGATGGTGCTCAGTGCATTTTGGGAGTATTGCACCACTATCTTCTTAGTCAGTGTTGCCATTCGCATTAAGCATGAGACCACGGGTTCAGCAAATGTGTCCATTTGGGAGCCAAGAAAATGAGACAGATCGACGCAAAGATTGATAGCGTTGAGGGATAAGGTAGTGCGCAGTGACTGCGCTATCGCGATAATACCATCGATGTTACTTTTCACTCCTTGCACGAATACATCGGCGTAGTGGAGGTGCACCTCACCTCGTAGCATCCCTCTTAGTCTCTTGATTTGCGTCTCGCGTGGTACCCAATTTTGTTCCGTTTCTTTGCCACTAAAGAGAGAGTGCATGGCCTCGAACTCCTTTTCTAGATCTTTTGAAGAGGCTGTGTAGACAGGATCGAGTTTCTCAACCTCTTTGTCCAGTTGCTTAGCCTGTTTTGGAGGCGCACTGGGTGCACTAGGCGCACTAGATGTACTGGAGTAGTGAGCGTTGGAGCCAGCCAGCTTGTCCTCCTCCGTGGGATCGTCAATCGGCATCGGTATGAGCTCAGGTCTGAAAGCAGCAGATTTGAGGACTCCATCGAGAATCTCATCGACGACGTTTTTTTTTATGTTCCTGTCAGTGATTTCCTTTTTGAGGCTTGTTTTGGCCTGTGCGGATGAGTTCCTAAAGAGAGTTATGATAGTCGACCGCGCAGCCTCCCTCACGCTGCTATCTGAGTCTTCGAGCAGAACAACGAATTGTGGAAGAAATGTGCGGAGGGGGAAAGAGTGAAGTGGATGTAAAGTAGCGAGATGGAGAAGAGACTGCTCGCGTATCCTCCAAACCTTTCCAGCCAGGCCCTGCTCTCTGATTGATTTTTCGAGGAGAACCCATGGTGTTTCTGGGGAGTTGGAAGTGTTTGAGCCAAATTTGAGCGCGCCTATCGATAAAGCCATCAAAGCGGCGCGTGCAGCATCTCTAATCCTCTCCTTCTGATCAGCAAGCTTTTCGATAAGGCCATTGGGTGGACATAAGAAGGCAGTGAGCCCAAGCTTGAGCTGCCGGGAGTCTAAATCAGACGCGTTTGTTTGTGTGAGGATCGGAATGTAAGTTGGGAGAAAGGCGATAACGGCATGAGAGAGATGTGTATTGGGGGAGCGAAGATTGAGCTTGAGTGTGTTTGTGAGGGATTCAATGTGCTCTAAAGGCTCTGAAATCTCGCGCTGGAAAAGCAAATCAAGTGTCTGTATCGCTTCAATCTTCTTATCAACAGCTGTGGGTGGGTGTCAGAGATCGTAGTGACTGTAGTGGTTGCAGACTCACTCGAGTAGGATTTCAACACGCTTAGTAGTTTTGACAGATCCTCCATAGATTTTGAGATTTCGTTGTTGGTTGATAGAAGCAACGATGACTAGTAATTTGAATAGGACTGGACTATTAAATCGCAGTGGACTATTAAATTTAAAAAAGACTTCAATTTTAAACAGAGTCTTGACTTTTAATAGGAACCAATCTACTTCCACTCCACGCCTCATTCAACTCTACAACGGATCTCTATCAGATGTCTATAGGAAGCTGAAAGTATTCTCATTTGGTTCTCTAGGCGCTGCATTTGCTATATCACCCATTATTACCATTCTAGACGCGCCTATAAACACAGCAGGCAGAATATTCCTAATAACAACCGCTCTCACCACATCGATAACGTCCACTGCAATGATTAACTGGTGCGGAAAGCCCTACGTAAGCTCATTGAAGGTGTTGAGCATCGGCGATAGACAATCTGTTGAACTCATCACCCATTCTTTCACTCTCAAGAAACTCAGAACACTTGTCCATGACACTACGTGGTTGAGGAGGGCTGATCGTCCTCTAGCCACCTGGGAGATCTGCGATGGTGATGTAAGTGCTGCTGCTACTCATGGGCGCGACGATGGCGTCAGAGAAGTTATTGCTCAGACTTTCCATCTCACTTCCGGCAAATTGATCGGTGAGTGGTTTGTAATTTGGAAGAGGGATGGTGATTCAGTGAGTGCGGAAGTCCAGAAGACTGGTGCTGTCGATAGATACTTCAATGTCGATGAGAAGTATGTTCCGAGCGTGAGGGTCAATTGATTTAAGTATACAAGAAATCACTTTATTAGAATATGTCATAGGAGGTATCTGAATACATTCATTAGCTTGTGCACTATATAAAGCCCAACAAACCTCACCTATTCATTGGATGGCGATCTCCTAAACACGCTATTTCAAACTCACTGAGCTCCGACAGCCCCAGATAGGCCTTTTCGTCAAATGCCACATCGATACCATTATTTTCCTGCTCTTTGAGCATCTTGATTGAGCTCCTATACTCAAGTCTCTTTCGATACTGTTCTGGTGTTCCAAACAACCTGTCCCGGCGCTCATTCTCCCTCTTGAGGAGGTATCTGACCGCACATGCAGTAGTCGAGCCTATAATGCACAGCGCCAAACAGTAACCGTGACCGGGCAAGAATCGAGGTGCAGTTGATTCAGCTGCGATGGTGTCAGGGGTGATCTGACATGAGTAAAATACTCACGGTATATGAAACTGGAGGCCTGTTGTGGTTTATTATGTTAGAAAGGATCTCTGCGAGCTGATTAGGTACCTACCAGACCACCGCAATTGCCGCACATTACAATGAACGCCGAAGCAATTGCACGTTTGTAAGAGGGTCCAAATGTCGCACTGTACCAAGGCTGCGAGAGTGTCTCAGTGGTTGAGTTGAAAAAAGGAGGAATCTCCTACCAACAAGCCCGCAGCTACGATGTTGTTTCCAGCTACCATGAGAAATAAGCTGAAAAAGCGTGCTCCCACTGCAACATGTGGTGGGATAGCCATGATGATAATAAAACCAATGGCAGTGATGAGTAATCCCGCTACAACCAGCACGGCTCTTTGTCTTTTCTTGTCCGACCATGCAGCAGCGAAAAGAGCGCATATAATCCCAAACACATACACTGGCGCTGTGAGAAGATGTGATTCGGCAACGTCGAAATCGCCCAATTCACTGATTATAGTGGGTATCCAAGTACTCAGCACGTAAAGTAGACTACCGTTCGTGTAGTTGACTATAGCGAGCATGTACAGTTTGGGGTCAGTAAATGCAGAGGTGACTTGACCGATAGTGAAGGGCAAATTTTCATCTAAAACGACCTGGTGCGCGGCGAGGTGGTCTAGCCAAGCACTTTTCTCTGCGTTGCTTAAAATCTTGGCTGGATCACATATCAGCAGGCAAATAAACCGCGGTTTTCCCACTCACATTCACTTGGGAAATCCTGTATGAAGAAGAAGGACGCAACGGCAACAACAAAGCTGAGTAGTCCTTCTATGATATATATCCACCGCCAGCCTTCTAGCCCACCAACGCCTCTCATCAAAGCCAAGACATAGCTGAAAATACCACCGAACGCAGCAGCCATTTGCGATCCGAGATAGACAACTTTTGAGGTGTCAATGGGCAATAAAACGTGCGCTATCAGCCACTTACTTGTTATTCTTTTGCCCTGCTGGGGTGGAGGAAACCCTGAATCGAAATGTATGTGAGTGAGTTTGATCAATCGTAAGAACGCACACGCGGTGAGAATTATAAGCATTCCCGGGAACAAGCCTAACTAATATTAACGAATTAATGGATCAGCACGCTTTTCACTCACCTCCTTCCGCTAGACCAAGAAACCATCTCACAGCAATCAAGCCAGAGTAGTTCTGCAAACTATGAATGAAAGTATGAGTAGTGCAGAACTATGCCCACCTGAACGATTCCGGTGAGGGTGCATACGATTGCCCAGCTGACTGCCATGAATGGAATTGTTAGCTGGGGACCAATTTTCTTCGTCAGCATGTTCCACGGTATCTAAGTAGAGTTAGTGGTGTGAAAGAGAGAAAGCAAAGGTACTCACTTCTGACGCTATCTGTGTAGTGTTGGATGAGTCGCAGTGCTTTTACACCCACTCACATACGACACATAAAAAACTGTGAGACATATTTCAAATTGATAGTCTGACTACGTTAAGTGAGCTGCGAGTATCATCTCACAGTCAAACTCTACCTACAATGTTCAAGTCACCGAGCAACCCTTCTAGCTTTGCCTGGCCGATGTTGACTCGATCGAGGAAGTTAACACAGAAAAGAAAGAAAAGGGCAGGGACAATCATCAAGTCGAGGCGCCTAGTAATGCGTTTAATGAGAAGTATATTGTCATTGTTCTCCTCGCTGCTATCTCTATACTTAAAGGAATCTATTTCTTCATTGCGTTTAAAGTGATCTTTGTTTGTGTCGCATGGATGCGCCTGTTTCTGATTATCAGAGTGATCGTCGAATGCACTCATAAAGAGATGTAGAATGTACAGCAGCCTTTTTAGTGTTTGGAATGGGTGAGTAAACTTCGGTATGAATATTACGTCAGATTAGCTAGGTATGAGGAGCGTGATAAGTTTATACATTAGTTTGCTCAATTGAGAGTATTACAGGCTACGTTTTGTATTATTTTCATAGCTGCGTGTGTTAGCCTGAGCTCGATGGAAAAAGGTTAACACACACACACACACGAATCACTACTGTTGCATTTCTTCATCCTTTGCTGCGTTTGAAGCTTCCTCTGCTTCTTTCCTAGGGAATTGTTAGTGAATTTCGTGTGATAGACATAGACGCACAACCAGAGTACGTTGTTGCAACTATGTAATGAATTCGTGAGCCCAGAAAAAACTGAAAGCAATTCCTACCCACCGTATAAAGACCTCTCCGAGTGCGCCATTAGACTTTTCATTTTGGAATTCTTCAGTGTTTGCGAGCTGTGCTAGTTAGAGGGGAACTGGAAGAATACCACTGAGCACACCTGCAAGTTCATGTAATTGTCCACCGAAACCAAATATCCCTTATAATCCAACCCCCACTTGAGCCTCACTTGAACAGCTTTACCGGTGAGATCGTTGAGGAATGGACGTGGATTTACTGGCTGGACCTGGAGTACACATTAGACCATTACAGGAAACGCGAGAGTCGAACACCCAACTCACACTCATATTTATAAAAATCCAGTCGTCGTCGTTGGTGAGGAAGAAGCTTTTGAACCTCAACATCCATCACACCAGCTGAAGCATGAGCGACGACGAGAAGAATATACCAACGAGCTCGTCCTTCGACGATGATCTCACGCTCCCAAAAGCAACTGCAGAGAAGCTGATAAAGGGTGTGTTCTGCGTGTTGTGTGGATAGCCATCTAAACCTCCATAGACATGCTCCCTCCAGAACTCACAGTGGCCAAAGAAACAAGAGACTTGCTTATCGAATGCTGTGTCGAATTCATACACCTCGTCTCCTCGGAAGCCAACGAGGCGTGCGAGCAGGATAGCAAGAAGACCATCTCCCCAGAACACGTCGTCGCAGCTCTCAAAACACTCGGCTTCGAGACCTACCTGAAAGACATGGAGGAGGTTCTCAAGGATCACAAGGCACAGGCTAAGGTCAAGTCCGCCTGGGATAAGGAGAGGAAGGGCTCTAGGCTCGCAGCATCTGGAATGACCGAGGAGCAGCTACTCGCACAACAGGAGGAGCTCTTTGCCGCTTCCAAGGCGCGTATGGAGGCCAGCACGCAGCAGAGTGAGTAGATAGCTAGTCCAGACCAATCTGCATACTACAACTTGTACTGTATTAAATTGTTGTAATAATCTTATCTATAAGCAATTAATCAACTCTTGATCAACACAAAGTCGCTATCATCCAATCCAAATTTAATCACGTCACCGCTCATTATCTCGAAATAGCGCGACACTGGTATTTCCTCGCCATTGACTTGTGTGCCATTGGTTGACTCCAAATCCAACACGAATGGTCTGCTCTATCGTGAGATGGTGACGCTAGTATAATGTTAAACCCACTTGACCGCTTCCAAGACATCACCAAATTCATTCTTACTCCTTATCGCTCTGTATTGAATCACTGCATGCTGCTTCGAAATTGATGGATGCGCAACCGGGTAATCTGCGACGTTTGCATCCTTCCCAAATAGATAGCAGCTCTGTTTGTCGAGCATGAGCATGTCTGCCGTGTATTAATATCGGCTGCATATTCCCACTCCTACTCACCCGTTTGTGTCTCTCCCTTAAACACGAATAACCGCCAGTCATCCCCCTTACCGGGCTTTTGTGCTTCGAGTGGCTCGTGGTACTTGAGCACTACCCCATTCACCGTCTTGCTCTCTGCCGCTAGCAAGCCTGAATTGGAGAAGTCTGGCTTTATTTCAGGTGGTGTGCGTCGAGGTGACCTGGTTGGTGACTTGGACCTCGAGGGCCTGGGGGATCGAGAGCGTCTGTGTAGGTCTCTGAATGGCTTTCTCTCATCGCTCTGTCTGCTGTCCCGCCTATCAAGACGCTCATCACGCCTTCTTGGATTGCTTTGGTATCTTTCATATTCTTCTTTGTCATCCTTGCGCTTGTATCCTCTATCATGCATTTTTGATTAGTGATGATCGTTCTGTTCGGAGAATCACCTAATTTAATTTCGTCTTCTCCTCTTCCATCAACAAATAATGACTCAAGTTACGCCGAACAATCTTGGGTTTTCTCCGCAAAACGAAAGGAGGCTCCTCTGGAAATTAGATCTTCGTCTAATCCCCATACTTAGTCTTCTCTGTGGGTAACACCTGATATGGAAGGAGCTGATTTCTTAATAATCCATCTGCAGACCTCATCTCTTTTATCGATAGGTGAGCTTACATGCTTTTGTGCAACTTTGATTCACCGAAATTTAGAGTGAATGTGAGACCCACCTGACTGGATTCCTCGGCCGAACACTAACCCGAGCAGATTGGACAAGCAAAAGTCGCCGGCATGGTTACTAGCCTTGGCATGACATCCCACCAGTTCCAAATCGCAAACACAATCTTTTTTTCCACCTATGTAAATAGAAGATTACCTCGCGCGTTAACTCACATGACGCCGACTGCAGGTCGCCTTTGAAGTAAATGTCACAGCTGTTTTTCGCTCTTAACACGCTCATTCACGACTCCAGATCATTGGCAATCTTCTCATCAAAAAGTTTCGGCCCAGTCGTACTCTTCCCGTGATGATAACGTGGGTTGTTTTATATCGCGCTAGCAGCTTACTTACTCGTACAAGGGCTTGGAGCGCTGTACTTATCGGACAGGCGTTTGCGAAAAACGCGGGACATCTTTACACGACAAGAGTCTGTTTCAGTGTTGTTGGTAGACTGCTTTGCTTACTGCTGCAATCCAGGTCCTACTTGGCGTCTTTGAAGCCTCCCTTTTCCCAGGTGTGTGTCACATCTCACATCTCGCGTCTAACGTCTCACATACTCAATCTCCAGGTGCAATTTACATCATTTCATTGTATTATCCAAGGTCCGAGCAAACCCTGCGCATGGGATTCCTTTTCTCAGCTTGTGTTTTGGCCGGTGCATTTGTGGGTCCTGAAAATCTTATCAGCACGAGAAGCTTACGCACTGCAGGGTGGTGTACTGGCATACGGTCTATCACAAATCCATGGCGCGGGCTTGGAAGGGTGGTCTTATATCTTTCTGATCGAAGGAGCAATGTCATTCGTCGTTGCGGTTATCTCCTTCTTTACCATTGTTGATCTCCCTAAGGAGGCTAAATTCCTCAGTGAGCCCGAAAGAGAATTCGTTATCCATAGAATCAAACAGGGTCAAGGTGCTCTCTCTCTCGATGTTGATTTTTCATGGAATCACATAACATCCGCAATTCTCGATTACAAGCTGTATATCTTCGCTAGCATGTACTTCTGTACCGGCGCTCTCCTTTATGCTCTTGCAACTTTCGCGCCAGTCATCATTTCCCAGCTCGGAGAGTGGTCAAATGCCCAATCTCAGCTGCTCACTGTCCCCCCGTATGCTTTGGGCTTTATTACCACTATTGGATGCGCTTATATTAGCGATAAGACAGGCTATCGTGCATTCCTCATTATGTTAGGAACGTTTGTGTCTCTGATTGGGTACATTCTCATCCTAGTCATACCGGACCACGCTCCAGGGGTGAGTCAGGGCGGTTTAATCTGAGACACACACAGATCTGACATTATTTCAGGCCAAGTACTTCTCTTTGTTTGTAATGGTTGCCGGATTCAGTCCTGCTGCTGGCATCGTTTTAGCATGGGGTGCTGGTTCATTTGGTCCTACTTATAAGAGAGGTATAACGCAGGGCGTTATTATGTCGGCGGGAAATACTGCGGGTATACTTAGCTCGTTTTTATATCCCGACTCAGACAAGCCTGATTTCGTCATGGGACACTCAGTCTCTGCAGCGTTTTCCGCCTTCACTTTCATCCTTGCCGTTGCTCTCCATTTTATACTAAAGCGTGAAAATAAGCAGCGCGATGAGAAGTTCGGCACATTGGACGAGATATACGCCATCATCAATGAACAAAGCGGAGGTGTAAGTAATGCGTACACGCCCGAGAAGGATGCGAAGGATGCGGAAGACGCGGATGCGGTAAATAACTTACCATCGGTATCGAGAAACGAATTCACAGACCTTCCCCCGGTATTGATAGAGAAATTCGGATTACATGGTTTGAGTAAAGAAGACATAGCTAATTTGGGTGATAAGCATCCAATGTTCAGGTATTTGTGTTAACGAGGTGACGTGATGTGGAGTTGTACATTGTATTCGCAGTTTACTCAATCTAACTCTTTTGTATTGTATTATACATATAATGTTATATATTAAAAGAAGTAGCTGTAACAATACCGATTATAG